AAGCCGATACTTTGTATGGGCTGCATATAAGTACTTACAACGCTCGTGGCTGCTGTTCCGAGACGGAGCGGTCAGCAGCGTAGTTCATTACCCTAAGCGGAAAGGCACCTGCCTGCTATGGTATCATCGCACCAGGGTGCGCATCCGACTCGGATTCCCACCGTACTTCAGAGGAGGTTCTTTCCAGTAGTAACTATCCTTCATGCCGAGTCGGTAGACGAAGCAAGCATGGTGCTTAGCACACCATTGCTTCCAATAAACAGGTCGGCAGTGGACAACGAATGCAAGTTTCGATCTCAAACAGGATATTGAGTGATGCGGGCTTTCCGTCAAGATTTCTCACAGACAAGCGTACATCTCTAGCCGCATAGTGGCATGGACATGTCCCCCAGGTACGGTGAGAACAAGCAATCAGGTCTCAGAAGAGGTACCCGTCAACACCGATATTTCTGGAGAGGAGGCCAAGCACAGCCACTTTCCGTCATCGGTCCTCCGTCTGACTCTGCAAGAGGCCAACGGCTTATGTGGGTGTCGGCTTGCATCTCTGTCCAGCTTGTCCGTTCCGGTTCGGAGTTGCACTGTACACGACTCACTACTAGTTTCCTGCGATCGGTGTTACTCCTCGTTCTGAAGCCCACGGGAAGAGCGGGATGTGGGAGCGTACGCTTCAAGATCTCATCCGCGGCTTACGCGCTAATAAGAAGGATGAGGCCAAGTTCATCGCGCAGGCTATGGACGAGATCAGGAAGGAGGTGAAAAGCAAGGACATGGAGCTCAAGGCGGGCGCGATCTTGAAGCTTACATATGTGCGTTCCGTCTGCCGTCGTCTTCACGCTCTGCCTCGTATGCGTTCGCTCATATACGAGCTTTGCGTAGCTAGATATGCTTGGATATGATATGAGTTGGGCATCTTTTCACGTCGTTGAGGTCATGTCATCACCCAAGATACACCTCAAGAGCGTTGGTTATCTGGGAGCTGGACAGTCTTTTGGTCCCGAAACCGACGTGCTCATGCTCACCACCAATCTCCTGAAAAAGGTTTGATCTGCGCACACGTAAAGTTTATGTAACTCCTGAAACATCAAACCATCAGGATCTCAGCTCCCTGCCAGGCGATGTTGCCATTGCACTGAACGGTCTCTCCGACATCGTCACCCCTGACTTGGGCAGGGACTTATCGCATGACCTTATCTCCATGATGAACCACTCGCGGGCGCATATACGAAAACGAGCGATCCTTGCACTATATAAAGTCTTCTTGCAATACCCGGAAGCACGTCAGCAAGGTATGACAAGGCTTCGGGAGAAACTGGAGGACCCTGATCCCGGTTGGTATTCCGTATAATTTCCGTCATAATGAGTGATAAAACATGACGTAGGTGTGGTCGCGGCGACCATCAACGTTTTATGCGAGCTCGCGCGACAAAACCCGGCTGATTACCTACCTCTGGCCCCACAATTGTTCCATCTTCTCACATCGTCCTCCAACAACTGGATGCTCATTAAGATAATAAAGCTGGTGTGGCTCTCAGCTTAACTGCACGAGCTGACTTTGACTGAGAAGAGCTATATAGTTCGGCGCCCTATGTCCGCACGAACCGCGATTGGTGAAGAAATTGCAACCGCCGATCACAGACCTCATCACCAACACCCCTGCGATTTCCCTCCTTTATGAGTGCGTTCATACGGCTATCATTGGAGGAATGCTCCATGGGCACAACGGCTACAGCCTGGCTCGAACATGTGTGACGAAACTCGCCGCATTCCTGCAGGATCCGGATCAAAATCGTGCGCTATTCTGCTGCTGCGAAAATCATACTTTCTAATGTAAAAGCAACAGTCAAATATATTGCACTTCTCGCGATGGTCAAGATTGTACCAACTCATCCTAATCTTGTGGCCGAGCACCAGGACTTGATTCTCTCCAGCATCGATGACGAAGACATTTCGATACGAATGAGAGCACTAGACCTGGTGTCTGCGATGGTAATATTTGGAAATAGTCAAGCCCCACTTCCCGTACTCATGTGCTAAACTAGGTTAATTCGTCCAACCTTCAATCCATCGTGCAACAACTGCTTTCGCACCTACTGAAACCCGATCCAATCATACCGTCGGCGGCGCAGTCGCTTGCGCATCACGTTTCCGGGACACCGAGGGCCGCCCAGTCACCGACCAAATCGCCTGCCTATCGATTACTCCTTGTCCAACGGATACTTGCTATAGGATCTCAGTCAACGTACGAAAACGTCACCGATTTCGAATGGTACCTTTCGGTTTTGATTGACCTAGCGTATGTTGCGAACGTCAATATTGGTTCTCAAATCCGCGACCAACTCGTCGACATCGCGGTCCGCGTGCGAGGGGCAAGATCGTTTGCTGTGGGATTAATGGTCAAATTGCTGAGCGACGATACATTCCTGAGAACAGCGGACGAGGAGGGAAGCTGTGCAGAGGTGCTCTGGGCTGCTGCTTGGATATGCGGCGAGTATTGTAGGTACGTCGTTCACATACCGATGGCCAGCAAACCGCTAACATTGCAATCTCGCAGCGAGCTGTCCGAGGCTCACAAGCTCCTGCCTTTCTTACTGCAACCCGGATTGCGCAAGCTATCTTCGGAGACAGTTGCCGTTTACCTGCAGAATGCCTCGAAGGTCTTCGGATTTTGGGCTGCGGATACTGCAGAACGCTGGGAGGACGACGACCTGCCTCACGCCAAGAGCGTCGTGGACTCGACTATCTCCGGGATCGAAGAGTTTGTGAGTAGCCCCGACGTAGAAGTGCAAGAAAGAGTATGTCTCGAATAATCACAGTTGATCTGTCTCTTCACTTATCGGCTCCCTGCCACAGGCAGCAAATATATATCAACTCCTTGCGTTTGTTCGGGCTGACCTGGCCAGCTATCGCATACGCCCGCAGGAAGGGTTCGGTGCCCCGGAGCCCAGCATATCTGCAGACGATGCGACTAGCGGCGAACCTCGCTTCCCCAAGAGTCTCATGCTCATCGGACCGCTGTTCTCGTCCTACGAACTCAACCCTGTCGCTCCCGAAGCGCAGGCCAGCGTACCCGTACCCGGTGGTCTAGACCTAGACGCTTGGTTTGTCCCTCCGCCGAGAAAGGAAGAACACGACGCTCAGGGCGAAGACGAGGCGGAGATCGGTACCAAGGTCAAGAAAGTGAAGAAGAGCAAAGGCAAGGGAAAGGAACGAGAAGGGACGAGCACTAGATCTGTGAAGAAGAAGCGTCGGATTGATGCACACGGTGATGTGCTGACGCCGGCAGAACCGGAGGTGTTAACAGCAGACGAGCAGGCTGAGATGGAGCGGGTATGTACATTGCACTCGCTGTGTGTTCGCGATACTAACGTTCGTCCTGACAGAAGAAGGCAGAGCGTCTGGAGCGCCTGAGGGATGATCCGTACTATATCATGGATGGTCGACCCTCAACATCCAAAGCTCAAGCCGATGGCGTCGACGTGGATTCAATTCCAGTCGTCCGCTTGGATGATCTGCCAGTTTTGTTGCCACGTAGGTCTCGGCGAGTGGTTTTCCCCTCGCACCAGGCTGAATGACATTATACAATAGCAGCGCAGGATAACCGACTGCCGGCGTTACGAAGCGCGGCACTGCGATCTAACCCTGGGTCGTTCGTGGTCGATAGGCATGGAGAGATGCCTGCTGGCGCCACTCCTCGGTCATCAACGCCGAGATCGACGACACCGTTGACGAACGAATCTGCTTTCCCACCAACGCCTTCGGCGTTCCAGGAGTATGTCGTGGCCGGCGACATTGACGTGCCGCGCACGCCAGCACCCGAAGCCATCAAGGTAACCCGGGCAAAGAAGAAGAGTTCGACCGGAAAGAAGAGGCAGAAGGCCGCGGTGAAGGAGGGCGCGGACGGCGACAGCACGCCATCAAGTATCAAGTGATAGTTTCAACGATTCCGGCTTGGGGGATCTGACTATTGACTATTACATTGCTTCACTGTGCCTGGTATACAAACGGGCAAGTCTGGATGGGCGGAGTAGGACTTAGCGTAATACTACTGGAGATACATGCATTGCGATTGAGGAAGCGGGCTGCATGAAGGATGAGCGTGGACGAAAGCTTGTACGATGTGTGTCCGAGATAACAAGGAGGGGAAAAAAGACGAGACACCCTGGGGCCAAGAAGTGAATTGGGGTGCGAGAGCTGTTGTCCGATCATTGGACGTCGTCGACGTGCTCAACGGAATCGACGATCTCGTTCACGAGCTCGAGCGTTACCCCGGGTATGATGCGCTCCGCCTCGGTGAAGGCTCGTTGCAGAGCGCTTAGCGCTATTCGAGCTTCCTGAGTCTGGACGCGGGGGAAGAGCTGTGAATGGCGAGTCAACGCTGGGGTTCCATGCCATAGACGATTCGCCTACCGAAGCAATGGCGGGCAACACGACCGAGTCCAGCATGGTAGATTCGGGCAATAGCTCGTCAACTACTCCATGGGTTTGCACCGGCACACGTCCATGGTAGGTATCGTAGTCGTCGTCGTAGTCATCATACTCGTCGGACGGCTCTCGTTCCGCGTTCGCTGGTGCCAATCCCCGCCGCACCGTTGATTGGTCGTGGTGCGGCGCTGGCGACGGTGGGAGCGGGGGCAATTCGGTAGGTTTTACCGTGATCGACGAAGCCCGCTCCGAGCCTTCAGAGTCTCCGGAAGACCCCGAGCCATAAGCACGATGCCCACCATTGCCTACCACCCCGCTCGTCGACGGCCCTCTTGCCGCCCCAGTGCCGTTCGCGGGGGAAAGCGGAGGGGCGGCGGCACGTCCTATGGTGGCCGTATGGCGGACCGTGCCAAAGTCCCACATGTCCTCGGGATCGAGGTCGGTGGGTCTGTGCAGATGCATGAGTCTCAGGAACAGAGGCGACAAGGCGGAAGACGTACGCGTCGTCGTGGTGGCCTTCTCGGCCATCGTCTTCGTGCCTGTCCCCTCCTTCTGCCTTCCAACGCTCGTGACGTTCGATGAGTTCGGTCAGGTAGTTTGTCTTCTTCGCCATTCGGACAAACTTGTGTTTCAGCAGGTCTCGCGCCGACGGACGCTGGGATTTCGATGAGCTTTGGCACGACGACAGGAGGAAAGAAGACGGACGTCACGAGGATCACGCTGTAGGCAGTACGAGACGAACTCTCGGAACGGCTTGGAGAAGTTACCGTCCAAAGTCGGCGGCACATTCTTCGGAATAAGGAACAAGACCTGCGAGCGACGTCAGCAAGGCACTCATGACCATGGATCTCAGCGCGAACCTTCATCGGATGCAACTCGGCGTATGGGGGTTCGCCCTTGGCAAGCTCGATGGCAGTGATGCCGAGACTCCATATGTCCGCCTTGTGATCGTACCCGCTCTGTTTGATGACCTCTGGGGACATCCAGTACGGCGTGCCAACGAAGGTGTTCTTCTTCGCAGACAGCGTGCCCGAGAGTTGACCAGACACTCCGAAGTCGGCGAGTTTGACATCTCCGTTCGCGGTGAGGAGGATATTGGCGGCTACGTCGCCGGATGAGACGTGCTATTTATAGCTCAGAACGATGCCAACTCGCCTTTAATATCGCGATGCAGCTTCCCTTCGCTATGGAGATATTCGAGACCTCGCAATAGCTCGCGCACGATGATAGCGATGTATTCTTCTCGGAATACGCCGGGTTTCATCTACAAACCCGTAAGCGGCGTGACGCGAGGCGACTAGATGACGCACCAAGTCTGAGCAAGAGCCGCCGGAACAATACCTACAAGCCGTCAGCGGTGAACAATGAGCAAGGTGAAGAGAACCTCACTCCATAACGATCCACAAATGAGAACCCTTGAGAAATGAACCATGATACCTAATGTGAAACATGGTCAACGGTCGGAATGGAGCTGCGCAAACCACCGCGTACTTGGTCACGTAGGGAGAGTCCAACTGCGAAAGTATCTGGATCTCTTGTTGTATGTCCTCAATTTCATCTTCCGCGCTCTCGAGATCTATAATTTTAATGGCCACCGTCTTCTGTGTTCGTTTGTCGTAGCTGCGGGGGGGGGGGATGAGACTCGAACGGGTTCCGTTTCGCGACGTTGATCACGCACCCCTTGTAGACCTCCCCAAAGGACCCCTTGCCTGGTTGCGATTAATGTCAGGAGTCGATTGACCACCTGGTGACACGCCGGGACGTACCGATCCGGTCTTGCTTGACGTATATCTCTTCCGGATCTTGCTGTCGCGTATCCTGCAAGGCATCACCGACCGATCAGAAATGATCGCCCGCTCTGCAAGCGCAGCACGCACCATCTTATCCTAAACGGTATGTTAGAGGAACGAGATAAGCACGAGGGACGCGGGGTGGGGTCGAGACCGCGTGCTGCACGCGCAAGGTTGGTTGGAATGGAGTGAGCCCCGCTCCGCTGTGCGGGTCGACGAAACCGTGCGAGGCGGGCGAGTTGAGCGGGGGTAAGGCTGGAGGACCGCTGGGTCACGGATTCGTTGTGCGTCTGCGCGCGCGGGTGCGGCTCGAGAACCGAAACGGCTCGAGGCAGAGCAATGAGGAGAACAAGCCGAGACGGCACGTGAGTCGACTAACCACGGGTAGGGCGCTTAGATCACTGACGTCGTGCGACACGGGCGCTTGACCGTCCGGCAGAACGTACCGCCGCCACGTGTCAGAATGCGGTGGCCTACGTGGAGAGAGACGAGACCGTTCAAGCGGACGTCGCGTTGGATTGCAAGGGCGGACATGATCGGCACAGGCACCTCATAGTTGGGTTACACTTCAAGGTAGAGACGGCGCACGTAAACATGCTAATGCGAGTCTTATCGCCGCATGTCAGGCATCCGCGGACAAGGGGTGCGGTCGGAAAGCGGGGCCATGCCAGGCGGCGTTTCATGCGGTTCGAAAAAGTCAAAGGCGATGAAATACATGCACTCGCGCGTTAGCCACAGCACGCTATCAATGGCGAGGGATCTCCCAATGACTCGTACGACACGAACGTAACGTGGACACGAGGGGGGGTCTAGAGTATTTGCAACGCGTCGAGAATAAATGAGATCGATTGCACAGAGCTCCGCCGTGGAGGGAAGACCTGGGTATATTCAGGAGAGCTGTGAGAATGGTCCTGGGCAGCGAGCGGACAACACCACGCACGGGCACGTTTCCCAGCCTCACGATCAGCCCACTCTTCCGATGCGTCCCGCTGTGGAGGGGAGAGGGAAAAACGAACGTGAAACGCTGTCCGGATGAGAAAACACGGTGGCGGGCTCGCCTCGATAGTCCATCTCCCACATCTCGCCCTCATCGTGCGGATCACCGGGCCTGCCGCGGCGGTAGGAGCCGCGACCAGCGGTGGTGCTGGCGCTGAGGGCGTGCTCCCACCAGGAGGCGAGGGCGCGTCGTACGGAGAAGCCGAGGCAGGACGAGAGGAAGCACCAGGCGACGGCGCACAGGCTGCGGAAGGAACGAGTACGTGTCAACGCACGGTCAGTCAGCACGGACAAGGCGGAGGAGAGCGAGGGAAAGGACGGTCACACGAGGAGGGCGAGGAGGAAGAGCATGGGGCCCAAGGACCGGAGCGCGTCTGCCTCAGTGGAGGAGGGAGCGGCCATGACAGCGGGGCAGAGAAGATCTCGCTGGGAGTTATCTGATAAGCAGCGGCGGGCGTGGGCGGGACGAGCGCCGCTGAGCTGCAATTCGATCTCCGCCGAGAGGGGCCCCTCTGGTGTCGCTGCTTTTCCCCCACCGTCGCTCGCCGCCGCCCGCTCAAGACCATCTCGCGCCATCCAGCCGCCGTCAACCGCCCCGCCGCGCCCGCCGACCCGGACGACCCGGACGACCCGCCGACACCAGCCACCGGCGATCGGGGCCATCGCGACCAGGACAAGGGAACGGGGCCGACGACGCCAGCGCATCCGCTCCCTCGGGCCTCCCAGATTCGCGCGATCCCACACACGTCCCACCAAATATCCGCCATCCGTCCCAGCCCCCGACTCCCGAGGTCGTGCCTCCAGCCCTCAGTGCTTCCATGGTCGTCCCCGCCGACCCCGCCGACCCCGCCCCCCTCCCCGCCGCCGTCGCCCTCGACGCCCCGAAGGTCAGCACCACCCCCTCGCCTCAGCCCCCAGTCACCTGCCTCCGACAAGTGCTTCTTGCTTCCGCTAACACGTTGTTCCGGGCTCATTACAGGACTCCGACGCAACGGTACACCCAGACATCGGCCAGGACCGCGACGTCGAGCGCTCGCCGACCATCGCCAGGCGGCACTCTTCCGATCCGTTCACGCTCCGCGCAGGCCTCCAGCCCGAGTCCACCCTCGCCGACCTCCGCAAACGCCATCCAGGCCGCAAGGGACGCCGCCTCGAGCGCTACCAACGCGGCCAAAATGAGGTGAGCCGAGAACCGCAGGTCACGACCGTGATAGAGTTGGCGCTCATCATGCCCGCGCGGTAACAGCTCATCGAATCGCTGCTCAAGCCGATGGAGGAGCACACCCTCGCCGCCGCAGAGCAGGCGGAGGCAGCCCGTCTTCCGGTGCGTTTGCGCACCTCGCTCTGCGGGACTAACAACGCTGACCCCATTCCCTTCGTCCTAGGTGAAAATCGCCGTGTGGGCCAGCCTGGTCGCCAACTTTGCCCTCTGCGTGCTGCAGATGTACGCCGCCATCTCCGCCCTCTCCCTCTCCCTCATCGCCACCGGCATCGACTCCATCTTCGACATCGGCTCCAACGTCCTCCTCTTCTGGCTCCATCGCAAGGCCACCCGCATGGACGCCAACCGCTGGCCCGTCGGCGGCAGCCGTCTCGAGACCATCGGCAACGTCATCTACGGCTTCCTCATGGGCTCCGTCAACCTCGTCGTCATCGTCGAGTCCGCCCGTTCGCTCATCACCTCGTCGGACGGCAACGAGTTCCACATCCCGTCCATCGTCGCCGTCGCCGCCGCCCTCGGCGTCAAGTTCCTCCTCTTCCTCTACTGCCTCTCCATCCGCAAACAGTCTTCCCAGGTCGAGGTCCTCTGGGAAGACCACCGGAACGATCTCTTCATCAACTCGTTCGGACTTCTCATGTCTGCCGGCGGCTCCAAACTGAAGTGGTGTGCGTGAGCTCGTTGCAGCGTTCGGTTCTGCAGGTTGATCACCCGGGACACAGGGCTTGACCCGATGGGGGCGATCATCATCGCTGCAGGCGTCATCGCCGCCTGGGGACGGACCGTCTACCGCGAGTTTGAGCTCCTCGCCGGCAAATCGGCCCCGCACGAGTTCCTACAGCTACTGATTTATAACGCGACCACCTTCAGCGACGAAATAGAAAAAGTTGATACCGTACGAGCCTACCATGTGCGTACCATCCGACTCTATCTCTCGACGCCAGCTCGCTGACGTTTCGCAGAGTGGACCTGAATATTTCGTGGAAATTGACGTCGTCATGGACGCCGAGACACCGCTTTGGAAAGCGCACGACATTAGCCAGCAGCTCCAGGACAAGCTGGAACTCCTGCCCAACGTCGATCGCGCATTCGTCCATGTCGACCACGAAACCACGCACACTCCCGTCAGTCAAGTATTCTATGCCTGTCTTCACCCGTCTCACGAGTCCTGTCCAGGAGCATCGCAAGGAGAAAGAATCATGAATTTGTACGATGCAAGAACAATGTAAACATACTAGTTCACGTCATCAACCACTTTGGTCTAGCGTACAGGATGCAAATAACTTGAGTTCGCCGTTGAATACAAAACATGTGCACCACCTAGGCCCCCACCTGGTTCACGAAGGACCACTGCATGACCTTGGCTATCCGCTTGTCGTACTCGGCAAGCAAATCCATCGTGCCTTGCTCGGAAGCGCCATGTATGGCAGAGCTCGCTCCTGCGCCGACGCCATCCTCGTACCATCCACCTGCAGTTGCCGTCGAGCTGATACGGTACGCTCGCACGCGTGGATCGGCCGGTGCCCATTTAGCGACGCTGTCGTCATGCGCGTCAGCAGAGGAAGGGATGGCGACGGGGCCAACTCGAAACGCACCATTCACGTATAGGCTGCCGACGAATGCCAAAGTGAGAGGCGATCACGTCCTAATCGTGTTTCCATTGAGCTCGACATGACAGGCGGAAGCGAAGAAGGGTCGTTACCCCCCACAGTCCGGCCTTATGGTCATCGTGCAGCCACTCGACCATCGCCCATCGAACGGTTTGTAGTGCGATGTGCTTGTTATAGACGATACTCCTCGGGTCCTTTGGTTTAGCTTTGCCGTGCCCGGGTCTAGCGGTGGTGGAAAAGTCAGTTCCCATCCGGGCAACGTTCCAGAACGCGCGACCCACTCGTTGAAGTAGGGGAGATCCACAAAGATCATGGATTGAATGCTGACTAGAACTTGCAAGAGCGTAGACTTTGAAGACCATTGCTCTTCTGGACTGCGGCGCTCGTCAGCAAGGCGTTCGCGAGTGATTCGGCAGATTCACCGTCCGTGCCAGGTACCGAGCAAAGATAGGCTAAGGACGCGACGTCTTGGTAAACCAACGTAACGCATTCGTTGATGAGAAGACGTACCACACCTTGCCCTTTACGTCCTCGTAGATCAGCGTTGACTTTGTAGTGCAAGGGGAAGGAACGTACATCTGCATATAGGTTGGGGTTGAAGCGGACACGGCCGCCAGCCGTGGTGCGGAGGTACATCAGAGGCGGTGTATTTGGATATTCCAGTGGTATAAAGCAGTCGAACTCGAATAAGCCTCCTGCGTACGGTGTCCCGTCCGGGCCAGCGATCATGATTTTGCTGCCGACGATGATCAGATATACGGCTTTGAGACGGACTAACATTAACACACATCACGTCGTTTCGGGTTTCGTCAACGCGTACCCATACGCCTGTTGGCAGCGACGTCGACATTGTGGAGAGTTCCTTCACCAGGCGAAGCCTGTCCTTAGGAAGGCGAGTGGCATTCGCCGTCGACTGCACCTCCCTCGTGTAATGGAAGGTTGGATAGGACAGCCCATTCGCACCAGCCACCGAAAGCGTAACGTGCCTGAAAGCGAGTCGCTCGCAAGCTTGCGCATACGTAGCCTCCATGTCCGCTTTCGGGTCGCCCGCTTTGGATTTGCCCTTGGAACACCGGGAGCGCAGAGTTGTCCTGCCCAAGACTTCCATGGCTCGATCGATGTCATCCCTAGCAGCGATCATGTCCCCACACAATGACGCCGCCTGGATCGTTGCCTCGATGTCGTCCTGGCTATTCTCCATCAGCTGCGCCACGCCGCCCAGGAAGGCCTCACATTGCTTCGTCAGCTTCTTAAAACAGTCGTACAAAGGCGGATTTCGGGCGAAATCGCCTGGTTCCCCGTTGGGCTCGGTGCATCCTCCTCTTTCATCACGTTCCCATGCGATCTCGGTCTCACCCCACATCCACTCCTCGATCCCAACATTCCGGTCTGTGCGTGCCCATCGCTCCTGCACCAAGGTCGGGATCGTGAACTCGCAATCTGCCATGCGTTTTAGCAAGCCCAACACGGCTGCGTACGTCTCCCCGCGCGCACCCGTCCAGTCCGTGACGGAGTCGTTACGAAGAAGATCGCCGAGCAAATCGGTCAGCTGCGAGAGAGCTAAGAGTGGTTGAATCGAAGGATGAGGAAGCATATCGTATGCTTGCGCGTCCTCGGAATATGGAGCCGGAAGATACGTCGTGACCGTCTTCAGTGCGCGAACGATAGCGTCCTCCCAGTGCGCTGCTAATGCAGCATGATGGTCGATGCCAATTTCCACATCCGCCTTCCAGGCACGCCCACCGCTGGGATAACTGTGGTGATCGTAGCCAGTAGTTCCAACGCCGTAGCCGGTGCCTCCGGGCCCAACGCTGCCTGCATTGGGCTGTTTACGAGTAGCCGTCTGGGCTCTCGCGCGAGTGTTGCTGACGATGCGCTCGCCAATGTATTGACGATCGAATCCGCCCAATGCTTCAAACAAGGCGATGGCGCGCACTTCAGCACAGCACTTCTCCACAGTGCACCCAGGATTCTTCGACGGACCTCTACAGTTTGCCGGGCAAGGCAGACGGGCGAGGCAACCTCGGCAACGTACAGCATGGCATTGGCTGCACGTCACATGGAGGAGACGGACGACAGTCGGAGGCGGAACATTCGCAGAGAACATAACCTAGAGGTTTCGCCTTCAGACACAACGGAGTGCTGTGCATGATGATGTAGAACCACGCACATGTCCTCTCGGGGATTCCATCTTGCATCTGCACCCGGGGCAGATCTTTGGGCTGACAAACAAATCACGATACGGCATGAGTTGCTGATCAGGAGGTACTTCGAACGCATTCTGAGTGTATATGCCCCGGTCAGAAACTGTCCCGTCGCTTGTACGTCTGGGCAATTCTGCATCGCGTCGAGGCGGTGGAAATTCTCCGCTGTCTTGATCACTGTCTTCCCTGGCCCATTCTGAGGCCAAACGTTTAGCGATTGTCGCATCGTCATCGTCCTCGATGACGATAACGTCCGGAGAGTCGCCAGGGCGCAACGCCGAGGAGCTCTGACTCTGCGTACGTAGCATCTCATTCTGGAGACGCCGTGCAAGCGCTTCGCTGGCTTCATGTTGCTCTATTTGGAGCAGAATGGAAGTCATGTCCTCGTCTTCTTCCTCATTCTCCTGATCCTCGAGCTTTGGACGCTTATTGTGAGCCTTGCTGACTGAAGTGGACGAGCGGCGTCGCGCCTTTCCGATGGTTCGAGAGGGTAACATGTCGGGCGCAACAATCACGACCTTTCCAAGCCCATGAGCCTCGTATGCAAGAAACAGATAATATGGGCGATGCGTTCGTATATGTGACCGCGGTTTCTCCACGACACCGGATGCAAAGGTAATGCACGGCCGCTCGTTGTCAGCCATATTTCACACGCCACAGACGCGCCCGGGAACCTGATCATGAGTACTACTTAATGTACTACAACATCCCTCATCGAGAATGCGCGCACAAACTGCTAGTTTCCCTGTAGGGTCGCACCCTTCCAGGACTCACGCGAGTCGAGTCTGGCATCTGGTACCCCTTGGTATGATGCCGGGCTTTGGTTAGGGGCTTCACCCACCCTGTCATCTTAATGATCGCAGTCGGTATCGCACGCAACTGGGCGCCTTGTATATCCTAGCAGTAACTGTGATGACCGGCATCGTTGACCAGCACATATGGTGCCTGTCAAAGAAACTCGCGAAGCGGCCCTCATTGATCTCCACCGACAGTATTCAGCGTCGGCGCTCATCATCATCATGGCACGTACATCATCTTTCTCAACTTTTCGTCGTTGACTTCGCCCCAAAGCGTGCGGATGAGAATGCATACATTGCGACACACCCAGCTCCAACGATCAGGGACGATGTCGCCACCTTCAAGAACTCCTCGTGGGGGATGAAGTCGCCTCATCTACCCTTCTGTGATATCATACAGATCAACAATCGTTCGCCGACAAGAGTCGGTATTCAGGAAGCTTTGGTCTCCCCAAGGTTACCTCAACACCCCGATTCTTATTATCTCGTCCATCATCGTATCCTTCTGCAACATCGTATGTTCTGAAATAACTGTGGCGCAGACAAATCCGCGACCCCCTTATCAATGGCACTCAGGACTGCCGAACGTTTTGGCAGTAACGCCAAGATGATTCAACAGGTGGACGGAGCAGGGCACTGTGTCATCACGCAGTCGACCATGTGTACCGCTAACCTTGTTCAGAACTTTGGCGGACGAACACGATTTAAGACAGATACCTAGTACTTTGCGCCATCGATCAGGGCCAGGGAGCATTCGAGGTTGACAGAGTTCGAGACAGAAGGATTAGCAACATTGGAATTAGCTTGGCGAGGTTTGAGAGAGCTGCTTTCGTATGAAATGGCAGGTCATTTCAAAGATGATGGCATATAGCTCGCCTCAAGAGGGTCCGAGCATCGCGCGTCTATCAGGTTTTGGATACTCAGGTTTCTTGATACCTCATCAGGGATATATGGATACAATCCCGTACGATGTTACGGCACTCTGCACCGTGAACTCGACGAAACAGGAGCTCAAGCGGTTCCGGCCACGAGCTGCTTCAGCTTGCCCCCGCCATAAAGGGCATGGACGTCGTCGCATCCACCGACATGTTTCTGATCTGCACAAAAGCATGAATACTAGGCGTAGATGGGTACGGTTTAAGTCACTGACTAACGAAGATATTCGGCACGCTCCGTTGGCCGGTCTTATCTTGGAGGTAGTCTTGAATGGCGGCACCATCGGCAACTTCGTCGAGCCTGTCCGACCATATCAATGACCCGACGCTACGGCCATGTTGGAAGCATATACTCACTCAATGATCTTTGGCTGTTCGTCGGGGAATTCTTTGCGGAACAACTCCTTGGCACGCTTGCAGTAAGGGCACCAAGACTTGGAGAAGATCGCGATCTTGTTGTCGGCGATCGTGGACTACAGACAAACTCGTTTCATTCTGTGCGTTCTGCGAACGGTACAACGTACCTCGACGGTATCTTTGACGGCCATGACGCGCTGCTGATGTGCGGAAGGATTTGATGAGGATGCCGTTGAAGACAGCGTGGCTACGGACAGACGGGTGACGGGGCTGAGCGCTCTAGAGAGAGATCGTAGCATACCTCCCATCTTATAAGCGATCCGACCAAGCACGGTCGCGCACCCCGATGATGCAAGCGCTCCTAGAGCGGCACGTGATCAACGTCTGAAGCGCGACGCGATCCGGATGCATTGCTCGCGATCACACGGCGTTCAAGTCGAACCTTCGTCCCCTCAGGCGTCATGTCTTCTGCAATCGTTAGAACGGTATCCCGGGCTATGGAACGCATCGCACCCTTGCACCTTGCAGAGAAATGGGACAACGTCAGCATGTCGTTCTGATTATCTTGTCTAATCAGAAACTTATCCACATTCATACTAGGTGGGACTTTTACTAGGTGCGGTACCTAGAATGTATCAGGCAACAGGACCTGACCGAGTCGCTCTGCATCCATAGAGGCGCCATTCCAGCGATCGGATGCCAATCGTGTCCTTCTGACCATAGAGTATGTCACACGCCTCCTTGTATATGCGTCGGACCACCTGCAACGTCGATGACAGTCTTACGACTGCAGTCACAGATGAGGCACTCGCAACCCCGACGGCTTTCATCGTGTCATATCACGCGCCGATCTTCAAACCGGTCTCCCGGCTCACTTTGGATAACAAACTGCAAACCTCTTTGCTCCGCTGCGCTGCGGCGGGGATCTCCGTTTACACTCCGCACACGGCTTTAGACACTGTGGAAGGCGGGATCAACGACTGGCTAGTGGAAATTGTGTCTGATGAAAAAGACAGGGTTCGTTCATCATGTTCAGGTTGTGCTTCACGACGACTCATGCTCAGTTAGGCGGAGGTGACGCGTGCGAACACTGATCCGAGCTTGCTGCCGTGTAGAAAGGTCACGCTCAAGGAAGCGATAGGCATCAAGGACCTGGCGATGAGGATCAAGAGAGAGCTTGGCTTACAACAAAGTACGCGCTTCTATCACTTACCACTCTCAAATGATCCTTTCAATGATCCTTACTATGTGCAGTTCAAGTCGCGTCGCCTTCGGAAGATGTGTCCATCCGTACTATTGCAGTCTGCGCTGGTGGCGGCGGATCGGTTCTCATGGGTGTCGACGCCGACGTTTATTTCACGGGGGAAGCGCAGCACGTAGGCAGAACTTGCAGGGTTGACCAAGACAGTAGCCTGACAAACATCTCCCGCCTCATAGCATGACATCCTCGCAGCTGTCGCTAATGGACGCACTATGATACTATGTGAGTCCCATAGCTCTTGTTGGCCTGCGATGGAATTGACGTATGGTTCAGGCGGGCATGATAACACCGAGCGTGGATATCTGCCAAGGCTTGTACGAAGGCTCCAGATGGATCTTCATAATGACCCGGAGGCCCGCTCAGCCAATGGGTCGGAACTTCATGTTGGTGTCAGCACAGCGGATAGGCACCCGCTACGCCTTGTCTAGATGGTGGTGATGGCGGGTTATCGCGCAGCCATATCCAGCAATACGCTATCGCACGTGTAGAATCAGGGACGTGATAATGCTGAGTCGTGCCCCAACTGTCATCCATGCGTGGCAAAGGCTGCGTAAGACAGAGATCCAGGGATCTCATTCGGTGTGACCTTGTACCAATACCGCTGAACCGCGGTTCGAATAGTCTAAGGTCGGAATTCGATATTTCACCGGGGTATGGATAGAACAAGTGAACTACATGCACGAGCGCATCGTCTGACACCGTTACAGCCGTATGACGCCTTCACCATCCATTCCTGCAGGGCGTGCTTGACCATTATGATTGTTCCAAGGGTTAGCAGGTCCGTTGCCGTCATCGAAACTCTGCCTGGGTGTCTCTTCACCTTCAGAACCCAGGATAGACTCGGCTTCCTCCAAGCTAGCTGGCACCCGATCGAAGCCGACTCGACCCCCTCGACCCCAGCCGGACCAAGCGCTGCCATAGCGATCATATGGGTCACTCCGACGCGAGAACACGTCTTCAACCATATCGCGTAAGCGCGTTAACCCCGCCCCGCAAGACTTGAATACGCTAGGAACGGTAGGAAGCTGGGCAAAGCCGCGTAGGTGCAGGACGTAGCGACGGTAAAGCACGCCGACAATGATGAAGAGTAACCCCAACGCGACCAAGCTGAGGACGAAGTCAGCATGTAGCAGCAGATGCTGGCGGTCAACCGTTTACCCCATGACGATTATCCATATGATACCCCAAATGCGGGACGGGCCTCCCGCGGGACACGCATACTAGCACGGAATGGCTGTAAGTCAGACAATCGAGAGGTCGTGTATCGCACTCACGTGCGTTCGCCACTCGATGAAGAAGGCGCATGCGGAGTCTTCCTCCGGTGGGAGCTGGGCGATTAACTGAGGCGTCCCTATCCAGGAGCATGCAATGAGACTCAGCGTTTCAGCCACAGACTGAGGAGCAAACCTGCCCCAAATACTCCTCGATCGCAGATGAAGCGTATTGCCGTTGACGCCTTCATCGAGTCCACCTTGCCGCAAGGAGACCCGTTTTGTAGAAGGAGGAGTGGGTGGTGGTCTTGAACCGCCAGGGTGTTGTTCATCGAGCTTTCTAACATGTCAGTATACGAATGGCACTGCAGATAGTTTCCTTCGTACCCCAAGGAAAAGTCGCCGCGGATCCCGCCAAAGTCACGGGTGAAAGCCGCGATATTGTCCGGGTCGTCAACTTTCGGAGACCATGTTTCTGATACGACGCTCCTGCAAACATTGATGATGAACTCGCGTCCACCTGGGGATTGGAAGGTATAATCTGTGCTGCATAGAATAAACCTAAGATTGAGACGAGGGTATTGGCTGCACGTGAACTACGCCGACCTGGCCTTGAGGGGGTTCAAGTCGAAATATTCCCCGTCTTCGCCGTGAACAGTACATGGCCGTTCATCCTTAGCGGAGCATAAGGTCGCGATCAAGGACCCAACGAGCAGCAAAGAAGGAAGGTAGCGGAGCATTGAAAGCGCGCAGAGGCGCAGTCACGGTTTAGGGGGAAGATCAGGTTGACGGCGTAAGCGGCACGTCCCGACTCTTTCCTCTCGCCGTCACCGCCGATGATGGCCTCCATGCTGCTTCGACGCCAGCTCGCGAGGGTGCCTCGCATGGCGCGTCGTCAACTGTCGACCACCACGCATCGCTGTGCGCAGCCGGCTTCGACCAGAATTGAAAAGACAGGGACTCTTGGCGGGAAGTCCGCTTTTGACACTCACACCACGGAGGACCTGCATGGTGTCGCTATTCAGGAGATCCTGGCCGATGAGGGCTCTGCAATGCGACATTTTACGGGTGAGTTTTGGCCGCGTGAGCTGTACATGTTCATACGGACTTTCTGGCAGTGAACTTCGGGTGAGTCCCTACCGACCACAGCAAATCAAGTGAACCTGACCTGGGGGTCAGCCCTCAGCACCCTGCTGCGCACGGTGTACTTCGTCTTATCCTGGAGCTCAACGGAGAGGAAATCTTGCGTGCAGACCCTGTGCGCAATTACACCTCTACCGCGATTATTTGCTGACTCCCGTATATAGCATGTTGGTCTTCTTCATCGTGGAACTGAGAAGCTCATTGAATACAAGACTTACATCCAAGCTCTACCTTATTTTGACCGTTTGGACTACGTATCTATGAGTGAGCCCGCAAATACATAATTGGAATCGCTGACCGACGACGGTTTTTAGTGACCAACGAACTCTGTTATTCCCTCGCCGTCGAGAAATTGCTCAACATAGACGTACCGGAACGTGCCAAATGGATTCGAACCTTATTCGGAGAGCTCACTCGTGTACTCAACCGTACGTGCCATCCTAGCATCCTTGCGAGTCCGCTTAATACATGACACAGATCTCATGGCCGTCCTTACGCATGCCATGGATGTTGGCGCATTGACACCCTTCCTCTGGGGTTTCGAGGAGCGAGAGAAACTGATGGAGTTCTACGAGCGTGTATCCGGCGCGCGCATGCATGCCGCCTATGTCCGACCTGGCGGTGTCGCATTTGATCTGCCACACGGCCTGCTCAATGATATATATCAATGGGCGACCCAATTTAGCAGCAGAGTGGACGAGATCGAGGAGGTCGTTACGGGCAACCGTATCTGGAAAGAACGGACGATAGGTGTTGGCGTGGTGACTGCTAAGGAGGCTATGGATTATAGCTTCTCTGGGGTCATGCTGCGCGGCAGCGGCGTCAAATGGGACCTACGAAAAGTGGCGCCCTACGACAAGTACGCCGAGGTATGATTGACCCCTTCCCGCGTCGTATCCCATCTCATCTTCCCACTTGCTAGGTGGAATTCGATGTCCCTGTGGGCAAGAATGGCGACTGCTATGATCGATACCTCTGTCGTGTGCAAGAATTCCGGGAGAGTTTACGTATCATTCACCAAGTACGCATTGCCTCCCAGACCGCCTTGCCGGTTTAACGTCCGGCCTTCCAGTGTTTGAACAAGATGCCGACCGGTGTTATCAAAGTCGATGACTACAAGCTCGTCCCCCCTCCTCGTGCGACTATGAAGGAGAGCATGGAGGCGCTTATCCATCACTTCAAGGTGACTCCATTATCCACATCTGCAAGCTATGACAGCCTCACATCATTCTCGTTACAGATATTCAGTGAAGGCTTCTCGGTACCCCCGGGTGAAACGTATACTGCAATCGAGGCGCCGAAAGGCGAAATGGCTGTCTACTTGGTGTCGTAAGTTCGACGCCACAATTTTCTATTTATCAACCTGACGTTCCATTCAGCGACGGCACCAATCGACCCTACCGATGCAGTATCCGTGCGCCAGGATTTGCTCACCTCGCTGGCTCTGATTTCATGATGAGAGGTACTCTTTTCTTCCTCCATGGTTGGTTCTTGCTAATGCCTTTTACGCAGGGGTGAGATCTTATGTTACAAGTACGCTAATCGGTTTAAACTCATCCTACGTAGCACACTGTCGCAGATGTCGTTGCCATCATCGGGACGATGGATCTTGTGTTCGGGTGCGTTACCCTCCTTTCGCTCACGTTTTTGCATCAACTGACGACTAACGTTAGCGAGGTGGATCGGTGAAACCGGATGCGATATTACCGCCTGTATATGTGCAGTATGTGATGACATCTTTACGTCATATCCACGGCGCGAACTGGCCAGCAGCCTCCTTTTTTCCGTTTTGAGCTGCTCGAAATGGCATCGCCGAAGTACGCGTACCGAGTCCGAGAAAGCCAGGTCTCGTTAGACCCAGTCTGAAACAAACAAAAGACGGACAGACACCATGCAATACGATGCAATGCGTACTCGTCATAACGGGACCGTACTGTAGAGACTGTACAAGCTACCGGGTTACAGGAAACGAAACCACTACGCTCAAGTGATGAAATCACGTAGATGTCCATAGAACCAAGTCCTTGCGAGAATTAAGCTATCACCCTAGGCCCTATTGATGCAGTTCGCTCGAGTCAAACCATTTTTGGGATAGTCCACCCTCAGAGGGCAACGACAGCCATGCCGGCGACGGCAGCGAGGCCCATGACGGCGAGGCTGCCGACGTTAGTCGACGTGAAACCGAATTTGACGGGAGAAGCGGAGCTGTTGAAGTTGGTGCCGGTGGATGAGGAGGCGCTAGATGTACCAGAGCTGGAGCCAGAGGGCACAGTAGCACTTGTGCTAGCCCCCGAAGAAGCGGCCGAAGCCGAGTTCGTGGTGCCGAAGCCCGAAGTCGTGGATACTCTGTTCACGCCATTAGTATGACAGCGGCACACCGTAGTGTGGCACTTACACCGCTGTAGAACCTGTCGCCGTAGTCAAGGCTGATCCACTGCTTGACGACGACAAACCGGAGGCGGTGCTGGACGCAGAGGAAGTCGAAGAAGCGGCAGAGATGGAGAAGCTGCTGCTGCTCGCGAAAACCGTGTTGATGTCCCTAGCCATCCGCTTCAGCACATGTCAATAAGCGTTCTGGTCGGATGTCTTACGAGACGTTAACGGCATTGAGAGTGTATCCATCACTAAGAACAATGGTCAGAAAAGGGTACGAGTGCAACCTCAATATGGCGTTATCTCTTACCCAGCAGGCACGGTAGGGATGGTCAGAGTGATGGACCCAGCAGTAGGCTGAACGTTGTTGGCGATGGCAAAGGAGTTGTGGAAAATCTCGTTCACGAGCTCCAAGCTGAACACTCTGCAGCAGAGTGAGCATACAATTACAGTCGACCAGGCCAGCGAACGTACGGGTCGGTTCCGCTACCGGAGAATGTGATGGTCACTGGACTGTTGGATTGGACATTGCTCGGAGTGTCGAGAGTGAGGGCAGCAACGAGGGGGGCGATGACGGCGAGGAGGGTGAGCTTTCCGAACATCATGGTCGTGGAGAGAGTCGCAAGGAGACTGAAGAGAGGGAGAACAAACCAACAGCTGGCACTGGTGAGACCAATCGCAAGCCTTTTCACAGATTCACAGCGGTGTTCACATGTCGTCAGCTGACCCCGAAGGTCTCGAATCAGCTTCCACGCCTTTTTTCACGCTTCTAATACAGCAACGAATGATCGCGAAATTTCTACGAATAAGGACTCATCCAAATACTGCGGGAGTGCGTCTATATTTAAGGCTTAGAATATCGACCTACGCTAGCTACACCGGGGCAACCAGACCGTCGTCACGCTAGTATATCTAGCAGGATTGCGCGTCAGTGAGTCGTCGTACAAGAACTCTAAGCCGTACCTCGTCAAACGGACGTGTATCATTGAAGCAGCTCTCCCACACTTCATTCACAGCGCGCTCCGCAGTCGCGTGGTCAGGACACGCCGGGTTCGCCTGAACGGATATGATCGCCCGCCGCCGCACACAAGCCTCAAGTATGAACAGCGGGTTAATGACCTATTCCGTTGCGAGACAACTCGGCATGGTGTAGAGCCTACACACCTGGTGCTGTTTCGAGAAGGACATGAACCCGCGCCTCACTTCTCGTGTGAACTTGCAGTCGCCACTGAGGCTGCTGGCGCGTATCTGACGCCAACAATGTGAACAATTGACGACACTCGTGCAGAGGTAGGTTATCGACTGGGACATACCTCGCTGCAAGCATGGTGTCGCAAGTCGTTCCAATTGACCTTGAACTTTGCATGATCATATGCATGTACGAGTTCGTGCACAAGGGTGTCTTCCATATGATTTCGGTTGAAGAATCGCCCTTGGCAAAGTATAACTGTTCCCAGTTCCGGGGTAAACCCTCCAGAGCGTGTGAAGTCACAGGGTAAACATTGAATATGCTCGGAAGTGACGTTCGCCCCCACGAGATTCAGATGTTTGAGCATGAACACAGTTGCGGGACCTAGTCGACACGGGCACACCGCGATCATGCATGAGCTGGGGTAATGTTGATATACGACGTCTTTTGACAAACGCACGGATGATACTGACTATAGTTCATGAGGAAAGTCTTCCACTTCTCGCAAGTCCGACCGTGGTGTTTCTCCATCTCGTGAGCCCGTTCCTCCGCGGTGAGCCCAAGACCGGTGATTAATCCGAATTGTTTTCGCCATCTGTCGAAAAGGCGTTCATCCGAGGATTGACCCTCCGAAGATGGGGAGGCCATGAAGGCTGATTACTGAGGCGTCGTCACAGGTGAAGCTGGTTTTCGATGAAGCTACACGGGTATATCGAAGTCACATGCCGGACCAGCGCGTCTGGTAGTGGAAAATAACCCGCGATGCAGCCCATTCTCGTTTGACTGCGTAATAGCTTATAACTGTCGAAACGTGCATTTGTCCCTTCAGATATATGCAAGTGGTTTGCTATAGCGAGTAGTGGAAACGTTACAACGTCGATAGCACCGTCCGACAGTGAATACGAAATATATCACCATGACGATGTGCGTTCCCCGAGGTGTTGCCACTGTGTAACTGTCGCGCGCCTCGAGCAGGGCTCAGGCTTCAGGCTTATGCCTCACCTCTTTGGACCTCCGGTGCGTATCAAGGAAATTCGTACATGGTCCTGGACTTGATCTGAGTGACGCACAAATCATAATCCTTCGGTCTGGCTTTGGGCCCAGGCTCGTGGGCCAGCGCATAATCTCACCTTTTTCGAACGACGAACAACCAGTGCAAACATTAACAGAATTGCATTCGCTTGACATGATTTGTACGCCTTCGCCCCTCCGTCTTCTCGGTAACGGCACGATATATCCAGAGAAGCAGCGAGAAGCAGCGAAACCGCGCCCGCGTGACACGCAGTCATCTTACAGTGAATAGAGAAGCGCTAAACTTTCCCTCGGCTGTCTACTTGCATGCATGCAACCATCCCCTTGCACTAGTAAGACAACATGCTAACCTCGCTATGAAGTTCGTGATGCTCGTGTCAGTCTACAGTAGTTTCAAGACGTGACAGGACTCTGCTTGACCCACTAGCGCGAGATCCAGTGCGATGCTGTCGTTCCAATTCGACCTCTCGCGTTCAACGGCTCGCAACCGGGCATCAATAGGCGGCCGGTGATCATCTCTGACGATCCCGACTGTTACGTGTTTTCTACCGTGATCTATCCCTGAATATGACCTTGTTAGAATGGATGCTGGTCTATTTGTAATGCTTCGACGCCGATCGTCTTCAAGTGACAGGGCGCAACGTCAAACCAAGACTCTCTCGGTGCTTGATTCACCGCTGCCTTGGTCGCAGGAACCTAGGGCACGCTCCAAAACATGGATGTTCTGACAGAGTGACTGCTGGTGGTGGAAGATAGTTGATACATGGCTGAGGCATGCACTCGACAACTAGAAGGCATTTTGGACCCGCGATGACACGCTGCAGTATGGAATGAAACGTAATTTCCTGTGGTCAGCTAGCTGACGAATCAAATCAGCGCTGTTTATTCTACGCGTCTTTCTCCTTTAGAGGTACCAGTGCCAACGACTCCACGACGCACAGATCTCCTCCGATCGAGTCAAGCAGGTTTCCGAGTCGCGTTATCTCCGCTGATGTTGCAGTCTGCCATGACGCGTGACATCCAGTCCAGCCTCAGCTGCCATTTGTGCACCACAAATCCCCGCGCAAGGACCAGGTCATATCCAAAACTTGTTCAAGACTGCTTCTCCGGGCGTATGAAACCGCTCTCACGACACGCGCACCACCTATCCGAATGGCAATAATCTGATCGGTTCATATGGCATGAAGGCCTGCGACTTCCTCATGAGCAACTTCTATTGAATGTCCTGAGAGCTCAGATGTGCCTGATCTCCCCGGCCTATCTGCGAGCGCTGAAGCGGAAGAAGCACGCTTGACCTTGGCATTCGGCGCTTTCATCGGGAATAGGTGCAATTCAAACGCGCAATCGCTCAGCCGGGCGTTGCTCCGAGCTACTGCTAATACGACGAATACTGCACGTGCGACCCGCCCCTGGATTGCAGCGTCTATCTACTGCGATATTGATGATGCAGTGCAGAGCTAACGGCGTATGTGATTGGTGGCGCCTTATGCAGAGAGAAAAGAAAGCTGTCGCGAACATAAAGCGCGAATACCAATGGCGTGAAGGCAGTGACCGACTTGAAATGTGATGTGGCGCATCTAAATGTGGGCGATGACTTTCGTCTGATCGATTCTGATTCGAAACCAGCTGCTCGATGGTCAGTGGCATCCAGTGGCATCCACGATCCCCTCCCATCCCTACACGACAATCCTGAAGTGTCACAGAGCGGAGCCGTATGAGAAACGCGAGCATCTGAATGGCAAGTTGGCTATCTAAGCGATCTTTCCGATTGTCGGACCTGTTGTTTCCGGGAGACACGGAACATCCCTCTGATCGTTCGTACCTCGCTGCTACCACGTGTGTGCCCCGGAACGCTGCCCGGAGCGGATGCATGCTCTCGGCGAACAGCAGTTTACGGTGACGCCAGCGGCTGAACGTAGCGACTTCCGGTGGTGGAAACGACGAGGACCACATTAGTGGACTGCTCGGGCCAAGAATTCAGATCAGAATCTTCTGTAGCTAGAGCTAGAAGCACTGATCAGGTTACGCCAGGCTGCGCTAGCTACAAATTGCAGTTGAGGTAACTGGCGATAAATCCAGCCGAAGGGGTGATAGTGGCGCTCGATTGATCTTCAGTTTCGGAGGGAGTGCGGCTTGCATGGCACCGATGCAAAACGTTTATCGGCCTCCTGCTCGATTTGACGAAGCCACGGCGGTACGGATGACAGATCGTTGGGCGCCAGATCTTTCACACAGCCCCATGACCATAACGGGCGTTGCGGATCTAAATGTGACCATGACATGGCCAAGATAACGAAGCGACGGCCATTGGCCAAGGTGGCCAGCGCACTGCCGGTCCCATCCCAGCTGAGCTGCATGGTACCGGTACACAGTCAGCACCCGCCTTATCTTCGTAAGCGACGGTCTCTCTATCAAGATATCGATGGCCAAAGTTCTACAAGCTGAGCACGGGACAGCGCTATGTTGTTCGCGAGTTTCCCTTGACCACTTCTTACGTATAACCCCGATCCATCGCCCATCCGTAGCAAGAGCATGGGCCATGCTAGTGGCCGTTCCTGCCGGTGGCTGCAGCTGTACAGCGCTTGCGTATAAAGGACCGCGACATCCCAGGCAACCGTACTCAGATCACCCAGTGCAACCACCCACCTGCCTCCAACGCACTCAGTGACGTCTTACCACTCCGCCAATATCACTACCGCCAGCATGCACTCGCACTCCACCACTGCATCCCTCCACGATGTGTGCCACTCTACCGCGTCTTGCCATAGCACGCCCGGCGATACGCCCGCTACGGGACATGCGCAACCTCACGGCGCTCCCGTCAGTTCCATGACCGCCCCTCAGTGCTGCCACTGCGGCTGGCGGGGCTCTCATGCGCCAACCTGCCCTTTCAAGTGATTGCGGTGTCTATCCGGTATGTCTTCAGCACGAGCCCTCTACGAGCAAGACTGATCCCACCGCAGGCCTGACACAGCTGATCTGCGTCCTCGCTCCGCTTCGCTACTCGAAGGACTTCGATCCCGTTGTTGCATTGTAACAATATCACCGTCGCATCCATCTCTCGCTATCGTTATCATTGCTGTTGATCGAGCACAAGCCGTGTATTGGTTAGGGAGAGCATTCCGCTTCCGCGCACGTTCTGTATAGTACCCAGTATCTGTGTCTGCAATCATGTTATTGCATGTTCGGAAGTTCTTGCGGAAGTGAGCAGCGTGGCGTCAGGAACTCGGGACGGAACGAAGTCCGGGGATGCTGCGATCGTGACCCCATGGCACCGGCGCTTTCCGGTGGGGGCTTCTGATCATGTGAATAACACATCGACTTCGGCCCGAGCCTCAGCCATCCTCGAGGACCACGACAGTCGGTTGACGCCGCTCATCCGGATCCCTTCACCAACGGCGCCTGATGTTCAGTCGCGCAGTACCTCACCATGGAGAACAGCTCCAAGTCTCGTTCCCAGACGAACATGTCTTCATGATAACGTTCAATCGGCCCGAGGCTTTGAATGCCATGACCCCGCAGATGGAGTCAGACATCAAAACACTGTTAGATTGGTTCGACTCAGAGGCGGTCCTATGGCAAGTTGAATATGCACACCAACCCGGAGGATATTCTCTCAAGCCACCACGACTTTGTCAGGGTTGCTATTGTGACAGGAGCAGGTCGTGGATTCTGTGCCGGAGCAGATCTCAAGATGTGCATGATATCGCATCCGTATCTTATTATTGGCACTCATTATTGTCAACAACGCCAGGTTTGGGAGTGATGCATCGGATGCAGAAACCAAGATCAACGGGATTGCGTCGTCTCACCATGGCTTCGCGAGCATTTCCCGCCGGAGTGTCACTTCCGGCAGCCCGAAACCCATCATCGCCGCGGTCAATGGATTGGCCCTTGGCGGAGGAATGGAGGTGCGGGCGGCGATCTGGCCTACAGCGCGGCGCTGATTTGCTCGCCACGCCCCAGCTTATCGTCGACTGCGATCTGGTAGTCGCTAGCCGGGATGCCATCTTCGGGTTCCCGGAAGTCAAACATGGCGTGGTCGCTGCCCAAGGAGGTCATTGCCTGTCCTAGTGGCGGGTTCAGGATCGATGCTAATTCACCAGGGTCTCTCACATAGGCATACCGCGCATATTGAAGATAGCCGGTCATCAGGTTCGCCAGTGCAAATTTATCGACGGCTCATACAGCCTATCTCAACGTACTTGTATAGCTTGCATCTGAATTATTGCTCACGGGACGAACCATCACTGCTCAGGAAGCCCATGATCGGTATCATTTGTATGCACGATATCGTTCCAAGACACGCATTTATTGACGAGGTCGTGCAGCGTGAACGTCGTGACTGCGCCTCCCGACGTACTCCCAACCGCGCTAGCGCTGGCCAAGTCCATATGCGCTAATTCCCCCGATGCAGTTCAGGCGACGAAGCGTTCGTTGATCCTCGCCTCAGAACATGCAGGTGTCGAAGACGCTTTTCAAAGAGCGACTTTCAGCGCAGAAATGCGAAGAGTGTACGACGGGGCCAATATGAAGGTCAGCGATTTATGCTTTACTGGACACTGCAGTAGCCAAACAAAGTTGAACTTATAGGAGGGTCTGGCGGCGTTCAAGGAGGTATGCAGTCTTTTTGCAGTGCACCGCCTTGGCATCCCGGGGGGACGGAGAGTTGCGACTTGGGTAATCATGCTCATTACAATCTGCACCTCATCAGAAACGCCGAACCAAGTTCAGGAACCCAGCCAAACTGTGAATTGCACAATCGATCGAGATTCATGTAGTGGGACCTGTAACGACCACGACGCAAATGCACATACGGAATATACCTTGCCGGTTCCGCATGACGTGGCCACGTTTCAAGTCGCCTCCACAAAGGCACGATGTAGTACCAAATCGGCCTCCCCCTGGGAAGTCAGCCGCAACGGCGTCCCAGCACCCACGAAGAACACCTCGCCGGTGTTGATCTCCGTTTCCCCGTCAGGCCATGTGAGTTTTCCCCGACCGTGAGTGGCAATCGCGATGCTCGGGCCATCGAGGGCGGGATGCTCCTCAGAAGCGCCTGCCGGTAGAACCGTTTGGAGTACGGCGAATTCAGGCACTGGGGGGTCGTAGAGCTTCGTCGCCCCCGATGGCCCGGTCGCGGGTTTCACGACGTGTTTCGATGATGGCGCCGCCACGTAAGTGAGCCCAGACACGAGGTTTGGTACGTCTCGCAGTTTCGGAGTCAACCCTGCACGTATGACGTTATCCGACGTGGCCATGCACTCGACGATATCTGCACGCATATTGAGAGGACGATGGAGGAAGGCTGGGAGCATACAGTACCTCCGGAGACGTATGCATGAGGCTCTCCAGCGCCGAGGAATATCGCCTCTCCTGGCGTCAGTTTCACATAGTTGAGCATGAATGCACAGAAAATGCCGATGTCGCCGGGAAATTGCGAATGAAGGCGAAGCACAAGCTCTTTCAGATCGTCCGGCGGCGTTGGCTGCACACCGGCGGAGGACGTGTATCGTTGGATCAAGAGACTCAGTTGCTCCTTGAAGAGATGCTCAGGGGCCGTCATGACGGCGGTGAAAACCGCTCTAAGGGCGGCCTTCTGCTGAGCGCCGTCCTCCGCCGACGGCGTCGTGCTGTCGATGAGCTTCTGCCTGTCCTCTGGTGGCACTAAAGCTGCGAATTCAGGGGAGTCTTCCAGGCGAGCAGCGATGGATTCGAGGGGCTGGAATCCACATAGTGCGGTAAACGGCGTTATAGCGAGCGCCATCTCCGGTTTGTGATTGTCATCTACCACCACCCCATGTCATTCTGATCTAGGAGTGTTGCTGCCATAGATCGGCTGACCTTTGTAAATATCCGGTCGCTCCGCATGGAGTTTCTCGGCCATAGATTTGTCCGGGTGTGTCTGAATACTTAGTGCCTTGTCGATTGCCAGGATCTTGAGCAAGAATGGTAGATTTCCATTCTCCACATGGAATCGTTCGAGAACCTTTGCGCCGATCAGCTCAGGGTGTCTTTGGAGGTGTTCGGATAATGTAACGGTGCCATCGGTGAGTCTTGAAGGGGCGGAAGGATGGGTTCCCATCCATAGCTGTGTGATATATCAGTCAAGTGCGTGGAAAGAGACATGAATGTTGCATGCCTCGGCGTAAGGCGCGGATTCGTCGATGGTTATGCCGGATGCGGAGGCGAAACGGGCCACGCTCGACGACTTGGCAGGCTTGCCCCAGTCATACTTCTGAGCAGCCGGTATGAGCTGAAACACAGTCGAAACATCTGACATCGTGAACTGGCGAGAGCTGCTGACGCTGGGGCCAGAGTTAAGTGTTGGATATCCGTAATCGTTGGTTTCGGTGACCGTGCTAGTGGCAAGAATGAGGAAACTGCACTGACTTCTACGGTGAATGCGCAGATTATCGCAGTATCTCCGTCATCTATGCTGCGAAAGTATTGTCGCTTTTCCTCGGAGACTTAGAAAGAGCTGCATGCATGATCGTTGTGATGGTCCACTGGTCACCCATTATTGGGCGCTTGTTGTAGCACCTCTATGAACCGGTACGGGCCCTCGGCCCCACATGGTCAGAATACTACGAAGTGCGAGCTCTGCGTTAATGTCACGTCGTTCCTTCTGAACGAGCACCCGCACGATATATCGGGCTTAGAGGCCACGAGAAAGCAGCGAGGGGCAGTCATAATAGTTGACAATCCTAGTTTACAGCAACTAAACATACAATCGATACCATCACCGGCTAGAATTTCAGTTCTCAATTCTGGTCCAGCTTTATTGTACCATCCAACAGATAGAGCACGCCATTTGAAGCCTGACCATGAATCAAGTCAGATGTCGTGACAGCGACGATAATATATGGCATTCGGGGACCCACCTCCTTTCGAGCAATGATGCTTACATCCCCGTTTACTTTTACTTCAGACCAGTCGGGCTCGGAAATCTTGGCACTGAATGAAACAGGTCTGCCTGCGAGAAGCGTAGAGTAGACGCCAGACAGGACCACGGGTGAATCCTATGGCTGGAGGTAAGAAACCCACGGATAGTGAAGGGAATAGCACTGGATCACGCACCGGAATAATGTGCGCGCCAACCCATTTTCGCACATTTTCTTGACTCTGCGCCTCGTATTCCTGCTCCGTGATAGTTACGCCATCCTCGAGCTGTCCCGGCGCAGGGCCCTGATGAGGTTTCCTCGCTAAAGCCATCACCGCCTTGTTGACAGGGACCAGCAGTGTGGTATTTGACTGTTGTTCAGAGAATCGCATAGAGAACTTCGTCTCGCGTGCATAGGAGTAGAATATGGATGCCGAGGGCTCGATGGTGAGCAGGTCGGCGAGAGTGGGGCCATGGGGATTCACGAAAGAGCCTGACTCATCGGCAGCCGCGTTGATCATAGCTGCTTGTTCGGCAGCTACGCTCATTGTGCAAGAGATTAGCGCTGAGAGTGCGTAGTAGGCTGCAGTAACGCGCATGGTTGCGGGATGTGTGCACACGAACAGAGACCGCCGCTAAATGGGCGTGCAGACCGATTACGTAATTATCACATTTCGCAGGGTCGACCTCGTCGTTGTGGAGGTCTACTTACACTGTTTCGTTTGTCAATTTTCGAATGCCACTGCAGTGGCCGATGATTCTCACCCTGTTCATTTGGACCTACCACCTTCTTCCCATCCGTGGGGAATCTGGAGTGAATCCATATCATCATGCATGACGTCTTGGAACCTGTGCGATGGCCCGGCTATATATAGATACCTAGCACGGCAGCCGATCGCCAGAGCTTTACAAGTACCTCAATCCCCTGGCCCCTGGCTATACACCCTGAGTCACGATATGACGGGCACAATGAAAGCTATATGCATGAGGTCCTCTGGCGGAAGCGAGGTGCTAGAGCTCGCCGATGTCGCCATTCCTGCACTTCAATCCGAGTTCGATGTTTTGGTCAGATTGAAGGCATGTGCACTGAACCCGGTGGATACGAAGGTATGAGAGCGGGTGATCCTTGCTGTTACCGATGATCGCTGATTCCTCTGTATTTTGCGCAGATCAGGCGAGGCGCATTCGCTTCTAATCCTATCTTAGGTTTCGATGCTGCCGGCATCGTCGAAGAGGCCTCGTTATCGGCCAAGTTCAGGCCAGGAGATGAAGTCATGTTCTCCGGTGCTCTGGGAAGGGCGGGAAGCAACGCTCAATTCACCGTCGTGGACTCGCGTGTGGTCAGCCTGAAGCCGCGGGAATGGGATTGGGCCGAGAGCGCTGCGCTGCCGCTTGCTGCCCTCACGGCATGGGAGATGCTCGAGGAGAACTTCAACTTGAAGCCGTTCTCGCGGCCAAAGCGTGATGAAACGCTCATCATTGTGAACGGCGCGGGTGGAGTGGGTTCAATCGCGACGCAGTTGGCTCGCAATGTACGTGTCCGTGTCCCGAGGGCAATGCATCCTAATGCTATCTCCGTGGACAGGTATTTGGCATTCAAAACGTGGTTGTGACCGCCTCCAGAGATGAGAGCGTGGAATGGTCGAAGAAGATGGGCGCAACGCATGTCATCAATCACCACAATTTGCTTGGTATACGCTATGCTCCGTTCCGCCAACGACTGCTGTGACTGATGTCATGCCGACATTCTCCAGGCCCTCAGCTAAAACGACTTGGTCTCGTGCCTTCGTTGGCCTTTATCTGCTATGACACCCCGAAGTATGTGCAACAGTTGACCGCTGTCATGCGCCCGCGCGGACGTATTGGCTCGATCGTCGAATGTGATAAGCCCCTTGGGTTCGAAAGCGTGGAGGCGTTCAGTCGTGCATTGTCCTTCCACTGGTACGTCTCGCATGCTACCCCGAGATCCCATCGATAGACTGAGCCTTTCGATGTACGAAATCAGGGAATTTATGTTCTGCAAGGCCGTGAGCGGGTTCGACGTCGAGTCTCAAGGCAGTATGCTGGCACAGCTGAAAGAGGCGATTGAGAGGGGCCTCATTCACAGCATTGTTGGTGAAAGAAAGACGCTCAGTGCCCCGTGTTGACCATGATGATATTGCTATCGCACGCGGTGGCAAGCCTGGACGTAGTCGCGTTTAATTCACTATACACGCCGGCTAGGTGCCAGAGGTTTCCATACTATATGAGATCATCACTTCGGCCACATCGTCGAATCGGCCACCCTGCTATATCTCACGTTCCACGGCACAGTTCGACTTCATTCTTTGACTGTCCCAATATACTGTGTTTTCAATTGTTTTGAGAGCATAATAGAGCGAGTTACACTGCTCAAAGTTGAGGTAGACAATGTCGGTCGAGTCACGCTGTGTGATGTGGTGCCGACAATGCCGGATGACAGCCGGCCGGAGTTCAAACACTGAACGCGTCGCAACGCGTCAGGCAACGCGACGACAGACAAGTATTCACTCATTTTCATGTCAGTAGTATTGCTCTGCCAATGGGTGCAGATCGAACCCAGAAACGCAGCGGAGCACACACTATCCGAATTGGACGACAGCATCAAAGTACGACAGACTCGCTGTTCGAGAGCAAGCTCAACCGGTTTGCAGGCCTTTTCAAGTCTTCCCGACGCTCTGCGCAAAGAGCCTGCCCCGATTCCACATCGCATCTGACATCTCTCGACCCAACATCTGATGAAGCCTCGCATGATTGCCCGGGGAGTTCTGATTCAAACATGCTTGTTGACGACCTTGACTCTTAATCACCACGATACTCATTCAGATTATGTTCTTACTCACGGCTAGCTGTAAATTGTTGCTGTTACTGTAGCTTACATCCTTCATAATAGAACGTGAGCTTCAGACATCGTACGAAAAATCGTCTGTCGAGGACGAGTCGGCCACCCCGAGCGGAGTACCAAAGTTTCTGATGGGACATCAGCGCGGAGATGTGACGTGTCAGTGACTGGCCGATTCGACCATCTGGCCGAAGAGACGATCTCATATAGTATGGCGACTCCACGGTAGCAACCATGCTATTCAATGATATCGGGGATGTCGAAGGTCACCTTGCCGATGGCCTTACCGCTCTCCTGATACTCATGCATGGCTCGCAAGGCCTACGCTCGAAGGAAACTATCGTGTAGAAGTTCTTGAGATCAAACTTTAGCAGACCTTGCTTGAGAAGTCGGGTTGGTTTATCCCAAGGGGCTGTGTAAAAAGCGAGCTCCATATGGGGTTGTCGTTCCGGCCTCCGCTGCAAGCGCAATTGTCAGCTATCGACGAAGCAGTATCTTATTATGGATCAGCATGATCAGCACTTATATGGATTGCTACCTTCCACGAGCACCGGCGTCCCGTCCGTCATTCGCTTTTCCTACTTATCGGGTGGTAGTATCAGCGAAACCCCCGCTCAACATCAATTGACCCTGCGTCTTCAACATCCACCGGTTCCCAAGGGATATCGATGACCGCACCATTCGACGCGGCTTTCGTCTCGAAATATACCGAGCCTCCGAATCCCAACTGGTCTTTGGGTCAAAAGGTATCGGAGACAGCTCGGGGCAGCGAATGGCTCGAAGGCGAGAAGCACGGATGGAAGACCGTTGATCCTGCCGTGGAGGAGGTTCCGTATGCCCTCCCCTTTACGCCTCGCCGCACGCGTTGTCAAATGCTCATGAACGCCTACCAGGAAGGTGTACCAATTGATGATCAGTGGGATCATTCCACGTCCGATTGCCTTCGTGTCCTCGATATCCGAAGACGGTGTAGAGAACCTGGCACCGTTCAGGTTCGTGCATCTCGGCCAAGTACCGAACGCATCCACTGAGGCGGGATTTCAAGCTGGTTCAACATGGTGACCCACTATCCGCCTGTTATCTCGGTATCCATCGCCAAAGCAGGTCCAGGGAAAGCGAAGGATACAGCGCGTAACATTGCGGCAACCAAGGGCTTCACAGTAAACATCATCAGCGAGCCATTCGTCGAAAACGCGAACGTCTCCTCGGTCGAGGCCCCGGAGACGGTGAGCGAATGGCCGCTGAGCGGCTTAACGAAGGAGCCGAGTGTGCACGTTAAACCGGCACGAGTACGAGAGAGCGCGTTCAGCATGGAATGCGAGGTGAGTTGCCCGCTTCGCTGACATGATCATCTTGAATTACTCACGAGCCGTCGCGCAGTTGTTTCAAAATGTCGAGATAGTTCACCCAGAATCCGGACAGACAACTTGCAACCTTATTTTGGGCCTTGTCAAGTGTATTCACGTACGGCAAGACGTGCTTAACGAAAAAGGCTTGGTCGATCCTGCGAAATTACAACCAGTGTCGAGGCTTGGGGACATTTCCTATGCTCGCTTGGGAGATCCGTTCAGGTACGCTCTTGCCATGTACATCGTCTTGCCATACCCCCGACGTTCACTATAGGATTTCACGGCCGACTTGGAAGCTCGAGGGGGAAGGCATGGAACAGTACTTAACGAGCCTGACTCAGGGCGACCGCTGAACCGCTAATCCGTGAGGTCACAAATGTTAGCTATGCAGTGTCTCGATAAATCGATTCTAGATGAAGTCAGCCTACACAGTGCAGTGCACCCGATATCCCGTGCGGCAGGGCTTCTTCCCCAGGTAGAAGTCGGCAAAAGTCGGCAAAAGTACCACATGCATGCCGTCAATGTGAATACGGTCTTACGCTGGCTTCCCTGCATTGTCGACTGAGCAGTTCCGGCCACGCAGTTGCTCGAGCCTCGCGTTGTGCATACCCGGACGATGGCACATCGCCCTCACACGCCGACGGGAGTCGGTCGTCGCGTCGAAGCCGTAGGAGTGCTCTGCTCCGACTTAGATACTACGGACCCGCTGGATTAAGAAATCCGTTGCGTTCCATGACCGACTATTTCTGTCAGTAGAGCGTGCTGAATCGGCTTGACGGCATTCTAAATATCAAAACAAGGCTTTCCTTCCCACTGAAAGCCCGCTCCCGCAGCGCGATGGATTCGTGAAGGACGCGCGCAGTGTGATTACTCAGACCAGTATTCTGGCTGCTGACTATCGATCGAGCGACGTCATCCAATCCTAGATAAACATGCAACGCCGGAGCTCCGTCTAGTGCGAAGCCCAACATCTCGTTCTTAAGAAAGCGTTGTCCCAGTGCACGCTCACCACATACGCTCGCTTGCTGAACACTATGTCCGCCAAGTACGACACGAAGGGTATGCCTTTCAGGCAGTTGGGAGCCTCTGGCCTCCGAGTGTATGGCTCTCGCTCTAATGACTACTGGCGGACATTCGACTGAAGCCACAATGCAGCCCGCTGTTCTCCCTGGGCGGATGGTTGACCCTGGGCGGTACGGTCAAGGGCGACCCGGTCAAAGTGAGTGGACATCTATGCCCATGCCGATCGTCGATCTTACAGTCCCAAGGATATCATGAAAGTCGCGTTCGAAAACGGAATTAACATGTTCGATACCGCGGAGGGCTACGCCGCCGGCCAGTCCGAAATTGAGATGGGGCGCGTGATCAAGGAGCTCGGATGGAAACGCTCGGACCTCATAATCACCACGAAGATCTTCTTTGGTACCGCCCAGGGTCCCAACGACAAGGGCCTGTCCAGAAAACACATCATCGAAGGCACGAAGGCGTCGTTGGAACGTCTTCAGCTGGACTACGTTGATGTCATCTTTGCGCACCGCCCGGACAACACTGTCCCAATGGAAGAAATCGTACGGGCGTTCAATTGGGTGATTAATCAAGGCTGGGCGTTCTACTGGGCGACCTCCGAATGGAGTGCCATGGAGATTGAGGAAGCTTACCGTACGTATGGATGATCACCTGCCGCAACCCTCTTACTCATCTTCTGTGCAGATGTCGCTGACAAGTACGGCCTCATTGCACCGATTGCGGAGCAGTGCCAACACCACATGCTTCATCGCGAGCGGCCCGAAAAGGAGTATGCTCCTCTCTACAAGAAGTACAACATCGGTACTACAGTATGGAGTGCTCTTGCAAGCGGTGTGCTAACCGGAAAGGCAAGAATATCATGGCATTGACTGCGGTTACACCCATTGACGACTCTGCCCACAGTACAACGACGGAATTCCGGAGGGATCCCGCTTCGCTACGCACGCCGACTTCTTCAAGCAAACCCTGGACTCGTTCAATGCCGAAGAGGGTCGAGCTAAAATTGAAAAGGTTAAGAAGTTGACGGCTTTGGCGGAAAACGGTCGGTAGAGCCATGTCTATCATCGACGTCAGGGATGACTGTTTTCTGGCCTTATAGAGCTCAACTGCAAGGTTGCGCACCTGGCCCTCGCCTGGGTCGCCATAAATCCAAACACGTCGACTGTCATTTTGGGCGCTACCAAGCCCGAGCAGGTCCTGGACAACCTCAAGGCCCTGGACGTGCTGCCCAAGTTAACTCCGGAGGTCCTGGATAAGATCGACGCTATCCTGGAGAATAAGCCAACCCCTGTTGTGAGTGATTAAGCGCAGTGCGCGTATGGCAATGCAATGACCTAGGTTATACAGATTCCGACAGGCCGTCCAGCTCTTGATAAGTTTGGCAGGTCGTGAGCTGCAGGCACTTATTGACCGAAATGAAACGTCTTTCATAATGTACTAGCAGTAAATTGTAGGTTGCGTTATCCGAAGTTGCCGGACGAATTTACCGGTATGATGTATGAACTTGAGGTAGGCATACCAATCGATCCTGTCTTGGACACGTCACGCTTGGCCCTCTCATACAAGGCTTCGGGCAATACTATCGAACTTCATAGATTGACGAACAGGCGGACCGCTCGTCGACTTGTACCATAGTTCATCAACAACATCTCGCAGGCAATGTCACGGTATGACAGAAATCCAACCTATATATCTCCCGCAGACCGTTCGTATTGGATTTGTAGATAGGTGTTCTCAGCATTCCACTCGTAAGACGTGCAAGAACGTCTCAGGATCCTGAGCACCCGAGATTTCGCGACTACAGAAACAATCAATCAAGCGATCACCAAGGAAGAAGGGTGCAACTCGTGCCTGTCGTTGAAGGTGAAGTGTGGAACACCCTGAATTCCTCGCCGACTTGCAGCGGCGATTTCCTTCTGGATCTTGTCCCTTCGTTCGCTCGACTCCAGGAATGTCTTTACCTTGCCGGCATCCATACCGCACGCTGCGGCACGGTCAGCCAGCACCTGCAGATCGGCGATATCCAATTCTTCCTCGAAGTATGCCTTGAACAGGCTTTCCACAACGGTGTTCTGCAGAGACTCTCCGCCTTCGTCGTAGGCTAGGTCGATCAAGCGATGCGAGTCCAACGTAGGTCCACGCATGCCCCCGTAAGAGAAGTTGATGCCTTCTTCCTTCCCTCTCTGGGTCATCATGTTGATTATGCCTTCCGCACGCTGGGGTCCAAACTTCGCAGCGTACATCTCCCGCTTATTAATCGACTTTGTCAACGTGGGATCGAGATTGTATGGGTGCCATCGTATCTGTGTCGATAGTTCAAGTATGTTAGCATCTTGTAGTGACCGTGGTTGTTTAGATCCCCCACCGAAATAGGACGCTTGTCATCCGTCGTTCGATATGCCGCGATAGCCTTCTCAAGCTTGCGTTTCCCAAGGAAGCAAAACGGGCAGACCGTGTCAGATATGATATCAATCTTTATTGCTCTCGTCGCGGCGTTCATTTTCGACAGGCGTCTCGAGGGCGTACTCGATGTAGATGTGCAGTGACAAGATCGGTTCCGCAAGAGGGTTCTATATAAGTCTTGTCCATCTTTCAGCCATTACTCATCAGCTCCACGATCCTTCCCAACGCTGTCTCATCGGTTTCTCACACATACGCACTGCATGGAATGCATGGTGAGGAGTAAGCACTGTATGCAAACCCGGTGCCCCCCAGAAATGCGCGAAAGACCGATTAAATGTCATCGTTGTCTGACAATTGCAATCTCAGTCTCCCGTGGCTGAGAATTTGGTTTATGGTATTTTGCTATCGGGGCCACTAGCAACCTTGCTTCGGAACTTGAATGCCCATCTTGAAGGGCTTTGGTATACGACAAAGTCGAGGAGGACCCGACTGGGTCCATCGATCAGACTGCAGCGAAGCTACGGCCATACACCCTGCACCCGTTGGTAACGGGCCCTTTCCGGATGGTTTGGATAGAGAGTCCGCGCGTGTTTGTCTGATCAAAGTGTTACCAGCGAACATTCCCGGGAAGAGCTCCCCCGATGAATATGATCAACAGAGCTTACGACACTGATCGGCAGCTACCTGAGATCAATCATCGCACAACAATAAACGAAGGTTACTCACCATGACAGGGACCATATGTCCATGAAAACAGTAAAACGGCTACGCGCGCTGAGCCTTTTTTGCTTCCTCCCTCTCTTCTACTTTCTTCCGCATGTTCTCCTGCTTTGCGGCAGCTTTCATCCTACGCTGTCGTTTCTTCCTATTGTTACCACGCTTGGGTCCTTCGATGGGTATTGGGTTTGTCAATCGTTTCTTCTTCTTCAACAACTCTTCAGCCTTTTGTTTCTCTCGTTTCTTGTCTCGTTTGCGCAGAGTGGTCATCGAGGCCTTCAGTAGTGAGCCATATGCTGCATGGAATCTAGGCAATTGGCCAGGTTCTATCTATCGGATTGGTACGGCAGACAGTGAGATGTAAGGAAACGCCGCTGAACCCATACACGTACTCGTGTCTCGAACTTGATGTCCTTCCCGTTAGACGCCCGAAGAAGGCACGGGTATTCATTGGCATATTCCGGAACATCGGGCGCATTAACAAGATCATACTTCACTATGCACGACGGCGATCAGAGATGGATGCATTTGGGACATTGTATATCAACTCACGCCGCTTATGGGTGAGCCATACTGTGCCGTGTTCCACGGACTGTTTGAACAGAGCATCCAGCTGCCGAAGGAACTAAAGGAGCAGCTTGTTATCTAGTGCATCAGTTTGCAGATTGGTTAGCGCACAGTATCCTGATCTACCAGTTGAGTTGGCATAGTTCAGGCGCTGACGGAGTGCACGGTCAAGGGGCTGAAGACACAGCCATCGACGGTAGCCGCTTCGCCACAGCATGTAGTAACGCGTTCTGATCACCTCCACGTAGGTCTGTACTTCGTCCCTCGCCCGCTCAGGTCCCTCGACGAAGCCTAAAGACTGAACTTTGCCCGCGTATCAGACGTCAACGTTGCGCCCACAAAACCTGCTATGGTTAGTTTACCCTCGCGTGTGATGCGTGCAACACGAACACAACTTGGTCATTAGGTCGTTCTCGCCGCCTCAATATGCACCAAAGGTGGAAAAGGTGCGTTATATATTCTGCTTCATGAGCGAACAACTCCTGAAGCATATTGAAGCCGTTATTTCGCGCCAATTCCGGGACATGGCACGGATGCGGATTGAATCGCTCCTTGCGTCATTCCCGAAACTCATCCCCATTGGTACACAGCATACAACAGTCGAAACATCGGACGTTCGATATGTTTATCAACCATTGGAGGATCTCTATATCGTCTTGATTACAAACAAAGCATCCAATATCTTGCAAGACATCGACACCCTGCACTTATTCGCGCGCATCGTCTCCGATCTCTGCAGAAGCGCTGATGAACGGGAAATTTTGAAGAACAGCTTCGAGCTACTTGGAGCCTTTGATGAGGTGGTCAGCCTTGGATACAAGGAGGGCGTCAACCTCATGCAAGTTCGAAGCATTCTTGAAATGGAGAGCCATGAGGAAAAGATCCAGGAGATTATCGCCAGGGTATTTATCTTCTGCTTGCTTACGAAGCCACTCTGAAACCGTCGATAGAACAAAGAGGCGGAGGCAAAGGAAGAACTCAAGCGCCGCGCCAAACAACTGGAGATGCAGCGGCGCGAACAGCAACGTCGTGCACAAGGCGGGGGAGGAGGAAGTTATATGGGCATGGGCGGCGGTGTTACTGGCTACTCCCCTGTTCCACAACGATTCGACGTACCCGAAACGGTCACGCCTGCGCGGAACTCTTCGCCCGCGCCTTCAAGCTTGCGCCCCCCTGCCTTCAAGGGCAGTGGTATGAAACTCGGCGCGAAGAAGAAAGATCAGCTAGCGGACGCGTTAGGCGGTGAAATTCATGAATCGGAAAGCCCGGTGCCTTCTGCGCCAGGCACCCCCCTTCCTTCCGCGCAAGCTGATCTTGCCCGCCCGAAAGGTTACCGCGGCAGTATCCCGCCAGTCACTCCTGACAGGTCGGTTCCTCGATTCTAGCCGGTGTCTACACTGTCTGACCTCTGTGTAGCATACACATCGCCATCAAAGAACAAATCTCCGCCTCTCTCATGCGAGAGGGCGGCTTGACCTCGTTGGAGCTCAAGGGTGATATGAACTTGACGGTTGCTGAGGCGTCGCGGGCGAAGATCAAGCTTACTCTCGCCCCCGCTACGACTGATTTTGGAGCGGACTTGCAATTCAAGCAGCACCCCAACGTGGCGAAGTTTGGTGAACCTGGAACCGATCGAACGATTGCCCTCAAAGATCCGTCGAAGTCGTTCCCTGTAAATAGAGCTCTAGAAGTTCTCAGATGGCGCTACACCGGTCGGGACGAGAGCCTCGTGCCATTGTCAAGTAAGCATCTGGTCAAGCCCACATCAGCATCGCGCGTTGAATAAGCCCACAGTCAACTGTTGGCCCACCCCGTCGAACGATGGTACCTGCGATGTCAACATTGAATATGAACTGGAAAACGATGTTCTATCCCTTCATGATGTTCTGATCTCCATACCTCTACCGTAAGCTTTGTGATCATCAATGACTTCGGCGCCACATGACGACTTGCACAGAGCCGGATCCTATCCGACTGTATCCTCGCACTCCGGCACCTGGACCCTGAATGCCTCGACGCATTCTCTCGATTGGTCTATTCCGCTCGTCACTGCTGATGAACGCTCGGGCTCTCTGGAATTTAGCGTAGGTGGTGACGATGTAGATGCGTTCTTCCCTGTCAAGGTTGCATTCGTCGCGGAGGGAAGCATGGCTGGCGTTCAAGTCGTTTCTGCCCATCACGCAGGCACCGGAGCAGAAGAAACATTTTCGCAAGACACAATCCTATCATCCGAGGAATATATCGTGGCCTAGAGCTCGCTCTTTCGCGTGGTCGGCTTCCTTGTCTGGTGTTTCATATGCATTCTGTTTAACAATCGAAACTGTATCGTCATTGGACATGGCATCTAGCGGAGTGCGAACGAAGCACGATGAAAGTAGGTATGCGAAAACTATCATTCTGAAACTAATGCCTACCAAAATGTATACATCTGTGCTATTTCAATGTCAAATTCCGAGTCGCAGTTTCCAACTTGTCATACGCCGAATTGCGTCGCGTGCCTAGTTCATCGGGCACCCAACTCTTTCGTCTTGCAGAAGCACTTGGTCCTGTGAAGTAAGAAGAGTTTCTCGGGCTGCCGTCCATGGGAGAATGCGAAGGTGACGGGGTGAGATAGACACCGTAGGAAGCTGCCGATACAGAAGGGATGGCCATGCCCAGCGAGGGGAGGGGGCTCCGACTAGAAGCCCTCAACGAAGATTGTATGACGCGGGGTGTGGGCAGTTTTGTGCCGTCGGGATCGAGGAGCATCTGCATGGCTACCAGGCACATGAAGGCGTCATTCCCGGCATTATGCAGCGCACACATCCTTGAAGGTTCCACCTGGAGCGACCTGAGCAGGTTCTCGAACGATAGTGTTGAACCCGGAATCCGAGGCTGGCCTGTCTTGGCGTCTTGCATGGGCGCACGGTGCGCCGTTCCGAATAGTTGGCGTTCGAAGGTCGACGTGTCTATCACCAGCATATTATGCGGAAGTTCTGAAAATCAAAGGTGGTTTTTGCGTGGTCCGCGATGATCCACTGGATGGCTCACTAATCTTCATCTCCTCTAAACGTTGCAGGTCATTTTGCACCCCATGCCCAACCAGGACCAGTGTATTAGGTACCGTATCGGAGTCCGGACTGGCCAGACTGCTGCAATTTGTGTAATCATATGAGCGATCTATAGCCACACATTAGTCACATACAATACCTGATATGCGCGCCTACAATAGTTCGGAGGTTTGCTTTTGGCACAACCTGGCTGTCTCCAAACTAGAAAGCTTATCTGAGGGCGACCTGCATCGCATGCATGCTTGTCTAGGGCTTACCGCATACTACGTATCTGCGATAAGAGGAGCATGCTCGTATACAATGTAAACAGTAGACGTACCTCCCACGGATGAGTAGGGCAATGTTTGTTGACAATCTTGTCTGCATGTTCTGCCACGATGTAATGACCTTTTCTGTACCTTCTTCAGCCTGGATCGGTCAACAAACGCATGATACAAACCGGTAGTTCTGATCCGGCGAAGGAGGCCATACCCCTACACTGTACATCCAGCTCCGTCATGCGAGTCTTCACGGAACATAAGGATGACTAACGCGTCCAAGTGGCCGCAACGAATTGCGGCATATCCCCATTCGAGAATAGTAGCCGCGTTTCGCTCGGACCATTCGAAATCAATTGCCATAAAGGTTTTGTCTCGCTTTCCCCAAAGATCTCGGATAGCTTTTGGGTCACCGCTTCGGACGCGCACTTTCAAGGCGTTCAGCGTCGCTGCGTGCAGTGTCGCGTGCAGTTTCCGATACGTGGCCATATCCGCGACATGTCGAAGCGGTCGTTGCGACGTTTCGAATGGATCAACTTGGAGTATATTATTGACGTTTGGAAGGGTTTCTCCGAATCTAATAGTATCCACGACTTGAGCCTGCAAAGTTTCTGTCACATTAATTAGCACACCGACCTTGTCTTGATCATCTTCACGAAAGCGCCTATTGATCCTAAGCGAGTGACGACGTGCCCTCTACAAGTTGCGGAGTCGGTGACAATCACCACGGGCCAGTTGAAACCGAGAAAAGCGTCGAACGATTCGAAAAGGTGACCCCAAGACCGCTCATACCTGACATAGGTTTAAGCGGTGTTGCGGTCTTTATACATTTACAATACTCACCACGGGATGTTATGGAGCTGAAAATGGCCAAGATACGCAGAATAGACCTAGAAGATATTAGCGTCATCACCACCGCAGAGATAAGCCAGGCAAGACCGCCGACCGAATGCAGGTCGTACTCCCATCCGGCGACGTCGACCAAATTGAAGTCCGCCATGGCTAGTAGCTTTTCCAAGCCTACCCGCAAGGGAAACGAGACAGGGTTGAAACGTGCATAGCGACGGCGAGGAACTGCCGTTCATATACTTAGGGGCTAAGAGGCGCGGCGGGTTGCTTCCGTGCTCTCAGTGCTCACTGCCTTGCCATGTGTGTCCTGGTAACCTGCGGCTGGTTGTGACCAAGAATTCAGTCTGATGGACTAGAAGCACGCAACACGCGCCTCTGACTGAGATTGAGCGTTCGAGGATGACATGAATCGTTATAACATGAATGGTTATATTGTGAGGAATGGCAAGAATGTGCTATGCTATTTTTAGTCGTGTTCTCAGTAACGCCGGTCACAACGCAACGCCGATAGCTGTGATTGCTTGAACAGCCGGCCGTACAATGCTTGATGGACATAGGCTGAAGGGTTATATATGAACGGGACAGTCCGTGGCGTCGTCCATTGATAGTACAAGTATCGTATGTGTGACTCGTTGATTAACCAGCCGATCACGTTTGAATGGACATTGGTCGTACAAGTACTGCCGTCGCATGGGCCCCTTCAAGGAGAAGCTGTCAGTGTCCCGGTATCACTGTTAAGCCAGGATGAGGTGTATTCAGAATGGATATCGCGTTCTTCTCTCATGCCTTTGGCATCGAAGTGAGCTGAGTTTTACGAAGATGTTTCATCCCAAGGAGTAGTGCAATGCGGCAAGACGAGTGTTGACGTACAGTGAGCTTCACTTTGCAACGGGAATATAGATTGTCTAGGCATGCTTCCCACGTCGTATGCAGGCCATCGTCCTGAAAGCGTCGAATTAGGGAAGCTAGTACATGTCCACCATGGTTAGGATGAACGGTCAGAGCGACCAGGTGTCTGACCGCCGACGCCACCTCAGCAAAACTGTACAGCGCTGGTTCTCACGCTCTCACGCCCTTCTTACTCACCACCGTAAGCGGTGGGCCGCCTGTAGACGCCAATTCCGTTGCTCATCCCGTCTGTTCTTAACTTTCAGATGCAGATTTTCGTCAAGACCCTCACGGGGAAGACGATCACCCTTGAGGTGGAGTCTTCCGACACCATCGACAATGTTAAGGCCAAGATCCAGGACAAGGAGGGGTACATATCCAACCGAAGCATGTTGAGGCCGTACTAATTTGATGTTACAGCATTCCTCCGGATCAGCAGCGTCTCATCTTTGCTGGCAAGCAGCTTGAAGACGGCCGCACCCTGAGTGATTACAACATTCAAAAGGAGTCGACTCTGCACTTGGTTCTCCGGTACGGACACACCTTGGAGTGCGTCTGGCGCGGATGACTGACTGCCAACGACATTCTAGCCTTCGTGGTGGTATCATCGAGCCCTCCTTGAAGGTGCTCGCGTCCAAGTACAACTGCGACAAGCAGATCTGCCGCAAGTGCTACGCACGTCTTCCCCCTCGTGCCACCAACTGCCGCAAGCGATCGTGTGGCCACTCATCGCAGCTTCGTCCGTCAGTACAAAACCTATCATTGATACCGCTTTCTCCGCTAACGGCTTACATTTCGTACAGCAAGAAGAAGCTGAAATAGTGGTTTCGCCCTCTTCACCCTGTCTGTCCCGGCACTCCGAGGCTCTACGTCAATATTATGGAGCATGCATGTATTGTCGTTATCACTCGTTTCTCAGCATGCTAGATGAAGTTATGAGACCGAGCAAGCGCGTTGTTTGATTATCCTTGCTGTGCAAACGGCCTTCCGCGCGTCCATCATATGTCGACATTCTGTGCGTATGGATACTCGGTCATCGATCGCGACTGGAGAACGGCGCCTCTCCGTGTTGATTTGGTGGACTTCGCTCCTGTTCATGCCATGACAGACCGCATACCTCTCAAGACTTTTAGAAGCATCATAACTATGGCAGCCGTCTCTCGTTGACTCATGACATAGATTGATTGGTGTCGCCAGTCCTTGGTCTACATGTTCGGAGCGACTAAGTTCGGCAAGGACAGGTGTATGAAGCCATGGAATACATTGCTCTAAGCTCGGGCCATCACCAGCGGGAATCGCGACTGCTGAAAGGCATCGTAAGTCCGGGAGGAGCGAGATGGGCGAAGGTCACCAAAAGCCTGACATTGTATAACGTCCGTCACGAGGAAGAGGGATACAACTCCTCCTTGGTGTCAATGCCTGTACGCCACGAAATTGAGTGTCCAAAATGGTGATGATGTGCATGTCACTGACCAAGCTCCTCCCGAACGCCTTTTAACTCGTCAAGGTAGGCCTGGTATTGTTTCTTGTTCTCCACTTTCTCCCGGATACCCTCGAAAACGCGAACAGCAGTCGCGTAGTCGTCTACGCGTCGGGCAGCGCGGAGTGCGGCTTCGCAGACGGTAGGGGCGGGAACCAAGTCATGCGAGAAGCAATTGTTCAGGCCACGCTGGACCTCGAAAAGGTCCTGCGCGTTTTGGAAGAAGTTGACGTAGCGCTCGGTAAAGGCCTCAAACGTCTCCTGGCCATGCTCGCCCGAGGAGTGACGGACTTGAGTGAGCTGGGTGAGGACGTGGGGAGTGCGAGATGCAGGACGGGCTCGCACAGCGGCAACGAGCATACGAGTGCGTAACATGTAGGGCAACGATTGGCTGGCGACGCTGGGGATGAAGGGGGAGAGGGGCAGGGTTGAATTTAGTGGCTTCGGAGTGAGCCGGTTCAGACTCGCGTACAAGAGTCTCGCTCTGACCTCGACCGCACAACGTCTGTCCAGTACTGATGGTATTTGCGCTGTGCAATCTGACTGCCGTAGTGACGACGAGGGCCTGTGAGGCTGCTACAACTGGTTATACGGCATGGGTTCAGCACCACATTGAGCTGTTTATCAACCGCTGCCGCCAGCTGTCCAACCACGTCAAGTCCCTGCCATACCATAATGCGCTCGCGTTCGGTCTGCAAGGCTCTGCAGGCGCGAACACCAAGCATTGACGACGAACGCTATACCCTTTTACACGAACATGCTACAACACACAGGCCTCCATCTTCGCCGACAGCCATCTACGAAATCCACAGAAAGCTACCAGTTTTATGATATCTTCGCAAAGAATCCATGCTCAGAAGTTCCTCAACGGAGACCCACGGAGAGGCAACGGTCTGCTCAATATGTCAGGGTATGTAGTTCGCTGGTTTGTTCATTCAACGAATGGCCGACATCTTGGCAGTGGCCCAAACAGGCACCGACAATGTCCTCGGATTCTTCGCGTAGGCAGCGCATGAAGAAGCCAAAAACGCTCCTTCTTAAAGTCATGAGACGGTTGTCGTCTAATGCCCTGTGCTTCCTCAAGAGCCAGGAACTATGTTTCCCTTTGGAGGCACAGGACATGGTGTGTTTCCGGTAGTCCTGTGTGTGCGAGTGCTCACGCATAATAGAACGACATACTCGGTGTGCGCCGTTCAGATGGGAAATATGGAGGCAACAAGACGAATGCGCCTGTAGTCGACATCGCTTGCATCCACATAACCGCGCCGTGCACCACCGACCAGACTACTGGGCTACCCAGGACGCATGTACGAGTCTGACTCTTTTGTTTCAACGGAGACTGAGATCATATTTTGCAGGACTCGGATGAACAGATCATGCAATGCGGATCTCACAATAAATCGACAGGAGGAAGCCCAAGGGAACAAGTGATTGATCCCGCAAGCGGAACCTCGTTCGTCGTGCCGTCGGTGATCATCACTCTTGCGACTCCCGACAGGTCTTCTGTCGCCGTTTTTTCTCCAGACGACCCTAGCTGTCTTAGCCTCACGCCGGACTTGCGTCGAAGTCCAACGCAGCAATGTACACCGTGCTCGGATCAGGGTATGCTGATGGAAACGACAAGTTGCATGGACCTGAAGCGTACTTGGAAGTGCTGCAAGCCAGAAACCTTGTTAAACCGGTGTCGAGGGTTTGTTCCTAGGTTGCAACACTCGGACGTCGAGCAGTGGTTTCCTGTATCTCGGCCGAGCCGTTCCTCGCGCTCAGCTCTTTCGCCTTCCGCACATGGCCGACCTGTGGTGATCGTCGTGCGGACGGCCAGCGTTCAATCCGACCGTTAGGCCACGTCTCTGACGATATTTCGCATGAAGACAAACCGGGTCACACGCACGGTCGATTCCCTTCCGCAACGCACACATCGCCCCTAGCGCATTCGCTGGGATTGGCGTCTTTCTCATCCTATTTTTGTCCTACATACTCATGCATTGTTCGCATGGTGCAAGGCATAGCTCATGGGCGCTTGCAACAGGTTCATTGAACAAAGTATCGCCCGTTGTATCTCGCTGTCCTGTTTGTAACGCTAGTGAAGAGTGCTACTCCGTATGTGCTTCGGTGCATGTAAATAGCAACTGAGTGCATTGGACTGCGTGTTCAATGTGGCTGCATGCATGAACGGCGTTCCCGGTCAACCACTTGCTTGGTGAAGGCTTGTCACTGTGACCCATTCCCCTGGGCTCACGTCCTCAGAATTGCCGCGTTATACCACAGAACCGGTTCACTCCTCTGCCTCATAACCATGGAGGGTCCCGTCCGCTGGGTACTCGACCTGGTCGCCGCCGGTGCCCCCCATGTTGCAGCCAGAGGTTTCCGTTGAGGCCAAGACCTCCCCCCTGAAAAGGCGCCTCAGCGCGGCCACGAACACCGTTGCCCAGCATGCTGCAAAACACATGGGACTTGGCATAGTCTGCGCGGTAGCATACTTCGATCCGTGAGTGAAATAAACTCAGGACATTTCGACAGTCTGATCAATCTGGACTATACCAGGGGAAACTGGGGAGTGGATTTGCAAGCCGGTAGCCAGTATGGCTACAAGTTGCTTTTCGTAGTGCTTGTAGCCGGGCTTATTGCGGTTTTCTGGCAGGTAAGTCTCGACGCAGTCAACGCGTACGCACACTATACCCCGTGTATATCGACAGATCCAGGCCAACAAACTAGGATGCGTGACCGGGATGGGTGAGTGTCTTTTACCGCCACACTCTTGTTTGCTAATCGATTCAAACCGTGTAGATCTTGCGTCTCATTGCCGGTTGCTACTTCACAATCGTCCGAAACGCACCCGACTCTACCGTTGGTGCTTGCTCTATCCTCTGTACGCCCTGTCGGAGGTGGCCATCATCAGTACGGATCTAGCCGAGCTCCTGGGATCCGCAATCGCCATCGTGTTACTGTTCCCCAGTATCCCGCTTTGGACAGCAGTTCTGTTAACAGCCACGGACGTGATATTTTTACTGCTACTGAGCGATCCTTTACGGAGCAAGCCAGTGAAGAGTTTCGAAATCCTTATCGGTCTCTTGGTACGCTCCATCCATCTAGGAACATAACAGATCTTACATTTTATCAGGTCTGTGGCATATTGATTTGCATCGCAATCGTTATTGGAAGGACCAATGTCGATTGGGCGAAAGCGTTCGACGGGTTTCTACCCTCAAAGACCCTCTTCAAGTCTGGAGGCCTATATACATCCGTTGGCGTGCTCGGTGCTACCGTCATGCCTCACAGTCTCTTCCTTGGCTCAGCCCTAGCCACTCAAGACAGGGCCTGTATCTCACCCCCTGCGGAGCTAGCAATCGAGGACTTGCCCATACATCGTGCCGTACCGCGAACGAGGACCCTGAAGACGCTTGCAGACACTTGCTCATCGGCATTTCATATGGGAGCTATCGACTCCTCTGACAAACCGAAGTGTCACGCGGAGCATAAGAACAATTCGTATGAATTCGTCCGAGCCCACCTCTACCATGGCATCGTCAACGTCGTCATCAGCCTGGTGGGACTCGCTGTATGCATCAACTCATTGTGAGCATCGATTTCGTCAATCTTTGCACGTCTTCATGTTTGTCCCGCATAGAATACTCGTTCTTTCGTCCGCCGTGTTCTTCTATGGTGGCATGAGTAGAAGCGCAGACGCAGCTAGCCTCTTTGATGCACACAGCGTGATCCGCGATGTTATTGGCAAACGTAAGCTTCCGGATCATGGCGTCTAGTCCTCCTGTTGAATGTTTGAGCCAGCTGCAGCTACTCTTTTCGCCATTGCTTTGCTTTGTGCCGGGCAAAGTGCCAGTATAGTCGCTACCTTGGGCGGACAAGTGGTCAGCGAAGGCTTTATACATTGGAAGATTTCAGTGCGTCAACCCAAATGCTGGTTCGGCAGATATTCATTCATGACTAGCCCGTCTTGCGACGGTTAATCACCCGTCTCCTCGGACTGATTCCATCTATGATTGTGGCTCTGGCCGTTGGGCGCGGTGGTATCAACACCCTGCTCGTCATATCGCAGGTCACCCTGTCGATGGTTCTTCCTTTCATCACTTTCCCTCTCGTCTGGCTCACGTCATCGAAGGAAGTGATGCAAGTACGAGGGGAGCCGCTGGGCCTGATTGTCGATCCCCCTTCGATGGACTCCGCTTCCTTATCTGCTCGGTCTGCAGCCAGCCTAGGTGCGGTACAGCACCCGGAGAATATGTCTGTCGATGGCTCAGAGGAGACAGAACGATGGGTTGATTTCAGCAGCGGAAAAGTCATCACCTGCTTGGGTTACGCTATCTGGTTCGTCATCGTCATTGCGAATGTGTATGTTATCGTTGCTTTGGCGCTGGGGCAAGGAACTTAGTCGAATGTTTAACTTATATTATGTATACTGTCGCAACCTCGGGCTAGCGACTTCACGCATGGAACATCCTTATATCATGTTGTCGTACCACCTATATCTCTGGATCAGAAGACATCCATGTTGGGCGTTCGCTCGAGCCTTAAATGGCTCAACTGCGAGTATGTGCGAGGAAGCGGCACGATCAGCGTCACCCACTCCCAGCGTGACAGGAGTACGGTTCCTCCGGATCCTGACCTTCCTCTGGACTTCCATACCTCGCGCGCACAGCTGCTGAGCTCCCTCTCGGCATCTGAACCTACACTACGCGTTCAACTGTTATTCCTCATCTTGGACACGCCTTACTCCGTGGCGGAAGATCCTGGGGCCTTCGTGAGGACGAGTAGGACTCATGGCTCCTGCGTCTGAGGCCGCCCTCGACATCTTCGATGATGACGACGAAGGCTGGCAAGATATGCCTGTCGTGCGTGAAAGCGATGAGTTTGCTGGGGGCCTAGATGAAGAAGACCAGAAGAAATATAAATATGTCGCCGCCGCAAAGAAGACTGATGCGGGCACAAGCAACGCTACTGGGGATGTTGAAGACGTAGACTTCCAGGGCAGCGAATGGCGAAAGAAAGTGGACCAGAACGAGAGCGAATATACACGACTACGTGCGACCGAAGAGGATGAGAACGATGAGGTGCACTTGCGGACCAAGTATCTCTTTGACGAGGACAAGGCTATGACCCCTCTCAGTCAGATGCAAGCGACTAAAGACCTGCTTACCGAGGCGCAACGCATTGCTTATGTTGGCCTTTGCTCACTCACGACTCGGGAGATGGCACAGAGGCTAAAGGATGCGAACAGCAAGCAGCTGAAAGACGCGATACAGGGCCTCGAGTTGTGGTCGCTCAAGATCATGGGTCGGTTATACTATCATATGGAAATTGCTACTGAAGGTGAAATCCCGTTTGTTTCCTTCAGTGACTCGCTGAACTGTAGCGGCAGAACAGAAGATGATTGAGAGCCTGGCCCAACACGGTGTGCAACCGATGGATCTCGTCCCCGCTCTCATGACTACCCATACTGTGGCCAATCCGGAATATGATCCAGCGGAGGCGAAACGTCAAGCTGAAGAGGAGCGGCTACGTGCGCTACATGAGTCTGAAGACATAGCGGCCCCGCCGCCATACACCCCGACTTCACCGTACCCTAAAACCCCGGAGACATCCACCGTGAAGCAGTTTCAGACAACCACTCGAGTCCTTGAGGAAACATCCACCACCGTTATTCCCGGCGTCAGTACATCTCTGTCGGCTGCTGATGCCAATGTTACCCTCGATATCCGATGGACCGTTCTTTGCGACTTGTTTCTCCTATTGATCGCGGATTCAGTCTATGATGCACGATCGCGAGTGCTGCTGGAAACCATTGCGCTCAAATTGGGCCTTGGTTGGCTCGATTTGGCCAAATTCGAGAGGAGGGTAACAGAAGCTTTGGAAATCCAAGAAGGCGTCGAGAAGCTTGAACAGCAAGAGGTCATCGAGGGTAGACAGAAGTCGTCCAAGAAACGACGATACATGATGATGGGACTAGCGACGTTAGGTAAGACTCTCATTGTTCTTGTCGATTTCTTTACTGAGTCTACGATGGAGGGGGAGGTCTCGTTATTGGCTTGTCCGCCGGGTTGCTCGCGCCTGTGATTGGCGCAGGCCTAGGTGCTGCTTTGACGACAGTTGGTATTTCGGGTACCACAGCATTCCTTGGCGGCGCGGGTGGTGCCGCCGTTATTACTACCGGCGGGGTCCTCACAGGATCTGGGATAGCCGCTCGTGGCATGGCACGACGCACGCGACTTGTACGGACGTTCGACATACTTCCTTTGCATAACAACAAGCGGGTTAACTGTATTCTAACGGTGCCCGGGTGAGTCCCCTGTCCGAGGTGATCGGGTGAGACGCTAACGATTGAATCTGTCAGATTCCTTACAGGTTTGCAAGATGACCCCAGGCTTCCGTACAGCGTCCTTGACCCCGTGGTCGGGGACGTCTTCAGCGTCCTCTGGGAGCCGGAGATGATCCGTGAAACGGGCGACGCTCTCAAGATTTTGACGAGCGAGGTGCTGTCGCAACTCGCACAAACTGCGTTGCAGGCGACAGTGATGACAGCTCTTATGAGTGCACTACAGTGGCCAATCAGTAAGTCAGCCAGGGATAGGCCCAACTTGTCTAACTATCTTCCCTTCATCTGCAGTCTTGACGAAACTTGGGTACCTGATTGATAACCCTTGGAGCAATGCCCTCGACCGTGCCAAAGCTGCGGGGGGTGTTCTCGCCGACGTTCTCATTCAACGTCATCTCGGAGTACGACCCGTAACCCTCATCGGCTTTTCACTCGGCTCCAGAGTGATATTCTACGCGCTTCTTGAGCTAGCTCGCCAGAAGGCCTACGGTATTGTACAAGACGTCTTCATCATGGGGACTACAGTCACCGCATCCACGTCAACATGGCACGCAGCCCGCTCAGCGGTGGCCGGGCGTTTCGTCAACGGCTACGCCCGTAATGATTGGGTTCTCAACTACCTCTTCAGGGCGACAAGTGGAGGGTTGAACACAGTGGCGGGCCTGCGCCCGGTACAGGGTGTTCCAGGACTTGAGAATGTGGACGTCACAGATAAAGTAGCCGGGCACATGAGTTATCGCGCGTTCATGCCGCTCATCCTCGACTCCCTTGGATTCCCAGTTACCTCAGATTACTTCGACGAACCAGAGGTAAATCTTGTGTAGAACGGAAAGGCTCCGGTCACTGATGTCATCCACACAGGAACCCGACTTTGAAGAGGAGCGTATCGTGGTGAGAGAGGAGGAAGCCCCCAAGAAGAGAAGATGGTTTGGTAGCAAAGGCAAGAAGTCCAAGCCACCCATAGGCACCGCATCACGGCCGCCTTCCGCATCAAGTTTCCCGTCGTTTAGGAGGAAGAGCTCCGTTGTTCAGGAGGAGCCAGCGGAAGACGAGCTGCCCCCTCGCGAGGAGAAACCTGTAAACGTCGCTATCGCCGCTCCGGGTCCCGCGGATGCCCGCGTCGAGGAATCTTCCGGTGACATCGGCGAGGTGACACCGAAGACTGCTGAAGCTTCGCATTTGCCCCCTGCCCATGCAGGGTTTGATATCCACGCTATCAAAGCTGCGATAGGGAAAGAGGATTCGAATGAAGGGGCTATCAAGCTTCCTCAACAGGATATGTATGCCATTCCATATATGCGACGCGACATGGAAAGGTCGGAATCCGCACCACCGCCACTCCAGGACGTTGTACCGTCGAGCCCATCATCGCTAGGTCGTTCATCAAGACCGACTGCTGTCGGCACTACGTCACAGACAGATTTACCTTCGATGCTCTCGAAGTCGATGTTTGTTGACGAGGACGAAGAAGTGACGTCATCGCTTGGGCATGAGCTGGAAGATTCATCCCGAAGGAACCTGCCGGGTCCACGGTTAACCTTCGGCGCCCCCTGGAGTGCTCAAGCAGAGCAGCCGGTGCCGGACCAACTTTACGGCGGCGGGTTTGTGAATCCCTTCAGCGACCCCACGGACGATGCTCCTGCCTCGTCACCTGGAACATCGTATCTGCCCGGTCGAACTAATGTATCCTCGGATCCGTTCCGCGTAGCAGGAAAAGCATCGTCATTCGGGGGCTCGGACGGGACAATCACGATCAACACAGGCGGAAGCCACGGGGATCTTGACCCGTGGAGTAATACTCTTGGAAGCCAAAAACCTCGCGCCGACAGTTTTGCCGCCAACCCGTGGTCATAATCGTCAACCATTTATCCCGCACCTCAAATCTTGATCACAAGCACAGAACCCACGAAGACAGTCCTTCGCCCTCGATGTAACCATCGACTGACGACTGCCCTCCTGCATCAAGCGTTCAGGTCTCATGGAGGCTCCGTAGAAATCTTCGCTTGCGACGGTGCATCCCTCATGACAGCACGAGGCGCAGGATATCTGCCCGCGTTCCTAACTTCGAATCACATTACATGTACTCTCTCGCGGCTCTTCCACAACCTTCTGCATACTCACTATCCTCTGATCTTCTTCTGTACGCATTAACAAGGAATTCTCTAGCTGATGACTGCGATTGTTTGTAGATCAGCTCTGAACTGACATCATTTTATGTTTTCCCGCATTCTGTCTCACGCGCGTCGCCCCCTGCATTTGTTTGCTTGTCCGTCTGAACGCAGAGTGCGGTGACGAACAGGGTGAAACGCAGACGGCGGTTCTATCGCGCAAAAGTTGTATCTATCGATCCGACTTCCGATCGGAGTTAGTGGCGAGGGCAAGCGGACCCCTGCAAAGATGGCACGCCCCTTTGCGTACTTAGGCGTGTCTCGCGTCTCGAGCTTTCTCTCGCGTCGACTTCGACCTTCCCAAACGCCCAGCGGACGAATGTGTGAGACAAGTGCGCGCACACACGCAAGATAGCGCGATGCGACGCTAATGGCTGGCGTTTGACATTCGTCAGCTACCTGGATCGTTACCATCGCTCTAACGGCGCGTGGTCTCGAGACGAGATCGGGCGATGCGCATCCCCGGGCCAACCACGGGCAACGGGCGTTGTTCGCGATGCGAATGACGACGTTCCGTGGCGTGCGCTCGTTGGTATGATGGCTTCCGCTGCAAACACGCATGATTTTCTCCTGCCTGTGCGTTCGCATATGGCAGCTGGCGACGGACACGCGACGCCGGCACCGGGCGTGTACCCTGGTGCCAACTGCTCCACATACTACTGCCGTCAATTGCAAAAAGCATCTGCTGCCTTTCTTTCACGGGACAAACGGATTACGCCGGATGCGGGTAGCGCGGTGGCTGGTAGCAGAGTGTTGCATGATAGAACGACTGGGGGTCCTCTCCGGCCGTCAGATCAGGCGCGAGGAACGGTATTTGATAGAAGCGGTCGGTTTGGCTACTGGCCGCACCGGTACCAGGTGGCCTGCTCGACAATGAAATAGAAGGCTGAGCGCTACCTTCAAGGACACTGGGGCGTTGGAGCGCCATGGTACGGCCGGCGTGCAAGCAAAGCAAGGCACGCGCAGGCTCCAAGGTCTGTGACCTGGCAGGGGTCGCGGTAGCACAGGTTGCCGGGACGGGCCGGCGGCGACTGTCGGAAATCAAACGGACGGCACAGGCTGCTCGGTGGCTACCATCGCCGTCAATATCCTGTTCAAGGCCCGCCACTCCGACTTGATGCTATAAATCTCTCCCTCGGACGCACGCCCTGCCCGAGTGCCGTGTCCGACGCCCAACGCAAGCCCTTGCCCTCCGTGCCTACCGTCTATACGCTACTTCCACATCCTCTACGTTACCCCGCCCATCCTCTGTCAACGTTCGATGCAGCCCGCCAGCTCAAGTTCACGATCACCTCGCCCCCGACCCATCCTCAAGCAGGATTCTTCTGACTCGTCGGAGTCGTCAGAGTCGGACGGCAGTAATAATCCCTTCCCGTTCGCAACCTGTTCCAACAACGCCGTCAACTCCTCCCACGTCCGTTTCCCGCCGACGCCCAAGCTCAGCTGTGCCCAAGTCACGTATTCGCCATATCAGTATGACCGTGCCCCGATACACGTCTCCCCGAACGTGTGCGCTCTCCCGGATCGTCACGAGCGCGATTACAAGGAGCAGCGATGTCGGAGGACCGGCAGGGATGTGCCGAAGGGGTCGTATTTCCACCCCGTATGTATCATGACCTTGGCGCTGTCTCGGACACCTGAGTCTCATGCCTTCGCGGTGCTTAGCGCGCGTACGAGGCTTGCCACATAGAATCCGCGGGCACGACGCCTCCTGCGTATGATCCTCCACCGCTTGTCCTCGACGTTTCGTCGGAGTCGGACGATTCGCCTGTAACCACCCCGCCGGATCCCAGGTCGAGAAACATGCCTCCTCGTGCCTTTCATCAATTTTCTTCGGGGCCGATGTCTCCGCCGATATACCCTCCTGGCATAACGCCGCAGGATAACGTCACTCTCGGCGACGCTCTCACCTTCCTCCCGCATCCTCCCACCGCGCCTGGTAAGGAGCGCTCGGGGCGCAAACGGAGCTCGACGCCCGGCCCCAAACTGAAACGTATGCCAAAATTCGGGGAGACCACCACTTCCTCCTTCTCATCGCCCGGCCTCGACGGCTGTCTGGGTGGATTCTGATTCCATGCCTATGGACGGGCAATGACGGTCTCTCTCTCTCTCTGTATACCTCGGACCTTTGGATTGCATGCACATTTTCGCCCTTTTCCATGCGCATATCCGGCATCGCTAGACTATCCCGCGACACCCCCACGCGCTCGCATGCACATAGCATGCTTAGATGCGTCTTGCTCTGTCTCATGCATCTCAGGCTTGCCAAGCCTTTCTCTCTTATCGTGACGCTTTTCGACGAACCCGGAAGGGACCGCATTTGTACCACCACTGCAATCTTATTATACCGCGACAGGGAATCATGACCCACGACGATACCATTCAGGCGGGATACCATACGCATCGTTCAGGTAATCTGGAGTAGCAAACTTTCTGTAGGGCCGCGACGGTTCTGTGTGTTGTATTGTACAGCAAACGTGTGCGGCGGCAGGCTGCTTTACTCGTGAGGGAAATACGATCGCCTTCTGTCGAGTGCGTGGTTCCGCCCATTGGGTGGTCGGGAGGTTCGATGGACGGCCGTCCCAGCTCAGATGACACGTTCGTGCCCGTGAAGGCAGCGAGCGGCGGTGAGATATGGCGGTGGCGGGTGAGGCAGGCATGCAGGTACCCGTGCTCAGGGCCGGAGGTGCCATAACGAGCCGCCTCCGCGAAACGCCACCTTCCTCATCCTCGTGCACTCGCGATATCGCTTGCGCGCGTGCGTTGCTCCCACCGAACACGTCCTGCCGACCCCCGTAGCCTCTGGCGCTCGCTGATACGAGGGGCCCACATGCGATGGCTGCGGAGAACGCATCCGCTTCGGGCAACGAGAACGTTAACGACCTCCTCCAAGAGCTGCAGTTCATACAGAGCTCGCTGCTCCCCGATGAGATTTTCTCCTGGCTCCTGCCCGAGCGCCAGGCTGCATGGTGGGCGTCGCGATCGCTAGCAGGGGCAGCTGAGGACGACGACCCGCCGCCGCCGCCGTCCTCCGTGCACTTCCAAATCAAGCTCGGCCAGGCCTCCACGGACGTGCGCGTCGAAGTCGAAGGCGCCCCTCACTTGGCGAACGCGCTCATCTCCGTCAAGGGCGACCTGCACCGGGACGACCAGGCGCACTGGCAGCGGCTGATCAGCGAGCTGAGAGCGGAGCAGCACGCTACAGCCGCAGGTGACGAGAGCCCTTCGTGCGTGCGTCGGCCGTTCCCCCGCCGTAACCGCAGACCTGCCTGCCTTTTTCCTTTTTTCCCCCTGCAGATACCCGCTCTATGAGCTCCTGATCGTGCATCTTCTGCCGCGGCTGCACGAGGCGTTCGATCCCGGTCCGGTCGGCCTACGAGGGACTGAGGCTGGCCCCGCGTCGACCTCTGCCCCAGAAAACGAGCAGCCAGCGCCCTGGCATGCCCTCCTTACCTCCCACCACCTCGTTTCGCCCACGAAGAGGCGAAACATGCAGCAATGGAGCGCTTCGCTCCGGCTGTCAGGTTTCGCCAAAGTCGGCTACCCGGGCGTGATCTACTGCGAGGGCGCCCGCGAGGACGTGGAAGAGTTCGTGCAGAAAGTCAAGGCGATGCAATGGCTTGCGCTGAGAGTACGCTTCGTTGAATCGGCTCCGGGAGGGAGCAGAATCATGGACGAAGCGGACAGAAGATGGATAGAGGTGGAAAAGGTCGGAGAGGTGGTGGAAGAGATGCGCAAGATGGGCCGCGACGGGCTGATCACCGAATTGGGCATAGGTAGCGTTTCCAAGGCAGGACGATAATGCAATGCGACAACGCAACGACATTCATTACTGAAGGGTTACTAAATACATGATAACAAAGCGAGCAGATGGCACTACGCATGATTTCGATTGACGAGACAATCGCTCCATGGCCCGCGACGAGATCAATAGCGCCGGTCATCATACCTGGCGCCGCGGTCGTAGTCACGATTGTAGCTACCTCGGTCGTAGTCGCGTCGAGGAGGGTAATCGTCGTAACGTCCACCGCCGCCGCCACGATACTCGTCATAGCGGCCACGAGGTGCTCCACGTCGGTCGTCGAAGTCACGCGAGTAACGACTGTCGTACGGGCGAGGATCGTAGGGCTTTTCGTCTGCATCATCTGGCGGCGTCAGAACACGATACCACATCACGCATAGAATGGGTCTCGTACTTTCGTTGCGCTTGGGAGGGCCGTGGTAACGACCAGGAGTTGGCGTGCGTGCGCGAGCGCGGCGTGCCTACCGCTTTCGCGTCAGCGAAGATATCATATTCCGCGGCATGTACCCCACCTTTTCGACAGTGATGATTTTGCCCATGAGCTCCGTGGAGCCGAGCGCAGCTATAGCTGCATCGGCCTCCTCCGCAGTCTCCATCGTCACGAAGCCGAAACCTCGGGATTCCCGAGTGTGCGGATCGTACATCACCGAAGCTTTCTGGACCTGAACAGGGGTTGAGACTCGGACGAAATCCAGCGCACATAGGGCAAGCACGTACTCGGCCAACTTTGGCGAATGCAGCCTCGAGGTCGCGGGTATCAACCTTGTAGCTCAAACCGGAGACATGCAGGTTGTTGCCTGGGTTTGTGGACTCCGCGCCGACACGGCTATAGAATTGATGAGCGAGGGGCAGATATCGATATCAAGACCGCATACCCTCGATCGTCTCTGGCTCCTGGGCTCCTGCTCCTGCTGGAGCGCCTCGGAGGGGGCACATCGCGAGGCTCACCAGAGCCGTTGGTCCACTGCTCATCCGCGGAATGAGCGGCATGGCCGTTGCCGACGCCAATGTCGCCAGCGGGAATGCTGATCCCGCTTTGGCCATTGTTAGAGGGAGCCATGTCTGCAGCTTGCCAGGCTGGTTTTTGACGCCGGGCAAGGGGAGCAAGGTGTTATGTCAGGGTTGGGTCGTATGGGCGGAGGACGAGTGGACGAAGTGGAGCGCAAAGCCGTGCGCTACGTGTACACGCAGCGGGAGGGCCGACGACGCGCCCAACACGCCAGGGTGAGACGAGCGCGGCGGAAGAAAGTGCGCCGCGCGCGACGAGCGCTACTGCCGGGGAAAGACATATGTCGAACGTCGTACGAGGGGAGGGCGGCCGTCAGCCGTTGGAAGGAACCGGGCGCGCGCGATGCAAAAAGTGGCGAGCGCGCCGGGCGAAGAGGAGCACGGGTCGGACGGCTGGCCGTGGTCGGGGTCGGGACGGAAGAAAGAGCAAGGACGGCCGGCGTCGGGGCGGATGCTGAACGTACCGTCGTCCATGTTGCTGTCGGTCGTGGTGAGAGTCGAAAAGCTGGGGTACGCGCTGCGCCGCGCCGAGCGCTCGCTTTTGAGCGCCGCCACAAACAGCGCCCAAACAAACGCCCGCCATCCCGCCATCATGCCTCCCCCGACCCTCGTCCGTCCCCGTTTCGTCCGTGCTGAGATGACAATTCATTTCCGTTCCGCAAGGTCGTCTGCGAACTCGTCCACGAGGGCCCCGTATCCGTCGTCTCACGCGCCACGCTGGACGGTGCCGTCGTCGCAGTCAAATCCGCGCCCTCGCGCCGTGAGTTCTCCAGGGCGCCGCACGACATCATCAAGGAGTACAGGATACTGAGCAGCATATCCCACCCGAATGTCCGTCTGCATGTTGTCCCGCGCATCACGTTGAGATGGTTACATCCGACGGCAGGTCATCTCGGTCCTGGGCAGCTGCGCCGACAGCGAACAAGTCGAGTTCTCCTTCTGGATGCCTTACGTGCCGTCCACCTTAGACTGCTTGCTGCGCAGCCCTAGATTCTCTCCGTATGAATACCAGAACGGAACATGGATCCGGTCCGACTCGTACGCAACGCGTTTCACGGTACTCACCAAGTCCGTCATTTGGCAAGTTCTCTCAGCGCTGGCGTTCCTGCATGACGATGGTCGCAAGATAGCACATCGCGATATCAAGCCAAGCAACTTGCTATTGACGACAGAGGGCTGCGTTAAACTCATCGACTTTGGCGTCGCATGGCAGCATACGGAGAATAAGCCTAGCTTTGGGCTCCGAGAACTCTGGCCGGAAAAGCACGGAATGTACTTCCAAGTCGCGACAGGGTAGGACGTTGCTCCGTTTTCCCTGCTAGCAACCAGCCACTCATAGTATGAATCCAGCCCTTACAAGCCTCCTGAACTTCTGTTCGGTCCAAGTTCCTATGATGCTTTCGCGGTCGACATGTGGTCCTTGGGGGCCATGTTTGCGAGCTTCTTCACCAGCTTACGGCTCTCGGGCGAGGGATCAGATGTGGAGGATGACTGTCTCGACGACCAGAGTGAGACGAGACATCTGCCATTCGTTGTGCCTCAGCCCCCCGGGCCGGATATGGTATGGTCTCGAGATACTTTGTTTGATGCTGATCGAGGCGAAATCGGCCTGGCATGGAGCATCTTCAAAGTGCGGGGCACGCCCACCAAGGCGAACTGGCCGGTGAACTCATCCGTTACACGCAAGATGAGACCATCAGCTGATTCTCTCGCTCTTAACCAGACCTTTGACGATCTCCCCGACGCGAACAAGCTATTGTTCCAGTCAGCTGAGGCAGTAGAACTAGGTTCACTCTTGCCCCACATAGCACCAGACGAGGCTAGTTCATTCGAGACAACATCCCACTTCATCGAGAGAGAGCCGCAACCCGCCGTCCTTGATCTCCTGCATCGCCTCCTCGTTTACCCGGAGTCCAGGAGGCTGAAGTCCGCCGATGCGTTGAAGCATCCGTGGTTCATCGCTCCCCCATCGTTCCTACTACCAGGTGGAGATCATCCGGGTGGTAGTACCGCAACATACATGTATGAAGGAGAGACGTTAGACCAGCTCTTAGCTGGCCTACTTCAGCTCGCAGACGAGTGATGGCCCGGGACCGCACTACCTCTTAGATCTGCCCTGACTACGTGTAAAGACCCGTCCACTTGGGTGTGGCAGTTGTGTTGAAATCGCGTGCCGCGACTATGGCATTGAACGTCGGACCTAATGGAATACAGAATGGAAACGCGCTTTGTACAGCATATAGATATGACCGATGCTACATACAATACACGATGTGACCTACAAACAACCTGACACATGTGGTGGAAACTGGACGTACTCAACTGGCAGTACTAGCCGTCGGCAACCTATTGATCGGAATGTTGTTTAACGCATGGTTGTTGATCGAAATACCTGGCTCGCTTTGTTAAAGCAATGCTCACGAGAGGCGAGCGGAGCGCTTACTCTTGGTCGTATTGGCCGTCTTATAAATCCCGATGAGCCTATGGCTCAACTCGAACATGTCATTCCTAGGGAGAATGTCAATTGTGGCCGTGATCACACGCAGCTCGTTCGTACCTCAGAGAAATGATGATAAATTGAGCATTCTTCGTGCGGTCCTTGATATAATTTGCAACGATGGATACGTTCCGGAAATCCAGGGCTGCGTCAATCTCGTCCATGAAGTACAGCGGGGTGGGCTAACGAAACTTGATTTCTGAATGACAGATCGGAAATCACGTAACACACCTTGAAAACATGGAGGGCGAATACCAGCGCCAAAGAACTCAGCGTCTAAACCCTCTGGATCAGCAAGCCAGCCAGCCGTCAGCGTGGAACTGTGACGCGCCTTTTCGCCACCGGACAAGTTAGATATGTTCTTCCAGCTCTTCTTGGGCGGCATGACACTGAATATAATGCCCTCCGAGAATGGATCCATACTGTCGACGAGTTCAAGCTCCGCGTTTCCACCGAGAGTAATCATCTGGAGCACGTTCGCGTTCAACAGCAAGCATTCTTTATTGGACCAGTTGACACCCACCTGATACATCTCCTTGAGCTTAAGGGAGATCAGACTGAAACCAGCCATGAACTCGTCCAACCGTTGTTTACGCAGACTGTCATACTCTGCTTTCTTCGCATCTCGTAGCTTGGTAGTCTCCTCGAGGTCCGTGGCGCGCTTCAGGAACTCCTCCTCTCGCTTCTTGTATTCTTTCAGCACGCTGAGATTAGGCTTGGCATTCTTCAGTTTCTCTAAGGTTTGCGTTCAGATAACGAACACTGGATCTACAAACGGTCGGGCTCACCGTCGAGGAGCTGTTCGTCGACAAGCAGGACATCCTTCTTGAACTTGGCAAGCTCTTCTGCCTCATAAATGCAAAGCTCGTTGGCAGGCGTGCCATCATGAGCTTTCTTGACGGGTGCTGCGTCTGGGTCAGGTTTCACGCTGTCCGCTAGAGCTTCCTGTTGACGAGGCTGTTCAGGTTCCTCTTCTGGGTCTTCCTCACTTCGTTGCAATGTCAGATGATTCAGGCATGAGGATAATAATGACACGAACTCGATCTCCTCCAGTTTGAGCTTGTCATGTTCATTGTTCCAATGCTCCAGAGCCTCCTCGTTCTTGAGGGATTCTTTGCGAGTGTCATCCAAGGTCTGCTTCATTTTTTGCTAAACAATACGTTAGTCGCTGGATCAGCATGAGACCACCAATGTGTACGAACCTCCTTCTGCCGGAATGCCTGTATGTCCTCCATCTTCTCGTCCAGCTCGGCCTTCAAACTGTCTAGGTCATCCTTTGAATTTTCCGCTGCGGCCTGGGCGTCTTGGACCTTCGAACGGAGCTTCTCGACGTAATCCGTGACTTCGCCAAGTTGTTCGGTTAGTTCATCTAGTTCGGCCTCAACGTCTTCCAGATTGGCTTTATTGGTTGCGATCGTTCCTTCAAGCTTCTTGGCTTTCCGTTGATCGCTATCAATAGCTACTTCAGCCTTGGTGATCTCGTCGTTGGCTAGGTTTATGTGGAGTCGGATGCCGTCAACCTTGGATCTCTGCGCAAGCAGTTTAGAGCCACCGATTTCCAGGATTTTCTTCTCGAGATCCTTGATAGCCTTCTCAATTGCCGCCGAACCGTTCCTCAGCTCAGACAGTTCTTCCTCCGAAGCAGCGATGCTCTCGTCGAGAGCCGCGATTCTCTGTGCATCCTCAGCGTTTGGCTTGTTCTGCGACCTGTGAGAAAAAGTCCTTTGTTAAGTGTGGGATCAAGGATCGAGCGATGACCCCAACCTGAGCTCCCGCAGCCGCTTCTCGGCCTCCGCGATACGTCTTTTGCCCGTCTCTATGTCAAGCGTAATCTTCTCCATGGCCACTTCGATTTGAGGTCCAGACCTCGAGAGTCCCTCGACCTCGACTTCGATCTGCCTCAGCTCGTTCTGCGCGACCAGAAATTCTTCGTGCGCCTCTTCGGATTCGCGCTCATAACGTCTCAAGGTGGCAGGGTCCACCGCATCCGCCGCGAGCTTGGAGCTCATACCGCCCCTATTGACTCGAGTTCCGCCTCCAGCCATCGTCCCGGAGGAATCGATCAGCTGGCCATTGAGAGTGACCACCCTCCATCGCCTTGCACCAAATGCGATGCGGTTGGCCTGCTCGAGGTCGTCGGCGACAAGGGTATTGCCAACCGCCTTATAGAAGGCTGGCGCAAACTGACGTTCTTTGGGCGTGATCAGGTCGAATAAGCGAGGGACATTCTCGGGGGTAGAGATCTTGTCCATGCCACGGTTGTGTAGCTTCTCGAGAATCATGAACGAGGCTCGTCCTGCATTCTGCCTGCGGAGGTGTTCGATGCACGATTGCGCTTCCTCGACGGTGTTCACAACGAGGTTATTCAGACTCGGACAGGCCGTGGTAATTGCAACATCGTACTTGTCTGGGATTGTGCCCAGGCTACCAAGACGACCCTGTGAGCTCGGCGTTAGTTTCCATCCTGCGTCTCGCGCGTATAGAAGGACTTGCGTGGAAACCAGGCATACGGCCGGTTCTCCTGAGGTGAGTTAACGTATCAAGAACTTTATTCTGGGAGGTTGAGGCGGTCTGTGATGCTCTGGCTTCGTCCGTTCGCTGCCGAGACGAGGCTGCCTTAGCTTGCAGATCCTGAACCCGTCGGCGTGCATCCTGAGCCACGTGTGAGTCACAGTGCGGTAATATTTCCGAGTAGTGACCAACCTGTAGCCTCTTCTCGGCTCCTGTGACGTCCCTCTGGAGGCTAGTCTTCCGATCCTTAAGCTCATTCAAGCCTGAAGTCTGGTATTCTTTCGGTAAAATGAACGTATATTATGGCCCAACAACGCACCTTAGTATCCTGATCCCCGTTGAGTTGATCTAGTTCCTCTTGCGCCGATTCCATGGCGAATTGGGCCGCTTCTGCCTTTTTCGAGAGCTCGTTCCTTTCGCTCTGTGCTACCTCGAGTTCAGCTTTCGCCTTGTTGGCCTTTTCGTTCCAAGGTTGAAGTTCTCGTTGTTTCTTCTCGATCTGATCATGGAAGATCTGCGTTTTATCTGTATCTCAAGGCTTGAGTCTGTCCGTCAAGAAGTGTGGGGACGTGCTTAGTTCACCTCTCAAGCTATCCGCAATTTGGTCAAGGATCTTCTCTTCGGCCACAAGTGAGTCCTGCAGTTCCTCGAGCTTCATCTGGTTCTTCTCGATCTTGGCAGTGTTGTCCTCGATCGCACGTAAAGCCTCATTCCGCGCATGATCGTCCTAAGAATCGCGAATCGATCAGAACGGCGTAAACACGGTCTGATCGTAACGTACATCTTGAAGCGATTTCTTCAGCTTCTTGCCCTTGCTGTTTGCATGCTTGCGTCGCTCTTCGAGGCTGACTTGTTGCTTCTCGTTCGCGGCCAGGTCCTTCATAGCAGCAGCAGCCAAAGTTCTGACTTCCTGATGATGAAGGCGGCTGTCAGCAAGGCTCTCCCAAATGGTCGGGTAGCTTCACCTCGTACGCCTGCTGGCGCTCTTCGTAATGCTTCTCTAGCATCTCGACGTGGGATATATCGTCCTTGTTCTGCTCTTGCAGATCCTTCAGGTCCTTGTCCAATCGGGACTGTACGGTCAAGGTGGAATCAGTCATATACGAATTGATGCAAATAAAAGACGTGGTACAGACGATCTTGTGTGCGTATTGCTCGTCATTGCGCAGGCATTGCCAGATATAGTATTGCCATAGCCGCGAAAGAGCTCGCACATGCTCGTTCTGCAGCCGTAGGTAATCCTCTGCTTCCTTTTTCTCCTTGTCCAACTTGTTCTTCTCGCGTTCGACAATCCGGAGACGATTCAGTTTCTCCACACGTTCTTCCGAAAGCTGGTCCATCTGCTGGAGGGCTTCCTCGATAGGCTCCTTGTATTTGGATGTCCCAATGATGTCTTCGAGGTATTCGAGGAGACCTTCATCATGTTCATTCGTTGCTTTGGGCTTCATGAGGGCGATGGACTCAACTTCACCCTGCGTCAATGGTGATTATACAGCATACCACTATCTTCAAGCTGAATTGCTTGCCTGGAGGATGAGGAACCGCTTGTGATCCAGATCAATACCGCGGTCCTTCAGCAGTGTTGTGACTTCCTTGAAGTTACTCTTTCGCCCGTTGATGGTATAAGTGCTGCTGTTATCCTTGTAGGCAGTTCGAGCAACTACGAGTTGTGACTTGGGTACAACCTCGAATGCATCGGGGCCAGGCTATTTGAACAATATGGCTATTCGGCTCTGCATAACTTATGACGCGGAAAGACGTACGAGGTCGATGATCTCGCGGAAGTGGACCTCTACCGAGCAGAAGTCGAGGTCCGGGTACCGGGCTGAATTGTGGATGAGCTCCGAAAGCTTGCCTTGGCGCATCTTAGATGCGCGATAGCCAAATACGAAGAGCAAAGCATCTATCGTGTTTGACTTCCCAGAACCGTTCGGCCCTACAATGGCAGAGAATGACTGTCCACATGGTAAGTACAGCGGCCAGGCTACAGAGCATATGAATTCGTTTGCCGCACCTTATGGAACGGACCAATCTCCTGTCTTCCTGCGTAACTCTTGAAGTTTACCAGCGCCATCTTATGAATGACCAACCGGGATCGTGGCTCTTTGGGTTCTTCAACAGCCGGACCCGCCCGCGAGTTAGGGGCGGTACGTTTGTGAGGTTCGGGATCGAGAAGCGACACTTCTTCCTCGGCGTCGACCCGTAGAGAGTCTTCAGGCGTAGGTTGACATTCTTCTGGTTTACCTTCAGTCGCTGACGGGGCAATCTGCGCTGCAACCTCGCGTTCGTCGTCTTCAACTTTCGGGGATCCCGCAGAGCCATCTCCGTCCATGACACTGCCTTCAGCGGGAAAGAGGTTCTTGACGGATCGGTTTGTCGTGGAAGAAGCCTTTCGGCCTCGTGCGGACGGACCGTTGGCTTCGGGGACATCAGGCTCCGCCTTCACTCCGTCAGCGACTCTACCGGTTCGCTCATGGACTGTGCTCGGCTTTCTGCCCTTTGATGTCCGAGATTTTGTCGTTGATGTTGAGGCGCCATTAGCGATAGCTTCCTCTTCCAAGCCTTGATCGCTGGTAGTCGAAGTGCGCTTGGTGTTTGCCGTGGAGCTCTTCCTGGCCGTAGCCTTAGATACACGTTTCTTGGGCTCTTCAAGGTCGCTCCCGTCCACGTCCTCCGCCTCGGCTTCAGAAGAAGGTCGTCGCTTCTTCGTCGGCCGCATCTCAGGTACCCCCTCGTCGCCTTCCTCTATCTCCCGTAGACCTCCTCTGGAACGCGTCGAACGGCTGGTGTTGTGAGGCTTCGTTGCAGCTGACCGTCTTGAAGGAGGCTTGCTGGACCGTGGCACGTATTTAGCATGACCCTCGCTGCCATCTACGGTGTCATGATCTTCGGTGGAGACATCGAGCTCCGCTTGCGAAGGACGCTTGCGTTTTGTCGCACTCGAGGTGATCTCTGGCACGGGCTCTACAGAAGCCCTGGATCGAGTAGATCGCCGAGGTGGCATGGCTTTGCTCGTCGCGGTATATGGACGCAGCGAGTATGGGTGATGAACGAACTGCTCCTAAACGCGGCGCACGTGGTCGTGACTCGCGGCAGAAACGCGTGCTAATACATAGCCACCGACATCCGAGCTTCATTTCCTCCATATGATGTACCGACATTATGCAGCATGTACGCCATGAGATGTCACATCCACCTCCCAGACTTCCACAATTGATAGTTTTCCGTTCCCTGCAACCACTGTATCAAATCTGACCTTTTTACCTTTGTCCCCTTGTCTTCGTTGGCTATCTTGGCCTTCCTCCCGTCCACCAGCTCCCAGCGTTGCTCCTTCACCGTGACAAGGCCCTCCTTCAGTTCATCGGCGCCCAGTATGACAGCGAACGGCACCTCATCTCGATCACCGGCAGCGAATTGTGCAGAAAGTTTCGGCTTCGTCTTCGCGAGATAATCCGCCTGCGAAACTTGGTCAGTGACGCAAACAAGGAAATGGGCAGTGTTCTTACGCTGATGCCCGCTTCACGAAGTTCGCAAACCAACCGGATCCTCTCCTCAAGGAGCCCGTCTCCGGCCGCCATCACAAATACCATGAGCTCTTTAAGTCTCATTCCCTTCTCCACCCATCTCGGCCATACGACTGCAAACACGCGGTCCAACCCGATGGCAATACCCACACAGGGCAGACCCGCGGGTGCCTTACCCTTTTTGGTCTCGCCTGATGCGGCAGCATTGAACATTCCGACAAGGTTGTCGTATCGACCACCAGCTGCAATGGAGCCCACGCCTACTTGTGATTCGTCGATTTCTTCCTCCTCGCCATCCACAGGCTTGCCCTTCTTGGTTTTCCGCTCGGGCGGTTTGGACGCCGAGGGCGCTGCGGGGTCAGACACTGCTGGCTCGGTCGCGCTAGCGGAATTGGATGTCGCGGAAAGCGCGTTGGCAGTGCTGAACCCGGGGGGCGCGGATGCTGCAACAGTTGCTTCATAGATCACGCCAGTGTAGTAATCGAGGCCCCTTGCCAGCGAGAGATCAAACGATATCTGTAGGAATTGGTGGGCTCTCATCATCAGCTTTGACCAGGCGCACGTACCCTGTCGACAACATTATATGCTCGTAGGAGCGTAAACAGGATTCCCATTTCCGATAACCCTTGGTTGGCGTTGGCATTTGCCATGAGCGTCTCATCTGCCAGGAGTTGATCTAGGAGACCTGGTCCGCCTATAAAAACGTTAGCAGCAATGCTCCAGGGATTGCAAGGAGTGGTGTACCCTTGTGTTTCACATACTCTCCGATCTTATCCGCGACAACGGCGTCAAGGCCCTTCTCCTCGGTCATTTCTTTCTTGACTTCGGACCAAGGAGACTGCACATGTATCAGTATACCGCCTGACAGCGAAAGGATGGACAATGTAGGACCTTGTCCAGCTTGTCGACGGCAGACGATATTGTTCGGATCTTGTCAGCGGGCACGCCGCAAACTTCGAAGATACCATCGAGAATTTTACGATGGTTAAGCTTCCAGGGCAATTCAACGGTGTGCAAATACGGGCCAGAATTGGTTTGCGCACCTTTATAGTGTACTCCCCAACATCTAGCTTCGTGAGTATGGTACAGACAAGGCTGATTATCTCGGCGTCCGGAATCATGGGGTCCCAAGTGCCAGCGATATCGAAGTCCTACGCATTGTTAGCCTGTGTAACTTTTCAGAGTAAGTTTGACATACTGCCTGAGAGAACTCCCTCATGCGGCCCTTGGACATGACGGGCTGGTCCCTACGATAGACCTTGCTCAACTGCCAGAGCTTGGCTTGAGTGATGGCGGAGCCTCCCATAGCAAGATAGCGGGCAAGAGGCACAGTATGATCATAGCGGAGGGCAAGTTCTTCTCCGCCCTGGTCCTTCAGGTCGTAGATCAGTTTTGAATCCTCCCCATATTTTCCCGTGAGGACGTCTTTGCGCTCAAAAACGGGCGTTTCGAGGCAGCTGCCACCGTAGGCAGTGAAGCAATCTTTAACGACCCTTTCTATGTGCTGTCTGCAAGTCATTTCAGCTGGTCCCCAATCGCGTGTTCCCTGAAAGGTGTGGTGTTCATTAGCGTTGCTTGCATAACCAATCGACACACCTTGGCTGTCTTCAGTAGCAGTCTCTCCTTCTTCTTATCCGCACCTTTGCCCCCTCCATAAAGCAACGCGAATGACTGCTTCAATTGTCCGAGCTTGGTCTTAGCTTCTTCCACCAATGCAGGTTCCGCGTTCTGTTTTCTTAGCTCACTGAAGCGTGCCGAAGCTTCCGCGATCTGGGCTTCTAGAGAGTCCTTCGTGGCCATCTGGTGAGTGCGGCGCTCAGACGTCCAAGACCAGTTGAACGGTCGATGGGATGAACAGAGACAACGGCGGGTGTATTGTCGCAACATACACTTTTGCCAGCCAAAGAAAGTAGCAAACGTGACTCGGGCGTGATAAGATATGATATCATTGCCACTTTCGTTCCAAGCCTTCCCCCGTTGAATATACATATTGTCCCTTTGCACGATTATAGGTGCGCGCTCGATGCTGACCCCGAGGAACTGTGAGGCGAGAAAGGAGAGTGGTGGAGTTCCTGGTTCGCTACCTCACAGCTGATTCAAACCGCGAGGGGCGATAAACCATAAAACGTGTGATTGCCAATGCGACGTCGCCACCGAGGGCGCCACTGTTGAACGTTCATCTGCTACCATCATCTGTCCTCGAAATGTCTGAGACTGACGGCGCCACTCCTAGTCAGTGAGGCCATGCGATTCCGCCTGTTCCCCCTCACATCAGGCTAGAAGCTGAGCTGGAAATTCGTAGACGAGCGCTTGCTTGCTGCGGCTCGTACGGATAACGAGGAGTTGCTACTAGAGCTCTTTGAAGAAGGTGGATTCGATATTAATACCACGGACGGGTTCGCATGTTTACCGCGTATAACATGAGCCGGGCCACTGATCTGCGCCATCCAGCTTAGGCAATACGGGTAAGCGTTGGAGTAGCTAGTGCAATGTCTCAATACCCTCAATCGACTGCTGCTAGCGCTCCATCTCGCGTGCGTGCGTGATCCATCGCCTTTCCCCCTTTGGTCTCGTACGCTCTTATCTTACACTTTCGCTTCTCCTTTGTCCAGTGCTAGAGAAGGATCAGTGGATGTCATTGAACACATATTATCGCACGACGAATGCGATGTTGACCCTGTCAATCATTTGGAGGGAGCCACACCTCTGCACCTTGCCGTGAAGATAGAAGATCCTGACGTACGCAAGTATATCGCGGAGCAGTTGCTGGATGCAGGGGCGGATACGATGTGGGTTTCCACCCTTTCGAACCCACCGGTTCGAGTAAGCCTGACGTTGACCATGCAGGATTCGGGACAAGAACGGTGACACGGTTGCGGATCTCTTACGGCCCGACGATGAGATATTCCAGTTGATACGCAAAGCTAGGGCGCAAGCTAGTGTTGCCAAGAGCGATATAGCCGATGGTGAGCTCGCATGTCTGCATACTCTGGACATTTGATGACAACAAGGCAGACGATGAGGATGATGGCGATGAATCCGGATCAGGCTCGGAGTCAGAGTAGAGCTCCATGGCCATCCAACTACACCATAGCTGGCAGACGATTTTATATCGCCTGGCTCAGTCATCAATTACATAGTCAACATGGCCGTAATTACCGGTTCGTTTACAGTCGTACGAGAACAAGTATATGGCGACGACTTGTATGGCAATACCCGTGATGTCTAGAGTTCATCATGGTGCATGCAGCTACTGGAGCTGAAGCACGACTACCCGTTCAACTACTCTTCTTCTCGTTCACGATTGCGGCGTTCTGCCATTCACCGTGGGCGTCCTTCTTCCTAACGGTGAAGCAAGCAATACCGAGAAACTCCGTGATGTCATTGATGACTAACGTGCAGAATCGGGCATAAGAGGCGAAGGAGACGGCAAGGTTGAGCCAAACAACCAGTGCAGTTCTCGCGAACGTATTCTGAACGAGTGGTGGTCTAAGATCTAGTCAGTGATCTTTTTCAAGGGCACATCGCAGTAAGAGAGACTCGCCGTCCAAAAAGAATTTCCATATTAGCATCCACTGCACCGAGTAAACTCCAGACCCAAAGCCAATCAAACCAGGGGAAAGGCTGGCTTGTGACGTGTGCCAGGATCATCCTACCAACCTGATGCGCAAACTGCAAACCCCAAGCACATAAAAATGGAAGTAGCAATGGGGAATAAAGAATGGTCGATTCGGCGGGTGTGGGATGCGAAAGCCAAGCGAGCTGAACAAGGGCTGTCACCGGGAAAGGAAGGAGGTATAGGAGAGGCTGATAGCGACCTTTGTCAGAGGTACGACCCGACCGATATACATTGCTGTAGCTGGGATAGGCACCAGTGAGTCTATGGCGCACATTAAAATGGTGGGTTGTTATCACCTAGTGATGATATTGAAAGCCAGTCCGATGGCTCCAAACCACATAAATGCCTCCTTAAGAGCTATGTTCGGGATCAGTCTGGCCACAAGAGGTATATCATCCAGTTGGGTGACCGTAAGGACGTTAGAGTCCCAAAATTCAGTGCCTGCGGGCCGTGTGAGCAAATAGCAGGAGCGGCACAAAAGCTACATACCGAAGAAACCAGTGACGATGTAGACGACTACAATCATAATGATGCCTTCAACAGGGCCAGAGAACACCCCGAGGTAAAGTTGGCCTTTGGAGTATATGTCAAAGACGATATCTAGTACGGAGAAGAGTGCGGAACCCCACCGGTATGGTATTCTTCCCAGGTAGTAAGATAGAAGTTCGCTAGCGTCGCGATCTGGGATGCGACTGTCCACCACGAGCGGCCAAGATTCAGTGCCCTGCAGCAGAGAATTACTTCCAGCTGTTGGGATAGAACTCAGGTATGTGTAATGGCGGTCGAATCAGGGTACATGCCGTCGTATTCATCGCGTCACAACCATGATCGAACATTTCTCCTAGAGGTCCTGCCATCCCTGTACGGCGTGCCTGTTTTCTGGGTGCCCAACGTCCCTGAGCGCTATTCTACAGTATCGGCGAATAGCGTACCCATCTATCGCGTCCAAGCTTTGATAAATGAATAGGCCAGCTGCCCACCTGACAATGATTCAACTTCATTCCCGGCCATATAGAGAGATACTCACGTAAAGTATATCCACTTCGGCGGCCCTGTCGCGCCCTCCTTTTCAGTCAGGTATGTAGGATCGTAGTATAGTAACGTCGCCAGGTTCAGTAACACCATGCAGAGGCCGGTGAGCGTGATCTATCACAAAGTCAAGTTACTAAACATGGACAAGGAGAACAGGGCGCACAGTGTTCGGAGCGACGGAATTGGGCCATAAAGTGACCAGCCAAGTCCAAAACGGATTGAGCACATATCTCGACAGCAAAGATCTAAAGATGGACGTCATAGATAGAACATCCGGAGAATGGCAGAAGTATACACACTTGTCCACGCCCTTGTACGAGTAGTCCTTCAACCTGTCTAGCGCGTTCTGGGGAATGTACTTCGGCTTCATTCCGTGGGTGTGGACGACGTGCCCAATCGTCAACGAAGTAAGAGCAAAGACACCAAGGTCAATTTGCAGACTCGCTTCGCGCTACGTCATGAACGATGACACAGCCACTTGCGCGTTGACTTGCGATGGGATGTGCTAGGCAATAATGACAATTCTCGCTATTTCATAGGCATACCCATAGGCATGTTGCAGTGCAAGAATGTGATAGATTTACATGTTCGCGACAATGAAATATGAATGCACATGCTAGCATTCCGATGTCACCGCTACTGCAACTTCTCCAGAGGAGCGATGACTTGTCCCATCTGGTCCGCGCGTTCAATAACAAAACTGGTTTTGATACAATACTGACCCACTAACCTTCTTGGAAATCCTGGGCAGAGTACCCCTTTGGAACCCAACTCTGGTGTTCCATTCTAATCCTAGGGGTGTCTCTGTGCTTCGTTCGAACTGGGCCTTGCTGGTGTAAGGGTATGGTAAATCCTTAACGAGGTACTTTGCTGCCTTCTTGTCCCGCTTTTCAGAAATGATAACGTGAGACTTGTCGAAGTCCGCCCTTGATTTAGGATCGACTCCGGCGATCTGCTTGATCAGATGCTGCTTTGGCGCTTGCTTCTTCGTTCCACGTCCACCCCACGATCCCTACAAACGCTTTCTTAAGCGCTGGACCACGAGCATTTAATCGAAGCAGACTAACCCAGCCAGGTAACGTGGTGTCCACCTCCTTCGGGGCGTCAGCCTGTATCTCTCTCCGCTTTGTCTCAGCGAAATCCTACCACAAGGTGAGTCAGTAAGTAGGGCCGGCAGGCAAGGTATCATATATACCTGGACAACATTGTCTCCAGAGAATGCACGGGCCACTAGATCTCGTTGCTGAAACGCTGCCGTTTGACCAGCTCGAGCCTTCATTCGCAGGTTCTGCTCCTGTTCCTCGATTTCACTGTCATGGTCGGAGCCCTCTTCTAACACGTCGGTCTTGGGTGTGTGTTTGACTCTCCGTTGAGCTGGCAATTTGCTTTTCGTAGTCGGTGCTTTCAAGGTTAAGAATTCGGTGGTAGAAATCTCCAGTTCTGCGTCCGCTTTCGCGGTCTCCCTGTCGTTCGCGGTTTTGTCTTTTATCTTGCGAAGCTTGTTCTTCGACTTATCTGCGGCTGAGCTCTGCTTAGATACTACTTCGTTCGCTTTACGGGGCGCTCGTATTGATTCTTCGTTGCTCTGAGATGCTAGCCATGGATTGGTGGCATTTTGGCGAGAAAGGGGAGAAGGGGGCCCCTTCTCAGATTCGGCCGTGGTTGGCTCCGGAGGGAAATCCGTCGACCTCAGGGTGACACTCGACGTATCAGAGTGTAAGGAGCCTATAGGGCGAGAAGATAGCTGAACAGGTGAATGTAAACAAACTACACCAACACGCACGACTGCGCTGACTCACTGAAGTACTTGGCTTGAAAGTTACGCGTCCGCCAGTGCGCGTTATGGACACCCCCTGATCTTCCTCGCAATCTACCCTTTCCTCGTCAGAGCCTACTGGAGCGCCCATTTCAAGAAGGAACTCGTCGGCTACTTGACGATTTTCATGTGCCTGCCGAGCCGCTGCTTCCGCCATGAACTTCATCTTGAAGATGCCGCCTGCCTCGTCCTCGGTGTCTGCCTCACTCATCAGGCCTCGCAGCTCCTCGAAAGCGCCCGCTTTGACCTCATCAACGTCCCGCTCTTCCTCGGAATCGCTCTCTTCGCCCTCGCCCTCGCTGCCCACACCCTGGATCCTTCTTTTCAGCCTCTCGCCTCTGTCTAGCATCTCATTGATATCCCGCCTTTGATCCTCTTCCAGATGTTCGCGGGTTTTTAAAGATTTTGCCCACTTTCCTGTGTTCTTGTGCTTCAGTGTAGCACGCTCTCTTGCTCTGTTTAACTCATGCTCAATGCGGGCACTTTCATCGTCCTCGCCTCCGTCGTCAAGCTTCGCCGCCAACCGCTCCCGTTCCTTCTTTTTCAGGCGCCGATACGTCTTGCTCTTGATCTTGGCGATACGCTTCGCCTTCACCTCGGCACGGAACATGAGTTCGCGCGTTCTCCGAAGCTCGAGCCGGCGAGCCGCAACCTCCTCGATAGTCAGGTGATTCATCTTGAGTTCCTCCGTCTTCTCTAAATCTTCCTCGCGCAGTTGGGCAGCCTTTAACAGGCGGTCCACGGAGCTTTCAAGTTCCGTGGTAGGCTAGAGAGCCCTTCAGTAAGTTCGTTCAAGATCGAATGGATACTGCATTGACCTTGAATTTTGCGTTAAGTTCTAAGTTGGATGTCTTACCGTGCGGCGCCGCCTGCAAAGGGAAGCTGAGATGTTCGGCCTGGGCAATTCGGATTGAATTAGCCGCGCTTTGTAGGGAGTATGAGGGTAGGGACTTGCCTCCCTGATTCGCCTCATCGATTCCTTCCATTGGTCGACTTCCTCTCTTGTCTGCTCGTACGCAGCCTCCCTGTCCAGCTTCTCCTGCGTCCGCTGGGGGAGAGGTGCTGCTAAGGCGCCACCCTTGCTCGACAGCGTCTTCGCGGATTTCTTGAGAGACTGGAGGGTCGAGGTTTTTGATGCGAGGGGAGCAAGAAGGTCGTCTAGGTGTAGCTTACCTGTGTACGGACGATTGATATCAGCATGTAACTGAAGAGCGTAGGACATATGTCATACTTGAAATACGCCCCCCAAACTCATTTTCTGGCCCCACTTCGCTACGTTCTGCGATGACCCTCCGCTTGCGGGGTCGATCAGCCTCGCTGAAATCATCCGAAATTCCGCGCTTTGAAGCAGCCGTTGCAGGGCCGGGATCTAGCCCAAGGATGAATTGATTGAGACCTGCCAACGCGGTCTCGCTCTCCGCATCCGAAGTGTCGATGTCACGTCTTGCAGACGTTTCTCTATGGCGTTCTGGTTCCTGCTCTTCTTCTGATTCCTCCTCGTCAGCATCGTGGATTTGTTTGGCAGACTGCCCATCTTCCATGCCTTTTCTTGAAGTAGCACCGGCTGTTTCTTGATCCTCAAGATCATCGCCTTCGCCATCACTCGCCAGATACGGTTTGGCACGTCCATCCAGGACATCCAGGACATCTATGAATCCATCGCCGCCGTCTTCGTCTTCTTCGTCCTCTTCATCTTCGGCATCGTGATGACCCTCCTGGTCGTGACCGTGTTGGTGCGCAGTACGGGAATCGTCCTCTCCTTCATTCAAGTCTACGTCTACGAACCTAACGGTCCGCCCGAGGGTAGTCGGTGGAATTGCTTTCTGTTTCCGCTTCTGCTGCTAGATCAGCATAGTTTTACGTATGCCTGTACTCGATGTATTGCTCACTTTGCTCGTGAAGAAGCCAGCGAATCGTTCCTCGTCGCTCTCCTCAAATGCAGCATCACTATCAATTTCTTCATCCTCATCGCTTCCTAGCCCCTCATTCTCTTCGTTTTCTCCAATCAATCGAGCTCTCAGCGCTTCTTGTTCGTCTTCTGCTCCACTAATACTCAGCGCAGGATCCATTTCATCCCGGTCTAGTCTAGTATCGACCTGTGACCGTGACCTCGGAAGTTTAGCTTGGTCGTGATCGTAGACATCGTGTATCTTGAGAGCATTCTGCTTCCCAGAACGTCGTTTCGAGAAGCCAGCTGCGTTAGCCTTGCTCGTACTTGATCGACTATACTTTTGCTCCAACCGCGCCATGTAGAAAGAGTATACAAGGATCGAGTAAGAGTACCGAGAAAGCTCAGGGCTTACAAGTTACCCTTCGAGGAAATTCTGTCAGTCTCGGCAAGCACCGAGTGGCGCAGCGCCATTCACGTGACACAGGTAACAGCGGCGGAGGATTTTTTTCAACATTCGGATTTAGCGGTACTGTGTATGCCACCCTCGCTAACACCATGAGCTGGCTTACGAATGTAATGATATATATGCTGAAAACGCATTGTTGGTTTAGTACAAAATAATTCACCCGAAAAAGTGCATAGCGGCTTCCCGCTTACCAGCCCGCTGCAGTTCGGACGAATGGCCCATTCCAGCATTTGAAGCCAACGTCGGTCGAAATCTACAAACGAGCATAAGAGGAAACGCTCGGCGCTGAAATGAGCTGTATTACCGTCGTTGGGTCACACATAACGTCCCCAACGTCACCTGTTTCGGTATATGCGAAGATGTCCTTCGCGACGACGTTGGAGGCTGACCCGCATGTGTCATCGTCTAATAGTAGAGTGAAGCTGATCTGCTTACCAGTGCCTTCATAGAGGTCGAATATCGCCACTTCATGGCCCGTAGCGTTGGCAACGGCATACCAGCAGGGATCGGTCACGCAAGACCCTTCGACGTACCCAGTACTACCTATTGGTCAGTATGACGAGGCATTGAAACACAATTCGGTACAATCAACTCACTCTCTAATGCTTCCCGCGAAGCCTTGGAATGTGAAATCCTCAATGTGCGTGTTGTTTGGGCTGGTAGTGTTAGGCTTTGGCCCCGTGCCTTGATCCCAGTAGCTCATGATTCCGGTTAGGTCGCCATCGCGAGATGTTGACGAGAGCAACTTACTTCTGTGTAACATAGATGGGGAACATGACGTTACTGAACGCGACATTCTTCCATGTTATGTTCCGAGCCAACCCGTTTCCTCCGGTCCAGCTCTTGAAACGGGCAGCATATAACGAATCCTGACGAAGATACATCACGCAGTCATGCGACATCAGAGAATGTCCGGAGCCAGTATCAACATAGATGCGCACTTTCATTATGACGTTTTCAATGTGGACATTTTGAACGTTCGCAACTGCGCCACCTTTACCTAGAGATCCTATGGACAAACCGTGTCCGCCCTTGCAAAAGCTATCGCGAAACGTGATGTTGATAGCGCCAGACCCAACCGTCAGACAGTCATCGCCTTCAGAATATGAGTTAACGGCGAATGTCCGTTTGTCCAAAAAATACCGTCATACCATTTTCAATATGGTTGTTCTCGAACAGCAGATTGGTACCACCAGCGCTGAATCCATCTGTGTTGAACGGAAACGCAGCGGAGTCTGACACAGCGTATATCTGATTGTTGTACGCATGCACAGAGTCCGAGCCTGAGGTCGCGAAGTTCCAGGCCACAGGCTTCCAGAGCTTCATGTTCCGAATGATACCCCCTTTGATCTTCGAGAAAGCCCAGCCATGGGGTCGATTGGTCTGATTGACAGCGTCCCACCACTGTTGACCCTTGCCATCTACCCAACCCCATTTAGGGTCCATAGATCCCTCCAATGTGACATTGGAGCCGCCGGTGAAGGTGAACCACGATCCGCCATACGTCTATCGTGCAATTCTTGTGAAGTTCCTCCGCGGAGAGCAAGACTACGCACGCTGCTGGTTACGCCGGCTTGGACCTCTTCAATTGTGTCTGGATAAGTCAAATTTCCCTGGATGCTGATGACGACATTCGTGAGTGTGGGGAATCTAATAGGAGTCCATGTATTGTACGTGACACCCTATACAACAGCCTAGTCAAATTGGAGGATTAATAAGTATGGGCAATAGGCACCTTCTTGAATAGGATGGTGGTATTCGATGTGATGACCGGACTCGTGCTGTTAGCGGTGGCTGGCGTAACCGCGAGAGCGGCAATGAGAGCGGGCATGTCATCCGCACCGGCGATGTGAGGAACGGTGTACAACGCCATAGCCCATATAGACTGGCAGAATACCAGCACGTGTAAGAAAGACCAACGCATAGTGCACAAAACGCCTGCCAAGTGGCCTGGTAAGTGGCGGAGGGGATTGTGCAGGGATTTATAGGACTTCAGGAACGTTGATCGTCCGTAGCCCTGCGAGGCGCGGAACGGAGGTAGCATCACATGTGCGAGTGTTCACCTGGTATTTCAGGCAAGGCGTGAATCGAGAAGTGCACACGAGGACGCGATATATTGACTCCGAGAACTTGGCGGAAGAACGCGCCGGGAAGCATAAGGCGGACAAACCGCACACGAGCCGGTCTCCTGATTCGATCCAAGGGGTGAGCTGCATCTCAATTTGAAGAGCAAGCAATGAGACGGGTCAGGTCAGAGTAAGACGCGGAAGAGGGCGGTCCGTGCGGTCCGACCCAGGCTCTGCTCTTAATTGTAGCGTAACTGGCCAAAAGAATTCATCATCATCATCATCCGTCTCCGTGAAGGAGGCACGTGTAGGTCACTGGCGTTTGCTTGAGCATTACTAGTACTACTAACCTGTCCAGGTGCACATCCACAATCAGTGCATGTGTGAATAGCTACTACACTGTATGGGATTTACAATGTGTAACTTGCACACCGATCCTGCGCTCCGGTAGCATTGCCATGTCAAGTATACCGGGAGAGTAGTCATATTTTTGACATATATCTGCATCCTTGAGATAAATCTGTCATAACTTCAGAGTAATAGCTTGGCTAAAAATATGTCAGTAACAACCATAGTTATTATACAATAGTTTTGTTATATGTTTTCCCCAGATTCCAGGGATTTCCCGCTGTGCTACGCACAAGACCCATCAACGCGGCATGCGAACTCGGCCGGTCGCGCCGTGATGCATCCTGGTTTTGCCCCGCGGCGGGGGGGGGGGGGGCGGGGCGGGGGGCAAATATGGCGAACGCACTCCGTTCGCGTCCCTCGAGTTGCAATAGGAATGTCCACGGGCCAGCACTCTTTGCAGTAAGTTTGACATCATGTGGATCAACTTAGCTCATAGCTTTTCTGAATCATTTTGCCAATTATTTCTTACCAGATTCAGCCTGTTTCCTGCAGTGTAGGCTGATCCACGACTTGAGCCGCCAGTGCCATAGGTATATCGCCGATACATGCATGGGCATTGGGAAAGGGTTCGTCCTTGGACGATCATGTTGCACCAGCAGCCCTTCTATGAGGGAGTCAGTAATCAAATATTGGGAGGTGTGTCGTGGATACCTCTGCAGGTTAAGCCTATGTCAAAGCTCCGTCCACCGGTCATCGATGCCCTCCGAGACCCTCCAGCGGCTTGTTCCCAGCCATAGTTTAATCCTCTCTTCATCGTCGTTGCCTGTTGGATCATCCAGAATAGTGGTGTCTCCTTCACCACCCCTGCTTCCGAGAGTAAGCACCGCCCAACCTACCACAATCATGCCCGGCGGTCTTTGCTCCCCAATGCTCGTCATCGCTTGCACGATATCCGCCAGTGTCGAGTATGTCACTCGTTGGTCTGGCATTGACGCCCTCTCTATGATCGCCACAGGCGTATGCGGTGGAAACGCGGTGCCGCTTCGCCTCCCGTTCTCATTCCCCGTCCGCAGCATCGCATCGACAACGCTTGGAAGCCGCGCAACGCCCATCAACATGACCACAGTCCTGCCGCGCTCATAACCAGGTATCCGCACGTCCTTGCCCTGGCGTCCGACGCCTGTCGTCACGATCACGTTTTCTGCTGCGCCACGCTGCGTAACGGGTATGCCCGCGAAGGTGGGTCCAGCAATGGCCGAAGTTACACCTGGTACAACGATAGGTTCTATGCCTTTGGACCTGAAATAGATGATCTCTTCGCCTGCGCGGCCGTATATCATCGGGTCACCCTGCTTCAGCTTCAAATGACCTGGTATTAGTTTGTTAGGACTTCGACCACACTGGCCATGGCATACCCGGACGACGTTCAGACCACGACAAGCTGCTTCCACGGCGGCCTCCATCATTTCCTGCTGCGCGCCTTCTGCATTTCCGGGAAATTTACGCGCAATCCTGATTTCCACATGACTCGGGATCAGCGCAAGCACCGCAGCGGGTACGAGCTTGTCGGAGAGAACCAGCTGGGCGTGTTTCGTGAGCGCGGCATGGGTAGCCAACGTCAATAGAGCGGGATGCCCCGGTCCCGAGCCGACCAGGAAGATCTTTCCCGGTAGCGTCGCGGCGCTGAACGAATGTACGCTGGCCGGAGCAGCGCTCGGTATGACCGGGTTCAGTGTGTGAACGTCTCCGTCAAGGATGGATGCCATATTGCTATGGGAAAGCGCAGCGATCTGCGTGTAAGGCCAGTACTCGCTGACTTGAGCTACCCAACGCATTCGCCTCCGCATGGCTTCCTCTTCATCCTCCATGGCGAACGGAGAGCGCTGGGGTACAGGAGAGTTGGGTGTCGCTTCTCCGTCATCTTCGGCGGTTGTGACGTCGATGATAGCATCTTCGATGGCGGTAGACTGCCCTTTGCCGAGCTTCCGCAGCTGTCCCACCTTCCTGACTGCGGCTCCGATTTCCCGGGGTAGCGTGCTGACTATGTCCCTCCTGATCCTGCTTGCAAGTCGGCACCCCTGCCCATTGGTCGTCACACCGAGTTGTAGCGAGGTTGGCTCGTTCGTAGCCGGGTCCACGAAACGATGCGTCGAGTTGAACGTAAAGTCACAGAGGTCTGGCATATCTGCGACGTTCAAGGGTATGCGCCTAGACTCACACATTGTTCGAATGGCCGTTGCAGAGATGCGGGACAGTCGTACGCCGGAGTCCGCGCCGTGGAGAGTGTCTGTGATGCAGATGAGGCTGGGTCGAGCCTGTACCGTATCGAGAAGCCGTTCCAGCGTCGAGGCGTCCTCCGTCTCCGAGGAGTCCGCGTGCAGGAGGGTGAGCTGTCCCGCTTGCGCTCGCCATCGGATTTCATCGCAGACGGCGTTTGCGCCTCTGAGGGTAACGACGACGACGTTTGCGTCTGCTTCGAGTGCGGCGAACACTCGGGAGGCGGCAAGAGTGTTGCATCCGACGATGACAACCGTCTTTCGAGTCAAACGAAAGGACAGCAGCAGAGAAGCGCCGGGTGTTGGGGCAGGAAAGGGCGTCGTACGGCGTCCCGCGTCCATAGCCTGCATCGTCGGGGAGAAACGATAACGGAACTTGCTGGCATCTTTACTTATAGAGTTGCCGGTGAAGCGTTCGCCACGATGAGCAATTGGACCGTACGGAGTGGGGGTTCAGTTGAAACTCCGCGCAAATTTTGCAAGGGCTGCGCGGAGCTTAGCATCGAATCGAAGCGATCTTTGATCGCGACCAGCCGTCGTTGCAGGTTCGGGAACCTGGGTGGACGATATCATGGTCGTAGATGATGATGGATATGCTCGAGCTCCGCGCGCGGCAGACCGTTGGCAAGTCATAGAGTGCAGTTCCATCGAGATCGGAGGCACCGCCACAACCGCGCCCTGAAACTGCAGCGGGACTTTACCCCGAATTAATCCTCCGTGAGAGGCAGATCATCAAGATCCCCTCGGGCCATCCGTGCCCGTAAGGCGCAAGCTATGCTCGGCAGTGTGCCCCATCGTATAAATCCTCCAAGCTCTTCGACCACATCTCCTACCAGCTTTTTTCCTCCGGGCCCACCCACAACCGAATGTCCTTGGCCCAGTTTCCCTTCTCGGTAGGCCCGTTCGCCCAGGGGCCCTTGTCCGGTTCGCCCATCTCAGCAGTAACCCCGGAGCAATGGTCGCTGCTCTATGACCAAGTCGAAGGACGCTTGACCACGACACAGCCGTGGGCCGCCCCGTGCTTCTCCGAAGTCGACGGAATACAGCAAACCGTGAATTCTTCCGCGTGCGAGTTTGTCAAGGAAAACTATCTCGATGGAGTTGTCAGGGCTGCGTCTCTGGGTGCTTTGTCCAATACCCAATGGGAAGGATGTCAGGCGACGGGCGAACAGTGCATCCTAGATTGGACGAACCCTTCAAATGACAAAGCGACCGCCGTTCCTTACCGATGCGAGTATGGTAGCATATCTAGGGCTTATGTAGGTCTTCCTCAGAGTTTTCTCGTTGCGCCATTGCTCTTACGCGTGTCATGTATAGGTTGATGTTGAGAAGCCAGAAGACGTGCAATACGCGTTCTCTTTCGCGAAGGCCCTGGACTTACCGATTGCCATTCGGAATACCGGAGCAAGTCGCGTCCCTTCATACGGTTGTGTGGTTGCGTGTATTGACGTCAAATTAGCACGACTATAAGGGCCGGAGTTCCGCACCAGAGTCATTGGGAATCTCCGTATGTATGCCCTTAGCAAACGCGTGCAGAGCTAATGTATCGTGCAGGTTAATAAACTGAAGGCGCTGATGTTTCACCCCGACTTCGTCGCAGACGGGTGCAGCGGCGAAGGAGCGATAGCTATCACCTCCGGGGTACGCCTTCATATACTTGCTCGCCGTATTTTCATGCAGAAGCTGACCGCAACAGGGTGGTGTTTTGTGGAAGGAAGTGTACGCTTTCGCCGATGCTCACAACGTCACGATTGTTGGGGGTTCGTTCTGTGTCAGATAGCCGTGGACCAGCAACTAAATAGAATGTCGCGTCTCACAGGAACGGATGCTTCCGTTGGGGCTTCTGGAGGGTGGCTGCAGGTTGGAGTCGCCGCGCATCGCTGATGTTGGTTACTGAAGACTCCATAGGGAGGTGGCCATTCAGCGCTGTCAATAAACTACGGAATGGGTGCAGACAACGCTGTACGCCTTTTAGCTGATATTCCTGACGAGGGCAATGACAGACGGAACAATTTTCAGCTCCAGTTTAAGATCGTCACCCCCACCGGCGAATACCTGACTGCGAATGCCTGTCAAAATCAAGATCTTTTCTGGGCTCTTAGGGGCGGTAATGATTCTTCAGTTACGATTGCACATGTGAGCTATATACTCATCATGCAAATGTGTTAGGTGGAGGTGGCACATTCGGTGTCGTCATGGAGGCTACCCAGAAAGTCCAACCGGTTCTAAACCTGCAAGTCACACTCCTTTCTTGGGCATCCAATACAACCCAACCCGATGCCTACACCCGGGATTTATGGTCCATTGCACTCGACAACGCTGTGCAGTGGGCCGAGAAAGGATACGGGGGCTACATCTATAAATCCATGCTCTTGTACCTGACGCCCAAGCTCGACGCGAACGCCGCAAAGGAGGCAATGGCACCCGTGCTCAGCTTCGGTGACAAGCTCGCGAAGGAGAACGTGCCGCAAGCGTTCGTCAAACAATTTGAATTCCCCAAGTGGCACGATTTGTTCGCTGCATTCCTTGCACCTCATCCAGCGGTTCGTTTCGCTCACAAGATGACGACCATAGTCTAACAAAGAACATTTCAGGAGACAGGTGCTCCCCAAACAGTGGCTTCGCGACTCATACCGCGCGATAACTTCGCATCCGCCGCCTCGCGTGAGACACTGTTGAACGCCCTTCTGGAGGCATACAGTACGGCCCCCGGTGGGTTCATACTCGCGACCCCACCTGCATCCTTCGCCCATGAAGAGGGTGCTACGAGCGTTCACCCAGCATGGAGGACGTCCCTGTACCATACCGTGGTCACGGCCGACTTCAATTTTAACTCGACCCTGGCAGAAAAGAAGGAGAAATATGATACCGTGAGTCGTGCCATTGCGCCTCTAAGGGCCATCACACCCGATGCAGCCTATGTGGTCAGTAAACCATAGTGTCTCGTTCGTCATCAGATATTTATGACATCCTTCCAGAGCGAGGCGGACGTTCATGAGCCCAATTGGCAAAGTGCGTTAACCTACCTCCCAACCGATTCGTCATGGTATCGATAAGTATCCAAATCAGAGGCTTTCTGGGGCTCCAACTACGAGAAACTATTGGAAATCAAGAAGACATAGTACGTCTCTTTTGTATCTTGCCTCAGTACAAGTCATGGTTGTTTATCGTGTTTTCAGCGACCCCGATCACATACTCGATTGCTGGCATTGCGGTGCGTCGATACGCTCATAGAATCGCCCCTTTCTGACGTACTTTCCAGTCGGTTGGGAAGAAAACTCTCCTCGTTATGCTTGTTACATCTGAGCACCATAACAAGTCGCGGATAGGCGACTGAATAATCGGGCCGTATCTTTTTTTCCCGATCTCCATGCCGATTCAATTAAGGTCGCATCACATATTCATGCGACTGTACAGATCATCTACATTGACACAGTATAACTTGGCTTCACTCAAAGTGAGAGTGGGACGTCCTTCAACCAGCGAGTGATCATGTCCAAAGCGGCTTCACTCTGATCGTAAGGGACCATGTGGCCGGCATCATACACGTTTAGGAAAGTCACATTTCCAGCTGTGTATCCTTTGCCTCCGGCACTGCGGACAGCTCCCGCCAGCTGACCAGACTTCTCGGTGACCCAGGGAAGGGATTGCGCACCCAAGAACTCTTCATGAAATTCCGTGTCGAGCTGTGACACCCAGCGTTCATTACCCTGCAGGCGAGTTATTCAGCATCAGGTGGGGCCATTGATGAGCGGTGACATTACCATGAAATTGCACATGGCGTCTGCATTGCCAGCATACACAAGGAGACGAATGCCATCGTTTACGAGTTCGGGGAGGAGGTCAGCGCTGTTATGCATCCCATCGCCCTGGAACATGAACGCTTGATTGACTTCCATATTGCAAGACTGGAACTTGAGGTCGGGGTTCACGCCCAGTGCACGTTTATTTGCATCGGTATTCATCCAAGTGTCAATCCAGGTCATCTCCTTATAGCAGAGATCACCATCCTTCGACTTATCGCATTTTTTGCGTACGTCGTAGAGATTCAGACCAGTCTCTACAATGCCGTTCAGCTTCCTTTAGAGCACTGAGGAAAGCTTCACTCACGTTGCAGGGGTCCGAACAACTGACTCCAGCAGTACAGCGCCGCGGGTACACAGGTGAATCGCGAATTGTAATCATAGCAGGACTGGATCAATCGTTCGCAGGTGGGAACTTTGCTGCGTAGGCTTTGGCACTGGGGCCCGTCAGGCTCGAAGATGGCGAAAGGGCCCTCGCAGGCATAATCCGGAACACTGGCCATCTGTATCAGGGGGTTGGTCAACCCATTAGCAAGGATGACGGAAGCGAGGTTGATTCGGATATCCCCAGGAACCGGCGAGCGAGTGCCCATGGTAGCAAGCGCCTTGTTGGCCTGGTGGATGACGCTCGCAATATTGGGCGCATACGTGCCCCCGTACGACTCCGCGGCGATGTGGAAGGGCAGGGAGGCGTACTTCGGGAAACGAGCAAGGAAGAGTTCAAGGAACGCATACACGTCCTTGCCGGCGACCGGGCTGGTGTTCACCGTCGAACCGTCGTCACTATACGAGTATCCGACGTTGATAGGCTAGCGCAAACCAGTCAAAACCAGGAATTTGTGCGCAGGACGGGCTTACTTGGTCAAGGAAGATAATGTTGGCGTGAGTATTCCACCCAAACTCGTTGTAGGTGGTGTTCTTGCCCTCGTCAGCGATGTTGCAAGGACCCAACTCGAAAAGCAGCCCTGTGGAGGAGCTGCATCCTGGAGCAAAGAGGTTAGACAACCATATCAATTCCAGCGGTTGGACTAACCTGGACCGCCGTTCAACCAAAGAATCAGAGGCCCCTCGCCCGGGTTATTACGGGCCTCGAAGAACCTGCGATAACGAGCCAATAAGGATATAACAAGATTGCTTCCATGTCTTCGATGCATACCAGAAGAATAGATGCTTTCCATCGGTGATATCCAAGTACCCAGAGTACTGCTTCACCGTCGAGTCGCAAATGTCAGGCTCAGTGAACCGCAAAGAATGCTCCGCGAAAGCAGGGTGGGCAACAAGCTCATCTACGGGAATATAGGGATGGATTAACGGACTAGCACGCTTCCTTCTCGTGCCGTGCAACGCACAGGTCATGCCATCCTGGTGAACGAACTGTCCTCCCGCGCCATAGGCCCATTCGTAGATGCCGACTTTCTCCTTTCCAAGGAAATCCTTGGCGCCATCGAGAGCGTCGTGGACAAGGTGCTCGATACCGTCTGCGACACTGCCAAACACGCTTGCAGCCAGGTTGGAGTAAGCGGCTAGGTCACTCAAGACGGTTTGTACTTCGCCTGGAACAGTCGGTACGGCATGGATGCCGACCGAAAGCAACGGTAAGAGTAACAGAGCCCTCGTCATCGTCGAGGGTGAAGGACGAGGTTAAGGTGTGCGTTCGTGACCACGCCGCAGCGCCGCAGCTGCCGTATTAGGGCACCCACCCCCTCAGAATCATTTGCTACAATACATATTTGATTGAACATGGAACTGGCGAGTCAACCCGCATGAATGAACTACATGTACAGATATTGGAGTGGTACAATGACAGTGGGTACGGGGGCGAACATGATCAACAATATACGGGAAGCAGATCACTGCGCTTGCAGCTCGCGTTTGAGCTCCTCAAACTTCCTTCCTTCTGTTTCGGCCCGTTCCATATTCCTGATAAGCATATCCTCCCGTGTCTGGAGACGCTGCTCCATACCAAGAATTAGCATACGAACCTATGCATTCAATACGTCAGGTATGACAACAAGCCCAACTTCTGCTGCGAACATCGTACCTGCTCAATTTGCGCCGTAACTTCAGCGGGATCTGTCGCCATGTCGGGGCTATCTTTGGCAGGCGAAGCAGATCGAATAGGTAGGGAAGTATTTCCCGAATTGGACCGCTCGTGTTGATGTAAACGAGCAGCAAAAGCCGAAGTTCCTACCGGAGAGACATCAAGTGACGACTAATAAAGGAGATAAGGCTACCGCCTTCCAGCAGGATGGGAACATTGAATAATGCACCTGCCAGTTCTCGCCTGCGACCTTCGAGAGCGCTTGTTCAAGTATCTTCTCCCGTGCCTTCCCTCTGCGAATAATCCATGCACCTTTGTGTTCCTGTATGGGAATCAAAAAATATGATACATACCTTTCCAGTTCTGCCATACATCGTTCATTCTCTCGTTGGGTGCCTTGGAGTAAGAGTTCCAAGTTATTATATTCCTTCTCCATCTCCTGAATAGTTTCCATGGCAGGTCTTTGTGACAGCTGCACTTGCAAAGTTTGTATCTGCGTCCGGAGCTGAATTATTGTAGCATCGCCCATGTAACGAGATACTCAGCCCACATGACGGAGATAACGTGTCATTCTCAGCGTACCCTGTCGTTTTCTCTATCTTTCTCCGTCAGTTGTCTTCTCAAGGACTCTTCGAGAGTCTCTCCAGTTGTTTCCCTGAGGAGTCCAAGTTCATCTGAGGAGTGAGCACCAGATTGTCTTGGAAAGTTCCGAAGCGTTGACGCGCGACGATTGTGCATTGCCAGGGGGATCGCTGTAAGAGAACGAGGCGAGTTCAGACCGCTGAAAACGCATGGACTCCTCACGATCTCCTCGAAGGCTACACGCGGACACGAGTCACATGACCGTGACCATGAGCGCACTGCTGCTGCTTCCGAATCGTGTTGCTGCACAACATGTACATGAGAAAGCAATGTGAATGATGCATATAATGTACAGCGGTAGCATGATGGCACTAAGACAATACATTTAAATGATACACAACACCACGGATAAGCAAACACGAATACATACTGTCCCAGCATGAACGCGGTTACTCTCCTCCGCCCGCGAGCTCGAGGATGAGCTTGCATGCTAGGTCCATGAAGATATATGGGGAAACAATCTCGTCCTCTCCGACGTTGACATGCCGATCAGCGTGTCCCGATTCAGACCCTGCTTCCGAAATCGTGTCTGGCATGGCCATGTCGAATTTCCCCGCGTCTGGCTCCGTAGAGGCCCGGTATGATTTCTTGTGGTGAAAATCCACGAGATAGTTGATGGAATCTACCATATACAACTGTATATTCATCAGAACCTAGGGAGCCTGAATTAGCACAGGGTCAGGGGACATGAATGTTCCGCAACTTACAACAACATCTTGTATGCGTGCTCGTGTCTCCACAAAATAGATACTTGCTGCCTTCTTCAAGTCCACGAATCCACCGCCATCATAGTCATATGCACGTTCTAGCTTCCTCTTGCCGTCCTTGTCCCGTACCTTTCCATTGACAACACCACCGAGTCCTCCGAGATCCTTCTTTTCTTTCCATTCCATCCCTAACGCTTTCAGCGTTCTGTAGATCTCTAGCATGACCTCCATTGGGGGACTCCGACTACGAATGCCGAAGTGCCACTTCGTTCGATGCTGCTTTTTCTCGCGTTCCCGTGGAGCACCTGAACGCCGAGCCGAAACATACGAGGCAAGGTGATGCTGTTCCGGTAGCTGTTCCGGCAAGGACGAGTTCAGTACTGCAAAGTTGTTAACTTCTGCAGACTCCTCATCTGGAGTGGAGAAATCAAGAGCATCGTCGGTGTCGGTCTCCTCCTCGTCATATGTATCCTGGAATTCTGTATCAAATGGATTCTCTTGCAAGTCCGTACCACCTAATGGTGATATCGCGCCCGGCGAGATGGCATATCGCGGCTACGAACGTGATGAGCGACGGACAAAATGCCGAAGATATTAGCGTACATCCATTGCCTCCAACTGCGCATCGCGTTCCGCTTCCTCGAACTCCGCCACTGAATCGTGGTCAGCACAGGACATCGGGATATGTTTTGCACTTACAGTCTCTTCCGAGCCTTTTCTTGTCCCTGAGAAGTATATAGGCGACCTTGACCGCATTGCCCTGCACACCATCGTCCCGTCTGAGGCAGTCCCAAACATCGTCTTTGTCGATGCCCTCCAAGCGATTTGCGAGATCATCCACTACATCCTCCTCGATCCTGCCGAGGCCCTCGATAATCTCGAAGTCGAGGGCCTTCGTAGGAGGCTGAACAAGCGACGAAAGCGTAGGGAGGACTGGACCAGGCGGAGGTGGTAATGGTGTAAGGTAACGGGGCAAGTCCTTCGTATAGAAAGGATGTTGAATGATTTCAGGAATAGTGATGCGTTTGACAGGATCCACCTCCAGCATGGCAGCTATCAGGTTGCGCGCGTCGGACGACAAATAATTGGGCATATGATATACGCCCTCTGCCAATCTAAGTTCGGTCAGTCATTCGCGGTGCGGATACGAAATCACATACGACTGATCTTCGTAAACAAAGCTTGTACGTCGTCGTCCTCAAACGGCAAACGACCACAGAGCATCACATATAAGATGACCCCACCACTCCATACATCAATCTCTGGCCCCGTGTAGAGTCCTCCGCGGATGACTTCGGGCGCCGCATAATTCGGACTTCCACAGCTCGTCTTGAGGAAGTCTCCGTCTTGGATTTGATTGCTGAGGCCAAAATCAGCGATCTTAACGTTGAGTCCGTCGTCGAGGAGGACATTCTCGGGCTTGAGGTCACGATGGACAATCTTCAACCGATGGGAATATTCAATACCAGATGTGAGTTGTTGGAAGAATCGACGAGCTTGAGGTTCGGGCATACGCCCGTGAGCCACGATGTAGTTGAACAGTTCACCGCCAGCATATTCGAGGACGATGATGATGTCCGTTGGGGTCGAGATGACTTCGTACCTGGGAGATCTCGTAAGTCAAGGAACCGGACAGGAGGCCGAAATCTCACAATTTGATGATATGCGGGTGTCTGAGGGCACGCATGTATTCCACCTCCCTCTGCACCCTCGTCTTTGTCCTCGTCGCATGGATAACTTGCTTCGGGATAAATTTCATGGCGACTTTATGGCCCGTGACGGTATGAACAGCCACTAGGGAGCATTAAATTACACAGTGTACAGATGAGTACATGCCGTACGCACTTTTCACTTTAGCGAACGTCCCCTCCGCTATGTCGCCTAGGACAGTATACTCGCCGAGTCTCGACGGGGGAAAGGTATGCTTTATCCCAACATCATCTGCCATTGCAATGACTATAGACGTGGCTGAACTGGTGTGAGCTATGTTGCGACCAAGGAGGTGCGGGGTCGAGGAGGCGCAGGAACTGCCTCGAGTCGGATCTTCGATCAGGGTGAGATGACGTCACGTGATTGACGGTCAGCAAACTGGGCTAAGGCCTCATAATGAGGCTCGGTTTGAGCAATGAGTCACTGCTGGTTCAGCCTTGACCGTTTCTCCACTCAGACTGTGTGTGCGGATCTCTGGAGCTGTTTCCCGAATATAAAAGCAGAATCCGAGCTCTAGATCTGGCTCTGAGATTGACCCAGGGAGCTTTCGTAACGTCCACCCATCTGTGGACAACATTCTTAGCATGTTTCAGAAAGCAGATCGGTCAAAATGTCTTAACCGTGCCTCCAAAGAAAGCTTGGAGTCATGTACAGATAATCACTGGTGTGCATAATGGGATAGGCCCGGTAGTCAGACGAGGCGCGTAAATTCGAGGCAGGTGCGGTGTGTGGCGCCGCTGGCGCGGTGTGTCTCGGTCGAAGAGCCAGAATTCCTGTAGAGGGCCGCTCTTGCTTTCAAGCTATGAAATTAATTCAATTGCCCCTCCGCAGTGATATGGACCGATGATGGCAGTTGAATCTAGGAGGAGGGTTGAAGAAACCGCGGAAGGAGAAAATCGAAGAAAAATCGCAATATTTCTGAATCTTCCGCGTCTTTGTCGCTTCAAATCGACTGCTCCGTGCGTGGGAACGGCATGTGTGATGAATCATACTCCATTCTCTAGTGGAGCTCCGCGTTGTCAACGAACCATCACCCGCTCCTCGTCGCCTCCTCGTCGACTTCCCCCAGCTTTTCCCGCTCGATACATCTTGTGACCCATAATGGCTCGTACCAAGGTATACATCGACGATTCGGTGCCTTATATATCAATCTAAGCTACCTTTCCACAGCAAACCGCTCGCAAGTCCACTGGAGGTAAGTCATATGCGCTCACGGCGATTGTAGGCTCACCCTCGTAGAGAGAGACTAACCTTACATCTCTTCCACAGGCAAGGCACCTCGCAAGCAGCTTGCCACGAAGGCCGCTCGTAAGACCGCCGCTGTAAGTCGTCTTCATCGTGCAAGTCGCTATGAGGCTGTGCAAATGACTGATAACCCCTTGCCCTGGCAGGCCGCAGCCACCGGTGGCGTGAAGAAGCCTCATCGCTTCCGCCCTGGTACCGTTGCTCTCCGAGAGATCCGGCGGTACCAGAAATCCACCGAGCTGCTCATTCGCAAGCTCCCTTTCCAGCGCCTGGTTCGTGAAATCGCTCAAGACTTCAAGGTTTGCTGTCTCCTTTATCCATCAGAGTTCTTCTCATACCTGTCAACAGACTGATCTCCGCTTCCAATCGTCGGCCGTCATGGCCCTCCAGGAGGCAGCCGAGGCCTACCTCGTATCACTGTTCGAGGATACGAACCTGGCTGCCATCCACGCTAGTACGTCGCGCGTTGGCATTGATGACGATAGCAAAGGACTTAACGAACAACCCAGAGCGCGTGACCATCCAACCCAAGGATCTTGCTCTGGCACGTCGTCTTCGTGGCGAGCGTTCATAAGTTGCTGGCGCATCGGCGGCTGGCTTATGATTTCTTGTAATCGGTTTTGTACGTACGTCCTTGACATTGTCCCTTATTGTACTCTGTAGTATGCCATGACCTATGCGCGATCCCTATGCATTGTTTGGAGAGCAGCGGATATCATGTCACTGCGGTGTCGTGATGACTCCGCGATACACATATACCGAATACTAGATGTGGCGCCTGAGATGGCCTGAGATGACTTGTACTTTTATGCGGCGCAACCGAACGTTTCAAGCCCGTCTTTTTTGAGGATTTTGCCCCCTTTCATCACGAACCTTACGCTCTCCTTTGAGATCGTCTTTTCGAAATCCGCCTCGACGTCTCCGTGAACCGCGATGATATCTGCTGCGAATCCTTTCCTCACCATACCGAATGGGACTTCGTTATCACCGACAATCCTCAAATCCTCGTTCAATTCTTCAATCCTCGCTAACCGTTCCATCCCTGATGTACCTTCCCAGGCGGCACTGCGCACAAGACGCCATCCGCCGAGTGTTGCCCACCTAAGAACTTTCGGTACGGGTGCACCGAGCCGTACCATCAGTTTCAACTCGAAGGAGTTGTCCCCGTGCGAGAAGACGCCCGTATCGCCACCGCACGCAATATTATCCATGCCAACTTCTAGGGCAGCTTTGAATGTAGCCGTTGCCGCCTCCCATTGCCCTCCGTCTTGTCCTAGAGTATAATAGGCTGCTAGAGTAGGCTGAAGCACTGGGTTAACCTAACATGCAAGGTGGGACGCTGTGGCCACGCACTACCCAGAACGTCTTGGATTGCGCGAATAGACGAAGTTCATCCTTCAAGGCTGCACTGGTCAATCCACTTCCTATGTTGTATCCGTGCTCGATGGAGTGGACACCAATGTGACGAAGCAGTTGCATGCTGAGTCGTTCTGTCGAGTGAGCCGCAACTTTCACGCCATACTGCTCAGAAGTCTTCACCATCGCCTCTAGCTCCTGACGAGTAAATGTTGCGATGGAGGCCCGCGAAGCCTTGTTCGACACGCCGACGCCCAAGCGAGACCGGAAGCGGTAATCTGCGTAGATCTTCACCGGGTGTATGATTAGTCTCACTGAACTGGACATTTTGGCACCAGCTTACTTTAATCCAATCAGCACCAGCGCCGATTTGTCTTCTCACCGCCTTGGTACATTCGACCACACCATCGGCAACTTCAGCACCCGTGATTCCGTCAATGCCGTCTTGGTTCGGGCGTATCAAGCTCTTAGGGCCTGATGGAGATTAGGTTCATAGCGTGAATAACCCTTCTGCATCTGAGCGTACCGTAAGCGCCAGTGGGGACGATTGCACGATTTGCGCAGAAGTATCTAGGTCCTGCAATCAATGGACTAGGGCCCGATAGGCATTTCCTCAGTGAAATATCGGCATCTTCTGCGCCTTCCGTTCCCAAATCTCTGTTGGCAAGCTAAAACTAAGCAGTACATCGTCAGCATACACGCTCACCTAACAGCGGTAAAACCAGCCATTACGGTGGATCTGGCGTGCACGGTGGCACGCACAGTGCGTTCAGCCAGGCTCTCCTTCGTGAGCTGATCCTCCCATGATACTTCCGAGTACGGGTGCAAGAAAACTATCGCAGGTAAGGATAGGGTTGGCCACGGGATATGTTGCAGTCTCCGCGTCATTCGATGTCAGCAAAGTGTGCTGATCACTCACAGTGAACGTGCGTATCAACTAGTCCCGGGAGCACCGTCAAGCCTCGCAAGTCCACGGTCCTTGAGTCCACGAGAACAGAGTGCACATCTTCTGAAGAGAAGGGTGTCACGTCTAGGACTAAGCCGCTGTCTTCAGATACAGTGATTATACGATTGGTGATGAACTGTTCCGTCTCCGGGTCGAATAACTTGGACACCACGAGTTTCGTCATCCTCCCGTGCGGTGGTAGAGCCGACGACTGGGCAGCTACGAGATGCATCAGTACTAGGTTGTATTGTCGATATCCGGAAGCCTGATGTCGCTGTAGGAAACAGAAATCTGCTGGAGTAGATCTAATCTAATTCATGGTACTGGCACCTGCTAAAAGCCTGGTGGAAGGACTTCTGCATGAAGGGCCACGCGTACGGGACAAGGCTTATCCCGGGTGGGTCAACGTGTGCGAGCGTGCAACTAACGACAATACACAGCAATGTACTAGGCGGTAGTGGTAATGATACAACTTGACATAAATGATGTACCCTAGTCCTTGATCCAAGAAAATGATATCCGTCCTAATTGTCTGTATGTTGAACAAGGCACAGCCTAGTCAGCACCTAAATCATGTATACATCAGGGTGGTTGTGCAGTTTCAGTCCGCTCGAAGCGACATTGTGAAGGCACCCTCCCATGGTATGGCACCAGGGCCCGCGTCCGTTCGCAGGCGCCAAAACCCGACAAAATTCTGACCGCCAACAAGATAACCGCGGAAGATCAGCCGGCCCAAGCGAGGGTCGCGCTGTGGTTAAATCAGCATGAGCTTCCTACAGAGAAAGGATCCTTACCGGTTGTCTGACAATGCAAATCATGCCGTCCCAATGGCGGATGCGACCGTACATAACGTAATGGCCCCAGGCACGGCCATGCCTGTCGTCCGTCTGTTCAAATGCAAATAAACCCCAAGAAGAAAGTAGGACAGCAATATGCAGAGCACACCTCGCCCGTGATCACGAAGTCCTGGATGCCACGGCATCTGTCGTCAACGAAGTCCGTGCCTCGGAAATCTTCCTCCTCGAGGTCGGAGAAGAGCTCATCCAGATCGAAGTCGTTTCCGTCCGGACTCTCCGATGCCACTGCTAACTCCTCCGTAACCCGCTCGCGCGATTCCTGGGTCAATGCATGTAACCTTTGTTGACATCGTGCACACGTTTCAGGTTTATGCGAGCTAGGTTTATCCGGGTCATAGGTGTCGTATATTGCCGGCGAGTCCGAATCGGGGTCATGAATGAAGAGCTTGTCCTATTCGCCACTATCGGTGAATAGATATATTAGAAAACACATGAGCGCTCACATCGTATTCGCGCAGTCGAACGCCGTTAGGCAGCCATCCGTTGAGTACACCGTCGTCGAATCCCTGGCCGTCGCCTCCCAGCGCGGCGGTTTGGGCGGGACTGATGCAATGGTGTTCGCGAAGCCTCATATATAGCGGCGCGTTCGTCACAAATGGTGACATCTCGCCGAAACCCTGCGGAACATGAGGGGAAACGATGAGACTGCGGTACTGCATCTCCGCCGGATACTACAACGAGGTCATTCAGAAAACGTTATGTTGGGAATGACACACGACGCACCAGCATTCTACCTTGCCATAGGCCGCGTAGGCTTCCTGGAGTGAACACGGGCGATTTCAACATCTGCCCTTCCCATGCATTCCAGCAACAGGTCCATCTGGCCCAATCATCGTCCCATTTTGAGCTCAAGGACTTGAGGTTTTGGCCCAGCCGACACTCATTTTCCGCGGCCAGCTCTTCTGCGGTGAGGCTCTCCTCCCAGTTCCAAGTAGCGCGCGGCAGAATAACAGTGTGCTTATTCCGGAACTCGATGATATCCTCAAGGGTCGGACTGGGCTCCTGGCGTCCCAACGCGACGGCTTCAGCCCGATTTCGAGGAATGTTGGGGGGGATCCCGATAGGATCCACTTCTCTTCGGCTGAAGAAGACTAATTCTGCGGCAAGTGTGATTAAAGGCGTGACAACGTGCAGTTGCCTGCCGTAATGCCAGATCATCGTGCCCGTAGTTTCAGGATCGCGGTACACGGGCCAAGGCCCATGCCCGGAGATCATCGAGTGAGGCGGACGTTCGGGGCCCGTTTCATCGTCCCAATCCAGGGGTACATTGAAGTGGTTATCAGGGACCAGAAAGGCGGGATACTATATCGATGTGTCGTATGAGCGGCGCGGATCGACGCGTGTTGTTGGACCTACGCGGCATGGAAGAAGCACGTAAGGCCTGACAGCGCTCATGATTTCCGCCCTTCTTTGTGGTGATTCCACGGAGAGTTTGGCTACATTGGACGATCAGTCGGAGTAGTACGGCGAGTGGCAAGCGGGGACGTACCTTCGTCAGTCATAAACCATAGTAGCCAGAGACCAAGTGACCTCACAGCGTCATCTGCCGGCCATTCATCTCGCCGATTCCTCTCCCACAGACCCTGCCGGACCCAGATTTCAAGGAGCTCGGGAAGTCCCGCCTTCTCGAGCTGAATTCTGTTCCGACCGTCGTTCTCGGACATCATCACGAACGCCACCCAGAAATCGTCAACCAAGGAGGGAGAGGACAGATCCCGGGCACGGATGCGACGTAACGTCTCACATTGCAGCTTAAGTTGGGCCGCTAGATTGGACGACATGTGTGTTATACGTCCAACGCGTCTTCGAGCTGCACGGAAGTCGAACATGCCCTTGAACACACGAGCACAAAGGGTATTGTTGGTCGAATATGAGAGCAGCCCATAGACGGCTTTGCATGTGCAGAGTAACGGTACGAGCCCGGCAGGGTGGCCATGAGGGTCGTCAAAGACGATATGTACCGCGATGTTTTCGAGGATCTCGAGTGGAAAGCGAGGAATGATCGACGCGGAGGTTGGTCGCAGAGCGTTCATGCTTCGAGAGGTGGCGGAGGGGTGCGGGAGGGGCAGCAAGATGCGGCCCTTGGCGTCTTATAACCGTTCAAAGACGTTTGCGATTCTCGATGAATGGCCAGAGAAGGCGGAGATGCGCACCCAGGCATGTCTGCGGTCAACTCCACGTCCCTTACCTAAAGACACCGTCTACGATGCATCCGCCCGCGTAGCCGAGCCAGGAGCCGAGCTGATCGTGGGACAATCGCCGCCTCCTCGGCATTCGCGCGCTTGACTCCGGCCACCCAGAGAGGCAACTCCTGAACAAGAGAACGGGCGCCTGTGAGGCGGCGCTACAAGGCGCTACAGCACGGATCCGCCTCGCCATCCCGGCGTCGAACCGCTGCAGCCCATCCACCACCGGCCCGATGTTTGCTCTTGCGGTGCGGATCCCATTGGCCGTCTTCACGACTAGGTCTTCACGTCGCACAGTTGGTACTAGGTCCCAGCGCTCAATGCCCATGACAGGTCCGTTCACCAGACCCCGGATTTCGCGGGTCCGGCCAGGACTCAATGGTGCGGGAGAGGTCAGCCATGGTGACGTAAACGACCCGAATCTCCCACAGAGCTCTTGGATTGAGCCCCGCAATGGCCGCCCGCCAAGCACGACTGGCATGTTCCCCCGCGCGCGTGTTGTCGCATGTACGGCCTCAAGATGCGCGCTCCTCGCATCTCATATGCATATCTCAGAGATCGCATGCCACTATGAACGACCAGTGATCGACCCCGCCTTCTGTCTCCTTCCGATCCCGATCTCACGCGGTACCTGGCGGGTCAGTTCATTCCCACTCTGGAACTTTTCTTCTTCTCCGCCTTGATCGCCGTCGTCGCTTCGTCCAAGTCTGGATCATTCGCTCACTGGGATCTCTCGCCGAAGACTGTTCGTGGGGCCACCGGCGGTGAACATGGCGAACGACTGTCCATGTGCATCAGCGCCGTTCGCTGTCCTCGGCGGCACCAATGATAGAACCATACCCCGAATAATGGCTTCGCATTGAGAACCCGCATCGCGACCTATGTATTGCAGGAGCGTAACCGGCGCGCGCGGGGGGGGGCGCTTTCGGCTCAGATCAAGCTCGCGAAGTTGATTGTCCGATTCGGTCAATACGAACGTGCGGTGCCGTTAATTACTGACCTTTCATAAAGGTCAAACGTAAAATAGGGTGCTTCATTGTCATCAATCTGCCGTGGAAGGTCCTGAGATGAAGGTGGAAAGTATTCCTTTCTGCAGACGCCATTCGCTGACACCTCGTCCCGTTGTCCGTCTTCCCGAAGTATGTTTCTCACGTCAAGGCAGGCGCAGAAGGGTAACGACCTCTAGCGTGGACGCTTTCGCAACGCATCGTCTGGGCTCAAAGCACCCGGGCACGTTAGCGATAGCTCGCCGTCAGCACTGCTTGCATGTGTCGGAGCTACAGGATTTGCAACTCGTCCAGAGTCCCTCGAGATTATGGTGGACAGGTCACATTGAGCTTACCCGGCCTTCAAAACAGCTCCCTCAGTGGAAAAGCTTATCGACATGTTGCAACGATCCTGTGAAGTTACGTTATAATTACGGCAAGCCGTATGTGCACCGTCTCAGAACTGCATGACGACCGGGCGGGATGGCGAAGCCACCCATGCTGCCCGCAATAGAGTGGTGTCTTTCAAACCTGCAAAACAGTTGCTGCAAGTCCCGCCTCTGGAACGGAACCCGCAGTTCGCGGGGCTCCAAGCTCGAGTTTGGTGAGTTTATCTTGGATGTGTGCTTCTGCATTCATGTCGTCAATGTATGGCAGCAAACTGTTGACCCGACTGCCCGGCTCGTAGCTGCAGGATCGCTGCGCCTATGGATTTTGCCTTCGTCAAACAGCGTATCTCCGATGATCTCACAACGCTAAGTAATCCGTTCAAAACGCCCCATCGTATCATGATAGCGGCCTTGTGCAGTTAAAGAAAAGGGTCATTTGCTGTTTCTCCGACTTGGGGACTTAGGTTGTACTGACCATGCGCCGTTGTCATAGGTGCGAGCCCTTCCCAACGTTACCGGCATGCACACAAATGTCGCATCTCCCATTTTTACGTGACGGGGAGCGTCGTTGCGCCGGATACCTACGGGAAGATCATCTCAGCTCCAGCTCTTCCGCGATACCGTGGGTTAGATTTCTCCCGGAGTTGATCGCACGGCAGAGAATCTTACAGTTGTGGTTAGGTAGCTGGGGTTGAGCTTAGCAAGTCCCTTGGAAACCCCAAGCGCGATGATTCTGCTATGTGGACATCTCAACCTCACTGCGATCCGTGCCGGTGACTTGCAACAAGTCAGGCCTGCGAAAGCCGCTTGCCTCTCAAGCCAATCAACGCCGATCCAGGCAATGGTGAGGTTTACCTAGATATATCATTTGCGTGAATGCTGACCGCACTCCCTCGCCGCCCAGTTAGCCACAGATCGCACATATCCGGTCCCAGGTTGGATCGTTGATGGACTGGAAATTCAGATATCACCTGTCCATGCCTGTCCCGCGCAACCTCTTTTCAGGTCGACTCTTGCACTTGTTGCATTTCCACTGTCAAGGTCTCACGTTACGAACCTGCTTCGCCATCCATGATTGAACTATCCTCACGTGTGCACCGGTCGGCCAAGCTCCATGCACGGAAAATAGGATCGCTCTTGGCCGCGCTGACCGTGACACCCTGCAGCTGGCGTTCGCTGCACCTGAAACAGGATGGTTACGAACCAAGACTAATAATAGGCCGTGGGGTGCGATCTGCGCTTGCCACCGCGCTTCCGGCAAGGTCTTAGACTCTGCAGGTCTATACGACACGCTTCTCTCATCAAAGTGGATCGTCGTCGACGCTTGCGAGCTACGCCGCCGAGGGCGAAGCCTGGACGATCCCAATCCGGTCATGTCGTTGCCATATTGGGCGAAGCAGGTGCCGCCGTTGCGACACGAACCTCGAATGTCACGACTCCTTCTGTGACGAGTTGCGCCGCACAGAAAAACCTGGCCCGCCGGATTTTCTCCCTGGCTTCGACCACCACCATCCCCCGGATCGTCCCCTCGGTTTCTGTCCCTGTCATGGCGTCCCAGCATCCATTCGATCCTTTCAAAGCCTCCACTCCCTCTAATAACCTCGGCGCGTCGATGTGGGCGCCAAAGCAGCAGACAGCTCGCTCTGAACTGGATGAATCCTGGGCCACCGGTTTTCCTCGCTCGCATGACGAGGCCATAGGTTTTCCGCAGCGCGTGGAGGGCCTGGGTTTTCACCCGCTGATCGCCTCCGGCAACGATCGCCTGTCGGATGTCTTCGGAGGCGCGGACGCGATGAACACTGGTGTTTCCAGCCCAATCGGCGCCATCGGCGACGGAAGAAGCAGGCCGCGTCAAGGGTTCCCAGATGCGGTCAGTTCAGGCTCCATCATGATGCATATATGCACCACGAACTTACGCGCTGCTGTAGCACGTCGAACAATTGTTTCGAACCCTGAATCTAAACTCGCCGCCACCGCCCCAGCCTGCAGCTCTTTCTCTGGACTGTGGGCTGTCTCCAGATGTATCTCCGATGTCACAGACATCGGCGCTGCTGACCCCGGTGGACCTTTCTCCTGCTCGCACTCCACCCAACATCAAAACGGGTTTTGCTCATGACTTCGGGCCATCTGTCCTGACCGGTCATCCTTTGTTTGGGGACAGCGAGTCTCCGCGTTTATACGACATGCCGCCTTCTTCGCCGCATAACAACTTTCATAGGCAATCGCACGTCGTGGATGTGTTTTCTGGTTCTCCACGCTCTGATCATATCGCCTTCTACGACACTACTGCCGATAGAATCTCCCCGTCACTCAAGCGCCAGCCGTTCCCTTCTAGTACACCACCCGTTCCTCAGGCCTTTAATCCGCCTTCTCGGCGTGTGGATCTACCGTGGTATTCCCAGTCGTCTATAGCATCTGAATGGCTCGACCCATCGACCCCTGATGCGCCGGGTGTTGCGCAGATGACTGGTCGTGATGCACACTCTGGCCGTGCGTCGTTCGAGATGCTATACCAAAGCGACACCAGGGCTGCAATCCCCATTGCAGCATCAAACAATGACGTGAGTCCACCGTCTCCTTCGTCATTTGTTTGTGAGCATCGCCCCGAGCAACTTGAATGCTTGCAGCCAATAAATTTCCTCTCCTTGCTTCATCCTTCGTCGTCGCCGCCATACCATCTGTTCGTTACGCGGATCATCAAATCATCGGACCAGCAAGCTTCGATCTTCCTCCAGCAGAAACTCAAAGTTGCCAATCTCGAAGAACGTCACAAGATCGTTGACGCCATCTGCACTAGGGGATATGAGATGATGGCTCATCGGTACGATCTACTACCATTCAAAACTCAGTTGACGCTGAGCAGTGTTTGCTATGCTCATAGGTTTGGTAACTGGGCGGTTCAGCGATGCTTGGAGGCTGCCACGACGGCTGATGAACGAAGGAAGATTGCATCTTGCATGAGGTACTGAGTCTCGGTCTGAGACTTGCTTGCCGATATCTGATCTAAATTCGTCGAAAGGGGCCGCGTGGTGGAGCTTGCCACGAATTGCTACGGCTGTCATGTCCTTCAGAAGGCTCTGGACTGCGAAGAAGACATTAGGTTCCTTATTGTATCTGAGCTCTTGCTCGGGGATCCCGCGCAGACACTCGTTAACAAGCACGCGTCCCATGTCTGGAGCAAAGTATGTTCCTCATCTATCTTGCAGCCAGCTGTTGACATCCCTACAAGATCATGGAACTGACATGGTCATCGCCGGCGCCCCCCATCTTTGCTTAGTATGTGCTCACCTTCCGCCACGACCAACAGCACTGACCGATCACGTAGCGTCCATAAATCTTTGCAAGGTCAATGGGCGGCACTTGCCTGTCACGAGACTGGTTCTCTTGTTGTTCAAGTTCGTCCTAGTTGTTTTCTGGAAAACGACGCTCTAACTTGATACAGCACGCGTTTGAAAATCTCGAGGAGTCAGCGAAAAGCAGTATAGTAGACGAACTGCTGAACAAAGGTCCGGTGGTATTCGCCCAGGTGGCGAAGAACCAATGGGGCTCATACTGCATCCAGCACAGTTCGTCTCCGAGTCTACTGCAGCTACATTGGCAAACTGACGTCACATGGCGCAGTACTGGAGCATGGCTCACCCAAGCACCGTACTATGACCATCGAACATCTACTTGCAGGGCTTCTTGAGTATGCGACCCACGAGCAAGGAGCAAAATCTGTGAACAAAGCTCTGAAAGAAGGCGGCAAGGATGCCCTTGATCGCATTGTACAACGAATGGCAGATCCGGCGAAGGGGTAACGCTTACTTGCCCCTGCTACGCGACGTCATTGATGAAAGGCACAGTGCGCGACGCGCGATGATCGTCGATCTCGCCTTATCTGTGACGGGAAGCCAGCTCATTGCCAATGTGCTACCGAACGTATGTTTTGTACCTCGAAGCGATGCAGTGTGTTTAAATGGCATACCCTTCAGGTTGACAAGGAACAGCGCAATATCCTGTACGAGTCCATCCGCGGGCACATCGTGACTTTACGGGGGTGCAAGACTGGCTCGAAAGTCATATGGCTGTTGTGAGCTCTGTTTTTGGCCGTTATCCGAATTTGTCCGTTCATGACTCCACCCACAGTGATCGTATGCGAGCGTATTATGGCTACTAAGTTTGCTGAACACCTGCAAGCCGATCGTATTCGATTACAACCGCACGCGCCCACAGGAATTTAACGACGTCTTCATCTTCAAACCTGCGGCAGCGAATATATAACACACCCTTTTTTCAAGAAACAACGGCTTCAATATCCTCTGGTCCCGATCTCTCTGCGCCATCAATATTTCTCGGACTGCTGCACCTCATTTGGTGCATGCTACTTTGCATTGGCTTTCGCTCGTCAAACGTTCACCTCGGATTGCTGCATCAATGCCCGGGACGTTCCTGAGGCATGCCCTCAAATATTTTATCGCTTTATCAGCTTCGGTCATTCGTCGTCTCAGTATTGCATGCAGCCCCTCTTTTATCGCAGTCACAACTCGCAAGAAATATCACTCGCGAATTATCGGTAGCATGTACGTATACGTATCCGCGCCGGATTTGGTCGATCTATTGCAATTAGCTACTGTACCTCGTGCCTTTTCATTTAATGATATTCATAATCGAGAGGAATCCAGTGATAGAAAGGATACTGCATGAAGATTTTGGAGATCGACCGCGCGACCAGTAGATACACGTGCGTCACTCTAGCTCTTGTGAGTGTTCGTCTCTCAAATCACAGCGCGGCTGCGAGTGACAACGACAACGAACACTTTTCCTGTTTAATCTTGCGCTCGGGTTTCAGCATGTACTGTACATGCGGTGGTTTTGGATAATCTTCAGAGCTCTCTCGCTTCTCCTAGGCCTGATCCTGCGTATCCTCAATGGAGCATCGCCCACCTTCTTGAGGAGCACTGAAGCAACCAGCGGAGGTTGCTGTCGTTCGGCTACAGCCCCTGATCCGTATAGCGTACTTATCAGCTAGCACCATGGCTTGCACCAGTGCAGCTGCGCAGGCAAACGTTGCTCGGCCTGAACAGGTAGAGTTGGAATAGCATCCTCTTATCTCCTTGATATTCTCACTCGCTCACTGGATGCATCATTGCGCTGCGGTTGCGGGCGCTGACACGGAAGCCTCGTGCTGTGGAGGGTACGTGGCCTCGCAATTCGGGCTCGAAACCGCTCATAAATGGTCCAACAGGCAGCTCGACGCATAGCATCCTGCCATGCACGCCCGGCATGCCTCTCGTGGCATTCTCCTTCGGCGCGTTCGGTGACATCGCGACCGTCTGTGGCCTGCTCACGCGCGTGGTTCAGGCTCTGTCGAGCTCGACCGGCGCGTCAACGGCTTATCAGGCGCTGATCATGGAACTGGACTGTTTCCACGATTGCTTGGTCCATCTCGAGCACTTGCTTGAGCGAGCGCGTGTCTCTCACCACGCCCGACCCGGTGCGGGTCTCCCCTTCCGACAGCAGCACGTTGAGGGTTTCACACGAGAATGCCGCCGCACCGTGCACGACATCGGTGCCCGTGTGTTGGAGTTCCAAAAGAAATTGAAACGACGAAGCCCGCATAACGGGTGGATGGAGTCGTGGCGGAAGATCGGTTGGGGTCTCTTTACCGAGAACGAGATCTCTCGCTATCGAGAGGACGTACGGCGGCATATGTCCACTGTTCACGCGTTGACGACCGCGGTCAATTCGTAAGCGGTTTTTGTCCGCAATTTAGCTGCGTCTTGCTAATGAACGTCGTATCCATACTCTCAGAGCGATTCTCTATGATGTCGTCGACACCATTTCTTCGTTAACTACCCCAGCTCTCCAGGCGCATAGCAGCATGAACACTCTACTAGCCTTCCCACTTCACGCCCATAACAAGAACGCATCTGCTCCTCCGTTTCCTGCTGCGCGTCTCATCGTCGAGCCCGTCTCGGTGTTCCCTGCGCCGATATCGTCCTTCAACGTCAACGATGATGAACCCGTTGTGGGGAGCAGTGATGCAGCATGCCACTCTTGGACACCCTTCGAAGTCACCACTCCCATCGATACCCCAGTCACGCAGATCCCGACGTCTTTCATGTCCTCATACGCCCACCCCTTACGACGGCAACTGGAGCCAGTCTGCCTCGCCGGAAACGGAGCATCACTAGAGGGTTGCCTTCCCGTTCGTAAAGCCTCTGACACTGGCCGTCCACGTTCCCCTCAGCCTCTTTCCCCCTTCCTGGCTTGATACGCGAACTCTTCGTCCCTATCCGTATGATGCGTACCCGTGTTCCAGGCCTTTTGTGATTGTTACCATATGCGAATGGTCGTGTGTACGTTACCTCAAACGTGATGTTGACCGTCGTTTATTCTGTCATGTATGATTGTAGAATGTAGCGCTTTTCCAGACATGAATCAAGACATGAAAGATATGCTGCTATTATCACGGCGTAAGGTACTACGATCATGCGAGGAGTGGTGCAAAGTGGTTTGCGCGTGAGGGACAGTGAACGCCTAGGCAAAATTAACTAAAGTGCGATTCCTATCCAAGTCCAAGGTCCGATAAATGAGAGATAACATGCTGGGCGTTTGCGCAGGTTTATGTCAGACCATGACGCCCACAGCACCATATACGGCACCGATCAAGCCCACAAGGGCCGCAGCCCATATGCCGGTCGGAAGGCTCATGGAAGGAACTGCGCCACTGCCGTTAAACGGGACGTAAGTAGCCGTAGCGCTCGCCGATTCGCTACTTCCAAAGGTTCCACCGGATCCGCCACCGGTAAGGTTAGCGCCGTTGGGGCCGATGGGACGGGAGGCGTCCGTAAAGGAGCACGTCGAGGAGTTGCAGATGCACTTGCCGTCGATCGGGTCCCAGAAGGGCGTGGAGCAGTTTGATGGGACTGTGCGCAACCGTACTGCTGAGCAATGACGTCGGCTGTAGCAAACGAATCACACTCACGTCTAAAGCGCGCTTGTTCGCCATCGGGAACCTGCTGAGGGGGGTTGGGGTCTGAAGGTGAAGGCGGAACTTCCGGGCAACCGTACTGTCATGCCTTAAGCAAACAGAACATGAAGCACGGACCACAGTACTCACGCAGGTGTAGAATGGGAAGTCTGAGAACGCGCAGTGAGACAGTAGACCGGCCTCGTTCTGCGGGATACCGTTGCAGATCTTCTCCGATGCATCAACATCGGGTGTCGAGCACTTGAGGGCGTCAACCTGATCGAGCTGGTCGACGGGTACGGGGTTCTTCACCCAAGCCAGAAGTTGCTCGTTGGACACAATCCACACTGCAGGAGGTGTTTAACACGAGGCCAGGAGTGCACAAGAGTAAGGTACATGCCGTTGTCCTGCTCCTGCGCCCAGTCAAGGAAGGCGTTGATCATCTTGATAGTCGAGTTGGATGCGGTAGAGCCTGGGTAAGAAAGTGAAACATGGATAGGGTGCGTGTAAAGGCCGATGGGCTGCCGATTGCTAGTGTAATGAGCGGTGAAGGTGTTCTTCATGTACTCGAACGTCGCGGTATCGTTGACGCTCGAACCACCGTTGGCGGCGTCCCTGAATGATCATAAGCCTCGACAACACCAAGCCAAGTAGGAGGGGAATACTGACAGCCAAGGGTCCATCAAGTGAGGGCCATTAACGCCAAGGTTGTCGAAGAAGGCATACATAGGAATTTCCCAGAAGCCAGGCAGCTTGGGCTCGCCTTTGCAGATCCCATCGACGCTCAGGCAATCGTTCGCCATGCCGTAGTCGAGCGTATAAGGCCAGAAAGCGTCCGTGCCGTCATCAGTAACCGGTATGGATGCCGACGCGGATGAATCGTAGGTAAAATCCGCTTGAGCCAGGAGCTTGAGGGTGTCGACCGAGTAGTTCAGATACGGAGCACGGAATCCCTGAATCGAGTTGAGAGGGATACCGGCAAGCGCATTCAGCGCAACCAGGTTGCCGTTGATCTCGTCCGAAGGTGGCGTTCCAACATGTGTCATACTACGTCCCCGTGAGCATAGCGAAGAAAAGATGCTCCACGAGATGGGACTGACGTATGATCAGCTATCTCGTTCCCGGCGACGAACCAATCCGTGACGAGGGTATAGTTCGTGTAGTTGAGCGACGTGAAGTAGGTCATCTTGGGTGTGCATCCATTCGGGTTCTTGCGGTGGGCCAGGAACTGATTCACCGCGTCTGCCGCCGGCGTCATTGTCATCGATGTATCTCGGCCCGAAGTACAGCGACATACCGATAGTATACGACTGGACCGCATCATCGGCAGTGAATACGACGAACTGAGGGACCTGGGACTATTTCGAAGCCGTCAGCATCGGAGGTATCGCGACAGGATTCTGAATGAATAAAAAGCAAGCCTCATCCGGTGAATCACCCCAGCGAGTGCGCCAACGACGAGCAGCGGCAACTCGTGCGAAATCGCGCGGAACTCATGCAACGGAAACGTAACTCACGGGTGACAAACCGCCAGGCGGACTGGTGCTGGCACAGTTACAGTCTGGTAGCTTGCACTTGGACGTGTCGCAGGAGTACCCAGCAGCTTGGGAACTGCTGGTGGGCCCGCTGATGGATCCATCCTGGGCGACGACCAGCAGAGGCAGGAAGGCGGCAAGGAAGGCGCGCGAGAGCATAGCGAAGGCGGTCGCTCCGGTAAATTACGATGAAGAGGTAGAGAGATAGTGGGGACGGGAGATCAGCAGCCGGAGCTGGAGGCTACGGTCTGTTAGAGAGCTCGCTGGCTACGCCGACGACGAGAGGAAACGGGACGAAAGTTGACGAACGCAGGGCAAGCACGGATGTCAGTCCGGTCATCGGTCACATTGACAAGCATCACGGCACGTCGGCAACTCGAACGGACGGCGAGCAGACCCCGCGCCCCTGTCGCCTGCTCCGCACCGCTGATCGTCGTCGGTCGCAGCGACGGACAGGTCGTCGGGGATGGCCATGGTGGCGGCAGAAAGCAACCTGGACGATGGTTTGAAACATCGCCGACAGCTTGCATCTATTCCCACTATGTACCGTTCGGGAAGCAGGCCGTGTCCAACAGCGCGGCGCGCTCGATATACACCCTCGTCGCTCGGCACCGGCATCGCGGGACCCGGACACGGGCTGCAGAGGTGGAGGCAGAGGAGCGGGCTGTAACTGACTGTCGAGCACAGGTCCAACTCGAACATACCAACGACACATCCGCCGTAACTCGCATGTAGAGTACAAGCGGCGCCGACGGGGTGTCGGCCTCCAGTCCCGCCCCCGACCCTTTCGCCTTCGAGACAACCCTGCACTCCAGAATACCAGTCGCCGTGTAGAATGTTCGACCTGCACCCTGGCGACGAAGACGGTTGTAATACGCATCTCGCGCTCGCGTGCCTCCCGCATGTCGGGTTCGGCCTGTCCGCGAAACAACTAGCACGCATGGACCCGATGAGCTTAAAGGTTCTCTAGCTCGGCACGAAGTCGAACTCTATTGCTGGCATCAGACACGTTCAGCCCTGACGAAGACGATCCGTGCCTCTCCAGCTCTCGACGTTCAGAGTTGCTCGCATTCTCTCGGTACTACCCGCAAAAGCGAAGAGATCTCACCAGGGCGCTATCTTATGTTCGCCTGGCTTCCTCCTGCATCGGGTTTGTACACATATACTTGCAATCGCCAATCTGGCATGAGCATCGAACGTTGTGCATTCTTACCGACCCGAACGCCGATATCAACGAACGCGCCACCGCCCTGAGGAACCAGCCCTAGTGCTCCGTCGGCCATCCATGGGCTTCCATCCTGGCGCGCTTTGTCCTGCTTTAACCCACACCCCGCACCTTCGGCCCTGGTCGGATTCTCTTATCAACCTTTTTCTGGAGACCCCCCATCGGGAATCACCCGTCAAGATGTTCTATTGCGGGGTTCGGCAACAGCCCGGTCGACGCAATTTGACCTCGTATCGTCTTGTCTTTCATAGTCACCGGCTAGCCGCGCCATCCCTCGATACAAGCTTATAACATGGTATCCAGACTCAAATGGATGCATTGAGACAGTGTATGTACAGGGAGACGTGCGATCAAGAGAAGGAAAGAAGACGGATTGTCCGAGCATCCCACAGCTATCTATATACACTATAGTACACGCTACCACGGATGAGCCAATGCGGGAGATGGAGTAATGGGGTAGGTGACAAAGGCTGTCTGTCAGCCGCGGGACGCAGTCCAGGGGGTATGGAAAAGAGATGGGCGAGAGATGTAAGTTGGCGATGGTATGGCGTTACTGTTGTACATTTTGTAGATAAAGGAAAGACGAGAAGAAACCCGTGTATGAGGTGGGGCGAGAAAGGTGCACGGGGGTATTCGAAACGTGGTTGAGAAAAAAGCCAACTTGCGAAGGGGTGGCACAGAGGTGACTGCACCAGTTTTGTAGAGTGCATTGCGCGAGTAGATGAGGGAGGTGTCGGACCGGCCCATGTATAATTGGTGTTGAACGCTGTAGAAGGAAGATGGTGTACAGACGTTGTAAACGACAGGGAGAGCGATAGTGTAGAGAGCGGACCGGGCCGGCGGATAACGAGATAGGGATAAGTAGATGCGCCACGCGAGGTGCGGTCGCGGGCGGCTTGTCTTGGCGCGCAGAGCACCCAAAGGCGCATACAACGAGTCTCCGTAGCGGAGGATTCGCGTATGCGCACAGTATAAATATTGCGACCATGATATTTCGTGTCGATGTCATTGCGAATTCATATAGTGTCGTGTCGATGATGTTATGGCAGGTCGCGGCCGGTTTTAGGTGGAGCGTCGTGATCCGACGAAGGACCGAAACTAATCTGAATGAACCTATGTCGTCAGCGATGCAGCCTATGAAAACCTGCATACCAACACACCATGGCGATGTCGGTGCTGGGAAAGGAGGTTCATGCCCTACCGGCCTCCCAGTTCACCGTGGCACCAACGTTGTAGCTGCCAGCACCCAGCCACGAGTTTTCCTCCTTGGGGGCAGTCTTGTCCGCTGACTCAACCGGGCCAACAGTAGGACTGGGCACCGGGCTCTGCGCAAAGCACCATTGCTTGACGAACGCCGCGTAGGTCGGGTCGCTCGAGTCCACACGTCCGCCACCGGCGGTCCTGGGCAACTGCGAGAATCCAAGCTGGGGCGAGCCTCGACGCGGGCTACCAGACGGACTCGCGGCCCTGGCGAGGTGCGTGAACGATGAGCTAGGCGATATTCCAGGAGATGACCTTGGCGAGGTGAGCGGAGAGGAAGCGCGAGGAGCGCCGAGTGTCGCCAAGGGGAGAGCACGGAGCATGGACGGCGTGGTAGTCGCGGAAGACGATGAAGACACGCTGTCGAGTGAGGCGGAGCGCGAACTGGACGGGCTCATGGTCATCGCCGGCGTTTCGTTGGCTGATTCCAGCGAGTCGGTCCGGTTCTTAACGCCAGTCACCCGCACCACCGGCGTCGAGGACGTTGGTGCCGCCGGTACGGAAGCTGGTTGCCCTCCTATGATGACCCGCTTCAACTGGGAGGCAAGGTCCGTGGCGCTCGAGGAATGACCATGGGCAGGAAGGCTAACAGCAGAATCGATTTTTGGAGCCGCGTAATTCTTCAAGCTGAGCTTCGACCCAATCTTGAGCACTGGCGCCGCAGGATGATACAATGGCGGCGAGGAATTCGAACGTTGCATGCTTGCCGGCCTCAGGGACGGACGAGATGTGAGCAACGTTTCCGTAGCGGACCAAGAGTGTGGCGCCTTTTGTTCCGGCAGAGGCATGGGTGCCGTCTCCGGAGACGGGAGCGCACTGTTGGGCGGTGAGGGGTATGCCGTCGGGAAGGGCACGCCGTTCGCAGATTCCGAAGGAGATGCAGGTACGGTCGAAGCAATAAAAGACGTAGGGGGTGATGCCCCGAATGCGATCGCAGACGGCCGATGTACTGGAGCAGCGGTCGATGGCATCGGGATGGGCATCGACGATGAGGCGATCGGCGGCGACATCGGGCCTGTGACCATGGCCAGCGGCGAAGCCACAGCAGACCCGCTCATGGGCGTGGTACGAAGAGTGCTTGGAGCCGTGAAGGTCCTTTGCTGACTGGTGACTGGGGTGACGGGCTGGAGAAGGTATTTGCGATCAACGTGAGGCCATCGTCGTACAACGATGAGCGCTTACCGAGCTGGTCGCGACCGCCTTCCTGAAGCCAACTCGGTAGTTTCCTCCGTGGTTGTTGTCCCACCACTCCCCGACGCCCGGTGAGCTGTATCTGACGACGAGCCACATGACGCGATCCGATAGCTTGTGCTCGTAGTCTTCCAAGCGGATCTGGAACGAGAAACGGTCCCATCGCGGTGCATTGTCGTCGCCTGTAGCTCGCGTGAGAATGATATGGGGGCACAGCGCGGTACGTGAAGAACGAACCACTGGAATTGGCGACTTCGTGGACCGCATCTCCTGCGGTGCGCGCCCTCGGGAACGGAGGGGGCAAGCCGGGGAGCGACACGACGTGGTGGCAAGTGACCTCGGAGGTCGTCTGCCAGTCGTCGAGCGTGAAGCGGACGACGACGTGCTTCTCGAACGCCACGTTGCGGACGAGCACGGACCCTGTCGATTGCCATCGTCAGTCAGATAAGATGCGCACGGCCGCTCGGTGCCTACCTCGGATGGCCACCGGCCGCGTCTTCGGCAGGCTCATGGATTCCAGGTAGACGTTGGCGTATGCGTCCGGCTCCGTCTGCGGGATGGCGCTCGTCTTGCCCGTGTGCGAGTCTTCGAGCTCGAACGTCGCCTGCGCGTCGCTTCCGCCGACCGTTGCGTTCCCGCGCGCGAGGCTCGGGAAAGGGAACTCGGCTTCCGTTTCCGTCTCGGTGTCCTCGCCCGTTTTCACCAGCAGGTTCGCAGGCCGGCCTTGCCGGTTGTAGACCCTGACCTTCTCGAGCCCACCGTCTTCTTCTTCCGCAAAGTGAACCGACTTGACCGACGGCGTGGCCGGTTCGGATTTGGTGCGCAGGTGAAAGCTGTGGTGGTTCGGCATCAGCTCGTCCGGGATGTGAGGCACGGACGAGGACGACTTGAGCGACGACTTGAGCGGCTTTCCGTTGGACAACACGACCGGGCTCGACGGCGTCCGCTGGATCTGAGGACGCGGCGAGGACGGCATGACCGACGGTGAGGGCGGGCCCGAGGAGCTGGCGCGCGGGAACGGGATGCGGGGCGAACCGCCGTTCGGGAAAGGCGAGAGCGCCGTAGTGTTGATGTGCAGACCCAGGTGCGCGTGCGCGGGGACGGGCGAAGGAGCCGGGATCATCGGGTCATCCTGCTCCTCGGGCGACTCGTCGTTGAGGAAGAACGCCTTCTTCCCCGTCGTCTTCCGGCGAGGCAGGACGCCGAGCGAGCCAAAGGGACCAGGACTCGATGAGGGGCTGAAGGAACCGGAGGGGAACGTAGGGTGACCCGAAGAGCGCGTCCGCCTGTGACCCTGGCGGACGGGTGCCGCGGGCTCCTCTAGGTTGGCAGTGGGGGCAGTGTAGACCATTAGAATGACGAGGGGACTCGGACGCCCGGGGGGTCGGATGCGAATGCTGGGGAGGAGGGCAACCTGGGGTATAGACGTGGGGAAGTGAGACTGTGGTCTGAGTCTCAGGCGGGGATGAGGCGCTCGGTGACGTCAGGCAACGTGATGGTCGTGGGCGTTGCTCACAGAGCGGGGAGCGTCGTGGAGGTCGTGGCCGTCGTCGTCGGCAACAGCGAGGAGGAGGTGTGCGCCACAGCGGGCAGGGTGGGGAGGGCCGGGATGGCAGGGCGGCGTGCTGATAACGGGACGAAAACTTTCGGCTGACGGCTGATACGGGCGATTCCCTTGGTATCGCAGAACATGCGAGGCTGCGAAGTCCCTTCTAGACAGGCCGACGCTCCACTCTTGCAAATTCCCGTCCCGATCCCATCTTTCTCTCGCCGGCTGAGTCAATCTTATCGCGTACGGACCGTCGAACAATGAGCGTGCGACCCGCTACCTGCCTAATCTGGCCGGTTCCCCCTCGGCTTTCCCTCCCGCACTCTTCCCGGCCACCGCTTTGTCTCACCACCAAGTCGATCAGTCACTCGCCCATACGCCCGCATACCGCGCCGGTCAATCTGCCTCGTCGCGACATGTGCCGCTGATGGCGAACAACCTCGCCAATGCGACGTCCTGATCTCCAAACTTTGATCCCTCCTGGCCGTCTTTTTGACATGATCCCTCCCCTGGCCCTGCCTTCTCTGCCTTCTCGGCCAATTCGCTAATCTGGGGATATTCTTGGCCATTGTGCTTTGCCGTTACCCACCAAGCACCTCCGTGCCCACCGGCCCTCATATGTCACGCCTCCTACTTAAGCACCGACCCCGAACATCTCCATGCGCAACAGCAGGTCATCATTCACGTCACAACATGCGGGACAGCCCGGAAAGGATTCCCAAAATGCGGATACATACATGGGACCCTCGCAGCGTTACCGTGTTCCCACCAGGCATGTCCGAATCCGCCGATTCGCATACCCTGTGCGCGCTCCGACCCGTTGGCATCCCTGCCGATGATTCTTTGGAACAAGGTACATAAACCAGTATCCGCTTTGGCCTTATGTTTATTCCCCTAGGTTCACCTCGAACGTTCCACAGACCGGCATCGATTCTGCATGACGATCCATTGACGTGTCGCATCCAAACTCTGACCCAGGTTCTCTCGTTGGAATGATCGAACTTGAGAGGGTTGGCCGGGCACGACTTCTCTGACGCGACCTGGGTAAGTAGGTTCTCGTGATCTCTGCACCATCACGCAACTCGTGGGTCTATTTGGGAACGAGTCTGTAGCTCTGCTCGTTGGAAGTCCCGCGCAAGGAGCCCGTATCTCACGTTCTTGTCACCTCACGCCGGAAAGCCGTCGTCTTCCTATGGTTTGTGCTGTCCCCGCTGTTCTGCCTAGGCTATCGTCCGTTGTGGACTGCCTTCCGTCCTATTGCCGACTGCCGAACGCTCGCCACCGGCTTATCAACCTCGTCGTCGGGAATACATATACATACATCGCGTTCTTAGAATTCGCCATGATTCGCGCCATCCCGGAATGGGTAACAAGCTCGACGCTATTATTCGACCGTGTCAGTGCCCGAGGATCTGCGGCGGTCTCCTTGCTATTCTCGACGATCGGAATGTATACCGGTGAGAAAGACGTTGATGCCCAGATATGAACGCGCGCCGGAGGACGCCTCCGAGAACATGATGGTGGGGAGCACGACATGGACAGGGAAGATCGATGCATCTCACCGTCCAGTTAGTCGGCACAACGTGCATAGCTAACGAGGTGGTACCGTCGCCATCTCAGTACATAGCGTCAGGCCAACCCCCTCTTGCACGTACTTAGTGCGGGCTTCAGAGTCCAGGCGGCCTCAATTGGAACGGGTTCCTGATTTGCTATCCCATGGCGGCTCCTTGCGCTTCGGGATCCTGGCGACTTCGAAAACACTGCCTCACGATGAGAGCGCATTCGGACGCCGTCGGCCGTTCGCGTAGAGTTTGGACACCTGTAACTTGTAGAGGGTCAGTGCGCAGATTCCATCAGGTTCCTTACTTAGTTTCGAAATGTACAAGCTTTCGTATCTCCTCCGTTGCTATTGAGCACCTGCCGAAAGGGTATAGATAGCTTACGTTGTCATATGGATCGCCAGCTATCAATCAAGCAAATCCGAATTACGTCGCAAGCCCCCCTCTCGCAAGGTAGGCGCGGTCGATAATGCAATGTTTTCTGAATATGACTATAACACACGTTTGCTTATACAGCAGTCTACGCATGGCGCTGCCAAAGCCACGCGCAGAGGGAGGCGCTGCTCTTGCTGATATCAACATGGACCGGCATCTTATTCACTCCACTGTGGTGTCTGTATGTTTTGTAAACGTAGACGTCTTCACGAAGTTTTCGGAAGGTGACGATGATCATGACTTCACTTAGACGGCAGAGCGATAGATTTAGCGAGGGGATCGACTATCTCAGTACATAGGCCGAACCCTAAGACTATTCCTGGATCTATTGCTGCGTCATTCGTCAACAACTTCAAAGCAGGCTTTGGCCAGTGGAGTGAACACTGAGTATCTCCTCTTCACCCGCTGGCAGTACGTACATACACCAGCACCCACGGTTGTCATACGCTCAACACTCTTACAGGGGAAGGGCGATCAATGGATTCAACTGCGCGTGCACACAATGAAGAAGTAGTTGGGGGTGGGGATGGTCGTGTTCAAACGCAGGTTCTAGGCCAATGTGGATGCACCGATTCCGTTCCCAACATTGCTTCCAGGAAGCAATTCGATCCGGGGACGCTCTGCGGGGCGGCTTGTGGGCTTCTCCTGGGGTAAGGCGGAGCGGTAGAATATTTCAAACCTCCTGACGAAGATGGGGCGGCATCGCCAATCTTTGAGGGGAGACGGCGGGAATTACCATTTTGGTCCCACTTAGTTACCGGAGGATCCCACGCTCGCTTGTCACTTCTTCAGATTCCACGACGCTAGGCCGCCTGGACTATGATCGTGCAAGCGCTTTGGTGCCTAGTAAAAACGATGCGAATCTGAGGGATGCGGACGTTAAGATCATTACCATCGTGCTGAGTGTACACCGTCTGCTAGCTATATGCTACTGGATCATACTAGGGATTCGCCAGAGTAATACGTCACATGATCCCCATTGAGCTCGTCGGATGGCTCGGCGCTGAGCGTCTTCATTATCCTGGTCCATTGCCGTCTTTGCTTCACCCCCGGAGATGGTCTCACGTACAAATCATGATCGGGCCATCTCGTTGGACGAAGAAGTACGGTTGTACAGTTCCAATGCGGAGCGAGAGAAGTACGGGATGCTAGCGACCCTCTATGGCATCGTTGTCGCGCTCGATTACCTGGAACGCGCCTACGTTCGTGACAGCGTCACTGCTGCTGAGTGAGTCGTCGCCAACATCGTGTGTTTATGCAGCTTATCGGCTTCCTGTAAGCGAGGTATTCGCCGGCATGTACTCGCTTGCTCTCGCAATACAAGACCATGTACAAACTTGTCGGTGACGAGGTGCCTTCAATAGAGGCATTCATGGCGCGTTACAGGGTATGTTTCCTTATTTCAGGACTTGATCACATTGATGACCCTTAGTAGATGGATCATCCAGCTGCGCTCCATCGGCTTAAAGTTGGAGTGCCTGCTACAGTAGAGCATTCGAGCGAAGCTGGTCCCGAGACAGGAAAGTGGGTTGCAGAAACAACTCAGGTTCGTAATCAATCTCGGCTTTCATGGGTATGCTCACTCATCTGAACTCTCTCAGGCGTTCATCACTTTCATGGATGCTCTGAAGTTGAGAATGCGAGCGAAAGATCAGCTTCATCCCCTGCTACAAGAGCTCGTTACAGGGTATGCCAGGTTCAAAGGCAGTAAAGATTGGGAGGGACGTAGTAAAATGGTCGGATGGTGCATCTTAATTACATCGTTCATTGTAGGCTCCCTTGCAGACTTATCTGATGCTTGTCCAGGTTAATCACATTGAACGCGATGAAGGCATCGGAAGAGATTACGGAGGAGCAATCCAGACAGGTAGTTTGTGACTGCGATCTTCCTTCAGTTTACTCATAGTCCGGATCTTAGCTTCATTTCGACGTTGATCATGCATATGCAGAATTTTTCAGATATCTAAGCAGGAGCTCCTCAAAGGACACCGATTGAAGTGATAAACCTTGTCAGCATTCCATGTGGGAATCAATTTTCGCCTCAGGTTGTGGTCCTGATGTTAACCTACCCACTTTCTGTAGATCTCAACGGCATGCATCACGACAGCGCCGTTGGTCCAAGGATTGATGGAACAAACAGGAGTTGCAATGTCACAATGGGAGTTTTTCTTCTGTTCGCATCGTTCGATGATTGCTGTGGTGGTGGGCCGGTTCCGCGATCGATAGGTGGTTCAGCAACGGTCTCGCGAGCAAACATCCTGCTAGATAGATCACCAGGGCGGCAGGTGTACGCTGCATATGTCGAGATACCGGCGTATCATACTTTTCACGTGCGCTCGTGAGCTTCCGGAACACCCGCTCTGTCTTCTGGTCACCCCAACCCAAGTGAAGTCCTGCCTTCCTGCCAGTGACGGGCCAATCTCTGCGCGGCAGCATCTATCGCACAAGATCGAACCGTTCAGAATGGGCACATTTTGGCGACCCCATGTGCATACTTTGGGCTGCGCGATCTATCTTGGGTGACCCGCCCGTCTCACGCCACGCCCCTTCCGACAGACAACCAGCAGAGGCCATCGGGACCGAGTCAGCTGCTAGCGGGGCCCTCAGAGGTATCCCTATTCGGCACGTACGCATGGTTGTCCAGTTCCCATTGTTGCAGCGATAGATTTCGGCGCCTTCTTCCCCTACCAACTGGACCTGCTAGCCTTATTCTGGAAGATGGCTACACGCCTGGACAAGATGGATTCGTTGCATCTTCTACCCCCCCCCCCGGCCTTTGTGGCATGCGTTGCAGATGACCGGAGATCCGCGACCGGTGCAAAACTAGAAACGAAGGCCTGCAAAACGGCGGCATGCAGAGATATAGTGCGATCGCACCAACGGGGGCGATTCTCATGCACCTATATAAGGCGCCATTGACACCCTCTCTTGTCCCGATCGGCGAGAAAGAGTCACTTCGTTACGATGTTTACTCGTCCTTTGCTCTGGTCCTTCCTGTTGTTATCCTTCATCGTCCTTGATAGTTTTGCGGCTCCAAAGTGCCAGCTGCGAAGCTCGGGTGCGACGATGTCCAAACGTGCAGCACCATCGCCGCCATATTGGGTGATTTATAGTGATAAGTGGGTTTCGGGCGAAACTGGACCGCCGTCGGTATCGCAAATATCTGTACGGATATTCTTATATTCTGTGGTTCAGATATTCAGTCGTCATTGACAGGGCTACAATGTGTTGTAAGTCAGCATCATTCAATGAAATCGCAGCTGACCCCACCATATAAGCATCATATCCTTCCTTTTAATTGAAGGGGCATGGGACCAAGCACAGACGTGGGCGTCACTTACGGCTGATGAACGTGCGACGTATAAATCTCAGTACGTCGCCGCGGGAATCAAGTTATTGGTGTCAGCGTTCGGATCCACGGACGGTAAATCAGTCCGCCGGTTCATTAGAGCGTATCAGAACTGACTGTTCTATATCGGTGCCGATGTAGCGCCAACAAGTACTGGCGCCGATCCTGTAGCCGTTGCGAACTCAATGGCGGCTTGGGTCATTGACTATGACTTAGATGGAATCGACATCGATTACGAGGTATATTGATGCATTGATGTTATCGTCTTTCCGACCTGATCCAGCCGCTCAGGATTTCAATGCCGTCAACGCAGGCGACGGGAAGGCGGAAACATGGCTTGCGACATTTACCAGACAGCTCCGCACAAGCCTTCCGCAGGGACAATATATAATCACACATGCCCGTAAGCAGGTTCTGTCCTGTGCTACCTCTGGCTGATACATCTCTCAGCCGTTGCACCCTGGTACGAAGAAGCATGCCTCAAACATATCAATCTGATTGTGATATTCACTGGCAGGTTCTCTCCTGGAAAATTCGGTGGTGGAGCGTATCTTACTGTAGACTCCGATGTTGGGGACTTGATTGACTGGGTATGATTTTCATGTTTGTTTATACATACACTATCCTGAAAGCATTTCAGTACAACGTGCAGTTCTACAACCGTACGTAGCCTGTCCGTTGACCCAGAGATCACGGAAGCTTAAGGTTTCTTAGAGGGTACAACCGAATATACGACATGTGCCGGTCTGCTCACAGCATCGTCAAGCACATGGCCCAATTCCGCATTGTTTCAAATCGCTGCGTCTGGTGTTCCCGAGAACAAGCTGGTGATAGGAAAGCCCGCCAATAGCGGAGACGCCAGTTCAGGATACATGGACCCCAGTGAGCTTTGACTGTTGGATATTGCCCTAGTTGAAGTTCATAAACACATCCTCATTCAGGTGCGCTAGCTGTATGCATTGGGCAAGCTAAATCTCAGGGATGGAGTGGGGGCGCTATGGTTTGGGAGGTGAGTCCGGCTTAAAACCTGTCGTGGATTCGGTACCTGAATCCCGTCCTCCTCCCCTCCTGCAGTTTCCTGATGCCGCGTCTTCGTGGATCAGCACTGTGCGCTCCGACTCGTGGCCAGTGTAACTCACGTTGCCATCTACTCCGTCATGAGTGATCCAGATGCACTCACGGGCTATGCATTGACTGGGCAGCGGTAAGCCTGCCGGGGGCGCTCATTAGCATCCTGTCAAGCCCGACAAAGTTTCCCAGACGGTTATCAGCAGCATCGCCTATCATCATTTCGCCTACTTCGGCGGTTGACGCCGGTCTGACGCCCCAGTGTGCATTCAATTATGTCCATTTATTCGTTGTGCATTGTATCCAGATTGATACAAATCGCGACATCTAGCCTGAGGTCTTGAGGACATACAGTATATACAAAACATCCTATCCCTCCAACATTCTCTAACCTGTTCGTAGAGGACGCCCCCGTGCGCTTCCTGGTATTGAGCAGTGTAGGTACAACTTATAGGCCCGCTCCAAGACCACAAAGTGCAAGTGCAGCACGCATCGTGTCTTCGTCTTTGCTGTGTTCCTGCGGCTCTATGACCATGACATCGGTGAGGATCGCCGGCTTCATCAACTGCGTTGGTTCCGAAATCGACGCTGACGTGGCCGGTGTAGCAGGGGTGGATGCTGATGTTGAGGGCGACCCTCCAGCAAAGCTCAGATGCGGCGTCGGGAGCTCGTCGATGTCTGTCTCTGTCTCATCGCCGCTCGGCTCCGACTGCACAAAGCCACGCAGCGCCTTGCGTTCTGGGTGACTGCTGGCGTTGTCACGACGCCCGTTCAATCTCGCAGCCGCACACGCCCACTCCAAAGTTGTACGCTTTCGCACCCGCCCATACTCGACAAAGCCTCTGTGGGCTTCAGGCGTGTGCGGTCCAATTCGCTGAGGAGATGATGTGATTGGCGACGAAGGCATCACGTCGTAGATTTGCGGGGATGGTTGAGGCTCTGGGTTTGTGCCTGTGGGTCGACCGGTATGAACGTTCATTCCCACTCTACGAGATGAGCTGGAAGCGTTCTCCAATACATTCTCCATAGTAGGCCGGCGTGATAACGTGGGTCTTCTTGATTTAGCAATAGCTCTTGAAGCGTTCTCGCATGCATACTCGAGGGCGGAAGGTAGTGAGGAACATCTTTGGACCGGGAGAGAGGTTCGAAGCCCGCTGTGGCTGCTCATCGCCTCGATGTTGAGACTGGTGGACCGTGCAAGAGGCGCAATGCGACCACGAGCGAGTGACGAAGGAGGAAGTGCCGGAGTAGACAGTGTGCGACACATTTGGCGCGATGGAAGGGGACCCGACCTGTATCCTTTGCCTTGTGAATGGGAAGAAAACGGTCGTCGGTTTGTACTGGGAAAATGGGGAGGCGGCGAATTTTCCGATGCATTGGGAAGCGATGTCGCGGATCGTCGTTCGGTTTGACGCTTGTTCTGAAACCATATAGTGACCGAACGAAGCTCCCTGGGGAACGGCGTCAACGACATCCTCCGATGAATCAGTCAAGTATTGTGGTTCAAAGCCACTTGCACGGAGTCAAGACTCAATCGTCCGACTCTCCGAGCTCTATGGGCTCTAATAAAAATGAGCAGGTGACGTTACTCACATGTCGCCTTCTCGTGCAACCACTTCGCGCTGTTCGCGCGTTGGATGGCTTACGCGATGGTACAGTTGCTCCAACAGAGTCAGCTGAGCTGTGGTAAATCGTCTCCGCGTTCTCTTCTCCTTCTCCCGGTCACTGTCCATTCTGTATATGTAGTCTGTGCCATCATCCGAAGCAGGGCGACAGTAATATCCGTTCCCGTAGGTTGATATGGTAGCTGCGCTGTCATGTTCTTTCGGCAGCTGGCTGTTGTCACCGCAGGGTGAGTTGGCTGATGAATTGGAGATGGAAAGCGAGTTGGCCATTGCGGTATACGCCACGGTCTGGAGCAGGTGTTGTGAGCGGCGGCGCAGAGCAAGCAGTGAATTTATGTAACGATGTGCATTGGGGTGTAAACGACGCGGTACGCGTTCATACAACAGCGACGCGCATCACGCCCCCGCGAACATCACATGACTACACGCCGGTCATAGAAGCACGTGCTTGTACAGCCTTGAGGCTGTCAGCATCAGTTCTGCGCAACTGTATAGTACCAAAAGCCTGACGATTCTATTATCCACCGAGTGTACGACAGGACTCAGCTCACCTTTCTCCTAGGTTCTGTAATCTGCAAGCATGAGGTCCGCCCGCCCCGCTTTCTCTGGCTCGGACTGTTCTGATATTTTCTACTTTACTCTGGTGAATCACCGTCACTGTCTGCAGCAAGCTCTCAGTGTCAAGCGTGCGGGGCTCCATCAAGGAACTCCTTGCCGAGTCCAATGGCGAGAAGAAGCGCAACTTCATCGAGACTATCGAGCTACAGATCGGTCTCAAGAACTACGACCCCCAGCGCGACAAGCGTTTCTCCGGAACCGTCAAGTTGCCCAACGTCCCTCGTCCGCGCATGACCATCTGCATTCTCGCGGATGCTGCCGATATCGACAGAGCCAAGCAGATCGACTTGGAGTATATGAGCGTCGACGACTTGAAGAAGTAGGGGCAGACGACAGTGTGATGTGTTGACGCGCTCATTCGTGGAAACACTAGGCTCAACAAAAACAAGAAGCTCGTCAAGAAGCTGGCGAAAAAATATGATGCTTTCTTGGCCTCCGAAGCTCTCATCAAGCAGATTCCTCGTCTGCTCGGCCCCGGTCTTTCCAAGGGTGATTACGCACGTCCTCTGTGTTCCCGCTGTGAACTGATGTTTAATTCCCATCAGCCGGAAAGTTCCCGACACCCATCTCGCATGCGGAGGACCTCTCCAACAAGCTGACGGAGGTACGCAGTACTATCAAGTTCCAGCTGAAGAAAGTGCGTCGTTGGCTGTGTTCCGTTTTCCCGTCACGATGTTTCTCATGGGCTTTCCACTAGGTTCTCTGTCTTGGTGTTGCTGTCGGCCACATCGAGATGACTGATGACCAGGTGCTCGCTAACGTCATGTTGAGCATCAACTTCTTGGTCTCCCTGCTCAAGAAGAATTGGCAAAACGTGAAGAGTTTGCACATCAAGAGCACGATGGGCAAACCTATCCGACTGTTCTAAACTATCGTGTCTCGAGGACGGCCACCTGGACTCGCGCGCAATGAAGGATGGCAGAAGCCGTAATGCACAACATGAAGCCCCGCACGCTTGGACCAACGGCTTCCCTGGGGTGTTTGGGAGTCGATTGGGAGCTGATACGGTTTCTCCTGCCCATGCTATTCACGTGTTACCAGGAGTTGTAATAGGTAATCCATTTGATGTATCGCTAGTCGGATATGCATCATGATATGACATGGTTTGAATCAGCAAACGCCGCTCTGCTGAGATTGCTGTAGAGGTCGATCGACCTACGCATACCATGCGTGCATACATGCACGATAACTGCGCATGTCAGCGACTTCGCCGCGCATTACGAAGCGGGGCGTCGGCTTGCAATGATGATCATGAAGCAGGAGGAGCTGTCCTCCGCTACACTTTGTCAGATTCAGAACGGTTGAGAACAGGAATACTCACTTCACGTGCAGCGTTATGACTGACCTAAGGTAAGAGGTTAGGAATGCCTTCGCGACGCGTTCGCGTTGATTGGTGGGGGCTTAAAAGGCGACAACAATTCGCTGAGAAATTAAGCTCAAGGTCATGACTAGGCTATGAGTCTATGACTGCCTTTGTCTCCGTATACGGTACACAGATTGTGGTTTCGTGCGATTACAGCTGGTGCGAAGGCATACTACAATGAAGTTATGTTCTCTTGATAGCGATCACTTCTCACGCGCGGCCCTTCTGTCTCAACTCCTCTTGTTCATCTTCCATAATTTCTTTATCCACTTGAGCACCCCGCGATGGCTTGTTGCCGTGCATCTCAGCCTGCGTTTGGGCACGAATCAGTTAGGAGCGCTCAGTCGACGACCACGGGCAGTACACACGGGACGAATTGCACTATCAGGGTTGCTCTGGTCTCGCGCCAACTGCTTTTCAGCACGAAGCTGATCCGCTTCGACCTTTTCTGCTTGCGCAGCGGTTTGATGAAGGCTGCGATTATCACGCGAGTCTAGCTGATCGTGCGCGTTCGGTTGGCCGGCTTCATATGGAGCGGGATGCTCCTGGGTATCGTATTTGCCAGTTCTCTGTTCGTTGCTTTCGTAGACTTGGGCGTTGCCGACATTGGACATCATGGCGCCAGACATGATTAGAGTTCACAAAGAAGTCACGGTATAGGAGTTAGGTGGGGATTGTAGGTCGGATTTCGAGTGCGTTCACTTGTGCGATGCGCATTCCCCAGGCAAGGTTTTATGAAGTCCGTTGTACGTGACGTCATGACGAACGACCGGACTCCAATGACGCATACAACCACAATGGCTTTGCGGCTGATCTTCAATCCAGGGACAGAACGACCAATGTGAAGACACCCAACCTACGCACAGTCCGCGAGGGTCATACTTTGACTAACTCGTTCAATCACTGTTCAATGAGGAACCATTGATTACTATATTCTACTTCTCAAACTCGTTGAGGACCTCCCGAGAGTTCAAGAATTCCGTGCGGTCCACGTTCCAGTCTATTGGAATGTCGCTTGAGCCCCGGTCCAATGATTGTATCACAGCTTACCATCCGGAATCCCCGTGATGTTGTTCTTCATCCACTGTAGAACCTGCTTCGTCTTCGAAGTGAAACGCGGCCAAAATGCTGCGGGCAAAGTTAGCAACTCCAGGTATAGAATCGATTCTCCGGACTTGCCTCCGGGGTTGAGATCGTGCACAAAGTTGACATATGCATCTGTGAAGTTGGCAGCGAAAGCCGCTTCACTCGATGCTACTGTGTTCCTCCCGAAGAGCAACTGGAGTTCAGATGCATGGAAAACTGGGAGAGTATCGAGAAAAATTCTCCTGTTACAGCTTTTTGCGACGGAGAGGCCACACACCTCCTAAACTAGGGTCGTTGCCTGGTATCAGTTCCTTGAAGAAGTAAGCAAACAAAGGTTGTGTAGGCGCCGCTTTGTCGAAGAAGAGCCTCCTCGGAGCGAGATACATATTGTCTGTGTACCACGCTTCAGCCCTATCAAACAATGAGTCACCCGTTTCAAAGGGAGCGCCATTATTGGTTCCGTTGGCAGGGTAGAGCTCGTGGATACGATTCAACACGGGCTCGGTCAGAGTGGTGTTATCCAAGATTAGATGTCCTATGAAGTTATCGAACAAGGCATCCTCCTGGGAGGGAGCGTGAGGGACGTTCCGAACGGAGCCGCTGAATACTGTTCCTTCATTGTTGTTTGTGCCCGCAAGATAGGGCACGTGCAGAAACTGGCCACTGGCAATCCGCGCCGATTGACGTTCGGGTAACAGGCTTCCTTGGGGTCCAACAGCGGGCTGCCATAATTGACTATTGAGAGTGCCGGAAATCAACGTATTGCTTGCGCCTAGAAGAGTCTGTGGTGGTGCTCAGCGGTGAGCGCGACGACCGCTGGATCGAATAGGTGTGGGCTTCACTTCGAATGGCACGCCCTGCAGACACTCGAAGGACGCATTTCCAAGAGCGCAGCCAACCATCGACGTCAGGCGCGCGAACGGTTTGCCGGGTTCATCGTATTGAAAGGCGAACGGAGAGCTTTTGCTGTGAAATGTCTCATAAGTAGCCTTGTATGCCATGTAGTCAAACAGTGCATGGACTCACAAGGGACCGGTGGAGGAATCTGCCATAGCTGCCCGGAAGAGACTACGCTTCGCCGGAAACAGTACATGTGTCTCCACGCTTCCAGCGCCAGCGGACTAGAAACTAGTGCATGAGTGGCCGTACAAGCCGTAGCCGATGTACTCACCTGTCCCCATATCGTCACCTTTCAGAATTCCAGTCAGCGAATGACTTCATGTTTCTGATCTCTTCCCCAATACCTTGTTCGGATCACCCCCAAATGCCGCGACATTATCCTGGAGAAATTCGAGGGCCATCCTCTGATCTTGCAATCCGGCGTTGAGATCCTCCGAGGGTACGAATCGGCTTGCAAGCTATGTCGAGTCGTAAGAGAAGCTGGCTTGGTGCGTATGGATATTGCCCGACGTACGAAGCCAAATGTATTCACGCGGTAGTTCCTGTTTGCGATCTGGTCTCACAGCTGAAGACGGAAACCGAGACGCTGGGGAAACATACACGGAGGCAAACATAATGGGTTTTCCGATCTCTACGCTGCGTTGAATGATAGCTGTAGTTACGGTCAGGACCAAAGCGTTCCGGTACAAGGTCAACCTTGCCTGTCGGATCGAACGACGGATCGGATGCCGCTCCAGAGGTATACGCCCCTCCCTACTACGGCGTCAGTGAAACGTCGAAGCCCTGGCAGATTCCATGCTTACATAGAACCACACCAATACCGGAAGAGCAGCCGAAGCACTGGTTCCCGCGGGCCGGAAGATCTTTAATCTGATGGTCAGACTACGAACCAGAACGGCGTTAGTCCTGATCGCTCACGTTCAGAAACAGACAGTCCTCTGCAATCGGTGCCCCCAACGACGTGCTTGGTTGTTGAGGGCAAGCGGAGCCGAAGGAAGTCGCATTGCGTGTACCCGTTGAAGGGGGCAAAGCTAGAGGAGCTTTGAAACGGAGAGAACCCAGTGGGGGTTGCGCAAAGGGTATCCCAAGGAACGACTCAATCGAGGTCGCTGCGTTAGCAGACCCTATGAAAGTGCCCGCTGTCTTGGTGACCGCAATGGTGGATGCGAGTCCGGGACCAGACAGGTAAGTAAGACCCAGGAGCAGGGTCGGACTGGCAGAGAACCGCATCGTTGGCTGACGATGAGCGAACCCTGACCTGCGCAAGGGAGACCGTGAATGCGCAGAAGAGCGGCATAATATATGCAGATAGCGCATCTTCTCTTCTTGGAACAGCTATTCCAGAACGCTTCTGTCGAGCACACGCTGCAGCGAAGTGGCATCACAGGATACGCCAACGCAAGGCCTCGCGATGGTTGGGAGATATCCGTTGGGAAGACCTTGCCAATGCGAGCGAAGGCGCGTGTAGTATCTAGAGAACGAACGTCCGCTGCCAAGCGGCGCGGAGTTAGTCAGGAGTCGCTGTTTCCGAGACACACTGAAGATAGTGGCGGGTGCGCATAATGCACCATGACGGTGATGACAGGATCTGCTGCCGACCCGATCTCATTCCCAAGCAGAGGCACCGGTCACCAGTCACCGGTGCCGTACCGACCTCAAGAGACTAGTTCTCCACAGAGTGGGTAGATATTCAAGCGTGCCGAGATGCAAAACTTTAGTGCAGCGGCAAGAATGTTCGTCTATAGTTGCAGCGAAGGTCCCAAGTTCAATATACGGCACAGGCGGTACCGGTGTTGGTTCGAGTTGATGCTGGGCCAGGCTTGATGCGAAGTGATCGTGGGTTAATAAAAGTATACATTTCGAACGGTAAGTCGTTTAACATTCAATACTAAACGAGACTTACCGGCAAACTGCCGTTTTCGCCCTCTTGCTCTCCGATGCTCGCCAGTGGGTTCGGGTCCTTGCTGAGGACGTGCCTTTCGTCGGCTCGGAGAGCTCCTCTCCCAACTTTACCCTCATTAAAGCGTCATGCCAGCGTGAACGCGTTAGCCTCGGCCTCTTCGTCGACACCGTCGGACATCAACGCGTCACTGGCCCGCACCGAGGTCCTCTACAAAACATACAAGCCCGTCACTCCTGGTATCCGGCATTTGCGCCGCCCACTCAACCCGCACTTATGGGAAGGTCGGCCCATCAGGCAGCTCACCGTGGCCCAGCGCAAGAAGGGCGGTCGCAACAACCACGGTCGCATCACCGTCCGTGCGCGTGGCGGAGGCCACAAACGACGGATACGGCTCGTCGACTTTACGCGCATGGCGCCGGGCCCCCACGACGTCGTACGAATAGAATATGACCCTGGACGGTCTGCACACATCGCCCTCATCAAACGGCGAGTGAAGACGGGCGCGGTGCTTGCTGCGCTGAAAGGCGACCAGATATGGAGTTATATACTGGCCCCCGAGGGTCTTCGTGCAGGAGACGTCGTGGAAAGCTATCGGATGGGTATCCCGAAGGACCTTGTACCGAACTATACGCCGTCCCAAACGCAGTCGTCGGCCGCAGACAACAACGAGGATGTGTTAAGCGCCGAATCCGAGACCTCACTCTCCGTCGGTCTCCTCCGTTCTATCACCCTCAAGCCGGGCAATGTCCTACCTCTACACCTCATTCCTGTCGGTACAATCATCCATAACATCTCCCTCAAGCCCAAGGGTCCTGGTATCCTCGTCCGATCCGCAGGGACGTATGCTCAGGTCACCGGCAACGAGCCTGGGGCCAAGTACGTTCTCGTCAGGCTGCAGAGCGGTGAAGTGAGAAAGGTGCTGAGGGACTGTTGTGCCACTGTCGGTTCTGTGAGCAACCCTCTGTGGAAGAACCGGAGTCTGGGCAAAGCGGGGAGAAATCGGTGGCTTGGACGCAGGCCGCATGTCCGTGGTATGGCCATGAACGCGTATGTCATTCAATTCTTCGGGTCATCGTTACCTCGCTAATGCCCACGCCAGCGTGGATCACCCTCACGGTGGTGGTCGTGGAAAGCTCAAGGGTAACAAGCCTCCTCGTTCGCTCTGGGGTTGGCAGACGAAGGGCAAGCGCACGCGCCGGCCCGGACCCAAAGGCCCGAAGAACAGCAACAAATTCGTCGTCGAAGAGCGACCACGCGGTGTGCAGAAGCGGCAGAATTGAAGTGCCAGCATCTGCTCTCAAGCGCATGCAGCAGCTCTGTTGAGCACCTTCGCAGCTCTTGTCATGGCTTGTCATTGGTCCATTGCGACGATATGCGAATACAGTATTATCCAGCACTATAATTTACGCGGTGATATGAATAAGTTACTCCAGCGCTCCGTGCCCGTTTCACCAGGCACGGTTGTCGTCGTCCAAGAATTCGCCGTTGGTAGCCATGGGCTGTTAAGCAATTGGATGTCAGCAGTCGGACATACTGCCGAGTGTCAAGCAGGCATACCTCAGATGGAATCTCTCTCTCTGAGTATGGGGGTGGGGGTATGTACGACTCGAAAGCAAGGCCAACCTAGCGCGCATGCAGTGTCAAGGCAAGTCCGGGCAGCGATATGTCAGTACCAACCACACGGCCTTTGGCTTCTATTGTCATCCTCCTCGGCGGCGCTTTGGTGAGGTGAACATATGTCGTGTTCGACTGTGATGCTCAGTTGAGCATCATCTACGATGTGATCTGAGAGCGGTATGTACCTGCTTCTGAGTGGAGAGGCCGAGCTTCGTCTGCAGTGTCGTTTTCAGTGACCTCCGAGATCTATCCTGGCCATGGTTCGAGCTCGCTATGGAGTCGGATCGAGGGTTTCGCCGGATAGAGTCCTGGAGGTTGATTATCAGAACCGCCGACCATCGGTGGTACACAGCGAAGACAGACCATTTAGGACGCAACTGTGTTCACTGGTGTTCGGGATGGAGGTTGGGCGGTTGGGCTGCTGTTGGGGAAGGACCAGGCGCGCCCTCCCTTTTAATGCCAGTGCTTGTCCGAGCAAGCAGGAGGCCTTTGTTGGACGGATCTATAAATGTTGATCAACACATATACAGGAACGCAACATTACCGCTCGTGATCACCCTTTCGGTTGCGACACGTCGCGGCCCCGGCCCTAGCGCAGGGAAAGCATGACCTGCAAGAGCAGGAGATCATAGATCTGAGCGTACCTTGCAGTCTTGCCGAGAACCTGTTTGCCGGCGCCAGGTCTTCTTCGTCCAGCCTCTGGCGGCCATGAGCTGCTGAAAGGCGGGGATAGCGTCATGTGCTTTGAGAACGGGCGTCCAACGAAGGAAAGCGCGGTACGCCCGGACGATTCCGCCGCGTTCCGTCCATCCCTGCCATCACCCATTGGAATTCTCCGCGGGCGTGAACGACATGGACGTAACGACGCGCCAAAGCCAGAGGCGGTGGCGGGCGGCGGTCGGGAGCGCCATCCGGTGAGAGCGGCGGCCCCGTTTTAGGCACAGGGCCTTATGGCACGGTCCGTCATTGCGTTCCTGCGGCTTTTCTCAGACGTCCTGGACCAGTAATCTTTCATCTGACGGTCACGAGCGGGAGGCGAGCATGGCCGACTGAATGCAGCGAGCGGCCATGACCTCTGGGATCTGACCGCTGGCGACGGTCACAGGACAGACGAGCATCTCGGGCGGATCGAGTCGCGGTAGCTGCACCAGCATCGGGCCGGCGGACGGCTGCCCACAGAGGAGCAGCTTCTTGCGCCGAGGATGATGCCATGAACCTCCGTCCGCGGTTCGAACAAGGGGCCACGGCGAAAACCACAGCTGATATCCCCCATGGGCAGCGTCATCGACGCGCCGTTCTCGGGGCCACGCGCGTCACATCGTCAAATTCACGAAGATGTCTCCGAGGTATTGTCGTCGCGTCCAACGCGAAACATCCGACTGGTAGTTATCTTTGGAATCTGAATCCATACGATATCGTCAACCACCCGGGATCCGTCGCGGACAGGCCTGTGGGATAACATCAGCGGCCGCGTTCGCATTAATTGAAAGATACCATACAGTCGGTGCTCTCACCATGTAGAAAATCCACACCCCCTGCTCCCGCCTAGAACGAACGATCCTCTCGCTGCCTCACCCAAATCTCTCAGCTGCCATCCGCTTGAACATCTCCATTGTATCGTGCTCCTTCTGCCGTATGGCCTCACTGCGTTCCTTGGTCTCTACCTGGTGCTGAGCCCTCCCCCCGTGTTTGCGCTCCTCTGCCCGCTTCCGAGCGGCGTCCCTCTGCCGTATGCGCTCTTGGAAGGAGTCGCCGCCTCCTAGTCCAAGCGTCACCTCGTCGACTTCCGCAATCGAGTCGTCTCGGCTCTCGCGATAGGCTCGGTCATTCTCTCGTCTTGCCCGCTTTGCCTCCAGCATGCCTGCCCGGCCCACCTCTTTCGGTCCGACCATCTCCTCGATGCGCTCCTTGGCCTCCAGTCTGTCTCGCTTCCGCTTAAAGCTTCGCCCCGCTGCCTGAGCTTCTTCCTCTGCTTCGCGGGCTAGGACGGCGTCTTCCCGCGATGGCATCGAAGGGCCAATCGTGCGGCTGCCGCTGGCCGCCGTCGAAGTCCGGGCGGAGCGGTGGACTTCGTAGTTCGCCGATTCCACCTCGGTGCGCGCAGTCTTCATCTTCGACAAGTCATCGCCGGAAGTTTTGATGGACCATTTGTAGGCGGTGGCCGATTGAGCTGTGGGTTCTACGCCGAGGTATAGGGATTCTGAATGCGGCGCATAAGCGAAGAGGCGGCGACTAGAAAGGAGGACCGTACTAGACAGCTTCCCTCGATTCCACGCCTGTTGTTACTGTCAGATAGACGATGTATCGTCAGGGACACAATGACGTGCCTTCACGAACTTGCGAAAGTAGCTGTACGGTTTGGTTCGTCAATAGCCCGTAGCGTATCAAGTTCAAAGGAAGTACCTGCGCGCTTTCTCGCCGGAAAGCTCGTCAAAGTACCGGTCCTTTTCTTCTTTGAGCCACACTTTGAATTCAGAGCTCTTGAGGAAATAGTCGGCTTCTGATAAAGGTTCCGCGTCATGAGGCAGCTTTCGTCGTTCTGGCGAACGAGACCGGCGGCGAGAGGGAGAGGGAGAGCGGGAGTCGCGGCCGACCATGCGATAGATAGCACAAGCTATGTCTATGAAGCGTTGGCTCTTCTATCGTTGCAGTGGATACGTGATAGGTTGTGAATAACGTCAACGCTGCGAGATTGTGGCTGAGCGCTGAGCACCGAGCGCGACTTCTACACGTCCTCTGCCTTTCCCGTTCACTATGGTGAAACACATAAGACTCGATTATCATAGCACTAGGTCTGACAGTTTATGCAGGCTACAATCACAGCGGGAACGTCCGAGATACGGGACATCACGAAGATGGAGCGCATCGGTACGCGGTCCTTGACCGTCGCTGCAAATCGTCTCTGAACCATCCGTCTTGGGAGTACAGGCGCGCACTCTCATATCCACGGTCTCGGACTAGATGACCGGTTAGAACCTCGCGCGAACTCGCAAGGTATGGTTGGTCAAGGCAAGGCACGGAAGGCTGCGGGCATGATCCTCAAAATGGTCCAGGAGGGGCGTATAGCTGGACGCGCCATGCTTTTCGCCGGTCCTCCCTCTACCGGAAAGACGGCCATTGCTATGGGTGAGTGGTTTGCACCCTGAGATATTGCCACACTTAGGGATCATGCAGGCATGGCGCAGACACTGGGCGCAGACGTGCCCTTCACCATGATCGCAGCAAGCGAGGTATTCTCGCTGTCCATGTCCAAAACCGAGGCGCTTACCCAGGCCCTCCGACGAAGTATCGGCGTTCGCATACGCGAAGAGACGGAGATAATCGAAGGCGAAGTCGTCGAAATACAGATTGACCGCAGTCTCACCGGGGTACGTCCTGTGCCAAGACGCAACATTTGGGCTATGCTGAAATGTCTTCTCGCAGGCAACCAAGACGGGCAAGTTGACCATCAAAACGACGGATATGGAAACCATATACGACCTGGGTACCAAAATGATAGACGCCTTGTCCAAGGAAAAGGTCCTTGCGGGCGACGTCATCGCTATCGACAAGACCTCAGGCAAAATCTCGAAGCTCGGGCGATCTTTCGCACGTTCGAGAGATTATGATGCCATGGGCGCTGACGTGAGCATTGAACGTGCCTTGACGCCTATGAGGCTAACGGTATAGCCTATCTAGACAAAATTCGTCCAGTGCCCTGAAGGCGAGATTCAGAAGCGGAAAGAAGTCGTCCACACCGTTTCTCTGCACGAGATAGACGTCATCAACAGTCGGACGCAAGGCTTTCTGGCACTATTTGCTGGCGATACGGGTGAAATCAAACCCGAATTGCGGAACCAAATCGATACCAAGGTGGCGGAGTGGCGGGAGGAAGGGAAGGCAGAGGTCGTCCCTGGTGTACGTCGGCAACTCGACCATGTGATGTTCCCAGAGACACGGTCCTTATTGACGCTACTTCATTTTTCAGGTACTGTTCATAGACGAAGTGCACATGCTCGACATAGAATGTTTCTCGTTCCTTAACCGCGCTCTCGAAAACGAGATGGCACCGCTGGTCATCATGGCCTCCAACCGAGGCATGGCGCGGATACGGGGAACGAAGTTCCGGAGCCCGCACGGACTACCAGTTGATTTGCTGGACAGGGTGCTTATTGTCAGCACGAAACCTTATACCGAAGAAGATATCCAACAGATTATCGCGATAAGGTGGGCATTTGATGATCTTCCCGCATCTGAAGACTGACAAGCTAACAACGAAACTAGATGTCAAGAGGAAGACGTAACATTGACGCCGGATGCCGTCTCCGTCCTCACGTCCATGGCCTTGTCCACGACGCTTCGCTATGCGCTCAATCTGATTTCCTGCGCTCAGATCGTCGCACACAAGAGGAAAGCTGAACAGGTTGACGTGCCGGACCTGCGCCGAGCGTACACATACTTCATGGACGAAAAGAGAAGCGTGCAATGGCTCAAAGAACAGCAAGGTACTCTGATGTTCGAGGAGATCCAAGATGTGGATGCTCCGAACGGTATGGACGAGAGTGTATGATGGCGCTACTCTATCTCCCGGACCACCATCACTGCCGTGGAGACACTTTGGCTGAGGCGTCACGAGCACCTTTGGGTTACGGACGACCCTCGTTTCGTACGGGCTTGATAGCATCCTAACAGTCGGCATTATCGGCGATAACACCCATTGGCATATTTCAGGACATGTTTTCCAACGGCTGTGTTATCGAGGCAATGGAGTCGTCTTAGGTGAAATCAGTACCACTTGGAGGCGAGGATCAATATGCAAGCTTCAGATGTCATATTAATCATGCAGGTGTTGTACACAGTCGTATTCGGAATTTCAGCCGTTTGTTCCCGTCTGCAACAGAGCTCCGCGAGTTTTGCGCATAGATTCCGCGATCCCTAAGAAAGTCTCTGCCAGACGAACCTATCGAACAAGCGTAAACCGTGTGTTTGAGACACATCCAAGAGAAAGACTTACGGAGTCAAGCGCTTGAGCAAAGGAGCACGGAACATGAGGATGCAGTGGGTCTTGTGGAGCGCCGTTCTGCACTTCCGTGGCTACTTGAGACATGCGCCTAAGGATACCGTTGTCTTGTCCAAAAGATACCGCATGGAATGAAAGTGCTTTGCTGTACGCCATTGAATACACGCCAGGAAAATCATCGCTGAAGGGAATTTGCACGTACCCAAGAACCACGGCCCTACGGCAGAGGTCGCGGATCGCGCTATCCGCAACGTTACATTCGCCGTCGGAAAGGAAGATGATCACAGGGTTTCTTGAGGGCACTCGGGGTCAGCGAGATAATGACAATACGAATGGCTACACACCGCTCTGTACTCCAACTAGCCTCCATCTCTGCCTGTGCCGTAGCAAGCGCGGCGGTGAAGTTCGTACCACCCCTTGCTTCATGACGTAGAACGGTGTTAAGCAGAACGTCGGGGGTGCTCGTGAAATCGTTCCGTAGTACGCTGTTGACCTCATGGTCAAATAGAACCACTGTATACGAGTCTCGGCGGTTTATATTCGCTGCCAAGCCTTGCCCAGTCGCGATAGAGTGTCGCGACTGCCAGAATGCATGAAGCGCGGAATAGACTGCCCCCAGCCTATTGTTGCAGCGGCTCGCAATATTCGCAGTGACAGGCGTCCCTGAAAGTGGCCGACGATCGCCAGCACTCATCGATCCCGATCTACATTATATCCATCAGCATACAGATATATATGACATCTTTGAAATCACCTATCAATGACGAAGATCCTGACAATAATCGTTATGTTGGCCGCGATGAGCTTGTCGCGAAAGCACTCACACGTGGAAAGCAGACTTCATTACGCTAGGATTCCTGCAAGAAAACAAATGACCATCCCCAGAAATATAACCGACAGCTCCTGATGGCATTTGATCTCTGTTATGAGGTGCATGGAAGATCGGCAAGGTACAGAAAGATGGCTGCGCTGGATTGGTCGAAGTTGCCGCATGTTCGCCTCCTGGTAACACGAGTATCGGTCATATATCCACCACTTGATACAAGTATGCCCACCTGAACACATAGCATCGCTACACAGCACTTCAGCGTTCCAACGCGATACAGGCCCTCGAAACTCACCATTTTCCAAAGTGTGTCTGATCTTCACGAGAGTATGGATCTATAGGTGGGTTGTGATCATGAGTGTTGATCGCGGTTATATCATATTACCATGTACCTTTGAAACCTGGTCGCAAAATCGTTTAGTAAAAAGATAAATGCATCACTGAGTTATTTACTGCCACTGACCCAAGCGCCTCCAAAAGAGGCTATGACTAATCCAGTCTTTGGCTTTGCTAGGATTCGGAAGCATCTGCGCTGAGATGTGCTGTAATTCTGGGCCAGAGCAACGTTCACCGGGTCCAGAGCGACAGTAATCAACGTGAACATGGCGACCCATACTGCGGCATACCATAGAGCACTAGTAGGAGATTAGCTTCCGGCGGTGGGAGTCAGATAGCAACCGAGATACAAACCAGCAAAGGAGCACCTTCGTCGCTGCGACCAAACTTGCGCCCATCGAGCTCCACCGCTGCCCCATCTTGTCCGTCAATTGTCCAACGAGTCCTCGACATTGAGCCGTGGCTGGTCTCGTGCTCCTGCTGAGTGTGACCTGATGGACATGCCTGGTCATCGACGATATATGCAACATCTGAACCTCAACATACCACGAACTAAGGTGCAAAAATATCCGCAGTTCTCGCATCTGGAGGAGATGTTTGATAGGCAACGGAGGGGAGCGCAAAACTGCTGTACCTGTTCTCGCAGTAATGAAAGACGTCTGAATCAATACTATGGCAATGTGGGCCAGGGTGAGTGGTGGCACCCGGACGGATCGCTATGACACATCGAAGGCGCTTGCTCACTACCAATGCAACACTCAGCCGATGAAAAGGTCGAGAGTATCAGATGACCTTCCTTGCGAGTACTGTTGGTTAAATAGTTAGAGAAATTATGTATAGCGCACACGTTCGTGTAGTGAATTACTTGCCTTCGTGTACTGGAATGTTTGATGGGTCCCGGTGAATGTCGCTTCTATCGACTGCGGTGCAGTCTCAATGTGACAAATGCCATCTGCAGAGCATAATGCACTACACGCATGTTCTTGCCTGTAAACATGGTGTTGCAGGCTTAGTGATGAACCGGATGAGACGACACGCACCCGCAGAGATGTTGTGCATCTTCATCAAGACCATGTAGGTGGTCGTCGCTAGCACAAAGTCTGCGGCATAGTTGGCAGCGAATTGGGCATGACGTCTTCGCGCAAACATGGATCACATGCTCGTCATGGCTGTGAGAACCCCGTTAACATTATGATTGCGTTCGCTGGTGTGGCCACTGTATCACCTCGGGATTCGGCAGGTTTCGCGGCAAGTGTGAAGGCTTCCGTCTTCTGCTCTAACGTCGATCAGGCTACAAGGCTGAGAAAGTGGTGTTAGAGATGACGGCCTTCGACAGGCTGCCACTCACTTGTCCACATTCATGCACTCGCGCTTCACATAAGTGCTCGCCATCGTCATGATTCACGACCTGGATGCATGGATAAGCTTGGAGGTTATATAGAAGACAATGCATACCTTGGAACAGTGATCTAGGCAACCACGCCGACCGGACAATGCACAGGGTCGGCCGCAAAGATGAGATTTGATATCGCAGCTGTGAGAGTGTGTCAAACAGGGGCTGGCGTTGGATGGACGGAGCGACTCCGATGTTTGTGAACTCACACATGTCTTCCTGAATGCCCCGCACTAAGTTGGTGTATGTCAGGGATAGTGCACAGAATATGCAAGGACATGGCATACGGAAGACCGCATTTCTCCTGGTTGGAGCATTCTTCGACGAACTGGCATGTGTGGATGCACTGATGTGATGTCTGACAGTCATGATCCCCAGTATGGTGACGAAGGCGAAGGCAGTACAAGCTGCAAGTGGAGCATTGGATCCCACACAGTTGAGTACTGGCTCTGAGGTCGATGACCATGCTGTCGAAGCTGCGGCGTAAGCTGTCCACGTTAGCATCCGCTACCGGAAGCCTTGTTGTGTTCGTAGATAACCAAGCTTGAACATGTTGTACACGGAGATCCACTGTATGCTCGAGGTACGCGTTGAGCTGCGACAACCAATCGCTATCTTCCGCATGTTGCCGCGTTCCATAAAGATCCCAGGACGAACGGAGTCTACCAAGGATTCTCTCCCGCTCCGCTGCCTGGTTTACTGAGTTCGGTAGCAGCGAGGCAAACCGAGCTTGAGTGTCTGGTGCTCCTATGGGCATGTTCGAGTCCAAGTCCTTAGAGCTGGTCAGTATCAGCAATAAATTGCCCGGATCGTCTGCTGACCCTGAGAGGATCGATATCTGGCTCTATCTCGTTGGCACCATACTCGAGGGCTTTAGGAAGGACAGATCCAAGTAGTTTCACTCGGTGTGCAGCGAGGTTCTCTGTGAAGTTGCTCGACGATGGAATGGCATAGGAGAACCCTAACACGACTCACGGGACATGGCCCCCCAGTCATTCGCCTTTGGATGGCAAAACATGAGTGTTATTGATCTTACATGTGTATAAAATCACCACCTTGAGTTTCGCCATCAATGTCTTCAGAGTCTGCAAAAATATGGCCCCACTAGCGTGCGTGGTCTGCTGCTTGTCAAGCATCCTCTTGATTGCGGGAAAGAGAGCATAGAATTGTCTTGATTCAATGACAGGCCAAGGGACAATAGTTAGATGACCGGCGTGCAAGCGTGAGATGAAGTTGGAGCCCTGTTCTTCCTGTACAATATCTCTAAACTTCAAACTGAATCTGCAACGGAAGATAGTGTGAGGGTTGATTATAACTTGAGAACAGGATGCTGACTCCTTCGTGATCTCCTTCTTATCAGAGTCAACCACGTCCTAGGGGTTGCCAGTCAAGCCATGATGATACCACGATAACTTGTGATAACTTACCTTGATGATGATCACAAGCATTGATTGAAAGAGCGAAGGGTTAGCAGAAGGGTCTAGAACGGACGACGAAGCTTGGAAAGAATGAAAAAGCCCAGTAATATCTCGGGATAATGCAAAATTGTTGCGGAAAAGAACCTTCAAGAGGAATCAGGACCACGATACCAACGTGAAGGCACTCGAAGTTAAGCTTACCAAGTTAGAGATTGCGGTGTTGAAGAGGACGAGAAGTGTATCCTCTTGCGCAGAACGTTCGATACTGTGTACCCCTGCAGTACACGAGTTTTCAGGGCTGGCATTGAGTTATTGACAATACTCACCTTCGAAGTCAAGGGTGACGATGATCTCATTTTCAGTCGGTGTTGCAGATAACCATACACCTGATTATGCAATGAGCTTTAGCCTTGAGCAACTTTCTCAGACTTTACGTGCCCTCGGTGGTGCGCATTGCGGAGCCGGCAAAGGACGTATCTGCTAGATGATTAAGAGCAAAGCTCTTCCCGACAGATTGTTCACCTGTTCCAGAGTGAGTGATACAGGTTGTTTGGATTATAATCGGGTGCTAATACCCATTGACGAGACTACTTTCACCGGCTGCAACAACAGGTTCAGCCGATTACTCGTAAAGCGGCGTGTGCCGTACCTTGCTTGCCATATACGACTGGAACAAACTTTCATACCAACCAAAAGATAAACTATGATCCTGTGAGAAAACGTATGCAGAAGACCAGAATACGAACGCACTGATCGATGATTTGATCAACAGTGGCACCGAGAAGGGACCGCTCCAGCTGCGCAGACCATACACCATCCTTGAGGGGCACGAACCGGTTGTCTTTGGTCACCGCAATGTGGATCGGGATAAGACAGATGAGGTCTACCAGCCATTCACCAGTGAGAAATGAGGATTGGGATAATAACTCCTGCGTGCAGAAGGAGTCAAAGTCGAGTGCGGATATGTGAACATCATTGAGCTCCGCGCTGCCAGGCTTGCGCGTCGTGCGCTCGAAATCAGCTATGAGATCCTTGAAATGCGGGAGGAATTGCGAATAGTCCCGATCTGTAACAAAACAGATTGATCGAGGCGCACGTGAGGAAGCAGGTGTGATTGTGCGCCTTTGAACTGCAGGCATAACAGGAAAGCGCTTCCAAACATCCGCATGGCATTCAACGAGACAGTTGTGAGAGGTGATCGAGGATTTTCCTTCCTGCATCTGTTGTGCACCCTTCTCCTGGAACATGAACTCGGTAACTCTTCGGGTGATATGGAGTGCAACTGATTTGCAGCAGCTTCCTGCGACATCCATGTATACGAGATGTATGCTTGTTTTGGAACCTATCGATGTCATGACATGGTTGCCCGCAGGTGGAAACTCTGGGACCTCAATTTGTATTCCACAAGTAGAGCCAAAGGTTGACCAATGATATGCTCTGAAGATTGTCTTGTGGTCATGTAGCTCGGATGCAATGAAGCAAGAGCCATCTGGGGAGGAAAGAACATGTGTCGGGTCGCGCGGTAGCTGCACGGACGCAGGTCTGTAGATATTGGGACATGTCAGCTGGTATTGGTAAATACAGTGGGACGGTCACCTGAATTGCTGAGTTACAAGTGAGAATATTCGTGCCCGCGCTAAGCCATCGATGAAAAGCAGTTCCTCACTGCCGAGCACATAAACCATGTGGGAGATCGAGGTTGTCTCGTCAAACCAAGGCTGAAGTTTGATCATAGAGCCGACACCTTGGAGTGAAGTATACTTGTCATCAAAGATGAAAATGTGCAGGTTGAGATCAGGCTGGGAAAACGCCGACAGTTGGCATTCTGATTATCGTTAATCGTGCACTGCACTTACGCTCTTCTTCCCACACACAGCTAGCGTGCGTCTTGTCTCATCGAAAGCTATCACGAAGTCACCGCCGATCTTGTCGCGATGCCACGTCTTCTTCGCAGCTCGGCGATCCACACACTTGTCGAGGGATTCCAGTTTCTCCAGATATACGTGTATTCCCCCCTTGCTATCGTCGACGATGAGAAGGCATCTCATCTCCTGAAGCAATTGGATGTGACTATAACCAATGACTTCAGTACATAGATCGATGTCCGTGTAAGGACACTCACAGTATACGATGGTGGACAGGAAGCCTGAACGACAACGCAGAGCGTGGGTGGAGCTGTGGCGAAGGGATAAAGAGTGCATCGAAAGACAACTGATGGCGATCGGATTGGGAAAGCTGGAACAGGTAGCAGGTGTACTGGAGCACAGGGTCTGTCGTATACCTGTACTCGCCCCTGATTTCAAAGTGCTCTGTAACGAAGTAGATGAAAAGAATAGCTTATTGCCGACGAAGCGCCTGTGACATACCCGACGTACCCCACCCCAGCTTCTGAGGAGAAACATCGTGAATGACCATGGTTTTCCTATGGACAATGATGCTGTGAGAACTCGTTATCGCATGTTCAGGAAATGACACACATATCAGAGTCTTTGATCAGCCGATCCTTAAAGTTGTTTCGAAAGATGCTGTATGCCCCTCGGACAGCTTCACCATGACGCGCATTCGCTGCCGCCCTGATCGCATCTTTGAGATCATTCTCTTGTTGAGCTCTGATGCGCGCGCAAATCGTCTTGGACTTGTCCGCGACCTTGGAGCGCAAGAACTCCTGCGCTTCTGCAATAGTATCGGCTGCCATGGAAGCAAGTGTAGGCTCAAGATCCACTAGGCGGGGTAGCTCCATCAGGAATATATCATCCTGAACATCCGCTGCAAAACGTCTGATATCGAACGTGTTGGTGGAACGAGTTGCGCCGGGCCAACCGAATTTCGAAATCTTCGACCACCAGCTCTTTTCGTTGCCGTGTCCAGATGAAACCGGAATCGGTCCCAAAGACTCCATCGCAAGTCGAAAATCTCCATCGATGGTTGTAGGCACTATACTGGTCCATTGGCTGGTCGATTGCACGTCCGGTTTTTCTGCGAGGAGAAGATGCAACAAGAGCAACCGCTCCTTGTTCGTCTTGAATGTCTTGCTTGCGATCGAACGCAACGCTCTGTCCGACGGCAAGTCTTCCAGTAGCCGATGGATGAATGGCCATCGTTCCATGATTGGGTTCAGAAAATCTGTGGACCGCGGTCCAATTGAATCGTAAGCAAGATGAGCTGAGCACCTGTAACGCACCTTGATACGTGGAAGCACCAGTCCATGTGTCCAAGTTAGCCAGCACAGAGGTACCGTCAAGCTCCGCGTCATCATCCCTCATCAATGATCTGCATAGGGAAACCGGTTCAAGAAATGGTCATAAGAAGTGGGCTCAACTGGGAGTCTGCCGGACGTGACTTACGGGAACTTCTTTGCCAACACAGCGATGAGCGATAAAGATATCGCAGAACACAGCTTGGCATCGTCCTTATGAAGATCATCTTGCATGCTCTTTACCTCATCACGAATCTCTGTCTTTTTCTTCTCCTGCAAGTCCGCCAAACGCTTCTTCAGCGACGCGCAGGGCTTCGGCGAGCGTTTCTCCAGACCATTTTCCAAGAGCACGACTAAGGATGAGTCGGTGAGTTGGTCGCCGAGCTTAATGGATTCGTGTTCGCTGGCGGTAGATAATTAATCAACGTTTGTCAAACACAAGACAGAATATGTATTTACATCAGTTGGTTGAGACGGAATGCGTTGCATTTTTCGACGAACACATCTTTCCTGTGAGCAGGTGGTACATACTCCACCGAGAGAATGCCGCAGGATGCTTCTCCTGACAGTAAACGGGGCTGAAGACGGCTGCAGTCACTTCCAAGAAGGTCGTCAGAAGTATGGATAGTTGGGCATGGGGAACAGCTATTTGAGGGTGAAGAGGCTGCCGGTGGGATTTCGCACTTCGCCGTGGCGAGAATGTCGGGACAGCGTACTGTGAAGCCGGGCCGCGCTGTTACGTCTTCGTCCTGTTCAAAAGTCTTCGCAACCTCAAAGGAAAAAAGACGATCGCTTTCATCGTCGTCTAGTTCAACTGGAGGGGCTTCTGTGCCCGGCAGCCTATCACGCCAAACAAAGTCTTGCGCATGATGCGGAGATATGAGCGCAACAATCTGATCCGCGATCTTTGTAAGGTAGCTGAGTGGGCGTGAGCCAAGGAGCGACCGATACGCCTGCTGGACATACCGCATGAACGTGATCCGGTTACGGCTTACAGACGATATCGCTGCATCGTCCCATGTGCTGTCCTCGGGCCAATAGATGACGTACAGCTTGTTCGGATGGTTGGCTTCTTGAGAACGAAGGAAATATAGACCCGAGCGTAGCATTGGACGAGCCGTAGCCGAGTCATCAACGGACGCGAGTAAAGTGGCACTGTTCGTTGTGAGGGAAGGAACGAGATGAACACCATCATAAAGACTCACGTCGAATCATCGATGACGTTTTTGAACCGCAAGAACTTGACAATCTCCGATTTGCTACCATACACGCCGATTGGTTGCAGATGGACTTGATCGAGCGCGGAGAATTTGACTTTGGTCAGCGACGTATATGCGCCGGATGAGATGTCGTTGATGAAGCATCCAAGCGAGTCCTGAGCGATTATGATCTTATCCACTGGAAGTATTGGCGTCAGAATCGTAACCTGATACGAGAAAGTAATACGGACCGAGGCCGCCGCTTCCTTGTTCGTTGATCAGATCCAAGATCCTGTAGAGACCCTTGACGGAGTACATGAGGTCCAGCGTGGGCGCAGTTGCGGAAGGCTTGGTCTGTTCAGGACCAATGACTGTAGGCAGCTCCTCAGGCTGGGCCTGTAATTCAGGCATGGGAAGCGTTCCACCTGCTTGTTGGTGCTGGGCTGCCTCGATTTCGATGGGGATCGGTGCCGTGTCCGAAGACGTAGCTCCTTGAGGAGCAGCGTCGACGTCCATGTTGACGGGCACAGACTGACCGAGCGGCTACATTCAACACGTCAGTGAGGATTCAAACGTAGAGCATGGCGGGGTCGACAAACCGACTGATAGGCAATGTCGGCGTCCATAGCATCTGCATACAAATCATCGTCTGAGTCATCGGCGGGCTCCATGAAGGAGTCGGGATCGCGAAACACGTTGGAAGGTGTCCAGCTCGAGTCCATATCGAGAGATGGACGGGATTGAGAGCGTCTAGCACGCCCCTTGCCCGCTGACTCGCAGAGAGGTGAGTATATGAGGCTTCGAGCGTCCCGCGAAAGAAGGACGGTGCGAGGGCTGGTCAATGTCCCAATCGATAAGTAAAGGGGGGGACCGAGCCCCGCTCCATATGGCTATCAGGCCGCCCAACGAAGTCAGGAAGGAATTATAAGACAGCGTTTGGACCCCAGAACATGTCCCCCCATTTGCATCTAGCCAAAGGCTATACGTACAATGTCCGTCAATAGGCCAGGACCAGGCCTGGCAGATCGTGGCTGCGAGCCGCAGGCCTGAGGATTCCTTGCAGGTCAGGCAACGCCAATAGCGATCCGCGATAGCATCCGAGACAATGATAAGTTCACCAGCAGGTGTTCCATGACACCCAGATATCCTGCCTACGCCAACATGGATCCTGCAGAGTCCTCCCGGGCCCAGCAGCGCCCGCAGAACGACGAGCTCATCGTCAGGCGCATCCTCGCCGGAGAGACAGAGATCGTCTCGTGCCCTCATTGCAGCCAGTACAACAGTGCAGGAGGGGCGTCTTCATGTGGCCTGGCCGCGTTGAACTGTGCTCGGGTCGTCCTCGGTCGGGAGCGCGAAGGCACACAGGGTGTGAGTCTTCTGCTGGACATGATTGAGAGAAGGACGTTCGAGGTACGGTCGCGTCTAGCCCTGTCTAGCCACACCCGCAGCTCTGTCCCGGCCATACCGATTCTGACGACCTATCGAGCAGGAAATTCTCGGCATCTGCACGCTATGGAAGGATTCCGCTCACTTGGACGTCGATACGATCTTTGAGGGACCGCTGTTCTCCACGACGTTGACCCAGAGATCAGTGACTTACTTCGTACCCGACTCACGCGAATTCACAACTCTCCTCAAGTACGCGCGAGGTCCCATCCTTGCTCGGTTCGTACACTGATGATGTCTTCACCAGGAAATCATGCCAGATGCTGCCCACGCTCTCCTTCGCCGTCGTTGTCACTCGTACTCCTGAGATTGTGGTCGCCCTTCGCTTGGTCCGCCCTAATGCCGAAGATCGGTATGCGGTATTCGACTCCCATACACGCCCAAGCCACCCCACTGGTGCCGCTTTTATCTTTCTTCCATCTGCCCAGGCCGTTGGCTCCTACCTGGCAGGTTTATTCCGAGTGGATGCACGCTTGCTAGAGGATACATCGCTGCAGTGGGAGGTCCAATTGTTCGGGCAATGCTCCGCACATGTCTTCTGTGCGAAGCGAGTGTCGCCTCTGCCAGATGAATGGTTCGATGCCATCGCAAGATCCACCGTCACACAACTACAGCTGAAGGTGGGCATCGCCCAGGCGCAGGACGAGTGCCAGTCCCTTCAAGCCACCGTCAATAATCTCACCGCTGACGTCGTTCGTCTGGAGTCCGAGGTAGAGAACTTACAAGACGAACGGCGTCAGCGCCAGCAGAGCTGGCTACCGTGGAATCTGCGTCCTGCCGACGTCTACAATCATCATCGGGAAAAATCACCCTCGCCCCCATTTCACGGAGCATCGTCATCAAACGCGAGCAACTCGACGTCGAAAGGCAAGGCAAGAGATTCTGAAATGAACGATAAATCATACGCAGCGGCTCTTCGCAGGAGTGCGGAGACGAAAGACGGTCTTCCTTCCACTGCACTACCGCCCGCCCGTCCCACTCTGGATGACGCCGCATTGGCGGACCAACTCAGGAGAGAGTTTGAAGCACAGGACTTGGAAGATGCTCGCATCGCTGCAGATAAACAGCGCGAATATGAGGAGGAGCATATTCAGCTGATCTCCCAGTTTGAGGAACTGAAAGCGGGGGATCCCGGCTCCTTCGATTGCGGGATCTGTCTTGAGACACAATCCACCTTCGCACTCTCTCGAATCGATCCGTGCGGTCATCTGTTCTGTCGGGAGTGCCTGCGTCTTTATCTTCAATCCAAGCTTGGAGAACAGCGGTTCCCAATCCTATGTCCCGTTTGCTTGACGGAAAAAGACAGACGCGACCCCGGAAGTGAGCCCTCAACTGCTGGCTGATTACGTGTACTGACATAGGGCAGCTCTGAACGACGACATCGCGCATACTGTTGGTATCACGGAGAAAGAGTATGAGACGTACGTTGAGTTGCAAATGGCAAGCTTCTCCATCTTACTCCATTGCCGCAAGTGCGTATGATTAACCGTGTGGCGATCATCGGAGTTGATCCCACGCAAATTCCGTTAGATGCAGCAAGTCCGTGTTCGTCGATCGTCGCGAATACGAAGAAGCGAAGCTGATAGTATGCCCATTGCCCACATGCAATTATTTGTGGTGCAAGGACTGCTCTCGTGAAGTGGATATTGCCACCTCTGTGCATTCATGCGACGGTACTTCAGAACTGAACGATCTCATGGACCGACGAGGGTGGAAGCATTGCCCTGGTCAGACATCATCTATGCCCGTCGCCAGGGTTTCGGAACTTAAACACCTCGTTTCTCCTGCAGGCTGTAGCACTCCGGTTGAGAAGACACAAGGATGCAACCATATGACGGTACGTGGATCGAACTCTCCCTCAGCAACAAAGCAGTCGTTGAACTGCGGGAACCGTCTCAGTGCATGTCAGCGGGATGTAACACGTTAGTCATAGTCTTTATTGTGTTTCTCTTCATTAACACATGTACCGTGTCAGACACTTTTGTTACAAATGCGGGCAGACAATCGTGCGTTCGGTGAAGCTCTCCGATATCCGAAGTCATGTGTCTGCACACTATGGCAGATGCGCCTTGTTTTCAGGTCGCGTGTATGAGCAGTGATCACGAATGTATCGAGCGTGCCGCTCTTCGGGCCCCGTCATTGCACGTCCATTGTCTGTAAGATATCTCCTGTATGCGATCTGCCGCCACCTACTTCTCGAATGCATCAAGGACTAAGGGTGATGCCAGATATCCCGTGCGTTCGAGATTCCAATCTATGATGGTATCAGACGATGCACAACAGATGAAGCCGTGCCAACTGACCATCCGCGATGGGCGTAATATTGCCCTTCGTCCACTGCAGCACCTTCCGCGAATTGGTTGTAAAGCGGGGCCAGGACGCTACGGCGTCGCATATCACGCATCAGTTACGCTTATAGAAGGACTATATTGGCGACGCACGTCCGGGTATCAGATCGTTTACGAAATTCAGATACGCGTCTGTGAAATTCAGAGCAAATTCGGCCTCGCTGGGAGCCACCGTAAGACGACCGAACAGGAGTTGCAGCTCAATGGCGTGTGTCACTGTAGAAACGACAACATCAGCAGTGATGAGGTTAGATTGACCATCCGCCTTACCTCCAAGACTCGGATCATTCCCAGGAATCAACTCTTTAAAGAAATAGCCGTATAAATTCTGCTTGCCAGCCGCTGCATCAAAGAAGAGTCTGCGCGGCGCAAGGAACATGTTGTCTGTGTACCATGCTTCTACCCTGTCGAACAACGAATCGCCGGTCTCGAACGGAGCCCCATTATTTGTGCCGTTGGCTGGATACAAGCGACGGAACTCGTCCAGGATGGGTTGGGTGATCGTACGGTTATCCAACACAAGGCGTGCGACATAGTTGTCGAAGAGGGCGGCCTCTTCGGATGCTTGATGAGTGATATTGCGAACCGAGCTTGTGAAGAACGTTCCTTCATTGTTGTTCGTGCCGGCGAGATATGGCACGTGAAGGAAATGCCCGCTGGCGATCCGTGCCGATTCCCGTTCTGGAACGAGGCTACCAGGTGGACCAACAACAGGCTCCCAGAGCTGGCCGTTCAGTGTGTTGCTGATCATAGTGTTGCTGACATTTCGCAGAAGCTGCAACGCCGAATCAGACACAACGGCCATGCGAGATGTGCACCTTAACCTACCTCAAACGGCACCTGCTGCAGACACCCGAATGACCGGCCGTCAGAGGGACATCCCAGCACGGAAGTGAGGAGGGCATATGGCTTTCCCGGCTCGTCATACTGGAATGCGAACGGAGAGCTTTTGCTGATACCATATCGAATCAGCGTTGTCATCGAAGTCAGATGGATACCTACAAGGGCCCTGTCGGAGAGTTCGCCATACCCCCTCGAAACAGCGTCCTATTTGCAGGATATAAAATGTGTGCTGAGACGCTACCAGCCCCTGCAGACTAAAGCAAGCTCGAACAGACTGATATTCCATGTGTTCTGTGACATTACCTGTCCCCAAATCGTCACCTTGTCAGGATCGCCCCCAAAAGCGCCGATGTTTTCCTTGACAAAGTCAAGGGCTGCAATTTGATCTTGCAAGCCGGCGTTGAGATCCTGAGCAGGAACGTGTCGACTCGCAAGCTACAGATCGTACAGGCATATGAACGAGCCCAAATGGATCACTTGAATCACTAACGAAGCCAAATGTATTGACGCGGTAATTCCTGCTTGGCGAGATGAAGGCTGAGATATACCCGCTGATCGCTGTGTTGACTTACACGGATACGAACAAGATAGGTTTGCCTATATCAACACTGCGCTGAATCATGGCTGTACCGTGCTCAGAACCTATGGAGATCCAAACTTGGAACGAGCTCACCGGTAGCATCGAAAGATGGATCCGATGCGGCTCCATGGGTATAGGCGCCTCCCTGGAAATAATGGATTATTGGTTGCAAGATAAAACATCTGCGATGCTCTCACGTAGAACCAAACCAGTACCGGGAGCCCAGCTATTGTCTGATGAACACCTGAGGGACGAAATATCTGTGGAGGTTTCAGTGGCCCGCTTAAGTTGCCGTCACATAGCCCTTACATTCAAGAATAGACAGTCTTCCGCCTGCGGGGCGCCCAGAGACGTGCTCGGAATCTGAGGACAAGCATTGCCGAAGCTGGTCGCGTTATGTACCGATGAGATGTCGTCGGGGACCCTGACGGGCGCACGGAAACGCAGATCGCCAATGGGGGGAGTAGCAAAGCGTATTCCGAGCCACGATTCGATGGTTGTAGACTGATTGCGCGAGCCGAGGAAATGGCCCAGTCCCGTAGACACATTGAGAGACGCTGCGGTACAGAACGCTGCCGCAGAACAGAGCAGCGTTGCAGATTTGAGCATGGCGATGTAGAATGGGTAGTCTTGACACGTCGTATCGAGGTAGTATAGACGATGCGCTAGCTATGGGGTACAATTCCGGCCGGGTGCAAACTAGAGCTCCTTATCACATCGACCATTTGGAAGGGAAAGTGAAACCAAATCGGTGCTCTTGCAAGGGCGGAAAGCGTGCTACAGAAGTACGAGAATGACAGGAAGGTGGCTGAAGCTGTGGGACCGGCGTCACGACCTGTCCCCGGCGACCTTCGTCTAACGCGTTACCCAGTTCGTGCCTATCGACTTGTCCGTATCACCCGGGGCTTCAGGCATCTACAGGCGGTCCCCTAACGAGGGCACCCATTCTGCCACCGTCACACGCGGATATGGAGACCCTTAAACCACTTGCGCAAGTCCTTCCAGCCCTGCCCGTCAAGGGCCGCGAGATGTTGTACGTTGCTGCACATCCAGCAATGCTCGCCTTGGTTCTTATGTTTGCCATCATCGACGTACGTTCACATGCCCATCCCGCTGGAGATGCTACTGAAATTCTGAACATGTTTACGCAGCTTGGCCTTTCCATCTCCCTCGTAGGGGTGTATACCTCCGATCCTGACCGAATGCCCAGCGAGGATACGCTGGATGTCATCCGTCCGATCATGTGGACATCGCTATGCACACTGCTCTCCAACCTCATTTACCTCACGTACTACAAGGGCAACTCCCTTGGAATACCCAGAATCAGCCAGCGTGCAGTCTTTGCCGCGAATGTCTGTTCGTAAGTGCCTGCGCATTGTCGTCGACGTCAAATATGCATGATCCTGGTTATAAGAATTGTGATACCATTTGTGATTTGGACTTTTGGAGCGTTGTCCTTGACGGCGAATCCTCGCGAATGCTGGTGTGTCATGTTGCACGCCATGAAAATCTGAATGACGACGATAACTGTTCATAGGGGCGAGTGGCGATATTGCCGGTTCTTGAAAGCCCTTCGTATCTTTACTTGGGCGGAATGGTGAGCTGTACACGTCGACATGATGGACAAATGTTGACCAGACACCTCGTCGCCCTAGGGCCGCTCTAATTTTGGCCAATATTCACCTTGCGATTGCCCACCGCTGGCAGCCTGATGAAGGATATCATAGCGTCCGTCAGACCGAAGCATCGGATTCAACTTCCCGATTGCCACCAGCCCCTTGACCATCATACCAATGAGTCCGAATTTTATATTACCATGTAAAGTTGCTATCTGTCATTGTTGCTCTATGTATTTCGTACGTCTACTATCGTCCGTTAGTGCCAATCTTCACCGATACGCCTGCGCAATATCGAGTCACTGCGATTTGACGAACCAACGTCGCTATCACGACGCTGTCACATCGCGGTCAAAACATCATGCAGCCCGCTGCAGGTAAGTTGGGTTCTTGTGATCGGACACGCCTTTAGCTGCCCATGCTTGTTGCGCTTTGCGAATATCCTCCTTTGCGAGCCAGTGCCGCTCGTTCGTGCGGTGCCTCCATCTTCCCAGGTGTGCACCTACACCGGTGTCCTTCCACCAGTGCACCTCCATGCGAATCTGCTTTTGGCAGACATTGCAGTATGCTTTTCGCCCTTCGTCGGTATAATGAATGTCTGTGTGTCCATGAGTATGGTAATGGCCGCCAGCAGAAGTCATACGTACACTCAGGGACGTCCTTCGGTCGCGACCATGTCATAACGAGGATATCACCAGTGATAGACCTCTTGACCCTACCGACTGGGGAAGATGCGCTGCTCGACGGTGTTGCACTTCTCGTCGCCGGCAACGAGGACGCTGAGGCTATGTTCGACAGCGTCGTGGATTCCTGTGAGGACGACGAGCTAGAACTAGCAGTGCGGGAGACGGGCCAAGGTCCCGCCATGTTGGGCAACGCGACGGGGTGATCAGTGAAGGGCGGGTTCGTGGACTCCCCTACGCCCTCTGAGCGCGATTTGTAGACTCAATAGCAGTGGCCCGTGGCACAATAGAAGGTCCATAACGTGTTCCCCGAGGAAGGGCCGCGCTAACGGCAAAATTTTGCTGAGAGCCACGCACAGATGGCTATCATCACTGACAGCAATGAGCAGGTTGATCGTGCCGTCGCGTTTCAGCGATTACGTCGTGGGGATGGTGGCTTTGCATCATAAGTACTGTACTTCCGATATCTCCGGACGAACGTGCAGGCCAGGCAACTCGGAGACGGCCAACGACATCTATGTCTTGAAGGTGACCAGATCATCGCAGGATTTGGGGAAAGACGACCATGAGTACTTCAGTAGGACTATTGAATCCGGTGCCGACTTTTTGCTAGTCAGAATTCCTCGAACGCAAACGTGTCCGGAGTTCGATGTTCAATCCCGGATTTTTCCGCTAGCGTGGCAGGAATTGCAAGTGCAGCAGAATATGTTGATTGCATCACAGCCATGTATATAGCATACAAGTTTCATAGCTGATGCATTGTCACAGCGGTATCCCTGTCGGATGGAATATAAGTGACGTATTCGGTGCGACGCTCCGTCAGTGTCTTGAGCCCAGTAAATTACATCGGCGTCGTCCCCCTGGGAGGGTAACCCATAGGCCAGTGGAAGAGATAGTCGCATTACTGGTAACAAGCGAAATCGACGCAAAGTGTGTATGATGGCCGGAAAGGTACAATCTCAGCTGTACAGGACTTGTGCCACCTTTTACCACGCCCTCAATCCCATCCCCCTCTGGGCCACCGACGACGACCTTAGACATACAACAAAATGTCCACCGATCTCGAATGGCTTCTCCTCCGCGTAAGTACCAAGATATTGGGTTGTTTATCAACATAAGTCATAACGTGCTAATGACTTCACGTCAGGGTGGCAACTCTTTCGTCGTTAAGCGTGTGCCGGAGGGTCCGATATTTTCAAAGGAGCCGGTATGTTTCCTTTGGTTCTGCTTTACCGTTGATGCCGACAAACGTATCCTAGGGCAATTTGCTGAACCTGCACTCGCACAAGTACTCCGGGTTGGCTAACTCGAAGGTGGGCTTTCCTGCATTTCATATGTGCTGTATCTCGATTCTATATTCATGTCTATGCCCAGACCCTCCACGTTTTTGATAACAACTCTACGGTCACCATCGTGCACCGCAAGAAGAGCGCAAGCAGGCACCAGGTCAAGCCTGGTTTCGCTACCTCCACTATCCGTAGCCGTTCGGGTCCTCGCCGCGCTACTGGTGTTGCTGCAAGCTACGCGAAGCGCGGCTACAGGCCTGACCTTCGTACAGTAAGCAGCGTTGTCTCTCTAATTACTGAGTCTCTCTCCCGTGATTTGCTGTTGTCATGTGGAAACTCGACAAATTGTCGCAGACAGCTAGAACCCGCTGGATATACTTCAGGAAGGCCGGGCGTGGACATGTCTGCGAGAGCAATCCGGCTTTGGGCGGCCGATCAAACCGCCCAGAGTATCTCGCCCTACGCTATCGTTCCCGCTCAGTTTGCTCTACGCGATGACCGACGATGTGGCGATGACATTCATCATTATATATTTATTCGTGCTCATTCGTTATCCATTCGTACTCCAATGTTTTGGTCCCTTGTTCCTTTCTTTTATCTCGTCGTCATTCTTGTCGTTTTGTATGACACGTTTCTGACTGACGGATTGATGATAGGCCGCTGTCGCCCGCGTTTCGGCTCTGCTGTCCGCGCAGAAGGAACCCAAGCCCACACCGCCTAAGAAGGTTCGGGGGAAGAAGAAAAATGCTGCTACCGCATGAGCTTGCGTAGCTGCCCTCCATGTATGATACATATGTGCATGATTATGATCCGCTATCTTCGAACCATCCAAGGAGTGATCAGGTCGTCGCATTCATGCACAGGTATAGTACATTCATTGCAGCTACAGAGGTCAGTGCTTCCCAAACATACGAAGCCGTCGAAACGTGATTATCAGTATAAAAAATCCAGTTTGCCTTCAGGCTGAAGAATACGGCTCGCCCCTGTGGCGCGCAATACCTCCGGTTCCTTTTGAGGAGATCTCGGTTCTTCTTGCCCTCGCCAGACCTTTTCCCCTCACTTTTCTTCAGCGCATCGTCGTACGGAGCGTAATCATGCCTATGTTCGCGGTCCTTGTGGATGCCCGGCGAGGGTGATCAGCCTCAGCTTGTCTTTCGGTCAGCACTTAGACTGCGTCGTCGTGCTGGTGGTCTATGCAGTACAAGTCAAAGAACATCATCGGACCGCTCGCCCTCCGACATTACCTGAAGCTTTGTTGTTGGTGCGCCCTCTAAGGCTTGCCGCTGGTTGCTGGAAAGCGCAGTCCGGCGACTTTCACTTACGAGCAGTGAATGTGTTGCTACACATCTTCTCAAGCGCTGCTCGCCAGCCGGAAGGTGCTGAGTGGGCTTCATGGCTGTGTTGAAGGGACAGATGGATAGTACTGCGCGCGTGCCCCGCAGGATAAGCTAGCAGCGCTTATTGTCACTATGAAGGCGAGGGGCGCAAGATGCATGCGAGGAAAATGGTACTATTATCGTCAACTGCTCAGTACTAACGTGTCTGTCATCATGAATATACTTGATCTAAACTAAAGAGGTGTGGGCCGGTCATGAGCTTGGTAAGCATATATGCTACCACAACCGAGTGCTCTCAGGAGCAAAACCATGGGCCATTCGCAGCATGACAATATTGGAAGTAAGGCTTGAGAACTAGGATGGGTTGATCAGGAGGCAAACTGCATTGTACGGAGAGGATAGGCACGCACCCCGTTCCCAACGAACACCTGTGCCTTCTGGCCAATGAGCATGTCCGCGGCCTGCGCGACAAACTTTTGCTCCCAGGTCAACTCCATATCCCGGCTACTCGCGATCTTTTCCCAGGGCGCTGCCAATCGCATTGCCTGCTTCAATTCCGCAACCCACTCCGTAGCACCGTTGGTCATAATGAAGACGTTCCGCAGACCCTTGCCCGCCGAGGTCTTCCGGATGTGCTGCACTTTCTCCACGATTTCGTCGATGCTTGGGAAACAATGGGGTAGGAACAGATCGTAGTGTTCGGGCCTTGTCTCAGACCACTCATGCCAAGGGGCAGGAGTAAAGTGATCCGGTAACTCAGGGAAGGAGTTGAACCCATTGAACCCCGAATTCCATACGGCGAGGTTACGGCAATGACCCTCGAAGTCGCCACGCCGGATGTGAAGGACGAGAAGGCCGGGGATCATCGCTTTCTGATCAACGTTCGCTGCCGATGAGGCAGAACCGAACCAGGATAGCACACGCTGCTCCGTATTAGGTTCAAAGAGTTGGCGGTTGTTGGCATAGATAGAGGTGATCAGGGATGACCACCCGAAGTTGGCCATTATGGGAGATTTGGAGAGACCCGGGAAAATATCGAGGATGCGCGGGGAGCCGAACAACCTGCAGAACGTGAGATAGCTTGCCGATAGCAGCAGCGGACAACGAACCATATGGAGAAGACTTGTATGGAATCCTCAGCGATCTCTATGCATCTATCCGGCAATGAGTCGAGTTTCTTCACCCAGGCCTCAAGGGTTTCTTGGCCTGAGGCATCGGACAGTCCGTTGGTCACGTCCTCAGTCCGGATGATGGTACGCTCAGCCTTGGGGCAAACCTTGTCAAACCATTCTTTCTTCACGAACCGAGGCGCGTTCGATCCGATAGGCATGGGCCCTCCCACCATCGGTCCAGTGATGAGGGCGCTCAACGGGATCTGAGAGGGAATTTTCCTCCCGTTGTCGAAGGTAGAGTAAGCGGACCCGTCCTTGTTCCAGGTATAATTTGTGAACACGAAGCTTTGTCAGAGCGATGAGATCATATAACCTGGCCACGAATTCAAAAACGTACGTACGATCTTTGGGCGGAGTACGCGAGGTAGGTCGTCATGAACATCTCTTGCAGGATGTTTCCCCAGCCACTGCCTAATGGATGCGATTAATAAGGCTAGTTGCATCGTAATCGACCTTGGCTGAGGGCACTTGGGTTCTCGAAAACCAACCATCATGTGCCAATGATCCTCGGCGTATCAGAGACTAAGAGGAATGGGGACGGGGTGATTGCGAGGCGACGCGCGGCACACGTAGATGCTGAGGAGAGAGAGAACTCACCGTGCGCATGGTTCGCATTATAGAAGTACTTTCTATCCTTGTCGTCGGGAGGGGGCAGGTCCTGACTATGTTGGGGAAGTTGCAATTCCCTCTGGTGGTAATCCAGGTATAATGGCGGTGGCCTTCCAGCTCTTTCTGCAGCCGCAACGGATATTTGTCCATCAGAGAGCACAGACCGGACGAGGTAAAACCAGAGAAGTCCAGCGGCGATCAGTGCTGCGCCGACGTAGCGGTAGTAGCGTTTTGGCAGACTGGGCCGTCGATGAGTCTTGGATCGGTCATAGTAAACGGGGAATGGCATGGTTACACGGTCGGACCTGCCCGTACGGGCTCGTGCGTTTCTCACCCAGGACAACATCGTGTCAGCGAGTCAAGGGTGGAGAAAGGGCTCGTGGCTGCCGCCACTTGCTGCATTGCCATTGAATAATTCCACAGGTCGCAAGGCCGAACAGAGGTCAGTCACGTGATGAGGCGGGTCGGAGGCGGGGCGCCAAGCGCCGGTCCCACTCCGTTCACCTTACAGTACTGTAGTTTTACGACCTTATGTTCAGGTTTGTAGAAGGGGGACAGGGACACGTTAGTTCAACTATCCGTGGGAAGTTCATTTTGACCCGGCCCGTTGGTCCTGAAGTGATATACATCACATTTGTGTTTTCCACAGTCAAAGCATTATTTTCCCACACTTAGTTACGGACGTCCGGCAGGTGAGGGGACAGGGGACAACTTGTCATTTTAGGTTCAGTTCATGAAGCCATGGGGACAGGGGACGAACATAAGGTCGTAAAACTACAGTACGTTGCCGCCGCAATCGTCGCCGCGTCGCGAAAAGAACGACGCGACTTTCTGATTATCGTCCGGAACAGCTGTAACATGGTACCTGATTGCCACACTTCGATATACGCAACCGATGATCTTGTGCATACGTACACATCAAGTATACATCCCTACTTGAACATACAAAGCGGACATGCGTGTTCCGTTCGAGGAACGTATACACCACTGTTATAGTCACGCCGAACCGGAGGGTTGAGCATAGTACACAGTAGGCGATTTCGGAACTCAGGTTTTCGTAGCACAACCTAGACGGACGTCGCAGCCGCGTTAGCCATCTATCGCTACCAAGATGCGCATGCGACACCATACCTACAATTTCATGGTCTACGAGCTTTCCTCCTCGTCGTCATCTTCGTCATCAGCAGCAGCCCTCCATAGTTCCCTGTTCCCTACCACATCCTTCCACTCTGTCAGCTCCTTCCCAGCGATGTTTTTCGCCTCCAGCAGTGTTTGCCGCAGAGAGGAATAGTAAGCAGTTGTATTGTTTGATGACGCTGCGATCACCACGGGAAAGGAATAGGCTCTGGACGCCGTGAGCCCCGAAGGATAATCCGAGCTTTGTTCGGAACGACCAGAGTCGGCAGGTAGTGATTTGCTGTCTGTGGGTGGATGCAGGACGTAGCTAATCGTGATCGCAGCCATAGCTCGAGCAGAAGCAAGTCCTCGTCAAGAGAGTGGAAAGAGGCTTTGTTGTAATCTATTATCTAACAGCCTCCCGATCCGATCTACCTGCAACACAGCCTTCGAATGAACCACTAAATCGGCTTTTTGGACGAAACAGTCCCATTCATATCAATCCTCGTAACCAAACCGGTCTCTCTTGCATTTGGATCCCGACCATCGATCGCTTTCAGCGCTCTCTCTCGAGCGTCATGACCGGTGCTTCCGAGAACCCGGATACTGGCCTTCTGGCCTTTAGACCCTGCTGACAAGGTCGAGGACACCGCATTCGCCAATAATCGCTGTAGCTCGGTCTGATAGCTCGGCACGATAGCCTTCGCTTGTGAAACAACCCGGGCTTCGACGGATCCCGGTTTCTCCGGAATAGATATCCTCGTTGATAGCTCTGCAGCGGACATGTCGTTCAGAGTCAGTAACGTGTCCTTCGGCGAAAGTATCCTTGGCAGAACAGGGGCAAACTTGGGCAGATTGCGGGTGATCCATGCCTTGAAAAGGTCGGTATCAGCCAAAGGAGCTTTGCGAGGGATAGGTGCGCACCTTGCTGGTTTCATGGTCCCATGCTCGAGGATCGTCCAAGATGGCGACGCCCAAGCTCTTGGAAGTTATAGCTGCCTCCAAAGCGTCCTTTCCGCTCAGCTGAACTCGATTAGTGATAGTAGTAAGTGAAATTGAGAGTTACACACTCGGAATGGGGTGACGTAGTTCAGCGTGTTGACTGTGTCCTCACAGTCGGCTGCGCTCGGGCTCACGCACGCAAGAACGTATAAGTGGGCGTTTTGGTTACATGGCCCGGTCGGTTGGGAACTCTCGAATGCACGTTGTAATACCATAGTGAGCTTGCTTTCGCGCCATGGTACGCGAGAGCTTGACGGAGATATGCGAGCACGGATGCAGTCTTTCAGTGCAGAGAGTGACTTGTTGATCTCGATAGCCTCTTTGACGCGTTCGGGGTCCGAGTTTTGGCTTTGTGTGCTTCCACGCTCCGAACCTAAACACGTCTTGGGTGGATCATCGCGACCATAGTCCAGCTTTCGGAGTACCTGCAAGGTCAGTAACCACTATGCTGGAAGATTGGCCATCGTCATGCATGATCCGGAAGCGCATGATAGAATGCGAGCTACATAGCGCCAGAACTGCATGAGCCTCAGTACGACATTCACTTGCTGCAGACGACATCGGAGCTCACCGACTACTAGTGTCGTTCTTCATCGTACTCCGAGTCGTTCTGAGAGTGCCGGCAGCCTTGACCAGGTCGGCAAGCTCTTCGGTGGAGTTGGCAGAGTGCTCAGTGAGACCAGGGTACGGCACATCGGACGTTCTGGCGCTAACGATCCTCACGGGGGCGAATGCTGGTTCGGAGAGTAAATCATAGGAGTTCTGTCCCCGAATTTCGAAGGCAGAGATCATTATCTTGACAGTTTCCGACTTCCCTGCAGGAAAGAGGGCGTCTGTGATTTTCTCTAGAGAAGATGGTGAGTGGCAACGCACGCATATGGTGCGACGACCTTACCCTCGACTCTGTGAACCTCCGATTATTGCTATGATCGGGGCTACTAAAATGTACGAAACACGTACGCTGTGCAGGTGAAAGTCTTTCCGCACCCTGTTTGCCCGTAGGCAAGAACATAAGTCTCCTTCCCGCCCATTGCAAAGGAGTCCTTGATGACCGCGTTCAGGTCGAGCCCATTCCACACCGCGTCATTGCTATCGTCGGAAGAGAAGACGCGGTCGGCTTCGTACGTATTGGTGCCGAATCGACCCCCGTTCCAAGTTAGTGTAGGGTGGGTAAAGTGGATGGTCTGCGGAGGCTGCACAGCGGCCAGCGAGAAACATCCTTTGTCGATGTCGTGAGCTAAGAGAGGCCGCACGCGAACATAGACGCGTATATTTGACCGGGTGCTTGGCTCCCCCTCGTTATCTCTCGTCTGCCAGAGAGTTTGGTGCTTCTCCATATGCGCTGCGATGAGCGACCTGTTTTGGAGGATGTAGTCGAGCTGGGAACGCTTCACGAAGGCCATGGTGATTGACAAAACGGAGGAAGCAGTGGTGTGGTCTGTGAACGTTGACAATGCGAGTGGTCCTCGTTATGTGAACTCATGTGTTAACGTTGACCGGCATCAGATATTATAGCGGTATCAAGGGCCCGCGAGCGGCGAGTCACATATGTGCCAGCCTGACTATGAGTATGACTAGCCCAGCCGCGTTGAGGACCGTGTGTGCAGGATGGTCATTGCTGAGGACACCGCGTGGACGATGGGCCGAAGAGGCGGCGTCAGAGATCCGTCAGAAGCATTCCGATTCGGGCTGAGACAAGGCATGGCCCGGTCATCTTTCTCATACTCACTTTACTTTCCTGCCATAGCTTTAAATCAACCCGGCCGCTTCACTGATTGGCTGCACTACTGAGCCGGTACATCAGTCCGCAGACTGTGCTCCTCTGCCCAAGCAGCCTCTTTCGCTCAAGCGCGTCGCTGGGGGCCCGTTGTGGTCCAGCATTCGTCCGGACGTCATCGACATCGCTCGTACAAGCCTTCGGACTGCTGCACAGCCCGCCCCAACCTGCAATATCGGACCTCAGGTCGTCGAGGCGGAGGGCGTACGCTCTGACTGCATAAACACCGTCGTGTCTTCTGAAGAGGCTTAAGATGGCGCTTGGTGAGTGCCCGGTCGTCGCGTCGATCAAGCGCATGTAGCATGACCCCATGTCCAGACGTTAGCTCCCCCGCGTCCACTGTCGACTTCCCTGAAACAGATGGGTCTGTAGTTCTACCTCATCCCCGCCCCGCATACTTGCCTTTCCGTCGGATCTCCCTTCCAACGCCTCCGAGTGTAGCCTACAGACATTCAGTGGCTAGCATGGACTCGCTGGATTCGTCGACAGAAGAGCTTCCAAGGTCCACCCCGGCGTCCCCGGTAAAGAATGTCGCGAGCAAATCAAGGTCTCGCCGAACATCCATGGAACCACTGAAACGCAGCGCAGCACGTCTGAGGCCAATCGACGAGACGCGAGAAGCTAAGCGAAGGAAGATAATAATGGAATTTTATGACACCGAGAGATCTTATGTTGATGGTCTTGAGCTTATATATTCGGTGCGTACATTAGCTGTTGCATTCTGTTCGTGCTGATCGGATCCTCTCATAGCACTTTCTAACGCCTATAATGGCCACTCTGGAAACGCCCTATCCGCTTCTCACCGCATCCGAGCTGACCGCTGCTTTCTCCAATTTCATCGACATCTGGAATCTTCATCGTCGGTTCTTCCATGCGCTCTCTACTCTACTCCTTCCGACGTCCGCAAGCCCGACAGCTCAGCCGCCCGCTCTATCGCCTGTGCTCCTTGCGCATTTCCCGTACCTCTCCTTGTACAACCCGTTTGTCACGGCGTTCCCCGGCGCATTGGCATCCCTCAACGCCTTTCTCGCGAACAAGCCCGCATTCGCGGCTTTCGTTATGAAGCAGGAGGAAGATCCTCGTTGCGGAAAGCTGAAGTTGCGAGATTGGCTGCTGACCATAGTACAGCGATGCCCGCGCTATCTGTTACTTCTCAAGGACCTCGTCAATTGTACGGATCCGGTGGATCCTGAGCATGCGTCTCTAACAGCCGCACATACCCTCGTCTCCAAGAGTGCGTCTGGTGTCTCCTTGCATGTCTATACATGCTGACGCTCGCTGCAGTTACCAGTTCACTAAACACTTCATTGCACACGCATGCCAAAACCTTGGCTTTACTTGCCCTGCAACGTAGCACACCGAATCTGCCCTTTCAGCTGATCGCCCCTGGTCGTACCTTCTTGAGACGTGGCCCTCTACTTCAGCTGGAAGGCGCGTCAGCGCCCAAGGACCGGGAATTTCTACTCTTTTCCGATTGTCTTATCTGGCTTTCGAGCTCAGACCGTGGGGATGGAGAGGTTCGGTGGGGCGAAAGCGAGGAGGGGACTGTCCCGACTCCGACAACAAGTGGTGATCACTTGGCATTACCTGCTCGTCCCCCGATGACGAGGAAAAGAAGCAAGAGCGATGCCGAACTTCCCACCACTCGGAGTGAGACGCTTTCAGATCTGTCCGAAAGCGCGCCTCCCAGCGCATTTCTTGAAGGAGAACGGAACAGGATCGCGGGAAGGCAGAGCAAGTCAAACCTCAGCGCGCTGATCATACCGAAACCGAAGAAGAGGAAGATGCGGGTCGCGAGCAGTGGGGTGGAGGAAAGATGGATTTACAGGGGGCACGCGCAACTTGTAGACGTGGAGGTTGTTCTTCCTCATGTACATGACCCCGGCGACGAACGAAGGTTCGATATACTGAGCCCAGAGCGATCATTCGCCGTTTATGCAGGTGGGCTCAGAGCCACTTTGCTGTTGGCATCGCGCTCACAGTTTGATCAGACAGCGAGACCGAGCGGGACGAGTGGACGGCAGCGATCCGCAATGCGAAAGCCGCTCTGCTAATGGCGCTCAATGCAATGCATCCAAACTCCACTCTCACCTCATCTGCTTCCAATGCTCATATCCGACGCGCTCTTCAGGCCATCCCGTATTCTCCTGAAGAGGAAGCATCTGGGAAGAAGCCCAGGCGTGGCAAAGTAGAACATTTTGTCCCCGCTATCTGGGTTCCGGATGCCAAAACGGAGGCCTGTATGCGTTGCGGTCGTCCGTTCGGATGGAGGAGACGGAGGCATCATTGCAGACTATGTGGCAGATGTGTCTGCGCAGCGTGCTCCGACCAGGTGAAGACTCCTTCCTTGTCTCCTTCCTTGGCTCCGAGGTTGATGTGTCAATCTATTCCAGACGTTCTATGTAGCGGACTCGTCCGAGTCCGGGGCGAAGAACAAACCAGCGCGTGCATGCAACGCCTGCTATGAAACTGTCTTTCCGGTGATCGAGGTCGAGCCGACGCAATCAGCATCGGCGATGTTACCCTCCGGAACTGTTTCCACGCTCTCAAACTTTCCAACGTGGCAATCCATTTCCACCCCTGCGCTGGCTATCCCAAACGCTGCATCAAAACATGCCTCGGCATTGCTTGCCATCGACCTCGACAGCCCGTCCAGGCCGGCGCTTTCCGCCGCTCAGGCGGGAGATGACGATGACGTGTTCGCCCCGCCCGAGGTGGATTGGAACATGGGAGCAGGAACACCTCCGTCACCATCTCGTGTACCGCGGATGCGCAAGCGACAGTCCATGCAGCGACCGAAAAGCTATGTGCAGATTCTCGAGGAGTTCTCGGAAGAGGCCCAGATCTCATCCAGGGAAGGTTCACGCCTCCAGGACGATGATAGGCATGGAAAACCGACGTCACCGACTATGACGCGAACGACGTCTGCTCTCAGTGCACAGACGGTAGCAACCTCGGCCTTGTCCCTGGAGACTGATCCAACCGAGGAGGAAGCGAGTTCAAGCGGATCTCCGCGACCGATGAGGAAGGAGGATACCGCAAGGCGCCATAAACGTTTCTCAATGCCTGCAATGGCATTGCAAACAACCTCGGTGATGGTCAAACCGACGACGACCGGCGAGGGAAAGAGCAAGCGATTCTCATTAGTGCTAGGGAGAAGTGGTGGAAGCACGAGGAAAGCAGCGAAAGCGAAGGGCACCGCCGAAGAGGATGAAGAGGGTAGAAGAAGCAAGGGTTTAGCGAACGGTGCAGCGGCAACCAAGCTCAACGAATTGCTGGGGAGGAAAAAGCAGCAGTGACGATGACTCGAGGGTGAACCCTCAGACTCGTGTCAATAACGACCTTAAATTATGACTTAGCGATTTACATGTCCCGCACTAGAACCCTACTAGCGATGATCCTTAATGAGACGGCTAACATTACGCCTGTAGCCAGCCGGAAGAGCATCATGAATTCATGCATGCATATGCCTAAGTCATACAGGAGAATGTGAAGACGGCCAGTGCCAACTCAGATCGTCGTCTCGTATGGCACAGGGACAATAGTTTGAGGCGCGTTCTCGGAGATGGTGACGGTGTGAGCTTCCCGAGGTGCAGCATGTTTGCGCTTGAGGAAGACCCGCTCTGAGAGGGAAGTGATGAGTGCGCATGAAACACGGGAACAAGTATGCAACATACCGCCCTTCTCCTTAGCAGCAACGTGCGCCTCATGGTTGGCTTTGACGCGGTTCAGGAACTCCTGCCTGCACTTCGAGTGCTTGATGTGCTCAACACGGATGTTGACGCGCTTCTCGATGTACCGGTTACCGACGATCTTGTTAATGATGATACCGACGGCGTGAGGGGTCACGTTGTAGACAATTCCTGTCCGCCTGCAAGCGTTTAGAATGCAAGGTTGAACCAAGGACGGGCAGTCAGTCGCACCCGTGGTAGTATTTGTGGGGCATGCCCTTTTGCTGAGCCGCATTCGCCTTGATATCGACGATGTCACCGACACGATAGGGAATCAAGTAGGTGGAAAGTTTGATCTGGCCATGCTCTACGCAAAATCGCGAGTCAATATATGCAGAGAGATTGCCGAGTACAGCTGAGCTGAGCTATCGCACCCTTGAACTTGCGCTTGAACATGTCGCGCGTGCGCGCGCGGTAACCAAACGAGTGCGGCATCTTGACGGACTAGACGGAGACAGATGGATGATGAGTAGTTAGAATCCAGTCGACCAGCCCTCCGACGTACGCTGGGCCGAGTACTTGGAAGTCTTGAGGGGAAAGGGGAAGGAGCGTGGGATTGTGAACGGTGGCTGCTGTACAGTACCCGCCTTGCCACAACTCAGTTGCCTCGTTTCGCCTTTCCTTCAAGACCGTCAAGATGCCCAGGTAAATTCGCCGTCACCTTAGCTAGTGTGCTGATTCTAACGGAGATCATAGGGCCCCGCGGAACCACAGCAAGACGTGAGTAATGGCTGACAAGCTCAAGATCCACTTCGGTGGAGGGATGCATCGTGCTGATTTCATTCGCCGTGCCCCAGTTACAAGGTCCCTCGTCGACCTTTCGAATCCGCGCGTCTCGATGCCGAGCTGAAGGTCCGTGTGCCTGTCGCTATATAGCATACGGAGTCTCAGTCCCAGCATTATCTAGCTCGCCGGCGAGTATGGCCTTCGCAACAAGCGCGAGATCTGGCGTATCTCCCTTGTGCTCTCGAAGATTCGTCGTGCCGCTCGTGAGCTCCTCAAGCTCGATGACAAGGACCCGAAGCGTCTTTTCGAGGGTAATGCCCTCATCCGCCGTCTTGTGCGCATCGGTGTGCTCGATGAGACCCGCATGCGCCTTGATTACGTGCTGGCCCTCAAGCTCGAAGATTTCATGGAGCGCAGGCTTCAGACTCAGGTCTTCAAGCTCGGGCTCGCGAAGAGTATTCATCACGCCCGTGTACTCATCAGGCAGCGCCACATTCGGTGCGTTCTTAAGATCCAGACGACCTTGCGTATCGGGCTAATATAAATGTCGATTTCAGGGTCGGCAAGCAGATCGTCAACGTCCCGTCGTTCGTCGTTCGTCTCGACTCGCAAAAACACATCGACTTCGCGTTGACTTCGCCCTACGGAGGTGGACGTCCCGGTCGTGTCAAGCGCAAGCGCGCTGCCGCTGCCGCTAAGAAGGAGGAGGGTGGCGATGAGGAAGAAGAGGAGTAAATGCCTGCCCCCTCCCACTGCTATGGTCACTCTCGCATGTATAGGCTCATCATGCAATTTCATCATGCCACGAAACCAGCTCTGCGTAATTTCGCCCCCACCTCTGATATCTTATCACGTCACGAAGCCTCGCTATCATCAGAACACGAAAATCATAGCACCTATTGATTTTTGTGCACAGAATCGCAGTCAGCGTACAGATGAATTATCATTATGTTTATAGGCACAATAATCATACAATCCCAAACCACATTGCGCGACGGTGACGATCAATCATCTATTCAATCGCTTCACTTTTGTCATGCGCCGTGAGACAAGCTGTATTCTGCAAGTCTGTGGTTCTCAGGCGGTATCGACGAGTTGACCTTTGAAGCCGTCACCTCGCCTGACAGCAACTAGGCCACGCAGAAGAACGACGAAAACGGCGACAGTTACAAGGATCCTGGATGGTGGACGTCAAAGCTGCCCAGACGCGTGAGCAAAGTTGCGCTTACCATTCAATCCAAGCAAACGCCTCCGCCGCGTTGAGCTGCCCACAGTACGCGAATTGCGAGTGACTGCAGTTTTGTCCGCCGCCGAGAGCGGCCGTGATCGCGGCTGCGCCCGCAGTCCACCAGACCCACGTCAAGAAGAGGCTGGCCCAATGTCAGTATGAATGGCACAAGTGGATGTGATGCTTGGAAAACATACAAGATGCCGTGGCTGGCGACGCTGGTGAGAATACTGCCAGTGGTATAAAACCAGAATCCGAGAGCGTAGACTAGAGAGAAGAGGATGGTCCAACAGGACGCGAACACGAGGAACCTATAAAAGGAATGGGTGGTGTCATCCTTGAAGGCAAGAGTTGTCATACCTGGAGCGTGCGCGAACCTGGGCGTTCGACCCAGCGTGGTGGTTAGCATAGCGGGCTGTTAACCAGGCGGAGATGGCCAGTTCGACGATAGCGAACAGAATCATCAGTCCAAAGACAACTTCAAAGGTATCTGATCAGATTGATGCGTGGATATCCAGAGCTACTCGTACTGGGATGTCCGCGGCGAATATGAGTATCGACGGGCATTATGGCGTAGAGTAGTCGTGCGCGGGTCGTACAACAGAAGGCTGTGTATGTATACTGCAGAACAAGCTGGCGAGGTGAGGGAGAGATACAGCGTTGATCAGATACGGATGTACGGATGCGAGGGTTTTATAGGAGGGAAGAGGCTGGACAAGTGGCACCACCCCGCGTTCTTAACGGTAACGTTCAATGCCCGCAGCTGGCGGGAGTGTCGGTTCGGGTTCAACTGACGTCATGTGCACGACGCGACGACATCGGGGCGGAGGCTCAAACTGTTTGAGTCTCCACCCATCTCCGCGTCAAGTCGAACCAGGCTCGTGGGGAACTGGGAACTGACGTCGTTGCCACCTCACTCGTACGCGTCCGCGATTATCGTCGGCGACCAAGACACAGCGGCAAGAGTCGTCTACGACGGCAGCAGCGCACAAGCGGCAGCAGAAATATGGTCCGCGCACACGTCAAGCAGACGGTGAGCCCGCCGTCCCGATTTTCAGCCACTTCAGCCACCCGCCCCGTCGGATCCCGCGTCCGCCACAACGCAAACACGATGCCTTTGGCGCCGGTGGCTGCACCTTCCAGTCAATTATCTAATCTCCCGTGCGTCCATAGCCAGAAGAGAAGAAGGAGACCCGCAAACCGAAGGCGCCCAAAGCGCCCAAGGAAACAAGGCCTCCGAAGCAAACTGCCGCCCCGAAGGAGCCCAAACCTCCGAAAGAAGGCCCGACGGCGGGCGCCTGGCCCTGCAAGATCGACGGTTGCACCAAACAGTTTGCACGGGAGGCGGACCTGAAGAGACATCAACGAACGACCAAGGGCCATTCCGTGCCCAGCTTGTGAGCAACACGCCGCCTCCGCGATCCGTGCACTTACCGGTGACCTAGCGCGTGCCCGCAATGCGACGCGGCTTTCACAAGGGTATGTATCTTCCTACCGCGATGCGACCGTTCGCTGACGGGACCACAGACCGATGCCCTTCGTCGCCATCAAAAATCACGGTGATTGATTAGTATCGCCTACTTACATGTGTCGTACTGAACTCGGCACATAGACACAATGGTGTGGTGATTGAAGCGACCCCTACGGACTCCACTGCTGCAGGGAACTCGGCGGTTGACGCAGCAGGACCGTCACAAGCTGCCAAGTCTCGCAGCGGGTCCCCTCGTGCGAACAACATGCCTCACCCACCTCATTTGAATCCGGGCGGCCCGTCAAGCTATTACCGTCCTCATGTGCTACAAAGCGCGGGTACGCCGAACGGTGTCACATGCACTGCAATTATTGATCTTAGCTTCAGGCATACATACTCAACCCCAAGATTATCCTCAAGTTGGTTTGCCAACCTCAGCGACCCGCGGAGGATGGGCGCCAGGCGAAGTGCAAGCTGAACACTATCCTGGTCCTAATGGCGATGCTGGTCCCGGCCCTGGCCCAGAGTATTTCACAGCACATGAGCCCTACTACCGTCCCGAGGGCGGAGATGACCCTAGTCAAGGTCAGAGTCGCACAGAACATGGACCGCAATCCGAAAACACGGGTCCGGTCATTGACCCCGCTCTTGAAGGTCCCGTGACGGTGAATGGGAAGGGAGCGCAAGGCCAAATGATGAGCATGGAGATGACGCAAGCTGCAGTTGCCGCCGTTCTCGAGGCCACAGGGATGATCCACTCAGCCGCTGCGAATGCTAGTGCTGTTTCGCATGCAAGCCGAGTTCAGAATAGTGTGCCGCGGACAAATCAAGAGAGCGATGGCGATGTGATGCTCAACGCCTCTGAGTTGTTGACACAGGTAAGCTTCGATGCTTGTTCGTCTTGGTATATGACATTGGATGATCCCTGTTTGTAGGAGTCCCTGGCTTCCCCGCCATCGTCATGACACCCATTGCTCCATATTCGGCGCTTGACTTCCCGTGCTAAACATGTACGGTGTACCGCGCTCGATTTCCCGTACTTATCTCTCTGTTTTATCTTTATTCGTGATGGCTTGGCCGAGTATGCTGTGGAAATCATGTGAATACACTAGGGTATTGATATACGATACGCTGTTGAAAGCGTGGATTCCGCCATGTATTGACCATTAAGAACTGAATACTGCCTCCCCTAGAGAATCTTTTCCTTGGGATACTTGTACTGCGGGCCAACCTGTTGCACTACCATCGCGCCCATTTTGTGTCCGACCTCGATGCATTGATCCAAGTTCTTTCCCGCCACGAGCGCGCCCATGAAACCGCCCGCGAAGCCATCTCCGGCGGCGTTTGTATCGACGATTTGCTCCTCCTTCAACGGGTGCACGTCGTACACCTTCGGCGTATCCGGCGCATCACTGGTCACGACGATGGTGCTCTTCGGGCCCTGTGTAAACACAACCGTGCGCGGGCGAGATGGGTTCGACTTCGGGAGCGAGGCCAGCGCCTTCGCAATCTCAGGCAGAGTAGCCTCCGGGGGCTGACCCGTTGCGGAAGCCCAGGCGGCAGCCTCCGATTCGTTGGCAATGACTATGTCGGTATACGGCAGTACTTGTTGCAGTTGTACTTGGAAGAACTGCGGGATGAAAGGTGCTGAAAGGTTGAGGGCAAAAACCTGTTTCGGAGCGAAGATATCATGAGCTGTCCCGGACCATGAATTGGGGGTAAGCACGAACCTTGCCTTCCTCAGAAGACTTCTTCGCAACCTCCACGACGGAATCGGTTCCGTGTGTGAGGAAGTAGCCCTCGACATAATAGTACTGGGCGCCCTGAACGAGCGGGGCAACCTCCGGCGATTCGAGGTGGGACTTCTCAAATTTCTCCGCCGCGCGCAGAGTGGTGCATAAAGAGCTAAGCAAGTATCAATGCCTTCTTCTTGAACGTAGTTGTGATGTGCTCACCGATGGTGGCCGGTGATAACTACAGCGCATGCACCCGTCTTTTCTCCCTTCTTGACCTGATAAACCTCCGCAAGACCTTCGCGCTTGTTGGCTGCACGAAGTTGCTCAGCCAATTCATCATCGCCGACGCAGCCTGTAAATACCACCGAGTTCGGCGGCAGGAGATACTATCGCTCCGATGTGAGTGTGCCAGGATCCGACTTAACCTAGGACGCACAGCAGCTCCTCGGGCGGTGTTCTGGGAAGCACCACCAGCGACGTAAGTCACCTTGTAGTTTTGCACGATATCATCGTAGCTATGATTCTCAATCAGAACCGCGACCGGTACATCATCGAATATCGAGGAAAAGATATTTCACATTGGCAGATGTTTCTCCTCGGCGAGGATAGCATCGTTCGCCTTGAGATCATACTTGTTCAGTATTTCTTCGCCATTGGTGACCTGGATGTCTAGCAGGGGGTTTCCCATACAGAAAAGAGGGTATGTTGTGGAGGCCATGCTACGAGCACCCTAGGACGTAGGTGATAAATGAGAAACAAGCAAGACTGGACACAGCGAGGGTTATACGGAAATCGGATTGTTGATAGCACGGTGGCTGTGTGAACGATCAATATATAGCCTCACCCACAGCAACTTCAAAGTACCGGGTGCTTCGCTTGAGCCGTGTTGGGTAGGGTCGTGAAAAAAGAGCACGTAAGAAAAGCGCGTTAACCGGTAAGAATGTGCCAACACAACCGCAAATCGAGCTTTCGCGCTTGGAAAGATACCTGAGCACGTAATGTAAGTATTATCTTATTGAGCGATCATGATACCGTTCCATCGTATTTGTCCTTTCGTCCAATGCTCATTCCCAGCAATGAAATCGCTCCTCACAATCTTTCCCCTCGACAGTACCCTCCCTTCGCTCTCCACTTTGATATAAAGACCCTCAACAGGTCCATCGTAGAACATGGATCTCTTGTGTACCATCTTCTTCAGGGCCTCGTCGTTGGGCATCTCTCCGCGGTATACCGTTGGCACGATGTGAATTCTCGTAACGTCCAGCCGAGCTTCGATCGCAGAACGATCCATCCACGTTCCAGTAACGCGATCGTACACATCAAATGCCATAAAGTAGTCCGGAAGGCGATCGTAGGGAATTGAGTGTGTCGCCGCAAGCCATTCCCCATAAAGGATATAGCGCTCCGGGAAGGAAGGGTCGCGGTCCAGGATGCAATACAAATCCTCCCGATGCTCCTCGACCCATAGGCCCAGGCGCTTGAATTGTTCGTGTGAGGATGAATTAACGTAGTGCGATCAATTTTGGACAACGACGCGCTTGTCGGCTGACAGAGAGAAGCCCATATTCGCGCCATCGATCTTCTCCGTGATTATGACTTGTTGCCCAGAAGCAATCACGGGGCGGCCAGCCTCATGCACGAGGTCGTCTTCGGTAACAGCACCCAAGTTAAGTAGATGAGGTGTGCGCGGGAACTTGAGCAGTGATACTGGTGGCGAGAGCCTGAGGACGACCTCGCGGACAGCTTCAAATGACCGGACGGTGACAATTGTTTTGAAGCCTTCTTGCAACGTGGGTTTAACGAACATTCGCTGCATCTGCTCGACCGCGTTACGAACACGACCTCCGGGAGGAAGCGTAGGGTGCCAGGGACGATTTTGAGCTCGAGAGGTGCACAGCTGTAAAGCGTTGAAGATCATTAGCGATAGATTCCATCAGGATGAAGGCTCGTTTCGGCGTCGCACCTCGGAACGGTAATCAAAATGCACGCATACGGGTGTAACGGACCATTGAGCTAGATTCAACCATAACCGACGATCCTCTCTGGACATGTTGCACCTATCCAATATGACTCGGGGCGTAGATCCACCTCGTAGTGCGACAGGCGTTTTCCCAATTTGAGATTCGCAGGTTGACCGGCTGCGTGCTTCATCTTGGGAAGTGTGTATCCATGCAGTCGGGTTGCGAGCTACAAGCGCATTTGAAAACCAGGACTTTCCAGACCCCGGTAAGCCGACCAGGATGAGCAGATCGGCTTTCGTGATATCCGCCATCCCTACGATCTCCGGCTCGCAGGGTGGCGGCTCTGGTACAGGCGGAGGAGGTGACAACGAGCCTCGCTTCCAGAGCGTGCTGCACCATTTACCCACAAACTCAACCTGCTGAGTCGTTTCTAAGCTCCCCGGACGAAGCATGCGCACAGCTTCAATAGCTTCACTCGCAGACATCAAAGGATGGGTGCGTGAGTGATCGGGTTTGCTGAATCCGTGTGCGACGAGATAGCATGCAGCGACCGTACCCGCTCGGCCCCTACCACCACCACAATGTACAAGGATAGGGAGATTATTCTCGTCCTCGAAGAGACGCATGATAATATCCATCTGCTCAACGGTGGGTGGATGGTAATTGGGAATGGGAAGAAATGTATTGGAGATACGACCAGAAGAGAACCAGATGGCAGGAAGTGGTTCCTCCGCTGTGAGTGTAAGGACATGTCGAATTCCAATGTACGGCGACGCGAGTGCAGCTATGTCTTTCGCTGACTTGGGGGTTGACATGAGAGCAAATTGGAATGGGATAAGCCATCGAAAGAATCTGGGCAATACACAGAAATCATCGGATTCAGGAACAACTGATGGTGCCAAAGACCCCGGGATGCGCATGCGCTCGCGAGGTTCGAGACATAAGACAGGATTGTAGGATTTTTTGGCGATGAGATGAAGAAGTTCCCCCTGCCATGGCCTACAAAGGTCGGCTGCGAGATCGCGGGGTAAGGTATGGGTCTCCACTGCCGTAAACAAGACACCCCATTCCGTGTGCTCCGCGCAAGCGATGATGCGCTTGACGCAGTAAGACTGAAGCTTGCTGTTCGCGGATCGTTGATATACTGCAGCATACGCTAGCATAGCTAGTTTATAAAGCAGGAGTTTGGAAGCAGAATCCGCCAGTCGGAGAAAACCTCGTTCGGGATCCTGATTGGTAAGGCATATGGCCATTGAAACCTGCATAGCACGTTCGAAGTTGTGTTCCATGTGCAGGGTCAAGGCAAGGCGGTCCAGCTTTCCAGCTGGAAGATTTGGATCAAGTTCGCCGGGCAGAAGTGTATCTATGCCCTTGTCACCTTCAGGTGCAACGGCAGTGGTTAGCTTGAGGTAAAATTGTCGAGGTGATAGTCCAAGGCCCTTCCGCCATTCGTTTGCAGCGGGCCAGATGATAACGATGAAATATTCGTCGCGATGTCCGTTCCTCCCTATGCCGAGCGGAAACATATCTGATTCCGATGCTGTCGGACGAAGGATTTTGTCCTGCCCGAGCCGGCATAACTCGTCTTTCTCAAGGAGTAATAGTTGAGACGAGTTCTCTAGGAGGTCCTCAGGGCAATAATACCGACATAGACGTTGCCGGTACTCGTCGACCATGACGTCTATCTTGAAGCTGGCCACGACAAGACGGCCTTCGTAGATTTCGGCAGGCATGGCAAGAGAGTTGTTGGTCTTCAGCGGTGATGTGAGGAAAACTACGCGGAACAGTGCTCACTTCGAGAGCTTTAGAGCAGGGCGAGATGCAGTGTCGTTACCGATGAGAGTCATGATGGCTGGGAGTCAACTATGACTTCAAATGCGGGACCGGTAATTGTGGAACGGTGTCAAGAACGACTTGGAGCACAGCAGAGCACAGCGCTGAGCCTGTGAGACATCGACTCTCGCCACAACAACAACCACGACGCGTCGAAAGCACTGCCCTCGATCATATCTATCACCTCATATCCACGTCTAGCATTCTTACATTATGGCGGCTTCAAATGTACCTCGCTGGGCGAAACACATCTCAAAGACACTCAGTGAGCACGAAAAAGTCAGCGGTATGCTCTCGACCCGCCTTCCAAATGTAAAGCGGTCTTCTTGACATCGTACAAAGTGTATCAGCTCGCAACTGTCGATTCATCGAATCGTCCTCATGTTCGTTCGGTGATTCACCGGTCCTTCCTCACGCCCAAGGGCTCGCAGTCTACTCCTTTACTTGTCACCAGCACGGACATCCGGACCCCGAAGGTTCAACAAATGTTCGAAGACGCTTCGGTGGAGCTCTGTTGGTGGATCGACCCAACCGGCGAGCAATTCCGCATCGCAGGGCGCATCTACGTCATCCCTGACCCTTCGAACCCATATCATCCGCGGTCCATGGAGAAGATCGAGAGTGCCGGTGCGGCGTTCCGAGAGCTGAAGGCGGAAGGAGTGGATTGGGAGAGCAAGCGCAGGGAGCTGTTTAACACGATGTCGCCGCATATGAAAGCCAGCTGGGTCCGTCCAACACCGGGATCCAAGATCGATGACTACGAGGAGTCGAAGAAGTGGCCGTCGAAAGTCGAAGGTAGCGCAGGTGACAACCCTGAGGATCCTGACCAGGCGAAGAATCTGGAGACAGCGCTGGGGCACTTCGCCCTCGTCCTCGTCGATCCAATCGAGGTCGATTACGTTGAAATGGCTGTATTGCCCAACAGACGGACTCGCTGGATCAGAGAAGGGGGGGTCGAGGGGACCGTTTGGGCGGATCACCTGGAAGTTCCTTGAAGCGATCGTGTGTCTCATACAGTGACAATTGTATCCCTGGCCAATTGTGCGATGAATTTGTGACAGACAAGCACGATCTGACCGTCCCCGTCGCGAGTCTCCACCGCGGCTATCGAAGGGCTATCCAACTCGTCCCACAACCTGCCCAAACATCAACAGCTGTTCGAGATCGCTGTTCAAGAGATAGCGGAGGCCATATCCTGACGGGAAGTTGCACGTCTTCTGTATTTCCCACTCCGAGGTTGCCGTGCTCGTTCCATCCCCAGCCCCATATCTCGCAGCTCGAGCCAGTCTCGAGTTCTTTGCTATCGCGACGCTCGGTCTCGTCGCCGCGAGATGCCCGATCCACCATAAGGAGAACATGTTCGCTCCCACAGACCAGTTTCCTGAATTTATACCCATGGGTGCCATTAGGGAGCTCGATGGCGGCCGCGGATACCATCTCGCAATCCTGAGATAATCGACCCAATTGGCCTCGTGAAAAGGTGCCGGTGCTTAACACCTTTTCTGATCCTTCTTCGGCTTTTGAGAGGACGTACGTGCCGTTCCACGTACATCCTATCTGCTGAACGTGCTCGAGAGTGTGAAGCCCGCTCAGCTGGCCTTTGCTGCTTGATCCCAGAGCGGTCAGGTTCCCGGAAAGGTGCAGGAGCACGGTGTGCTGACTGCCGAGGGACATGGACACCGTGGGCTCCGTGTTGTCGAGACATATGACCTGAGGGGTCGACACGTAACCGAGCGGCCGCGGTTGCTTGCGTCGTGGTTTGGACGCCAGGTATCGTGGGGGTGTCAGCGCTGCGCCGAGTTGGCCATGTTTGCACAGACCCCATCCGGCCAGCAGACTGCATTGGCCTCCGTCCGGCATAGTAATAAGAAGTCGAGCAATGGTATGATGAACGCCAGCGGAGATATCCACAACCTCGTATCGTGCAAAGCTTTTTGGAAGGAGCTGATTGAAGTCTACGGTGTGTAGTATTTTGTTCTCTGAGTCTTTCTCGGACTCAAGAGTCCCGACACCGAGGTTTCCGAAGTCATTGGCGCCCATGGATAAGAGAATGTCCGATGTGCCGCACGGTGGAGTCGAGGGACAAGTGCGATCCGGAGGCGAAAGAACGACATAGCTAGTCTCCCAACAGGCTGCGATGCAACGAACAGTGTAGCTCGAATACTCGCCAAGTCGAGGCCCGCCCATCCGTAAATCCAAAGGCCGCCAAGTGGCTTGCGACTGGCCTTCGTTGCTGCTGTGATCTAAGAGCGGGCCTAGCTGCCCTCGCTTTCCATCCCCACATCCCCACAAAGAGCACCTGTTGTCACTAGTCTTTATTATAGCAAGAGCATGGTTCGCGCCAGACGCAATGGATACCACGTCACCCGGCGGAAGGCCTTCATACTGGCACGGCCGGAATACATGCGCATCATCCAGATTACCTATCCCGAGTTGACCTTGTGCATTGGAGCCGGCGGCAAAGAGGGTCATGGTTTCCGTTTCGGATTCCGGTAGCTTCGAATGCGAGTGGTTAGGTTCAGCATCGGTGGGATTGCAGGAAAGGCAAAAACTGTCTTGAGTGTACCGCGCCACCGGTCCGAGGCGCGTTACAATTATGCCGGCATCAGCATATTCATATACTGCATGTCAGGGTAATACGACAGGGGCACGTTCGGTCGAAGTTTCACGATGATGATAAAGATAAGGTAACTTAGATGCAATGAAAGGAGGTACTCTCTAGGTAAATCAGCTGATGGCCCTCGCTCGCTCCATCAATCCATGCACACGCCTGCTCAGCCTCTCGGCCTCCATCTTCCTCTCCCAAACCTGGTATGCAGGCGTCTTCTTCTTTGGCATCCAAGATCGTCCAGCACTGCGCACAGAGAGATCTACGACTTTGGGCGAAGAAGAGAACTTGATTACGTCCCGATACAGTATCTTCGTCTCCGTCGCGAGCGACCGAAGGGTGAGCGGGCGTGTTGCCAACTCTGAGTCTGAGTCGTCGGACGCTGAATCTGAAAGAGAAGGATCCAGCGGGGGAGTGGGGGTCCTCGGTGCAGGCTCGGGAAGCGGTGGCAAAGATTGGATTTCTCTCAGCAAGTCTTGACCTTTGAGGTACGCGTTCTCCGTTCTGAGGAATCGGACGGTGCCCCGTAAAGCTTCCAGCTGTGAAGGTGTTCAGCAGTTGAGACTTAACGAGATTGCAGTGGTGAACACAGTACCGACCTGCTCCAACAAGTAAGAAGTTTCGATGTTCCCTTCGACAGCCAGAGTCTCCGGTTCGGCAACCTGGGCACCGGGCACTGACACGCCGTGGGGTGAGAGCGCGAAAACACCTGTGTAACGTGAGTACTCACCGGGACGCTCTTGCGCGGGTGCCATGGTCTTCAGCTTTGTATTTTCCTGTACCAAAGCGTCGTACTCCGCCTGCAGTTGCTCCATCGCCTCCTCGTACGTGCGCTCCTGCTTCCTCGCCTTGTTCAACTGCTCCTCTAGTTCGGTGATCATTTCGGCCTGCTTCTTCACTGCTTCCATACGACGTTCCATCAATTCAATCTTGACGGACGCCTCCTGAATGTGTTGGTCCTTGGCTTTAAGGCCGCGCACGAGGCCTTGCACTTCGTCGTTCAGCTGCGCAAGTTTCCTCTCGGCTTCCAGGTTGACGGCTAGGCTCGCTTTGATCTCGTCAATGCGGACGACCCACGGCGCTTTGCCGGATACTGAAATGGAAGAAATCATGCTTGAGTGATGGGCGACAAGAACCCAGTTCGGCGCGTACCCTTGATAACGTTGTCCGGCTCCAAGGCGAGGGGAAGCATGTCGCCAACTTCCTGCACGACGTGCAAGACGGATTCGCCGATGGCCTCCCATGACGTGCTCCCGTCTTTCCTGCCTTTGCATACCGTCGATCCTGCGGTCTGGCGGACATAGGAAAGGATAGTAGATAGTTGGAACGGAGCCTTCGAGCTCCGAGCGTCGCTGATGTGTGGCATTATCTGCTGCGCGAGCTGTCGAAGCGACCGTGTTGGCATTGCCGTAGAAAGTATAGAGCTTGAGCGTGACTTACGGAGATGGCAAAATTGGTAAGTTCAGGCACGGCATTGTTGAGCGACTGCAATTGAGGGATGAGGTGCGGTTTCAACGCATTCGAGTCTTGGATCAGTTCTTCCAGTCGCTTGGTAAGCTTCCTGCGGAGTCAAATGAGGTTCCGACTACAGGGGACCGTCGCGATGAAGTCTGACCGTGACAGAACCTTGGCAGTCTTGCATTGATCCAGAAGCTTCTGCATGGGCTCGAACAACGCCTCCTCGGCGTCCAGGTCTCCCAGTTCGACAATGATGTCTATAAGCTATAGGTCAGATGGGGATCAACAGAGAATCCGATGGTACCACCTTCGTCTTTGAGGGTCTGTGCAATCTGCGTCTTGCTGAGCCCAACGGCCGCAGCGAACATGTCAAGGTCATGGTCAAAGGATAGAGCATATCCGAGCTCGCGCTCGCCGAGGTCATGATCAAAGTCATCGAAAAATGTCTCGCCAAGGTGCTTGAACTGTGCATATATCCTGAACGAAAGTCACAGCCGGCTCGGGTATCGTTGATTGGAATGAATCACGTACTTGGCGACGTCGCTAACACATTCCATCTCTCTGAACTCGTCGCGGCGGAGGAGCTCAATGTGCATGTCGATGCGCTTCTCCATAGGGGCAATTTCAGGATAGATCCGTCCGATGTCGAGGAACGATTGCGGGTCGCAGCGCCGGAGGATGGCGGCGAAACGCTTGCAGAGCGTGGACAGGCTCGAGATGCGACCGCGCATTTCGCAGATGCCGACCAGCGTCTCGGAAACGGGCCCGTTGAGAGACTCGGGCAGGCTGTGAGCAGACGCGACGACAGAGTTGACCAGGTCCATCTTGCCCGCAAGTCGCTGGAAAAAGAGGTAGCAGCTCGTGGCATCTGAGTCCGAGTCGACATAGAGTTGCGGCAGGTATGGCTTTATGACTGTCAGATGGCGCGTCTCTCGGCGTTGGTACGAAAATGGACTTACCTGAATGATACCCAGTAATTCCCGCGCTTCCCGCGCTTCCATGGCCCTAAGCTCGAGTTCTATACCACGAGCCTGGTTCTTGGACGCTGAAGACTGGAGCTTGAGGTTGAGAGACATCATCGCCGCAGCCTGGGACGCAGCCGTCGTTGATTCCGTCTGTGCCGTCTGAGTCTGCATACGCAAGGTGTCCAGTTCGCTGTGGTAGTTCCGCTCAATTCGCGTCCAAGAGCATCAAGGAGATATATCACCTTTGCAGCTGCATCACAAGATCCCTGAACTGACTGATGGTATTGTCGAGATCTAGACAGGCATCTTCGAGGCTTTCGATTTTCTGGTCGCGCTCGCGAATGAGCATGTCCTTCCGATCGATATCCTCCTGCATGGCCTTTTCGGTCTCCATGTGGTTCTCCTCCAGCTCGTCGTTCAGCTCTTTGAGAGCTTCGAGGTCCTCGATGGTGATCCGCATTTCCTCGATTTTCTGCGATGTCACGTCAAAGTCTGAGTCGATGGATGTGGCTTGCGAGACGTGCCTCGCTGTATAATAGATTACGCTCGGTGAGTTGGACGAGCATTTCTTCGGCGCCCATCGCGTCGTCGAGTTGAAGCTTGAGATCTTCAACTTGCGCCTCGGCGTTGGCGAGTCTGCCTAGCGTGGTCTCGTATTGCCCTAAGGCGATGTCGTATTAGCACTTGACCATCTCAGCAGGGCCGGCATACCTTGGAGGTCATCGATACTCATGATATCCTTCTCCATTTCGGCAATTCTTCTCCTCTGTTCTTGCTCCGTCTCCTGGGACATGTCCCGCAATCGCACCAAGGCCTCCTTCAGCCTCTCGTTTTGCTTCTCCAACTGAATATACGCGAGCGTACTCTTGCCGCCGTCTGCGGGACCTGCGTCGCCGTCAAGTTCCCTCTCCTCCTTGAGCACATCCAACTCGACCTCGGCCATGGCAAGGCGCTCCTTAACCTCCTCGAGCTCGATTTCAGCTGCCTCAGCGCGCTCCTCGGCCATTTCCTTGTCAAGCGTGGCCATCTCAAGTTGCTCCTGTACGTCCAGCATGCGTGCATCGGCGCTCTCGGACGCGCCGCGAGCGTCGGCAAGGGCACGGCGAGCCTCGATCAGCTCGGTCTGCTGGGCCTGTAGCTTGGCTTGAAGCTTGGGGCGGAGGGCGACGAAGGACTCGGCCTCGGACAGGCGCGTTTCAAGTTCACGCACACGGCGAGCATCATCTGTCCGGTGAGCCTCCAGCACGCGAATCTTGGCGCGGAGTTCTTGGAGCTCACTGTCGTCGACTGGAGGAGGCGGGAGATCGTGCGCGAGAGTATCGGGCACGGACGAGGAAGCGCGAGAAGGTGCCCGGAACGCGAGCGGGGAGGAGTTGCGGGGGGCGGCGGGTGGAGGTACGACGGTGGGGGATGCGATCGGTTCGGTGCGGACTGTCGCGGGCGGCGGAGGTGCGGTTGGCGTGGTCGGGGTGCGGGGTGTTTGAGGGACAGAGGAGCGAGCATCTTGAGCGAGCGAGGTCGTTCTGGTGAGGGACTTGCGAGGTGCCGGCGCGAGAGAGGCGCGTTTGCTGGGAGAGGCGGCGGTGAGACGTGATCCGGGCGCGGGGGACGGTGCGCCGGACTTGGCGGGGCTAACGGAGCGGGGCGAGGGCACAGAGCGGGTGGAGGGTGCGCGGACCAAAGCCGGATTCAATCCCGCGCCGCTGTTCGTGCGTTGGCGGGTAGCGAGGGAGATGCCGCTGTTCGTGCGTTGGTGGCCGAGCGTTGCACGACTCGACGAGGCGGGGATGAGCGGCTGCTGCACGTTCAGCAGAACGAAGGCGGGGGACAACGCGACCGCTCACTGGATCGGGCTCCGCGCTGACGAGCTTGACCTGGCTGGGGCGGACGAAGACGCCGAAGCCCATACGGCAGCTGAAGTAGGGCACGCCGTTGATCGAGCCGTCGTTCTTGCCGTTGGGCTCGTTGAGCTCGACGCCGACCCATTTCCCCGGAGCAAACGACGTGGCGCCGCAGAAACGGACGGTGCCGCGGCCGGGGGGCACAGCGACGACGGCGCCGACGGGAGGGTCCATGGCCGCGACGAGCTCGTCGGACGCGGCGAAGGAGGGTCTGTGGCTGTGCGTTGGGCCGTTCACGGTAATCTGCGCCACATCGCCGCAGAAGCAGGGCTGCCGTGTATCGTTTCGTAGGTGGTCAACAGCAGGCTGGTCTGTGTTTTGTTGGTGCACGACAGCGGCGCCGCGATATCCCAAGCGATCGCGACAGCATTTATGACTGAGCTCTAGCGCCCACGGTACGCACCGCTTGGCTCCAGCCACAGCTTGTTCGATGCGCTCCTGACCCGCGCCTCGCATGTTCGGCAGTCGACCATGAACGGCACTCATCCACCAAGTACGTCCTCGCTCCCCGCAATTCCGCCCGCAACCTCACAGTCGCAGACGGTAGTCGTCATGGCCATGGCTCAGACACGTCCACCGAGCGTGACTACCGCTCGTCCCACCAGTCGCAGTCCAACAACTCGCAGACCGATCAGGACGAGCTTCCCATCCAAGATGAACTCGTACCCGACGTCACGCCCTCCATCCCATTCTGGTCGTCTAAACGCCATCTGACATGCGGAAACCCCACCCCACCCCCGTCCTGGTCCCCCAAGCTGACCCCCTGGCGCAACACCTCCGGTAAGCTCAAGACCGCAAATGCCGCGCTCGTCCTCTGCCTGAACATCGACGTCGACCCGCCCGATGTCGTCAAAACAAATCCGTGCGCCATCCTTGAATGCTGGGTCGACCCCCATACGATGCCCTCTCACAAGGCCCTCGAGGCCATAGGCACCAACCTTCAGCATCAGTTCGAGGGCCTCAGCCCCAAAATCTCCTACAAACCCATCCTTGACCCATCCTATGAGGATCTCCGCCGCTTCTGTGTTCAACTCCGCAAGCAGGCAAAGGAGGACACCGCCATGTTCTACTACAACGGCCACGGCGTCCCTCGACCGACCGCCAGTGGCGAGCTCTGGTGTTTCAACCGCAACTACACGCAATATATCCCCGTCAGCCTTCAAGAGATTCAGAGCTGGCTCGGCTCCCCATGCATCTATATTTGGGACTGTTCTGCCGCCGGCCACTTGCTTCAAAATTTCAAGACATTCGCTGAAAAGCGCGATGCGGAGAACAACATGAAGCGTGGTGGCTATCCGGACGGTATGGCACCCTTCATGGACTCTATCCAACTCGCCGCATGCGCTGCGAACGAAATGTTGCCGTCCAGTCCGGAGCTCCCCGCCGACCTCTTCACCTCCTGCCTTACCTCCCCTATCGACATCGCTCTCCGCTTTTTCGTCAATAACCATCAGCTTCCGAACAATCTCACCGCGGACGAGGTCATGCAACTCCCCGGCGACCTGAAGGATCGTCGCACACCCCTCGGCGAGCTCAACTGGATCTTCACCGCCATAACTGACACCATCGCCTGGACAACCTTCTCCCGCGACGTATTCACCCGCCTCTATCGATCCGACCTCCTCATCGCCTCCCTTTTCCGCAATTTCCTCCTCGCAGAGCGCATCATGAAAAACTATAACTGCACCCCTCACACCTACCCGCCTCTACCCCCGACGAATACGCATCCGCTTTGGGCATCATGGGACCTCGCGGTAGATGCCTGCCTGCGCCAGCTCGATAGCATGATCGGTAAAGGCAAGGCTTCTGACCTCCCCGTTATGCCCTCCGCGTCTCGCGCACGCCGCGCACAGGCCGCCGCCCAAGCAGGTAGCGACCTTGCCCATTCCTATGTTCCCAGCCGCTTTTTTGCGGACCAACTCACGGCCTTCGAAGTCTGGATATCCCGCGGCGGCTCCGCACTCACCAAACGTGGACCGATGTCGCTCCCATTCCAACAATCCGACGCGGAAATGGTGACGACGCTGCCTGGCGCGTCCACGGACCTGCCTTCCCCACAGCACCTCCTTCCCCGCAAGCCGCCCGAGCAGCTCCCGATTGTCCTCCAGATCCTGCTCTCGCAGCCGCACCGCCTCCGCGCACTCATTCTACTATCCCAGTTTGTCGACCTCGGGCCCTGGGCCGTCAACCTTGCGCTCACCATCGGTATTTTCCCGTACATATCTAAGCTCCTCCAGGCCGCCGGTCCTGAGCTCCGCCCCGTGCTCATCTTCATCTGGGCCCGCATCCTCGCCGTCGACCCCATGTCCCAGGTAGAGCTCGTTAACAATCAGGGTTACAAGTACTTCGCCAACATCCTCGGCCTACGGGAGGAGCCCCGGCACCAGATCCTCCCAAACAAGGCTGAGCATAAGGCCATGTGTGCCTTTATTCTCTCCGCCATCGCACGTGGGCATGTTCCCGGCCAGCTTGCGTGCATGCGCGACAAGGTCTTCGACAACTGCATCGTTCTCCTCAACGAGGGCGACTTCCTCCTGCGGCAGTGGGTTGCGCTTTGCATCGCCCAGCTTTGGGACTCGAATGACGAGATCAAGGTGTACGGCGTCGACACCGGCACGCAGGACAAGCTACTCGAGATCTTGCAGGACGACTCTCCTGAGGTGCGCGCGGCGGCGCTGTACGCACTCGGCACGTTTCTCGGAGCCAGTGGAAGCGCGGCGGAGGATAAACCAGGTGGAGGTGGGAGCGGGAGCATGCCACAGCTCGAGGAGCGGACACATTTCAGGATGGAGACCGCCGTCGTCACGGCCGCTACGCTCACGTTACAAGACGATGCAAGCCCGATGGTCAAAAAGGAGCTCATCGTGCTCATTAGTTGCCTCGTCAAGGAGTGGCGGGGTCACTTTGTCATCTGTGCGTGGATTCATTGGGAGGAGGACGAGCGCGAGCGAAGGGGGGTTGGTACGCGGCGCGACGCGTACGGCGACGATGACGATGATGACGTCTCAGCCCAGGCGCTTGCAGAATGGTTGGACAACTTCGCCGACGACGAACAGCTGCGCGAGGAGAATCGTGTGTTGTTGTCTTCTTTCTACACTATATTCTGCTTCCTGCTGGAATACTCCGTGGATCCGTATCCCGAGGTTGCTGCGAACGCCCAAACACTTGTCGACTACATTATAGCGCTCCTTCTCGATTCGCCCTTCACCAAGATCCCTTCATGCTCCGTCAAAGCACCACGGACCCCACCCGCGCCGCGGTCCCCGGTCGCGAATGGGCATCGTTCGCGCGTACCATCCCTCACCTCGTTGGCATCGACGGCCACAGCCGTGACGACCGACAAGATCCGTCCGTCCATAACCAGAGCCGACTCAGTCGGTGGCGCAATCACGAACAGCGTCAGTAATACATTGAAGCGCGCGTCGTCCGTTGCAAGCGTGCTTCGTGGTTTCGCCGGTGGAGTCGCATTCCCTTCACTGGATGAGTCCTCGTCTTCTCGGGGCACAACTATTCCAGCTCGCCATGAACGACAGGACCTTTCCCGACCTCCATCGCCGAACTTGAACCTCGCGCGATACACGTCACCGTACTCCCTCAGCCCCGAACCCGGCTTCAGGACGCGGACTCCATCTCCGGCACCATCGGAGCAGGCGCGCACGCCCCAGTTCGACCCTGCGGATGTCATGGAGGCGCTTATGGAGGAGGACTTCGAGCGTTTGCGGGCAAGGCGCAGGACCGGTGCATCTCGGCGACATATGCATAGCATGCAAGGAGGGCTCACAAGTCCTGTAGGCAGCACGCATTCGATGGACTCCACCATGAGTGTCGTGGGTGGTTTAGGTACGGGCGTAGGCATCCGCGATGTGCTGCCGCTCAAGAGCCGCTTCTGGGACTGGTGCGCTGAATACTTCAAGGAGCCGCAGATGAGGGTAAGACAGACTCGAATGTTTGTCGTAATTCTTGTTTATCATGGTCTGTTGCAGCAAGCGGAAAATGACGAGCCAGGAAGTGTTCAATACAACTATCTTGTCTGGCGACAGTCCAGGATTGATCAAGTGATCAAAGAGACCGAGAAGCAGGCCAAACATGCTGGTAAGCACTGCGAGGGTAAACTCCTTTCCGCCTCTGAAGGCTGAATTTCTCAGACAATTGCCAATGGGACCGACCTGTCCGGACGTTATACACCCCTGGCATCCCATTGTCCATGACGTTTCATGCGTACGACCAGCACCTCATCATCGCCGACGAACGCGACATGATCAGGTCAGTAGTCATCCCCTCGCAATGGCGTACGGCTAAAACAGCGATGTCCAGTGTTTGGGACTGGTCACGTCGCAAGCAACTCAACAAGTGGTTTAATGGCAGTAGCGCAGGCGCGGGAATCACGTCACTGCACATCATCAACCAAGACGTCGGTGGCATTGTTATGGCTGGATCAGGTATATTTCCTGCATTCGGCGGGCTTGCAGTCGCTGATTTTGTGTAGCGGATGGCGTTGTGCGCCTTTACCGGAACTACGATCCCACGGTCGAGCAAGGAGAAGTACAGATGGTCAGCTCGTTCCGTGTCATGCCGGACGGTTTACATATGAGTCGAGGCGCCGGACTAGTCATGGATTGGACCCAGACCAGTGGAACTTTACTGACCGGAGGAGACTCGCGCCACATCAGGTTGTGGGATGCGCACACCGAGAACGGCGTCCTAGTGAGTGCTGAGTGCTTCCTGGTAGCTTGCACGTTCAATCGACTCAGGGCGTGTCACAGAACTACGATACGAACACTGAGAGCCCTGTGACTGCCATGGTTTCGGACGATGTTACCTCTCAGACATTCGTCGCTAGCTTTGGTGATGGCACGATCAAGGTGTTTGATCGGCGTCTGGACGAAGAGGATGCTATCGTTCGGTCATATCGCGCGCACTCTTCCTGGGTACAGAGCGTTCGTTACCACCCGCTATACGGACAACGGTTCTTCTCCGCGGGGTGAGCAACATTTCACCAGCAGCAGCGATCAGTCTCTGACCGTGTACGTGTTAGCTTGGATGGAGAAGTCAAGCTTTGGGACCTACGTGGGGATGACGCTGGATACTTCAAGGCATGGGATCTGTATCCGAACGGCCTGGCCGCCTTCGACGTACACCCGCACACTGGCGTATTCGCAGCGTAAGTGCGGTATTTTTTACAAGAACGGACGGTACCTTCTGATTGCTTGTTCAACCAGCACGTCCGCCATCAACTTGACCCAATACCGTCACCAACGTGTATCAGTATATAACGTGAAGTCCACGACACCACTGTCTTCATTGAACGTTCCGACTACGCTTACTGCGGCTCCTTCCAAGCCCTATCCGTCTGCGTACATGCCTCGCTGGAATTCGTTAGTTTTCCATCCTCAGGAGATGCTGTATGCTGTTGGCGGGCCCGATGGTTCCGGTAAGTACTTCATGCATAAGTCAGCGAACCACGATCACTCATCCCTTGTAGTGCGAATTCTTGGGTGCAAATTACCTCCTGCAGCTCCCATCGGAAGCTGAGGCGTGCTGAACGGTAGAATTGTAATTAATTGTAATTATTGATCGGCCCCTGCACATCCGTTTTGTCGCCATGCTTTCTTTGACGGAGCACCGTCGCGATTACACTTGCATGCATGTTTGAACTAGTATACGTAGCTGCCTGGTAGGCAACATAATGTGCATAATACAAACCTCCCCCATGAGCAGCTGTCAGGGAGATACATGAGGCGTGCAACTTCATGGACAGACCAACCAGTCCAAAACGTAGTGCGGGCGTTGAGCGCAGCAGTACAGAAGAAGACGATACGTCTCGATGACGAAATAAACGGGAGAATTATTTCCTGGCAAATGTGATCTACCAAGACATGATCAACTGTCAGTTCTGATGAGAATTGCATGTGTCCTTGCCTTGATCTTATTCTCGCCATCCAACTTGTAGTTGTGCAATGCCTCCTTAGCAACAGTAGCGCTTCCCTCATCCATGTACTCGACGAAAGCAATATCCTTCTTCGTCGGGATGAGACGGACTTCGTAGAGGTTGGGGTACCTAAAAAGACGGTGAATCAGGAAATTGCGATCCTATCCGTTATCAAGAACTGACTGTGAGAACAACGCCATGAGTTGGTCCTTCGTGACAGTTTCTGGTAGATTTTGCAAGAAGAGAATCTTGTTAGGAGGCAGGTATTCGTCCGGCATTTGCACGTTGGGTCGCTTAGGTGCTGGCACAGCTGCCCCACCATCCACTACAATCAGGGGCGGTCAGTATACGCAAATCTGAGAGCACGCCGGCGCACCTTCGGCTGCCAATCTCTTAGCGCGGAACTTCGCTTTTATGGGATTCGTATAGCGGGTTTCCTCTACGAGTGGTGTCAGCGTGACACGCTATGTTGAATCGTGGGTATGAGGCGTACTTTTGTGCTGGAGTCTCCGGGATTTATGGTCGTCGTAGTGATCTGGGTCTAGCCGTTTTACAACGGCGTCCGACCGTGTCTTGGCGAAGGATATTTGCTGGAAAACGCGGTTCAGCTGACGCGCTATGACACAAGCAAGAAGGGACGTACCATCGGCTTTCCGTACAACGGGAAACCTCGTACTTCCTTCAAAGCTTTCTTCGCTATATCCGCGTTGTCAAAAGATACGAATGCTTGCCCTCGCATCCGCAAGTTCCTATGGGCGACCACGTCGAGAACATCCCCATACGTCTTGAAGAGACCGCGTAAGGACTGCTTGAGCACTGGCAAATTTGTTATATCGTGATCGTACATGCCTCACATCAAGCCAGTATGATCACTCACCTGGTATCTTTATTCGTTCGTTCAGGTTCTGGATATACAGTGTTTCGGTCGCTTCTTCCTCTACCGGCTTCACGGCCGCTTGCGTGGGGGTTTGAACGGAGCTCGTGTCCATATGTGCGCCATTGAGCCCAACCGCACCTTCAGGAACTTCGAGAGACGCAGACGGTTGAGTATCGGCCATGGGATCCAGTATTGAGCGGCGAGCTCGGGGATAGGCGAGATCCTTGGTCACGGTAAGTAGTGGGCAGGTGTTCAGCAAGCGCGCTAAAAGTCAGGCGCCCGTAAAGACCTATACTGAGCTTAATCTCGACCTTCAATACCTTCTCCGGATCCCTGTGTTTTGTTTCCTCACCATCTCTCCTACGCGTTCTCGCATCACTGTCTCACATATGAGAGTGTATAGCGATCCTGTCTGCCTCAGCCACAACCCCCAACATGAAATCCTGTCTGGCAAACCCGTGCCATACCTAGAGAGCCCTACGAGGATATCGAAGATTAAGGACGTCCTTCGCAGGCGGGGCACGTTCGAGATCATGGATCATGCAGATCCAGATATCAATGCTCTGCGATTCATTCTCTCTGTTCACGGACGCGACTACGTGCAATACCTAGAGACGGCCTATGACCGCTGGGTAGAAGACGGTGGCGACAAGGTACCGTCAAGCTGCGTTGTTCCAGGGTTGCAGTCAACATCCATCCCTGTCAGGCTGCTGTTATTCCCGAGACCTTCCCCCACCCAAAGCTATTGACCACAGCACCCGCAAACCAGTCGATCTCGACCATCATCGCACAAGCAGGTCAGGAAGCGTGGCATCCTGTGCCTCGCTGTACTTTGGCTTACACTCACAAAAATAGGCATCTATTGTTTCGATCTGTCCGCACCCATCACCAAAGGTTCGCTGTGTTTCCACTATTTCTCGATCGGCTTTGAGATACATGCATATTCATCTCGACGCAGATACCTACAAAGCTGCGGTTGCATCAGCCCGTGTTACCCTTTCTGCTGCCAGATACCTGACCACGTTGGGGAATCCAACGAAAAGTTCATGCCCAGCCGTATTTGCTCTATCGTACGATATATTAGGCCCGCCGTTCTTCAGAATCCTGTCCTCAACTGATGTCAAGGAAGGCGCCCCCCTGGTCATCACGCGGGATCTACAATATCAGGAGGCTATTGCTTTTTCAACAATGTTGCGATTGCAGCGAGGTGCTTCCAGTCCCTTGACAAATCTCGATGCCCTATAGCTATTCTCGACATCGATTACCACCATGGTAACGGGAGTGAGTCGACAGCTACTGTATCCCATGTCGTGGTCTGTCTGAACGAAGGACAGCGCAGGAAATGTTCTACTCGGATGAATCAGTACTTTACGTTTCTTTGCACGCCGAGAACGACTTTCCCTGTAAGCTCGTTCAGTCCGTGATGATTGTCATCACCCAACATCTAGTGTAGACTTCACCGGTTCCAGAGCCGAGGAGGGCGCTGGCGCTGGCGTTGGCTTTAATGTCAACATGCCACTCCCACAGGAAACGGGTGACGAACAGTATCTGGACGCATTGTCGAAAGCAACAGACAGAATCAAGAAATTTCGTCCAACGTTTGTAATAGTCAGGTGTGTTCTTTCTCGATGGAGTGGGAAGGTCGCGTCAACTCTCGCATGCAGTCTCGGTGTGGACACCCACGAACATGATCCGATCTGCAAGTTCAATATCACCACCCCATGCTACAGGCGAATAGGCGAATCCATCCGTTCCATCGCTCGGCCGACACTGTTTGTGCTGGAAGGGTCAGTAATCGTCCGGAACTCTTTCTATGCCGACTGACTGGAGCTACAGAGGATATCATCTTGATTCTATTGGCGATAACGTCGCCAACGTTTTGCAGGGCTTTGAAGTTGCCAAAGTCTCATGATGAACACGAGGCCAGCCGCACATTGATGACTATCCGCACTCTTTCCTCTCTGAGAACAATATATCATCACATACTACCAATCAATGGATTCATTGCGGAGGCATATATATACATGTCCAGTGCTATAGTACAGAAACTGCTCAGGTCGACGATGATCCAAATCCGTAACTAAAGTCTGTGAAGTTTATCGTGAAAAAAGCCTGAGACCACGATGATATGTCATGCCTCTCAGCGATTTCGCCTTGGCGATACCCTTGAACCCCTTCGTACTGTGTTTGCCACCTTGGGTGGGATGCAAACTCTGGTGCCGACTGAGAGCCGCTGACATTCAATAGTGGGGTTTGCGTCGAGGAGATCTTGAACCTTGATGCCATGGATTCGAGATATCTTCCAGCATGTGTCGCCGTTACTGATATAATATGCTTGAGTGCCCTGCGCGCACGGCGGGGGCGGAGGGTTTGAGGATGGGACGAGGATGATGCGCCATACGAGGAGAAGGAAGGTTGCTATGATGAGGAAGAAGGGGAAGAGTGTTCTGTAGGGCGAGGAGACTCGATAGTGCCGCGAGTTCTAGTGCTAAGTCAGAAATTTGGAGCCCAAAGCTGGTTACCAAGTTTCCATCTCACCTCGTCTGTAGGCAGCGGAGCAAAGCCATCCCGCTGGGTCGGCGCCGCTTCGAGGTCCTCCCCCAGCGTACCAGCAAGCGGCGCGGGCGCATCGGAAACTAAGAGTGAATCGTCAGAGACTGGTCTCCCGGAGAATGGGCGATGAGGTTATATGTCCGGACGGTGTCCGTCATGATATGCGCTAGGGGAAGATACCTACCTGGGCGCAATTCGCCATACTGCGCTCCCTCCGGCCCCTGATATAAAGTACCGCTTTGGTCTCGGTAATAGTACGTTTGAGTGTCGGCATCATAGCCGACCCTCTTCATGCCTTCGGGGAGACGATAGTCATCCTGAAGAGCCGCGAATCAGTATGGTCAGCAACATCGGAGACATGTGAGCTCGACCTCGTCATACTGTGTCCATTGACCCATGGTCGAGTGCTGGGAGGGGCTGCGGGTCTGGAGGGCGTACGTAGAATGGAATGGAGGGAGGAGAATAGAGCGATGTGGCCGAAGAGGAGGCGCTTATTCTTGTCGCCCGGCAGCTGCCGCCGCCTTCGACGATGATCGCGATGACGCCGACCATGGACTCGAGCCATGCACCGCACGTATTCTTAGGGCACCGTCTGCCTGTCGGCGCCAGCAGCCACAATCGATACGCCTCTTGCTATCAACCATGCCAGTCCAGCCCGATCACGTCTTCAAGCTCGCCTTGCGCGGCGAAGCGCTGCTGCACAATCCCCGATGGTCCAAAGGGACCGCGTTCACCATCGATGAGCGCAAGGCGTTCGGCCTCACCGGACGCATGCCGTCTCAAGTCAACACACTGGACGAGCAATGTGCACGGGCGTACGCTCAGCTCCAGAGCCGCACTACACCGCTCGGGAAGAACACCTTCATGCAGAGCATGAAGGAGCAGAATTGGGTGCTGTACTTCGAACTGTCCGTCTTCAGCTGCCTGAAGTCACAGTCACTGCCTGATATAACTGTGACCGCCCAGCTTGCGCAGGAATCTTCGCGAGCTCATGCCCATCATATACACGCCCACAGAGGTGCATACTTCAGCCAGCATTTGGCAGAGTTCGATTGCGAGTCTTACCCCAGCGATCGTAGGCCGATGCTATCGCCGATTACTCGCACCTCTATCGCAAGGCCGAGGGTCTTTATCTTTCATTCCCCCATCAAGATTCGATGGAAGAAAACTATCTCGAACAGGCCCAAGGCCGGGCTATTGACCTCGTTGTATGCTCTGATGGTGAAGCCATCCTCGGCATAGGCGATCAAGGTGTTGGGGTAAGTCGCGTAAAAACGCCGTGATAACAGGAATGCTAATATCTGAAACAGGCAATCGGCGTGAGTCTCTAGCTAAACGTTCTGTTGGTTACCTCGACTTATTTTCGCGATGACAGATTTCAACTGCCAAGGCCGCTGTTTATACGTAGGTGTCGATGATGACGTCTGGGATAGCTGATGGCTGTACTGACTCTTTGGCATCAGCCTCATAGGAGGCATAGACCCATCGCGAGCTCTTCCAGTGGTCCTCGATGTCGGCACAGATAATCAAGAGCTGTTGAATGACCCGCTTTATGTGGTGAGTATCGTGTTTCGGGGAGCCATTTTTGATGCACTGTAACGACCATCGACCACTCCAGGGATGGAAACATGAAAGGGTCAGAGGAAAGGAGTACGATGACTTCATGGACAAGTTCGTTCAGATAGTCCGGAAACATCACCCGCACAGTCTGTTACATTTCGAGGACTTTGGCGTCACCAACGCTCAGCGACTGCTCGAGCGATACCACGAACAACACGCAGTCTTCAATGATGATATGTGGGTTTGATACGGCATTCGCGGTGTCCGTCTCATTGACTGGGAATAGCCAAGGCACAGGGGCCGTCACTCTTGCGGCCCTCATGTCAGCTATAGGCGTAACGAAGACGAAGCTGAGCGACCAGCGGATAATCATCTTTGGCGCGGGATCCGCAGGCCTCGGAATTGCGAAGCAGCTCAGGGATGCGATGAAAGAACTCGACGACACCTCCAAGGAAGAGGCGAACAAGAGGTTTTACCTCATCGACAAGTTTGGTCTCCTTACCGAGTCCTTATCCAAGGCGGGGAAAGTGCGTCCTGGCCTTGAGGAGTGGCTCCGGCCGGATTCAGAGTGGGTCGACGCCACGAAATCGTCGGAAGGTCAACTCTTTTTACTCGACGTGGTGAAGCACATTAAGCCGACCGTGCTGATCGGGACCTCGACGCGCGGGGGCGCATTCACGGAACAAGTCATCAAGGAGATGGCCAAAGGGTGTGATAGGCCCATCATCTTCCCGTTGAGCAATCCCAGCAAACTGGTTGAAGTGGATCCGAAGGACGCGAACGATTGGACGGCCGGCAAGGCATTGTTGGCGACCGGAAGTCCTTTCCCACCTGCCAAGATGCCCAACGGCAAAGATTATGTGTGAGTTCCTCTTCCCGTAACTCAGCCAATATTCTGATGCGCGACGAAAGCATCGCAGAGTGTAACAGTAAGCACCCCAGAAGCAACTCTTACCAAGCGATGATGCATGAATTCATACCTACTTTATAGATGCGCTCATATACCCCGGCCTGGGCTTTGGTGCCATAATATCTAAGTCGCGCATCGTGTCCGATACCATGATCATCGCCGGCGCTCGCCGCCTCGCCTCGCTCTCGCCTGCTCTCAAGGACCCGGACGACGCGCTCCTGCCTGACTTTGGGGACTCGCCTCAGGTGAACTACGAGGTTGCCTGTGCCGTCGCGCACCGAGCCCTGATCGAAGGCAACGCCGAGGTCGAATGGCGCACAGGTGCAGACTCCAAGGATATGGTGGATGTAGTGCGGCAGAAGGTGAAAGAAGCGATTTGGGAGCCGATATACGGGAAATACGAGTATGACCCGCAAGGACAGTTGTGAATATCGTTTTTACTATACTAGGTATATGCACGGAGTGGAATGCTTGTATCCTCGTGCACGCTGTGCACGCTGAGCGCTGAGCTGTTATAAAACGCGACAGCGCGGGACGAAGCGACGTCCAGCGCTATGTTTGGTGGGAGAGTGCACTGGCCGCAAATAGGATAGCTTGCAATTGGACGGATGCCATCGGCGTGAGGAGACATCCTCAGTCCCGCGGTCACAATCCATACATAAGGCCAATCGATTCCGTTGAGACACGGGCTCGCTTTGTTACCTCTTGTTGGTCTTGCGTGCGATCGCCCACCATGCCCAGTTCCACAGAGTTTGCATGGTCATCCGACGAAGACGAACTATCGGCCTGGGATTCGATAACAGATTTTAACCAACGCGAGTGCCAGCCGAGTCCATGCTTGACCGCGACCAACGAGCGCTGATCAGCGAGCAACAGTGTCGGATCCGGAATGGCGCAAACGATATCCAACGCAGGCACGGATCTTGACCTCGACGCCCACGAGGAAACGATCATGGGACGATCCTTCGCCCGTCCCCGAGACCCCGCCGTCGCCCGAGTCGCCGTTGAAGATGGCAAAGACCGCGCTGTCAGAAGGTCGCCGACGGACACAGTCCACGGGTCTGCGCCACGATGTCCATGTCGGGGACTCCGGTCGGATCCCTGCCCCGAATTTCACCCCTCGTGCGCGCCAGGTTGAGGACGTACATGGTCCCGGTCAGGCCCCGGACGCGCCCCAACGTGGGCAGCTTTTCAGAGCAGAAACTTCCGCAGCCGTCGGAGCCTCCCAACCAGGGGCTCCCGGCTCCGGTAGTTCACGGCCTCTCCGGCGCGCCGCAACGTCCTCCGCCGTCTTTGGCCCAGGATCTGACGCGAATGGGCCCATTCGTGATCCCGCCGGGCTGCTCGCGCGGAACGGAAACGGATCATCCTCCCAGAATCGGGCGGCAGACGCCGTTGAGCCGTCCGCCAGCACGATCAACGTCATCGCCCACGATAAAAGGGTGCAATCTATGTTCGACGGCAAACGTATCGCATGGGGTGTACAGTTAGAGATCTGTCGCGGAATACAGAAAGGCTTATGGACATGGGATGACGTGAAGGCGTCGGCACTCGACAAACTAAGGGGAGCCAACGCCGAAAGCGGACCCAGAGTCGCTGAGGTGCTGATACCAGGTAAACGCGCTCCTGCATCTGCCAAGCAGACACCCATCTGGTACGACTATTCACTCTGGGTCGGCACAACTCTGATCACCGAACCCAGGGCTGAGCTTGATCGCGAGCAGGCTGCGATAATAGAGGGTACTGGGCGTGGCCTTGGACTCAGAGGGGAGTGGAAAGACGTCAACGACTGGTACGGTGGTCGCGTGCAGCAGCAGCTCACGCTAGAGCAATCGGATGACGGCAAATATTCTTTGCGTCTGTTACCGTTGGAGATGCGCAAGTCGTGTCTCTTCGGGCGCTATCTCGGGTCTCGCCGCCTTATCCGGGTGCGCATTCCGAAGGATCTCCTGCGGGAGAGCAAGACCAGCAACCACAAAAAAGTGACGGACTTCTTGATTCAGAAGCACGTCCTGTGTGGGCGGGTTTTTGCTGCTTTATTTCCGAAGGATGGGTGAGTAAATTGCATATTCCTCTTTCGCATACTCATGGTGCACCACCTCAGCTCGGTTTATCTGATTGAAACACCAGAAGATTACCAACGATGTCCGCACCTGGACATGGGTGATCATCACCGCTTGACATTCGACGAGGTAATCAATTGGTACAATCCTCCGATCCTCAATTCGAAACAGGTACTGTGCTGGGCTCATCCTCGTCGATATACTGACACCCATGTATATGATAGGCATGTAGGAAGTGGGCTGAACGTTTCTCGCTGGGTTTCTCTACCACTCTCCCAGTACTTGAGTTCAAGCCTGAAAATGTTCATTTCATCGCTGACATACGTGAGTCGCCGATGTCGTGTTCCTGTGGAGTATATTGAAGATATTTTCATAGACGCGGAATCGTGGAAGGGTCCCGAAGAATCGAATCCTCCTGCTGAATTGATTATGACTGATGGCTGCGGCTGGATGAACGGTGCCGCGCTGACGATGATCGCGCCGAACCACAACGGCACGCGCTCGGTAGCTTTGCAAGGTCGCATCGGCGGTTCGAAGGGCCTATGGATTCTTCACCCGACGGATCATTCCCCCGATAGACCTCCTAAGATATGGATTCGCAAATCGCAGACAAAGGTGAAATTGGGACCGACAGAGGAGTGGGGTCGCGAACACCTCATCTTCAACGTCGTCGCTCCTTGCCGTGTTTCGTCTAGCAGGCTGAACAATCTCGTAATGATCAATCTTTCTCACAACGGCGTTCCAGATCAAACATTCACCGATCTCTTGAAGGACGGGCTGAAACGAGAAATCGATCCGCTCATGCAGTGGGATGTACCCTACGCCAACTCGCTCCTGATACATCTCGTGGAGCGGCTTGGTGCGGTGGTTCGTACCAGATTGCAGAGACACACCGACGGTTTCAGCCGAACGCTCGGCTTTAGCGGACGAGATTTCCAAGAGGAGGATGAGCAGCCCGTGGATCAATGGGAGGACAGCGTCGCCGCCGAGGAACATCCCGAGACATTCGTTCCAGAGCCTGCGCGCAGCCGCTATGAAAGCCTTTTGGAGCTACTCATGGCAGGCTTCACGCCTTCGCGCCATCGGTTTGTGTACAACAAGCTGAAGGACATTGTGAAGATCGTGGCCGATAAGTACATTAAAGACGGTCATATCCCCGTCGCCTCGGTTGAGGCATTCATTGCCCCAGGTGCGCTCTTGCGAGCATTCACTGTCAATTCAGCGATAACATGTGTGCCACACAGATCCACTCGGAGTTTTGAACCCAGGGGAGATCTATTTTAGTTCAACGAAGCCACTCAGAGACGAAGTCACGCTGGAGAACTATAATCACATCAAGGGAGAAGTTCTGGTAAGTCTTAGCCTCGAAACTGGAGAAGATGAAAATCACGGGGATCGTTGTAGATCTATAGGAATCCTTGTCGTTTACCATCGGACGTACAGAAGGTGTGTCGTACGCCCTAACCCGTTGTCCCCCCGGTGCTAATATATGAAAGGTCAACGCCGTGTATCGTTCGGAGTTGGAGTCATGGCAGGACATAATATTGTACTCTACCAAAGGGGACCAGTCTTTACCAAGCTGGCTGGCTGGAGGAGGTGGGTGTAAGACATGGACTCCACTCACCGCCACTGACCTATTTCCTCGAAGATGCCGATGGAGGTAAATTGTTGGTGGCGTCGGCGGACAAGCCGTAACTGATCCCCTTGTTTGCGTAGACATCGCTGTCATCATCCTACACCGAAAAATTATCGACACTTTCGCGAATTCTGACTTCTCTCGTACTGATGACAACTTCTTGGAGGATAATTTCGAGTCCGAGCGAGACATACGCACCGTGCAGAAATTCTTGAACGATATCAAGCACCTTCCCAAAGACTCCGATCGTATGCGAGAGCAGTACCAGCGGACGCTTATGACCGGTCTCGACGACCCACCTAAGGGTATATACTCCATCTTCCATGAAAACGCGGCCTACAGCTTTGGCTATGATGATCCGCAGACTGTGCGCCTTGGATACATGTACGTTCGTTATCATGATGGCGTGACATCTGGCTGACCAGGTAAACCAGGTTCAATACTCTTCTTGATTCCGTGAAAACTGGTCGTCAGCTTCGGAAAGATGTGTATCAAAAAGATCGCGCGAGGTACGACTACGAACGGCCACAGTGTTTGGCTTCCGCGGAGCCTGCGGGCGCCTACAATAAGCAGGCCTTGAAAAAGCGCGATCGCAGATTGCCGCCGTTCGTGCTGGATACGCTGTTGGACGTCGGCCGCGGCCTTCGCGACCAGTGGCTAGCCGCTTACGAGGACCTTCAGAGTCGCGAATTGGATAGACCGGACCATGACCTCCTTCGCCCGTACGAGCTAGCCAAAGCGGACGATCGCTATGCCGGATGGCCTGTTGAGCTGCGGGCCCCCATAACAAGAACATGCAAGGAGCAGCTCAAAGTCCTTGAAACTTTCGTCGATCAGCTCCGTACAGACTTCAACCTACTCGCAAGATATTCTTCGAGCGACGCTTCCGCGTCTCCGTCGAAAAGGTCTCCTCGCAAGGCACGACCCGATGCGAAGAAGCAGCATACCGATGCCATGTATCGAGACCTACAAAGGCGGTTCCAGTCTGGCCCAGACGCTGATACGTCACGAAAGCTGTTCTTATTGCGGGAGATCGGAGAACTGGAGGAGATACAGGCCTCCTATGCATACAAGATTGCTCCCGGTACCAATTTCCCCTGGTCTGTCGCACAGCGTACGCTCTGTGACATCAAGGCACGCTCCTGCGGGCATTTCATAGCAACATCCGAGATTGGGGGGATGATGTCGATCAATAGTTCAATCGTCAAAGCGATGAAGCGACAAGTAGCAGACGACGAATGATCACTTCACCCTGGCATTTCATGTATCGCATATTCATGGTTCAGATGTACTAGTAGCACGCATGAAGTCGTAGTATCGATTTGGACCAGGCTCAAGGACAACATGGAGTTCAAGATGCTTCCGGAATCATTTGGACCGTCATGGATGGGATTGGTGGTGCGTCGAGTGCCCGACAGCAGTATCGCTGCACATGCTGTAGGTCAACGTCCTCATCAACGTCATGCCTGCAAGCTACACGTCAGTATGACAGGCTATTTGCAACGCGTTCACTTGCATTCTGTGCAAATGCTTGCGCAATTTCTCCATCGACATCCTCTCGGGCTGAAATTCCGTACCAAAGCAGTGCCTACAGCACCAGACTGCGTGGTTGATCTTCTGGTGGACTATACGGTGGTATTCGGTGGCGAAACTCGTCGCCTTCTTCGCTTCGATAGCCATAGCTTTGGCGGCATCCGCGTCCGATAATCGCTGCCAACTGACGGTACGATCTCCCCAGTGCACCTTCAAACAGTGATGAATCTGCCACATATCAGGGCATACACGCAATGCATAGTAAGCCGGGACGCGTACCGCATTACGCCAGGACCGAACGTCCACGGTCCGTTCCCCGTCGCATCGTTCACCACGAGTACACTTCAGACAGACCAGACGTGCGTCCAACTTGTCCATGTCCTGGGCAGACGCTGTACTAGCATCGAGCCCACACGCCTCAACCACTGTTGCGGCTACTTCGCTGGCCTTCACGTCGAAGTGCAAGTGGTCGCACGACCAAGGCCGTCTGAGTAAGTCTGAGCCAAAGTCTGAACCAAGCTTCAGGGACCGATCGTCCGTGACACGAGAGCATCCCTCGCGCCATGTCGCATGTCGCACGAGATTGCACTCGTGGTGCAAAAATTCCGGATAGAACATGCCCTGGTATGTGTTATCCATGTAAAGGAGGGCGATGCGGAAATCAATGTTGCGCACGGGGCCAGCGTGCACCTTCCAGCCTGCCGGTCGCTCGCATGTGAAGACAGTGGTCGCTAAAGACAGCGCCTGACGCACATCTTTTAGAGGCCTGTCGAATTCCGGAGGATCACCTCGGCCCATGGGTGTCCGCCTGAATAGGCGGAGGAGAGCCGTCCTCTGCCATTCAGCGATTGTGATATGCAACGACGAGAGCACGTCATCAAAACTTTCCCCGGTCACGGATATTTCGGAGTCCTGCTCGATGATGTCCTTCACGGCAGGGAATTCGCAGAAGTCCGCGGGGCTTGGATATACATCAAAGTCTTCGAGCGCTTGGGGATGCGCGAGTCGATGTGTGTGCCAAACGTCTGCAGCAGTGGCACGTCGACGCCTAAGCAGGACAGCGCGCTCGCGCGTCAATCTGTAATTCTTTAACTTCTCCATGTACTCAATCATTTCGTCTCTGATGTTATTCCACGCTGAGAAATGATGCGTCAGTGCCGGCTGAGAGCGAGCAAATCAGATTTACACTTGTCAGTAAGTTTCCTCGGGATTTTGACAAGCCGGTGATCATCAATGAGAGTGATCCCATGCAGTTTGGTCTCCGACGACTGATATATCGGCATTTGGTTTAGCTCATCTTCGTAACCAAGCTCGACCAGGCGACCAAGGATGCTAAGCGCATAAAGCTGTTAGCAGGAGTTCGTGTATTCTATATATATCAAGCGCACGCTTTTTTCCGTTCGCGACGAATTTCGGCTCGCGTATGAGCCTGGTTCTCAACCATCATACACGCCCAGTCGTCGCATTTGATTGCATGCTGTTGAGGAATCGGATTAAGAGTTGCAGAGCATTGAACCAGGTGCGTTCAGATGAAAGCGCACTTCGTCAATAACCGACTTAAGACGCCGCTTTTCTTCGCGATAGCTTTCTAAACCCTCCGTGGACCCATTGGCGTCCAAGATGTGCATTTGATGTTTGTAATTGAGAACGTCAGTGACGCGCATGTACAACGTATCTTCGCCTTTCAGTTGCAGAATCATTAGCGTCGGGCAACGATGATTGCGCAGCAGCCACTCACGGCAGGAGTATGGTAGCAGTTGTTTCATATCTGTCGTAAATTCCATCTCTTTGTCAGATATCAAGCTGCCAACAGTCAGCCTGGCTGCCCCCTTTCCAGCGGAGAAGATCGTACAGTTTCTTAGCACATGCATTGCATAAGCGCGCCCGCAGTTCCCAATCGATGTTGTCAAGCACCACCCGCGCTCTTCGACAATCCTGAGACGGCATTGTTCAGTTGCCGTCAATCGGGAAAATAACGAGAAATTTACTTTGCAATAGGAATCAAAGCAAAGGTCCGCATACGCAGGCTCGCTCATGTCTTCCGGGCACTCGGGAAGGTATTCGATCTGCCGACGCGCTTCCCGCCAAACTCCGACCGCAGATCCGTGCAGTAGCAAGGAACGAAGCGGCTTGGAAGTATGACTGAGATTTAAGAGGTCCATCGGATGAAGGTGGCTGAAAATCTAGAAACGTGTAAAGTAAGGTTCATCGGTGTCGGTCAACTGACGGACCTCGAGTAATATGTCTAGAGGAAGTGATGGCAGTTTTTCAAGTTTAGCAGAGACCCTGGTGCGATACGTCGTGAGCTGGGCGCGTTTTTCGCGTTCGCGCCGTGTTCGAAACGCGACTGCAACTTCGAGCGCATTTGAAGGTGTGATCTTCTGTTTCTTCTTAGGCGGCTGTGGGGTAGCCTCATGTTTCGGAGGTGGACTAGAATTTGCAGGCGTATTCGTGATCCAGCTCAGCACAGTTGTCTGAGCCATACTAAGGACCTGAAGGACGACCGAGGACGCGTTTGAATCCTCTTTGGAGTGACCGTCGTTTAGATATCGTGTGAATATTCAAGGATGTAAGCGCATTGAGGATCACCCTGGATTCCTCGAATGCGTACCGAGCGCCGGCACTGGACAGACTTTTGATGGGAGAACTGCAGGAAAGAGACGCGTTTTCAGTGGCGATGCGCTGGTCCCTTTGCGATCAGGTGACCGCGTCGCTTTCGGGCCGGTCTAATTGGAAACCCGGACCGGCACCTTCAAGCTTCAAGCGGCTCTGTAACCTATGTAATAGCAGGACGGCAGAATATACACATGCGTATATCTGGGAGCAGACTGGACAAATCCTTCTCAGCCTTGGATTTGTGGCAGAATTTCGGATGCCAAAATCAACTCATAAAGTCGGGGTGCACAGACACCGGACAGAGGACGACTCCTTCGTGTGGGTGCTTATTGTAAAGCGAGGAGATATATAGGCACTGAAGTCGTCACGGTGCGTTGTCGTGGCTCCGGCATCGAACATCGCAGATTTCGAGCAGGTGATCCCAACAGAAATGACAAGAGAGCCGAGATGACCGTCGTCGATGGTCACTGGCAATGGTGGAGGCATATCGGGTGCTGCATTAATGGGGGATTTCCCGAGCTGCTCCGGTGCCCAAAGGAACGGAATCTAGAGCCTATCGGCATATCGCAACCCGCCCCTTGCAGGCCAGGCTCAGATTATTTGTGTGCGAGGAAGGGGCTCAGCTCCGGAGGTGGGCTCCAGGACAAGTTTGCTATCGTGCCGTCGCATGGTGGAAGAAGGGACATGGAGGAACACCGTGCATGCCGCTGCGCGCCGAGAACCTGCAGGATTACGTTCTTGGACCTGAGGTCACCGCATCCCGTGTACAAGGAAGCGAGGATGTGTGAGCGGTGGGCACAACATGTAGTGCGAGCAGCGAGTGGTGGTGGCGGTGGATGCGCGGGTGGTCATCACGTTTTCCCTGTCCTCCGTGGCACGCCGGCGCGTTGCGGCAGCACTTTGTCCTCTGCCCGTCGTCGAGCCATGCCCCTCCTCGGCCTGTTCCACAGGAAAGACAAGCACAAGTCGCCGCCGTCGTCGGGCACGCCGGCGGGCAGCGTTTCCCCCAGCCCGATCGACGAACAGGACTCGGCCGAGCAGGACTACATCCTCGCCAAGCAGTCCGTCCCCGCCTCGCCGAGCACAGTCTACTCCGCCAACGATGATGCCGCCAGCAGCAAACGCAAGCTCTTCCGGCGCAAACACTCCAAGCCCATCCCTGCGCCCCACCCGTCGCAGCTCTCCCCACCGAGGCCGACGCAGTCCACCCAGTCCTCATACAATTCCCAGGCCGACCAAGACCTTCTCCGACCACCATCGCGCAATCTGTTCGCAACGTATGGCGATCCCCACAGCGCGCTCTCGACGCGTTCGCTGCCGGAGGCGCCAACGCTCCGTCCAAACCCTCGTGCTCCTCCCACCCTGCAGGAGACGTACAGCAACCCCGATCTCCGGCCTTCCACCTCATCGCTACAGACCCCCGAGCCGCGCAAGCGCAAAAAGTCCGGAGTCCTCTCTTGGGCTCAACGCGAGCGTACCAAGTCCAAGCCGAGTCCACCTGAACTCCCGCCTGTCCCGCCCGTGGAGTCCTTCAACCTCAAGTCCTTCCGTCACGTCCGTCCTGATTCTCCTTCCAATCCACCTCCCGAGCAACCCGATCGACCGGGGTCTGCCATGTCCGGGCACATGACCCCGCCGCCGCGTTCAAGAGGTAACAGCGTTACCAACGATCCTACCCAGCGGGTATCCGTAGCACTCTTCCGCGAAGCGCAAGCGCGGAAACAGACTGCTGGCACCTCGCCCATCACCCCCTCCCGTCCGCCTTCCCGCCTCGATGGACCACCTCCCATTCCCATGCAAGCCCGTGTCGAGACTGAACCGACGAAGGCTCCTCCCCACAGGCGCCCCCCTTCCCGCAGCGCGACGATGCCCGTTCACGGCAGCCAGGACTCGAGCGACTCTTCGACAGACTCTTCTGACTCGTCCTCGGACTCTAGCGACTCGGACTCCGTAGACCAGTCCACGGTGCGGCCTCTGCGGAACGGCGCTAGCACGCCGCGTACGCCTCAGAAAGCATCATCGGAGATGGGCCATCTCACTCAGCCCACCCACAACCCATCCAAGTCCGACTCAGCCCACCAAATGTTCGAGCATTCATCGCCTTTACGCCGTCGAGCTTCACGTTCTATGTCAGCGGCGGCTCCTAACGCAGATGCGAACCGTGCGTCTGCGATCGCTAGCATGGCCACCAATCTTCCGAGTAAGTTCAATATAACTGGTTCCACTGAAACCGTATGCCTGAACCTAGATTAGACAGGCCGGCCTTTCATGCACGAGCGCCTGCTCGGGACAACGACAGCACCTCCGACGAGAGCTCAGATAGTTCTTCCGAGGATTCGGACAACGCGCCTCTGGCGAGACTAGTGGTGGCGAATAAGTCCACCGCTTCTCTGCGCACCAAAGTACCGCAGCCGCCCCCGAAGCAGGATACGATGACAAGCACGTCTTCAGCAACATCCCCGAGCACGCTCGAGTTGCCATCGCCAATCCCATCAACTATCCTCGCCCACCCTCCTCCAAGACGTAGCTCACTGGATGCGGGTGTAACGCTCGCGCCGGAGATACAGAGCGCGAACGACGCATTGTCACCCTCAAACCTCAGCGAGCGGCTCGCTCGCCTCACCCGTGGTCTCTCCCCAGGCTCTTCATCTACTTCTCCCGTTGCTCGACAGTCAACGACCTCGCCCGCGAACCGGAGGAAAACGTCTACCGAGTCGCGAACATCAGCCACATTCACTGATGGACCGCTGACGACTTCGCCGACGATCACCGGGAAACCCGAGCCACCCATTGTACCAGTGCCTGTTGGTACTCGCGTGCCAGACTCGTCTTTTAGTGTAACATCACGACCAAAGTCCGAGTCGGTGCTGTCGGAGGCTGGTTCGACTGCGTCTCAAGAAACTTTTCCCGCTCCTCGCGGTTCAAAGGACATTTCGACAACAACTCGCTCCGCAAGATCCCTAGCGACTGGGAGACCAGCGACTCTTGTATCGATGATACCTGAATCGACATCAGCTTTGGAAGACAAGAAAGTGCCACAGCCTGCCGCTCGCGCTCATATTGCGTCCCTGGTTGGGAATGCCCGGCCTGGTACACTTCTTTCGCAAATACCGACATCGCCCGAAGCTCCGGAAGCACGGCAAAATCTCCGACCTCCACTCTCAGAAACAGCTCGACCCGGTACACTAGCGTCTTTGATACCACCCAGTGGTTCTATGTCTGACACGCTCCCGACGCCCGTGACTTCGAAACTAAGAGGCTATAGCCCGGCGAGCTCCACCACAGGCGACTCGAGCCGTGGGCCACACACACCGAAGGATGGTAGCGACTATGGTGGGCCCTTCGGCAGGGACAGAAAAGACAGCTACGGTATCAGGAGCGCCGCGAGCGGAGGTACAAGCACGAGCCAGAGTGGCAGCAGCGTGTCCAGTCTGAGTCATGGCCCGAAACGGGGAAAGCATGGCAGGAGGGTAAGCATCGCGGATCCGACAGAAATTGAGAGAAGTCTGGGTCATGAGCGTGGGCGGAGCGGCAGCGGCGGTACGATCACAGCACAGGGCGAGGAGAATAGGAGGAGAGAGCGGCGGAGGAGTGAGGCGAAGGCTGCCATCGAGGTACGTCGTCCACTTGTTTGTCGCACAAGCGAGGCTTGACAGCGATCACAGCTTGGTAACGTCGTCAACGGTCGTACATCGCTACCTCGCGACGATGCGTATGATGAAGACGAAGACGAACCGCTGCAGAAGTCTGTACCTCCCGCCCCTCCTGTCATGAATCCCATGATGACCGGGATGGGTTTTCCTGCTGGATTTGCACCTTCGCCTGCTGGAGTGGGATGGGGCGCCTTGCCATGGAATGGTCAAGCACCCGCGATGCCCCCAATGCCCCAAGCGATGAATGCCCAGCAATTCATGGTGCCACAACCACCACCCAACGCTGATCCTGCTTTCCTGGCCGCACACCAGCATGCCATGGCCATCGCCAAGCAAGCATATCAATATGCGGTGGCACAGCAGGCTATGGCTGCAGCAGCTGACGAGTGGGAGCGTCAAACGAACACAGGCGGATCCGTGTATGGTGGGGGTGGGGGAAGCGTGTACGGTGGCAGTCAATACACGGGCAGCAGCGCAAACCTCGCTGGCTTCGGCGGTGGGGTGTGGCCCGGCATGGGCATGGGAGCAGCGATGTACTCATCCTCTCGTTCTGTCTACGACGGCGCAAGTGTGTACGGCGGGAGCGACGCCGGAGCATGGGGCTCTAGGAGCGTTTACGGTGAAAGCTTCGGGCCGTCGATGCCAGATCCTCGTGCATCGTTATACTCGACGAGGCAAGATGGAGCACCTCGACGACCTCCCGGCATGCCGAAGTCCAATTCCTCCCTCGCCGTGCCGGGTACCCAGTCACAGGCGCGCCCAAGCCGCGCGCGCACCAAGTCAAGCCCAGCGCAGCCGCCTGAACCAGCGTTCGCGAGGCCGCAACGAGATGGGTCACCTCGTTCATTGGGACGCACCTCGAAAGCACCCCCGCCGTCTAGCTGGACGGCACGCTATCAAACGGCGCTTCAGGACTGAACCGCCTCATATCAATTGTGGATTCATTTGTATATCGGACGCAACAGGTAGGATGAATAGTACCACATTGTAGATATCGGAATTACCTACCCTCGCATTCCTTTTCTTGAACCTTGGCTCACCAATAATTATCTTGTTTCATACCTCATTCTACAATCACAATATCCTCATTGCCAGTGGGCGGACGCTGACCCGATCCTTCACCTATCACACAGAACTTTACCATCGTTTGTGTATGTAGCATTATATACTAGCATAGAACATTATCCTGAATGCATGGCTTCGTGACTTAGGCAATCACTTCAACAGCCGGTGGTGACGCAGTGGTGTCAACGTCAAGCTCCTCAGGCTCAACATCTGATAACTCTTTCTCGCTGGCTCCTGCATCATTGCGCTGAATCCGCGTCCCGTCCGGCGCTATGCCGCATGCCCTTCCGGGAGGGTTAGATCCGCATGATATCATCCGTGTTATGCACATACTCGACGATCTGATTCCAATACTCGTCCTTGTCGAATTCGAAGGCATATTCGCCTCCGAATTCAGCGGTGAGTTGATCGGGGGCTACCAGTTCAAAAATGTCGGGGTTGAAGCGCATTTTGTCTCTCGTGACAGGATCCAAGAACGGCGAGATCCCCTTATAGAAAAAGTTCAATAGCATGGGTAGGTGCATGACAATGGCTCGGCCCAGTGTCTCAACGTAATGCTGTTGCAGGATTACAAGAACCTGGAGCTAACGATAAGCAACCAATGCTCCATGTGGTGACTGGGCATAAACCGACTTTGCGTGCTACCGATATCGATGGATTTGTGCGCATTGTGGTGCCCCGGTAGTCCACAATGATGACTAGTGACTCCTGGCCCGGAGGCATAAGGTCCTTAGCGCGTTCTCTAGCGCAGCGGTCATTATCTCGGTCTGCCCTCGATGCGGGAATGGAACTCACAACCACCATACAAGGTGCCGTAGTTGCCGAGGAGAAGTCTCGGTGTTCTCCTTGGCTGGTCGCATATAGATGATAGGTCGCCCATCCCGATCGAATCCGTTGAGAAGGCTAGAACCAGCCTCTCGATGAGCAAGCCTACGGCAATGACTCGCAAACGCACATCTTTCCGGTCTCAGCCTCCACCTTGACCTCGTCTGGGGGTATGAGGTCTGGCTTATATTCTCTCCGCCATTCCAGAGTAGCCTTGATACGCTTCTTGCCGTCCTCCAGCTTCCACTTTGCGGCACGCATATATCGTGGGATGGTATCAGCTCTGTTGAGCCATCGTAACTCCCACACATAGTATGGGTCCGTACTTGGAAGCAGTAGACTGTTTGCGTACTGCAGACGGCATGAGCTCAGGGCAGCTATAGGTGTAAATTGTCATGGTGTACTCGCCTCCCTAAGAGCCTCGATATCTGCTTGCTGCGCCTCCGAGTAAACATGTATCGGCTTCACTACCGTTCCTGGTGGTGGACGTGATATTATTTTTTTCGTCGGATTAGTCGTGGCCATTGTGTTCGTCAAAAGCCAACAGGTTTGCCCTTGGTAGCATGCGACCACTCTCTGATGGCGCCCATAGTAATGAAGGCCGTAAGGACACGGGCCGAGATTAGTCATCTTGCCGAGGCTGGTCGGCCACAGGGGCGTCTATCTCCGAACAGGCACGTTTGGCAAGTATTTACCGTCCCATTCAAATATTCAGCATTACTTACTGTCTTTACATTGATCCGAGCCTTCGCCAAAACCAGGTGCGTATACTCGTCGTCCCATTTAGGATCGCTGGCAACACAGCGTGTGTTTCGGGGTGGTGCTGCATGCATCTCAATCAAGCGTCGCATCAGTACGGACTCGGACAAGCCATGTACAATTTAGTTGAATAATTCAATAAGATAATCGAGTTCAAGCAACTTCGTCAAGTTCAACCAGATGCACCGCGGCCATCCACGCCAATATCACCTCCACTCGTGGTCCGTGCAAGGGAAGGTTGATGGGGAGTGGCTTTTTCCTGTTTTTATCGCTCGCCTTCTCCGTGCGCTGCGTTGCAGCCCTCTCACGTTGCCGGCGAGCGACAGGGGCAAGCAGAATGCGAAGGCAATCCAATTCCTGTATCAGCTCGGTGGCCCCTCTGGTCAAAGCCGGTGACGATGCCCGCGATATTGCCGGATGCTTTAATCTCGACGCAGATGTAGACGGCGCTTCTGGGTCGCACTCTTTCTCATCCGCGGGCGAAAGCGGAGGAGAGGGGGGTGCGGCCATGATAGCTAATTTGCGAGTAGTTATCTTGCCATACGTAGCCGAGAGGGAATGGGGTTGTATGCCAGTTCTCCAACCGGCTGCAAGACGCTCCAGAACCTCGATGAACTCAGCTTGGCCCATCGACCGCGGCGGCAAGAATACAGGGTAACCTTCCAGCCCATCTACGACGGCGGCGGTGCGTTCGAAGGCCGGCAACACCCCGGCGAAATCGCCGAGCATGAGGTGACAAATGAGCAAGGTGAAACGAGCCTCCACGAGCAGAGGATGGTAAGTGGTAAAGCTCGCAGGCATCTCAGGCAGTGATCCCGCGGGTTGGTTTGAGCCAGGTCGTATCGACTCCGAAAGAATGAAAGCATGTGCGATGCGTTGCGCGGCGTCACCGTCAAAGCCTGGAGAAGTTGCATCCACGGTATCGAAATGTGACATGAATCGTTCGAGGTCGCGTACGCTCTTGCGGAGCAGGGACATGACTTGCTCCCTGAACGGATCCACGGCGAGGACATGTCTGTACGCCCGTAGCTTCGCTCCGGTCCGATTGCCCAGTGGGCCATCCGGGTTGCCGATCTCGACACCGCCATACTTCCCGTTCTCGATATAGCATAGCCGCATCTCCGCACCATCTACAGTGCAACCCCTGCGAACCCCTTCCAGTTTAAGGATGGCTTCTTCAATGAGGTAAACTGCGTGCTGAAGGTAGGAAGAGGCGCGGAGAAACAAACACTGGGTTTCGATGGGGTCGGGCGCATCCGGTAAGACGGAAGGATGGATAGGTACTGGCTCGCCATCTGGTCCTGGTATCATGAGCCGGTCGTGATCAGGAAACCGAGTGCCTTCCGCAGGCGTCTGCTCGCCACCAGATCGCGTCTTCTTGCCTTTCTTCTTGTTCTTGTCACGCGATCCCGGCCGTGACAAGCTTTCGCAATGAAGCCTTGCTCTGCGAATGGTGCGAGACTCCTTCAGGGCGAACGTGAAGTCTTTGGCTGCCTGCACATATTCGTCGCGAAAACAATGAACCATTCCGCGTGTCCTGTAGAATTCGAGACGGTGAGGTTGTGCGGAGATTAAGTCGTCAAGGACTCGGGTGGGAGTCGATTCAGCTAATTGCCTGCTGATCAACCACATTAGGCGTGACCGTATAATGATAAACAACGAGTGACGGACCGAGATGGTATTTTTTCATGGAAGAAGTGCACATAACGGGCATCTATGTCATTTGGCTCTGCACAGACATGAGCATTGTGATGGACGCGACAGAGCATGAATAACGCACCGACTCTCAACACTCGTTCCGCAAGGTCGTCGAATACGGTTCCACCCTGCATGACCATGACACTGGAGGCGATTTCGTCCGCTTTGTACGCAGCCGCTAGTTTTTGAACCGCCAATACTCGTAGGCGATGGATACGATTGGCGGACATAGTGACGCTCCTCCCTGAGGGATGGTCACCCAACGGATTCAGACCCAGGGACAGGGCGGTCCCCCATGCCGAGTTTCCAACACCGGTCGCACCGCGTAACGAGTTCAAAGTAGCGGCCGACATGCCAGAACTGGCCCGGACAGAAAGCTCAGATGCCTCGTCGATGAGCCGCCGGATGCTTGCAACAGAGCGGAATACACCTGGATCGATAGGTGGAGGCAATGCTTTCCCTGGCGGTGGGGTAATGACTGGTGGGGGTGGAAGAGGTGGCCCGAACGAATTTGTATGTGGAGTCTGGGGACATGAATTATCGCTAAGCCCAGCGAATCCGCGGTCACGGGGACGAGCCGTTGAATACAGGGCAGTACTTGCGGATCCAGGGGAGATGGTGCGCGTATCAGAAGCACTGAGCGCCCCGGGATCCATGTTCAAGACAAACAGAGACTCGAGGAGCTCGACAGGAAGTTGCAGCCATGGTCCCTGCGGGAAGATGAACGCTATCCTGCAAATCAGACGGAAATATGCGCTACTGACGTGGTAAGAACTGATATATTTCCAGTGCTTGTTCCTGCTGATACACAAGGGCGGACGGACGTCATCTTCGTCTTCCACCTCCTCTATTGTGACGTTCGGCTTTGAAGCGGTATCCCTGGCTCTCTTCTTTGCTCGTTTTTTCTTTTTCTTCTTGGGAGCTGCAGGTTTTTGATCCTGGTCCAAGGGAGGGACGTCTGAAGGCTCTGGCGACGCAGTGCCGGAGCATAAAGATGGGGATGGCGTCAGAAGTTGGGATATTTCGGAGACGGGCACGGTGTCATGATCCCCATAGACTCCGCCCCCGCACGCCGATTGCAAGTCGTCCCCCAGCCTGCCCGACATGTCCGTGCGTCGACTGCGTCTGTTAAGCTGGTAGGAACAGTGCAGTCAGAGTAAACGACCGCGTAGCAGCCACGGGTTCTCCAAGTTTTTTCGCGCGGCGGGCGGTGCGTCGCGAGCTGTCGTGACTCGTGAGCGAGCGATGTTGACCAGAAGCCTCTTTCCTCGCGACCTCCTTCTTCGGATGTTGGTGATTTCTACGTTACAGCTGGCCACCACTTTGCTTGCCTCGTCTGGATTTGCGCTCGCCAATACCGATATTGTCAACTTCGCGGCGCCAGACGTGGGACGAAGGATACCGCCAGGAGCGGCGGACATGTGGCGAGTGTTGACTGGTACAAGCACGTCGATGCTCCGTCTGATCGACAATGCTTCACTCAGTCGTCTTGATATTACATACATGCACAAGCCCGTATTAAGCCATAACCATCCTCGGGTAACATGGGCTTTCGCTCCTCTATCCACGAACACGTCGTTAGATCCCCTAGACGACATACAATGCGCGCCGAATATGCTGTCAAACCATCAAACCACGCAATCACTGAAGAGCTATTCGCACGAACAGCTGTTTGCATTGGATCTTTGCCATCCGGAGTGGAGATTTGTTCGCAGCTTCACCCTGCGTGCTTCTTGGGCTGGATCGGTAAGCAACGGCAGTCGTTGCTCTGGAACCAACCGCGATATTCACAAAATCCCGCCTGTTCGGAGGAACAGTCTCCCGTGGACGTCAGTTTATTGCTTGACTGTTCTGAAAACAGCAAACCTGCGGTACCCTCTGCCCCGGACAAGCAGCTGGGACGGATTGCTTATGCGAAAGTGCGAATGCTCAACACCGGGATCAGGACTCCGTCATCCTCGGTGCTCACGGAGGAGCGTGACCTAGTCATACTGCAACTGGAAGCACTCATAGCTGACGTTGTGCCCGCGAGTCTCCTGCCTGTTATCGCACTGCTCTTGCTTGCTGTGGGATTGGCAACTGCTCTCGCTCCCCGTGTATACATCCATCTAGTCACTTTGCTCAACACCAATGAGGACCCTGGTGTTCTGCGCCGTAGGAAATCGCTTTAACACCGCGAGACCCCCTCTACAGGATCGGCCTCAGGGAAACCCTGGTCGGGCTCCCCTCCTTGCTCGATTGCATGAACCATGCAGCACACGTGAAGTTCATGGCGGGAGAAGCATACCCCGTTCAGGGTGGCATGGTCGTCTCTCGCCTCTCGGCAACTGACATGAACTTCTGCTCCGCGTTCCGCCGACTAAGCACTGCATACTCAAGATTGATCGATGTCTCCGAGTATCATTAATCTTTAACTGAACGACAAGGACAGTGATTGTCCTATACACCAGGATGTTTGTTTTCAGATTGTACCGGGACGATGGTTATCGAGGGCTGGTCGATATCGAATTACTCATGTATGTACGGAAGAACGGCTGCGCGGCCTATTTTTGTGCTCGTTTCTCTCGGCGGTGCGCCTGCGCTGTGAGTGGAACGTGAGAGACGTGATGCTGCTGCGGTCGTCCAGGAGGGTTACGAGATGCAGAGAAAGCCAGAGCGTCGGGGCCACAGGTGGAGGACAAACGTAAGGAGGATGACGAGAGAGCAGGGTAAATGAGCATTGATTAGGGCTGAAAGAGGCCGTGAGGCGTGTCATGTCAATGAAACCGTGGGAGTACGCGCCCCTGCGTCGTCAACTCGCCTTGTGAGCTCCATCCTCACCGTCCTCACGGCTTCCTCTCCCTGCTGCTCTCCCTCGCAGCCCGGCCTATGGGCCTGCTCTCGTCGTTTTCTTCGTAATTCTGCTTGCCATCCGAAGCTATGGACTACCGTGGTCAAGGTCAACGCCCTCCACGATCCTCACGACCTCCCCCGGCTCCTCCATCATACCCTAACAGCCCCGAGCCACCATCAGAACTCCCCGAAGTTCCTTTTCCCTCCGCAAGACCACCGATACACCCAAGTCAGGCCAGCACGTTCAGCAATCAGACGAAGGGCACCGTCTCGTTCCAGGAGCAGGAGCGTGGAGAGCGCCACGAGCATGTGGGGCAGCGGATGCAGCCAGTCTCCGCCTGGGGTGGGGATCCCGAGGCTGGAGAAGAGCGAGTTGGCAGAAAGAAGAGCTTGGTCAGACCAGACAGAGAGAAGCTAGAGCCCGGTCACCGATTGTGGCATTATCGTGCCCACGCCGCCCAGCTGGAGCAGGAACACGGCGGTAGAGTAGGCGTTTTGCCATCCAGTCAGCAATCTTCGCTCTATGTCTCCTTCTCCGCTCACGCTTTCCCCTCATAGGCACTGGCAATGCGCCGCAAGCCGGGCGGCCTGGTGTTCGGCGTGGAAAGTCGATTCTCGGTCGAGAGGAAGACGTTCACGAATCCGGGCTTGCTCTGTTTAAGCGAGGCACTAATCGCCGCCTCAAGCGGCAGGCGTCTACTCCTGCTGATGTTCCGCATCCTCAACCCCAAGCAAAGGGTGGCTTCCTCTTCCGAGACGTACCCGGACCTCATGACTGGTGGATGCTGTACTGCCTTATTCTCACCATCTGTATACCGAACTTTCTCCTCGCTGCATGCGGTACGTCATCCTGTTGTGGATCGACCGATGATGTTCTCACGTCTCCTAGGCATCAAAACGCCTGAGCAGCAGCGCGCATGGCGAGAAAAGATGGGACTCCTCAGTGTCGTAGCTGTGCTCATGACGGCCGTCGGATACCTCACTTTCGGCTTCACGGAAACCGTCTGCGGGCGTCCACCCACGCGTTTTCATTCTGGTACCATCGGCACCGGCTCCGTCATCATCCATGGCTACGACTACGATCTCTCCAAGTTCAATCATCCCAAGACTGCCACTGTCTTCCCAAATGGCAGCACAAACCCTCTTTTCGAAGGTGGTTGGAACGTCGCGGGCAACGATATATCCTTCATGTTCCAGAAGGTGAACCAGCATTGCTTAGGGATCATCACCAAAGCGAGCAACTCATCGATCAGCGGTTCAAACGGCAATGTGGACTGGTACTTCCCCTGTAATGTCTACAGCCAACATGGGAACTCTGGCGTCAACCTTACTGGCTACGACTCGTCGGAAAATTGCCACATTACGTCCACGGCGAGGAATGATCTTGCCTCGCTTCATCCACAGGGCCAGGTGTATTACACATGGGATGATGTCAAGAACCCCAGTCGTAACCTTGCCGTCTTTGAGTCGTACGTATTACGGGCTCTCATCGTCTTATGATAAGTCATAATATTCTTTAGCACCGTTCTTGACCTCAATCTGCTCACCTGGCTGAGCCGCTCGGAAGTCAATTATCCTAAATTCTTCGACGAACTCGCCAAGCCGAACGGGACGTATAATGGGAAGGATCTCACCATGCAACTGCTCCGAACGAACCAGCGGACCATGGGACATTGCTTGGAGGACCTTGTTACCGTCGGTTTCATCGATACCAACACGATCGGTTGTGTTGCCTCCGAAGTTGTCCTCTACGTTTCACTCGTTTTTATCATCGGCGTTGTCGGGATCCGGTTTGGCATGGCCGTTATCTTTACCTGGTTCTTCTCCTGGAAGCTCGGCGACTTCAAACGGGAGACGTACGAACAGCGCATGCAACGTAGCGCCGAGATTGAGAACTGGACGAACGACATCTACCGCCCTGCTCCCAGCCAGTACCGGCCAAACGTGAACAATCAGGGATTGACAAAGAAGAATGGCAAGCGCGGCTTCTTGCCTAGCACCTCTCGCTTTACGCCACAGGATAGCAATGTTTTGAAAGGTGGACGACCCGCCACTGCGTACGGCATGATCGACAACAGCCCCTACAAACGGAGTACATTGTATGCTGCTTCCGCCCGAGGCACCAAACTAACGCCTCCGGAAACGATGAGGGAGTCGAGGAGCAGTACCTCCCTCAACGATTCCGCGGTGGTTGCGCGTGGTTTCAACGAGAACCCGTGCCCATTCCCTCTTTATAACATTGTCCCTCAACCGCCTCCTGACTATGAACCTTTCGGCTACCCTCTTATTCACACCATCTGTCTCGTCACTGCCTACTCCGAATCCGTTGAGGGCTTGAGGACCACCCTGGACTCTCTCGCAACTACCGACTATCCGAATAGCCACAAAGTCATATTGGTCATCGCCGACGGCTTGGCCAAGGGTGCTGGGAATGACATGACGACCCCAGATATTTGTTTGACCATGATGAAGGACTTCTTGATCCCGCCCGAGGAGGTTGAACCGCATTCCTACGTCGCCATAGCTGATGGGCACAAGCGTCACAACATGGCTCAAGTATATGCTGGTTTCTATGCTTACGACGACGCGACTGTGGAGATGTCGAAGCAGCAGCGGGTTCCCATGGTCCTCGTAGCGAAGTGCGGTAATCCCCTGGAAGCGAACGACCCCAAGCCCGGCAATCGCGGCAAGCGCGACAGCCAAATCATGCTGATGTCGTTCATGCAGAAGGTCATGTTCGACGAGCGCATGACGACCTTCGAATACGAGTTCTTCAATTCGATGTGGCGGGTGACGGGCATCAGCCCGGACCGATATGAAACAGTGCTCTGTGTCGACGCTGACACGAAGGTCTTCCCGGACTCGCTGAGTCGGATGGTTGCGTGCATGGTGCAGGATGTGGAGATCATGGGTCTTTGCGGCGAAACCAAGATTGCTAACAAGGCTGAAACCTGGGTTACGATGATACAAGGTATGTCCCGAGATACTGGTCTGAACAAGATCCGTGTTGATATCCTTCGTAGTCTTCGAATATTACAACTCGCATCATAACGTCAAAGCCTTCGAATCGATGTTCGGCGGCGTGACGTGCTTGCCAGGATGTTTCAGCATGTACCGCATCAAGGCCCCGAAAGGTGACTCCGGCTACTGGGTCCCCATCCTTGCAAACCCCGATATCGTGGAACACTACTCCGAGAATGTTGTTGATTCGCTGCACAAGAAGAACTTGTTGCTTCTTGGTGAAGATCGTTACCTCACGACGTTACTGCTGAAAACCTTCCCGCGGCGCAAGAACGTTTTCTGTCCCCAGGCGGTGTGCAAGACGATCGTGCCTGATACGTTCCGTGTGCTCCTATCCCAGCGACGTCGATGGATCAACTCAACAGTCCACAATCTCTTCGAGCTTATCCTCGTTCGTGACCTCTGTGGTACATTCTGCTTCTCCATGCAGTTTGTCACTGGCATGGAATTGGCCGGCATGCTCGTCCTTCCCGCTGCCATCTCGTTCACGCTGTACCTCATCATCGTTTCCATCATACCCGGCGGCACCAACACAACGATACCTCTCGTTCTCCTTGCCATTGTCCTTGGTTTGCCCGGCGTCCTCATTGTCATCACTAGCAGGAAACTGGCATATGTTGGATGGATGATCATATATCTGTTCTCCCTCCCCGTGTGGAACGGCATACTGCCGATGTATGCATTCTGGCACTTCGACGACTTCTCCTGGGGTCAAACTCGCCAGGTTGCCGGTGACAAGAAGGGCGCTGATCACGGGGACAAGGAGGGGGAATTCGATTCGTCACATATCGTGATGAAGCGATGGGCTGAGTTCGAGCGCGAGAGGCGATGGAAGACTGGTACCACGTCCAGAGATTCAACCTTCTGGGACGTCCATTCTGGGTCACCTAAGCGGTATGTGGTCCCTTGATATCACACGCATTTGTTTGACGATGAGCTCACGCAGGCCTGACTCGAACAGGTACTCGATGGTCTCTTCCACGGAGACTTACCAACCTTCGCCGCCGACTGAAACGAGTACTACTGAATCTGGTGCCCCCATCACTTCACGGGGCAGGTACGAGAAAGACCAGCTGCTCATGCTCCCAGCGCCGCTGTCGGTTGCTCGGCCTGTTGCATCCTCAACCGTATCTGGGTCCTCCTCGGCCGGTCGCACTAGCGAAGAAGGTTGGCCGATACATCCAGCATCGTCCTCGAACCAACGACTGGTGCCGAGCCCCGATAACCGAGATCCTTATGACGACCTGGACTCGGTACCTCCTGCTCCAGTCCCTCGTCACGCTCCCGCCAGCAATCCGTTCGAGCACTTCTCTCGTACGACCGGTGGAAGCAACCCACCGCATCGTAGCATGACTTCGCCAATCAGTCATTCAGCGGAGATCCAGAACTCATATCGGGACGCTCGTGGGCAGGCTGCTGCCTATAATGATTCATATACAACGGAACCGGACATGTATGTTTCACAAGCTCCAGCTGCGAGTCCTTCATCCCGGAACCGGACGAGCAGTCAGGATCGCACACGTCCGCAGCGAGGCGTGAGCCTGGCTGACAATGGGCCCGTACCCACGACTAACGAAGGCGTTCGACGCGTCGCACGACAATCACGACGGCCGTCATCCCAGACGGCGCAGAATCGGTATTCTCGATCATCACCGGCTCCGGCTCAGTCGCCCCCTCCAGGCGGATATTCATCGCAGCCGAATTATCAGCTTCCTCCTGGCGCAGCACCTCCAAGAGAGTTCAACGGTCAGGGTTACGTTGGTTACAAGGGCAGCGGAGGCTACATTGACAATTGATCCGAACCGCACGGTTTTCTTTTTCTGCACGGCTAATATCCGGACTCATTGCTCATCTTTACTTCAAGTGACAATGGACGCTAGTTTGATTCTTCATGAATGCTCGCTGTGATGATACGTAGTTTACAACCATTTTCGTATGTTCGGTTACTCCTTATGTTTGAAACCAAACATGGAATCGCTGCCAATCTTATGCGGACTTCTCAGAGCACACGAGAGAGAATGTGCATTGTAGAATTTAGCACCGATATGGGCAACTGTACAGTAAGCCTGCATCGATCTTCCGGATTGCAGGGCAGACGTCTCTCATCTCTCATATGCGCGAAGTGACAGGGTGAGTATGTATGAATGATTTGCATCGTCGTCGATGTTTACGCAACAGACCACACAGATACACAGCTCGCCATCTTGCTTAAGAAGATCGTTTGGTATAAAAAACGCAAGACAGCGGAAGAGTTGGAATTCGCCGAGAGTACTCATCTTCCTGTACTGATGTCGACACGGTCACGGAACCGCCATGCTGGCGCTTACAAATATATGCTATATATGCTCAGCCTACGAAACCGGGGATACGTCAGTGGCCACAGTTCGCTGACTGTTCATGTGCGTTACTTGAACAATTTGCTGTTCACAGGATCCGTTGAAGACTACGGACGATGAGAACGAAACGTACCTTCCTAGCAGGCAGAAGCATACCAGGAATGGCGGTCAAAAGCAAGCCTGAGTGTACAGTGATTGCTGTAAGTCTATACTGAGAGATACCGGTTCACATGGATTGTCGAATACTCAGGGACCGATAGTCGTCTTGCGAGATACACGAACCGGAGACGCGTAGAATCATGCACGCCGCACGGAGCGGCGCTCATTAGGAACGCGTGTTATGCCACTATCACTCTTCAACGCGAGGACCATGTAGCATTCTGGCGCTCTATTAGGCTGCGAGATAATTGCACGTAGAAAAATGTCAATACGTACCAAAGTCAACTTGGTGGAGCTAGAACCGACTTGAAGTTTGATGTCTTCGCTGGGAATGTACCAGGATTGTCTCACAGTGCTCCACAAAGAGAGGTCCTTGCGCCGTAACGCGAAAGTTGCGGTACGAGTTTCGCCCGGGGCCAGAGCCTTCAGTTTGTCGAAGCCGCGCAGCCATATACCCGAACTACCGGGTAATGTGACATACTGCACGGAATTGAGTGGCGGGTCTTTGGAACGAATGGAGAAATGCTCACAAGTTGCGCTACCTCACAGGCAGTGGCGTTGCCGGTGTTTGTGATCTCTGCAGTCACCTCCACAACGGTGTCGTACAAGCTGTTGCTATCATTCGAGCCAATGAAAGGTTCATTCGTGGCTTGTACGGAGGTGTTGTCGGGTAGATGAGCGTCTCTGACGTTGATGTTGCTGTAATCGAATGTCGAATATGATAGGCCGAAGCCGAATTCAAATCGCGGGACGATATTCTTCGCGCTGAACCATCGGTAGTCAATCAAGGTAGATTCGTTGAAGTAAGATTGAGGGTCAACCACGCGATCGGAGACGATAGTGTGCGGGGGATATTCCTCTAAGGAGTGCCCTGTCGTGTAGGGCATTTTGCCGCTGGGGGAGACGTCTCCGAAGAGTACACTGGCGATGGCATCCCCGGCTTCCTGACCAGGGTAGTGTGCCTGGATCACCGCAGTGACATTCTCTAAATCGATCCAGTCCTCCACTAAGACAGGACCTCCGGCGCTACAACACGATGAGCATGACGTATGAGCATTAGCTGGTCATACGCACTGAATGACCACTATTGTATTGGAGTTATTCCGCGCTACAGTCTTGATCAGCTTTTCGCCGTTGTTGTCGCTACGAAGATGAAATCAGGCGGAACTGAGGAGATGTCTTTTACTTTCGAGCTTACAGATATAAATTGGGGCGATCCTTCCCTTCGGTCGCGTATGCACTCACAAAGACCAGAGCTACGTCGGCAACTTGAACCGTGCTGCCAATGGCATCATACGCGGTATCGTTGAAGATCGTGTAAACTTGGGAGTTCATTTTGCGGGCGCGGTAATTGATCGATTCGTACGGCGTCACCAGATACGGCGGGATAGCCCAGCCGGAGCCTCCCCCTAACGACAGCGTTCCATTCTGCAGCAGCCGTTAAGTGCAAAGCACGGCGACTAGCCTAAGAAAACAAGCTGCTCACAGGATTCCACGCCGGATATGAGTTTGTCCCGCCGCCATTGATGGCACTCAACATGTTGGGACCAGCATCGCTCCCAACTATCGACACAACTTTGGGTTTCTGTAGAGGAAGCGCCTTGTTGACGTTCTTCAGCAATGTCGCTGAGTCTTCGCCGATCTTCCTGATCAGATCCATTGTGGATTCCTTGCGGACATCCCTCCAATGAGCGTCATCCGTGACGAAAAATGTAGGAACAGCGTTGAAGGTGACATTGGGCAGCGGCGTATCGGCCTGGCCAAATGCAATCCAAGGAACCAAGGTGCGAAGGACCTGAGAACGGCATTTAGACGATGTGTGCCAACATGCAATGCACCCCGGACTCACGGCGTCGTTCACGCGGGATTCCGTCACGGACGAATTCTTTACATCAGCCAAGAGCGCATCACCGAACATGTTGCCGAACATTCCGCCGAAACCTGAGCCAGGCATCGACATATCAAGGCCGCCGTTGATGAACGCTGCGTCTCCCCAGTCACCACCCTTTTGTATGTTAGCCTGATTTTTGTAGTAAAACAAGGATGTGCCGTACCCAGTCCGACATGAGAGCACCTTGAAAGTTCAACTTGTTCATAGTGAGGATATGTCGCGCATGGGCACCGGCAGGCGTACCTCTCCCTTCAGCAGATTGTTATTCGTGTAAGCATTGGCGCATGAGTGGGTTCGATTGACCTCATTGTACGAGCTACGGCTCGGGTAAGCTTGTTGCAGGCGTAGAGCCGTCGGCTACGCACCACAGGACATAGCCGGTACCGGCCCGGACAGCCTCTGCAAAGCCCCACATGTAGAGCTCATGGGTGGCCTTGTTGTCGATGTTAGATGAGATAGGCTGTTGTTCGAGAGCGGGGAAGACAGAATAGGACTCCGTGAGATTGTACGGATCACTGTGTATGTTTGATCATGAGATGGGAACGCGATTAGCTGGATAAGAGGCTTACCGGTATGTGTCCTGCTCGTATCCAACCCAATGTTTGGCCGTGGTTAGGATTCCGGCATCTTGCATACCTTTGACTGTCAAATACGAAGCAGAACCAGTAACGTAAGGATCCGGCGAAAATCCCTCCCAATTGCTACGGACGTGGATGAATGCACCTTCAGCAAGGGGCCAAAATTCAGACATACCGACCGCCAAGGGGGCTGCGACCCAGCGGACCACCAGTCACAGGAGAGAGGGCGATGTTGACACCTCTGAGAATGGAACATGAACACCCATCGACAGTAAGCACAAGAGGCACCCACTGATCGTGGAATTCCTGCCCCATAGCGTAGCCGCGCTGGTAGATGAGATCCTTGTCCCAGGTTGCAGCCGTTGCTAAGCCGGAGGGGAACTGCGAGACGCCCAAGATCGGCCGTACTCCGGCTGGCCCGTCTTCCAAGCACAAAGCCGGCACCCCGAGACGCTCTACAGGAGCAGTTTGTCCAACGCATCGACCAGACTGGCCGGTTATGAGTTGCACCTTTTCCTCGAGCGTCATCTGGTCAACCAGGCTCTTCGCCCGAGCATACGCAGTAGACCACGAGGTTCCGCCAGTGGTATTAGCTACGTATTACGGTGAGAATACGAGTAACGGCGCGTAGTAAAATGTAAGCGCTCACGAGCCGGCCATGTCTCCGCGAAATTATCAGAGAGAGCCGACAGACCGCTCGCATCCCGTCCGTGGAACAGGGTGATTGCGGGTGTGACGAAGAGCGCGAGGGCTATGATGAGATGGGAGAATGTCGCCGCAAGCATTTCTGGCAGTCTCCTAGAGTCTGAGCCTACGGAAGAGGCATATCATCAGGGGTATTTATACTTGTCGGTACCGACCACGGCCTTTAATATCCTGCATGCGCCTGAGGTGAATGTTGGAAGTGCGGTGGTCCCCGACCCAGTACCGTGATGTGCTGATGCATGCTCGATGTCCACGGGACCGCGTGTTGCCGGATTGCCGCTGAATGTTCTTTTCTACCAGAGGGCAAGGCAGCGTCCTATCGCGCCTACAAGAAGCATGACGGTATCCCCGTCTCGGGTAAACAATCTTGCAACGCGTCGAAGGAGAACCAGGAGACACCCAGGTCCCCCCACTGCGGGGTTCGCACGGGCCGGTGGATCCGGACACATCGGGCGCCTGAATCAAGGGCTTGGCTGACGCCGATCCTGTACGGGAGCGAGATCGTTGCATCGTCGCCAAATCGTCGCTGCAGTTCCGTCGCGAACGCGGTTTGGCCCTTCCGGCTCAGGCCTTAGGATTCAGTGAGACAGGGAGCTTGCTTGGATCGGACATACTCATGCGGTGCCGAGTGTCCCGAAGGCGGATCGAATGCAGAAAGCCGCGAAAGCGGCGTTCCAGACCGTCAGGCATCAGCATTGGATGTTGGCCCTTGGGAGGCGATATGATGGATTGAAATAGAGAAGGCTCGTTTGAAGCCCGGGTAGGTAGATATCCATATTCCCACGCTCAGGACACGCGAATGGCCGGCTGAGCGGTGTGGCTGTGTGCCGCTCCATCCTTCACTCGGCGGCTCTCATGCAACCGTGGCTTACGGACGCTGCGGACAGGCAGCGGGAAACAGCTCTTGCTCTTTGCTCTCGTCTCGCAGGCGCGCACACGACTCTCGCTCACTGCAGGCCGAGCGTTGAATCTGAAGGCTCTCAGCGCCACAAAGTCATCGGCACAGACCAGCTCCCTGCCAGACCATGACCGGCAAGCTTTTGTGGCGTCAATTCAGCGTCCTGTTCTGGAAGAATTGGATTGTCCTCTCCAAGCACTCATGGGTAGGCCCTGGCGTGGATTCCCCGCCGACCCACCCCCTGATTCGACCCTGATTCGACCCTGATTCGATACATGATACAGCTGAACCTTGTACGGTGCTTCATCCTTCCCATCGGCTACGGCATCTTCTTGGCCGTCGCGCAAATCTTTCTCAGCAGGCCTAACAATGTGCGTGCGCCATAGTTCCATCTTTCCTTGCGACCTAATCCATACTCTACTGTAGTATGGCATCGGCGAGCCCACGCCAATACGAGACCTCCGCCGCGCTTACTCGGGTTCTACGCCTTTATGGTGGGCCGACGGGACAAATGGAACGGCGTCCCCGTCGCCACAGGATATAATGTCGCATATCACGCAAGGGCTTACACCTAAACAGTTACGGAACGTCAAGAAGGCGATGAACATTGATGACATACCTGGACACTGTCCACAGAATTTCAACGGCTTCAGCGAGTGTTTTGCGGCCATAGCGTTCAATCCCGTCGACAACACCATCACTGATACATCGGGGGGACGACCGGCGGCTACCAGCGCTCTTTCCTCGGCACGGCCGACGTCTACCCCTACCACGTCCCATCACGGCACTTTCAACGATACCATCATAGCCGTTCCTGGCACACGAGTAGCTTATACCATCATGGCCGATGCCGGACTGTTTCGGATCGACGTCAAGAAGCATACCAGTGACTTTGAAAAACGCATTCTACCTTTGCAATTAGCGGTCGATCAGGTATGTTCTATCAAACACTGCTGCAGGGCGGACGATTACAGCAGTCGATGCCATGTAGGCGATTATATCATTAAGCACAGGGGTTAATATCCCCAAACCACTCGAATGGCCTTTCACGCAGGAGACCAACAAGGAACAATTCACGAAGCTGCGCTTGAGTGAGTACTATAGGCTCTGTCAACCACAGCCATTTTAACTCCGTACTTCTTGCCCAGGTTACATCCGGGGTATTCGTACTCTGCTCGTACTCGCTCTGTGAGTGTTGTTTGATCAGAACCAACAATTTCACTCAGACGAACCAGATTTATATGTTATATAGGCATAGCCTACCAACTCCCAGGAGCATTCATGGGTGAAAGGGCTAACCTTCTCACCAGTCATCTCAAGGCGATGGGTTTGTATGACTCGGCTCGCATACTGTTCGTTCCTCAATCTAATTTCCTGGGAGTGTGAATTTCACACTTGTGGCATAGGTCTTGGCATCTCAGCCACTGCCTGGCTTATCTTCCGGCGTGGATTATTGTCGCACTTGTTTGGCATTTCCGCATCTTCACTGGCACACATGTCCTCCTGGTTCTCGCCGTGCACTTGCTCTTTGGCCTCTCACTCGCCTCTTACTCGCTCTTCCTAGCGACCCCGTTCGGGTCTTCCCCGCAGCTCGCAGCAGTCACGTCCACATTCCTCTCCATCGTGCTGGCTATAATTGCCCTGATCATACGTCGACCGGGCAATGGGGTTGCATTTATCTTCAGTGTCATATTCCCACCTGGATTCTACATCTTCGCTATCAAAGCGATCTGCGGATGGGAGAACGAGCAGATCCCGACCAACGCTTCGAAAGGAGATCCCGACGACGGGCTTCGACTCTTGCCCCTGATGATCGCTGCCTTGATTGATATCTTCCTCTGGCCGTGGTTGGCCGTGTTATTGGAAAGACACTTGTATGACCCCAAATCACCGTCAGCCAGGCGTTCTTGGTTCTCTAGGTTATTCGGCAAACGTGAAGGAATGATACCTCAGGACGTCAATGTGTCTCCTGATATAGCGATCTCAGTACGGAATCTGCACAAAAAGTATTTGCCAGGATGGTTCGGTCGCAAGCAAGCTGTGACTGCAGTCGAGGACCTATCCTTTGACGTGCCGAAGAACGGTATTTTCGTATTGTTAGGGTCTAACGGGTATGCCTTCCATTGCATACACACCTTGCGGCCATGATTTATGTCCATCCAGCGCCGGTAAATCGACCACGTTGTCCATTCTGGGCAATTTATTGGGCCGTACCTCCGGTTCCGTCACGTTTTCAGGAGGCGTTACCCGTCCGCCGCGCGGAACTCTTGGCATTGTCCCGCAGAAGAACGTCTTCTTCCCCGAGCTAAGTTGCTTGCAGAATATCCGGGTATGGCAGGCGGTGAAGCACAATGCATTGAACGGTGACGACAAGGAAGACATCGAGCAATTGTTGAGGGATTGTGACCTTGGCTTGAAGATCCATGCCAATGCAAGCACTCTATCCGGAGGACAGAAGCGAAAGTTGCAATTAGCAGCTGGGCTCGTCGGCGGATCTAATGGTGGATAGTCTTGTTTCTACCTGTATGCTCATACTGACATCCGCCAGTTGTCCTGGTTGATGAGGTAGTTTGACTTCGATGTCATGTCACGATGCGGTCTCTGACGCGCCGCCTGTTCAGTGCACTTCCGGGGTAGACCCGCTGTCGCGTCGGGCGTTATGGAGAATATTGACCTCGGTTCGCCATAATCGCACCATCATCTTTACTACGCACGTGAGTACACGCTTTAATTAAGTTCTGTGCTCACCTCACCTCGAAGTTCAGTTTTTGGATGAAGCCGACTTGCTTGGCGATCACATAGCCATCCTCGCCGCTCCGGGCAAGCTCGTCGCTCATGGCACTCCTGTGTCGCTCAAGACTACTCTTGGAGAGGGCTATATCCTCCAAGTCACCTTCAACGCAGCATCTCTGGACGATAAAGTGGTGCCGATACCACCCTTGGCTCTTGTCCAGGATCGCCTACGGACCGTCGCTCCGGACACCTATTACACCGTACAATCTCCGTCACAAGCAGCCTTCCATCTCAAGACGAAGGATCCCAGAACAGTTGAAGCTAGCTTGCGCATCCTCAGTGCCGACGCGCATGAATTCAGCGTTGTTTCTTACGACGTGCATGGAACCTCCATTGAAGATATTTTCCTCGGACTCATAGCCACAAACGACAAGACACTGACACTACCCGAGAAGAAGGTAGACACTGAAAAGAGCCAAACATCTTCGATACAGTCACTCCCACCAGACAATGCTACTACAGTGGCTCTTCAACTCACTACAGGGCGGCCCCGGTCCCCGTACAGCCAAGCGTTCACTATATTCCATAAGCGAGTCATGATTGCTCGACGTAGTTGGCTGACGCCAGCCTTGGCTATACTGGTTGCTATATGCGGCGCATGCATCCCGATCTTCTTCATTAGCAACCGTTCGAAGACTTGTGCGACGACTTTTCACTCATCCGAGGTCCTCCCGTTGTACTTCCCTATATCCCCTCTCACGTTTGTCAACACAAGACGGGGAAGTGATATCCTGGTAACCCCTCCGGGTATCGCTTCCGATCTCGGCGTTACGGCGGCCACTCTCAACATTTCGAACATACAAGATAACTCCACGTTTGTTAGCGACATACAACAGAATTTCCGGAATTTGAGCTTAGGAGGCGTATCCATCAACACGAACTCGTTGGAGTCACTTGTCGCATGGGAAGCGACAGCACCGGGATACACTGGTCCTACGATGCTAAATCTCGCAAGCAACGTTCTGTACAACCGGGCACTCAACCAATCGGGCTTTGCACTCACGTCAAGCATCATCAACGCAAACTTCCAATACTTCCCGCCTGTGGATGCTGGGACGCTCGTGGCATTAAAATGGGTGGCTTTCTTTGGTGCAGCAATGGTAAGCATAGATATGTCATCCATTCCTCCCAAGAGCTCATGAGTGTCAGTCTGTATATCCGGCCTTTTTCAGTTTGTATGTGTCCAGGGAGCGGAGATCTTCAGTCCAGGCGATGCAGCTCAGCAACGGTCTCAGTGACCCCATCGGCTTGTGGCTCGGCCACCTTCTATTTGACTCTATATTCTCTGTGTTTGCCGCTAGCATCATCATCGTCGTGTTTGGTACTGCTTCCGAGCAGTTCAGTGGTCTAGGCTTTTTCGTAAGCATCGCTACAAGTTCAGGAAGCCAGTGGCTGATCTGTCTCTGAAGTGGGTGGTCTTGGTATTGTACGGCATAGCTGGGACGCTATTTGCGTACTGCACCTCCCTCTTCGTGGCGACACCCCTGGCTTCATTCGCGGTAATGGCAGGGTATCAGATAATCATGTTCATAGTGCGTAAACATCGTGGTTCCCACTCTTCCTTTTGCCGCATGATTGACGACTCCGAAGCTTTACCTGGCGGCATACCTGCTCATTCTCACGTATGCAAAAACATCTAATGCAGACCGCGAGATGACAATAGTTCGTCAGTGCAACTCCCTTTCACCCCAGCTATATCTGATCTAAGCCTCATCGGCAGACTACACTCTATCGATGGCATCTCCTGTGGCGAGCGCGGTGTGTAAAACTCACTTATTCATTGACTGGGGAAAGTTCTGACATTTCTAACAGATGAGAGCTGCCTTCGTCTCTGTGAACCTGTTTTCGCTGTTATGCTCGGGTTCCGCGCCCGTCACCACAGCGTCCATGGGCACTATAGGACGTTACGGTGGTCCTATCCTCTATCTCTTTTGCTGGAGTTTCTTTCTCTTCGGAGTTCTGGTATGGATGGACTCGGGGTCTGTTCTGTCCAGAAAAGCGACAAGAGATATTTCTACAGCTGCGCCCGCTAACACAATCCCTCGTCCGGACGTTGAGGCAGAGGCAAAGGCTGTAGTTCATTCTGACGATGCGCTTCGTGTGCTGAATGTGAGCAAGTCATTCGGACCCAACAAGGTCCTTCATGACGTTACTTTGGGCGTATCTCGAGGCACGATTTTTGGTCTTCTTGGACCCAATGGCGCCGGCAAGACGTCTCTTTTCCGTCAGATATGTCAGTCTTCATGTTAATCCCGTCTCTGCATTCACTCATATGCCCGCAGGCGGAGACCTGACACCCGACCGTGGCAACATTCTCATCGAAAATACTTCTGTCGTTCGACACCCTCGCATTGCCCGATTGAACCTTGGCGTCTGCCCCCAATTTACCGCTATAGACCCTCAACTGACTGTACGGGAACATTTGGCGGTCTACGGAAGATTGAAGGGTTTGATGCGAGGGGCAGAACTGCATCACAACGTCGAGATCGTAATGCGTGCAACGACGCTGGACAACTATGCCGATCGCTTGGCTAGCACCCTTTCCGGCGGTAATCAGCGGAAACTGAGTTTGGCCATCTCTCTGATGGGTAATCCGTCTGTCGTGTTGATTGACGAGTTCTCGTCTGGCATCGACCCTCGCACCCGGCGAGACATGTGGAACACACTGAGGGCGGTGGCAACGGGTAAAGCAGTGGTAATAACGACACGTAAGTTACCATCATCAGCTTTGTCTCCAAAAAACCACAATAACGACTGTTGTGTACAGATTCGATGGAGGAAGCTGCCGCGCTGGCCAACAAAGTGGGGATCTTGGCTAAGCGTCTACTTGCGGTGGGCACGACCGATATCCTTGCTGCACGTTATGCCAACTATGAGGTCCACTTCACGTGCCGTACGGGTGAGGATGTGCGGCGTGCCCAGGAACTCATGCGGCGCATACCTGGTTCGCGCATGGCGGATGATGTTGCAACGCGATTCGAGGTTCCCATCGACCCCACCGATCGGCGTGGACTATCACTCGCAAGCCTATTTGGGATACTAGCGGAACACGGAGACTTCGCGGAATACACAGTGGAGAGACCGAGCCTGGAGAGCGTGTTTCTGAAGGTGATCAGGGAGGCCAATGTCGCGGAGGAGGATAGCACGCCGTCACGGCGCAGGCGATGGTGGCCTATACATCGTTAGGGATATCGGCATCATGCACTTACATCGTAGTATTGAAGGACAGTAGTCTGTGAGATGGCGCTCGCCTACGCGTAGTTATGTTGACGATGTTATGCTGATAATGTTCATCGCATATTCCTATTTTTGACAAACACGTTGAAGCCCGGGCGCTTTGGCCAGGCAGTCTCCCACACCACACTACAGTGCCAGCGTTCGGTTGCGCCCCTTCAACCTCACAATCCTCTACCTGAAGGCATTCGCTGCTGACTGTGTCTTATGAGATAGATTGACTGCCCTTTTCAACTCACTGGGCCCGCTTATAGATCACTTAGTCCGGTTTTGCTTTGGATACCCTGCACGCACCGGCTCTCCCTCCTTCCTGTGGCTAAACGCTCTCTGGCACGGCTAGAGTATTTGGCAGACTTGCGATGCCTAGAGAAGACAGCTTCAGTGATTCGGAAGGTCGTTCCTTGACGCCCGACTTGGAAGACGAGGTTGCCATGGAGCGCACAATCCAAGACGAGATGAGGAGGGATCCAACGCCCTTGTCTCGGGCCATGGCCGCATCGGAAGCCACATCTTCGACTCTCAACAACCTCATGGCCAATGCTCCTCGAGCCCCATCCACAACGTCAGCACCTTCCAACCTTGAGGTCCCCCGTCCTCAAAGACCCACTATCCGCATGCAAGGCAGTGCAGCGGAACGCTTCCGCTCTTCTGTGCGGAAGGTAATGCAAATGCGACGAACGTCCACCATGCTCACGCTGGGAAATGTTGGGGCAGAGCCGGGCATCGACCCCAAGCGCGCAGAAGCGGAACGACAGTATGGGCATATTCGTGAAGAGTGCACAATCGAGATTATAGACTACAACGGCGCGACGAGTTCGGTCGGAAAGCTAAACAACGAAGGGTTCGTGAAGATGATGAGTGACGCCGGCGCCTGTAAGCCTGAAGCATGGGTCAAGGTTAGTATCATCTTCAAGCCCCGTATGGTGTTACAGACTGAGTCCGTGCAGGTTCGATGGATCAATATCGGTGGCATTTCATGGGACGTCGTCAAAGCTCTAGCTATCCGTTACGATCTCCATCCCCTTGCTCTTGAAGATGTTCTACACCAGCGCGTTCAGGCACGTTCCAAGGCCGACTACTATATACAACACCTATTCCTCCGTGTCCTTTGTCATTCGCTGGCGGATCCATCCGACCGGGATGCGCAAGTCCACTCGGATCCGACCTTCTCGCCTCCATTCGAAGATCTGAACGGCGAGAGGGCTTTGTTCCCTAACAAACTCAGGTCCAGCTCGCCGACGCCACTGGAAGACGGTGTTGCAATAGATGAGGACCGAACCGCATACGGCGGTTCACGATTTTCCTCCATCAAGCGGGCCTCCATGCTCAGGGACAGGCGCAACGGCAACATTAAAGTGGACATCGAGAGAGCTCGGGCAGTCACCGAGAAGGGACCGATATCCGCGGGCTCTGCCAAGTCACCGCGGGTGGAAAGCGAGGCAGTTCGCAAACGCAGTGCGAACGCCAGGACTGTTGAAGCGCTCAAGCAGACAGGCTCCAAACAGCGCGTGCATGTGAAGATCCAGCCGATGTGTATCTTCCTCCTGCGGGACAACACAGTTATATCCATCCACCCCAATGCCGATCTTGAGTTCACACTCCCTATATCGCTCCGTCTCAGGCAGCCGCAAACCATCCTACGCACTTCCGCGGACGGTTCCTTCCTTGTACAGTCCCTCCTTGATTTGATCGTCGACAGAGCTTTGGAGGTTATAGACGAGTATCAGGCGAGGATCCTTGCGCTGGAGCACGACGTTCTGCTTAAACCCCGGATGGACACTGTCAAGTTCCTTCACATCCTTCAGGGAGATCTGATCCTACACAAGAGGACGATGGAGCCCATTAAGACCGTCGTCTATGGATTAAGAAGATACGACACCGACCGTTGCGCGGCGCTCGTGGCGGACGCAGAATTGGATATGGCGAAGATCAAGGGCTACATGAGCCACAAAGCGAAGATATACCTGGCTGACGTCAACGATCATATGGAGTACATCTTGACCAGCTTGGACATGTTCGCTGGCATTTCCGAGAACTTGATCAACTACACGTTCAACATGGCGTCGAACCAGATGAACGAGGTCATGCGACAACTGACGGTTGCGACCGTTATATTCCTGCCCTTGACTTTGCTGACAGGTTATTTCGTGCGTGTTTCATCGCCCTAGTGACAGCTCGACCGGTTGACCTCTGTTGGCAGGGAATGAATTTCGATCATATGTGGGCAATCAACCATGGTCACACGGACCTCGTGTATGTTGACCATGTAGGAATTATTGGCATTCGCTGACGACATCCTATGTAGGTTCTGGATCATAGCTTTGCCTATGATGGCCATCGTCGTTCCTCTCTTCATGCATGCCGACATATGGCGAGCATTGCGATCGTTTCAGAAACATATGATTGCCAAAGCGGCTGCCCAGGTGACCCCCTCTCGTTATCTCAGCTCGCGAAACAACGGGGACTAATTTGTCGTGACAGGGGGCGAATATCAGGATGCATTGATTATACCGTGCTGTTCCGTTTCATAATGCTTATTATCTGTCTGCTCTAGTCTATGGATTGCTGCTATCGGAAACCGAAGACATCATGACGAGCCCACGCGCTCATGCTACACGTATGATTGTACCACCACCTTCTCTTGTTTCGATCGTAACACTACGGCTACGTATTATATATATCATTTCCTAATCCCACGTTCTTTTCCGGACTTGGCGTCAATTCAGAGGCGGTAGAGTATCCGGAGGGTACATATTCGTGGCTTTGACCAGGATGAAATATCAAGCACAGCATACATGATTGTCAAAGTCTACGAGCCACAGAAAGGTTCTCATGACATATACGAACCGCCGATCATACTGTACCTAAGGGACGCTTAAATGTTTATAGTTTGAAACGCAGATCCTAAATTATATTTGGGAAAGAGCTTTCCGCTGATTGAACCTGGTATCTTGCTTACCTTGGCAGTTGTACGGGCGATCATACGTTTCTTGAAGTCTCTTGATGCACGTTGAATGTCCACCCAAAGGAATAGGGGAACTACTATGGCCATGACTGGCAGCGCTATGATCCAGAATCTGAGGACGCCGGCGTCGTCAAGACTGATCTGGAGGAGCTAGAATCGTGCCAACGCACATGACATCCGTGTGGTTGTGCTTGACAGTCCACATGTTCTGGAAATTCATGCCCTATCCACCTGGTCAGCATTCGACATGATGTACATTACGCGGTAGGCACGACGTACGAAATAGCCTGTCAGGAGCGTCAGGGGAAGGAACGTCACTGTTGCGACGGTTAATTGTCTCATGATCTCGTTCATCCGATTGCTGGCCATGTTGAAGGTATAGTTGATGAGGTTATCGGCAATCCCAGCAAACATGTCTAGGCTTGTCAAGATGTATTCCATATGATCATTAACGTCCGCAAGGTAGGTTTTTGCCTTATAGCTCATATACCCCTTGACATCCTTCGGGTCTTTCCCTTCCCACAGGGCGGCATACCGATCAACATCGTACCGCCTCAGGTAATAGACCAGCGTCTTGATTGGCTGCATCGTCCTCTTATGGAGGATCAGGTCACCTTGCAAGATGTGCAAGAACTTGACGGTGTCCATGTTGGGCACCAGCAGAACGTCCTGCTCGAGTGCCAGAATCCTCGCTTGATACTCGTCCACAATCTCCAGAGCCCGGTCGACGATGAGATCAAGAATGGACTGAACCAGGAAAGACCCATCCGCACTTGATCTCAGGATTGTCTGCGCTTGCCGTAGCCGTCGCGAGATGGGTAGGGTGAATTGTAGATCGGGGTTTGGATGGATGGAGATGACTGTTCCGTCTTGCATCAGGAACACGCATATAGGCTGTATCTTCACATCCACTCTCTGTCCAGAGCCCGTGCGTTTCAGTGCCTCGATAGTGTGCACGTTGAGGCTCCGGTCGCGCACGGCTTGGCTCTCCACCCGGGGACCTGCGGAAAGTGGACCTCGTTCGTTGAAATTACGAGCTTTCTCGACGTCGATGGGCGGTATTGCAAGCTTCACGCGGTCGCTGCGACGAAAGCTCAATGTTGACGTGCGTTTGCGCGGCGTATGAAGACGTGAACCCGACGTCGCTCCTATGTCGTTGGGAAACAAGTCAACGTGTACTGGCAGCACTCCACTTGGTAAACTAGACTGAAACTCGTTGGGGAGAACCCTGAGTTCTGCAGGTAAATCGTGTGCATGAGGGAAATTGATCTGGTCGTGTTCATGTGGCTCGCGGTCATTGGGACCCGCGAGAGAATGGCACAATACCCGTAAGAAAAGGTGCTGATTATAGTAGTCGGACTTGGAGCGAGAGTGCCTTGGAGTGTGCAGGACATCCTCCACCGCCAAGGGATGAAGGTTGTATCTGAGCGCCAGCGCTTTGATAACATCCCAAGACACACCACCTACATTGATCCATCGCACCTGCACATTGTAGTCAGACTCCACCGAGCGCAGAGAATTGAGGTGCTACCTTGACCCAGGGTTCCGGCTTGCTCTTCTGATCTTCGTGCATCAGTTGCACGAAATCGCCGTTGGTCATTCTCATGCCCTTGCTCGTCGTCCTGTTGAAATCTATAATCTCGATCGTGCACTCTTGCTGTATGTGACGGTATTGACGGTCCACATCATCCCGTTTAGGATCTACGCCGGGTTCGGCGCCTGCATTGCCCAAGCTCATGAAGGCGTACGTGCGACGCATCTGTATGATCTTCCTGGCGGTCGTTCGGAAGCGATCCGTAGCGCTACCGGTGGTCCGGACTGCAGGGCGTCGGATGTGACCTGGCCGGCTTTCCATGGTATCATGTCTGTCGGGTGCTGCATCGAGCAGGGGATTGGTAGATGTGCGTTGCGCGTGAACGTTTGGACGGCTGCCTTTCGTCGTAGAAGATCCGTCCAAGCCGCCGATACGGGTGGATGCGGCTTGACCGGCGGGGTCGTTGCCCTTGTGAATGATATCGTAGTTCTCGACCTCGTCTTCCAGGTCGGGAGTCAGTGAACGACCCTCGGAGTCACTGAAACTGTTCTCGCGCGGCATCCTGGACATTCAGTGAGTTTATCCAAGAGATGGTCAGAGAGAGTGCCCGAGACTCGGTAGTACGGTCGGGAAGGGCAGTGGTGCGGGACGGTCGCTCCCATGCTGATACGGTGAGGCAAGGGAATTGAGTTGGGCGAAAAGGGAGAAGCCGGTATCCGATGTGCATATATAGTACCACCACCCGCAGAGTACTGCATATAACCTGCTTAGGGCAGTTGCAGCCCTCGAGGTGACTGCGCACATTCGCGCAGTTCATATCAGAGCAAGCGCAAGTCCATAATCCAGCTGCAACCTGGTAGTAAGACCGCATTGATAATGTGGACAGCACTGAAGATACAGTACGACCGGTATAATCGCAGTGCGACTGCCAAAAGCAACGCGTGAATCTCGCCGTACTCAACTTGCAATGCAGCACGTGATACTAGGATAGTGTCCCCTATTGATACTCACTGCTACATTTGGCTTTGCATGATATGGGGAAGCAGGCACGAACAGACATCTATTGTCACATCCCATCGCGTTCATGCACACCGCCAAAACCCGGATAAATATTAAATGTGTAGACAGTGAAGACTCAAGGCAAATAATGAGGATGTGACATCGAGTAGGATGTAAGTATATGGATTTAGGGTAGAGCACATCATCGGTTGGTCCTTTGAGTTGCAGTGGGGAGAATTGTTGAACATGATAGACGGTTCACTGTCTTTTCTTTAAATCCTATGTGCGAGGTCAGTGATCACGGCTACCACCAGTAAGGAGAAAAACTGGTGCCTGGGCGGTGCTTCGCGCGATCATACGCGTCCTCAGGTCTCGTAGCCCCTGACGCAGATCCGACCACAGGAATGTGGGGACAACTATGACCATCATAGGAAGGGCGATGATCCAGAAGACCAGATCCGTATGGCCGTGCTTGATGGACCACATATTCTCGAAGTTCATCCCCTAACAAGGAGAGCCAGTCAATAAGATGTATGCCTCAGGAGGAGGAAGATGATATAGCGCACAAAGTAACCAGTCAACAACGTCAACGGCAAGAAAATCACCGTAGCTAGCGTCAACTGCCTCATGACCTCGTTCATCTGGTTGCTTGCCATGTTGAAAGTGTAGTTGATCAAGTTCTCTGATATACCGGCGAACATGTCCAAGCTCGTCAATATGTACTCCATGTGATCGTTCACGTCGGCAAGGTAAATCTTCGCCTTGTGGCTCATATAACCCCTGACGGCTTTTACATCCAGCTCCGGTTCGGCGATAAGTGCGGCGCAGCGGTCCACGTCATAGCGTCGCAGGCCGTACACGACAGTTTTGATCGGATCCATCGTCCTTCTATGGAGGATCAGGTCGCCTTGCAGGATATGCAGGAACTTGACCGTGTCCATATGGGGCTTCAGAAGTACGGCGTGTTCAAGCGAGAGTATCTTCGCCTGATACTCGTCTATAACCTCCAGAGCCCGATCGACGATCAAATCAAGCAACGATTGCACGAGGAAAGAGCCGTCCGCGCTCGTTCTTAACACAGTCTGCGGCTGACGCAGACGCATCGAGATGGGAAGAGTGAAATCGAGGTCCGGATTCGGGTGGATGGAGACGACCGTGTTATCCCGCAGCAGGAAGATGCACATAGGCTGGATCTTGACGTGAACGCGACTTTCGGACCCGCCCTCTTTTAGGGCTGCGACGGTCTTCGCATTGAGCGTTCTCTTGAGAGCCGCTTCGCTTTGAGGCCTCACAGAGGCTAAACCAGCTGATATCGGGCCCTTCTCTGTGACGGACCGCGCTCGTTCGATGTCCAGAGGTGGAGTGGCTATTCTCACGCTTGGCTTACGACGGTAGCTGAGTCTCGGTTCTCGGAGAGTAGAGTAGCGCGAGCCGCCGTACGACATCTTCTCATCCTCTGCGGAAGATGTCTCGTCGCCCATGCGGGTGGGTGAACTGGACCGAGGCTTATTGGGGAAAACCGGCCCGCTGGACTGGTCGGCGCCACGGGGGAAATACGACTGGCTATCGTCATGGGACTCGGGGTCGTCCGGACTAGCGAGGGAGTGGCATAGGACCCGGAGGAAGAGGTGGTTGAGGAAATAATCCGCCTTGGACCGCGAGTGGCGAGGGACGTGTAAGACATCCTCGAGAGCCAGAGGGTGCAGATTATACCGAATGGCTAATGCCTTGATAACGTCCCAGGAAATTCCACCGATGTTGATCCATCGAACCTGCGAACAGCTTCGTTCAGTATGCGAGAGGCATGCATGTGAGCGAAGATTCATACCTTGACCCACGGCTGAGGTTCGCTCGCCTTCGGGTCGCTCATCAGCTTGACGAACCCAGCGTTGTCCATCCTGCCCGCGCTACTGGTCGCACCGTTGTAGTCTATAATCTCGATGAAGCAATCCTGGCGGATGTGACCGAATTGTCTGTCCGCGTCCGCACGCTTAGGGTCGATACCGGGTTCGGCGCCGACGCCGCCCATCGCCAACATAGTCGAGGTGCGGTGCAGCCGCATAACTTTGTGGACGGTCGCTCTGAAGCGGTCCTTGGCGCTGCCATGAGTCTGGGGTACAGGCCGAGGCGGATGGGTAGAAACACGAAGGTTGGCGCGGGAGGCGCCACCAGCAGTGCCAGCAGCGGCCGAGGGTGCAGAAGCTACAGGGGAGGCTGGTGTGATCGTAGTGCGAGCAGTAGTCTCGGGGGCGTCCACGCCTAACAACTGCGGGGGAGATTGAGAAAGGTCGCGGTCGACCTGCTCTTGGAAGTTGCGCTCCAACTCCATGCCCTCTTCCAAGTCCGGGGTTAGAGAGCGGCCCTCGGAATCGCTGAAGCTATTCTCGCGAGGCATGTGCTGTGCGGGCCTGAGCCAACGAGTCTAGATTTATGTCTGCGCAACATGCAGTACGTCAGTGGACATGAAGCAAGGAGAGGGCAGACAGTGCGCACCACTAAAGCCGGGTCAGCGTTCGACGCAACGCGACGGATCCTATGTCAACGAAGGATGGGGACACAGGGGAAGGAGGGCACGGTCTGCGAGAATGCGACGAACTCGAGGTACATGAGTTCCCCTGAGCACGCTGATGAGCGCCCAAGAAGACGAGCGCGAGGCGATGGCGGGTTTGACGGAAGCAGTAGACTGAAATTCCCATTCACCGGGCCCGTGGGGCTGTCCAGCTCTCACCTACAGGGACGAGCGCAATATCCCGGCATAAGCCAGGACATCAGCAGGCCGCAGCGAGGTGCTCTCGTTGGACCCGGAGGAGGGGATTGCATATTCGGGGAACTTGTGGAGTCACAGTGGAGAACGATTGCGTTTGCCGATACAGTAAGTACTTGCGCGGAAACCCCGAGTTGCTTCAACTTGCTGATGGTTGATCTGGAACGCGGGCGAAGACACGACGCGCCCACGATCGCGTTCCTTGTCAATCTGAGATCCACTGCGCGTTCGACTTCTCTGACCGTCCCCTTCAATGCACGCCCCAACGTCCACAAAGGTACAGCGGCGTGAACGCTGGCCGAAAGCTAACTTCAGACCGGTTTCGCGTTACTCAGAAAACCCAGGCTCGCACCGATTCACTACTCCAAGAAATCGACGAGATGCGCGTTGCCCTCGGGTAAGGATAGAAAGGCGAAGCGCACAGACTGTTCCTCCGTTTATCTGGTCCCTGCTTTTTATCGATCGCGCTCGAAGCGAGGACCAAGACGCGGACGCAATCGTTTCCGCCCATATCAAGAGACTGCATCGCTATAACGAGGCCAAGGATGCTACGCAGGTAAGTGAAACCCGCATATATGCGTAAGGTTCTACATGTGCTCAAACCCCTCTGCATGCTCTGCCATAGATACTGATCGGTCGAGTATGCCAAGCTTCTCGATATCGTTGTCGAAACCTGTTCATAGGTTCTTCGTAGCTAGCGGTACTGAAGGACACCACAATCCGCAAAATCCACGAGGATTACGGTCTCGAAACGACGGAATAAGGCGAAACGGTACCCCCTAACCCAATCTTCAGCATTTTCTCGGCTCTCGCACTCCGGCTTACAATTCGCTGTCCTGGCTGGCGCTCGTTCCCGGGACGCCGGTTCTCGTACCGTGGCTGCGCTGGTCCTGAGGATACGTTTGAAGATCGGCCGCGTCATCCCGGAATAGTTCTCGGCAACCAGTGTTGTGTACAGTTATTATGACGCGTGATATACAGCACGACCGTTGTCACAACCGACGTACGGTAAAGCAGGAATAACGATATATAGAACGTACTTGCAGCAGTTACAACAGATAATTGAGGTCACCATCGGATCATTTGGAACTGTTAGGCATCAGACAGGCTAAGACTCTTTTCTGCCAGCGTGGGCAGGTCAACTCCACAGATCATGTAGAAAATTATATGGTGCTCGCCTCGTCAGCGCGTCAGCTGTGAGTCCTTCATTACACGACATCGACCTTTGCGCGCTTCGCCGACGTTTCTTGCTCGTCCGTGTCGGCGCTGTCAGCTGGTTCCCCTCCGGCCGCGCCGTGCTTTTCTGCAGTAGTAGCACCATCTGCTGCCTCCTCCTCGTCCTCTTCGTCGCGTGAGCGCTTGCGGCCTATCATGGGTGCCGCCACCGGCTTGGACGCAGTCTCAGGGTGGTATTCATCGTCCTCGTCATCGTCGCCTTCCGCGTCCGCTTCGTCTGGGGCCGGTCCTCCCTGCATATATGTCAGTACCGCTACACGAGCGAGGAGAGGTAGCCAACATGACCACCGATCAGCAGCGCGGTGAGACTCTGGCCAGGGAGAGGATTAGGGGATGGATAATGAACGTGCGCATTTCGGCAAGCAACGCACCGAGCCGCCTTCATTGCCGTCATCGGCTCCTTCAGCGGCGTTTTCGACTTCTTCTTCCTCCTCGTCTGCGTATCCGCCTTCCTCTTTCTCTTCCTCCTCCTGTAGACGAGTGTAGGTGAGGCGTGAACATGATCGCTCAAAGCCGTGGTGTTCCTGCGCGTTTGAAATGGTCGGTTGGCACCCACCTCGATGTCGTCGTACTCGTCGCTCTCTTCGCCTAGCTCCTCGAGAATCTGCTTGGGCGGCAAGGAATTGGCCTCTGCTTCCGGCATCGTTCACGCTGGCCCTCTGAATGCGAGCGACAGACAGGAAGGACAATGTCTTCCGACAGGCGTTACGGCGGAGGTATGCACGCACGGACCCGGGCCTGGACTGTTTACGGGTTCACACCGAGCTGGCCCTTCGCGAACGTTGCTGGCCGACGGATGGCGCTCACCGCTCACAGGGCCGTACAGCCACGGGACGCTACACCGCGACGACTGCCGTTGACGTCACCCGTGCAAAGCGCGTCGAACTTGAAGGGCAGAGCCGTCGTCTCTTCTGGCGGCCCGCGTACGTCGAACCCGAGGTGTTACCGAGTCATGGCCATACGTCTGGGCTAATCCGCATTTGGTTTGGGTCAGACAGGTCCACCGGAGTACGGAGCGTCGGCTCGGAGCTGGGACCAACGCATACATTCCGGCAGTGGCTATAACTTATAAGGGGATTCCCTGGATATGTCAGCGGCGCTCGGTATTGTATCCTTATCTACAGTGGCCTCCGACCGAGACAACTCCCTGGACGTCACTCGCGGCTGGATCAGACCTGCGCACGGAACGAGCCGAGCAACAGAGCATCTCACGTCGGAGACCTAGACCTCAGACCGGTCTCGAGGTTCTGACGGGGAATGCCAGCGATCAAGTATGGCCAGCCACACTGCTCAGCCGTCCACGTATGGCCAGACAGGGGATGCGCGTCGGAGGCTGTTTCATGACTCAACCTTGTTGACCGTCGTTGCGATGTCTCGGCTACTTTTGGTCGCGGAATCACAGGGCAGCTTGAAAGGCATACGCTGCCGTTTGGCACCCGGCCTGCATATCCAGAGCTGCCCGCGTTGAGAACGACGACGGGCGAGTAGTATCTAGTGGGCGACGATGTAGTTCGATAGCAACCGGTCCCACAGATTGCGGCCACCGATGTTACGTAGAGAATAATCAGTTGGTGGCGCGTCTCTGACGGCGGCGTTCGTATCAGACCTGCTCGCTTTCCTCTGAACCACAACCCAACGCCGCTCGTTCTCGTCACCGTCCCCCACGGCGTCCTCGCAGCCACCAGCCTCCGCCAGTCGTGGCCACGGGGCAGCACTGGCCTCGCACTTCGCCGTCGCGTGATTGGTCAGCAGCCTCGAGGCGTGCGGGCTCCCTTGAGGCTCGTGCCCGACCCGTTCGCCCTGCGCGTCTAATCAGCCGTCCATTACGTTCTCGTTGCTCGTCTGACCACCTCCGTCGTCCTCGCACCCCGCCTTTCCAACCATCTCCGCCATCGCCCGTCGTTTCCCCGCCTCACCCCGCACCCACCTTCCTCGTCGCTCTCCGTGTCTCCCAGCTGAACAGCCCGACATAGAACATCGTACCCATCGCCCTTTCAGTCGATAGCCTCTCACAAACCACGATGCCTACCGCGGTGCAGAAATCGTCCCGCCGCGCGCCCTTGCGCATGGACGCCCAGGACGGCCCATGGAGCGTCAGTGTAGCCGACAATCCGTACGACAAGGGCTCGTACAACATCTACATCAAAAGTAAGCCGACCCGCGCTCGCTCCCTCTTACGTCTTCTGATGGCGTGCGTGCAGCGCCCACGCACAACCTGACCCTCACCCGTTCCGCATCCGAGATCGTCGAGCTGCACCACAAGCTCGTGGACGCGAACCCTGCCAGCGCCTTGCCCGCCCTGCCACTCGACCTCTCCTCCGTCGCGTTGCCGCCCAAGCGCAAGTCCACCTTCCTCAACACCCTCTCCCGCCTCGCATCTCCCGCAGGCAAGTCTACCGCGCGCCATCCGTCAGGGCGGCGACCCCCGTCTCCCATGCGCTCACCTTCCGCCGAGCTCCGCGACCCGTTCACCGACGTGTCTTCGTCGGCAGCGGCTCGCAAAGAAGCCGCGAGTACCGTCTCCAGTTCATCGATGGCTAGCCCGGGCACGAGTAGCCTAGCTTCGTACCTTACCGTCGTCGCCAACGACGGGGCTCTCCGGTCCACCCGCCCGTGGAAACGGTTCTTCCGCGTCCGGACGGACGATTTGGAGAGTGTCCGGGTCGAGCGTGCCATCAAGCGCGTCCGCTCCGATCTTGCGGCGCATATAAGCCCGAAATCTCCCAAAGGCTCGTACCCGGACCAGTCGCAGGACGGCGTCATCAGCCTCAACGAGGCAGAAAGTATCGCTTGGAGCGAGAACGAGCCGCCCGCGGAAGAGAAAGAAGAGAAGCTTGCAGAGGCAGTTCCGGACGGCCATGCCGGTCAAGACGACCAGCCACACGCCGCCGAGAGCGTGGAGGCCGTCGAGGATGTCCGGCCTTCGTCGCCGGTGTCTGTCAGGACGACTCGCACTGCTCGCTCTACACCGGCGGTGCCAGTAGAAGCGAGTGCCGAGCCTGCTGCAGCGTCCATCCTCGACAACACTGTCGACGATGAGGCTAACGGAACCTCTACGCCCGTTTCTCATGAGCCAGATGGGCATGTGCCTCGCATCCCCCGGTCTATGTCCGCCGAGCAGACCAAGAACTCGCGTCTGTCTCGCGCCTTCTCGTCTCCAACCTCGACGTCGAACGCGACGCCGTCCGAGACCGGGGACGAGTATGAGTCCTCCATTTCTACTTCGACCGCCCGTCGCAAGAAGAAACGCGCCCGCTCCACTGACCCGAACAAGCTTCGGGAACCGAAGAAATCGACGCGCAAGGTGACGGTCAACGACTTTGAGATGCTCCGCGTGCTCGGCAAGGGCTGTGCGGGCAAGGTACTCCTCGTACGGCACAAGCAGAGCGCCGACCTATACGCGCTCAAGGCGATCACGAAGCGCCACGTGCTCGCCCACCAAGAGCTGCAGCACACGCTGACCGAGCAGGCGGTGCTCAAGCGGATGGCCGCGGACGGGACGGATCCCTTTGTTGTAAAGCTGTGGTGGAGTTTCCACGACAGGGAAAACCTGTTCCTCGTGATGGATTTCCACCCTGGCGGCGATCTCGCCACGCAGCTCGCGCGCTGGGGCAGGCTGGGCCGCGACCGCGCGCGGTTCTACGCCGCCGAGATCGTCGAAGGTGTCGAAGGACTGCATGCCGCGGGCGTCATCTACCGCGACCTGAAGCCGGAGAACGTGCTCATCGGCGCTGACGGGCACATCGTGCTAACCGACTTTGGGCTCTCGAAGGAATTTCCACGCCGAACGAATGCTATCACGGCGCCTCCCACGCCATCTGGAAGTCGCGGCGACTTCTACTCTGCGACGGATCCATCGCCGGACGCAAACGTGCCAGCGTGGATGAAGACTGGCAAACCTGGAGATCTCAGCGGCTGGTCCGGACCGGTTGGTCAGCAGGATACTACCAGCACTTTTTGCGGCACGGCGGAGTATCTGGCTCCGGAAGTGATCCAGGGCTTGCCGTACAGTTACGAAGTTGACTGGTGGAGCTTTGGCACGATGCTCTACGAGATGCTGACCGGCATTGTAAGCACCGCCGTGTCGTCTGTCCTGGCGCTGGCTAACCGACGTGTAACAGACACCGTTCTGGGCTAACAACCACGCGGACATGTATGTCCGCGTGCTCCAGGACGAATTGCAATTTCCTGATGATAGAACAATGGATCAAGATACCAAGAGCCTTATACGTGGGGTATGCGGCGCGTGCATGACACCGCAGGATCCAGCATTAACGGTCTTCTACAGCTCTTGCAACGAAACCCTGCCCTTCGTCTTTGCGAACCTCGCATCAAGAAGCATCCGTATTTCTCTATGATGTGAGTTGAGTTGTAGGCGATTGCTCAATTTTGCTCTTATGCCCTTCACAGAGACTGGTCTCATGTTTACTACAAGCGCTATATACGTGAGTAGTTCTGGGCAAACACACTTGTCGTTCGCAGAAGTATTAACCTTCCGCCAGCTCCCTATATTCCTCCCATCGATCCTTCGAACGCGGGCGATACTCAGAACTTCGATGATACATTCCTGGACATGGCTCCAGTCGTCAATGATCCTAATGACCAAGATAACGCGACGGACACTGATCGGGAGGAGACCACCGATACGGATCGCACCGATGGAGAGGACTCGGTTCAGACGCCGCTTCAGTCCCGAAGTCCGTCCGTGCAGCCCGTTGCGGATGACACCGTCGATGTCTTCGATGGCTATTCCTTTAAGGGCCGTCACTCTGTCCTCCTCGACGACGATGAACCGGATTCGTCTGAGCAAGAGACTGACGAGGAGGAGGAGCGGAGATCCGAGACGCCAAGCCACACCGTCGAAGATAAAACTCCAGTGGTGCCTACTGCGGAAACCGTCACTCCTGAGACGGCGGTGGAAGTGATCGTGGAGGACGTGCCCACCGAGGAAGAACCGAAGACCCCGGAGGCACGCAAGGCGCCATTACCGGAGGTTGAAGCACCCGCTGCACCTAGCACACCCGTCGAAGAATCCCCGAAAGCTGCTGATGTCGTCCCAGAGCCTACGAAACAGGCGGAAGCGGTGCCCGCTCCGCGGCCGTCCAAGGAAGTTCGAATCGCCGAGCCTTCGAAGGCAGAGGCGCCTCCCAAGGAACCAAGTGTCGATGAGAAAGAATCGCTGGATACGGTTCCGCCCATGCAGAAGCCACCGGTGTCGCGGCAACCCACGCGACAAATACGTGGACGCAAGGAAAAGTCCGGCATACCGGCTCTGGATCGTTACTTGTCGGAAGACGAAGGTGGTGTCACCGAGCTTGAGGATGACGACTGGGACTTCGTCGAAGCAGCTGGCGAGGAAGAACGAAATGGATCGAGAGGAACGACACTCTTCGCTCGGGGTGTCGTCGACCGATACAAACTCTCGGTATTCCGCAAAGGCCCTGCATCGACACCGCAAAAGATGACCTCTCGATCGGTATCAACCGTTACGACGGCGTCAGAGCTCCTTGGTTCGGACATCGCCGATTCTCCTTCGCCATTGTCCAAGAAGCAACGGGGAAGGACTCCGCTCGCTTTTCGCCGAGCTCCCAAGGAGTTCTTGCGCGCCAAATCTCCGCCTACATCGTTCTCCCCCAAGTCTCGTGGCTCGTCCAAGATTTTGAACAAGTCCAGCTCTGCGGCGCTATCGGCCTCGTCTACTTCCAGCGCTAACATTTTGACGCCTTCCACGTCCATGGCAAGCAGCACGCCTCCGACGACGGCTCCGTCATTGAGGACAAAGCAATCAATCGCTTCTGTGGGCACCACCCCGAGCATGTCCTCGAGTGACAGTCAAGGGGCGAATGGAGACGATCATAGCCCGACGCCGCCCGACAAGACGCCAGGAGAGGACAGACCGAAGAACAACAAGAACGTTTTGAAGAAGTACAAGGAGGCTTCGGAGAAAGTACTCTCCCTTTTCGCATCCCCACGCCAACCATGACCTATCGGTGCGAACTCTCCAGCCAAATAGCCCTCGTCATCATGTGTATGAAAAAACGACCATGCATCTCTCTACTCCCATATCCTACACACACCCTCCTTTACTCGTGCCGTTGTCACTTCTTTCGATTATTCGAACTACGCCTGAATATTGCATCGTGCTGTTTTTGTGGATATAACTCTAGTCCGTGCCGCATTCCCACTTTCCTTAACACCCAATGTTTTACCTAGCAATTATCTCATGCACCGAGCCGGTACGACATACCTAATCCTTTCAAATGATGCCTGCTATTGCTCTCCTTCGCTATGTTACAGACCAGAAGATACCAAACAATACAAATTCATAGACAATGTCCAGCATATCAAGACTTGAGCACGACCTCCACACAGAATACCGTTAGACCCAAAAAGAATCAGGCCCACATTAGTTGAGATCATTAAGGCTCTCGCGCAAGTGTTTCACTCGAAGTTCGACGAGGTCGAGAGTGGTGTGGATATCTGCGAGTTCGTCACGCCAGTCGCCGGGAGCTCGTGCTGCCTGTGGAGACGCCGCGTTGGGGCTCGACTGCAGTTCCTCCCAGAGTGCGGTGACAACGCCGTGGATCCATTTTTCGCGTTCTTCCACCTTGCTCCGTTCCTTCCGCCTCCCGACATCTTCTCGTTTTCCGACTATCGTCAATGTCCAAACATTGCTGATGACTAAGGCGACGATGATGATATATAGAAGGGTGGTGCCGGAAGCGTTATCCCACGCGTCCTTTAGAATCTCGAGCGCGCCCTCGGTCGATTGTTTCGCCACTTTCATCGCACCCTCGAAGGTATCGTACGCCCACTGCAGGCTACGCTGTCCTCGTTCGTGATCCCGTTCCTTGCGCACGTCCGCGGCCGACAAGGAACGCTGAGACTCGATTTCTTCGGCCCTGGCTTCAGCTTCCGAAGCTACGACGGCCGCGGCATCCACACCCTCAGGAATGAACTCGGACTGGTGCTCGGCGATATATCGTCTGACAGCTTTTTCTAGATCAGCGTGGTAGGTTTTCTGTCCGTCAATGCATGACCTCTCGATGATCCCTTGGTGAACGTTAGGGATCTGACCTGTGCGGGTTCTATGATTACAGGACGCACCTTTAATGAAGCTACGCCCAGTCCACTCGACCTGACTCGTGACCACGATCTTTGAGGAGACGGCACTCGCCCACATGATGCAAGTGCGCGTCTTCACGGAGAACACCGTACCACTAGGCACCTCAGGAGTCCTTGTCGTGGTGATCGTCGAGATGTAATCGTCGAAGTCGATGTGTTCATTCTCATCGCGAAGCTCGCAACGGGTTTGCTTCGGTCCAATGCTTCCGTTGAGTGGCTTGATGTAGGACATGTTCCGGGCGAGCAGCTTCGGATTATTGGGTAACGGCGTCCAGTCGGATATTTGGAGGTCTGTAACATCGCCATGTATAAGCTAACGCGAAAGCATGAGCGTACTCGAAGCTTACCCATCAACATCTGTTCATTCATCATGAATTCTTTGATGAATCCACTTGCGAACAACAGGTTGTAGATCTTCTCAGGCGTGCCCGGGAGGATGGCCTCCATCGCCGTCTCCGAATAATGCTTTCCATCTCTACCGCACGCGCATCGCGTCGCCTTTCTTGCACCGACGCTTGCGCCCTGGGCCGGGGCAGCTGCGCCAATTATAGACTCCTCGAGCGACGGTCGGCCCGATCCTCCAAACGACGATTCATCAGGCCGGGCGAGGCGCCACACATTGTACAGGACGTCGAAGGTGGTGTCACGGCTGAGGAAGGAGGCGAAATTATACTTCTGGGAGGGTGTGGATATCTGAATGGCATTGGGGATGACGAAGGCCGTCATTTTCTTTTCAAGCTGGGTCACCTCGTACATAGGGATGAGAAGCTGAGAACGGGACATGAGCGGGATGACACGACACCAAAGAAGCATGACTCACGTCCGTGATCCATCCAAAGATATTCGCATGGAAGCAAATGTGGTTTTCTGATATGTACATTCGGCCTTGTATTAGAATTTCGCGCTGCAATGCGCAACCATAATCTAGGGGAGACGGGTCAGAATTGCCGACTGGGACAGAGAGACTACGCACCTTCAATGAGGTAGTCGCCCTCGGGTATACCGGGAAAGAGCTCATGAAAATCTGCGTTGCGCTTACTGCTTGCCACAGCGAAACCGGTGACGGGTATATCATCCGGGTCGAGGTCCAACTCATCGTCACTCAATTCGCTTCCTGATTCCGAGTCTGAATCCTTGACTTCGACGCCTTCCTCTGACCGAGGTTCGCTCATCGAAATCGACGTCTGCCTCGAGCGTGAAGCCGTGCCATTCGGCAGCCCGGGAGCCGAACCAACACGCGTACGCTTCGGTAACGCGGGAGGCGACGTCTGCATGGGCAGTGTCATTCCCGGCATCGAAGGCACCGCCGTGGACGCGGGATTAACCATGGCCAGACCAGAAGCCGCGATCGCCGAAGCCAGCCCCGTCGGCTTTTTCCCCGATCTGGGAGGCGAGGCGCCGGAGGTGGTCGCAGACCGGCGCCATGGGCGGCTCTTCTTGCCCGTCGTCGCAGAAATGATGGAAACCGCATCCGCATCTTTGGGTCCAGCGCTGAGGAACCCACTGCTACTGCCATGACTAGAAAGCGTAGAATGGTTGCTCATAGACGGTCCTATGCCTGCCTCGGGGCCGAAGAACTCCTGACGGATGGCGGTGGGCGATTCGACAATGGGAGACATGACGCCGGAATGGCTCCCTGAGGCGTCCTCGCGGTCAGAAGCGGACAGAGAACCGATGCTTCGGCGGGGGCTGACGGCCGAGTCAGTGGACGCACGGCCATGACGAGAGCTGGAGTTCGCCGCATGCGAAGCGGTAGATTTCGTGGAGCCAGAGCGTGCCATGCCGTTGGGGACTAGGATGGTATCTGAGGGCTCATCGGCGACCGAATTGCGTCGCGAGCGCGAGCCGCCGCCAAAGAAAGAGCGCAGGTTGCTGGCGGAGGATGATCGCTGGATCTGCGGATGTTGCGCGGTGTAGGCCTCGAGGTGAGGCTGGGGTTTGTCGGGGGTTGGCGTGGGGAGCTCATCCTGGTATGAAGGAGTTCGAGGCGACCTCGCAGGCGGCTTCGCCTGGTCGGCTTGCGAGCCGTTGGAGGGAAGCTGCAAGTCCGAAGTAGTTTGGCGGTCGCTCCTCGGGGAGGGTGGAATGACCGTGACCTGTGGATTGTCCTCGTCTTCAGAAGATGGGTCGACTACGATCCGGCTGATGCTTCGGCCGCCGGCGTCGACGGAGGACGTTGGAGTGTGTCCTTGAGATCGGTTGGGTGACGGTTGCCTAGACCGCCCATTGCTGCTCGGCGAGGCTTTGACGAGCTTGGTCAAGAAGTTGGAGGGCATACCCGAGGTCCGCGTGAGGACGTTGATTCGCGCTTTGCGAGGCCGGGTTAACTGGGGGCGCGGGTGGGAGACAAGTCGAGAACGGCTGAGAAGAGGAAGGGAGAAAAGTAGGGTATATGTTAAGGAGAGAGAGTCTAGGTCGTCAACGTCGTAACGGGCAGCGGGGGCAAGAGGAGGCGGAACGATGTCGAGTGAGCCGGTGACGATATGGTGAAGTGGCTGTGTACGACCCTGGGTCCATGACTTGCGCCGGCGTACGAGTCGGTACGACGGCTTCGGGAAGATCGCTCGCAATTACTACTCTGGATATGCAAGGTACTACGAATACATTACTGAACGCTCCGACTATAAACACGGATCAGGCAGTCTAAGCCTGCACGCTCGAATATTCTGCGATCAAGGCCTGCAACGCGCCGTCAGACAAACGCCCTGGGCCAAGATCGGGACAAATCGTACCTTGAGCTGAGCGGGCACAGCGCCGACGGTCTCCTTGACCTTCTGACCGCTCTTGAAGACGGCAAAGGTGGGCATCTGAGCGAGGAACACGATGGTCAGCCCCGTGGCATACGTCCGAAAGCACGCGGACACTCACAGCCCGAACGCCGACCTCTTGCGCGATGTCCGGCTGCTCGTCGACATCCACCTTGTAGAACTCGACGTCTCCGAAATGCTCGGATAGCTGCTCAAATACGGGCGAGATGATCCTGCAGGGGCCGCACCAAGTCGCCCAGAAGTCTATTACGACGGGGGTGTCCTTGGAGATCTACGAGAGAAAGGTGGGTGAGCGAAGACGAGAGGCAAGGCGGGGGGACACCGACCAGCTCCTTGAACTGCGCGAGGGAAGTGACGGGGGTAACCTTGCCTCCCATGTTGGCGCTGGATTATGCGAGTGGGATTGTGCGAGTGGGATGGGCGGTTTGGAAGTGTTCTGCATCGAGCACATCAGGCGCAGATCGTTCTTATAGCGGCCCGATGAGATATCGCGCTCGTCATTCGGCCACGTGATTGCCCACAGCTATGACAAAACATTACACTGGCGACACGGACTCGGAAATACATGGTCGCCGCTCTCGGACTTGCTGCACACGCGCATGTGTGCGCAGCGCGGAAGGACCGAGTGGGATTGGGAATCGCCCAGAACATGCAGGCAATATTGCAATGCTACCGTAGCCAGAACCGCGCGAGCCTGCCAGGTGAGATGCGCCTCCATCTCAAGCCTTAGATCAGCCACACAGCACTGCTTCTGTCGTGCACCATGTCAGCTTTGATCGTGGTCGACGTGCAGTATGACTTCATCTCCGGCAGCTTGGCTGTGAAAGGCGCAGAGGACATCCTTCCAGTAATATACGACCTCCTAGACAAGCATGACTGGGACCTCGTCGTGGCCAGTCAGGTGCGCAATATCACCCCCTCGATAGACACGGAGAAGTATCCCGCCGATCCATCCGAATATCCAGGATTTCCACCCGAGCGGTCATGTCTCCTTCGCTTCAACCCATGGCCTCTCTCCCTTCCAGCCGATCGAAATTCCCCACCCAATAACTGGAGGATTGCATGCTCAGGCTGCCGCGACGGGATCGGATACGCAAGCACAGACGATCACTCAGATGCTCTGGCCTGATCATTGTGTGCAGGGCACGAGAGTGAGCGGTGCCTGCGGATTGTAGTTTTCCGCATCAGTATACGATTGAACTTGGGACATAGGGCTGTGATCTCGAGGACGGTCTCCGGGCTCGTCTCGGTGGACTCGGAGACAAGGTGCACATCGTTCAGAAGGTCAATGCGTTCGTTATATCCGGACATGTGCATGATCCTTCTACATCTCGCACAGGGTAACCACCCACAAATCGACGGCTATTCGGCGTTCGCGATGAACCACTACGTGCAGTTCACCGCGCTGCCCCAGATCCTCTTCTCACACGGCATTACACGATTGACCATCGTCGGTCTTGCGACCGATTATTGTGTTCGAGCTACGGTTGGCATCTACGTGATGGGCGAAGAAACTTGGATAGCTGATTTGACGCTTGGCATAGGCCATAGATGCTCGCAAATTCCATTTCGACGTGGACGTGGTTCGAGACGGCGTGAGAGGCGTCGATATATCGAGCGAAGAGTCGGTATTAAGGGAACTCGAGCAATGGGGATGCAAGATTATCTGATACATATTTATCGCCTCGTTCATGAGACTTTCATGTTGTATAAATGAGCAGGATGTGTCATAACGATACATGGGTGTGCAATCTGTGTTGGAGCAACCTTTGTTCCAGCTCAGGAGGCTACGCGTGGACCTTTCGCCCGCGGATTAGTACAGGGAAAAATACCGTGATAGCTACACTGCTGATAGTCAATGTCCTCCGTCATGGGGTCGTGTGCATTGTTTCCGACGACGTTGAAACATCACCAGATTGCTCCGCTTGGGCTTGGGCTTGCGTTACAACGTCGATCAGCCCAGATAACCTGAGTATAGATGCGACGGTCGCATGCTCGTCTTTGCTCGCTGTGTCAGATGGATCGCCGGTGTAGTTAAGCAGGTCGTCCATGCGGAGAACCGACGAAGGCGCACTCCGGGCGTCGGGCGCCGCTTGGGATGCTGGCAACCGCTTGGAGAATGAAGGCTCTGGTAAAGGTGTTCCCACGTGTTCCGTAGGCGTTCCTGGGCTTGGTGTGTGTCGGGGCGGACTGCATGGAGGACTGTGATGTCTGTCGTCGGACGCTTCCGCTTGCGTACGCAGTGGCAGGTCGTTCTGGGGGCGCGTCTCTTCGGTGTCCGTGTCGCCTGACTCCACTGCGGCAGAGGTCGGGGGGGATTCATCGCGTGACGACCGCAGGCTGGAAACGGGGGGCGAGTACAGAGGCTGACGCTCGTACGATACGGAGGAGGCGGGTACCGTTTGGTAGCCCGTATATGATGGCATGTATTGGTATCCCCAGCTTGCGTTGGGTGGGGCCGCACCTGGCGCGTACTGTCCTGGTATATACGGCGTCATGCCGCCTGGGTAAACGGGAATGTACTGCGTTGGGACAAGTACGCTCATGCTCGAGCCTAACGCCGTCGTGTGTGAAGCTTGATCTTCCTGACTCTCACCGTTCCATCCATCAGTGGATGAGTCCGCCGCATGTGACGCCGACCCATCCTGTGAACGACCCATAGCAGACGGTGGTTGAGGTTGTGGCGGCTGCCGAGCAACGCGTTTCAATGGTCCATAACCTTCATCGCCCCCATCAGAGTCGAGGGAGCTCGACGAGGAGTTGAATTCTTTGTGTATCTTCTTGTGTTGAAGGAGATTGTCGTGACGGGAAAAGAACTTGCCACACGAAGGTAATGGACATTTAAACGCTGTAAGAACGCGTCAGCAGGGACACCGTCAGGAAGTGGGTTTGCTACTCGCGTTTCTCATACGTGTGTATACTGCGGATATGCCGCTTCAGGTGCTCGCCACGACTGAAACATTTCCCGCATCCATCGACTTGACAGGTGTACATTCGGGGAGTGAGGCTCGATGATACCTCTCCATCGCCGTCTTCCGAAGTGAACGACGCCTCTGGTTGGACTGGTACGCGCCGCCCGCGCGACTTCTTGATCAAGTTCGGCACCGGTACAGGCGGTGCGGCTCGCCGCCGCGGATGCCTTTGAGGCCCGGTGAAACGTGGCGCGTCGGGATCGGTTGGGCTTGCAGCACCTGAGCCTGTATCCATGATAGAAGAGACAGACGGAAGAGGTGCATCTGCAGATGACTGGCCGGACGAGACAGCTTTCTTGGCCGCACGTTTCCGCGCAAAGGGATCCGGGGGGTTGATGTCGCTGAAGTCGATCACGAGGTCGGTCCTGAAGAGCTTTACGCGAGCGCCCGTCTGCGAGCGAGTCACCGGGCGACGAGACGGAGAGGTCCCGGACGCATCAGCGGCCGATTTAGAGACCGCCGTGGACGAGGACGCTGCTTCAGCTGGCGGCTCATGGTTTTCGGTCGTGTGGCGCGACAGCTCAGTCGGAGGTATGGTGAGCAGTGTGCTCGACTGAGACTAGCGGAATGAGGAATATGGTTCAGCAACAACACACAAGAACTGACCAGACTGGGATTGAGGGCGGTAAGTGCTGGGTCGATTTCAACCGGAGGTGTGGCCATCGTGAAGTCTAAGATAGGGGCAGCGTAGATTCACGTTAGATGAAATTGGACATGTCCTGCCTGCGATGCTCAAGTCGCTTCTTACATTCGTATGCAAGATCAGGGCAGGTTCAGCCGGAGTTCAGTACGTTCAGTCGGCGCGCGACAACGTAGATCAGATTGCACGACGATCGTTTCGCCCGAGGACAAGCGGAGGTGTTCACTGGTGTGTTCGAGCCCCTGACCAACACGGGAGCAAATTTCCTGCCAGTGAAGCTGTGACGTCTGCCGCACGTGACATGCGCTCGATGGGGGAAGACCTTCCCACAGTCTCTTTTCAGCCCGCACCTTCGAGTCGCCAGATTTGGATCCCACCCGCTCCTCGTGCGCCCACTATGCATCTCATGTACACGCTGGACGGCGACGGCAACCGGATATACACACTGAAGGTACCGCGGGCGTCCGTCCCTGCTTTGCCCTTGTCCGTTCGCTGATCTCACTACAGAAAGTAACGGCGAGCGGCAAAATCACGAAGTCAGCGCATCCTGGTATGCACTGTCCATTCATGCAGCCCCCGTTGCGAGATGTTGAACATCCTCGTGTCTCGTCAAGCCCGGTTTTCGCCCGATGACAAGTTCTCGCGACACCGCGTCACTATCAAAAAGCGCTTTGGGATTCTGCTCACCCAACTCCCCAGCAAGCCCATGTGAGCTTTAATCCGGATGTTAGGATGACGAAGGCGAGAGGGCTGCCAATTTCCCTCTTGTAAATGAGGGATATCACACTGGGATGCATCATATTGTCCGACGATGGCAAGTTGCTGACTACTGCTTGCTTTTTGTTACCTATGCGAGTAATATATGCAACCATTGCTCGGGTTGTCTCGATCAGGGTTTGCGATGATATATATACGCTGATTCCATCACATGGGTCGTCATTACAACTACATCCAGCCACTAAGCCTCTCAAGATGTTTCAAATACAAAATACAAGTTCACAGTGAAGACGGATGGGATGAAGCAACTCCGCCACATTATGCTCAGGCCCACTTGGCTACATCGTCGGCCGTGGGGCCGACGGGATCTGCGCTTGCGGCGAGGTTGCATTGGTGGAATGCGCGCACCTGATCCTTCTTGAACGCGCCTACCACAGTATGCAGCAATCCGCGATTGTGGAATAGCACCAAATCCTTCTCACGCCAGTCGTGAGGGTAGACCAGCTGGAAGAAGATCGCGACCATGAGCATTCGCAAGGTGACAGCTGCGCGACTGCCTACCGGAGGCGCAATTCCCGGCCGCTGCATCTTGTAAAGCAATTCTCGCACTTCCTTCAAGTCTTTCAGATGTGCTCCATCGGGGTATAGGGCGCCTTCCCTCTTTGCGGAAGCCGGGAGCGGATCGACGATGATCTCAGCTGCACCACATGGGTGAACTTGGAAGGATAGTTCGCCAGTTAGAGGGTTCTTCCATAGCTGCGGTGGGAAAGCATCGTTCAGCCCATCGTTCAGGCAATGATGCAAGGAGATTACTGACGATAGGCAATGTCTTAATCTTGGATTCCTCCCAAGGCGGTAATTCCTCGTAGGGTAGCTCCAACCCCTCGGCCTCGATACCGAGACCGGTAGGTAACGCATGTGCAGGTGCCATCCACACATATGGGTGCGGTGCGTATTTGACTTTGGCGCGGACTGCAACCGACTTCAGCTCCGGCTGCGGACCAAGGTCAACACCTGTATCGTTTCGCTATCTCACTATCTTACCGGCAAGATATTGAACATTGTCTGTCCGCTCACGAACGCCGTCGTTCCCAACGGCACCGCTAGCTCGTCTCCGGTACCGTCATCGTACCTGCACGTCTGTTCCGTGCCGTGCGGAACCCTAATCGCATATAACGTCGTCACCTTCGGCGGGCTGAGGTCGTACAGTGCAGCGTCGATGTGCCAGCGATAAAAGCGCGTGATTCCCTTCTCCTCGTCCTCCGGAGAAACACGAGTCTTATGGAAGGTCGTGTGCGTAGGATGTTTCAACATGGCCTCTGCCAGGCCCTCGTGGTTGTATACGGTGCCATTGCCAATGAGTTGCACCTGAGGTACGCGCGGAATAGTCTTGAGGTCAGGGTGCAAGATGGACTTCTTCGTCTCTCCTGTCTTGTTGTTACCGTGCCCGTAGGCTTCGGAATCAGGATCGAATGCCTGTAGAGCGTCGTTTAATATTGGCAGAATTATATGGGATAAATGACCCACCTTGGTCAACGCGTACTGTTGCTCCGGCGTCATGTGGACATCTCGGAAGAGTAGAATGTCGTGCTTCGCGCACAAAACCCATATAAGTCCGGCGTTTACTTCACAAACGTAACTGCCTACCTTGTATAGAGCCTCCTCGATCTCTTTCGCTTGCTCGGGCGTCATGTTTCCAGGATCAACGCCCTTGACTTCACGGCCCATCTGCTGGAACTTTGAGGCATCCGCAGAAGCGGGGATGGGGATAGGGATGAGCTCGATGGCCATTTGCGCGGCGTGTGATTTTATCGGGACGACTATGGGAAGAGTACGAGACGTATGTCACTGGCGAAGTGAGCGATGTAGAGCAGAGGACTATGAGCTTATATACTACGCCCGGTCTCGAATGCTCCGGAGCAGGAGATAACAACGTAATATAGCAGCTGTCGGATCTAGCCGAGAGGTCACGTACTTTATTTGATTGGGGCTCCAATTTGGCAAAGCTGCAGCATGGTTCGGCAGGGGCGCCGAGGCTTGTGGACTCCTACAAGGCTTTGGCAGGAGTTTGGCAGGAGTTTGTTGACCATGTTGCAACGAGTGGATACGTCGTGCAGTGGAATTGAGGAACCGTTAGACAACGTGCTCAAGAGAGCCGGAATTTGATGAAACGCGGTTCACCCATATGCACGCAATAGCATCAAGGTGCATTCGGCCGTGTCTTGGACAACCCACGACAGAAAATCGGCCGAACGTAATGATGTTAACGAGGGGCCACGTTGTCGCTCGTGTTTCGTCCAGGGCGAGCACATGCAGTTCGGCGCTCAGCATGGAACTGGGAAGTGCGAAGTTCCGAGGCGATCGTAGGAATTGTCATGGGTGAGCCAAAACTCACCGCCTCACGGAGCATCACTGGTACCAGTCTGCAGGGGAGCAATGCGTCAAGAATGACGGGATCCACATGGCCATAGCACTCGCAGCCCGCGAAAGATCATCTTGGTAGTATGATTCTCGGCGGTCTGCGTTCAGTTATTATCCGGTACGCGGTGTTAGCCATATTACACGCGCGTGGTCGTCGGGAGGTCCGTTTGCCGATATTAGTATTCTGATCAAGGGCTACATACGAGCTGGTACTAATTGAGGGTGACCGCCACAGCACCGTAGATTATGTTATAGAAATCCAAGCACTTGTAGATGCACTACTGCACAAACGAGGGAGGGTCAAGTTACATGTTTCGGGCAGTGAGCTGCACTTACAGGGCATCTAGTACGCAAGAATTAGGCACCGGCGACCACGGCCGCATAAGACGGACCATGATTCTCGTCCTCATCGGGATTAACATATTCCCATGGTTCGTCGAGTTCGAAAAGGTCCGGTTCATCGTCAAGCGCGATGACGGCGCGCACATGAGGCACAACTTCGAAGTTTGAATCTGAGGATATGAATGAGACACAGGACGGGGTCAATGTTATGGTCCAAACCCTTTGCTTTGCGCCCCCGGCCGTGTCCCCGATTCCGTCCCGGTTTGAAGACGGTAAGTTCGCCCAGAGTCACTTCTTTCCGTCCTGACTTACCCGCGCGCTCCTCGTCGCCAGTGCTGCGGCCAACCTGAAGCACATCCGCTTTCAACTTCCGCATAGGATCGATAACGTCCTCGCTTCCACTCCGAATATCCTTCACGTTTCTCCTTCCCTTGAAGCCTGTGTCCTGTGCCATCTTCTCCCCTATAGCTTTCTCCTTGTGCTCCTTGGCAAGCTCGAACTCCCTAGCCTTCTTGACGCGCTGCCTTTCAATCTCGTAGGCCCTTACAGCCTTACTGCCGGAAGAACTAAAGGATAGTGATAGCATAGTGGGTCGGAATGACCCCGAAATGATTCGGGGCGAGCTGGGCTTCGACCCGGAGATATCAGCCGGAAATCTGGTGGATTCCGGCTCGGAAGGAGAGGTCATCAAGTAGTCGGCCATGTCTCAGGACGTAAGGCGTGGCTCGATGGGCAGAATTGGGAGCTGGGAGATAGAAGAGAATGTACGTTGAGAGGAGGGAAGAAGATCCTCGGTATGGGATAGGCTGTTTGTCCGTCGTCACTGCGAGTCAGTTCGTCATAAAAGCCGAGATAAGGCGAAGTAGCGCGCTGGCATAGCATAAGACAAGTCTAAACCCTAACCCTATGCACCACTACTAATTCAGCTAGCAAGGAAGGATAAGAGGTATAGATGGACTCCTCCACACCGTGCTTGATGTAGAGTGCAGGAATATCCTGACTGCCATGAATGAATGAGTGCCGAATTTCCAGAGAAGAAGCAGTGAACCATCGGAAGGCACCCAGGACCATTGAGCCGCACCGACGGATACATGAACAAAAACTCCAGTGCCAGAGCAGCATTTATTGGTGAAGTCAAGCATGTAGGTAGGCCAAGTATTTGAACGTATTGAAGAGCAAGCAGCGACGCAACTTTGAGACACCACTTCATCGAGTACCGACGCCAAGATTCACGGGACCTGGAATTGGCCAGCAAGAGAGAATGGCAAAGATGAGCTTTGGGTATCCTTGGTTCGTCAACACAGTCACGGTAGGGCGTCACTGAGAAGCAGCGTTCTATCAGCTCCAGTATCAGGATGACATTCTGTCCTTTCCTTTCGACAATCAACGTTGATTAGAGAGGGACGCATTCGAGGGACGCGGAAGCATTCTGAGAGCAACAGGGAGGTTGTACGAGAACCGGAGGGAGCTGATGTAAGAATACGTGGTCTGGGTGTGTAACCAACGGGATAAGTAGCAAAGCAGAAGGTATAAGTTCGTTGACGAGTTGGCGCGAATAAGGTTCGTCCAATTCGGTGGTCGGACTTTCAAATTAAGCAAATTCTGGGCTGTCGAAGATTACTATACTTATTGTTAGTACAGTACCGTTTATGACGATGTCACTGTCCTGCAAATTCTTTCCAAGCTGATATAAGCAATTGACGTTCGAACGAACTTCTGCTGCATCCCGGAATTGACGTTGATACTCGGCCAGCTACTGGACGCCATATGACCTCAGTCAGTGGCTTCAACTGAATGTGATGCAAAGCGCGGAGCACCGTGGCGGACAGTCAGCTGTCGCTACTTCATCTTCTACGATGCCTGCTAGCACACTTCGTAGTGCAACTTGACCGCTCCTGCCGGGCGCGGAAGCAGGGAACGAGTTAGATATGGGTCATCTGCCGTCTCAGTTCCATAAACAGCTTGGACTTCCTCGACATATGCTTGCGCAGTGCCATTTCAAGCAGCCGTCGGCCTTTCGATAGTGGCACGAAGACGCGACATTACCGAATGTCAACTCATGGAAACCGTATAAAGCGTCAACATGAAACTTAGCACCATCACTATCGCAGATAGCTAGCGCTCCCTACCATACGATGATGAGGCGGTTCATCCTTTTCACCCTCCTGGCTGGGTTCACCCCGTTCACGAACTCTGCAATGGCCATGGCGTCGATCAGCAACCCGCCTCATACGGGCAGGTCTACGCCAGTTGCTTCTCGTGAGTATCCTCGCCCGACCGTGTATGGCTGGCCTGAAACTTACTATATGTTCATCAGCCAACGCCAACGGCGGAGTTGCTTGGAAAGCCGCCTTTGCTCGTGCTAAAAGCCTCGCGTCGAAGATGACTGTAAGCGAGAAGGCCACAGTCATAACAGGTCAACCTGGCCGGTGCGAGGGCAATACGGGCCCAGTGGAACGCTTAGGAGTTCCTTCGCTTTGCTTGGAGGATGGACCCGCGGGCGCTCGGCCCATCATCGGTTCCTCCCAGTTTTCTGCAGGCGTAGCCACTGCGGCGACATGGGATAGAGACCTCATGTATCAACGTGGTCACGCAATGGGGCAGGAGTTCCATGACCAGTACGTGACGATCGGTCAAGCACTATCAAATCTCATACTCTGCGCAGAGGAATCCATGTCGCACTCTCGCCGGTCACCGGTGGTCCTCTTGGTAGAAGCCCGCGCGGGGGACGGTTTGTGTCTTTTTATCGATTCGATTCAACCATCACGTCTCATTATTGTCTACGTCCTAGTAACTGGGAAGGTTTTTTTGCTGATCCGTATGGCACCGGTGTCGCTGCATATATGACCGTGAAAGGGATGTTAGATGGCGGCGTCATCACGACGGCGAAACATTGGATTGGATACGAACAAGAGACATACCGGTGCCGTAGTTTATCATCCATATATCGGGTTACGTGACAAACCATCCGTCAGCGATCCGTACAATTCGACCGAGGCATATGCAGTATTTCCAGCCAACGAGCAGTCCCCCATCTCGTCCAATATCGACGACGCGGCAACACACCAGCTTTACATGTGGGGATTTGCTGAAGCGGTTCGCGCAGGCACCGGCTTTGTGATGTGGTCAGTATCGGTCACACCATCTGACTTCGTTGATTCACCTAAGAACGTGCCGAACCAGCTCTTACAACGAGATCAACCAGACTCATTCATGCTCCGATCGACACTCTATGAGTAATCTGCTCAAAGGCGAAGTGAGATCTCCACTGCTTGTACCTCTTTGGATCATGTACTCATATATGACCAGCTAAATTTTCAAGGGGCCATTATGTCTGATTGGGTACGCCTGATTACCTAGAGATCAAGTTGCAGTGATCATGCATTTGCTACTGCTAGGGAGCAACTTGGGGCACATCACCCTTTATCAACGCGGGCTTGGATGTTACGATGCCCGGATTCGGCCTAGGAGGAAGCACGATGTGGGGACCGGCATTGACGGCAGCCGTCAGCAATGGCTCGGTATCGATGTCGCGGCTGGACGATGCAGTTCGTGGATGAATTTTTTTCTTTTTGTCATCCGATGCTCATTACAATAGGTCGTCCGTGTTCTAACGCCATGGATCGCCTTTGGGGATGCAGATCATCCTCCGCCGCCTGTGACCTGGAACGCATTTCCTGGCTCATTCAACGTCGAAAACGCATCTTGGCATGACGTCCGTAAAGCACAAACTGCGGACCTCATTCGCCAGATCGGGGAGGATTCAACCACGTTGCTGAAAAACACCAATGGTGCTCTCCCTTTGTCTCAGCCTAAAGTTATTGCTATCATCGGCAGCGATGCTGGCCCAAACACCCTCAGCGCGCTTAATGGTGGTGGTGAAAATAGATACCCCCCGTGGGATGTAGTAGGTCTTTACCGTGTCTGAAGTGGGGGCGCTATGAATTGACATGCATAGAACGGCGCCCTTTCTTTGGGCGGGGGGTCAGGCTGGGCAATTCCACCTTACTTGGTTACACCGTATGAGTCTATCGCGTATAGAGCACGAAGATTAGGATCGCAGGTGTATTCCGTCTTCAACGATACCGCCTATGATGATATCGCCGCGACGGTTCAAACCGCGGATACCGCGCTGGTGTTCGTCAGCGCCTATGCCACCGAGGGAATGGATCGTGCGAATCTGTTACTGTCAGTGTTTCATAGCATATACAACCACGCACACGCGCTCATTTGTATACAGTGATCACAATGGCGAGGAGCTTATCAAGACAGTGGCCAGGAACAATTCCAATACTATAGTAGTGATTCAGTACGTGCATCTGCAGTGACCATGACCTCACCGAGCTGACAGCTGATATCGGTCGCAGTGCCGGCGGCCCAGTCGTTGTCGAAGATTGGTTTGCTCTGGAGAACATCACGGCCGTGATCCAAGCACACTATCCCGGTCAAGAAGCCGGCGATTCCATTACAAGTGTTCTGTTTGGTGACGTCGTGCCGAGCGGCAAGCTTCCCTTCACCACTGGGCGTTCCTTGGACGATTACCCCCCTAATACTATCGTTTCGGATCCCGTCCTATTCCCTCAAGCCAATTTCACAGAGTCGACGCTCATTGATTACCGCTGGTTCAGCGCAAAGGGAATCAATCCTCGCTTCGAATTTGGGTTCGGTTTGTCATATTCGACTTTCGTCTACGAGAACATTCGCGTTCAAGATGTGCATCACACGGACAACACCTCCATCCAGCGTACCAACGAGCCATTCGAAGGATCGGATGACTCGAATAGCTTGTACGATATAATCGCTCAGGTAACTGCGCAAGTTACGAATACTGGCAATGTCACAGCCAGCGAGGTAGCGCAGCTGGTGCGTCAGAGAGCTCCTATCTAGCGTTAAAACGACTGAGAATTTGCTAGTATGCAACCTTCCCAGATAGCCCCGGTGTATGGCTTAGGGGGTTCGACAAACTGAAATCCATCCCGCCGGGCGGAACGGCTACAGCAACTTTCGCATTGCGTAGAAAGGATTTGTCCCAGTGGAGCGTTGAGAAACAGACTTGGTATATTCCCGAGGGTGCCATCAAACTCGAAGTTGGCGCCAGTTCCACCAAGTTATACCTCGTGCGCCTAGTTCTTGAGCTCCAACAACTCGAGCTGATGCATGGTTTCCAGACAACGTCTTGGTCTCATTCAGGGTAATCTAGATGATATGACGCGAAAATGATCGACGATATCCTTTCGTAGTGTACTGAGACCAGAGGGTGTCGGGTGACTTCAAATGCCACAACTATTGGCGGCGTCGAACAAATGACTTTGCTGCGTACAGACTATGAGTTTGTGCTTTCGCAATCTATCACATTATACATGGCAGCTCTTCAACCCACTCAGTATTGCCAGACGTCATATATTCGTATACCTGGTCCACGACCTTGAGAAATGTACCGGGAGCAATGTGGTTTATCTAACCCCAGGTTAGGGGCCTATGGTGGCGATGCCGCCATCTTTGCAGATCCGTGGTCTCTCCCTTCCACAGCGGACCCTGCAGCAAAGATGGCGCCAGTCAAGAAAGATTCATCTTCCTCACAGGCAAAATCCCCACACATGAAGAAGGTTAAAGGGGAAAACTTCTATAGAAATGCGAAACAGGCTGCCAGGGTCAAGATGCTGAACGGCGGAAAACCCGTTCGAGACCGGGACGGCAAGATCATACAGGCTGCCGCATTTCAGAAAGGGGAGGACGAAACAACCCCTGGGCGAGTTCAACCAGATCGGAGATGGTTTGGTGAGTGAAGCGGAATTCGCGGCCTTAGGATGATCGAGTCTGACTTCAGTCGCAGGTAATACTAGGGTCATCTCACAAACGGCCTTGGACCACTTTCGTACAGGCTTGGGCAACAAGAAGCATGATCCTTACTCTGTGCTCCTGCGCCGTAACAAACTGCCTATGGCACTATTAGACGACGCCGCGAATCCCAATTTGCGCAAGGTGTGCCAGTTGATGGCTCTCCCTACCGTGGTTTCATAGACGAATTTTTCTAGCGTTCACACATTGTCGAGACCGAGCCATTTGGCGAAACATTCGGCCCAAAGGCTCAGCGCAAGAAGGCTCGCATAGAAGTTGGTACCTTCGAGGAACTGGGAAAGCTCGGAGCAGCGGCAGCGGAGGAGGCTGAACTCAGAGGAGACACCATCGTCGGACCTTCAAGTACGTGGATCCGTGGACTTCGAAACTTTACACGAAACTTACCAATTCGAAAGGCTCTGCCATGCCGAAACCGGATGCACCCACCCATGCGGACATCATAGAGCCCATTTATGCCAAGGGAACCTCGCGCCGCATTTACGGCGAGCTTTACAAAGTCATCGATTCCTCTGACGTGGTACTGCATATCCTCGACGCTCGCGATCCTTTGGGCACAATGTGCGAGTCCGTCCTCGAATACATCCGCAAGGAAAAGGCGCACAAGCAAGTCGTACTTGTTATCAACAAGTGTGATCTCGTTCCGGGGTGGGTGACGCAGCGTTATATTCAACATCTGACGCCTCGCTACCCAACACTCGCATTTCACGCCTCCCCGAACCACGCGTTTGGTAAAGGAGCCCTTATTCAACTCCTCCGACAATTTTCCCAGCTCCACTCCGACAAGAAACAAATTTCAGTCGGTTTCGTCGGTTATCCCAACGTAGGAAAGAGCAGCGTGATCAATACCCTGAAGAGCGGCAAGGTGTGCAACGTGGCTCCTGTTCCGGGGGAGACTAAGGTACGTTGAGAGGTTGTTCGTTCAAGCAGTCTACTGAAGGACCTATAGGTCTGGCAATACATCACCCTCACGCGTAAGATATACCTCATAGACTGCCCGGGAATCGTTCCTACTTCCGCTCACGACTCGCAAACGGCCACCGTGCTCAAGGGCGTCGTTCGCGTTGAAGCGCTTGCCACCCCCTCAGAACATATTCCGTCGCTATTAGAGCGAGTCAAGCCGATATATCTCGCACGCACGTATGGTGTTCCACTCCCCGATGAGCAAAAGCCAAGCAAGACTTGGGATGCCGAGGTCCTCTTGGACAAGCTGGCGCGGATGAAGGGTCGCCTACTAAAAGGCGGCGAGCCCGATATGGATGGCGTCGCGAAGATTATTCTGAGTGATTGGGTTCGTGGACGGATACCGTTCTTTGTCCCGCCCCCGGAGCGCACGGAGGAGCTAAATCTTCGAGAGGCAAAAGAAAAAGCCAAGGCTACTCGCAAATCCCTCCCTCGCGAGAATAACAAGGCGGTGACGGAGGACGAGAAGACTATCGTCGGTCCAAAGCAAAATCTTGGCAGTATCATCCAGAAGAATGTGTTCATCCCTGAGGATGTTCGGCCTATCGAGCAGGATGCCCAAGTCACTGTGGACTCTGGGGACGAGGAAGCAAACGCTGGGGAAAGGAGCACCGACGATGCAAGTGAAGAGGATGATGAGGAAGAGCTTGATGATGAGGAAGATGAATTTACTGGTTTGTCGTGGGGCGATGTGTTCCCCGAAAGTAAAGATGAGGGAGATGCTTCGTTTGAGCCGTCTTCGTCTGGCGAAGGCGAGTTAGCGGCTATTGAAGAAGCGTCAACCTCGGTGTCTCAACAAAATATCAAAAATCCGCGCATGAAAACGAACAAGGTATTTGGAAAGATCCACGTTAGCAGGAGAACGCTGACCGGATCTGTCGTAGCGAAAAGCGAGCAACTTCTACACCGATGCAAACATCAAAAACAAAAACCGCGAGAAGGCGAAGACGATGAGGTCGCTGCAGACGAAGCGGAAAACCGGAAGATAGCTGCTCATTTCATATGATGCTGTATGCAGATTAGACAGATGCTTCCCGTAATTGCATGATTATACCCAGTGACGGAGTCTATGATAGGATAAACGACTAGACTACTAGCTCCCCTTCCACGGCCTCTGGGTGAAGGGCCAACCGCTCCAGCACGATATCATAACGGTCACGATGCTTGCGTTTCAAATACTTAAGTATTTTTGCTCGCTTGTGCACAAGCTCGCGCAAGCTCCGTCTGTTGCGGATATCTTTCTTATACCGTGTCAAGTGCGACCAGAGGTTACGTATTTGCAGGGTCAGGAGCGCGGCTAAAGGTGGCGATCAGTAATGAAAACAGTCCAGAAGAGGGCAACAAACCTTGTACTTCTGGCCTCCCTGTATCTTGGGGTTTCTCAGGCTCAGAAAAGGCAGCAATTATCCTCCTCCTGTTCTCGTAGGCTATGCCACCAGCATTCGCATTCCTCAAGTCCATAACCTTCCCAAGCATGTTGGCTTTATGTACTTCCTGGTTGAGCGCCGCCGGGAGAGCTGCCACATAATGAGAAGTGTACAGGGATTGTTGCGTTTGGTATTGTTCCGCTCGGGATTGCGCCGTGAGAGCAGGCAGAATGCGGACGAGCTCTTCCTGCTGTGCGCCGGAGACACCGTAATTGAGATGCGGAGGCAACTTGACGGTGTCTACGTTGGGTAGGTCGAATTTGTACTCTTCTCCAAATCCATCCTCGGGAGCGGCCTGCGTAACGCGAGAGTGACGGGGAGGCGTGCTGGTCGACACCGCTTCGACATCCTTTGAAGTAATAATGATTTTTGCGAGATCGCAGTGGGCCCACAGCGTTTCCTCCTCCCCGGGACGAGTCCCTAGAACGACATGGGGTCGTCTCTCGGCATCGAGACGTTGGCGTTCGGCCTTGAGTTCGGTGTTGGAGCGTCTTATTGCGCGAGCCTTCTGCTTCGTTTTGTTCAGGCCAGCGCGCACAATTGAGGACGTGTGAAACGCGGATGTCGATGACTGCCCTCCTGAGACGATGGCACGGGCCACTGTCAGAGCAAAGTAAGGGCTGGAAGTACATGGGGTTCGCAATTCTCAAGGGCAACGTACGAGCCGCGCGCAACATGGTGGCAATAAGGCTTGGCTGGAGTTTCAAGCCTGCTGTTCCACTCCGGAATCGAGCGTTATTATGCTGCAAGCAACACGGCGCTGGCAGGAGCAAGGGAACACGAGCAAACACCTGGGTATACTCCGAGCCAACGCCCGAGAGTCGCGACGCCGAGGAGGCGTGGGAAAAGCGTTGGCATATAAAATCTCAAATTTCGCATCTATGCTCTTTGAGAGAATGCCACGCTGCACGGCGAAGACACAACCGTCGAAAGTCAGTGCCAGTGACCCCCTGGGGCCATTGACTCTCCGAGATCATTCGCAGGCTAGGAAGTGTCGCGGCCTACACCTCGGAGGGCCCGGCATGTCGATTTTTTCCTGGAACATCATTACGGGTGTGCTGTCCGGTTCATGTATAGTCGGTCTGTTACGAGTGTTATCATCAAGCTCTACTACTATACATGCACTTGTGTACGATTGTTAGAGGTCGCAATGATGAAACACGACAATCAAGAATCGTGCGGTACGTGGTTAGGGACAAACTAGATTGTAGCAGTGTATTATAGGTGAGTGACAGGTCTGCGCATTGCAGCTTCAGCGATCCCAGCCATGAGAAACGTGACGAAGATCGTACATACGGACAGACGATGTGTGGTTATCGGATGCAGGATGCGCGAGAACAATGACAACCCAAACAAAGGGATAGAGGAATGCTTTACGCGTCGTCCGTCATGATAGCGAAGAATTCTTGCTCGTTTATCTCGCCATCTTGGTCAAGGTCGAATTCGTCGATCATGGCTTGACTGTTGACAATGTCGGTCATCACTACCGCGGGATGATGAACGAACCAGACGTACAGTTCGTCATCCTCCAGCCGGTCGCCGATCTCCTTGGCTACACGTCTCAAATTCCGCAATGAAATTTTACCCGTGTTATCATCGTCGAAGAGCTGGAATGCACGTCTTATCTCCTCCATGGGGTCACGGGCAAGTATGTGCTCTGACACTGTTGCAGCACCGTCAGTTCATGACCTCGAACCTGGCGGCCCTCAGAGTCGGGGCAGAGCGACGAGTAACAGAATGTTTTACTCACTAACTTTCGCGAAGTCCTCGAACTCCATCAGACCATGGCCTGATTTATCGTGATCTCGCAGTATCTTCAACACTTCCGCCTTCTTGCGGTCAAAACCCAGAGCACGCATAGCAACCTTCAGTTCATGATAGTCGATCGCGCCGTCTTTGTCCTACAAGCACAAGCATGTCAGCCTTCTGAATCACGACATAGTTCGCGTCATATGGAGCAGATGGGCGCGCTCTCGGAGCTTCAAAGTGAACGAAGTCGGTTCGCTGGTGCTATGTGCGCGTTGAGAAGCACTACGTACGGTATCAAAGAGCTCGAATGCCTCCTTGATTTCCTGCTTCTGTTCGTCAGAGAGCTCGGGCCGCTGGTGAGTGCGGCGTTTGGCTTTTTGCGCAGCAGAGGCCGAGTACATGATCGTTCTTCGTTCGTGGAGGATGAGGTCAAATGCCTGCGAGAAACCGAAACGCGCTACACAGGCGGATGGGCACGTGCGACGTGTTTAGCGCGTGGCCCGCGGGGCTCGACGACTCAGGCTCTGACTCGGCTCAAGAACTCTGAGATGACGCGGAACTTCTCGGTCCTCTATTGTTCTGTCGACGGCGTAAATGGCCCTCTCCACATTCTGTACCGCTTGGTCAAGCTGAATCGGACATGATTTTCACTAGTCGATCACGGAACGAGCGCTCCCTCAATGCTTTACGCGTCCCCGGTGAGATGAAAACACGGGGGCGTTTGAGCTGCCAACATGATGTCAACCACATATGTAACGCGCGCACAACCGGCGCTGTTACCTGCTGCATGCAGCCTCTAGGCCGCCGCAGTCCCTTATTATGCTTGCGCTGAAATGAATTCCCGCCGCGCCGTCACTGTAACCGACCGGCACTCGGACGCGGCGTATAGCTGTCTTCACTCTCAGAGTCACGAAAGGTGATGTGCTACACCAACCTTGCATCCGGATGAATAGAAACTCGAATAACCCCATCAGACTGTAATATAATCTCTATTCTCGTCTCACAACAACGATGTGCGTCCCGTCGGGATGATGGGATGGGAACACACGTTGATCCGGCGCTTCGATGCCATGGTTTGAAATCCTCCCACGGTGAGTCTAAGCAATAATGATGGCGCCGCTTTCCGGCGAAGCTCCGTCAGGCTCGGTACGTTTCACCTCGCATACAAATAGAGGCACGGTGTCGTCGAGATGGCTCTCTCTGCAGCCCGTCAGCTCCCTCTTGCAGTGTTCGACGCAAGATGGGCTACGGTGGATACCAACTCAACTTGTGGCGATGGAGGCCATTGCAGAGCGATGAAGTGTGTTTGATTCACTCCTCTGCGGGTTTTTTCTAATCAACTCCGATTTTAGACACTCCGTCACGACATTTCCTTTGATCTTATACAGACGTCTTCACAGGTTCACTACCAGACATGCCGTGACTTGCGCAAGTCACCACCTTCGCTACCCCGTCTCCCCCCTGAAATAGTCTTCGATATCCTGCAGTTCGCAGCATGCAGCAGCACCACACGACCTGACAGAACAGTTTTATCCATCCTCTCACTCGTCTCTCCAATGTGGAAGGAGCTCTCTCACAATATTCTGTTTCGACACGTCGTCATCAGCTCGGGAAAGTCATATCATTCCTTCGTATCCGCCATAACCGCATCGCCAAGGCTGGCATCCATCGTGCTCGTCATGGATATCACCGTTGACTTTGGCGGGCAGCCGGATGCCTTGAGCTACGATCAGATGGCAGACGTCATATGCTGTTGCCCTAGGCTTTCTGAACTCGGCATATCCATTTACGGACAACGTGGTCCTGGTCCGCGAGTGGCACCGACGATACATACCAGAACTTTACGACGTCTCCATTGCGGTCCTCAGATCCGCTCGCTCAGGTTCAACAACTGGTCCGATAGCCCCCGCCTGCTCGAATCGTACCTGTCTGTCTACCGCTCCGTCAAAACGATCAGTTTGTCGGGGATGGCGCCTGAGTTCTGCGTAGACAATGCAAACCAGCGGACCCCCACAGGTTTATCCCTCGAAACCCTCATATTAAATGTTGCTCCGTCCGCAACGTCCTCGTGGCTAGAAGGGTTGCTGACGCCCGCCGCACCCTTGCGCTCTCTGCAATTCTCGCGTGGCCCCGATCCCTGCCTGCTTGAATATCTATTGCGCCGGCACTCGAGTACAATCCAGAGCTTACGTATCCCCCAATGCGGCTATGCCGAAGGCGAGGTCTTGAAAGCGTGCGGTCCGCTGCGCCTGCGTGAGCTTTCAGTAGAAAGTTCATCAATTCGCACCGCCGTGCTCGATGACATCCTGGTGCCAGTTACTGTTGAAGACCTCGCAGGAACGACGGGTCCGAATAGCGAAGGTCAATCCGCAGCACAAGGAGTGGAGCATCTTGCCTTGGGCGTTGGAAGCGAGACACCGCTATGCAGAATCATCCACAAATTGCGCTCCACATACCTGCCCGGTAGAGAACACGAGCGTAGCGTACTGCGGAAGTTAACCCTCCTCCTCCGGCCGGACGGACACGATCATCCACTGCTCGGTTGGCTTACGGAGATATGCCGAGAGCAGGAGATTGAATTACGATGCACGAACGATCCGACCCTATTCCGCTCACTGACGGTACGTACGCCACCTCATGGTCCCTGATCTGGACCGAAAATGAACGCAAAGTTACCTTCCATACAGATCAACGCCTAATATTTCCTCACCGCTGAGTCAAGAAATTAATCCCCACGCTCGTCGATGAACCGAATGTCGATAGAGTAATTAATGGAACGTGTAGAGCGAGTAATACTTCATAACGAATAATCACGTATGTCGCGTTCAAGTGGCCGGCAGAAAAGTTGTCCCATACGAGTGATTGGTCGTCATAGTTAGAAATAAGGACACAATATGTTTACATTTCGGACGACTCGACTGGCGGTGGCTAAGCTACAGTAATAGGGCTACACTCCGTGCGTTACAATACGACGTCGGCTGGAGAAATCGAGCGAGAACGTATGTTATGTTAAAAATGGAGGCAAATGTAGTCTAAATCAAATGGTCCATTTCCACTGGTTACTGCGAATCAGGCAAGGAGCGAGGACTGGCTGCCGAATAGTTACTGGCTGATGGGATATTATCCTCTTTCGGCGCTGAAAAGTCCTTGTGGACACGAAGGTGTTGCCGCAGGTTATCGTGGCGAGAGAAGGATTTCGAACAATTAGGATAGTCGCACTTGTAAGCTAAAGGATGCCGTGAGCGCTGAATGGGGGATTGAAGCGCATGCAGACATACGTTTTTCATTCGTATGTATACTTCGCACGTGGCGTTTAAGATGCTCTCCGCGAGCGAATCGCTTACTGCACCCCGCCACCTGGCAAGTGTATGCCCGCACATCTCGCATAATGCCGTTCTTGAAATTCATCAGCGTGTGATCACTGGTAGAACGACGTAAACTCACCTCCTTAACGTACACGGGACTCGTTGGTACATGGCGGCCGCGACTCTTCTTGGTCAGATTCGGGACGGGGGTTGGTACAACATTCCTCGCAGGGCGAAGGCGTTTGGAGTTTCCGATAGGTGTGAAATCCTGGTCGACCTCTTCGCACTTAATGGAACAAGGGTCATCCGAACCCGGTGCGCTGATAGTCCGCCGCCGTTTGGATCCCGATGCTGCGTATTCCGAGCCTTCTTCGTATTCGCTATCATCGTCGGTTGCTGCCCTGAGTTCGTCGGAGGAACCGTCACTCATGTAAATGCTGGCAGCATCAGAGAGTCGGCCATTTCTATTAGCAAGGGTCATGTCATCGTATTCGCGCTCGGCTTCCGCATCGCTCAAGTTCGTAGGAGTAGCATCCGTGACGAAGGTCCGCGGGTCGATGCCTCGCAAGCTGGCTTCTGCGTAGATATCCAATGGAGGCGAGACACCGGTGATAGGAGCGAAACTGGAGGACGACGTAGGAAAGGCGGTGTGATGGCTATAACGCATTGAATCCTCCGCGCTCGAGGAAGCTGACATGACAGTGTAGTTCGGTTCGACGGAGTTTTGCCGATGGGCAGAAAGGATTATAGAAGATGTCGGTGTGAACATTCCGGACGCCGTGAAGGCAGGCTGAGGTGGAATAGAGTCACCATATTCGTGTCGACCATAAGCATGTGCATGAGATGGCGGACTAGGGGTGTAGTCGGCAGACTGCGCTCCGTCGGGCTGATGATACTGGGTGGGGGTTGAGGGTGCTGAAGAGTACGGTGCCGCTGCAGCGAAGTAGTTGACGTCGGAACCCGCCGCTCGATCGTAATATGGAGATGCGGTTGCATACGAGGCCTTGTATAGCGCTTCTGTAAGGGAATATAACGGTATACTTAGTGTAGGGACTTACGGCTATGGGCGCCTGCATGACTGCGCCATCCATTATCGGTGTTCGTGCATCTGCGTAGTTCATCGTCCTCGCTTGCGCAGGGTAAGCCACGTTGGGGTATCCTGGCGGTGACCACAACGTAAGTCCACTCCCGCTGTGAGACTGGCCGTATGCGCTGTACGAGTCGGGTAAGGGCACGGGTGGAAGGTATGTATCAGCTGATGGATGAACATGAGGCCTTGGATATTGCTCGTCGCCCTCTGTGCTGCGGTCGTGTGAAGAGGAATAAACCGAATTATTTGCCGTTGCGCGTGCTGATGCGATGTACCCCGGGGAGGTGACGACGGTGGACATCGCTAGGTTAGGAGTGCTTGGCTCGACAGGAGCTGATATATCGGGAGGAAATGCGGGTGCGATTTCGAGAGTCCTGGGTCGACGTTCACGATATAGATCGCCAGTGGAGGGTGACTCGGAACGGTAGTCTAAGTCTTGCAACCAGATCACACCGTCAATGTGACTGCTGGAAGAGTCGAGGTGAGGGAACGAAGAAGCGGAGGCAAATACGGTGTAAGAGGGGCTCATAATGGTGGGAAAGGAGGTGAATGGAGCCTAAAATATCGTGCAGCTTACTATATATTGTCAACACAACGGGTGATCAACGAGAGGCAATAGGGGCGACAGTGTGTGTCGAGAGGAAGGAGGAAGAAATGAGATCCGCGAGCGGTCCGTTAGCAATAATGCGGATGCGGCATAGACAAATCAGCGTTACCTGAAGGTGCGGATGCGATCTGGCGGAGTGCGGCTGGTTTCCGCCCAGCGAGCGGCAGATAGGACGTGTGATGAGGAATTTGGGCCTATATCGAAGGGTAGCCGAGGGGGGTAGGTTGTGGATAGTGATAGGATATCGCGGTGAACTGGGTTGACGCGCTAGCTCATGAACGCAACAGCGAGCACTCTGCTGGGCCTGCGTGCATTATTGGCGGCGTGGTTGGGCTGGAAAACGAACATGGCGGTCAGTCACTGTTTAAAACAGTTCGTGCGTATGGCAGCAATTGCCTTTTTAGGACCACTCTCACATTTCGCCACACTCCCTCGCCTCGTCGTCATTTCACGAGGCGCGGGGCGGTCTGGGTCCATCTTTGGCAAGCCTTCGTCGACGTTACACGAGGCTACCGAGTTCCACGCCCATGGTCCGCGCATGCTTCTCGACGCACTGAGGCGGATCATGACACTTCCAGGACGGTCTGTGTCCGATCAACTCCGATCCCGCACCGGGTGACCGGCCGTGTGGAGCTACGCGTAACCCTTCGAGAGGTGGATCCCCGTGAATGCGGAAGGATCCAAAACCTCTCCGTGTTTGCCCGGCATGAGCTGGACACCCGACCATGCGCCGATCGCAAGAAAGCGCGCCGTGTTCTACGCAAAGCACGGATCCACACCTTGCTCGATTGGCGTTGCAGTACCAGACGAGACCTGGAATCCGTCTCTGGCTTCTGTGTCACGTAGATGCCGTCCCCAGGGAGAATGACTGTCGGTCAAGATTACACGAGTCCTCGTCGCTCTCCTACGGCGAGAAACCATTGAGAATCGGGGCTCCCGGCAGGCCAGAGATCGACTATCCTCGTCATCTTCGTGCACTGGCCGCTTTTGCCTGCAGAGGTTGGGTTCCCGCATCATCAATATCGCACGTGGTGAGAGCGTTTCTATTGCCCTCATCGCATTCTCACGGTTTGATTTGAACGCAACAACAGCAATTACTGCTCATCCCTTTCTTCGACATCCAAGAGAGTCACGGTCCTGCTCATACAGAAAGCTGCATTGTGCTCCTTCCCCTCTCCCACTCAGTGCGGCGCAAAGTAGCCAAGGGTGCGCCTCGTGCTGAATCGCGGATGACGCTCTCCATTTGCTTCCGAAACACAAGCTGACATTGGATCTGTGTGGCCACCCTGATCGCAAGAGCGCGTTTCTCCCATACTTCCTTCGCCCCGTCGATGACGATGAAACATCTTGGCCGGCGTCGGCGGCGGCGTGGCGATGATGCTCAGCTCCGCATTCCATTGCTCAGAATTGAAAGCTCGGCGACGCGGTTCCATACGCCGCATCTTGCGAATGGAGCGTTGCTGTCGTCCGCGAATATTCTTCTAGCAGAGTTGCATGTAGAGGATTGCTCCCCTACACTCGGTGCATGCCGTGGACAATGTCGTTGTTGTTGCGCTGACGCACAAGTCTCGGTCAGTTTTGAGCTACGCAATGATGCATATGGATACGTTTCGAGATGGTGGCGACGGGAGTCCTAGTCGTATTGTTGTTCCGGGTACGACTCTGAATTTGTGTAGTGCATGTCGATGTTGATCAGAGAATCGCCATCTTAGAAAATCTACTAGCTCCTCGACTGGTTACTGTTGCGATGGCGTGGTCCAGTGTATGTATATATATGAATTGCAAACACAGCTGAACGTGCATGCCCTCGCCGACTAATCAGGGTACCCGCGTTTCTTCCTCAGTAAATGACTGCCTTAAAGTTATATGCGACTTTCAAGCTCTTTCAAGTAGCAGTGTTTGCATAGCCACTGATGGCTTCACCTCTGTACACCGCTGGCAGCCGAGGCGGCCGACTGGGGGGTGTAACTTCCAATTAAACAGATTTGTTTGTAACGCCACGTATCCGAACGACTCGCCTTACTCCACTACTGAGCTCGCTGGAAATTACCATCAGACTCTGTTCAGACAACGCCTGGTGAAGCATTGCGCTCAGGAGCCCCCCGACTTCACCGTACACCATGTCCAAGGACTCTGCGGGTCTTCGAAAACGTAAGGGTCAAGCGAAGGAGAAACGTCAGGGGGTGAGCATATACTCACCATCGCATGCAAATACAAAGACACGAGGTTAATCCTAGCTGCAAGTCCGAAGGCGACGAGCTTCCCGGTGTTGAACCTACCACCAGTGCCACTTTGAATGCTTTGATTTACTTCCTCGTGTTCTGCGCCGTCGGCGGCGTCATTTACATCGCAAGTCCCGAACTCATCAAAGGCCTGGTTCTTGAGTTCCTTGGTATCGAAGCAGAGGCGGAAGCGGACTACTACTCAGGAGCGTCGCTTGTACCGAACTGGTGGGTGGCAGATGTGGAGAAACGAGATGCGGTCGTGAACGCATTCAAATGGGCATGGCATGCTTATGGTAAGAGAACTGTAGCCAGTTCGTTCTAGGGAGCACACCCTGACGAAATTCGTTGAGAACGAGATGCTATGGGAGATGATGAATATCACCCCATCTCCGGGAAGGGCACAAACCTGACATCTGCTGGAGGTATAGGTTACACAGTAGTAGATTCCATCGACACCATGCTATTGATGGGTGAGGCCGTGGTACCGGTTGTGTATCGTTTCCTTCTGAACTTCTCCCTTCGACAGGCGAACCGCTGGCGGAAGAGTACAAGCGCGCGCGTAGCTGGGTTGCGGACAAGTTACAGTTTGATTGTGACGCGAACTTCAACACGTTCGAGGTGCCGTTTCACCTTTTAGCTGTATAATCGTTTGTTGATGATTCTGGCATTTAGACCACAATTCGCGTGCTTGGAGGTCTCCTTACAGCTTACCATTTGTCCGGCGAGGATACGATGTACATACGAAAGGCTGTTGACCTCGCTGACCGCATTCTTCCCGCGTTCGAGACGCCTGCAGGCCTGCCGATGAGCCTGATCAACCTCGCGCAACGGAGAGGGTCGTTAGATAAGGATAACTACAGTCAGTGCTGACATGCGTCCATGCTGGGTTAGCTACTGATAGACCTCTCCCGGACAGACCTCATTAGCACTGCAGAGGCAGCCACCCTACAGCTTGAGTTCAAGGACCTTGCAGAGTTGACTGGCAATGAAGTTTATTGGGAGAAAGTCGAGAATGTGCGTTCTAAGACTAGGCTGTAGGCCCGCCAGCTTATGCTACGTTGTTCTAGGTTATGCGAGTCATCAAGAAGGCCCGAATGCCTGCTGGCTTGGCCTCGATATTTCTGAGGTACGAGTTCTGCCCAGGATATGCGCTTTCATGATGTTGACTATTCCGGGTAGCCCGAACGATGGTCAGTTCGTGCAATCTGCTATTCGCCTTGGTTCAAGGGGCGACTCGTACTACGAGTACCTGCTGTAAGTGGGCTACACCCTTCGCCGGCATACGGTCGCGCTAAAGTAAGCAATATACAGTAAGCAATGGCTACAAACTGTGAGCTCGTTGCTGCTCTTCAGTTCGTGTTCTGTGTATTCAATATCACCTTACAGAATCAGACTGAAGACGTTTATCGCGAGGCAGGTCCCCAACTAGGTGTACGGAAGCAGTGTGGCTAAGGCAACCCTAGATGTATGACGATGCGATGAACGCCATTCATAATCACCTTATCCAAAAGTCGATCACTGGAAACTTCATATACACGGCCGAGCTCATTCCAGAGCGATCCGGACCGGGCGGTGAAGTGTTGGTGCACGTACTAGCCCAGATCGTCCTGATTATTCACATACGCGTAGTTCGTGGCGCTTAACGCCGAAACAGGACCATTTGGCCTGCTTCATCGGCGGTAGTCTCATGCTAGGCGCTGTCACCTCTGTATGTTGCAGTTCTGATTTCCGTGGTCGCCTTCTTATCCTTCGCTTTTCAGGGCGCTCTCATCAGCCCAGTATCTATCCCGCCCAAGATGAGCGAACTCACAGACCAAGGCAAACGCGACTGGAAGTCGGGCGTTGAGCTTGTGCGTACTTGCTGGAATACACATGACACGGCTACGTAAGCAATTTCTGCATCCACATACAGCATGGCGACGCTACTTACATCGTTACATCGCTACAGAGGTCTTGCCCCGGAGATCGTTCACTTCCGTATCAAGAGCGATGGCATGGATCAGATGATGGGCTCTACTGCGCCACATGACTGGTATATCAAAGGAGCTCGCCGAGGTGAATTCCCACCTTACGACGCTCGCTACATGCTCAGGTAAAAGTGTACCTGCGTTTCTTCTCGATGGCTGACATGCTTACCCCCGTAAGGCCCGAGACGGTGGAGTCTCTCTTTCTGGCCTATCGCCTTACCGGTGATGCGAGATACCGGGAGTGGGGCTGGTCAATTTTTAGGAGCATCGAAAAGCATTGCAAGGTCGAGACAGGGGGATACGCGACTGTCGTGAACGTCGACGAAGTGCCAGTGAGACTCGAAGACAAAATGGAGACGTTCCTCATGGTATGATGCATCTTCACGACCTTGGGCCAAATTTTGAGCCGCGCAATCACAGAGCGAAACACTCAAGTACCTATATCTACTATTTGCGGACGAGGAAATCCTCCCGTTGTCACGTTAGTATTTACGCGTCGTAAGATATGCCATATTCTAACCTCTTATTCCGCGTTAGAATACGTCCTGAACACCGAGGTATGCCTTGGACCGTCACAGCATCGACCTTCTCTGACGCTTGAGCGCAGGCTCATCCATTGCCAATATTTACTCCCAATATTCATACGGGTTTCTCATAAACTCGAGCGAGGCTGTAAAATATATATCGCACTGTTTGCTAATCGGTGGTGTCGGTCCTTTGCGCTTTCTTTCGGTTACAAGTCCATGAGGCAACAGCAAAATTGCAATCGTCGGACATGCATCTGAGACTAGAGCACTGCAGTTCTAGCAGCAGCGGGGAGCTCAACCCATCCGCGCCTTCTTTCGGGACCCTCCGTGATGTCCACTAGGAGCACCACCGCTAGCGAAGCTTGGTGCACTTCCTGTGCCTTGCTTACCGGAGTGCTGCTGATGGTATTGTGCGAGTTGCACTTGGTGTGATGCTTGCGCGTGCGATAGCCCAGGACCAGGCATCATAGTTGAAGGAGCATCATCCTGCGTGATCCGCCTATGGGGCGGTATCTGGTGCGAGGGCACACCCTGGAATGCACTGTACAAGTGGAGGACATCCGGTCAAGCATTCTTAAGGATCGCTGGTTGACAGGAAAAGCACGTACTTCAGAGTTGGAAGCGGCTCTTCTCTGAACCACTCATGGTAAATAGCATCTTCCGCCGTGAGACGTGTATCTGGGCTGTATGCAAACAGCTGTCTGAGGAAATCCTGAGCCTTGGGAGAGCGAAGGCGATTGGAACACCAAGTGCTAAATCCGTTGGGATAGCTGAGATGCATCATGAGTGCGGATCGGAACCATCAACACGATGGAGATTGACTGACTACTCAAGACGCTTCATGTTATGGTATTCCGGCATCTCTTTGACACTCGGCCATTCTCGTTCTACCTAAGTTGAGCTTTCATCATAGCGTCCTCATAGACGGGACTCACCGTCTATTGTGCCCAAAACTTCGAAGATTTTCAGTAGTTGATCACGCTGGAAAGGTACATTCTTCTTCGAGTCCAGCTTGGCTTCATCTCCCTTGAAGATGGGTCTCAAGCTCGCCAACTCGGCCATGACACAGCCAGTTGCCCACATGTCTACCGCCTTGTTGTAGTGTTTGGCGCCCATCAAGAGTTCGGGGGCACGATACCAGATTGTTACGACGACTTTGTCGCCAGCTGAGAGGTGCTGGAGAGGTTGGTAGATTAGACGCGCCAAACCTAGGTCGCCGATCTTCACCACTCCACCAGCGGTGATAAGTATATTGGCTGGCTTCAGGTCACGATGGAGAATATGGCAAGAGTGGAGATAGACAAGGCCATTCAGTAGCTGCCATATCAGCGATTTCAAGACAGAGGGAGGGACCGCTTGTCGGAGGGTTTGTGAATGATGGTGAATCACTTGCTATATGAACGAGTCAGCACTGAACACAGAGACGACCTAGGGTATAGCATTACCAGAAAATCGTGTTCCGCATATTCAAAGACCATGTATATGGACTTGTCCTCCAAGATGACCTCCTTGAGGGCAACAATATTCTCATGGGATATCTCCCGATTGAGCGCAATTTCGCGAATGGCGCTCTGGCTAATCCCGGTGTAGGTCGGTACTTCACCCTCCTTGTCAGGTTTGAATTTCTTGATAGCATGTACACGGCCATCGTCGCTCTTTGCCTGGGCCTTGTATACGCGTCCATATGTTCCCGATGAAATGAAACCGAGGATGTTATACTTAGACGCGACAGTCTGGTGCTGAGCGTCGCGCTTCGTACGGTAGCCACGCATACCATCCGTCCAGTCGTCAAGCATACTACCCATGAACGAATACTAGCTTCTGTTGCAGATAGGCTAAAAGAGTTTAGCGGCGTGACCTAAGGAGGTGATCAAGTAATTGCCTGCGGCGGATGTTTATACAGTAGTACATATGTCATGGGCATTGGCACGTCATCTTGCGAACCCCTTCAACGCCGTTGGCGTGGACCTGGTACATCACCAACTCGGTCACGAATACAAACCAAGCACAAACGCTTGAGCTTACTTGTTGGAGCCATTCGTTTTTCCCGCAACCCTCCCCGAATGCGAGAACGACATATATTACTCGGACATATTGGGCCACCATCCAATACTTGGCAACGCGCTTTTGGAATTGGGACCCGCCATTCGTATGGCTTGTTACAGAAGAGGAAGATCTAGCATGCAGGGTGGATGGTGGGGATCGTTTCCGTGTCATCCCCGGGGCCGGGGACACAGAATTGAGCTTCGTCAAGGATGTCTGTCACCCACCTTGGTTGCAAGCACATACTAGCTGGGAAACGCCGATATGAATTCTACCCGAACAACACTGATATACACCGGCCGTACACTGTGCGTCCAATGATTTTTTTGGTGATAGGTCCGCTGAACGGCTACGTCTGACATGGAACAAGCGGCAAGAATAACACCTCTGCGCGCATAGCATAGCAGAGAATAGAGTCAGAGTGAGACGCCAGCACGAGTCGTCCATCACTTGCTTCACCCCACTGGGATGCCAAGCCCGGAACAGAACATTCGCCGGGTGGATCTGGATACTTGCGGTTGTAAGTGGGGTCAATATACCTGTACCAAGAATATGCTCACCCATGGTGGCCCCGTCATGAACATTTCTTTGCGAGGATGACCTTCTTCTCAAGCTTAAGCATTGCCATCGTGAGGTCCGAATCAAGACCTTGGTAGGGACGATTCAATCGATACGTCTCCCCGCCCGCCTCGAGTTTGAGGATCCTTGCCACCCACTTCCAACTGCTATACTCCTTCCGATATTCCAACTTGGCGAATATGTTCGGTTCACCGCCCATCATCGCACTACTCCGTCTAGGAAGCCCTACGAGTTTTTCAACACGAGAGATGTCGAACAAGTGGTGCGACAGCCTGCAGGAACGGTCGTCGCAGTGACCTGCCGTGGCATATGCCGCACAGAGGGTTCTATCTTGACCAATCTACATCGAAACATTGTTGTTTGCGACTGCATGCAATCACGACCGACACTCACTGATGCCGCTGCGGGGCTTAAGAGGCTGTCAAGGGCGACGTCCGCTAGTTCCAGTTGTTTGATCGCGAAGTTTAAGTCGAAGTTGGTGGTGGTGAACACAATGTCGTGCTTCACGGCGCCTGCTGTGCGGCTTCGCCTAACGCTTATTCTCCACCCATCCCCCCAACGTTCATCATAGGTGCGAAAATCCCCCAGATACTCGATGTTGAGGGTATCCTCTGGATTCCGCGTATTCTCTTGGCCAAGAAGACGCTCTAGGCGACGAATGTCGACGAGCGTGTGCTGGTAGGGACATTGTGACCCGTGTGTGCAGATACTGTGCTGGTGTTTTTCGCAGCGGGTGCGAACGGAGAAACTGTCGTAAGAGTTGGCCATAGTCTTCAGCGTGAACGGCGAGGGGAAGGCGTCGACTTGAGAGTAAGATGTTCGGACGACATTCCAACATCGTCCAAGTCTGGTTGCAATGGGCCCATACCCGCATTTGGGAATGCAGAGGATATAAGTTGAGATCGTTGAATGCTCGCGGTCGTGGCTTTCCATAGGAACAGTCCGGATCGTCGACGGCGTGGCCACATGCTTTCCACATGTATTTGCAGGCGGTAGAGCTTACACGAAGCTTGCAGTGGTACGCCTGGCAACGAGCATTGCGAGCCCTTCAACAAGCGGTATAGCTCGTACATCTCCGTGGTCGTAGCCTATGATAAGCTAGCTCATGGACCGAGAACGCGAACCTACGTAGCGTGATGCCATTACTGATCATCATTTTCATCGTCCCCTTCTTCCTCGTCCTCGTCCTCATCTCCAAGCCACATTTCCCACTTTTGCGTTGTCTCCGCAAGCCCTCCGCTCATCTTCAGTGGTTTCGTAGCATCGAACACGCCCTTCACGAGCGCTCTCCGCGTCCACGGAACGAGCACCCTCGCATATGCCTGTCCGGCGGCCCTTACGATCTTACTGTCCTGCTCGTCCCATGCCGACCCTTTGAGCCAAGACAGGAAGACCAGGCTTACGCTGTTAAGGGCATCATCCAGGCTTTGTGAAGAGAAAAGCAGAAGTTGCACGGGTGCGAGGAGGCGAAGGCCGTTTAGGGCAGTCAGAATGCTGTTGGTGAACAGAGCAAGGGGCGGGAAAGATGCGAGGATTTGTGGCACCACGTGCGTCGGACTGCTCTTGATGGCTTCAACGTCCGGCTCGGGAGGCTGTCCAGCCATCGAGGGCGTGATAAGCCACTTGGCGTCTTTCGCCTGTCTGAAACGACTGCTCAGCGCTTCCGCAGCATCGTCCAGTTCCTCCTTGAAACCGTTTCGCACGGCGTCGACGAAGATGGGAGCTATCAGAAGACCGAAGTCCATGCCTATGCGGGCGAACGCTCCAGCGCAATATGTCATTTGAGTGAGAAGCGCCGAGAGCGCAGCGGGATCTTTGGCGCGTATAGCAGAAACGTGCTGGCGCAGCTTTGCAAGTAGATGGTTGAGGAGCCGCGTCGAAGTCGCGGAGAGAAGTGCTTGGAGCGTGAGCGTCGTCTCCAGATCGCTGGCAGGGGCCAACGAAGGGGTGTGAGCCTTTGCCGAACTGGGCGAGTGTGGGGCGGTCGACAGGACGGAATGGGAGGACGATGGAGAAAGAAAGATGGTCGTGTACTGTGTGACGAGGTCGTGCACGCCTTCGCGCCACGTATCCACGTACTTCTTCATGTATCGGGAATGACCGTCCGCATCCTCCGTCAGCTCAATGGCATGCAAAGATGACTCCAGCACGCCAGTGCGACCGTTCAGAAAAGCTTGCGCCAATTCCTCCTCTTCCAGTACTTTCATCCGCCTGAGAAACCCAACGCTTTTGAACAACTGCGGCAAACGTCCGCGACCCGGTGCACTCAGCGATTCTAGAAGCTGGGCGAGGAGAGATCTTTGCGCGGCGTTAACCTCCGCATGAATGTCTTGTACGAGCGGCACGTCCGGAAACTTACGCGCAAGGGAGTCTGTATAAGATGAGATGTCGAGCGCATCGCCGAGCGCCCCTGCGCGAGCCGAAGCTTCGAATAGTCGAGGTAGATCTAACAGAGCACCGAGCCTTTCTGAATGTGCTTTTACTAGCAAAGCTTGCTGGCGCTGTTTGAGAAGAGGTGCTGTTTGGGCAGAGAAGGACTGCGCGGACGACTGGAGGGTTGGGAGCGCGGTAAGGAGGGACCCGAGCGAGGACTGGAGCGAGGTGAGTGTGCTTGAAAGGGACGTGGATGCGCTGTGTAGGGAAAGAAACGTCGGGTATTGTGTGTGACACAAGGTTGTGAGCGCGTTCGTCAGCTGTGCCGAGGTTGAGGACAGTGAGGCTGGTTCCGCTAGGAGGTCTGGGAGGGGAAGGTCGGTGAGAGAGGCCAGGTAGGAGATGTCCGAGCTGGACGGGTGGGTAGTACCCAACACATCTGTGAGCGTGTCCAACGGATCCATTCTACGGTGTTCTATCCCAGTCCATTAGAAGAGGCCGCGACGTCGAATAGCGGATGCAATCGGTACAGAACGACTCTGTGTCGTGCGCACGATGGGTTCGTTGGGTGGCGGTGATGGCGCCGTTCCTCTCTTGCTCGACGACACAACATTGACACAGATTATCTGTTGATTTCTTTCACCATACATGTAATCACGTATATTCTGGTCGAAGCGGTGTGTTGGCTCATAGAGCGGACGGCAACCGTGTAGACCAGGGTGTCCCGGCTCGCAACTACTACCTATCTACCTACAGCTAAGTTAACTTACCTACCTAGAACGCCACGACTGCGACCGTGCTGCGATGACCATATGCGTACACGTTTCTTCAACGCTGTGGTCGTCTCGCGCGCATGTTATCGTATACTCATGTCGGCGGCCTGTTGGTAGCCCATCCCCGTCATGGACAGGACGTTTCTGACGTCACCTCCAAGTTTACTCGAACGCGTTTCTACGTCTATATCAGTGGCGAGACCTCCTATCTTCCGCGAACAGATCGTCAACGGCACGCGATGACCTACAAAGTGCTCATCGTACTCTCTGACGCACACGCGTTCCCCGTCAAGAAGAAAGACGGGACTGTCGTTGAGGAAGAGACGGGTTTCTTCCTTCACGAGCTTGCTGCACCGCTCACCAAGCTCCTCGATTACGGTATACAAGTCACTGTATGTCTTCCTTGCCTACCACGAGGTCATCGACGTCGTGGACCGACTCGCTATGCAGTTTGCTTCTCCCGAGGGACGTCAACCGCAGCCAGATCCGCTCTCTGTCTCACCTCTTGCCTTCCTTGGAGCTTGGTGGGTTCGAAATCGCGAAAATGAACTCATTAAGAAGATGGAGCTGGAAAACAACCTCCTACACCCGCGTCCTTTCAAGACAATCACGGCCGATGAATTGGAATCATTTGATGGCGTATTCATTCCGGGCGGACATGCGCCGCTGAGCGATCTCGGCCAGGATCCAGAACTCGGCCGTATCCTTCTTCACTTCCACGACCGGGGCAAGCCCACAGGTACAGATCTTCCATCGAATTGACGGTGAGCTGAGATCTGCTTATAGCGGTGATCTGTCATGGACCGTATGCCCTGCTATCAACCAAGCACGCGCCGGGATCAACCGGCTTTGCATACACCGACTACAATATCACATCTTGGTCCAACACGGAGGAGAAGCTCGTCGAATACATAAAGGGAGGCGAGATTCCAAAGGTAGAAACTGCCCTCGACCAAGCTGGCGCAAATATGATCGAGGATGCTGGCACAAAGTTCGGCAAGATCACCGTCGACCGAGAGCTGGTCAGTGGCGCGAACCCAATGGCCGCTAACGTGCTTGGCGACAAATTCATTGAAATGATCAAGCTGCATAGCGGGCTGGAGAGAAGCGTGGCCTAGCAGAAAGGTGAAGGCGATTACATTGGTGCTCTGTACGATATCCGTCGACGACTCGGGTAATAAAACTACCGGCCAGGACACACCGTCTTTGCTTCATAGAGTATCGATGGTCAAATAGCAGTGGACTCAACCCGCGTTTCAGAAGACTTCGAACATTACACTCGAAGTCCTTTTACACTCGGCAACCGGTTGTTCCGCTATTGGGACCGCGCCGGAAATATACCTACCTACCTACCTTGCTTGTGCAGCGACATTTGCCTTCGATTATTCCATCGCTGCGGATTGCTGTGCAATATTCCTGCTGCTTCCACGGCACGAATTTCCATGTCGGCAGTGGCTTATCTTACATGGGACCATCGAGCCCTCCGTCACTGCATCCGTCCTGAGAAAGGACACTGCGGGCGTAATGCACATAACGCCCCTAGTTATGAAGGTCGAGATGCTCTTCTTGACAAATGAACCTAGAGAATGGCTGGAACATGGAAAGTCTAGAGACCATGATCGTGTTCCATGCAATGCGATATTATACTACACAGAGTCATCACATCACATCGATGACTTCCTTCAGCTGCTGCTCGTTCAAGATCTGGAAACCCTTGTCGGGTGTCACCTGTAGCGGACAGGTCAGCGTTCAATCGATGTCGAAGGATCGCTGATATTATTGACCTGCGCCAGTTGCACGTTATGATGGTCCAATTTCTCTTCCATGACCTGCTTGAGCACGCGTAGGGTCAAGATTTGCGCTTCCCGTAATGTCATTTGCTGCAAGAACCCCGTCAGGTAGTCGAACGATCCTACGCAATGGTTATCACGTACCCTATGCCATTTGTCTTGGAGTTCGCTCTGAGCAGCCTCGGATCCCGACCCAATCGCCTTGGCATCATACCGAACGAAGGTCCCTGACGGATCCGTGTGGTATCTTCCAGACACTGAGACAGAGAACTAAGGTAAGATGTGATTTGTGTGCTCACAGTTGCGGCCCCAATTCGTCAATTCCCGCAATAAGAAGCGCTACACCAAAGGGTCGACTCATCATCGCATCCTCGTCGTGTATACTCTCTCCAAAGCGGAGAGCAAGGTCGCAGACGGCTTGCGTCACGCTTTCTACCTTGATCTTCTCGTCGTAGGTGAATGCATGGTTTTGGGAGGTGACGCGGGCGTGGTCAATGATGGTGCGAGCGTCGGCGGTGAGACCAGACATGGCGGCGCCTAGATGGGTGTCTATCTCCATAATCTTCTCAATGGATGCGTGCTCGATCAGCGATGACTGGACGCGTTTCTCGACCCCGAGGACCACGCCTTCAGGCGTCTTGATGCCGACCGTTGTTGAACCGAGCTGAAAGATGTTAGGACACAAGGGTAACAGGTGGCCATAACATACAGACCTTGATTGCTTCGATAGCATACTCGACTGCAATGCGACCCAGATGTGTCAGTGAGCTTTGCGGCTGCGCCGGGCATGCACTGACCCTGGAAGAGACGTCCCTCGGGCGAGAAGGTATTCACACCTCGATCTGTGACAAGCCCTTTAGCAACTTCTTGTAGTCCAAGTTGCAGGACATTTACCGTACTCTGAGCGCGTCAAGAACATATCCGGGGATGGTGAGGGAGAAGTAGGATCTGTGATAGCTATACGGCGTACGCGTAAGCCGACAGAGACGCGTCCTGACCTTCTTTGGCAATTCCGATCCCGGACAAGAACCGTCGCGCGGGAGCACGTGGCCCACGCCACCAGACCTGTCCCTCGACCTCCCCAGCCTCCAGAATCCAAGGGTCTTGATTCATCGACTCATAACCGGGGAGACCGAACCATGTCGAGCTCGTTGTCGTCGGTTGTCTCTGATCTTGTCCGTGCGCAAATGGGGTCGTCGGTGCCATCAACGGTCTCGGACGAAGACCTGGACCGGCACGTCGCCGAACTCATCCTCAAGGAGGCGAGGCAGAAGGCCGATCGGTACGCGACGAGTGGAATAGCCGCATACCTGCCTCAGAAGTACGTCTTCCTACTCACGCAACCACTGCAGTATCTGAGGAATACACTAGGGACAGCAACGCTCCGAAGACCAACAAACGCTTTCTCTCTTCCATCATTCGTAGCACGGACGATCACAACCGAACCATATTGCGCGCGCAGGCAGAGGCTGCAGAGGAGCTGCGACTTCAGCGGGAAGAGGAAGAGCGGCACGAACGCAGAAAGAGGGCAGAGGAAGCGGTGGAGGCCGAGAGGATGCGTTTACGGAGGCTCATGGGGAGATCGCGCCGCAGAGAACACGATCACGACCGCAACGGTAAAGGGAAACGTAGAGAGCGGAGCTGGGAACGGAGGAATGATCGCGAACGGGAGGAGACGGACGAAGACTACGATAGGGAGCACAGGAAGAGGAGAGCAAGAGATGATGGCGATCATGGACGTCGCAGGGAGAAAGAACCCGAGTCAAAGAAAGGGTACTCGCGCTCCGGCGAGAAGGGGAGTCGGAGGGAAAGTCAACGGGAACGCGGTTACCACCATGAAGACGATCGCCTGAGACGAGGATCACGCACGCACAGTCAGGACGAGAGGCCTCGTGCGTCACGCTCCCGCTCTCGAGACCGAGACAGCCCTTCAAAATATAGCCGGAAACGACGAAATCACGACGAGGAGTCGCATAGTCGTCGGCATCGTTCTCGGTCACTTTCTTCACAATATCAGCACGATGAACCTTCATCGCGGTCTTCTCCTCCTGCTCCATCTAAGCATTCGCCCTCTCCTGAGCGTTTGCCCTCTCCTGCTGAGGTTCAACCAGTGCAATATCAGAGGGCTATTCGTGGACGTCTCAAGCATAGCAAAACGGAAGCCATGTCTTCGTCAGCCGCTCCGAGGTTGGAGTCGCCTCCCGATGCCGTCTGCACACCACCTTCCAAGGCAAGATCACCATCTTCGCATACCCTCCTATCTCAGTCCCGGTCTCCATCGCGTTCACTCTCTCCCGGACCTTCTCTACCTACCAAGTCGAAGCTTGCCAAGTCCGGCGCTTCCCCGCGACCTCCGTCATCTCCTCCTCCTGTTCCTCCTCCACTTCCCTCGAAGATGGATCGATATTTCGAAGCAGGTTATGATCCGCGCCTCGATACTGCTCCTCTACTGTCCTCGACATCCAAAGACGGTAGCTTGGACATCCCAAAAACTGGGATTATACCAGACGAAAGTTTCGCGGGTTGGGACGCGATGCTGGAACTGCTCAAGCAGCGGAGACAAGACAAGGACGAAAAGAAGAGGATGGAGAGGCTGGGAGGGACGAAAGAGAGAGGGAAAGACAAGAAGGGAAAGAAGAAGATCGGCGCTGAGTGGGGCAAAGCAGGACTGCTTGCGGATGAAAGTGAACCGAATGTGATGAACATGGTTTATAAGAAGAAGGGGGCGGTTAGGGAGTGGGATTTGGGCAAGGAGGGCTTGTAATGGATCCATTCGCCGACGCTTCATTTAACTGATGTGTGTTTTATATCGTCATGGAGATGTCGGTAGGAAGTGCTCGGATTTTTAGACCATCATCTGATTTGTTTACAGCCTCACCACTGTACCATCGTTCTGAGTTGTGACCCTCGAATTGCCATATGTCGTACACCAGGAATAGTAATCGACACGGATCATCATGTTGCTAGTCAAGAAGTCCCGTACATTCTGTGTCTCTCGAAGTATCCAATTCGTCAGTCATGACATGAATATCTAAGTACCCAATATTCATGTCAATACTCTCTGAACAACTGACATCTCTTCTGCGTTCAGCTGTCCCACAACGTTCTGGAAATCGTTCGTGTTCCGAGAAGCACATTCCTTGATGAACGACACCAGGTGCGCCTGGACAGAGCGATGAGCGGTTCATTTCATGAATCACGATATTGACCTAGATAACATGCCTGCATATCCATCTGCGAAATAGGGTCATTTCGGAGATCCTCATCCTCCGGTCCGTCCAGGATATCGTCATTGTCGAAAGCTAGCCCCCGGGGCCCAAGCATCTCCGAAAGCATAGCGTATTCTTCTCGCTTGAACCCGTGATGCGACTCTTCTTCCCATCCCTCGTCCTTGCAATGGGGATGTGATCAACAACTCGTATATGAAAAGCAGGGTGTTCTTGTGTCACTTACGCCATCTTCCGAGTCAACCTCCTCAATATTGTCGGTTCCGGCATTGAGGGTTGCAGACTCGCCGCCGGAAAGAAGGTCGCGCACAATGATCTTGAAGGCCTTGACCGGGAAGTGGATAGAAGTGAATTCGGTAGGCACTAGGCAATGATGTTCTGAGCAGCCGTGGAGATTATCACAATGCGAAACCACATACTGGACTTTGTCCTTGAACGTGTCATGATCACTGTTCGTGGCGGATAATCAGTACGATACCCACAATAGGTCCAGAGTCGAGTACCATTCTTTGTCTCCGGTTTCACAATGATATCGCCCTTCACGACGATGTTCCGCAGACTCGGACGTTCGGATACATATAAGGAGCAAAGGGCCAGATTGCTGACCCTCGTTTGCCAGAAGCCTTGGAATGTTTCCGCATTTTCGCACCAGGTCTGGATCAAGACGTCAAGGCCTGAACGACCGTCAATGGAGGTGTTCTCGAGCATGTCCAACACCGTGTCGCGTTGGTTGTGGATGAGGAAGGCGAAAGGTATTATCAAGCTCTGCATCGCCGAGTTAGTGATGAAACACTTCCCCGAAATTACCAAGATGCACCTGCGTGAACGAAGCGGTCTTCGCTGTCTGCATACGTTGAAGCATTGCCTGCAAAAGCTCAGGTAGTGCAGGTAAAACTGATTCACCCGCGTTCCTTAAGAGATGAATGATCAATTCTCCGATGAAAAGCCCGCCCGACTCGTCTTCATTCTGAAGGAGCCTTGCAATTATCGCGAAGGTATGCTCCAGGCCCGAATGACCGTCGTTGAAAGCCAGAAGCTGCGAGCAATCCTTACGAACAACGAGAGTCAAGCATTGACATCCATTCTAGTAAAGCGTGGATGAGTCTCGATCTGTGATAGCATGTTGTACTGGATTGACCTGCAGGACGTCCCTATCGTCCGAGCTTTTCAATGCGCCGAAGAGAGTTGGCGCTATGGCAGCAAAGAAACCGTCTCCGAGTTTCCCTGGGGATGCTCCCTCAATTAAGCTCGTGATCATCTCGATTCCAGACTCGGGGATCCACAATTCGTCTGGTTTGGCAGCGGATACAGCATTGGACAGGGCCGGCAGGGCTTCTTTGACAACGACCTCGTACACCCCGGGCACGACCGAGGATGCAAGTGACTCTAGTACGTCAGAGAGCACCGATGTAAACATAGGATCTTGGGAGAGGCTGTCAGGATACGGTGAAAAGACCATCGCGTGGACAATACCTTTGTTGTGTTGACTCCATACTTGTAGTAGGGCCTTGACAAGCGAAGACGCCAACTCGACTGTCAGCCAACTGGCCTTTTCTATCTGCATGACCACAGAAAGCGTATCCAGCACTAGCGCAAGGGTATCCTCGGAGGTCACTAGCATGAATGGACCGATGTCCTGCGCCATTCTTGGCGCGAAAGGCAGGAGCACAGCATCGTCCACATTTTGGCAGAAGCTAGCGAGAGGTCAAGAGCGATGCTTGTGCAGCAACCCGGACAACTCACTTCTGGATTGCTTTGATGGCAGAAACTTTGATGGGTACACCAGCAACGTTGGCCTCTACTACTTGTATCGCCGCATCGAGATACTGGCCAGCCAGTTCCTTCGGTAGAAGGGTACCGTATTGGCTTGCAAAGACGAAACCACGGCCTTGCAGAAATGGAAAATCTGGTCGGAGGCGGACTCAATACTGTGCACTCAACAGGCCCAGACATGGGTGTCCGCACCATGCAGAGTCAACACCGATGGAATTACGTTCGTGAGCAAAGACGCAATATCTATTGGCTTCGTTCGACCTGCAAGTTCTTCGTCTTCGAGACATTCGATTACTGTCTCTGACTGCGAACCAACGGCAGCAAGGGCCGCCTCGAGTGGTCTCCACCTGAAGTCGATGCTCGTGGATGCCTGGCGGGGAGAAAACATGACGAACTAACCATTCAGAGCTGTTCATTTCGCGCGCCCGTTGGGACTCGGATGCCGTGCGCTGTATGCTGCTGGCGAAGGAAGAGCTAGTGGCTACGGGAGAGCGTTCTAGGATCGACTGCATCGATCGTCAGAGCGGTGACATGAGCTATACGGACGTAGCTACTCACAGATAATAGATCAAACCCGGCTACGCGTATGCTATATGCTGATGTTTCGTCATCTTCTTCGGCTACGAACGCATTCGCATTATTTGCCCAGTTCTCTTCCTGTACCCCCGGTTTAGCTGGTGTACGAGCTAATCACAGCAGATCTTACATCGTCTTTTGTCATCTGCACCCAACGGAATACCGTATCGACAAGAGCCTGAGTGTTGCTTTGATCAAACCATTCCTTTGCTTTGCCGCTCCTCGCGATGCTTGCGGAGAAGTCGATGATAGGGCATATCAGGTGGGGAAGCTCGATGGGTTCATCTTCGGATGACAAAGGAACGCTCGCATCGTCAGATAGATAGAAAGCAACAAAGGTTGGGTACAACGCTTGCAGATGGCCAAGAGCGCTGTTGAGGTATTCCGAAAGATACGGGCGAAGAGAGCGAGGGAAAGACGTATGAATTGTATCAAGCGCCTAGATGCAGAAGTTGAGAATGCCCAGGTCAAAAATCGCTAGGGACAGGACAGTATTTACCCTGAAAATTTGTATCCGTATCGCAAGTCCGTCCCAGTTGGTCTCGCTCACTATATCTTGGCGGGGATCCGACGCCAGGAGAACCTTGAATGCCTCCAACCAGATCGGGAGGACGGAAGCAGTGGCTTCCTGAGTTGCCTGCGGATGCTGTTCTTTGACCATGTAGAGGGCGCTCACGCACTCTCTAAAAACCGCTACCGCGCGGGCCCGAGTTAACGCGCTATGTCGCTGATGCAAACGGACATGAAATGCCACGACAGAATCACACGAAGGCATGAGACTCACTTCTGCTGCACCGAGTATGGCGAGGAGGGCAGGAAGCAACTGGCGAAGCACAGGAAGAATCTGCTCTTCTGAAAGATCGGTTCGAATGAATTCCGTGAACACTTGCATGGCACCATGAATGGAGTCCGCGGAACCAGAAGAGAGCAAGTTGATCAGGTTGGACAGAAGATCGGAATATTCATCCGGCCAATCGCAGTTTGCGATTGAAGACAGAGTATGAGCCTAGATGTACATCAAATGTTGGCTAAGAATCTGAAAACAATGGGATGTGCGCACGCATGATGTCCGTATCTTGCGGACAGGATCTGATAGGCCTTGGAACACTGCAGCGCGGATCTGCGCCTTCACCTGCACCCATTTAGAGTGCGACCAGAGCGACAAGTCAATAGGTAGAATACCTCTACCGGCGGCGCAGAACCGCGGAACGTGGTGAAGTACGGCGACCACCTTTCCCTGACGTACTTGCGGAGGACGATGCTAGCTGAGTGCTAGTCGAGCAACGCAGTCATCAAGACACGTCCAAGTGGCGCTGGACATGGTCTACTCATCTGACGAAGCGCAGGCTCGATATCCTGCGAGAGTGTAATCTGAGAAAGTGCCAGTCCGGCCTCTAATGACGCGTCGATGGGTGAGATGGTGGTCGGTCTACATTCGGGGAACTGGACACGCCTGAACTGGCCATGTACTCAGCTAGCTTGAGCTCTGCGGATATTCGGGTGTTTCCATCTGGACTTAGCGTCGCGGCCAGCAGTTGGGTCACTTCTACGAGCGACATTGCGGTGAAAAAAAAGAGAAAGCTTAAGTTAAGGAAACAACGCTCGCGGCGAGTCGCTGAAACGCGCTCGCGTATCACGTGAGTCCAAGATCTCTTCATGTTAACGCGCCACTCCCACGCTTGAACAATATCATCAACGATACGCAATGCTCGCCGTTGGAGAGAGGTATGTACAGGCCCGTACAACGGCAATGGTATGATAGCCGCAAGCTTGACAGACTAGTCATGTCGCTGTTCATCGAATGTCGCCTCGGAAACTCGTACACGGTCCGTTACATGTCAGTGATCAGTGATTTCAACTCCTGGATCCGATTCTCAAACACGACCTTGAACGGAGACGGATGCATGATTGTGCCTCCCCTAAAATCCATGGTATTGATAGGATTGGCAGGATCTTCCTTTATGTGGAATGACCATAGGAGCATGGCCGTATTGATGAACACGGATCTGCGATCATCAGCGATCAGTATGTGTTCACGACGCACAGCGCGAGACTTATTACCTGTTGGCAACCTAGGAAAAAAGAAACAGCACAGACGTTCAATATTCATTAAGGGGTCTTCACGCGGGCGAAGCTTACATGTTGACCGGGGCAAACGCTTAAGTTTGACGAGCGGTTCGTCAATGAAAGCGGTGCAAGTAGAGGGAATGAACACACCGCCTTCCAAAACCGAACATGAAAGTCTTTTTGTCTTTCAATATCTTACCCTCCTCGTCCAGCCATCTTCCCGGGTCGAATCTGTCAGGGCTGTGCCAGACATCAGGATCATGCGCAATGGACCTAACAGTGTCTGATTAGTGCCCCCCTCAGACGATTAGACGCTACATACCAATGACTTCCAAGGATTGTGGAGTCGGCTGGTATGAGGAAATCTCGCTGGGAAATCGTTAGATTCACGTGGCAGGAGAGATAGCAGGGAACGAACCCATCTTATGTCCGACCGAACACGATGAGCAAACCCTGCATCGAAGGCGATCTCAATTACATGGCCAGTTCGCTACTGCTAAAGGACTCGCCGATGATACTCGTGGGCCTCCAACGGTATACTTCCAGCATGAAGGCCGTGACCTGCGGGAGCGCGTCTTCGTCTTCAAAATTTGGCGCTTTCGTAGAAAGTGACCATCAGCGGTTGCATATACCAGCGAAGTGTGATCACACCTCTTTCCCGACCAAGCACGCGGTCCAGCTCGTCTTGTACCCTAGCTTGGGCCTGCGGATGCACAGCTGCAGCCTGGATGACCCATCCGAGAACGGATGCTGTCTATAGCACGCGAGAGTCAAACTCGACCAAGCTTGGCATAGACACACGAGTCATGCAATGAACTCACTGTATCGCTGCCGGCGCCGAAGAGGCTGCCAGCAAGATACGCCATCTCGTCGTCCGAGATGTCCAATTTGGCTTGCTCGGTCAGAAGAAATTTCGCGAAGGACTCCTCGGCACGACCATGTGCCTATGCGGATTCATAATCTGGCGGTGTCCGTTGAGCAAAAATTCAAAACCCACCATCGCTTCCCTGACAGCATCGATTTTACCTCGGAACAAGCCCAACTCGTCCTTGTGCCAAGCCTTCTGCTCGTCCAAGATACCGGGAACGTGCCGGAGAAATGGGATTCTGTCCACTAACAGAGAGCCGGGGGCAAAGATGCGCCCCATTCGTGCGACGATCCTGCGTCGACGTGTGGTTTACGGCATGCGCAATAAAGAAGAGAAGCGGACTGACGCAATGATATGCTGAACCTCTGGGTCTGATACATACGTAGGCGTGGTCTTCCCATAGGCAATTCTGAGGATCACGGATGCCGCATATCTTTGTAGCGTATGCGTCAGTGGATTGAACACGAGTTGTAGGGCACTCAAATACCGTCTAACATGGACTTGATGAGCATCCGGGTTGTCGAGAATGTCAAGAATTAGGTTCCTGGAATTCTCCTCTTGGATGTGACCATATGTTGTTGCGACCTTGTGCCGTAAACGATCATGCATGGCGCGTCGGAGCTTTCTGGTTTGGTCATTCCAACTCATGTTGATAACACGCAGTCCTCCTGAGGCGGTTATAACCGGGATGTTCTCGGGCCTGTCTAGAGTTACGGCACCGTCTTTCTCGAGAATGTCGACAGCAGCCTATTAAACATGATCTCAGCACAGAATTGTGAATCGACATGACGTTACATAGACCTGATGGCGACCGATGACGACCACTCTCCGAGTCCCTTGACGATACGAAAAGACGGGGCCGTACTGTTGTGTCCACTCCTCGTTGATTCTCCAGGCACTAGAGTCAATGCAGAATACACGAAGAGTACAACACTAAGCCCCCTAAGTTGCGAAGGCAAGTAAAACGATATACGTACTCCTCGAGAGGAACAGTCGTACCAAACAGCCAATGACCAGGTGGTCCAGGAGGCAACGGAGGTGATCGCAAACGGATCCGCCTCGAGATGAAGACGACAATACCAACAGTGAAGGCGAACGAAACCCAAACACTGGTGTTGGAGAACGATGCCTGCATAGCAGATTCTCAGTTCAGCTTGAATGATGAACGCAGAGGGACGCCCTGCTGGTATATATACACTCGTGCCCGCTGGCCTGTTGCGTCTATGTCCGGAACAACCCCAGATTGACCGAGAAGGTCCGTAGCGCAGTCAAGGTGCCTCTGTTCAGTTGCGGAGACGCTTCCTCATGTGAACCTCTCAGGTCCAGAGAAGCAAAGGTTCACGAATCCCAGACATAGCACCTATCTCCGTGAACAGATGCCGGGCCCTTTGTACGGTCATGAGTTAACCATGAGAGAGTATCCAATGGTCTCGGAGAACTTGGAAACTTGAGGCGCGGCATCCGGATAGCATATAGATATGCCTTACGTACTGGTGCGTGTCCCAGCGGGGACAGTCGAATTCTAGCTGTAAATCTTCCAGATGGGTCGGAGCTGAAGCGCTATCCCACGATCGGTTGCAAGTGAGGAGGATGAGCGGGGTACTCCGGTGATTTGCAGAAGCACCTGGGTTCACGAGTGGGGGTGATTGAACGGCACAAAGATGGATCTGACACTCGCGATTGAACACGCCCGTTCACATCTAGGCCCTTTGCATTTAATTTGATCTCGTGTGTACCGCAAAGGCTCAAAGGTATAAGAGTTGACAATTCGGGAACCGCGGGAAGAAGGAAGGGCGGGACAACGATGACGGTAGCTTGATACGTGTATTGCACAAGACGTCAATGGGCGACCAGGAGTGACGGATTCGTTCGGTCCGGTCCAGGTCGGGAGCGCGTGCTATACGCATAAGCCATAGGCTGCGAATAAGGCGTGTCTAAACGGGGGTGAGCGATGGTCACACTGCACGTCGACTGTCGTCAATGTACTCACATAAGGCAGCCCGGTACCTCGACGGATCGAACGCGACCCCAGTTTCAGCCATTCGCCTACGTGGCATCTCCGACGTTCAAACGAAGGGCCATGATCCTCCACATGGAGGATACAGGGAGCTTGGCGACTTCAAGCTGGCGACGTTCCGAATCCCTCCCCTGGATTTATACGCGTAGCTCGGCTCGGAGATGCTCCAAGCAAGACTGAAGTTTTAGACATAGGAGCTGCGCTGCCAAGGTGTGGACGTCTGCTGCGGTACGTGATCGGAAGAGCCGACAAAGCCGAGCAACCTGCGAGAATGGAGCCCCTGTATACCGTCGGCCACCGGTCCCGGTCAGCGTCAGAGGGGGGTGGTCGTGTTGGTGGTCAGACACTGATCCATCATAGGCTGAGTTGACATGCGAATGAGAAGAATCGCTCGTCGCATGACGATGGGACTGAGTTTCATGTAGTACAGCGGCCTGCGGGGCACGGAGGACGAGCGATTCGGAGGGCAACCGGAACTCTGAAAGGCGTTCATGTTTCAGCGACGGATTTTGTGGAGACCAGGTTAAGGTCAGGCAAAACCTGGACGTGCGAAACACGGGTTCAAGCTCGAGTTCCGGGGTTGAGGTCATCGATTCATCAGTGTCACGAACGTGCAGGCGGGTTGCGCTGGTTGTTCCGGCCTCGGCGACGGATTGGCCTCGACGGCACGCCCTGGCGTCTTGCCAGCTGCACTTATTGCTGCATCCATGGGCAACCATTGATAAGCCTGAGCTGCACAACACACGGCGTTCGACCCGAGTTCCCGTACTGTAGCCCGCTCCCTTTCCTCTCTTCCTGCGACATCGTCCACCATGACGGAGCTTACGGCATCCGATTTGCAAGATGTACTGGCATTCACCACGGCCCTAGCCCGCACCGCCGGGGCCATCATCCTCGAAGGGTCTCAGGCGATCCAGTCCGCTCCTGCATCGGACGTGAACGAGAAGAAAAACTCGGTCGATCTCGTCACCGAGTTTGACGTGAAAGTCGAAGAGGTTGTCAAGGCTGCGATCGCTAAAGCCTACCCTCACTTCCAATTGTGAGCCAACATCCGACCATCCCGTCCCTTGTTACGATCGACGGTGCGGCGGGACATCGGCCGACAGCGCCCAGCACCTTGGCACCGATCGTAGACTGACCTTGACTTTCCTCAGCATCGGCGAAGAGTCTTACGCCGCTGGGTCCCGACAGCCCGTAACGGACGAACCCACTTTTTGTGTCGATCCCATTGGTCAGGCTATCACAGACCCGAAAGGTCCTCGGCGCTTACACAATGTTCCGCCAGATGGTACTACCAATTTCGTGCACGGATTTCCCTTCGTGTGCATCTCTCTGGGGCTCATATACAAGAAGAGGCCCGTTCTTGGTGTCATCTACAATCCATTCTTGGACCATCTGGTGTGTTCTCGACGTCGTACGCGCGTTCAGGCAGCTTATCACGCCTTCAGTACTCCGGCGTGAAGGGCCAAGGATCGCACCTGACCCGAGGAAGCGAGACCTTGAAGCTTCCCCTGGGTTCCCCGAAAACTTTTCCGTCGTTGTCGCAAGGCTTGCTAGGTTCGTTGAGTCAACAAGGCGACCATGATCGACAACACATTGCTCACGTCGTTATCAGCCATTGAATGGGGGTCCGACCGGACCTTCCCTGTTCTTGCGCCGAAATCCGAGTCCTTCTTGAAACTGGCCGGTGATCCCACCCCGGAAAAGTCTGGTGGAAGTGAGGAAATGGCTTCTGATAATGTCCGGCAACCTTTGGCTCATCGCTTGCTCTGTGCTAGAGCAAGCGACTCAGAAGGCTGTTGAGGGAGGTCGCATGGCGCATTCCCTGCGATCGCTCGGAAGCGCAGCCCTCAATTTTGCGATGGTCGCTCAGGGCGGACTCGACCTTTACTGGGAGATAGGCTGCTGGCCCTGGGATGTCTGCGTACGTGCCCCCCTGAAAACACTTTCGATCCATGTTCACGGGTACCAACCAGGCTGGAATCGTCATCGCCCAAGAAGCCGGGTGTTTGGTGACGGGATCCAAAGATTGCGTGCACGACGGGAACGTAACGGAGGAGATCTTGACGGGAAGGAAATATCTGGTCATTCGCGGAGTGGCTGATACCCCAGTATGTGCCAATTTACGACGGCATGTCCTACGAGACTCATCCTGGACAGAGCGAAAGTGGTTATGACGCTCAAAGAAGGCTCATACGCGATTTCTACGAGACTGTTGCTGATGTGACGCCCAACTAGCGGTTGCGTGTCTAGTGGGATTATAAACGCGGTCCATCGTTGCTAAACAACATGTTGATACCTAAGTATCCAGCAAAGTGAAGCAGACCCATGAGCATTGAGTCTTATATGGCTATGTAGAGTCTGGACAACGCGTACGGTTGGGGCTGTACAACATGTGTCGATGTCGGACGTCTCGGACGACGAGGATCGATTCCTTGCAAATGTTGACCATCTCAGCGCGCCGTTCAGCTCTGACCCTCACAACCCGGCGAGCTTGTTCTTCATTTTTGCTACGGACGGGCACAATCGACCGCCTCTTCCAGACCAAACGCGACATGTCGATCTCCATGCATCCGTCCTTGTCTGCAGTCTCAACAGAACGTGAATACATGTTCCGCTCCGCCAAGGCATTGTTCTGACGGCGTTCATCTACGACATCATCGGTCCCTATGTTCATATACGTCAGTTGCACCGGCTGCCATCGGTCCTTACTCCCAAGCCGTCAAAGTCGGGGACCTCGTCTTCGTCTCCGGCTGCATTGGCTTTGATCCCAAAACCATGCTTATCGTGGAAGGGGGTGTCGAGGCCCAAGCGGAGCAAGCACTCAAGAACATGAAGAATGTGCTCGAGGCCAGCGGCAGTGAAGTGGGCAAAGTTGCGAAGACCACGGTTCGCAATTCTTCAACGTACCTTAAGGGCCGAATCACTGATGAGTAGTCTACAGGTATTCTTAAAGGATATGAACGATTTTGTGGCCGTGAACGGAGTCTATGCCAAATTCTTTGGCGACCACAAACCGGCGCGCTCTGCTGTGGAAGTTGCCCGGTTGCCGAAAGATGCATTGTTCGAGATGGAGTGCATCGCTAGGTCAGATCAGTCTACCAGTTAACGGGGATTCCTCTGACACCACTTTCAGTTTGAAGTAAACGCATGTCTCTTTGGATGTCAATTGCAGTTGTTCGTACAGCAGGATACAATGCAGCGTATCGGGGCAGTAAATCAATCTGTGGTCGACATTCCACCCAGGGAAGTCACCGAAAGCTCGTAGAAAGCAGATGGAACGAGGGTAGCCGCAGGCGCCCATTCAAAGCTGTGGTCCGTGGTTGACATCGTCCCTATGCTCAGCACAGAGAAGCCCTCGAATTCGGCAGGGATTGTGTTGGTGGGGAACGTATTGGGAGCCGACGTGAAGGAGACGTCGGATGTCGACATCGTACCGATGCTTGACACGGTGAAGTCATCGAAGGCAGACGTGATGACTGGCGTAGCTGGCGGGTGTAAATACGTCGTGCCCGGTGCCGAGGCGGAAGGACGACGGTCAGGTAAAACTGCGTCGGTGGTAGACATAGCGCCCATGCTGACGACGGCCAGGTCTTCGAAGGCGGTGGGAATAGGAGCGTTTGGCTCGGGTGCCACGGCCCTGCGTCCGTCGGGAGTGGGCCGGCTGGTCTGGATGCGGTACATGCCGTCATCGGTAGTAGTGGCAGTGGTGGCGGTGGCAGGCGGCATGTTTGTCGATGTCGGGGCGACCAAGGTAGAGGTGTTGATGGTGGATGAATCCTCTGAGCTCCAAGTGATGGGTGCGGCCAGCGCAGGGCTAAGAGCAAGGGTGGTGAAGAAAAGCGACGAGTGCGAGAAGACCATCGTGGAGGTCGTCGGGTATCGTTGAGAGGAGAAGTGGTGATGTTTGGAGGGTTAGGGGACAGGTCGGTTTGCTTCATCCTGTCGTGTTGACTTGTTCTTTATAGAAAATTGGCGGGATTGCGTCCGTTGCGAGAGCCGCCATTTGCCTTCCGCCATCCGTCACTTGCTCATCCCGCAACTTCCGCGATCGTCCCGCGACACAGCCCACAGCCGTCCCACAGAAACGACTACCGACTCGCTTCATGCTTGCGTACAAAGGATTTCGTTGTTACTCCGTGCCGTCGCGGAACGACGCGAGGGACGACCAAAGCCGCTCTGCGGAATCTCTCCAACCTCATGAGCCTTCGATCAAGACCGGCGTATAAGATTACGATCATCGTCCGCTGTCGGGCGGGATCCGGATATTCCGCGTTCAGAAACATCCGGGGCGGCTCCCTACCTTTGCTGATGAATTCGTTTCGATCCGCTCAGACGTCGACTGGTACAAAATCTGCCGCATTTCGAATGGAGGGCTCGCACTACAAGTTCTCCTCCGATCCGACTCGTCTAATTCTCCACCATGGTTCGCATCAGCAACAACCTTCCCAACTTCACCGGCAGGCTGGTGGGCGGCCGGTATTCTCTCAGAGAGGTCCTGGGCTCTGGAGCCTACGGAATTGTTCATCGCGCCGAAGACCGCGAGGCCGGATCTCATCAGACGACGCAGGTCGCCGTCAAGTGCCTCTGGGACACCACCAATGCTGCGGGTGCATCTCATCGGCGCGAGGTAGCAATACACAAACTCGTCTCCTCACACGGCAACATCCTCACCTTGCGCGACATCGTCTACGAGGAGCAATTCATCTTTATCGTCCTTGATCTGATGCAAGGCGGCGACCTATTCGGCAACATCGTCCATCGACGGGTCTTCTGGAAACGGGACGACCTTATCCGCAACGTATTTCTACAGATATGCGACGGCGTCCAACACTCGCATAGTAAAGGCATCGCGCACCGGGACTTGAAACCGGAGAATATTCTGTGCTCCCCCGAGGGGAATGTTGTCATAGGTGACTGGGGATTGGCCACCAGGAGTTCGCTCACGGAGAATCGCGGATGCGGCAGTGCTTTCTATATGAGCCCTGGTAAGTCCACTATATCTTTCACAGCATTCAGCATACTAATGTCTTTCTTCAGAAGCGTTCAAGGACGCTCAACATCCCCGCCTGTATTGTCCTCTCCGCAGTGACATTTGGTCCTTGGGCATCATCCTTATCAACCTCATTACCGGGCGCTGCCCCTGGCAGAGGGCCGAACGCTCGGACACCTCTTTCATCGAATACGTGGATGACACGGCGCATGGTCGTTGGAACGGAGAGTTTCTGCGATGCATGCTCCCGCTTTCGTCTGCCGTCAACATACTTCTGAAGCGCATATTGGTAGTCAATCCCGCCCACCGGCTGCAGATTCAGGACATCAAGGAGCGTATCTTGAACATTGATACATTCTTTATGTCGCCAGACGATGTATCGAAGGGAACACAGCACGTCAAGGGCATCGTCGAAGAACACGCACAGTTCCTCGTCAAAGCTGTCGGCGGACCCCCCTTCAACGGCATCATCTTCGCTCCTGTTCCCGGCACGGCCGCGGTGGCACCTCTTCTTCAACGCGAGACGTCGATGGTCACTGTCGCGTGGTCATTTCGTTCACGAAGCAACGTCGATCCTGATGCCTTTTCCCGATCATCGCGACCTTCCTCACCATCGTCACGTGGGCCCCGCACTCCTCCTGTCAGTGACCAAGGCCTCACGAGCATCGTCATTGCCAGCGTCGAGCAGGCCCATCCGGCACCGGCAATACGCCGCCCACATCCACTTCCTGATTCGCCATCAGGAACGGGTAGCCCTTCGGCCGTGCTCCTGAGAATGGCCGTGCTCAACGACCGTCCTCAGGCGATAGAAACTAGGAGCGAGGCAGGGAAGCGCAAGAGACAATCGTCAATATCGGCGATGTTGAACAAGACGATCAAGTGTCTCAAGGCTTTGGCTTAGATTATCATGTGCGATGGAATCTGGCTTTTCTGGAACATTGTACAACAAACTTGTATCATCGTGGCGGGGAACGGGGACGCAAATATACCAATAGCACATATAATTATAATGCATTGGATTAGTAAACTACGGTGAAACAAAATGGTCACCATCAAATGAGGGTCCGATAACATGAGTAACAACCAAAAGGCAAAACGACGAGTTGGACGTCCATTGATGTCCTAGTCCGTAAGACAAATTGTACAAGCCATGCGGTCGTCAACTACAGTTGTCGCGCAGCGCACAACTCTTCGCATATCATTCATATCCGCTTAGGCATCCAGTGCGAGCTGAGCAAGGTTATCAGCCGTAATCCTTGAGTAATCATGCCTTGAATCTTACTGGAGAACTACGTTTGGGCTGGTACGGCCTCGGCGCTATCGAAGGCAGAGCACTCGCGACATCGACGGTATCGTCCGAAACCGTCGAATTGGTTCGCGAAACCGTCTCCATGGGATCCTTGAAGGGATCCTCCAGCAATTGCTCGGATGCAACAGGCTTACGACGGATACGCGGCCGAGGTGGCGTCGACGCTGCAGCGGCCGGGGCATTGGAGTCGGGCCCCTTTGGCCTCTCTGGGTCCTTGAACGGATCCTCCGGAGGCGAAGACGAACCCTGCGAAACGAGCTGGGATCCTTTCTGGGACATATTCGTGTTCTTCCATCCCGCAATCTCGTCGTCGGAAAGCGAGGGTGGCCGTGCGGTGGCGTCGGCCATGAAGCGCGGCTGAACCGGATAGATGGGCGTGGCGGGAGGTGGAAGGGTGAAGAGTGTCTTGAGGTCGCGAACCTCCTTGCGCTGGTAGCGCCATCGCTTGAAGAACAGGGCCAGGAAGACGGCAACGAACACGAAGACAATCCCACCAATAACCCCCCCTGCAATAGCGCCGGTGCGCCGCGAAGACGAGGCACTCGAATTCGAGTGAGCTGAAGCCCCAGGAGTAGAGAAGACTGTCGAAGTCACGAGCGAGCTAGTCTCAACCGATGTACTGGTGGTAATGGTTCTACCCGAGGTGGTGATCGTTGTTGGGACGGTTTTCGAAAAGTGGCTCGTAAAGGTTGTGGTGGCGATTGCCGTGACTCCGTCGGCCTCGTCCGGGAGGGGGGTCACAGAGTTATCCTTGGCCGAGGGACTCTGGGATGCAACGGCTTGGACTGGAACGCTGCACTTATGAGGTCAATGGTGGTCATGATGATGCTCGCATCGCTCACCTGGAGAGAATCACGCTCGTAAATGTGCTGGAGTCGGAAGTGAACACTGAAGTAACCGAGGTGGCCGTGAATGCAGTAGACACAGCTGACGGACTACCATATGCGGTATTCATGAGAATCCACAGAGATTGATCGAGGGTACAACGCACATTGGTACCGGCACATCCGAGGTAGTCGTAATAGAAACTACTGTCCGCGAGCCGCCAAGCGTTGTCGTCACTGGAACGACGACGGTGGTAGGGGTGGACGATGGAACTACATCCGCGCTAGACGTCGCACCGGAGTTGTTCACGGCCCTGCTACCCGACGCAGGAACGGAAGACACCGATGCTGCGCCAGCACCAGCCGAAGCAGTGGTAGCCGAAGCCGGGGCGGAAGGCGTCGATGCTGTGGGAGAGGTCGCCTTGGAGGAACCTGCAGCCGTGGTGGGTTTGGTGTCATCTGGAGCTGCGACCGAGGTTGTCACAGGGGAAGGAGTAGACGAACCCTGAGCGACGGAAGCGGCATCGGTAGCAGCAGCTGAAGGATTCGCGGTGGAGCCTTTGTTGGCGGCGGATCCTGTGTTTGCGGTCGTCGTCGGTGTCGTGGAGTCGGCTGTAATCGTATCTTGGTCAGCATCTGAGGGTGGCGTAGCGGTACCAGGTGAAGAGAAAAGTGTCGTATCAACGGCAGGTTTAGAAACAGAAGATGTTGTTTGCACTGGACTAGCGTGGGACGACGTTGTGGGGAGAACGGTTGCTTTGGAAGGTGTCGCAACGGTGTTCGGTAGCGAGGCGGAAGACGTAGTCTCCGCTGCATCCACTTCAGGAAAAGGTGGGGTAGTGGTTTTCCCCGTGGTCAATAACGTCGCAGACTGAGCATCCGAGACTGTCTTAGTACTGGCAAGCTCCGGTCGGCTACTGGATGAAACAACGTCGGTAGAAGCGACAGCCGGTGGCGTCGTAGCATTTTCCCCGTGAGACGGAGTCGTCGTCACAGGGCTTGCCTGCGAAAACGAAACTGAATGCGATGCCTTAGGCGACGATGTCACCACGATGGGCGCTGAACCTTCACCGCCTTTGGCAGAAGCTGCAGTAGTGGCTACCTCGGTCCTGGCGACGGTGAGAGATGCCTGTGTGGCAGGCAACGTCGGAGAGGTCAATGCAGAGGCAGGGAACAAGTCTGGCGTCGATGCCGAAGTAGCTGCTGCTTGCGAAGGTGAAAAAGATGAAGAAGAGGATGACGGGGAAACAGATGGGGTCGTCACGACGGTGGAAGACACCTCTGCAATGTCCGATGTCGAGGCAGAAGCAGAAGGCGCATCCAGCGTTGACGCTGCAGCAGTCGCTTGTGCTTGCGTAGATGAAAAAGACAAAGAGTGCGACTCGGTGCGATGTTTCCCGGCGTCTCCTGACGCCTCGGTCGAGACCACGGTAGAAATAGATAAGGTCTGCGAAACCAAACTCCCCGAAGAGAACACCGACGTTCCCGTGACGGTTACCTCCGTCGAAGCCGGGAAAGACGGCACGTCAGGCGAAGACTGCCCCGTAGGTGCTGGAACGGATGTGAACTGAATAGATGACGGCACCGACACCTCTGGCGGTGACGGCACAAAGGATGAGGACGAAATCAGTTCCGAAGAACCGGTCGGCGCAAAAGTGGCCTCCTCGTTGGAAGATGGAGCAGGGGATGGATTACCTGATTGCGTAAGTTCAGATTCCGAAGATTCAGAGCACCATGGGAGCGAAAGAAATTGGCAGCTTACCTTGTGAGGACGCGGATGCCACAGACGTAGGCGATGCGGATGTGGTGGTCGGTGGGCTTGCCAGGAAGACAGCGCTCGATGCAGGGCCGGTGGTCGTGCTGATGGCTGAGGCCGTACTCGATTCCGAAGCCGCACTGCCTGAGGATGTCGCAGTCACGTCGGTACTGCTGGTCGCGTCTACAACGGATGATGTAGATGGCGCACTGTGGGACGCTGCTTCGATTGACGCAGAGGATCCGGCCTGCTCTCCCGGAGCAGCTGCTCGTCGTCATCAGCCTCCGAGCTTCACATCATCGAGTCGGTAGAAAACGAGGAGGGCTCACCACTCGCCGAAGAGGTGTCGGACGTGTCGCCGTCGTCGCGTCTCCAGGACGCTGGCCGCAAAACGGGAGCCATGGACCACCAAGGGCCGCAAGAGCTGCCTCGAAGAAAAGGAAAGAGAGGAGACGGTGGAGGTCACGAAGAAAGCCTCAAAAGACCATGGTGTGAGGCGCTCGGGCGGTGACCGTCACCCTTCTCTGCCGAAGAGTCGGGATCAAAGGTCAAAGATGGAGGTGGTAACGATCTGTTTTCGGCCCGGGCATCCCAGGTGGTACCTAATTGATGAACGTATCCCTGGGTTTGCCTTCTGCACGATTGGCGATGATCTTCCGAGGTTAGAACGCAAGTGTACGCGCTGAAAGCGTCATTATATTGACTATGGCTTGTTGCATGCCGGTGCTTGTCAGCGTTAGACGCAAAATGCCACATATACAGGCACCCGGTGATCGAGGTCCCGCCACCGGCGCTTTCCTCGCAACCAACATCCACCCGTCGCGATCTTGCCTCGACATTTCATGATGACTCCCATAAGGTCTGTGTCGTTTATTCTGACCTGAGCCATCGCTGTCAAAACTGTGCTTGATGCCTTGATATCCGCTGACCGCGGTCCGCAGGAGCAGCGGCAGTACGCCCATGGTTAATGTCGAACAGCATCATTGATCGGGTCGACAGCGGGGAGCTCATTTAAATCTAATAATCATCGACGACCACCCGAAGGCTTCAATGGCTCGCCGCGACCACTACTTGCAGGCAACTCCAACAACCGCTACGTACGTATGTAGGACAGTAGAGAGCTTTCAATTCCGATATATATCGAGATTTTGATACAGTATCCTGTGGCCAAAACGCGCGCCAAACCGAGCGATTTGGGTATGAAATCTCGATATATATCGATTTTGAAAGCTGTCTAGTATAGACCGTCATTCTTCCAAGACCTAGAATAACAGCCGCCGCCAAGTGCTCATAAGTGGCTCTTCTCACGCCAGAAAATACGCGTTAAGGCGCAGGAGACGTCCATCCTGTCATCTGGACAGTGTCACTCTCCAGTCTGGATGTTCGGCAGATCGAAGCGGACGGAGAAATGGCAGAGTATAAGCTCGCGCGCGAAGGGGAAGTACAATGTCATTAACTGTGGTCACCGAGGGTCACCGTCTGACGATGCTGAGAGAAACTCTCTGAACCACAGCTACACGAGAAAGTTCTCCGCGGTGGACTGCGATGATTATTCGCCGTTTGTAGCCCCCACATGCCGTGGTGGAACACGTTGCCGATGACACGTCCATCGAGTAGGCTATAATGCGCAACGTTCGCAACAGGTCATAGTAGACGTGGACTTCCGCCGAGCGGCCCAAGCCCGAGACGCTGGCGGACTTGGGAGGTGTCACATAAGTAAGTAATTCGATCTCGCCGCCGTTCAAACAGAACCGGAAAGTTCTTCGACTCCGAGTCCGCCTCGCAATTGTGATCCGTTGATAAACCCCAGCCGAGCCGATGGCACGAGGCCGTGGGTACCGCAGCTACATACGATGCTCGCTGGGCGCGGCCACAACACGGGTTCGGTCGCAGCTGGCTCGGTCACTGGCCTGCTCGGTGTCGCGGGGTGATAAGGATCGAGCGCGGTGGGTGTCGAGTAGCGGCGGCTGGGGCTCGGATGGCGGACGGAGGCATTTAGCGCCGCCACACCCATATGGAGGATGTGTGTACGCTGTGCGAATGTGGAAGGCCGGGCGGACTGGCTGCGTTGGCCTGCGATTGGATTAGTGTTTGAAAGCAGCCGGCGCCCCGGGGCTGGCTTGCCATCCTCCCGTCCGACGATTCCACTGGAACCCGGACCGCGCGGTCGTCGGCCCAACGCTGGGTCGTGATTGTCCAGCCCGGACGTCCTCCTGGCCGCTGCCCACCGAGCCCGGCGCGGTTGTGGGCCCGATGGCGACGTCGACGAATGTACGGTACTATTACTGCAGCTGCTGTAGCTACGCTTGCTGAGAGGATATGATGATTTTGACTTGGCCGTGGTCCGCGATCACGGATGGCCGGGAGAGTCGCCATTACGTACGTGCCTGGACAAGCTTCTCTCTCCGGACGCATACTTCGGTCGTTTCCAGAATGCCTTTGTACTTGTACAGCTCGCCCCTTCCTCCAGAATCTTCCATCCCTCCTCGCTCTCAGCCCGTGCCCCGGCCCCTTTTGATCCACCTCCATCTCCTGCCCGCCCAGCACACACCGCCCTGCCAGCCGTCCCCGCGATCGAGATGAGGAGCCGTCTCCAGCCAAATCGCCCGAGGTCACACTCGTTCAGTCACGACCCTCACGACCCCCTGCTCGTCTTCACCCAACCGCCGGAGGACGAAACCCCGGAGGAAAGAGAGCTCAGGCTTCGGGCAGAACACGCGGCAAAGATGCGCAGCGAGGCAATCGACGAAGAGCTCCGAGCAGAGAGGGTTCAACGGAAGAAGAGGCGGGAGGTCAAGGTCCTCCTCTTGGGCCAGAGCGAGAGCGGCAAGAGCACGACACTAAAACGTGAGTCAACCCCCTTACCTCTCCTGCACGGGCGCCGCCTGGGTTTCGACATGGCGCGGGCTGCATTCGCGATCGGACTATATCTCCGGTATGTGTTGCCCACTGCGCCCTGAGGTCGCGACTGATCTCGGCGCAGCGTCCAGCGTCTCTCACCGTGGCATCATCTGGCCTGCCCGAGATTTCTGCGACCATGGTCTGTCTTCCGCTGGATCCATTCCATCGACGTCTCCTGACCCTCCTGTCTTTCCACCTCAGTTGAGACTCAGGCTCGCCTACCGAGCTGCATGTTTCGCAAGACGCTGAGCTGACGAAGCCTAGAGTTCCAGCTCTTGCACACGCCAGAGACCTTCCACGCTGAGCGGATTGCATGGCGTTCCGTAATTTATCTTAATTTAGTACGGTCCATTCGTCGGTGAGGTAGATAAACACACGGTCATTACCTTACTTGACAGTCTCGTTCTCTTTAGAATCCTCGAAGCCATCTCTACAGACCAGAACGGTCTCCAGAACGGGCTCTCCGATGAGGTCGACGTCGATTCTATAGACGCCGCGTCCGTGATCATCTCCGCGGAGCCTCGCTCGCCGTCGTCTCTTTCGTTCAGCCCCATCCCCAACTTCGAAAGGTACCGACGGCGACTGAGCCCGTTACTGGAACTCGAAACGAAGCTTATCCACCAGTTATCCTCGCCGGATGACGATGACGATGGGGAGGCTACGCGACTTGACCCGCCTCCCGTCGCCTCCTCATCACAGCAGCAAGTGGTATTTCCACCTTGGAACAACGCCGATGCAAATCACTCGAGCCCGCACCTCAGCGCCGCGATGAGCGGTCTCACCATCAACACCGCGGTGGCCGCCAACGGGCGCCCCTCTCCACCGCTGAGCCCCTCGCCTTCCACTCCCCGCTCCGAGTTGACGCTACACAGCACAAGCACCTGGCGAAAGGCGCTGTCTTTGGGCGGGCGCATGCTTCGAGGGCCGCAGAATCCCCAGAACGATTACTCGAACGAGGTTCGTGGGTGGTGGGAAGATCCGGACGATCCCGTGCATATTCTCAACGCATGTTCGGTGACTATGGTCGAGCTTTGGCAGGATCCCAACGTGAGGAGGCGGCTGCAAGAGCGAAGACTTCGGCTCGAAGAAAGTAGCGGATTGTGGGTAGTCCCGACGCTGCGATGGATAACGCGTTCTCATGCCCGAGTCTAGCTACCTCGATGACATTCACCGGATTACGGCGAAACGATACATACCGTCCGACGGTAAGCTAAACGCTGCTGTAACGAGGGTCCATTGTATTGAGCGCATGTTCCGTAGACGACGTTCTTAAAGCGCGTTTGAAGACGGTTGGCGTCACTGAACACTGTTTCACGCTCAAGCCTTCCGATGTCGGGCACGGGTTCAACTCTACCCTTGACTGGAAGATCTACGACGTCGGGGGTGCACGACACCAACGACAGGCGTGGGCGCCGTACTTCACGGATGGTCAGCCCGTTTTTGACTGAATCACTACCACGTTACTGAATGGGTGTTCCAGTGAACGCAATCATCTTCTTGGGTAGGCTTGGTTGTGTATTGGTATAGCTAGGTTCTGACCGTTGACCAAAGCGCCGATTTCGGCCTTCGATCAAGTGCTGAGCGAGGTCAGTCGTTCCTGCCAAGTTGGAAGCGACACCAACCTGACCAGACGCGTAGGACCCTACAGTCAACCGCCTCGAAGACTCGTTCCTCCTGTGGAAAGCTGTCGTAGCAAACAAGTTGATGCAGAACGTCAACATCATATTATTCCTGAACAAGTGCGACCTTCTGCAGAAGAAACTCGCCTCCGGAGTAAAGCTGTCAAGGTACATGTCGGGATATGGGAATAGGCCAAACGACTACGAATCCGTTGCAAGGCGTATGTTCTCCAAGCTGCTCGTCCATGACCTCATCTGAACGGACTCGTACTGCCAGATTTTAAGCAGAAATTCTACGCAATACATCAATCCTTTTCGCCGAACAAGGAACGGGATCTTTTCAGTACGTTGAAGTCGATTCATCAATACAGTCAAGGACCCTGAACTGCCCGTAGTCTCTTTAACATCCGTCATCGACACCCGGAGAACACGGCTAATCATTCATCAAGGTCTGTATGTCTGCGAACGTTTCAACTGATATCGGGCTGACTCCTGGCACAGTGCGGGACAACATCCTGAAGGCCAACCTAAAGCATTCGCATTTCGTATAGCATAATCGCCAGCACTTCTTCGGTCGTACACCACACCTTCACATGTATTCGCTATCGTTGCCACATCACGCCCCAATCTTAATAGCACGCAATGAGCGTGGGTCTTTTCTCGTTTGATCACTGAACGGCGATGGACCATCCACGGCGGAACCGATGCCGTAAGTAATTATGGAACAAGAAGCTGAGAAGCCCAATGTAATAACCAAATTCTGTATCCGTGTATTACTATTACGACGCGCTGTTATTACGATGGCCACGCAACGCGAACTTTTATTTCATCAAGGAGCAATGAGTTCAACTAGTGCGTCCCACAACTGATCCTTAATCTCCTCCTTGGCACTAAAGAACTTGCCGCTGAGCAACGCCATGCCTTGTTTATAAAGCTCTGCGTCACGTATCCGGAAATCCTGGAAGACTACGGAACATTCTGATAGGTAGATGTCCAACCGGTGAGAAGGTTGCTGGGTGAGCGCCAATAGTTCACCCGAAAAATCGACAAGTGCATTCATGATAGACCTATATCGGCATTAGTCAACAATCGAACGAGGAAGATGGGGGAAAGCGGAGCGTACCATAATGACGGCCGATGCAAAGGCTCCTGCTTGTGGACTCGTACCCATTTGACATCTTTTGAGACGATTTTCAGGAAGCCTCTTCCATCGACCCAATCCTCCCGCAGTCCCGAATTCATCTCTTGCCAAGTGTACATTCTATACTGTTCATGGTTAAGGAGATGGAGACGCTCCCAAGTTGTCTGTATCGTGACTTCGTCCTGCTCGGGATGCTTATCTATGTGGCCATATTCGTCGAGGCTCGGGAGAGGTTGCATGCGTGCGGCCGAGCGGAAATGGTCGCATCGCAGGACTTCGCCCGTCAGAAGGCTATGGACCACATTTCTCCGGATGGCGGCTACCCACCACGGCGTGGACCGCGAAGACTTGACAATCATGCGGAATTCTGATAGCGCCAGGCTCGCCCAGGAGCCCGCTGTAACGCCGAACAGGCATGGGAATACCCAAAGCGTGAGCGTAGCTTCCGACAGAGAATATTCGTAGAGGGGATCGGAGGCGCTCAGGTTGCCGGCCCCGAAGGAGGCGTACCGCGGGTGGGAGGGCGTGGGCACGTGTAGGCGGAAGGACAGGCGTTCGACCGAGAAGTCGTAATGGACGTCGACCTGCCCTCGTCCGGTGTAGCGGTATCTGACGCCTTCGACGATGAGAGCGTGAAGGCCGAGGCGGACGTGCGAGATGCGCAGACGATGGCCGAGGAGGCTGTTACCACAGAAGAGCCATGTGGCGATGGAGAGTACGGATGCCACGAGGAGTTCGAGGACGATGATGGTGGAAGTGAGGAGGGACATGCGTGCTTGGAGAGGCCATGGTGATGGGCGAGTCCAAGGGACCGGAGCGATCAAGCGCTGACGTGCTGCTCCAGCCCGGAGGTGGTGGTCCGCGGCACTGGCTTGCTCGCCGTCCCATGACGTCATGCATCATAGAGGCGCACGCGTTGGTTAGGACGGTCGATGTAGTCAAGTGCACCGATGGATTGCGAGAAAACAGTGAGCACCTGAAGCCGAGGCTACGCGTGAAGGAGCCTCATCTATAGTACATGCATTCGCTGCGGGAATTCCGCACACTTCGTCATTCATGGGGGGCATCGCAGTCATACTACCCTGTCCGCGCTGGCGTTCTCCGCCATCTCCGTCGCCTGCTTTTCACTTCCATCCCTCTCAGGCTTTTCCGAAACGTGGTGGTGACCCTCCATCAGGTGCGGACGCCACCCTTCGCTCTTCCATGGCTTGACACCGGCCCGGTACATCTCGTCGACTTCCTCCAAAGTAAGACCCTTGGTCTCCGGGATGAAGAAGTAGACATAGACGAAGCCGACGACAAGCATGCCGAAGAAGATGAGGAGGATGAGCGGGCCGATGTCGTTGGCGATTCGCGGAGCGAAGAACGACAAGAGGAAGTTCCAGATCCAGTCTGGTGTGATTGAGCAGATCAGCGCACAACATACAGTGAGAGGTCGAATCAGACGTACTCGTCGCGCTACCGAGCGCAATGGCTTTGGGTCGCACACGGAGCGGGAAGCTCTCGCCGAGGTATACCCAAGGTGTCGGGCCCCAAAACATGCTGAACGAAAATACGTGCAACACTGCGAACGCGATGATCGTGTCTCCTCCCTTCTTGTTCCTGGAGGTCAGTTGAGATTGGGGTGTATCCGGCGCAGCCAAGGTGAAGTGTCCGACGAGGCCCGCAATGAGAGAGCAGATCGCTTCCAATATGGAGCCGGTGAGTAGTGACTATAGGACAACGTGAGTCAGAAGACGGGCATTACACTGCGGCATCTTACCTTGCGACGTCCCCATGTGTCGATGAGGTACAGAGCAGGAACGGTACCGACAACGGAGACGGCACCAAGGATAGTCTGAATGACGTAGGGTGACAGTGTCGTACCGGCGCTCTTGAAGAAAGTGTCGCCGTAGTAGTCTGCACGTCGCAAATGAGCTTGACGAACAAACGGGAGTCAGGATAATGGCCACTGACAATAAAAGTTCTGTCCGTTGAGCTGCTGAATGAACTGGAGCATCATGCCGTTCATCGTACGCTTCCACAACACGTTACGTGTGCTGAAGCATTCCATCCATGTGGCCTTTCCTCCTTCGTTCTCGGCCCGAATACCGTACTCGAGTTCGTCGACGACTTCAGCAACGAGAGGGTCGTCCTCCGGGACACCGTTCAGCGCGGCCACGACGCGCCGCGCTTCCGCCTCGCGCCCGTTCCCGAGCAGGTGACGGGGCGACTCCGGGAGGAAGAAGATACCGGAGAGGAGTATTAGACCCCAAAGCATCTGCAGGCCGACGGGAATGCGCCAGGACGCGCTACCGTTGATCGTATGGGTGCCGAGGTCTATGATGTAGGAGATGAAGATGCCGATGATGATTTGCAACTGGTACATGACCAGCAGGAAGCCACGAATGGCTTTCGGCGCGGTCTCTCCGTTGTAGAGGGGCACCTGACACAACCATGATGAGCCCGGAGGATACAGCTAGGTTAGCGAGAAGCTCACAATAGCGGACATGGCACCGACACCTAAGCCGGCGATGAACCGGCCAATGGTGATCTGAACGATGGAACGGGCCGTCCCCGTCTGGATCGCGGTGCCGACTGTGAAGATAGCGGACCAGAAGAGAATCGAACCGCGCCGTCCGAAGCGATCAGAAGTGAATGCCTGTGCAAGGGCACCAACAAAGGTGCTGGTGGTATACGTCAGTCACCTTCGTCCATACGACTATGGGGTCAAGCGTACCCAGCGGACAACAGGGATGTTATGATCGACTGCCGAGAACTGTCCAGCACCATTTTGCCGGTAGCATGGTCCAGAGTGCCAAAGCGGTCGATGAAATCTGGCATAATCAAACATCCCTAAGGATCCTGTGTTAGCACTATCCCGTCATGTGCTTGAAGCAACAGAACTGACGGATATCACACCGATATCTGGACGAGGGCGTTAGTGCCAGTATGTTCAAGGGCATATTTGCGGGCGTACCATAGCCAAACAGGAATCCGCCGAAGGCGACGAAAACCGCCAGCACGATGGCATTGCGGTTGGTAGGCACGGCTTTCAACGGTACTGGCGCCATCTTGAAAGCGACCTGGCTTGATCAACCCCCGGGAAGGGAAGTATCAGAAGTGGAGAAGGATCGAAGTCCGAGAGGTGAGAAACATTGGGCAGGAGATTATATAGCGGCGCATATGTCTGGTGCGAGTTCGGATGCGCTGGGAGCCGGATAGAGGTTCCAGGAAGGTGATGCGAGGCAGACATACCCCTCACGCGGGGATGCTTCTCTCCATCTCGCGGGCCGGGGGAGGCTTGGAGAACGATGCAGGGGTGGATATTTTAGGAAAGTGTGGGATCGCGGACGAGCGAGTTCACTTGAAGGACTCCAGAGGTGACCAGCCCTGCGGTGCCGAGCAGTCACTTGCTTTGATGCACGTTGTGGCTTGTGAGCCTGTGGATATCCTGGATATGTGCTGTCTGTCCGCGACACGGCCGTTGCCTCCGTGGACGGGAGCAAACTTGGAAAGCGGTGAGTACGATCGAAGGAAGGCCCTGACGTCACGCGCTCGCCAGACGGCTGCCGGACCGACGATGCCGCCTCCCGCGCTCTCGGGGCTTTTCGTGCACCTCCCAGCTTGGCTTGAACAGTTTGGCCGGACGCGACGGCACCAACCTGAACATACTCTAGACCGGTGGACTCATCCAGACGCCGACTCGCCGTGCCAAGTGGCACCATTGCCGCCATCGATGGAGACCAGTGCTCTCACCAGCGCGTTATCACATCTCGCCATCCAGCCTAAGAGCCAGCCCGTTTCGTTCGCAAGCGCGTTCTCCATCCACACCCTCTACGATGCCATATTATCGCAAACCGATGCCCCGGCCATCGTCCTACTCCAGCGGACATGCAGACTCGTCAGATCTGCCGTAAGAGATTACGCCGCGCGGGCGTTCAATATCGACCGCCACTTGTCGCGGTTCTTCGACGATACCAGAGCCTTTCGTGCTTTACAAGCACAAACCGCAACGGTGATATCCGGTTCAGTCGCTTTGCAGTTCTTCTTGCGCACAGTGTATCCCGAATCCGATCTCGACCTCTACGTACGTGGACATGGCCGGAATCTCGACTCGATCTCATCGCAATTCGCAATACAGGTCCATCCTTCTAAAGCGAAGGTCATCGGAGAATGGCTCCTCTCTGCTCAAGGTTACCGCTTTGTCCCTAACTCCGTCCAACCACCGACTTTTGAGGAGGCGAGCGACGAACGGCATCCGTTCTATGGGATGCTGCCTATGTCCGCTGGCTCGGACGATGAGCCTAACGCGGCCGCGGAGAGATTCCACGCTGAGAACTACAGGCTCACCGGAGTCAAAGCCGTCTTCTCCTTCGAGAAGCGATCGCCTCGCACAAGGGACATTCTTCGCGTACAGGTCGTCGCCGCCAAATCGTGTCCCTTAGAGTGCATCTTATGCGAGTGCCACCTCGATGCTGTTCGCATGTTACTGATCGATTTTCTTCCGTGTTTACAGCGTTTCATTCCAGTGCGCATATTCTGACCTGACGAACATGATAGGAATACTGAGAAAATGTCATACAGCATGCGTCATGAACGTGATCACATACAACGCCGCTTACAGCTTGTACCCTCGTGCAACCTTCTCTGAGAAGATATCGTTGGCGATGCCGAGGCGAACCGACGACAAAGAGGTACTCCGCAAATATGAAGCTCGAGGCTTCAAGATTTGGAAAAGCGACGCCTGGCGCCATCATCAACCAACAGTGTTCCGTGCTAATCAGGTTCGCTGGGTAGACGATCCGCACACTTGGGTCGTTAATCTGGACAAGCCATATAGTCCTGATCCACCAGTGCCCTCGTCTGCATCCACCGTACTGAAGACCGATCCTATCACTCACAACAGCTGGCAGCTGGTTATGGTGGGCGTTGTTGGTATGGTCTACATGCATCTCTGCTCTCCCTTATTTCGTTACGACTATCTGCTCGCGGACACGAGGCTGGTCAGAGAGGTCCTCCTGCCGTTCTTCAGGGAGAGGGACATGGTTGAGCCCAGTCTACTGTGGGTATCAGAGGGCGGCGACGTGCGCACCTGGCGGCCACGAGTCGAACAAATCCGCGAGGCGCCGAACGAGGGAGATCATCGCAAATGGTCCGTCCCTCTACGTCTGGCCTAGGTACAGTACACGGGTGTTTTGCTGAATCAATCCACAGGTGGGATGGGGAGATGCCCATCTTTCGCAGCTACTTGTCTGACCTCCCATACTGTAGTTCTAAAGCTCGGGTGGACCTGTGTGGCATATGGGGTACGTAGGCTCCGCTGGCGCATGTGCGACGCCCGTTCAGCGCGAATCGACGTGATGTGATCGGCCTCAGGCTGTAGATGTAATTCCAACCAAAATATGTATCACTGGGTAGGAGACTCATTCACAATCTGTTCTATGCATGTTGCAGCCAAAGACGAAAAACCGCAACTTCAGCATTCGTTACATATTCCTGCACCCACTTCGTTGCAGTAAACGCCATCACCACAGGTATTTGACCAGAGCAGTGCATACCACTCGATTATCGTTACGCCGCTCAAGATCCATACCCAATGTTCTCAAGACTGCACGAGGGTAACTGAAGCCGCGCCGTTGGTGAACGGTATCGTGTACGCTCCAGCATCAAGTGCCAAATTGGTCGACGGCTTCAACGCGTGCGTGCCCGACACCGTCGTTGATACGACCAATCTTCCCGCGGGTGCGCTAGCGGCGGTTGCAGTGGTGCTTTGTGCGCCTGCGACGATGGTCAACTTGACCGATTTGACGGCGGGGTCGAATTCAACTTGTGAAAAGGTGCCGGCATCAAGCGTCAAGAGGGTTGCGATAGGGCCAACGAAGACCCGTCGACGGACTGCATCCTTAACCTGCACCACGATCGTCGGCGACTTCTGAGTGACGATACCGCCAAATGCTTGCCAGCCAAAATCGGGGTGCTGCACGATATAGGTGCCTTGGTTGAGGCTGAGTCCGACATAATTCGGACCGTAATCGCCCGAATATCCATCCCACTTGAGCGTATCCTCCCAGGAGTGGAAGCTGGCGGATGCGAATCCGCTTTGGTCGATGTTGGACAGCGGTCCGCTGAGACCACCGAAGGCCACGCGGAGGAGGTAGTAGTCCGTGGGAGTCGACATAAATTGCGACATGAGCGGTAACGCGTTCAACCCGCTGCCGTAATGATGAATCTGGCGTTCGATGCGTTGCAGTTTGCCGCCGTATACGTTATCCCTGTAGAAGATTCGGAAAATGGACAAATGGATTGGAGCCCTTTCGACACTCACCAATACCTCCTGGCGTTACCTAACGCGTCATGTCAGACAGTGCAAAAAGCCAAACTCTGGATATCTCACCGTTGTATCCCCAGTGCGCAACTGTGGGCTGATATGCAATGATCGAGTTGATCACGTTGAGAGCGGTCGTAGAGTCGTTGAAGTATTTCGCCCAAACATAGACGCCCTCTTGTCCGGTCGAATCCCATGCCATCTCCGAGCCGAATCTATCTACTTGATCAGCGAATACGATATGAAGATTAAGGAAAGTTGACGTACGGATAACGTTCTCCAGCCCATATCGTCCACCTGGCCCTCATGCGGCTCTCGACGACGCTAGCATTGGCTGTCAGCCCTTCTCTATGGAGATCATCTAGCAGAACGCGGAAGACTGTCTCGTCCATGAGTCCGTCGTCCACGTATCCAACGGAATTGGGATTAGCCATCGTCACGACAGTCGTCACGGCCTGGTTCAGATACCACTGCCAATTGTGCGTCTTCACCAATGAGGGGTAGTTCCGCGCGACACGGTACAAGGCCCAGTAGGCGGCTGTGACGTGCACGTAGTCATAGGCCCGATCGGTCGCATATGAATCCGCTTCCGACCACGACCACCAGTTGCCCCAGTCAATGCTCGATGGATAGCTGTACTGAAGAACCAACGATGGCTGATAGAAGTAAACGGACTATCGCGGAGTTAGACCATGATTTTCTGTCGGGAACAGTGGTGCTACCTTTTTGACAGTCCCTGAGTTACTAGAATCAATCGCAGTACATATTCGTGCACGATTGTGTCACATACCATTTAAGTTCTGGATGGAGCCGTGCAACGTTTGATTGACGAACGCTTCAAGTTTCGTGACTTCGGCTGCATTGGGCTGCACGTACTGCTTCATCATGGCGGCAAGCCACGAGCCAGCACCCGCTTCGTCGCTCAACCCCGGGATCCATGCTCTGGGATCATCTTTAACGATCGCATTGGCCTCTCTATCGTAGCTTATGACCGACGGGGAGCGGTGGAAAGGATCGTTGGGATCGTCGAACCATTGGTTTGTCGTCAGAAAGTTGCCCAAGTCCGACATCGCCTGCGTCCCGCTCTTCGTCAGATAGTAATGTACCGTTTGCTTCCTTCCATCCATGTAGGTGATCGTGAGTTGAGCACGACCCCAAGCATGGGGCGTGATATCATAGCCCACGTAGGAGCTGGATGTTGCATCCTTGTTCGCGGTCCAGGATAGCGCACCGGACGGGCTAACGGACAAGGAGGCTACCTTCGAAGGAGAGCTCAAGAAGAGCTTGCCGACCTGGTCAGCGGTGAGGATATAGCCGGGCACGCCGACAGCCACGGGGACGCTTGCGTTGCGTACTTCGTCTTCAATGCCGCGGATAGAAGACGCGAGACGGAACTGTAAGCCATAGGTACGCGTTTGCCCCGGTTGTAGAATGGCGGAAGTGGGCGCGTTCCACGGTGTAACATTACGCCACTCGTTTTGCGCGTATGCCAAAGTATGAAACTGCCATTCGAAAAGGCCCTCAAATGTCTGAGACTGGTAATACGGCGGATTCGCTGTGCTCTCAGGAAGGAATCGCCAGCCTTCGAGCGGGGAGCTTGTACCGTTGGCCGGAACGACAACCAATGGAGGCAAGGTACCCAGCAGCGGGGTGACCTGAACGTAACCGGCGTCAAGCCCAATATAAGGGTCGAAAAGGCTGCATTTCGTGTTTGTATCGGCGGCGGTACGATCGGTGAAGATCTGCGTACGGTAAGTTCAGCAAGGTATGAAATATACGTAGTGATTACTTGCTCACATTGTTGAACTCAAGGGGTGCTCCAAGAGCGCCGATCTCAACGGCCGAGGACTGAGAGTTGGTGATGTCGAACAATAGTTCAAGTTGCCCGTTTTGCACTATCCACCTCCGCGTAATGTTTAGAAGAGATCCGGATGGGAGGGTTGGTCCGAGGTTCGCGGCCGCGAGCGTGGACCCCGACACCGGCGACGGGCTCAATGTCTTGCGGGCGGCGGAACTATCACCGCTGATCCATGCCGTAGAACCGACCTTGCGGGCTCTGAAGGTAATATCACCGAGGTGGTAGTTGCCGTTATACTGGCGCTCGGTCATCATATCAGCAGGGATGAAGTCGAAAGTTCCCGCTCCTGAACCGCTCTTGGGGCGGAGAGAGTACAGCGTCTGCGAGTCTTTAACAAGCTCAACAGAGAGGTTTGGCGTATCAAACGAGAGGAATCCATCGGAAAGGCCCAGTGTTGCGGTCTGGGATCGGACGCTGATGATCCATACCGTCAACGCAGTGAAATACACGAAGAGGCGCATATCGCCGAGAGAGTATTACTCCTGACCAACCATCCACTCGAAGGAGCCCCATCCTTTTAAGCAGAGTTGCTGCTCTATCTTTGCGTTGAAGAGAAGAGCTGGGGCACTGGTCGTCAAAAGATGGCTATAAACTACGCGTCCGGAATCCTGACCTCGTGTGGTGAGCCATGTGACGACGCCAGCAACTCCATAGGCAGATGGGCCCTTCATAGACGCGGCGCGGAGAGATGGGTTTACGCCGTAGATAAGTTCCGCTTCGCTACTCGGTCACCTGGAACTCTGAAGCATGATGTCAAGAAGTCAGACACGCAATAAGTACGTATCACGGCCGTCAAGTCCAGAGCTTGCCTCAGTAGTCCTACAGCGCCGCAGACATTCGTTTAGATCAAGTTGTTAACATAAATCGCAATGTTAACAAACACACAGCAATGTTTGTAGGCTATGGAGGATCACGCCGATCTCGAGTTTGAAGCCAACGCGTCTCCGAGGTTTATATCAGTCGGGCCGTCCGGGCCGTGACGGCGCGTCCCGTTTTGCCTGATCACCAGAACGAGCATCAAACTTCAGATGTTCATAGCTCTGTGCTTCAGCTTCGATACCGGGCTTGCCTTTAGACAACTGTATAAACTTGCTATGTTCTTCTCAGAATCGCATGAAGGCGTCCGTCGTGCTGCCAATCCTGCGCAAATGCTGAAGGGTACGCTGTTCGACTTGCCTGTGAGCTCTCTCGCGCCTCGACCCATACTGAGAGGCTGGAATAGATTATGCGTGATCATTGACGCCTGATACACATATATACACAAAGATAGGAACAACTCAGCGTACGAATAAGCACCCAACTCTGCCAGAGGCCGGATCCAGAGAGGGAACAGGGAGACGAGGACCCGCAAGACGTTCCCCTAACTCCTGATTGCCCCAATGAACCACTCCTGGCAACGAAGAAGGTCGTGTAACCGTCACATCCCAGCGTATGGAAACGAACGTCTCCGAGGTATATCCAAGCACGCTTACGGCCCGAAGCTAAAACTACTGAGGGGAACATCGCCCTGCGAGCGAGCGAGCGACAAAGGAACTGGAGTACTCGGGCAAGGCTTTATGCGCGCAAGCTCTGACTAACAGGCGATGTAAAACACACCAGCACCAATGCTCCATCAATGTCTTCCCGACTTGATGCGCGTACGTTGCGGCCTTCTACCTACCTTTCTGAACGATATGCCGCATCGCCGATGGCTCATCGTTGCTTCACGCACCCGCAATAGCGTTGTCCTTGCATGCACATTGGCGATCTATCACGAGCCTCAAAGCGCGCAAGTGTTGCGATATCGTTACCTGCGACAGTTCATAGGAACGGATGCTGCACGACATACCTGGGCCTGTTATCATCGACTAGACACTCGTCGCTCTGTCATGCATCATCTGAAAATGCAACTCGGAAGGCTGCCTGTATAGGGAGTCTCTGCGCCTGTCCTTACCTCGTGTTCGGATATACGCGTGCATAGTTATCTCTTTTAGACGTATAACGTGAGTGTCTGGCCCAGATGACGACATCTAACATCTTCGGTCGAGATCGTTCACTTCCGCCGCGCCTCGTAAACTTCGCTATATTTCCGGGACACGCCGGTGAACACTACTCTTGCATGTCGCTATAAATGTATACTGATTTCGGATCAGGTCGACGGCCCAAGATCGAAGTACTAACTGCGTATACTTGCTGCCACTTGCTGCGCAGCATCTGGAACGCGTAACTGAAATCAACTTGACGGCTGCATAATACGCCGGGTCATGCTCGGTTGTCTGTTGCCAGAGCAGCGTACCACGGGTTGTTGCATCTAAATCGACCCTGCATGTCGACGCTAATGCGTCGCAACTTCCAGGTTATAGCCGCGTGTTCACTGTCTCTTCGACACCTGAAATCAAGCTACCTTGAGCATGCGCCAAGGCATCTCCAGGCATCATTCGAAGAGAGCGCGCGCTCCACCATATGCGATCTCAAAATGACGCCATCGCGCGGTCAATATTGTTCTAGTCCGCCCACCCTGAACAACGACGGAAGCGCAACTCGCGGTGCACCTGGAGCGCACATCAAATTCTGAAAGGGACGGCCGTATGGACTGCGGCGCTCGTGATAGGCCCGTATAGTTCTGGCCCATTTGATTTCCGTGGAGATCCCCGGATGTATATCGCGGCTACTTCTGGAGTATCTGAACTTGATCTCAACTGGGCAAAAGTCCGGGTTTCGCACTCATGACCACATGCATGCTGGCGAGGTGTCACGTGTGTCACGCGCCAATTCACTACCGAGGATCGGCGCTGGTGGCTGGCTACGGCGGAGACGACGTCGAGCTAATGCGGCTCTAGCGCTTCCACAGTGGACGAACTCGTGCTGGCTCCGCGGTGCTTCTCGGATGAGGCCGTTGTGCGCATTACCCCCTTTGTGCTATGCATTCTCATTGGCATGATTGGGAAGCAGTGTCAGCATATTGTCATCGCCATTATGCTTCAACCTTCACTGTCTCTACGAGGTTCTATGACAGTTGCATAAAAAGGCCAGCTCAATGGAGCAGGGCCGCCAAGCATACTCGCATTTGTCCTTTCGAAAGCCTGTCGCTATGACCCGTTTCATTAACTTCACGCTCTTGTCATTGGCATCTGCGGTTGCTGCTACACCCTTGAGCCGCGACGCGAACGACGGTGTGCGGTTGGCGGTCAACCCCAAGTGTGGTGCTACAGACCTCGTCGCAGGGCTGCCCTCGTTGGATACCTTCAAAAACATCGTCACGTTCGGGGTCAGTGTTTGCATGAATGAAAGGCGTGCAGTAATTAGCGTTCTCATGGTGTATCTGCAGGATTCCTTCACGGACGCTGGTGTGCACAATGGATCTGCGCCCGCACCTGCTGTTCTGGTTCCACCCAATCCTAAGGCAGGCGGCAGAATGACCAACGGTCCAGTCTGGGCGGAGTACCTCGCATCTGACATCGGCGCCACCTTGTTTCCATACGCGGTTCGTTGACGATGATCGAAGTCTGAGACCGCCCATAATCTGAGACAAATGCATCCCGTAGGTATCTAACTCTGTCACGTCAAAACAGCTGTTCCCCAGCTTTAATGGCAGCGACTTCCAAGGCCAAAGTGAGTCCCAACGCTTATCTACGTTCCACTGGTCACGTCGCTCATAGCTGTGTAGCGCAAACATTCTTCAGCCAGCGCCGCGGTCTGGATCCGAGCAGTACCTTGTATACCGTGTTCTTTGGGATTCAAGATGACGAGCTAAACAACTGTGAGTCGAGTATTGAAACGCGTGGGGACTGTCCGCTGAGATGCTCTCTGATGGTCTCAAAGCGACATCATACGCGCAAGGAGCGGTCGCGGGTATAGCTTACGACATCGAGACTTTGGCATCGCCGCCCACCAACGCTAAGAACTTCCTTATTGTTACCGCAACTGGTCTGGGGTCGATGAGCCCTGGCGCCGCCGAGTTCCAGAGCAACCTCTTTAACACCGCGAAGAATATGAACGCGGAGTTGGGGTATAATGTGGCTGTCGCTGACTTGAACAATATTTGGATGGCGGTATTAGGCGGCGAGTACGGTGAATTCGGCTACGTCAGCGACGGCGCATGTACTGTCAATGCCCAGACCACGGCTGGTGCATGTTCGGACCCTGCTCATACGTTTTACTGGATTCCTGGGTGAGTCATCGTTTTAGGCGTTTAACGTTTAACTCCGACCAGCGTCATGACCGGTCTCTTGCAGGAACCCATCGACACAAACACACCGCATCATGGCCGATTACGTTGAGGAAGTTGTCTCACAATGCTGAGACTCGAAACGAAAATGACGCGTTTCTTTCACCACGTAACGATACAATGTATTCACGCCTGTAGCATAAGTTGTGACGATCAGTGATGTGTCGGTGTCCCGAGTAGTGTTAATGGACATTGAGACTCTCGACTGTAACTCGGATATGGTTACTGCATGTGAATTACCACACCGATTACACGGCCACGATACCCCCGACTTCACCCCCAGGAGTCGGTGTCGGTTCATCCCTACCAGCAACAAGGGCAGGTATAGGATTGCCCTCGGACGGCCGCGGTGCCCACAAATCGACAGGTTCAGGGTTGGGTCGGAAGTCCGGGGGAGTAGTTGGCAGCGATGATGTTTCCGTCAAAAGCGCGGGTTCTGGAGCGGTTAGCTCGGGATCTTGTGCGCTTGCCCGCTGCTCACTGACGAGTGAACCGAGATCGACCTTTCCAGGTCTTTTGACGTCCCACCACGAAACCCAATCGGGCCTATGAGAGAGTGTGTCTTCAATGTCCCGGAAAACTGCCTCGCCATCCCATTGTCCGTCAACATATCCATCCATATCATCGTAAGATTTGGCCACGCGAACCATCTCGCTGCGTGCCATGTACTCGGCTTTGGAGACGCCAGGATGAGGCGACTTGAACTGCCGGATGCAAAAGGCGGTATTCGACCAGTGGTTGTCGAGCCACCTCGATAGGCGGACATACGGAGGTATCAGGGTTCGGTCCACATGTTGGAGCGGAGTAGGAGAGAACACTGAAGGATTCGCCTCTGCAGCAGTGGCAATCATGACCGAATGGGCACCTGAAAGCCTTCATCAGAGGTCGCGGACGGTTAATGGGGAGGATCACGGACCGGTCACCTCTCTAACACGCTTCGCGTCCTCGAAACTGGTGCAGTCGCCATTCGCAATAACGGCAGTGCCCTTGCCCAATCGCTCGACGAATTCAACAATCTCTCTCAGTCGTTCAATCAGCGCCCGTTCTCGCGGGCGCATATTCCGCGTCCTGCAATGCACCGTCAGGGCGTTGACACCAGTATTCACGATTCGTTCCACAAGCTTGAGCGTGTCCTCTTGACTCGGAAGTAGTCTGATCTTCGCAGAAATTGATATCTCCGGCGGAAGCTCCCTCCTGAGCGCAGTGAGGATAGAGCAAAGTAGGTCGGGATTGGTGAGAAGGGCGGCACCCATCCCCGCGTGCGTGGAGAAAGGTTTGGGGCATCCGCAGTTGAGGTCGATGCCGGACACGTCCTGCATGACGAATTTTGCGGCTTTAACGGCGAGCTCCGGGTCGGCGGAGCCGATTTGGTAAATGAAGTACGGCTTTTCGATGGGATGAGTGGTAAACATGGGCTTGCCAGCACCTCTGTATACAATGGTCCCCGTTCGTTCTGCATGCTCGCTCAGCATGGGTTAGCACGGTACTCGTAAATACCATGCTTACCGTCAACTGTCCTCTCGGCGTGTAGTATGGCTTTGTCCACCATCTCTGGACCCCAGACAAGTGATGCCCCGTACTTGAGGGCAAATAACCGGGTTGGCACTGAACAGTGGCGTAAAGCAAGATCCAACACTGCGGTAGTTCAACAACAGTAGAACGCACAAGCGCCAGAGCGGACCATAGGAGCAAGAACGACGCCATTTTTATAGTCGTCAGGGGTCAGGACGCGCTCGGTTCTAGCGCGTTTTGGAGCCCGCGGCGGAGGAGAAGGCGATGTGGACAGTGAACGGCGGGTCATGATTAATGCATACGTTCGGCGAAAGGCAAGCAGCATGTATATATAAGAGATTAGATCGCTGACTCGGAGGCTGGGGTGCACCTGCGAGCGTGCGAAAAACGACCGGTGGCATCCCGACTCCGAGTCTGAGCATTGCAGCAACCGTACCGATGTTTCCTTCACGTACCCCATCATGTGGTTCCGGTGCCCGCGTTGACATTGACCGCAATAACAGGCCCTGATAAACGGGTTTTCGTATTCCGGAAGGATGCTAGGATGATACAATGCACGGAGACGGGTCTAAATCGTGTCCGCGTTGGTTGACGACTATAGTTAGAGCTAAGGTATGCGGAAGCGTTTGTGGGGCGCGAAGAGGATGGAAGGGGAACATTCCGAGTGCAAAGTGGGATGAGGTTGACAAAGATGCAGTAGTCCGTGCACAGGGGCTGAAGCAGAGGGGGATCCGAGTATCGTTTACATGATGACGCAGTCTTTGTCTTTCCCATTCTTTGCCCCCGTTTGAAACGAATCCTGTGTGCCATCGCGGTGCACGACGGCGTCGGCGCCGCCCGGGTGATGCATAGAGCCGCCCTTGAGCCGTTGTGTAGCGCGACGGTCGCCGAGGTCCGCGGCGCGCTTGTAGTATTGCATAGACCTTGACCCAAACATGAGTATTGGAAGGTGAGCTCGCAATATGAAGACCTCACTCATCGTGATTGACGGGAGTTCCGATGCCGACTTCAAGGAAATAACCGACAGCGTACATGGCTTTGGCCAGACCGGCATCGGCTGCCTTCTTCGCCCACAGGAATGCCTCGGTGTCGGATTGAGGCAGCACGCCTGGCGACCCGACAAGGTACCAGGCCGTGAGCGCAAAACATGCGTCTCGATGGCCCTGTTGCGCGGCAATGTTCTGAACGGACTGTCAGCGAGCTGCGATCTCGGTGTCCGAGCGGCTCACGTAATAGTGTATTGAAAGAGCCGGATCTTGCGGGCATCCCATCTTGCCGTATTCGTAGCACTCTCCTAATCGGTAGGCGCTCGCGGCATACCCCAGCTCCGCCGCCTGAGCCAGCAGCTCGGCCGCGTATTCGTAGTCAACGAAGACAACGTTGTTGATCCCCCGTTCGTGCAGCAGAGCGAGCTCGTGCAGCGCGTGCGGAAACTCCGCCGTCGCATGCTCCGCCGAACGCTTGAGCCACTGCACCCCGTCCTTGGGCTTCTTCGAGAGCCCGAGCTCGCCGTTCAGCTCGGCTATTCCGAGACGATACATGGCACCTGGGTGGCCCGCTGCGGCCGCTTTGCGGAAAAACTGGAGCGCCTTGGCGCTTTCCCGTCGGCATCCCCACCCGTTCTCGCAGCAGGTGCCCGCCCGGTAGGCAGCGTCGGGGTGCCCGTGCTTAGCGGCGAGAACAAAGAGTGGGTAGGCGCGATCAAAGTCCTGCTTGCCCTTGGTGGTTCCTATACCGTTGGCGTAGCAGTCGGCGAGGAAGTACTGGGAGGCGGCGTGGCCGCGGTCGGCGAGGCGTTTGAGGAGGGACGTAGCCTCTCTAACGAGATCTTCGCGCTTCTCGAGTGCCCGTTCGACCTCTATAACGTTGGCGGGGGTCGGTTCGGGCACGGGGAGGGTCTTGGAGGCATCGATCATGAAGACGGCGAACTCGAACTGAAGGTCGGGGTCCTGGGTCTTCTTGGCGTTCGCGCGGTAGAGCTCGAGCGTGCGTTCGTGAGAGAGGAGCGCAGCCTGGTTGCCGGGCTTGAGGTGAGAGTGGTCGAGGATGGGGGCTGGGGGCATGCCCACGGACGAATCGCGGTCGCGAGCCATGGACGATCGCGCGGGGGGCGGGCCCATGCCGAGCTGGTCCTGGGAGTAGCCGCCCTGGGACGACTGGTAGAAGTCGTCCTGGTCGGGGCTGGCGACGTCGTCGTCCTCGGGGTAGTACTGCGGACTGGCGCCCCCCGGAGGCGGGGGCTGTCGGGGGAGGGGCCGGGGCGGGCGGGAGCCGGGCGATGCACCTTGCGAGGCTCCGAGGGCATACTGGGATGCGGGCCGGGGGAGCTGGTCGTACTGGGAGGGAGGCCGGGGGTCGTACTGGGCGCCGCCGCCGAACTCGGAGACGGGGCGCGGGTCGAGGTTGAAGGAGCTGGGGGATGGTCGGCGGCTCGCGTTGGGGTACGGGCGGGGGGCGGCCTGAGGCTGGTGGTCGTAGGACATGGCGGGCGTTGCTGTTGGCGATGGGGCCGTCGAGCGCGCGTCTGAGGCGGGCGGGTGCAGAGAATCTGTGTGACGCGCGGGCGGATGTCAGAGAGTTCGTCCGGGACATGAGCGCATCGCAGACCACTCGCCGCGTGCGTCCGCCTCCGAGTACGCTGTGTCGTCCACGGCGGCAGTGAAGGAGGCCGGCGAGAGTGTGCGGCCGGGGTGGTGACGGTCGGTGCGACGGAGGCAGCCTGCAGCCTGCTCTTGACCACGACCGCACGCACGGAGCACACCGAACGGCCTGCTGCTATATCGGCTCGCGAACGTTCGCCGTCCTCGCCTGCACTGGCCCCTCGCCGCGCTGGGAACCGCAATCGACGCCGTGGTGACAATATCCCCGCATACCCTTACGACGGCTTCTCGTCGACCGTGCAAGGCAATCAGATCCTCCGCGTCTGTTCCGATCCCGTCGCTTCGCTGCTAGTAACGGCACCGAGCGCTCAAGCTCTTGCATATCACACATCGGCGCGACGTTATCATAGACGTCCCCCCCCACATAATCGCGTTACGAAGTTGAGGGCGCCTATACTACCATGCAGTCACTCAGACAGCGCAAGACCCCCGAGCGCGGGGAGCCCTCCCGCGCCCGATCGCTCGCTCGGTCCGCCACCTCTCGTCTCCAGTCTGCCCGCCCGGCCAAGCGCGATGCCTCCGCCCGCAAGTCTCGAGTGGACGACAAGATCAAGAAGCGCATGTCCATGCGCTACGCCGACATATCAGCCCCGACCGGGGGGCAGGGCATCCCGGAGGTGCCCAGCATGCCGATGGGGTATGCCCCGACGCGGAGTACCAGTCCGGAACAGGACGGCGAGGGCGACCTGAGAGTAGGGAAAGGAAGAAGAGCAGAGGAGCAGAAGGCGGCGGAGATGAAGATGCTGGACGAGAAGAACTTTGATCCGGACGCTTGTAAGGGCTCTCCGTCTCATATCTCCGTACGCCGTACGCCATTCAGAACCGACGTATAGACCTCAAATTAAAGCTCGCCAACTCCACCGAAGCCGAGCTCAAGTCGCTTCAGTCCTCGCTGCAGAACACGAAGGATGAAACGAACGCTGATCTGCAGCGGAACGTCTTTAAGAAGTGAGCGGTACCGTCTCACTCGAGTGCCGATGTATCTGACAGGTCTACAGTTATGCAGAATTCGTGCACATCTCCAAGGAGATCAGCACCTTGGAGAACGAGATGCTCGAGCTGAAAGACAGTCTATCGGAATGGCGTAACATGCCGTCGCTCCTTCACATCGACGAGAACGCCTCCGTTGCTGGTACGTGACTGTCCCCTTTCGCCAGTGCATTAATTTGACTGATTTGCGTCTCAGAACGGCGGCGCAACGTGCGTTCCTCGGTCGCTGATCTCCGCGTGCTCTACGCCTCCCAAATGCAGTCCTTGCACGCCCAGATCGAAGGCAGCACCAAGTTTGTCCCGACCATACCCGGCCGCCATGTCGTTTCCGAGATGGAGGACGGAATTCTGGCGTTGAATGCGGCGACGTACAAGGTCACGCATGCAGTGCGATTCGTATTACTGGATGATGCGGTCTTAGTGGCAAAGAGAAAGAAGGGGCGTGATGGGGGAAGTAAGGAAGGCGGAACAGAAAGGGGTGGAAAGTGGGTGGCTGAGAGATGCTGGCCACTGAATGAGATGTTGGTGTTGGACACGAAGGACACGGCTTGTGAGTGGTGTTCGCCGGCTCTCAGTGAAGCTTGCTTGGCTTAATTGTTCTTTAGCCATGACAAACGTATTCAAGATTCGTCATGGGAAGGAGACGCATGTCTACAGGACGGAGGTGGCGGCGGATAAGAAGGCTCTTTTGGCGCAGTTCAGACATATCGCAGACGAACTAGCGACCAAGAGGCGCAAAGAGCGAGAGGGCGAGCACGAGCGGCGGAAGACGATGTGGGGAGGAGCCGACGTAAGTTCTGTCATCGCCTGTCTTCAGCACTGTGCTGACCATTCTCGGTAGGATCGATCCGCTTCAGATTGGATGGCTGAGCTAGCGCGGAATGCCGGGATGTCTGACACCGCGAAGGAGAAAGCCGAGCGTGACGCTCGCTGGCTCAGCGATTATTCTGATGGCCTTACCGTCGCTATTGCGCTCCGTGACTGGGACAAGGCCGCAGCTCTGGTCGAAGAAGGTGAACGGTGATCGTTCCTGGTCTCATTATGCATGCTCATTCCGCGTCGCAGGCGAGACGAAACTGCCCACTATACCGTCACTTTCCGCCAAGCTACCCACGCTCACAGCTTCTCTCACCTCCGCCCTTCTAACATCCCTGGCCTCTCCCACCATCCGCAAGTCCGAGGCCGTGCGCTTGATCGCCCTCTTGGTCCGTCTACATGCTGGTCCCGCAGCACGCAGCACGTTCTTGAATGCGCGGGCAGAGGTGATGCGTAAGCGTGTACGTTCCATCAGGTTCGAGGGAAGCGTGGAGATGTACGTGAACGAGCTTGCTGTGGTGGTCTTCACGGGATTGAAGCACACGGCGGACTGGTTCCTGGCCAGCTTCAAGGAAAACGAAGTGGCCAGCGGTCAGTATTCTGACTCATCATGCAACGGCAGCAGGCTGACATCTCATAGGCTTTGTGGAGTGGGCAAAGCATCAGATGGAAGCGTTTGCGGAACTGTTCAGGCGCCAGGTGTATACCAGCGACGCACCTCCCCAAATCGTATCGGAAGCAAGGAGAATCGCATTCGTTCAGAGCAAAAAGGTCCGTTCGCCCTCTATTCGTACTATTACTCGCGATCAACACGTTTCTGTCAGTTGCTGGAGGAATATGGGCTGGATTTCCGGTATCTACTAGAGGATCTCCTTTCGGAACATCCAAAGGACCAGAAGGAGGTCATTCGGCCTCCAATGCCGGTGGTCAAACGGCATTCGCCGCCTCGATCGGGTCCCGTCCGTACACCCGCGCCCACACCTATCCGCGTCCGCTCGCCAGAGCCAAGGGCGAGAAGCAACGGTGAAGCGTCGTCCACACCTCCGCGGTCGTCACCCTTGGCTTCCACGGCGCCCTTGCCCAAGGTGGTGGCACCGTCCCCCGTCCGCTCTCCGGTGCAGGCGCCGCGTCCACCGCGCGCGCCGTCGCCGTCGCTGTCGGTCAGCAGCGCGAGCAGCGAGAGCCGCACGCCGCGGATACGGTCGCCGGTGCCGCCAATGCCCCGGGATCGTAGTGCGCTCGGCGCCGATGGTCCGGCCGTGCCGACCACACGTCCGGTACTGAGGCCGCAACGAGCTGCCGCACGCTCCAGACCGGGGAGCGCTGCGAGCGATGGTTCATCTGCTGGCTATCGACCGCCGCCTGTGGCGGTGCCTCGACGGGAGGGCATGTTCTAGCTGTTTTCTGGTTCTCTCGGTGGGAGACCTGAGCGATCCGCACATGGTCGTTGTTTGTTTTCTCGCTATGCTGTCTTGTCGGTAGTTTGTACGATGTGGTTAGATCGGCTGCGCCAGTGACCGTGAGAAGATGTGGCACAGAGATGGACCTGCTGCAAAGTGGGTGGTGGACGCGTCCTCGACCGGGTTCGAGAGCGGTTGCGAATTGCGATCTCCCGTTGTCGAGCGACGTCCTCGACCGCCAGCCACCGCCCGACGCGAAGGTCCAACGAACTCGGGGGGACGAAGGCGAGTATCGATGTGAGAGCCGTGCCTGCAACGACGTCATAGCATGCTTACCCTCAGCCGCAGAGGCCATTTGCACCGGCCCTTCCATCTTAACTTCATCTATCGACCCCCCGCCCGCTGTCCGACCCTCCCCTCTCCTGCATACCGTTACCGGGTGATGTCCTTTGTCAAGCTCAGCATATTCGGGACCTCCTTCGAGGTCAGCTCTCGTCAGGGGTGTGCAGGATCTGGGTCTCAGATTGGCGGTGTCATCTTTGTCTTAGGTCACCACGAGATATGTTGACCTCCAGCCGGTCGGAATGGGTGCGTGTCTCGCTGACAAACTGTAGATCTTGCTCATCGCTCGTTGTAGGCGCTTTCGGTCTCGTCTGGTGAGTAGACGGCCGCGCGCTGCGAGTCAGCGCTAGCTCACCGGCGACCAATCTGTCTTATCTCCCAGTTCGGCCAAGGATCAGCTCACAGGGTCATCCGTTGCCATCAAGAAGATCATGAAGCCGTTCAGCACGCCTGTGCTCGCTAAGCGCACCTACCGCGAGCTGAAGCTTCTCAAGCACATTCAACACGAAAATGTGCGCCGATTGCGCTCAGCTCCACACCGCGTGTCCTAGCGCTCATATCCGCGCATTAATAGATCATCAGCTTGAGCGATGTCTTCATTTCCCCACTGGAGGACCTGTAGGAGCTGAAACCATCGCCGGCACTTCACGCCTGCTCACTACAGTATTCTATAGGTACTTCGTGACCGAGCTCTTGGGTACCGACTTGCACAGATTGCTCACGTCAAGGCCACTCGAAAAGCAATTCATCCAGTACTTCCTGTACCAGATCTTGGTAAGTCTCCACAAGCGCTCCTGCTTATCCTTGTGTTCATTCATATGGCTCAGCGCGGGCTAAAATACGTCCACTCTGCCGGCGTCGTACATCGTGATCTCGTAAGCGTCTCGCTCACTTGAATTGCGTCTTCAGCGCTCATTCTTGTGGCGAGCGTAGAAACCTAGCAATATCCTCGTGAACGAGAACTGCGATCTCAAAGTAAAGTCACGTGTCGTAACGCTCACTGACATGGTCGTTCATATGCGAATTCATATAGATTTGCGACTTCGGTCTTGCACGGATCCAGGACCCCCAAATGACTGGTTATGTCTCGACTCGGTACTATCGTGCCCCTGAGATCATGTTGACATGGCAGAAGTACGACGTCGCCGTCGACATATGGAGCGCAGGCTGTATTTTTGCCGAGATGCTGGAAGGCAAACCGCTTTTCCCCGGCAAGGATCGTAAGTGTTGTTCATCGAAAGCCTGGCACGTTCCTGGTCTTCAACTTTATATAGATGTCAATCAGTTCTCCATCATCACCGAGCTGCTCGGAACCCCGCCGGACGATGTCATTCAAACTATCGCTAGCGAGAATGTCAGCAATCGCACCGAAAGGTCATACTTATACTAACCCGAATTGGCACAGACCCTTCGCTTCGTGCAATCTCTCCCGAAGCGCGAGCGCGTGCCTTTGAACCAGAAGTTGCGTTGTAATGACCCTGATGGTACGCGGTTTCGAGTGCTATCCTTTCAGGTTCTGACACAGATCTCGAACAGCACTCGATCTCCTTGACAAGATGTTGGTCTTTGATCCGCGGAAGCGCATCACCGCCGCCGAGTCATTGGCGCACGAGTATGTTGCACCCTATCACGACCCGTCGGACGAACCAGAGGCTTCGGAGAAGTTTGACTGGAGCTTCAACGACGCCGATCTGCCTGTAGACACCTGGAAGGTCATGATGTACAGCGAAATTCTCGGTCAGTCATTTTCCTGGTGTCTTTGATGGTTACTCATCCATCACCTAGATTTCCACCAAGTCGGGGAGGCGACCACCAACTCGGCCGGCATCCCTCAGGGTCCCCTTGCCGGCGCTGACGATGGCTATGTACCATCCGGCGCCTCCGCGACGGCCCAGACCACATGATTTGCAGACGGCCATCTCGCGTCTTCAAGCACTGGTGGCATATATGACATGGTGTTATGCTTTGCCTTAGAGGTGTGCATTATCCTTGTTGCATCGAGATACCTTGGCAGCTGTAACACATGTGCTTGCTTGAATTCCCTGCCCACATCATCGCCTAGACGCTCCCAACGAAGAAAGAAATCGAATGTATCCACGCCGCGCCACTCGACGTTATACCCTTCAGTATTGTGGCTAGCCTCTTGATGGATTCACGGACCGATTTTCCTCGTAGGATCGAGACGCTAATTAATCTCTCCACCGTGTAGTGATACTCCTTGCAGATCCTCCTGTAGTAGTTTGTTCCCGTGTAGCACCCGAATATACGATGGGCGTAAACCAATAATACTCGACAGATTGTGGCGCCCTCAGCTGCTTGCCGCGTCGTAGGGCGCCGCAGTTGTACAGTACTCACTTCACTGTGTCACGTCCTGCGATCGTACCCGAGTACTTGCCCGATCATGCCACCACCCCGCCCGTCCGCATTTCAGGTGTCCTATCCGGATGAAGATACGAAAGACCGTTCTCTTGCGAGGGAAGTCAGGACCTATGATCCAAGTGTGGAAAGTCGAGCCGCACGCAAGCGAAAGCGAGAGAAAGAGGATGCGGAGGTATGTTGATTGGCCTGCCTCGGGCATTGAACCGACCTGGTGCCTTTTGCAGTTGGGATTGGATCAAATTCGACCGCCTGCACAGGCGCAGCAAGGTTAGCACAGGCATCCTCGGCATGCACTTGAGATAGCTGATAATTGTTGGCTTGTCAGCCTACTACTGCCCGACGGAGAAAGAGATATCGGAAGAGATCTATCACGCTCTTTCAGGTGCAGACGTCGACGGTCTGGAAAGCAGAAAACCTACATCTCGTAGCAGAAAACCATACTGCACGTTGGATCAGTTCACCTTCTTCGATCCTGGGTCTGTTCATGGGCTGGTCGTTCTTGTAGACGACAACTCGACGTCGTCCTTCAGGGCAGACGCGGTGGGCCTGGTTACATCTATCGTCCTCAACGAGGAAGATGCTGGCCAAGAAGACGACATTGACAGCGAACAGCTGATCCGGTTGAAGAATCCGTCGAAGGTTCAGACGCGGCAGGTTCATCATGTTTTGTATGTTGTCTCTCTTGTGTCCTTAATTCTGAGTACAAGACAGCTTATTCTACGCATATAGGGAGTTTTGCGTGGAGACGCCTTACGCCGTTTACGTCTTGGGAAGGCCGTCGCCGTTGTATGAGACAACGTACGAACTATTTAACACTGGGGAACGTCGCGCGAATTTACTCCGCTCCGTCATTCAACGTGATCCTCCTGATCTCACTGCACTGACGGGCAACAAAGATCTTGCAGTCTTGAAAACAGAGAACCTCCAGAAAACCACGGTAACCCCCCTGATCTACTCGTTGGCCAAAAAATACTTCCTCGACGACTTCGAAATGGTCGGGCGATCTGTGGCAGAGGAAACTCCTCGGCAAGGGCTCCAGCGGCGCATTGATATTCGCGAACGCGAGCGACTGAAAGAGCTTGTGAAGCGCATACATAACCCCCCACCTGGTCGCTGCGAAAACAGGAAAGAAGATTGGCTTGACAGGAAAGGATACTACGCTTCGCGGGTCATGATTGATAAAGTGGAATACTCGGTAACTCCCTGTCCTACTACAGGTTAAAGTCATAGTAATCTGGCCGCCTCTAGGTTGGAGATACTATCATCGTACCCGAAGGACAATGGGGCAAAGAGAAAGCTCAGCCTGTACCCGTGCCGGATGAGCTTCCGTCCGATGCAAGAATGACGGACTACTGCTGGTAAGTGGCGTTCTACCCTGACGTTGTCTAAGTGACATACTGTATACGCAGGTTCGCGCGGATCATATCAATCAATATCGAACGTGATATGTTCCATATTCAATGGTATCAGGCTGGCGTCGAGACGTTGATGGGCAGTGTGTCTCATCCTTACGAGCTTTTCCTCACCGAGATCTGCGACGATTTTCCCTTCAAATTCGTGCTAGGCGCCATGATTGTGCATAAAGATCTCCAACCCGAGATATCAAGAAGATTCTTCTGTCGGTGAGTTCGATCGTAGCCCCCGAAGTATGTCATCACTGACAGACCGCAGCATGATGTTTGACCTGGAGACTGCCGCCTACACCGACATCGGACCAGACTATTATAAAGAGTGTACCTCTGCTCCACCACCTCATAACTGCCTGGTGTGTCTCAAGAAAGAGGAGATGGATGAGCAGCAGACCGCGAAGGAACTGAAAGATCCTGAAGGCTTCGCATATATGAACCACAAGTACCATATGCACGACTTCGTCCTCATCCGCACTTCGGACGGTCCATGTGACATAGGGCAGATCACGGAGCTGAAACGCACCAGCTCTCAATACCGAACCGAACAGAAGTTCAGCGTGGTGGTCCGATTTTTAGGCCGAGTTGGTGATGTCAAAGACAGGCCGCAGGGAATTCTAAAGGATGAGGTACAGTATGATCCACAAAGAGACTAGCCACGAAATGACTTTCAGATTAGAGACACCTATTCATCAGTGATGAACAAGAGGAAGTGGACATCCAACACCTCCTTCGCCCTTGCTATGTTTCACACTTTGATGCATCACGCAGGAAGGAGATAAAAAACTGGACTGATCTATCTCCAGATCATTTCTGGGCCTCTCGTCACTTTGCAAAAATTTCAATGCCAAGGTGGTGCAATGGTAGAGAACTAGAGGGGATCCAACAGTGTGGAGAATGCAGCTTACAACACAACATTTTCCAGAAACAATTTTTGTCTTTCTGTTCTAAATCACGACCACTTCGAGCATTTGATCCATTTGCAGGATGTGGTGCATTTGGACTGGGTATGGAGGAGGTAGGATGTGTGATAATGCAGAAGGCTGTCGAGATTGTTCCCAGCGCAGCTCAAGCTCTTAGGCATGTTACTCTCAGGTTGGTGCCACAATCATACTCACTGAAATATTCCAGAGAGAACTCTCCAAAAACAACCGTATATAACCAATGCTCAAACCTGGTCTTACAACATGCAATCAAGAGCCGTGATGGAAAGTTGCACCCAGGTGAAAGCCTGCGGAGCATCCATGATAATCAAGAGTTACCTCCTCCTCCAAGACCAGGAGAATTTGATCTCCTCATCACAGGCTTTCCTTGGTATGCATTCTTTTGTCTCCTTGTTGAACAGAGAAATTCACTGCTATACATCAGCCAACCACATTCTACCCTGAACCGGTTCAAAGACTCAAGAGATATCAAGAGCAACTTGATTCTCACAGCACTTAGCTGGGTTGACACCCTCAAGCCAAAGTTCTGTGTTTTTGAAAATGTTAGGGGATTTCTGTCCTTCAAGCCCTATGCAATGCCTGCCAGTGAACAAAAGGTGACAGGAGGACATGATTTGGGGTATGTTCTTGAGTGCAGATCCAGGGACGTGCTCATTATAGATGCTCACTCAGTGGCTTGAAATTCCTTGTCCGGGCCTTGACAATGATGAAGTGAGATGTTGACATCATATGGGTGGTCATTGGATCTGACTAGCACTCAGTTACCAATGTCGCTTTGGGCTCCTGCAAGCAGGTAAGTACTCAGTGTAGACACTGCAACTCTATTTCACCAATGTTCCAAGGGCATTATGGAGCACCACAGTTGCGTGTTCGGTTCTTCATGATAGCAGCCCAAAGTGGACTACCCCTTCCTCAACTCCCCCAACCAACACATTCCTTTCAGGGACATGATTCACTGAGAATTCGTGTCTCATATGGAGTCCCAGGAGATGAGGTTTCTCCTATAAGGACTGCTCCAGGAACAGCTCCCCACCCTATGGTATCTATCGAAGATGCTATTGGTGACCTAAAGCGATGGGATTAGTAAGCTTTGGATATATATATGTGTGCTCAAAAATGGTGGCTCACCTACCATGCTAGCCAAAAACCCTTACGTACACCACCACTAACTGATGTACAGAAGGCAGAAATCAGAAAAAGACGTGAAGCTGGGTTTGAAAGTTGCCATTGTGACAGCACCTGCAATTATTGGGGCCCCAATGGTAAAGATTGCAGTGACAAGGAGCGCTATGACCATGCACCACACACAGCATACCAATACAGGTGCCCATAGAATTGTTGACCAGATAGTGTATTGCTTAAATGCTTTTTAGATGCAGAATTGGCATGAGACCAGAGCACGACCTACAACATTTCACACTGCCATTGCCACTGGCAACTGCAGAGAGGTCCAGATGTATTGGTTATGTGACTGTCACCTCCTTCTCATATGATAATTTATAGGGTATGGTGGATTCCACTGGAGCCAGGAAAGGACTACAAATGTATGACATTCTGCCTCAATTTCTGATTTCAACAATTTGGGGTGTTAACCACTCTCAAAGCTTTGCCTCAAGAGCTCTGGGAATGGATGTTTGCACATCATAGTTCTTCAATGGCGCGTAAAGGGCTTCCACGAGGTAGTTGTTCCTGTACTCTACCCACACTGATATTGTTCTTTGAGTAGTAACATATCATTACACTAGGCATGTATGGCAGGCTCGACAAGGATAGCCACTTTAACGCGACCGTCACCAATGTTCTACCAACTGCAAAGCAGTCTTGGGTCCTTCACCCTTATGTACGTGAAAAGTTCAAGAGGAGATCATCGACTTATAAGAATATTGTCGCGTTCTTAGTGCAAACGCATAGTCACGGTCCGCGAACTAGCACGTTCACAGGGATTCCCGGACCGGTTTCATTTTGTCGCCGCAGAGTGCAAAGAAAAGGACGAGGAAAACAGTGACAGTGAGAACTATGAAGAGAAAGTCGGAAAGACGGAATATGTGAAGACCGTGAGTGAAGCATGGTGGATAATGGGCCACCAAATCTAACGGCTGCCTGCAGATGCATCGGCAGATCGGGAACGCGGTTCCCTGGCAGGTTTCTGCTGCCATTGCCCGCGAGCTCAGGGAAGTAATGTTTGACATGTGGAAGAGAGATCACATCGAGATTGAGTGAGGTGGTCTTGGGGCGCCGTCGGATTTCGCTGCTGAGGTTGCAATATCTTGTGTTAGTGGTCCATCACTAGTAATCGAATCAGCCCAATTAATGCATTCGATGAACTGTTATACAAACCTGATTTCTTGTCGTTCCAGCAAGGATTCACCAGCTGAACGAATGGAGGTTGATGATCATGCTTCCGCCAGTTCATAACCGGCCCAGACAGTTTCTGAGCAGCTATTGCACCCAATCAAATGGCGACCACCTTCCATATCCGCCTCTCTGACGATATACGCCCCGCCACATCGGCAAGGATAGCGCCAATACTCGGGCTGCTCGTCGAAGTCCTCCAAGGATACGATTTGAGCCGGTCTCGGTACATGGAATTGGTGCGGCACCTGTAAGCTAGCATCATATTGTTTGCGGAGCGACTCCGTTGACAGTATGCGAAAGGCTTCCTGGATTGCTGCAATTCGAGGACCAGCGTCTGACGCGTCTCCTTGTGAATGCTTGTCGGGATGGACAAGGAGGAGAGCGCGATGATATCCAGATTTGATTTCCCTTGCATCGGCTCTAGGAGAAACTCCAAGGGTTGCGTAGTGATTTGTCGAAGTCTCGTGTGTATCCATGGCCAGTGGCATGATTCAGCGAGGCAGCAGGTGTGGCGGAAGTTACTAAGCCGCGGGGGGCGACGCAACGCAGACGCAGCACATACTAACGTCTTCATTTTACTTCCTGTGCACTCAGCGGTCCTCCGATTAGTTCGCGCTCATCGATGGTCACTTCGAAGCTTGCAGCACCGCTCTAGATACGTTATGACATGAGGCGCGAGATCAGATGAGTTTCTGTACCCACATGGCTCAACCACTTCTGCCGGGCATAACGACCTGGTTACTGTCAATCATCGCATGGCACTGTCTCAAGGAGTAGTGGGGACCTCCCGTTTCATCAATCGTCCGCTCGACGAGGAACCAACGTTCGTCATTGCTCAACTCCGTATTTCGGTTAGGCCGCCGGCGCCGGGCCCGATCTCAAAGGCTCAGACTGAGTGCTGCACGAAACGCTAAAATCGGAGACGAAAGAGTGCGCTCTAGAGCACGTTTCGTTAAAGTAGTAACTCCAGATGCACTTGATCTCATCCATTTGCGTGGACCAGATCTGGTAGGCAGGACGTGTCTTGCGGATGGACCGACATTCTTTGGTATCTTTGCCAAGGTCTATATTTATCTTGGATTCTCGCATGAGTTCTTGCCTTCGCGAGCCCCGTATCCACGAGGCCTTCCTGTCCAGGGTTCGTTACGCTCGGATAAAAGCTGAGCATTTCTGCGCGGACGATCCTCCAGGTCCCAGAGACACTGCTTCTCGTTACAATCGGCACTCATGAAGCTCTTGCTGTCTAACCTCGCGCTCTTCGCTTTCGCGGTACGCGAGACAACAGCTTGGGGAAATCTCGGCCACGAGACAGTGGGGTAAGCAATACACATATTCGTCTCCTTCAGAGTTTATTGCTCATAAAAGTAGGTACGTTGCGCAAGAGGTGAAGGCGTCCTTTTTGCATCAACAGGCGGGCTAAGAGCGATCGTCCTTGCAGTTTCTCTCGACCAAGGCCCTTGCTTTCGTCAAATCGTCGTTGGGCTCCACCTATAACGAGTCTTTAGGTGTTGCAGCTACAGTACGTCGACCCATGACGTTCTTCATTCGAATTCATCTAATCTATTGGAAAGTGGGCCGACAGCGTCAAGTATGAGACTGCGTACAAATGGTCTGCGCCGCTACATTTCGTGGATGCGGAAGGTATTGTGTAGCAGCACCCGTCTATCCTCTCGCCGGAACTCGTTACTAGATGACCCACTCGACGGATCATGCTCTGTCTCCGAGACACGGGATTGCGCCGATGGGTGCATCTTGACCGCCATCGCGAACTACACCAAGCGCGTCGCAGAAACCAGCCTCAGTGCCAAGCAGAGGCAAGAGGCATTGAAGTTCCTTGATCACGTATGCGAATATCGATCATGAATGCAATATAGACATGCTCACCGGCCTTGAACCAGTTCCTCGGAGACATTGGCCAACCGTTACACGTGGAGGTCTGTAATCAAGTTACCTTCAGTGCTTAGTAGTAGGTATGCTAACGGTCTCTACCCACAGGCATATAAGGTTGGTGGCAATGACATTGACGCCAAGTGCTCTGGCGAGTCATCGGATAACTTGCATTCTGTCTGGGGTATGCTCACCTGCGTATTCTCGATTCGCTGGCCTAGCTGATATCATTTGCAGACACCGGTATCTTGACGAAGAACATTGACGCGAAGTATGAGAGCGATGTGACGAAATACGCATCCACATTAGTTACCCGCATCAGGGTATGATTATTCTTCGTCGAGATCGACATAAATGAACCCTCTATCTTTTTAGAGCGGGAAGTACAAGTCACTGGCTTCGTCTTGGATCAACTGCTCCTCTATTACCGAGCCTGTGACTTCGACGCGGGCCTTCACTCTTGAGGACGAGATCCATGCCACAGTTAACTCCCGTGCAATAAAGCCACTTGCTTGTCCACTTATCTGGGCGCAAGATGCAAACGAATATGACTGCGTGAGCGCAATCAATACATTCAAGTAACATTTGCACTCACGATTCATTCAGACCTACGTCTTCAATTATACAAGTGGACAGGACCTTTGCACCGGGTCTTATTACTCAGGCGCTCTGCCCATTGTGCGTTCTCTGCGTGTCCCTCATTCGTGATCAATTGTAATGAACTGCCGGCCCTCAGATCGACCTTCAGCTGGCCAAGCAGGGCTATCGCCTTGCGGCTTGGTTGAATGTTATCTTTGACGGCCAAACCAATTTACCGTGATCGCGTTTGAACCGAGGTGCAAGTTTTTTTTGATCGCACGACATCCCGTATACCTACCTACCTACCGTATATGTACGAGAATGTTCGTGACTAGATACCCCTTGGCATTGGCATATGCACGGTCAAATGGCTGGTATTACGTTTATGTGTACACAATGCGAAAGGTCGTTCCGTGAATCATCGGTCATAACACGAACCGCTGATTATGCTCTTATCGCTGGCCCATGCTCCTGGGAGTATTGAATCTAAATAAATTCAATCCTTGGCCGGAGTATCATATCCTTGCGGGTTCTTCGTCTGCCAGTTCCAGAGATCGCGGCACATTGTCTCCAAATCCGCGTCTGCGTGAAAGCCGAGTTCCTTCTCAGCCAGTGCGGGATCGGCGGTGAGATCGGGGACGTCTCCTTTTCTCCTGCCCGTGATCTCCGTCTTGTAGTCGAAGCCACTTGCCTTCCGCATGGCCTCGACAATCTGCAAGACAGACATTCCACGTCCCTTTCCCAGGTTGTACGCTTTGTAGCGAGCCTCGTCCGGACAGTTATCGAACACAGTCGAGTTGTCTGATAGGGCATCGAGGGCGAGAAGGTGGCCCTTCGCGAGGTCGAGAATATGAATGTAGTCTCGGACGCAGGTACCGTCCCTAAACGGAACGAGTGAACAAGCACCGAATCGGCGAGAGGATTCAGAGCGTACGGAGTAGGATAATCGTTGCCAAAGACCTTGAGGACGGGATCCTTGACACGGCCGACGGCCATTTGAGCCAACAGTGGCAAGAGGTTACCAGGCCGGCCTCTGGGATCTTCGCCAATGAGACCCGAAGGGTGCGCTCCAGCAGGGCTAAACACACGACATCAGCGGCTGTGTGAACACAGAAGCAGATCCCAGCGTACTTGAAGTATCGCAAAGAGATGGCTTTCCACCTCTGAGGTTCGGCATGACAAAGGTCGTCCAGAACAGTTTCGCTCATGACCTTACTCCGGCCATAGGGACTGTCTGCCTTCAGCCGTGTCGTCTCGGGGATGGGGATGCTGGGTGGAGTGCCGTAAACGGTCGCCGATGAGGAGTAGACCATGCGAGTGCAGTCGAACTCAGACATTATCTGGAGGAGGGAGATGGTGGCAGCAACGTTGTTCTGGTAGTAGGTGAGCGGAATCTCAGTAGATTCTCCTACGGCTTTGTAAGCCTAGTTGCAGATGGTGAGGTCAAATGCCGGGGTGAGAGCGATAGGAGTCAACTGACGGCTACGTGGATCACTCCCCAGATTCCACCCTTGCCATATTTCTCGAAGACGGCACGGACTTCTTCAGGCTTGGTAAGATCTGCCGTGTGCGCATCAATCTCTGCGCTCTCGCGCTCTTCCGATGTCGCGTTCGCGGGTAGAGCGTCGCGCGCGATGTGGGCGACACGGTCGAGGGCTTTGGGATGGGAATTGTGATGGTTGTCGATGGAAATGACCTTGAAGCGGCGGGTTTCTTGGAGAGAGTATATGATGTGAGAACCTGTATCGTGGTTGTTGTCAGTTACGGCCGTACGCGAAAGCAGTGGACTTGCCTATGTAACCAGCGCCACCCGTAACAAGCACGCGCTGGAGAGGGGCATATGAACACTTGCTGTGCGCCATACTCGGAACGGTGACTAGCTGACCTTGAGCGTTGTTTGAGGAGGAGGCATGGTGGCCTTGTCGTTGGATGGCGGGGATGATTTGTTTCTGCTGATGCTAAATGACGAGCGGATGGAGTGGATGAACGATGACATAGCGGGACAGGTCGTTGAGAACGATCGGATATGGAGGAAGATATGAATCCGCATACTATTTAAGCCCGTCCCAGTTCGGGGGAAGCCAGGTCCAGCTGAGCAGGAGGAAAATGACGGAGCCGATCACGAGCAACCACCGCGAGGTGGGTGAGGGAGAAGCCATCGAGCTTTACGTCGGCCCGTTCGTCCCCGCACTGGCCCTCGCAGCGCACTCCAGGCTGCGTCCAACGTGCGGAGGCGAAGGTTCTCGGAACAGTCCATGCCCGGCAACGGCAAGGGAACGGTGAGAAACTACAATAATCGCCGACTCGCACTATCGGAACTCCCTGTGTCGACACTCGACGGCTGAAGTGGGCGGCCGCTAGGTAATGTATCGCACATAGTAGCACATCCATGTACCTAGTTACTTGCGCCAGTGCTGAAGCGGTGTGTCGGCTGTTATACAGCTCACGGGAACCGTGGATGCAGTGTGTGCGCCAAACCCGCACGTATTGGCGTGCGGTGCGGCAACCGGTTGTTCCGCTATTGGGACCGCGCCGGAAATATACCACCTACCAAACAGCCTAAACTGTCTCTGGCGCCGTGCAGTCATTCGGCGATCTTGCCGAGTCTTCAAGTACTGAGCAGCTATGGCACACCTCGCCCAGTCTCCGTCAAGCCCTGCCTTCCCCCTTTGCCAGTCAAACACCCCGGTTCGCAGCTGGTTTCCCACCCGGCCCGGGCTGCGATGTTCTCAACTCCATCGCGTCTGACTACACGTCCTGGGCGATACTTAAAAAGATAAGAGCCTCGAAGCGCCTTGTGGTCGGGGCATCGGGTTTTCGCCGGTGAAAGTGCAGATGCTCCGTGAACATACGATTCGACGAGCCGACGTTCGAGGGCCATGGGGCTGCCGGTTGCACCCTAATATTCTAGGTCACTCAATGTATTTGAACCTCGCTCACGCCATGTACTGTCCGATAAATATTGGTTCTTCGAAATGGAGATCATGCAAGTTCGTCAAATGTTTGCATCTGGATGGTCATCATAGATCTAAAGTACAGGAGCATGCAGCTCGCCCGTCGGTATTGTCCACGTCCTGTGCGTACAAAAATTACTTCGTGACGCTCCCCCACGCCTCACAACGTTCAGGTGCCATACACGCATATCCTAATCACTTCGGCACGTAATCATACAACCTTTCGTCGACAAGACACTTATGTATTGGTTCCCCGTCGCGGTCAGTCAGTGCATGCACAGCCACTTTGCCCTGACCTTCATTGAAAACATATTCAAACTCAGCAACATTGATCGCAAGCACGACAGGGTACAGAATTCTGTAGCAAGCATTCCAAGCTACTTCTTGATGTGCACGGTGTAACTTAGGGTTACCCACTAGATTCACCAACGGCGCCAGATAGCAGTGCACCATTCAATCTGGGGCGCCAGATAGCAGTGCACCATTCAATTTGGAACTGCACAGAAATGTAATGAAAAGTTCATAGTGGTCGGCATGGTGTGCACTCACTCGGCGGTTTATCGATCTCCTCGGGATTTAAGTACCACGCTCCTGATCATCTTATATGAGTATACTATCTCAGGTGAACGACAACGGTCGCGTACTGTCTCCCGTGAAGGTCTTCTCGTTGTAGGTCTGGCCGTCTCCGAGCCAATAGAATCGGTTCTGGGGTTCACCCGACAGATGCTGGTAGTTGAAGTCTTCCCAACGCGGATGAGCAAGGGCCCGCACGGCGTGAAGGCAAGAGCCTATCGTGGACTGAAGTGAGTGCTATAGATGGCACCTCCCGACATACGCCTAACCTGGCCAAAGCCCGGTAACGCGACCTTCCTCCTTGCCCATCTTGTACCATGAGCGGCATTTTTCGCTGTAGACACTCTAGAGGAAGGGTAAGAGCCCAGATGGCGGACAGGCGTAGACTACTCACTGTTGGGAAGTAGTGTTCCAAGTAATCGTCAAAATCTCTGACAGCCTCCGGCTTTGCCTCGATGCTCTTGAGCCTCTCTCGCTGAAGTTTGCAGGTTGCCATCACTGCATAGTCAATCTGTCGCTCGATCAACACCAGAAGACTTCCGCTTCCCACGGCGGAGTTGGGCCCCAGCGACATGAACCAGTTCGGGAACCCATCTGTGCATACAGTCAGGTAGGTTTCCGGGTGCGGCGCGAAGCGGTCGGCGAGGTCGATCCCGTTGCGACCGACGCACGAGAATCCCAAATTAAAGGATGCATCGAACCCCGTGGCGCAGATTATCACGTCCAGCTCTTGGTGCTGTCCGTCAGCGGTCTCAATCCCGGTGGGCGTAACACGCTTGATCTCGGATGTGACGAAGTCTACCTGCAGAGCAATAAAACTTCAGCAAGGATTTTGTGACATGTATCACATGGCGGTTGTACATTGTCTTCGCACAGGGCTTCGAGATAGCCGGGTCCTGGAGTGAGGCGACGGCATGCCACTGCAAAGTTCGGTATCACTGCAAGGAATTGTCAACAAGAAGCCACATCTCAGAACGACAAGCCGAGTTCTCAATCACGTTTTTCGGCTATCCAAGGCTTCTTTGCTAGTCGTTGCTTCATGACGGCGGCAAACGCCTCGCGTCCAAGTTCTTGGAGCTTGCTACCTTTAACTGTCGCTTGGTGAACGGCCTGGGCGCTGATCAGCGTGCACTCAGTTGGCTGCAAGCAACGCCTTACGTTTAGATCAGACTCTAGTTCGTGCCTGAAATACTCGTAGTATCTGGGATCGCTGAATCTCGCCTTGTCCTCATTCGTGAAGTAGTCTGAAAGCCGGTTGTACCTATCAGCATAGTCCATCGCCAACCAGCCTGACAGAGTATCTCACAATTCTCGCCCGTCGGCGTCTTTCCAATTAGCTCCGCGAGCTTGCCCTCGGCGAATGGTGCGGAGAACCATGTTTTGCCACGCACGTAATTGACAATCTTCGCAACATTGGGCTGCAAGGCAGGCACGATCTGGATGGCTGACGCCCCCTACCGTCATCACCGAATCGTTAATCGATGACCAGAGCACACAGCGGTAGCATGCTGACTACACCGATGACTCCGACACGCTTGTCCCCCCAATCTTTAATGCCTTCCTCCCAGCGTCCCCGAGGATCAGGTGTGAGATCCCAGTTCGCACTATGCAGTAGACGACCCTTGAAATCCTGCAAACCAGGGATATCCGGCCAGGACCAGCGACTGAGCGAGCCCACGCCGGTAAAGAGTACGTCCACGACATCTTCGAACTCCTCGAACGTAGTTTCGCCATCCGCGGCCTCTGCGTCGTCGGACTTCGGGTGCCTGATGGTGAGGTGCCACTTGCCTGCCGCTTCTTCCCACCGTGCACCGACGAGCTCATGCGATAGGTGGATAAGAGGCTGAAGCTTCCACTTCTCTACGACGCCTTCTATATATTCTCGGATTTCCGGCCCCGGTGCATACACTGCACTCCAGTCCGTCTGCGAAATGAACTACCGTGAGTATTGCAGGGATATGCAGCAGGAAGGGGAAACTAGATAATCGCCTTTGCCTCGAAAGTCAATTGATACTGAGGAACCGTTAGCGCAAGCTAATGCGCGACACAATCTCAGACACGCACGCAATGAGATGGAATATCACAAGCCAGTCCCTGTGGAAAGGAAGAGAGTCATCAAACGTTTTGAATGGTCGTGCAAAGCAAGTGCGGAGGAATACAGGATATCGGTTCGCAAACCATGTCCCACCAACTCCTCGGTTCTTCTCGTATACGTTTACCGTCACGTTCGGCACCTTCTGGCGGAAGCTGGTCCGACGCCGTTCAATAAGAGAATAAGAGGAAGGCCAAACCGCGCTATTCCAGGCTCACCGGATCGCAGCAGTGACTCCGCTGAAGCCTGCTCCGATAACAGCAACCCTTATAGGGCGATACTCGTCGACGCAGAAGTTTCCAAGTTTGAACCCACTCGCACCGTGGAGGGTGGGATCACCGTTAGGATGGCTACCTTTTAGTGCTGATTCGGGAGGATCGGCGCTTAAGAGGTGGTGCGCTCCCGTAGACATCGTGGTCGATGCAACTTGCAAAGGGGGGTGACGGGGCCTGTGTCCAGTGTTCGCAGAATGTCAGCTACTTGAGTCCCTGCATTAGAGATGATTTGCAGCTGATAAATATTAGCGACGAACTCAATTCGCGACCTGTCATTGAGAAGCAAGTTGACCAAGGTGACGTAGAGAAATACTGGCTGCAAATCAGCTCTATTACATGATGCGGTAGATCATGTGAAGCGTCTCTTGGAAACATTTGGTCGTTCCTTCTCAGAGTCGCGTGTGCTCGTGTCCAATCCACCCTGGAAGGCAACATGATGCAGTCCAGGTGACCCAGATTAGAGCAAGGCGTGGGATCTCGAAGTGGGACCATCCGCCGGTGGATTCCAGTTTCTGTCACATATGAACCGTCTATATTCACTAGTGTTGGAGATAGACGGGAGACGGGCATACAAGCGGACGTCGTTCGGCCGTCGCGCGCAGGGCGCGCGCCCCCTCGCGTGCTATGGACTTTTATGGACATGAAAACTTATGCCTCCGCACTCAGATAACCATCTCCTTTTCGCGAACGCACGCCTCACTTGCTCCCATATCAGAGCAGTGAGACGTGAGTTCTATCTTATTCATATGTCCCCGTTCCGAGAGCTAATGTACCGTAGTTACTTACCTACTAGGTACATCAATACACACTTGCTCCCATATCAGAGCAGTGAGACTTACTTACCTACTAGGGCCCGACCGGCCGCTCGTTCCACTCGCACCCCGTCCCGCCCCTCGTATACCTTCATTAACTAGCGTAGGCACGGGTAGCATAGATTTCCTGTAACCAAGCTCGTCGCGTGCACATGAAGTAGTAACAGTGCAAGTAGCGACGTGTACACGTGGTTATAGCAACGTTGAAAATGTATCATGCCGTTGTGACAAAAGCGAGCGCGAGACTTGCTACACAGACGAACTCGTGCGTGACCCTTTAGAGTATATCATACGAGTTTGTTGGTGCTCACTCGACCGATCTTGTTAGCCTCTGCGAAGTCAAAACGCAGGTAGTACATATTTAGTCAGCGCCGTTGCACATTACCTCAAACCACTCAGTCAATCTGTATTAGACTCATCCACGGTGATATCAATCAACTGTCTGCCTTCCTCCACCATCTCGCCTTTACTGCAGCCCACGGCGTTGACCACGCCACCCTTCGGCGCCCTCAACACCGTTTCGGTCTTCATACTTTCGATGATCACGACCGGGTCGCCTGCCGCAACCTTATCACCCACGGTCACCTTCACCTCAACAACCAGGCTCGGCATCGGTGCCTTGAGGGCGCCCTTGGCTTTCCCGGCTTCAAGGACGTCGCTTCCGAGTGAGAGCAACCATTTCGGAGGTGGCAGGACGAGGGTGGTCTTTCGTCCATCATGGAAAATGTGTAATCGTTCTTGGGTATGAGGAGCGTCCGAGACGGGCACGGACGCAGGCGGACGTTGCGATACAATAGTCGAATGCGAGGACGCTCCGTTCACGGTCACGTCCAGGACCGTGGGAGAAGACAACCGAGCAGATTGTACCGTAACCAGGTCGCTCGTCAGCCCCTGACGTACTGTTGCCGTGAAAGACCCGGATCCAAGGTGCTTGAGATGAACAGTGATGGATGCGGTCGATTCGTCTTCTGTGCGAATATTCACGACCCCTTCGTGATGGCGACCATTAAACCGACGAGCAGCAAGGGTGGTCCACGGTGAAGGTGCGCTCGTTGCTGTCCGAGGCAACATATCTCTCAAGGTTACGAATAGTGCGGCTTGAGTAAGAAGCTCGGCAGATGGTTGGGTAAGCGGCGGAAGAAGCTCTGCTTGGTGTTTCTGTATGGCAAGTAATTGAATTCTCCGCACTCGGATGTGAGATACGATGCGGAACTTTCCCCTACCTTAATGAATCCGGTCTCGAGGTCGCCATCGATAAACGCTTCGTTCCCGGCCAACGATCTGAGAAACTCCACATTTGTGCTGAGACCAGCGACATGGTACTCATCGAGTGCACCGCGCAGGACACGAAGGGCCTCTGCACGGTCCCTCCCGTGCACCACGAGCTTGGCAATCATGGGATCATAAAAAACGCCGATCTGCGAGCCTTGCAAAAAGCCCTGTTCTAGGCGAACAGAAGGAGCTTGCGAACCCAGAATGGGTACGATGCGCATAGCTTCCGTTTCGTCACCGGAGGAAGGCGACAACGATGAGGCATCCCGAAGCGGAAGAGCGGGAGCAAAGACATGCGTCGGAGACGGCGTGGAGAGGTAAAGCAGAGAGCCGGAGTCCGGAAGAAAGTCGTTCCGGGGATTCTCTGGAATGCTTCGTCAAAAAAGTGCCGATGCTAGCGATCGAGTAACATGCCTGCATATATTCGCGCCTCGAAAGCATGTCCGACAAGTGGGATAGCACTTTGAGATAGGGGAAGGACGTTGCCCGCTGCGACCTTGCATGGTCGAATCAGTAACCCAGTCTATTCTTGCTTCAGTTGTGTCCCGCACCTCTAGCTGCCATTCGACCAAGTCCAGCCCAGTCACCATCTCGGTCACAGGATGTTCGACCTGCAGGCGAGTGTTCCTGCGAGTTTGATAGGTCACTATCTCACAGAACCTCAGAACACCTCGGAAGGACATACATCTCCATAAAATAGAAATCCTGTGTGTCATTGTCAAATATGAATTCGACAGTCCCTGCTCCCACATAGTGGACCGCACGCGCTGCAGCGACGGCCTTCGCGCTTAGGTCGGCGCGGAGGTCAGGGGAAAGGCCGGGTGCTGGTGCTTCTTCGAGTATCTTCTGGTTGCGGCGTTGTACGGAGCAGTCGCGCTCCCAAAGACTAACAACGTTGCCGTGAGCATCCGCGAAAATTTGGACCTCGATGTGTCGTGGCCGCACGATGAACTGTTGGAAGACTCGCATCAGATTTCAACATATAACTCAGCCAAAATTGCACTACCTTCTCGATAAGGACCGTGTCATTGCCAAAGGCCTTCAGGGATTCCCGCTTGGCAGAAGCCAAGGCGTCGTAAAATATTGACGAGGACTCAACCGTACGCATGCCTGTGAGTCGGAACGAACATGAGGAGGGATAGAGAAGGAGTCCCAAACATGTTTTAAAGACCTTTTCCACCTCCGCCGTGGATCGCCTTGATGAGGACAGGGAACCCTGCGAGGACAATGAGCTGAAAATGGCTCGCCTTGGGCTTTAACGAGCACGCGCACCAATCTCCTTCGCCCGTGAAAGCAGATAGTCGGGATCCTGATCATCGCCATGATATCCTGGTACGCAGGGGACTCCGGCGGCCGACATGATGTTTTTGGATTCACTGCAGTCAAGCTCAATACTGCGGGACCACGATCGCCCATACGTAAACTACCTCTTGGATCCCATGCTCACAATTGCTTGTGCGGGAGGGCCGATGAACACGATTCCAGCATCAGCCAGACGTTCAGCAAACTCGGCATTCTCGCTGAGGAACCCGTATCTAGCTTGCACATGGAGAGTTGGCACGAAGAGGAGGATGGTAAAAGAGATTAACCGTACCCGGGATGAACCGCCTGAATCAGCCAGGAATGGATCAGCGCAGGCCACGAATAAGGACGCAATGGTCATCATACTTGTGCCTCGCTTCGCTTGCAGACTTCGATGACTTTGTCCATACGGAGCTAGAACACTATGAGCCCCCGTTGTAGTGGTTGGGATCATGGAGGACTAACATAACTCTCTCCGGACGGTGCAGGACCTATGCAATAAGCTTCATCCGCCTATCGGAGCAATCAGCCTGACATTCGCGAGTACTGCCCTATTACGCACTAGCTTCGTGTGCAATGAATCTGAATCGGCTTCAGAGTAGACGGCCACCGTCTTGATACCCAGCTTGCGTGCGGTACGGATGACACGGCATGCTATCTCCCCTCTGTAGTAGAGGTGAATTCAATCTGGATGTAACTACTAGATGTTGAAATCGTGCTTACCGGTTGGCGATGAGTATCTTGTCGAAGTGAGGATGCCGTATGGCACTGTGGTGAACTACCGAAGGAACGAAGGTATCAGGTTCTCGTCTCAGTAACGTTTGTTGCGAGCTGCGTTCACCGTCGCTGGCGGCATTCGCAAATGCGCGTGGGCCAGAGCCTAAACATGAACCATGCGGTGACCCGGAGGAGAGACCAGGATGTCTAGCTTGCCCCGACCATGCAAGCCCATAGTTGGCAAATGCTGGCGACTTCGCAGTGCTAGCGCGTGTGTGTGACAACGGCCGAGCGCCAGGTGCGACTACGTGTACGCGTCTAGCAGTCGCGATCACCGATGAATTGAGCTTCATGAGTGCCAGTACTGAAGTGTTGCTAGCGGGAAGTGCAAGCCATGCCCGCATCCGGGGTCCGGGGAAATCGCAGCCAGTTGACGAGATCCGTCCGGGGTACTGTAAGTTGCGTCAGGATACCATAATGGGATATTACGCCACACCACGTGAGAACCCTCCTTCACACGCACACCACGAAATACTGCGCACTTGCACCCCTACATTATACACAGTAGTCTACACGGATTCACGAGACTGCACGTGCAGCTACTCATGAGCTGGGTCTCACCACAGGGACAGGAAGCCGCTGGCCGTTGAAATCTGAGCGACCGTGTCAGCGACGCACGCGTACCAAAGATCCAGACACTCACCGAACCGAGGTGCGTATGCGAAGTCAAGTACGAAAGGTCCGATGCCGCCCATCGGGGCAATGACTAACCTACACAGTAGACAGGTAAGTGCTGTTACGCTACTTCATGTGATCGGTATACTACTGACCTGCCGATGGTTTCATCCCAGGCCAAAGCCCTCACACCCTTGCTCAATGCCCATTGCAATGTCTTAGCCCGCGTTTCTACTTTGGCCACAAGCAGCCTACGACTCTGGCCTCTGTACTGGTGATATTCAAGCCTCCGCTGGTATTCCAGCCATGTTTCCATCTCCTGCTGCTCTTCGGCAATTACCACCTCTGGTCGTCTCTCGATCGAAGCGAAGGACAGGATGTCCAGTATTGGAGGATGATCCGTGATGTTATCGACGGGGATGGTGTACATGACACTGTTGGAGGCGCCAGGGCAAATCCGAACTTCGCGGTTCACTGTCAACGGCGATTCATCAAGGAATAGTGTGTGCTGCCAGAAACCACCAGCCAAGTCATAACGGTATTTTGGCTTGACGCGAGTATCCGTGCTGGATGACGGTTCGTGGCCAAGTGGGACGTCAGGCTCGAGAATGCGCTGGGGCCAGAAATGTGCATAGGTAATTGTCGGACGCGGAGAGAAACGATGAATGAACAGAGTGAGGGGCGGCGGTTCATGGTTTTGCCATCCGGGATATTGAGTTTGTACCGACGCATCGCCATCGTATGCTGGATGCAAATCCGAGATGATGAACCTCGTGCTGCCTGTGATGAGGAATTCATCGTTGCCGAGGTCATGGCGCTCGAGCGGATGGCATGGTTCAACGCTGAACCGTTTTGATACATCGTGCATCTCGACGTAGAATCGATCGTCAACGGAACGAGGTTTGCCACCCTCGGCCGCGCGGATGCGGTAGGCCTCCACACGTTCCGAAAAGTCCCTTACGGTATCGGACGGAGGGCCGACATCGGAAGTGGAACATGACACAGGATCTTTGACGGCTCGAGTAACTGCCATAACCTTTGCCTCTGATGGAAGGATTCGGAACGTCAATACGGTAAATTCCTGAACACGGTGTCAGTAACTCGAACCTGAGTAGCCATATAGTCTTACTGCTGGTTCAGGATAAGCATCTGGTCTGATGAGACGAAGCTCCGTAATAGCGGAACGCTCGGGCTGTTGACGACTCTCGCTTTTCCCATCCCTTGCCATTCCATTGTTAGAAGACTCGGGACACAGTGGCATGAAGGTGATCGCGGCCGGACTGGAGTGACGAATGAAGATAGCATGTGGCGTCTGGTCGATCATTGCCAAATCCACTGCCGATATCTTGGTCGAGTAACGAGAGCTCCGAATGCGCCTGGTGATCGTCCCGATAACCTTGTACGTCTCTCTTGTTGCACCCATTTCCATAACACGCTCAAGCAAATCCAATGGAGCATGCATGGAGGTGCATATGTGATCCAATGGAACAGGATAGTCGTCCAGGTCGGCGCAGTCTTCGCTTAGCCGAGAAACGTCGTGACTGGAGTCAGATTAGTCGATAGTATTGGTCAGAGGGAGCTGACAAGAACTCACAATTCCTGATCTTCGGGATCCGACGTCTCCCGTGTGATGAATGCGATGGCGATACCCATCTTGCCGTTGTACGGCATGTACCTGGCCTTCAGGCCGAATGCTTTCGTTCGTGTTTTAGAGCTCGCAAGGAACGTAAGCACGTTCTTGTAGTAATCCATTCCATATATCCGCACCGACCAGCTCGTTTTGCTATGATCGCTCACAGAAGCTACCAGAAATCGTCCCCCAGGCAGCATGCACATGGAATGGAACTCGTCCCTGTGGTAAAAATCATCGGTGTGCTGCAGGCATCGGATGACACGAGGCTTCTCCCGGCGCCAGTTGTAGTCGATAGAAAGCCCACGGGTAATGGTACGCTCTGCTTCAACGCCAGTGAGACCAGACAGTGAGTACCGAGAAATAGGTGGCAGCGGCGGGAGAGGCAGAGTGGTGAGCCGGAGTAATCGCTTCCAAATGAGCGGATGATGGGTAAGATACCAGTATAGTTTGCTGACCTGTCAATGAAGGTAATTTGAGCATATGAGCCAACTCTTTTCAAAACTCATCACGCACTCTCCGTATTCGCAGGATATCTTGGATCTCAAGATAACCGAAAACCTCGTCTACGATGAGGTCGTCTGGAAGTCGTCCGAGTGACGAAGACGTGCCCGCATATGATCCCGCATATGTAGTCCGAGAGTCAGGCGTGTTTTCATCCATGTCCACATCGCCATCCGTCAGAAGAGAGCGCCTAGAGAGAGAGCCTGGAGGGCAGGTGGTCGCAAGACCCAGGAAAGCTGCCGGTGCCCGCAGTATGGATGACAAAACCATCGTTGAAGTTCGTGAAGACCATCGCTGCTAGGCGCCAGGAGTGTTATGAGTGCGCTGAAAAGAAGGACCTCGTTTTGTTGTTCTCCTTGACAAGGCCGTCACCAAGCAGCAGGTTGCCTTGATTAGTACATGCTTGTTGCAGTCTATGCTCGCCCAGCCCTGTTGAGCGAGACCATCTGCATGGACCAAATGTCACCCACAAAAGCCTCTCATCAAGGTGGAGGAGCGTAAGCCTCGAATGGCCGTAAACCAGGCCCTCATGATTTCTCTCTGCCTCCTGGTGAGTATGTTCCCACGCCTTCCTCCTCCCCCCACACACAATTGGCGAACCCAATCATGTCTCAACCCCAGCCAGTTACCAATGGTATTCAGACCGCCGCATCATCACGCCTTGATGTTGAAATAACCACCTTGTCTGCTTTGCTCTCGCGGGGGCAAGACGGCGCGGAATTATCAGAACAGGAACTGGTTGCGCTCTTGCGACAGCTGGAGCAGGCCAATGGTGTTGCGCAAGGCGTGGAGGATCGGCTCGACAACATGCTGAGGGGCTTGGATGATATGTTGGCGGGTATGGAAAGCGGGAGGGCTTCAGAAAGCCGGAGCAAAAATGCGGCTGCTACGCACACCGGAACGGAAGCCAAATGACGCATGGCCAGCAGCCAGCTGCAAGACTTAGTAGTAAGCAACGTCTCATGGTTTCCGCGCCCAAACTCTGAAATGTCTAAGTAAGACCTTGAACTCATAGCACCTCCAACGATGTCGAAAAACAAGCGTTGCGCCTCGATCAGCATTCCAGATATCTGATGCATCGCGCGACCGACCCGAAGGACGGTCTTGATGAATGTATGTGATCGCTAGTCAGTACATGCACGTCAGGAGCACCGAGACGTCAGTGAAACATCTTGAGTACCATGCAATAGATTTAATTGTATATGTGGTCTAGTTTGCGTCCAATGTGGGGTCCAATCCACGACCTTAGTACTTGAAGACCTGGAAAACGGGATTGACAAGGCACATATGTCAAGCGAGTTGGTTGACGTTACCTGACTTTCCTCGTATCCCAGCTCCTTCAGCGCGCCGCCAAGAGGACCCTGCTTCATTCCTTCCTTCTTGCCTGCAACGGCCGCAACCTGGGCAGGAGGGCCTGCATCACGTTCTTTAGTAGGCAACTTCAGAGAGGAGAAGCATTCATAATAGCATACCACAAACAAGGATCTTGATCTTGTCCTGCTTCTCAGGACCACCAAAGTGTTTCTGCATCAGCTCCTTCGTGATAAAGCCACTTGGTCCTGGTTCATGTCAATAAGTGTGAGATATCTAAATCCAGGATGATCATCGATGATCCTAGTTCACCTTTCCAACCCTCCGGTGGAGTTCCGAGAACATGGATGATCTCGAATGTGTCGGGATGTTTCTTCTTAAGCTTATCAAATTCTTCCTTGAGTAAAATGTCACGTTCTTCCACGTTCCCGAAGAGAAGGGTGAATTTGGTCTTGTTAGAAGGGTCGGCGAGCGCATGCTGAAGAACTTGGTACATCGGTGTTCTGCAGCGAATTGTTAAGAGGGCTGAAACTTCGACGCAGAGGGGAAAGCGTTACATTCCGCTGCCGCCGGCAACCATGCCAATCTCGTCATACTCGTTCACTGTTGAGAACGTTATCAAGGTCCGCATAGCTGTCCGATGAGGAACGCACTCTTGTATGGGAACTTAAGTAGCGGACCCTTGATAGCGAGAGAGTCGCCTGGTTTGAGCGTGTGCAGGTATTGCGACATCGCACCATTTTCATATCGCTTGACTATGAACTCCATCTCCCCGGGCAGATCAGAGGGGGAAGTGGGAGTGTAAGGACGGACGACGGGTTTGCCATCTTTGGTTTGTAGAGACTCGGCATCGGACGCGCGGAAGAGCACGCAGGAGGAAACGGGTAGTTTGGAGGGGGCGTTTTCGGGAAGCTCGAAAACGTATCTTTTGGGAGTCAAATCAGCTTGTAGCTGAAGACGATAGTTAGAAGACACTCACTTCGTTGTGTTATGGTTGCAAGGTTCTGTACGCTTCAGCTTGAAGTCGCGGAATTCCTTAGAGTCGAACACGCTTATGGGATCCTTAGACTTTTGCGCATCCTGGTCGACCTTTTCGAAAACAGCCTTGCGATTGTCCCAGTCCAGGTACAAATATAGGGAGAGACCGGCGACGCCACCGCCAAGAAGGTAGTAAGGCAAGTTGGAGTCCTTCTTCGGCGGTACCGTAGCAAACCGCCTAGCCTAATATTTATGTCAGTCCCGCGTAGGTAAAGGATTGTTGGGTTACACCTACGAAAGTGCGGGTACCAGCCGCGGCACGCAAGAAGGAGGACATGGTGAACAAGCGTCAACTCCGGATCCCGACGAGAGAGTGCCATGCAAGTGACGGACCCCTGTTCCTGGACGTCCATGTTCGACCCCTCCGTAATCTCATCGTGCCTTCAGCTGGATCTGCATCTGCATTGTTCCACTGCCCTCAACACTAGCGGGGCTCCTTCTTGCCACTACCATCACGTACGACCGTTCGCCTGGCTGTCACCCTGCCGCTGTCGTACTTGTCGCAAAGCACTGTTTGTGCGTACCAAAGCGTTCTGCACTCAGAGGCGGTGCGACTCGTCAGCGCGTCCCGGGCTCGTGCTTCGGTCTCGCGATCGTCCAGTTCTGGGCGCAAGATCAAGAACCTCGGATCTGCTGCTTTCCATCGGGATTCCCGGCTACTCGAACCTACGTCGTTTGGTCGCTTTGCCACGCGCACTGCACCTCTGCCTGTAATCTGTAACTGAGCATCGCTGAGCTTCCGCAGCATAATCACAGGAAGAACGTGAGCAGCCTCATTGTATGCGCTGGCTTGTTGGTTCTTAACCCATACGCAGAGCGTCAGAAGCTCTCGGACAACTCCATATGACTCAACTTGACGATCAGGACTCCAGGGACTCATCGCCGTCGCCCTCCAAACCGACCGGCTCCTTGAACGCGACCGCGCAGACTGACCAGAGTTCTATCCCTCCCACTCGCTTCTACTCCTCTACCAGTGGCCCAAAACCACCCCCACTACCAAATCGACCACGTACCAGCGTAGGTACGGCCTCCACTCAATATATGGCGCCGCCAAGTCCGCCCCCCAGCTATGATGTTACCTCCTCGGACTTTCGGGAGCCGGAGCTTGTAGCAGATGGTCCTCTTCCTGCACTTCATGTACCGGACGGCGAGCCGCAGAGAGATATCTGGATCTCACAAGAAACAAGAACGTCATGGGATGTTGACGCTTCCGCATGGTCCGGAGTTGAAAATGAAGTAAGCGGAACATGGACCTCAAACGTCGATTGGACAACTTCATACGTGTCCGCTGCCAAGAAAATACCCATAGATGGTCGCAGTGACGAGGAGGAAGAACGATGGTGGGATCCCACCATCCGAGAGAAGTATATGCGACCTGGTCCAGGTATATTGGCGACGTTGCTCGAGCGGAAACTACACGAAGGTGGCGATCATACCCTGTTCAGCGTACTTGCAAAATCACCATCGCCGGAAGCTCGTGCGGAGCACGCGCGCAGTGGTTCCGGCAATTCAATGAGCTTTTCTACTTCGGTTCCGTCTGCAACTCCCTCTAGCGCGACCACACAACCCACTTCTCCCACGTCCTTGCATACTTCTGCTCCTTCATCATCGCAAGTCTTCATACCTCCACCTGCGGACGAAGTGCGGACGGCTGTCCCCCATCCCAATGCATACTATTGTCGGAAACACAACGGATGGCTACTCGTGCTATGGAAATCTTCGTCTGTGCTCCCGCCTCTAGCTAGCAGCTTTGACGAGCGAAAGCTTCCTGATCAGATGCGCCGTAAACAGACCAACTCATGTGTTGGTGAGGGCGAACAACCATTCGGACAGGCAAACAAGACACATCACTTCCATCACTACTCAAAGGCGGTCGACGCCCGTAAATTGGATCCTCCTCTCATCAGGCAGTCATGGGAGAAAGAGGAGCTGATCAAGAAGAACCGAAGGAAGGTGACGAGGGAAAGTCTCTCATTGGATTTATCCGATGGTATAGACCCCGAGAGCATGACATCCACATCCCAAATGATTCAAGATGAGCCTGAACAAATGGATGAAGAACCGGAAGAGGAACTGCTGGATTTATACGTTTGTTGTCAATGTTCGTTCTACTGCGTGGTCAGCGACATCATTCCCGGTGTCATTCCTGTTCGTGCGATCGAGGCATTCGTTCAGGAAAAGACTCAGAACCCCTCACCGGGTGTCACCGCTGAAATGTCGGTGTTCTACGCCTGGGAGACGATAGCGCGGTTCGTTCTTAGGTGCTTGTCAATCGGACGGTTTCTCAACATTTCACAGGGTACTCAACAAACGCCTGTGGGGCGGGGAAACTCGTTCCCTACCGATTCAAGGCAAATCGTTCAGTTCGAGGATCGGTTGGAGCACACCTGTGTATGTGATTTGCGATGCACAAGTAACGGCGACTTGAACTGGCATATTAGACAGACCATATTCTCAAGTCTGGGGTGGGAGCTGAAGCCACTTCACAAGGATGGTCAAGATATTCAGGCTCTCTGGCCCCCGTCGTTAGACTCGGCATCGCTCGAAGGCAAAACTACTCGTGCCAAGCTGCTACGCGCTCGTGTGGAGATTGGCGCTTGGATGACGGACTTCTATCGTCGATTGTGTGAGATGCTTCTGACACTATGACCCGACGAATAGTGACAGACGTCTTGCTCTATCACAGTGTCAAAGAGCAAGGAATTTGTCGATGACGTCATCACAATTGACAGTGCTCGGGAAATGATTTCCAGCGCGATCGGTTCTCATCCAAATCAAAGCAAGTATATTTTGATAGTTATCCGGTCATGAACGATGTCGTAACAATATGCACAGTTCCGCGCGAGTCAGTAGGAGATCAATTCATGCAGCTCAAGAGCATCCAGATAGCGATCTCCACGCTTGGTCTGACCGAGACTTCAGCGTCGGTTGGTGAGTCCTGTCGGATAGCGCCTTCGGGGACTTGACTGATCAATTCCGTAATGGCAAGATTACCTGGCGTTTGCATATATGGCCCAATGTCGTTGTGATCCGTCCAATACCCCGGCGTACTTCGAGAGCATATGGACGCTCGTGCATACCATGCAGAACTTCGGTGATGTGCCGCCAGTAGAGCTGCAATCACTCATCATGGAAGAGCGAGCACGCCATCGTTTTTCTTCTGAAGACGTCTCGCGGCATATCTCAGCGCTGGGCTTTGGAGAGAACAATGTTCTGGGCTTTGACTACGACGATTCGATCACCGATGATGTTATCGAGGAGGCATATTCAGCGGCAGTAAGGCAAGCATGGCAGGACCCCGCACGCGGGGACGAACGCCAGAGGGAACTCGATGAGGCGCTGAACGTACTAGCTCAAATCCGTGGCAGCCTTAGATTGTGGAACAAATGGAAGATACAGGCCGCGGGCGAGGGAAGGATGAATCCCTCCAAAGCGTATAGCACCCTGGACGTCCCTCACGGCACCGAGGACGAACTGATCATAAGTGTCTTCTCATTGAGGGTATGTATTCGACTACGTTGTCCGTACTGCCAGTGAACGTTTTGTTTCAGGTAGAAGATCAGCCTCATCAAGCGGACAAGATGCGCGAGGCTGTGTCCGTGATCGCCGACTACACTAACAGTGAAAGGCTGAAGCGCTTCCTCGAAACCGGCGTTGACCGTGGGTCCTGGCCTTTTCATGGAGTTAGTCACCCTCATGAATTGTTGCAGCTGGCAACATAGAGCCCCCTGTGAGGGCTGACCTGCCGAGAGGTTTGCATCAGTTAGGAAACACTTGCTATTTGAATTCTTTGCTACAAGTACGTCCTTATACATGGCCACCGGAAGCAGGCATCCAAATTCACCCCCACCCCCCACCCCCTTTAGTACTTTTACACCATCAAAGACTTGCGGGAAGCCGTCCTGCAATTCGCTCATGACGAAACAAAGGAGTCTCTTGACTATAAGTTAACGGAAGATGACCTCAAACGACACCGAGTGGGTGGACGGCTCGTCACCAAGAGGGAAATCATACGCTCCAGGAAATGTCTGTTCACGTCCACCAAGTGGTTCTTATCACTCATGATTCAATAGTCGTCAATCTTCTCGGTAGTCTGTTCTGGGACCTGGAATATAACGAAGACCCAGCCGTCACACCGAAAGTGGATTTGGCAAAGCTTGCACTTGTTACGTCCAAGGATGAAGAAGAAGATGAAGCGGACAGGCCTGCAACTGACTCCTCAAATGACACTGACGCTACCCTCGTCGAAGACGCACCGCCACGACACCTATCTCCGAAGCCCATGTCCTCACCGTCGTCGTCATCCGTCCTAGGAAAGAGACCGCGTAGTCCACGAAAGAACAGTGCCATGGAGGTTGATAGCCCAGTCGAACAAGCCAAGGACGAAGGTCTTGCTGCTCATCAATCTGACGAAGTCACTGCCGGACGATCAATTTCGGATGAACAGCCTGAAGCAGGTTCTTCACGGCTTCCCGCCCCAGCAGTCAAGTCCGGCCCTGAAGACGTTGAGATGCAGGATTCAACACCAAACACCAAACCCTCGGTGCGTCCGAAACAGAGCACCCAACCGGGAGGTATGATGTTTGGTAAGTCATTGATAGCAGCCCACGAACGCGGATGTTGAATGAACCTCAGGCAGGCAACACGATGTTTCCGAGTGCATGGACAATTGCATGTTCCAAATTGAGACCGCCCTCCTGAGGTTTGACGAGCTCACTGGTGGCGAGCGTGATAAAACTAGTCTCGTGAAGAGGTAACGGCGTTATCAATTGTGATGGCGAATATGCCGATTTTGACTTGATGTTAGGCTTTTCTATGGGAAGCTCAAGCAACGTCTAACTGCAATTGACGACGCTCGGAGCTCTCGAACATCCGTGCATGAGAAGGAAGATCTATTCTCACATCTGCCAGTGAATGTCTCGGAAGAGGGCTATGATATCTACGACGGCTTATGTGGCTACTTCGAGGACGTCGTCGACTTCGAGGGTAAAAAGGCTCGGATGGAAGTGTCGTTGGTAGACCTCCCACCCATCTTGCAAATCCAACTGCAGGTATTGTCTTCAAATCGCCGCCACTTCCTCCATGCCACTGATTCTTCCGGATCAGAGAGTCCAGTTCAACCGCGAAACTCTGCAACCCTACAAGAGCCAGGCATACCTCAAATTCGGGGAACAGCTATTCCTAGATCGATTCTTGGATCGTGCAGACCCCGCAATGAAAGCGAAGAGCAAGGCCATACAATCCAAATTGAACGCATGCCGCGAGCGCATCAACGTGCTGACGAAGAGCAAGGTATGCATTGAAATTTCGTCCGGTAATTCATTTTCTTATCATGGTCTCACTGAAGGGTGCTCCATACAACGTTTCTCTGGCGGCCACCTCCGACTTCCTGTCGAAACTCGTTGGTGTTGATATTCCCGAAGTTGATGATGATCTTATCACCCAACTGGGAGCTGAGGAAGCATTACTCCAAGATGAACTCACACAACTCCGGGATCAAGTAACTCGATTGAAGGATGAATTAGAGGAGATATGGAGCGACGAAAAGAGCGTCGAATATGAGCTCACTTCGGTATTCGTCCACAGCGGTTCATCGCCGTCATGGGGTCACTATTTCTTCTACGCGAGGAATCTACCGGATAGGCCGGACGAGTGGTTCAAGTACAATGACCAATACGTGACAGAAGTCAGCAAAGAGGAGGTACTTGCGGATACCACAGGGCTTACCAGCAACCCGTATCTAGTGGGTGATCTGTTTCCCGTCAACTTGTCGGTAGACTGACCTATCGGCACAGCTCGTTTTTGCTCGCAAAGGCTCGGACATAGTACATACTGTGAACCGATTCGATCCGAAGCATCTGCCGACAGCAGATGTTTAGTCATTGTCAGGGGCACCTGCCCTATTGTCGGATAATATTGCATCTACCGCATCATCTGTACTATCGCATTCACTACTTGAATAAAGGGTATAAGAACAAAATCATGAACGGCATCAAGCACATCATCCTTTTCCCTTAGATGGCTCGGGCTGTATGATGTCTCATTGCTCGCCGTAGTATGGTAACAAAATTCCCTACTTTGGGACGGATCGGTTCAGTAAAACTTAGGCTCTGTCTCTTCTGTCGTGACCAATTAATTTCCGTAATGGAATAGATAAGGAGGTACGTGCCTGTTGGCTTCACGGCATCGTCCACAACCTGACCGTGCAATCACTTCCCCCGGAAACGAGACTTTTGTCATCGGAAGACAAGGCCACCGCTTGTACAGCTTTCTTGTGACCTGTCAATGGAACACCGAGTAATTTGTTCATCCGGAGATCCCATACGCGGATACTCCGATCCATGGACCCAGATACAGCATAGTTGGCGTCATGTGAGATGGCCACGGAGAAGACAGGATTGTCATGCCCTGTGAGTTGGACGGGTCGAGCCTCATGTGCTCGCACATCCCATACGAGAATGCGGCGGTCCATGGACCCGGAGACGACGCGACCGTTACTACCATCCACAGAACAACACACTGACCGAACACCATCGGTATGCGAGTTCATCGTGGACAGCTGTACTTGCTTATGCAGGTCCCACAGACAAACGGACGAGTCGAGTGACCCAGATATGAAATGTCGTCCATCCGCTGAAGCAGCAACACTCGTTATCTCCTTCTTGTGGCCGTTGAGGAGCTTAGCGGGGGGCTCGAAGTCCGGCGAAGTTGTGCTGTCGAGATGTCTCCTCCAAATGCATATGCATTTATCGGCTCCGCACGAAACAAAGTAACGGGCGTCATGAGAGATGGAAATGCTGTTGACACTGCCGCGGTGTCCGATCAAGGTGCGGGACTGTCTGGCGGTAAAGGTATCCCAGATGTATATGGCTTTATCGCTGGCCCCGGAAATCATATATGGGCTCTCAGGGAAGAACGCGACAGCGTTGACGGAGAACTGGTGTCCTGCGAGGATTCTCCCGGTGGAAGACCCCATGGAGTCAAGATGCCATACAGCAGCGATGCTATCCAGCTGCCCACAAGAGATTTGCTGCCCATCGGAGGAAATAGCAACGGCACGAACGCGACCGCTCTGAATCTGTGATCTGTCTGACACCCATCTGTTGGATATCAACTTGAAGGTCGCAGGTTTGATGTTGCGCGAAACCTACCTGTCAGTCCACGGTGAAGACCTCAAGGACAAATCATTGAACGCGGATAGTATTTCATCGGTATCATCGTCTTCCTCTTCAGCACCTTCATCACTCCGTCTGTCGTGGAATTCGCCGGAGGATACGAGTGTGGTCGAAGGAGAGACGGGACCCCCTTCTGAGTCACTGTCGAATCTCTTTGTAACTTCGACCATGTTACGAAGAGCGTCTGCGACCTTGTCCGCCGTAGGTCTGGATTCCGGTCTAGCTCGAAAGCACCGCTCAACTATGTCCCACATTTCCTGTGACATGTCGTTGGCGTCCCCATTGCGGACACATGGTCTGGGAGGCCGACGGCCTGCCACGACTTCAAACATCACTGCCGGAGCGAACGGTATGTTGTGGAAAGGAACTTTCCCAGAATATGCCTGTCATCTCGGACTAAGAGGTTGTGTGTGATTGGTCATGTACTGAAGCTGACCTCAACGAACGTGCAGGCCAGAGCATACATATCAGTTTCCGGTGTACGAGATCGGCTAGTCGATGAATATAGTTCTGGCGCGTTCCATTGGTGCGAGCCTGGGGTCTCCGTAATCGTCGCGTTGTTATCTATCATCATGTTGGATAGTCCAAAGTCTGCGACGCGTGCATGCGAATCATCTCCAACCAGAATATTCCCCTATCCAACCGCCCAGTTGGTCGTTGCACAACAGGTTGTGCAGGATGACTTACACATTTGATGTCGCCATGCACGATCGCATGACCATGCAGATATTGAATGCCCTTAACAGTATCGAGCAGCTGAGCCACGGTATCAGTTATCACTATTTCATTCAGGAAGTAACACAGATACCAATGCGTCTATGCCAGAAATACATGTTTCGTGATCTCTGATATATCTGTCGAGAGATCCATGGTTCATCCATGGTGAGACAATGCACATGGCAGGGTTGAATGTGTCAGTGTCGATACCTAACAGAGGTAACACATTCGGGTGCTTTAGATGCTGCCAAATTGCGAGTTCCCGGTAAAAACGCTTTGTGGATGAAAAATCAGGGACATTACCGTGCCATAACACGTGAATTACCTGGAAATGTTTTGAGGTGCCATTCCCGAACTGTCGCACCCTCTTAAGGGCCACTTCCTGGTCAAAGTACTTCCCCTTGAAAACATCAGCAAAGCCACTGTAAACGGGAGCATCGGGAAGAGGTATGATCCCTGCGAGACGCAGTGTCGATGGCCATTGATCACCGCAGAATTTGACAAAAAGCTTTTGAAGTTCCTTCCACTGGTGGCGCTCTTGGGGCGTTGTAGGCATGATGCTTAGCTCCTATACGACGGTGAGCCGGCATCCCAGCTTCAGTTAATCAAAGTTGCGTACTCTGTGCAAGGCGTCCACCAGTATCTGCGCTTCAGGAGGCCGCAGATTCATGCAGGCGGAAGTGCCTGCAATATCCTTGCGAATGGAACATCTGGCTTGCCAATGGACCGGTATGCTCTCGAGCAGCACCAATTCCGCGAATGATAGTTCTGCAGGCCCCCTGTCGCATTATTCAACGTTGGCTTGTGGTATCGGTCATTGCGTACCAACTTGGACTTCCTCCATCGTCGGTGAAGTCTCCGGGTGGGTACGCGATGAACGGAGCATGTTATTGACAGGAAATCGGATTATGCAATAGTAGTAGGCCATATACATTAGACGAAGCCGCAAAGAGCGATCATCAAGGACTCACTGCTCCACGGGACACTGATCGCGTTGTGAAATCAAGATAGCAGTGGCATGGACTGGAGTCAAGGAGTGTGGGTGCCGCCAGAGACGAGTCTAGTCATGCGGGTCAGAGAACACGCAGGACCCGGATTAGAACATATTGAGATTTCTGTACGGAGGACGATGCCGAGTGCACTGAATGCAGTTGCCTCGTGGTATGGGAAGGCATATATATACACTACTATCGGCGATGGTCTGTCACCATGAGCATGGTAGTCCACTGGCGGCCCTGGCTCCGAGTCACTCATCGTGACAGAGCCAGTCGAAGGAAAACTGCTCGTGCAGAGTCTCGGAGTCCCGAACTACGAGCTTCGCGAGGATAGAAACGGCAGATCGACCCTATTCCAGCTTGCCTTTGATATCGCATGTACTACTTATCCCTGCAAACCATGCGCACGTGACGGTATTCTAACATACTGTCAGTCTCATGAGTTATCCTCAATTGCCCATGGAACACACGTAGGAAGTAGCACGTCCTAGGAATCGAATATCATTTATTAATATAAAGATGCGCTGTGTATAATATGTCTTCCGTATGCGACGTATCACAAACCAGCAACTATGATGATGCATGTAGATGCAATCGAGTGAAAAATACAGACAAATATTGTGATGAGAACCCCCATGTCATAGCCTGCTGCCCATGGAGAATGCTGCGGTCTGGAAAGAGTTGTTCGGTATCGTATCCGACACATCCTTCGCTGCCCTTTCCTTGTCCTTGTCCTTCTTCCGACCGAAGCCGAGCATTCCGCCGCTGAAGCTCAGCTTTCGTGTTGCGCGCTTGAAGGCGAGATTCCCGCTATGCCCATTGGGGTTCAGAGCGGCGGTGGCGGAGTTCGGCGCGGTGCTGTGCATTGGCGACGAAGAGCCTGACCTGGTTGTGAGCGCCTCGGTCGAGCCGTTCTCCGGCTCCTTGCCTTTGCCCGAGGAGGTGGCGAAGTGAGCGTGCGGAACACCGAGCGTAGGCGAGTTAGGGACGGAAGTGGCAAAGGATGGTAATGGGGGAACGGGAGGCAGGTCGTTGGCAGCGGATGAGACCGCGCCGTTGGTAGGGATATGAGCTATGCTCATAGGCCGCGGGAGTGTGTGATTTTGCCCAGGATCTCGCCGGTGCGACAGCGACGCGGTCAGTTGTGGCATGGACTTCTTGTGATCTGGCGCTGTCACACCACTTGGGTACGCAAACGAGGAAGGAGGTGATGTAGTATGATCGCGATTCGCTCGCAACGGCGACTTGGGTTGAAGAGGAGGTGGACCCGATGAAGGTACAGGAAGAGATCCTGAGCTAGACGGGCTAGAACTCATGCTTATCATCGGAGGAGGTAATGATGTTCCGTAATGAGTTCCAGTCGACCCTACAGAAGACGCGGTGGTCGGTCGCTTCGATCCTTGCTCTGAACGATGCCGTGCCATAGCCAGAGGGCTTTTCGGGCCCTGTTCGGAAGCTTGACGAATCATTGACGACGGCCTGCTCGGTTGAGCGTGACCTGTGGTATTAAATCTTGTGTCCGCGCTGCCATGACCGACGGAACTGGAGGGGCCAATCGTCGGTGATGGAGGCAAAAGTGGGGTGAACGTCTTCGATTGGCGAACACTCCTCCTGCGCCATGGCAAAAATCCACCCTTCTTTTCCTTATGGTTTTCACCCTCCTTCTCCACGGACGCGGAAACCTTGCCGAACTCGGCGTCAGACGGGTCAAATCCGTTGGGCGGAGATCTCGCGACTGGATCATGCGCTGCTGATTTGGTAATGGTAGTCGAGGGGCTTTGACCAGTCATGTCGGACGTGATGGTACCCTCGCTCCTCGCCAACGGGCCGTCTTTGCCGATATCGGTCTTCTTCCTGCCTAGCGTACGGGCACTAGGAATTGGAATACCCTTGGAGCGAGTAGGCGTGGAGCCAGATGTACTGAGGATCTTGCCCATCTCGGGTGGCGGGATTGCAACCTCAAGAGGAGGGGGACTATGTGATGGAACGGGCTCCGTTTGAGACAACGCAGGCGAGTTCGCTTGAGGGAAAGGATATGTCGCAGCCATGCCATTTGAATCGCTGAGCCCGGGCGGTGAACGAGGGTCATTGATGTGCTCTTCCTGGTGGGCGGTAGAACCATTGGCAACGGCGGATTGAGTGGCAGAAGCGGCGAGACTGCTGTCACTCGGCTCATCTGGGACACGAAGGCCGAGTGACCGCAGATCGATGTCGACCGCCTGATAGAAGAGTACGTATGCCGATCCTGAGTTGGAATCGCCGTAGTATTTGGGAATGTCGCTCTCCTTGATTGTGTCGACGTTATCATCATCAAACACCAGCCACTGTCCCGGAGCGTTAGGATTCGCCGCCTTCACGATAGTGATATAATGCCCATGATGAGGTCCGCTGCACAGAGCACCGTGAGCAGACTGATCAAGTGAAAGACGGCTATACTCACTTTCCGATATGTACGACAATCGCGAACAACTTGTACAATCGATCAGGATCCTGAGCATCATCAACAGTATTGAAGAGCCGGAGTTCGAGAGGGAAGGCGACGCGGTAGGCGAGCTTAATGTACCGCCCAACATCCTCCTGGTACTTGAACCGTTTTAGGTGCAACGCAAGGACGTTAGGCAGTCTCTTGATCTTCATCCTGACAGATCAGCCGCACATGTCAGCATAAACCTTGTCTGATCGAGCCCGGAATCACACCTACCTTTTCTCCGCCTCCTGAAGATCGCAGCACGAGTCACAGAAGAATTTGTTCCGCTGACACAGCATCTCACTTGCGCTGAACTGACGCAGGCAAGCGGTGATACTGGAATTCTGCTCGATATCAACGCTGAGATCCAGGAATGATTCGTCTCGGGAAGATACGGTCTCGCACGTAAGACAGCGGGTCTCCGAAGTGAGCGTTCCCTCGAATAATCGATGTACCAGCGTGGACGCCGAGGGTAATGAATACGATGTCGATGGCGCTCGCGTAGTCGCCAGAGTAGCCACGGAGTTGGAGACTGCGGGGTGATCAGAGTTCATCGATCGCACAAACCGTTCGCTGTTCAGACTCACGATCGTCATGCGAGGCACCCTTTCCGTCTGCGTTTCGTTTACGCTCTTCCTCCAGTTCGTCCACGATCTTGTTGAGAACGTAGTTGAGGAACTCGTGAGCGTCCTGGTGCATCGTACTCCGGAAGAGCTCATTGAGCTCGCGCAGCTTCTCGATGAAGGCGCGAGGAGCGACAGTGCCCTTGTCTTGCGGGTTCTGCGCGATATGCAGGAAGAGCGCGCGCAGGGCGGAGAAGAGGGTGGCCGATGTCGAGCCCGAGCTACTTGCGGTGAGCTGCGAGGCGGTCGGATCCGCAGGACGGGAAGGGGTATGTGTAGCGGAGGGCTTGCGGTCCGGCTTGTGACGTACCTGCTGGCCAAGGACAGTCGGAGAGGGGAGGAATGACGCCGGATCCTCATGGCCGGCGGCAGAGTCGGGCGACTGAATGACAAGATCACGGAGAGGAGAGCAAAAGTACAGGGCCTGCAGCACCGAATTGGCGTAACTGTGTGTGCGACCCAGAGTGAGCCTGGGCATCCCCAGGATGTGATGTCGAAAGACTGACCAGGTATTTCCGAACTGGATTGCGGAGGAGGGGTATGTGTCAGCCACCGCGGGGCCGTACGGCGTAGCTGGAGACGCACGTTTTCGAGCCCGAACTGTTTGCCATCTGCGGTGACGATCTGTACTGGGGCCTGCTTGGGTGGTTCCGGCTGAGTCGTCTGAGATGGTGCTTGGCCAAACTTCCACTTGACTATCGCCATGCCCGCTCAGGTTGGCTACCGAGCATGCAGCGGGCCGTGGGTCGGACGTGATTAGGACGAACGGAATAGCGGAGAGCGCTGGGCGGATGCTGCTGACGGTTGATGCAAGGGCGGTTGCGGCGCTTCGGGAGCTATGGGACATGAGAGAGCGATGCAGCTCAGGCACGCAATTGCCATGTGCCGCCGCTCACAACAGCACCCACACGTCCTCCTCCTCGGCCCCGTCTTCTCTCGTTTCTGCGATCCTCGTGCCCGCCACGTACAGCGCGTCCCCGCAATCGTATCCAACCCTCCGTAGCAACGCCGCGCCCTGCGATACCATGACGCGAATTTGATGTTCGCCTTCCACGCTTTGCCACCGCCGGCAATCCCCTATCGTCGATATCGTCATCTGCGACTCTCTACCGCGCGCACAAACAGACGGGCCGGTCTCCTGACCATTGCTTTCCACTGACCATCGTTGTCGGTGGCTTGGATGTGCCACACACCCACCGATATGACCGACGGCGAAAGACGGCCCGGTCCTTGGTCGACCGCCTACGCGTGGCGAATTCCCGTGTGCTTAACGCCCTGATGGTGCGACTAAATACTCTCTGGTTCGAAGCACTCTCGCGCCGCGCCGCAATGCTTCTGCCCTGCTCAGTGCTAGGAAGTTGCCCTATGAGTCAGGCTATGACGCGGCTGTACACTTGAATTGCTCGAGAACAAGCTCCCGCGTCCGCACCATCACATGCTTGCGGACAAAAGCACCGGTCCGCCAGACTTCGGCACCCAAGACGGTAGATTGAACATGTTATATGCATTCCTTGCCCATCCCAGAGTCCAACTTGTAGAACTTGCCCACATCGCGGTGCGCGATGACGTTCAGGCCTCAGCCATGAGAAGCATCACCCTCGAAGGTATGGCGAGAGATCGCGAGAAGAAGATGAGAACACTTGATCGCCATTAGTTGCATAGGCAGTACGGTTATTGAACATTGCGCACGGACCACAAGGCCAGGCAATGGCTACCAAAATATGAGTAAACCAAGAACTGACGGTAGGCCTCGACTAGGACAAGGTTGAAACGCGCTCAGAACGTCTCTTTGAACCGTCGTATCTCCACGCGGTCACCGACCCGAATGACACCCTCTTTCCTCGGGATACCGTTCACGCCAAAGCAAGCTTTGTTTCGGTTTTGGGGTTCGGCGTCCACGCCGGTGCGGAACTTCATCAAGACCTTGAAGGGAACCGCGGCATCCCGCACACCTGTAGCCGGGTCAACATTTGGGAGCTAAGTAGGCACCCGGTATGAGCCGCAGAATCCGCGTGAGCGAGGGACAGCACTTGCCAGGCATCGCGTGCACGGAGATACCAGGACGATATGCATCGCATCGCCGGAGGAAGAGACATTACTTGCGATAGTGATCTCCTCCCACAGGTCCTCGGCGAATGGCACGCCGGCGCCCTTGAGCACGATATTAGGCCGAAACCTACGGAAGGACTAGATTAGTACTGCTCAATGCTGTAAATCGTGCATAGAATCCGCCCTAGGGGATCTGCACTTACCGTTCGATTTCGAGTTCAGAGTCTTTCCACTTCTCAGTCAAGCCCTTGATCTCGCTTTCAACGTTCTGCGCCGCAGCAAATATGTTCGTGGTGCTGCTAACGGCCTTCAAACTCTCCTCACTCGTGACAAGTAAAGGGTAGCCATCCTGGAAGACTAGCTTCGCCTCTTCTTCCGCTTCCAGTGCGGAATCATTTGTAGCTGGCAGGACAGGCAGGGTAGGGAACGCGTGCGTTGGTTGGCAGTAACGCGGGTTTGGTCCCTTGATGACGAGATGAACGGACAGACCGAGGAACTTGCTCAGGGAGGCGGAAGGAGCATCCGGCGGCGCACCAGCTTCAGACGATTGGCAAATGTATCCGTCAAGCCCGTGTACGGAAAAATGAAAAAGATTGGACAACCTGAAACGTTGCATGTGAATAGGAAGAGTGGCTGCGGGTGACATCGGACATTGACGTACGTCTCCCAACGTGATAGGACTTGGGGTGTTGGATCCAACGGGGTCGAGAACGCATCGCAGCCGGAGTCGTCGGGGAACCTGACTTCCAACGTGCCTTTCCCGCGATCAATCCGGGGGTGTATGAGGACCATCTACGGTTTGTTCGTGAGCAACGTGTAGCGACAAATTGGGGCTTAGCAGGCGGAGATGAGGGTCGGAACTCTGGACAAGGTTTGACTGGGTATGCTGCACATCGGCGTTTCGTTTCATACTTACTTTAGGGATATCTCTTGCAGTCAGCACCTTCCCCGTGGATGCGTTCGAAACACACCATAGCCGGTCGTAGAGCAGACCTTCCTTCTTCAATGGCCACTCTTCGACGGCAGTGCCTTTACAACTCTACATGATTGCATTGTCAGCCTCCTGGTCCTAAGGTCCGTTCGGAGAATGAGTTCTGTATCATGAACCAGCGATGTTCCTGCTGGGTAGATATGCAGTGCCCATGTGGCAGGGGCGAAGCTCGTGAGTGGCGATCGCGAAAGGAAATGCTGCTGCTTCTTTTGCGCAGGTGAACGGCGAACACGAACCTTGATAGGGTGAACCAAGAGCTTCGATACGAAAACGCTATCCGTCTTCGCATCCGTTTCCGACCAGCTCCTCTTCATATCATCTACAGAAGTCGACGCTGGAGGTTTCTTCGTACGGGCGCTGCGGGTACGAGACAGAAACAAGAATGCCCCAAGCAGGAGAAGAGCCCATGTGCCGGCGGAGATAGCAGTGACAGCATGGGAGTCGTCCGTACGAAAGAGAGCTGCGATGCCCAGCATCATGGGTTGGTATGTTTAGACTGTGGAAGCGGCGAGCTCGTGGCTCTCGAGGTGTTCACGAATATGTACATGCCAGGCACGGTCGGTCAGCTATCGCGAATCAGAGTGGGTTTCCGGACACTGGTTTTGCGACCCACGAGCCGTTTTACAGGGGCTTTCCGTCGATTGATCCGGCGGTTCAGAGCCTGGGCTGCGGTTTTATGCACAACTCGGATAAAAAGAATACCAGGTGTAATTCCGACAAGAGTTGATCGTCGCATGCGCTATCGTACATCGGTGTCTGTATGTTGCGAGCTGTTTTACTTATCCCGTGCGCAAAATCAAGTGCACACCGCTATCCGTTTCCACCACATCGCTCATCTCGCCGACGTTCAAGGCATAAGCGGCTTCTTCAAACGGTTTCTGCATCTGACCGGGCTTGAACCACCCCAGATCCCCACCAGCAGTGTGGGACGAGCAATCGGAATGCTCAGACGCAAGCTTGGAGAAGGTGTCCGGATTTCCATCGATCTGCGCTTGATAACCCTTCAATATTTCGATTGCTTCAGCTTTCGAGCGAGTTATGTTCGCCTAGGGGATGAAGGATCCGACTATGAACGACCGGCGCGACCTGACATATCGAGCCCATCGCGTACCTCCTTCCAACTGCTCGGCCGCCGGCTGCCGCTGTGCTTGACAAGCAAATGACTCGCCCTTACCTGAGCGGGTCTGCTCAGGTAATGTGCGCCGGATAGCTGCTGGATCTGCTCTTGGGTAAGATCGGAAGGAGGGTCCCAGGAAGAGGAGTGGGTGTCATTGTTGAAGAAGTATGGAACTCCGCGGGAGTTCGACATACGAATCTCCCAGTTAGCCTGCAGCGATCTCAGTGACTTATCATTATATGTTCAGTAAATGCGCACCATGACTACAGGCAGTCCTTGTTGGGGTCAACTCGATCAGCACCGCCACACGAAAGAGGCTTTCAATCACGTGAACTGGTCTAGAAATTGGACACCGCCACGGAACGGAGGCAGACAGGTTTCAAGTCGCGAAAGTCGTTTGCGGACTCACACATGTCCTCCTCGACGAACGAGCGCGGTCAGCCGAGGGTGTCTCTAGATGAAGTGATAGCCAAGAAAGCGTCGTGCTTTACCCGAAAGCCTCTGCCTTTGCGCGACGTCAGCACTCGCCAGGTTAGTTAGGCTTCCGTTTCACAAAGAGGAAGTTGTTTGATCAAGACACCGTTCGGAATGCAGCTGTTGAGGGATCTGCAGACGCGGCTTCGGTATGCAAAACTGAAAGTTGACAATGGATGGGTAAGCTCCCTGCGTTCCAGCAACAGGTATATGCGCTCAGCCGTCTGGAACTCGACAGCAAAGGCAGACCTTGAGCGAAGTTGAGAATATCTGCTTCCGTCGATCTCAACTTTCGCAAGGCCGCGCAGCAAGGACATCCTCGGCTCCCCTTGGCCTCGACGATTCCTCTCGACTTGCGTCGACTTCATTTGCTCGCGGAGAACTATCCGCTGCAGCAGTTGCCCTCGGCCGTGAAGATAACACTGAATCGTCGCAAACGCGAGAGGTGCAACCTGATGGCATGGAGATCGCCAATGACCTCGGTGAGAAGTTGCGTGGTGGACGGATGTGTACATCGACCCTGACGCTTCTGGAAGAGGACGACGAGTCAGCCCCATTGCCCAACGGCTTCACCACAGACTCCCATCCTGCGTTCAATACGTCAGGACGAAGAAATGTCTACGGGGGACTCGAGACACCGTTCGAGGTGGGGGAGAAACTTGACTACTTCCGAACAGAGACAAGTCAGCCCGTAGACAGCGGTACGTACTACGACGTTGCTTCTTGAATATAACTTACCAGACTATTCAGGAACACGAACACCGTCTGCTCTGGATGAAGACCGGATTGAGTCAGGACAGCCTCGTCTAACAAGCCCCGGGCCTCCTCTCCACGCCCCGTTGCCCGTACACGCACTCCCTGCGAATGCGCAATTGGCCCACAATACACTGGCAAATCGACTTAATGCGTCAGGACGAGCTGTCAGTTCTCGACAAAACTCCCCCTTCGCGCTCTCTCCCTCTCTTCAGCACCTGCCAGTCCCTCTCACGTCATCACAGCACCCGAACCCACACGTCAACCACGTGTCCACAGCAGGGATGACATACGACTCTTTCTGGTCATCGCTATCGAGCTCGTCAACGGGGACAAGCGTTTCATCTACATCCTCTTTTGGGATGCGGGGGTCTGCTAACATCCAACGCCGGCCGTCCACGGATGCTTCTCCCGTGTCGGATCCGGTTCAGTCGTCGAGGCAACCGATATTTGCGGCTGCTGGCGGATCCTCAGCATCGGATGCTACGTCACTTGGGCAGCCATCCGCATCCTCGGCATCTTCAGAGCTCTGATACGTTTTCGACCGTCGTTCCATCACGCAGTGTGGCGATCAACATCAGCCCTGCCCAACGGACGGTCCATCTTAGATGTGCTCAATACGTCCTCAGATATATGCCAGCATCCGCATTCTAGTAACGTCATTATCATGCATCTAATCAATATCATGAAACACATCCTTTTACGACTTCGTGTCGTAGTCTGAATCATACCAAAAACAAGTAAAATAAGAAATGCTCCGAAACGAGAGAGGACAAATTATACTCATCAACCTAGCGGGATGGGTTTAATGTGTACGGAATTATCAAGTCGACCCTCTAGATTGCGTGATAGGCGTTTCATAATGTCATCTAATCCCTTCGCATCGTAAACCTGTTGTTGAAGATCGTCACATCTGGAGCCATGAGAGGCCTTTGAATATAGCCCAAATGCAACCCCCGGAGATGATGGGGAGCGTCAAGTTGTCATCCAAGGAGCCAAGATCTGGTAGGCAAAGTGAGTACCATTGTTCTGCACAAGGGAGACACTGTAAATACCGAGTGCTTCGGCAACTGCAGTTGCCAGCCCTGCTGCTAGGCCCGTGATGCCTAACCCTATCCAGCCACCTGTCTCCAGAGACGGGACGTTCATGGCGGCTTTGGCGGCTTGCGCTGCTGCACCCGCCGCATGCGCACCGGCCTCGACCGTCGCAGTCACAGATTCCACCGTGAGTACGGCGTTATCACCGATCAGTGTAGCGAAGTCACGCAGGCCCAGCCCTCCGGTAAACGAGTCTCCAACGCCTGCCCAGGTCCAACATAGATGCCGGACAGTCTCAATCCCGACGTTTGGCACGCCGCGAGGGGCTAAGAAGCCCCAGAAGCCAACAACGATGCCTGAAAGCACGGATGGTCTGTGAGACAGCGATGCTGAAAGGAGAAAAGGACACTAACCGGCGCCTGTCGCGAAGGCGGCCAAGAACCCTGCCGTGCTCTTGCGAGGCGCGAGAGGGAGACCAAGGACGGGTATACGAGCGGGTAACGGTGGCGTATACCTGCCGAAGGCTCGTCCAAACGTGGACGCAGCAGTGTCTGCCCACGATAAGCTAAAGACAATCAATGGAACGCGTCGTGAGACAGAATTGAACCACAAGACGTACAGCAATATGCTGACTACCGCAAGATCTAACGGGTATACTGCAAGAACGAATATAACCCCAAGAATGTACCATATGGTACCGTTGGTCCGGTTCTATTTAGTGAGGTGGTTGGTTCTTGTTCTGGTGTGCTAACAGAATGGTCCGAACCTTTTCACTCTCGCGCATGAGAATCCCGACGCATGCTTCCCACCCTCGCGCGAACGATGGGTATCTGTCGGACAGAATAATGAGATTTGACCGTGATGCAGAAATTCATGAACAGGGCAAGTGTGCGCTCTGATGTTGGTCTCGCGCGGCGCGTCATAAGAAATACACAAAACGGAACTGGGCAGTAGAAACTTAGATGAGCATCCATACCTGAACCGCAGGAAGTCAGAGGGTACAATGATTGCCAGAGCACCCATGAGCGCGATTATGATGATGCGGGGTGGCGTATGTGAGAGGTAGAGCCCAACGGTGAGAAAACCTGTACGGGACCATGAATATAGCTTCAAGACAGATCTTGAAGCTAGTGCAACCACCCACCGATGCTGGAGTGGAACACCTTGCGAGGAATCTCCCAGTCGATTTTCTCAACGACTTTCCCTTTGCCCTTCGCGAGCGCCCTGGTAGTTTTCTTCCTGCGAGATGTCGAGGACTTCTTTGTATGCCCGTTTGTATGACTTGTTGAACTACCATCGCTCTCCAACTCAGATGTGGCATGTGTGGCATGACCATTCGATGTCGGGCTCGCGTGACCATTGCTGGCGAAGCCATTGGAGACTTGACGTGCATTGGGCTGCCGTTTAGTCAACGTCGCGGGAGACTGGGCGCGACCGGTGAACGATGATCGCATAGTGCCGGTCAGAGACAGCGAGGGGCGGCGGGGCAAAGGTGACCTGGCTGTCCGGATTGATGATGGTTGAGGCCGCGACGGGTGGGCAAGTCCAAAAGCGTCTTCAGTGAGGGACATGCGCGCCGAGTGAGTTCAGGTTGGTCGTCGCCGACGTGAAGGCGCCGAGTGAGACTAAGACGAGAGTGGTGGAGCTGGAGGCGACGACGCCGTGTGCACAAGGGACTGACGAAAAAGCGCGGCACCTACGCGAGAGACCGCCCAAATGACAGTGCCCTGCCCTCTTCGGCCCGGGCCACTAGAGCTGATTTGCAGCTGATAAATATCAATTCGCGGCCTGTCATTGATGGTATGGCAAGTTGACCGAGGTTTCCCTAGGGAAATATTGGCTGCAAATCAGCTCTACTTACTGCTGTGACACGAATCGATTACAACCTTTGAGCTTGCCTACGACATTGCACACTGCATGTGCGCAGCAGAGGAGCATTGAAAAACGAAGGGCCCAACCGGGAATCGAACCCAGGTCACTTGCAATTGTGCTTCGCCCAAAGCAAGTATCGTACCTCTGGACCATTGAGCCGCTGACGTTGTTTCAAGCTTAGCAAGCTACAATGAGGGTCTCGTACTCCGCAAGTATGTACCTCATCCGCACTGCCAGTGCATGGTGTTCCCGCTTCACCGATGGCTCGTCAAAGCATTTTTACGTCGCATTATCGCAAGCGAGTTGCATGTGCAGTATGTGCTTTCATGTTGCGTTCTCGCGTCCGCTATGACGCCGCTTTTATGCCGCGATTTAGAGTCAAAGGGTTGGCATACTTACATATCTATTATGACCGTACTCCTTAAATCCCGCAACTGTGACCCTCATCAGCCCTCATCGCGATCACGTCTGTGCCTTGAAAGACGGCTTCCTCGTTGATAGCCTCATGGATGGCGTTACAATGACTTCGCCGCAGGAGATTTTGACCACCTCGAAGCGATTGCTCGCTTTCGATGCCGGTAACGAACGTGGGAAAGTCAGCGGATGCGGCACCTCGACGGTGCTTTCGAGGGGACATAGCAAACCCTTTCGAACGCTGCCGACTGCCGAGGTGAGCAGTCCGCTCTCTTGTGAACTGGTGCACGATGCCCTCGATATAGTCAGTCAAATCCGTGTCGTTAGGCATGATATTATCCGAGCGCTGAGCCGTCTCCACGTCACCAGCAAAGTTTAAGGTTCGACCGCTCTGTGAGCGCGCGGTGTACTCGTACTGTGGAGGCGATCTTACGCTTGTATTACGCGCCACGTTTCTCGCAGTGAACTGGCCGAGTCTCCGCCCACTCCTGCCCTTGGCTGCCGATATCAAACCAGTCTGAGGTGATGTTCAAAGTTACATTCAAACAGCGCCTACGTGCCGTTTGACGGTCATTTCAAGGTGGGTGTTCGGTCTTATATGATATGTAGTGCCGTGATGCTCATCCTTTCACCCAATCTTGTCATTCACGATTTGCAGTCGGTAAGCCCGTTAGTGATAATTATGACATCCTGCTCTGATCTACAAGAGGTCTTCCTCATATTTACTCCACGGACGGTCGGATGAAGAAACCAAAGATCAATGTGTGTGCGCCTCTTAAACAGATTCGGTGCGCAAATAGGATATCGAAAATAAAATCACTTCTGAAACAGTAATGTGCAGAAAGCATTTGCTGGTTGTAGCCTCACTACATGTTATGTTAGGTATATTTGTCTGGTAGCCAAGATGACTGATTGTCCATTGATAATGAGGACGGTTCCAGGGGTCTCACAAATCAGGTTCGTGACGACAATGATCATACTGAAATCGATGATACATGTTCCAACCAATCATCCATCTGGGCGCTCAGAATGCGCTCCTCATATTTCGGTAATATCCATGAACTGCCGTTGAGCACTCGAATTGGTGACATTCACGGAACGTGGTGATATTTCCGATAGATGTATTACGGGTTCAGGAGTTTCAATTTGTACTTATACTATCATATCGGATTAGGCAAAATCATAGTGGAAGCTTAGTCTCCGATGCCTGTACTCCTCGAATGTAATATTTGACAATTCCGTATCTGAATCTCGATGTTATATATCGGAGCGACACATACCGATTTGAGTTGGTTCACAGACATGAGATTTGCCTGATATATATGATTAGCGTGTGCACGACAAAACGGGCAGAAGTCCCAATGCTGCTAGTGCTGCCTGTATTGGAATGCGCATGACACTGAGGGCGCTTAGACATTCGACCTTCTTTCTCTCACCGCAAGCGCCGCCTATATAAAATCTGACCCATGTCGCGAGTGTTCGCATCGCGAGGCCAATAACTACCTTTTTATTGTCATTCGCACAGATGGAGTGGAACAGATACTACCCCTCCTCCAATCATGCCTCTCCAAATTCATACGCAAGTCCTCCAACGTTCCCTTCTCATGATGGAACTCAGGCCTCGCCGCCTGCCTTTGGGTGCGCATTCGATGTAGCCCGGCCATGCTTCATACTTTCCGGCTTTCTGCCAGTTGGAAGATAACCGTATCTTACAGCGCCGGTGGATTTCAAGTTGCACCTCGACCTTTGGCTGGTTATCAACCAGCTTACGTTCAGACACATCCAGTCTCGTCATACAACGGATATTGCAACAACAATGATGTCTATCCGTCTGGCGCGCCCACGTTGTGGTCTCAGCCAGGACCGTCATGGAATCAGCACTTCATGGGGCAACATCCCAGCTATGCGGCGGGCAATGAACCACTGCCACAATCCTATAACCCGATATACCAGGTTGTACCCCCTGCTCAGCCGAGCCTTCAATCAGGCAGCAAAAAAGCACTATGCGTGAGTACATATTATCACCACGCTGCCGCCCTAGTGGTCACTCGTAGGACTTTGGGCTCAGATCGGGATCAACTACGATGGCTTGCGGGAAGTGGGCCAATATAGTCTCTCCCCATTGATCGGATGCGTCAGAGATGCACAGAGTGTTAAAGCATGCCTGGGTGCGCAAATAAATCCATTGCAATGAAGAACGATAAGCTCAGCTGCGATGTATGTGAATATAGGCCATTTCGGGTTCCAGGATCACAGCGTGCGACTACTCACAGACGATCGGTTATCCAACAACCTGCCAACGAAGGACAATATTGTAAGACCCATGCTAGTGATGGTTCATAATTATAAACCCTCAACGGGCAGATCCATTCGATGTACTGGCTCGCGCAAGACGCGAGGCCAGGAGATTCCTTATTTTTTCATTGTTCGTATTTGATTTCCCTGTGGCAAAGAGACTATATGATACATTTTCAGTCTCCGGGCACGGGAAACAAATACCTGACTTGGATGGAGATGAAACAGACGGTTATGACGAAGGTTTGCACGAGAAAGTGGTTACAAAACACGCTCGCGAGGCTGACAATGCATACGTAGCGATCGTGCCTTTGGACTACGGACAAACAGGATACATCACAGACGATGTGAACCTTGCGATGACGAGTCCAGCGTCAAAGATTCTGAGTCAATGAAAATAGGAAATGTTTGATTCCATGATTCGCCACCTTCCCCAAGGATGTCGATTTACCGCGGTCTTTGATGTAGGTGCTCCTCGCCATGGACGCCGGCGAGTGAGCTGATGGTACATGCAGTCCTGCCATTCTGGATCTGCGCTAGGTATGTCATCGCGCATTCTGGGTACAGCAAGCACAAGGGACACCTCCATCAGATCTTCAGTACATGTACTCGGCTAATGGAGAGATCAAGAGACCCAGCTTGATCAGAAACCCCTCGCGATTCAGAGCCATACGACGCGCTTCAAAGATAGCCAAACAGGAGAGGTCAACCGCGGGTTCTGTAGTACGGCTAATTTTCCTTCCTCTGTGACCGTACACCGAAGAATTGGGATAGATTGCGTTCTCCGGGTGCAAGGACAGTCAACAAGCCTTGGATCATCTAGACGGAAATGGAGGCGCGATGAGCAGAGTAAGTTTCCATGATTTTTGGCGATCGGGGCTGAGCACAATATGTTAGGCCTTCTTGAATGCGGTCCAGGGTACAATGGCGGGACGTGTGTTGACGCTACACGAGATGCTGAACCAAATTCGGTCTGTTTTTCGATCATCCGAGACAAGATCCCTCGCTGCTGCTGAAACGGCTTCCGTATAGTGATCAGTTGAGCGGATACTCTCAAACGCCGCAGGTATGTATGCATCCCTCATGGGGGTAGGGAGGTGCCCTCTGATGCCGCGGCTCGCCTCAGTTGTCTAGTTCCCATCGGATTGTATGTAACGCTGCGGTAAGCATACGCAATAACTTATTCCGTATTCTAGGACATCAAGCGCACCGATTTTAGCATGTAGTCAGGGAGATCGGAGGATACGCGCGTATGGGAGCAAATTGCAGGACCTCGCCTGCGATCGATCCGGCGCGGATGATCTCGGGTGAAACTGCATCCGTCCCTTGTATAATAGTTTTCTTGACGTCAGCTAGATCATTTACGGCTCGCAACCGCAGCGCTGGAAGATGGTGGAGATCTGACCCTCGAGGATCATTGAGGGTCAAATAACCGTGGGAACTCCGGGGTCGGGTGGCGGCCTTAGGCTGCACTAAGGCTTAAGCTTAGCAGAGTACAGGTATTGATGGATGACGAGGGGAGCGGTTGTCGTCTCGAGCGCTGCCAATTGAGATATGTGGTGCATAACGGGATCGTCGCAGAGTACGCTGGGAGAGAATACCGGGTCGTCGTGCGCGGAAGCGTGTCTGCGAACGACGACCGACGATACATCAATTCAGATGATGATCAGTGCGAACGGTGTACGTTTCCTGACACGCCGCCATTAGCGGCCGTATGTTCACAGTAACTCTGAGCAACGAGCTATAGCATTCGGTTCCGAATAGCGACAAGTGCACGAACTGCAGTAATTCAGACATGGCAGTCTAGGGCGCGGCGATCAAAAGACGCTAGCGAGCGCGTGGGTCACAAGAACGGCATGCGTTCTGGTCTTTGACGATAGCAACTATAGTGTGGCGTCCGGTCTAAAACTGGGCTGCGGTGGCGAGCAAGTTTGCCGCGTGTCGGCAGGGTGGGCGACAAGCTCGTGATTTCAGCAGAATTGAGTTGACGGTCGTTGCCATAGAGTGGGACTGCAGCAGAAGACTGGTTTTTATCGCATGTCAGGTCGAAGTGGAGGGCGCGGAGTCTCTGCGAATCCTGATGGGAGATGATAGACTCGAGATAAAATGTTAGGTTCTTGTTTCCCAAGGCCGGGAGACCTCTGAGGCCTCGCTGGAGCACATGTTCATGTGCAAAGGGGGACGGGGATGCACGGCAGAGGTGTTGCCGTCCGAGTAAGGGTGTGGACGCGAACTGAGTCACATGGGGTGGGAGGAAATATCGACTCTGGGATGGCGGGTATCATTACGCGACCGCGGGACGCTCGCGTTTGCAGTGATGGTGTGGGCAGCAACGGGAACTGCTTGGGTATCCGCAGGTACTTGGAAAAGAGTTTCTTGTCGTGAGCAAGCTTCGTGGCGCGTGCGTGGGGAGTGTGCGATGTTGGTGCGAACGGGACGCTCTGGCTGTGTTCGAGGAGATGCCTGGCGTTTAACACAGCAGGAGGAACAAGGCAAGACAGGCTCGCAGCTGAGATGGACGAACAGTGGCTGTGCCTGATGGGTCCGACCCGACTTCTTTTCGCCCTGACATCGGCATAGGGTGGCTGATACCAAGCGCTTCTTCGTTGAGGAGCAGTCGTCTCATCTCGTCAGGATAGGGGGGTTCCGCTATTTTCCGATCCTGACAAAAATGAGAGGGGGGGGAGACGCAACATATCAGCGCAGCAGCGGCCAGCCAAAAGTCTAGCGAGCACCAGTAATAACAGGTGGCGCTAGGCTGGATTGTCGGTGGCGGGCGGAATGGCCCGGGCGGGGGCGTCTGACAGGGCATCAGAGGAAGCGACCAAGCGAGCCGATCATGCGAGCAGAGGGAGAAGCCGCGTGGCCCAGCCAATCGGAGCCAGGGCCTGCGCGGACGCTCGATCACCGTAATTCTTTCGTACGGGGCCAGCGCAGAGAGGCCTGAGCTGTCCTCGACGCCGCATACACGACCGGCCCCTGCTGCTGCTCGCCCGCTCTTTCTGTTCGTCTCTGCCGCGCTCCGGACTCGTCGGGGCGGCGATACGCTAATCTTGGAGGGCACGTGGCTACTTGGCGTGCAGACTGCTTATTGTGGCACGCATCCGGGGACGCCTCCATTCTCCGGCACTTCCTGACGCTCCGCCGGAAGTTTGTGTAACGTTACTCGCTGGACCGTCGACGGCGCGTCTTCCAACCCGGACGATCTGCACGACACACCCTGGCGGCCAACACGTGAGTTCGCCGTCGATTCTGCCAACGGGCGACCTTCAGCGCGTCCTGTCGCCGCCTGGGCTGACACCTAACCTGCAGAAGGATAGCCACGGATCTGAGAACAGTCCACGTCGTTGGTTCGCCACCAGCAGCGCAGGTGAGCAGGATAATGATCATGAAATGAAATCAGTAACATCGCTGCTTCTCCGGGGCTTGTCCTCGTCTGCACTTCCCCCGCTCCTCTTATTATTCCTCCAATCCCCTCCATGGCACCTTCCCCGCCCGCTGCGTGCCCCCACAACGATGCTGACCATGGTGTCCCCGCCCGACAGGTCCTGCTACGCTCATCCGCGAAGCCGCCTTGCCGAGGACGTCGCGCGTTACCGTGCCTTCCGCCTCTCCGTCACGACGCCCATTACCGTGAGCACCCCGCCGTTCCCCCGCCGTGCCTCCTCCGCCGTGCCTGCGTTATCCACTGTCCGTGTGCTGACATGTTCCTCTCGTCCTCAGCCGTCCGCACCCGGCGCCCTCTCCCCTATGGCGTCCACCACGACGCACTCTCCCGCCGCGCTCCACGTCCGTAAGGAGCGCGAGAGGCCCCCGGTGCCCCTCCTCCTCTCGTCCTTCCCCGCGCCGCCGTCACACATACCGCCCTCTCCCCTGATATCACCCTCGCCAGGAGCGTCCGTGTATGCCACGCCCATCCCGCCGTCGCCTGGAACGTCCGTGTATGCCACGCCCATCCCGCCGTCGCCTGGAACGTCCGTGTACGCAACGCCGGCATCGGGCTCTTCAGGCAGCCCGTTCTCCAGTGCCTTTAGCGCCGCTCTCGGCCGCCCGCCGTCCTCTCTCTCTTCGCACATGAGCCCGCCTACGCCGTCGCATCCCGGACCGTCCAGCTTCCGCTCGCGCAGTCCCCGCCCCTCCGTCGAGTCGTCGTACGCGCTGCCGCGGGTGTCTAGCTCGTCGTCGATTTCGCGGAATCCGCCGCCCACGCTTCCGCCCTCGTCGCCGCTGCCCGCGCTTCCGGATACGCCGTCGCCCATCTCGGACGAGACGCTGATCATGTTCCGATCGTCCCTGAGCAGCGCGGGGCACAGCCGCCGTGCGTCGGGCAGCTCGTTTGCCAGTTACAGGAGCGCCGGGAGCGGATCGCGCGCCGCTCCGCACCCCAGGGGGTTTGCCGCAGCTCTTCGCTCGAGGCGCATGTCCGGCGCGAGCCTCGGCAGCAGCGCTTCCGAGAGCGAGTCCAGCCGGAGCACAGGCCGGCCGTCCCCGTCGCCGAGCGTGGCCACGAGCACCTTCACGTCCTTGCCGTCCAAGCGCGACAGCATGCATTCCATGTTGAGCGTCAAGAGCGCCGCCTCGCTCGCCGTTCCGTCCTGGACTCCGGGCACAAAGGGCGTCGATGTCCGGTCCTCCATCCTCGAAGAGGAGGATGACGACGACGATCTCGCCTCGATCATGGCGCGCTACGATGGCCGCCAGGATTCGGACGACGACGGGCACGACACCGCGTCTAGGCGTCAGCGGGACAGCATCGCAAGCATCGACATGGCCGACCTCCCTCCGCTCACCATGGACGACCTGACGGTCAACCCTCCCCCGCACTCGGCCTCGCTCTCGGCTACCAGCTCGCGTTCTCCGTACTCGACCTCGACCTTCTCTCTCGCAAGCGGCGGCCCGCTCACCCAGGCGTTCCTCGCCTCGGTCACCTCGCTCGGCCACACCTCGGAAGGCGGCTACGGGAGCGAAGCCGCCTACGATGCGACTTCGCCCATCGACCCATCCACCACTCACCTCGCGCAATCCCCGCTCAGCGCAACGTCTCCCGTCACGCCCCTCACGGCCGGCAGCGAAGGCTCCAAGGGCGATCCCATCGATCCGTACGCGGTCCACCTCGAGATACGCGCCGTCCGGTCCAAGTCGCGGATGCACAAGCATGAGCTGATGGAACGCTCTCAATCGCGCGGCGTCAGCCCGGCTCCCCCCACACCCTCCTCGTCGTCCGCGCCACCTCCTGTCTCGGCCAGCGCCGACGGAGTGGCGGTGCCCGGCGGCAGCGCTGACACGCCTGGGAGAGCTTCTCCCGACATCCGGACCATCCTCCAGCGCACGCCGAGGCCGACCCGGTCGCTCACCCCCAAGTCCTCCCTTTCGTCGTCGTCGTCGCGTTCCAAGTCCAACGCCACCCGGAAGGATCCTTCGAGGAGGTCGGCGACCGAGTCGAGCGATCTGCGCCGTACTGCGCGTGGAGAGCGGGACCGGTCCAGGGCCGACCGGCCGGGGACAAGCGACACCGTCCGGCCGGGGACAGGTGACACCATCAAGTCCGCAACAGCCTCGGCCAAGTTTAGGTCGGACTCGGGTTCTAACGACGACGCCAGCGGCGAGGCGCGGTCCAGCGCCAACATGCCTTCGTCTACCGCATCCAGCTCGACGGCGTCGAGCACCGAGTTTAGCAAGGTCGTCAGGTCGAGGGAGTCGTACGGAGAGGACGAGGAGTCGCTGGTCGACCGGCGGTCGACGGACTGGATGGACGAGCGGTCGCGGATGCGGAGGTCGGACAGCGGCGGCACATTTGGGCCCCCGGCACCTGAAGAGGAGGGCGAGGGCAGGAAAAGGAGCGACAGTGGGAGCGTCGGGGTGGGCATGGCGTTGATGAGGAACGTCAAGTCGGACGAGAGTTTGAGGAGCGAGGATAGCCACGTCTCGGATTATGGGGTGCAGATCGAGTCCGCGCTCGGGCACGGGTCGGACGCGGGTGAGTGGTCTTTTGGTTATACGACGTGGTGTTTGTGCGGCTGGCTGAAAAGGATACAGGCATGGACCAGCCGGAGGACGAGACGCGGCTCGAACGCGAGATGGAAGGTGGCGCGAGTGACAGCGACTCGAGTTTGGATTTACACACTCCCTTACCGTGAGTGATCCGGTCGATTCCTCCGCTTCCTTGAACGATCCTCCGCATCATTCCCTATTGTGCTATGGGTGCCATTCTCATCGTCGGTGGTATAGGCACCTCATGTTCCGCGACGGTCTGCTCTCCCCTCGCTCCAAACTGTTCAGCCAAACGATGGCCATGCGTTCCGCATCACCCGATGGTCAGTTTGCAATTATTCCCGTCTGACACGGCGCTCAGTATGCTGCAGCTGTCTCTGTGCAGAGTCTCGCACGACCGGGCAGTATGGCTAGCATGAAGAGCAGTACGTCCACCCATCATTCATGTCTCCCCTCGATCGAGAAAGCTCATTTCCGCCCTTTCAGCGTCTTCAAATATCACAAAATCGGGAATCTTCAAAGACGAACGTGACACGGTGCGGCGCCGTACAAGGCATCGTGACGGCAAATTATTGCGAGGCGGAATAGGCTTGACGACGGGGCTCGGGTGGTCGGATAGCGAAGACGAGGATGCACCCTCGCCGCTGACCCGACGACTCTCGACCTTGACGGGCACCCGGCGCTCGTCCGAATCTTTGGTCTTATCCCGCTCGACGTCTCGCATCTCGAGCAATTCCCCACATCCACTCTCCCGTTCCTTCAGCGCTGGCACCAGTCGCCAGGGCCTCTCGTCCACGGCGTCCATCATGTCTGTCATGTCGACGCCTGCACCTGCGACGCGAACGCCTCCGACCTCTTGGCATCAGAAAGGCAGCAATGCAGGACACGGACAAAAGACGAGCTCTGGCAGCGCCATGTCCGGCTTCTCGCCTTCCATCGGCATCCCGGAAGATCCTGAGGACGCGCCTTCGGACAAGGTCGTCCACTCGCAGTCCATGTCGACGCCTCGCCCTGCACGGTCTGCACCAGGCCTGAGGAGGAAATCAGAATCTCGCAGCAGGGCGGGCTCCAACACTTCTGCCTCTAGCGCGAGCGTGAACATGCCAGTCACGCCCGCCGACGGACACGAGACGCCGGTAGCTTCCAGATTTGACAAAGAGCTCCCGGCTCTTCCCCAGCGCACCGCGTCCACCGCTAGCGCTCGATCCATCTCGTCTGTGCTTCCTCGAGTATCGCACGAGACGCACCTTCCTCGCCCGCGGACACTGTCGAACAACACCTCGACATCCGTCTCATCTCGGGCAGCGGCGAGAGTTGCCGCCGCCGCCACGACCGCTGGGCCTGCCTCGATGGCCATGTCGAAATCAACGTCGTCCGTACCGAGCCCGAAGATCGGGTTCTACAACCGGACGCCGTCTGCGCCGCCGCGACCATTGCAACTCGGACAGCGTCAACCCGGAGAGCCCCCCACGAAGGGTGTCTTGGGCTACAACCGCAACGTCCACGATCAGCAACGTCGCGCGGTCTCGTCTACTAACACCTCGCCGACGAGTCCGATGAGCGTCGACGGCAAACCCAAACCGAGGATCGGCGCGGGCATGGTGTACCGGACTGCGTCGAACCCCAATGTCGCTGGTACCAAAACTGGCTTGCGAATGCCGAGTGCGAAGACTTCGGCGACGTAGGCATCATCGGAATACGCGTCTTTGTATCACCAAAGCCCCTCGCTCCTTGCTTCTCGTGCGCTACCCCCTTCCTTGAATTCTGACCCCCCCGTTTGGGATCGTCCGCTCCTTGTTTATACGATTTCCTTCGAGCATTACAATTGCTGACCAGAACATTCATTTGTACGTAGTATATCTATTCTCCACCGGATTCATCTGCCACGCGTTGTATTTCGCATTTTACTGTCGGATCTGCTTCTCTTCTCCTTTCGCTGTTTTGCGGGGTGCGAAGGTGTTTCGTACGTTCGGCACCTCACTGCTTTGCACATTCTCTATAGTCCAGCTTATATAGGCTATTCACGAGGAAGCTATCCAGGTTAATCGTATAATCATAGACGCTCTTGTTGCCATCTCTCGAAGCCATTTCAGTGGCTATGAAAGCCGGCGGCTTACCCGCTGATCCCTACGTTAGCATGAAACTTCGCCCCGCACTGTACGAACTATGGACAAGTTTGCGACGTTAGAGCCAGTTCGGCTGTATGCTCAGACAGCAGGCTCACAGAGCCGTACCGGCGCGAAAGCTCCATCACAGCTGCAACCGTCTTCTCCGCCCATCGGCCGCTTGCCCACGTCCCTCCATCTCCTCATCCTGAACTACGCGTCGATCCCCACCATACCTGCTTACGCTCGATGCTGTCGAGCTCTTGCAACTCTTGCTCGCTCTGAAGACCTATGGCGCTCGCGATGGTCACGCCTAGAGCTGGAACGGCTCTGTCTGCTCCCCGTACTCGATGTCCTCGAGGAGAAGGCGCAGGGAGAGAAGGCGCGTGAGCGGGAAAAGCAACCCCCTACCCTCATGGTCGATGACGACGAATTCGGCGACTTCGCCAGCGGAGGGATGCAGGCTGTGGACGACGAGATGGGCGAATTCGTGGGCGGCGCCGTACCCTCCACACCATTCGGCGCAGCTGTCTTCGCGGCGCAGCCAGCCAAAGTAGGGACTCAATCCACCAGTTCTCCAGAGAAGAAGGATACGTTTCGTTTCAAGTACATCCGAGCCCACACTCTGCTCGTTCCGTGTGCCCGAGTGCTCACGCAACCGTCCCATCTCGTGCTCGGCGCTCTCTCCGCACTTTTGCCAAGCCAGAATCCGGAGGCGTCCGCGGTCATTCCACAAGCTCAGCTCATCCATCTGCTGGCTGTGTTTCTCTCGCCGGCGAATCAACCCCTGGTCGCGTGGCAAACGCTGTCCGACTATCTACGGCAGACTGCCGATCGCTTTCAAGCTGCGCTGTAAGTCTACCTTGTGTGAATTCGGCATTGCATCTCACCCGTCCTAGGCTTGCGACATTTGAAGATGCGGACACGCAAGGCGACGAGGCTCGGATGCGTGAAGCAGCGGCCGCTGCATGGGAGGTTCATCTGGCGACAACGGCGGCAAAGCCTCCGACGATGCAGCAGTCCCAAAGTCATCGAGCGAGCGTAGGCGTAGCTGCCGCGGGACTCTTCGGTCATGCTGGCACGTCCGCCTTCGGGGGCAGCACCGTAGACGAAGCGTTTGAGATGAGCCGGGTATGGGCCGAAAAGCGCGAGATCTTCTACGAAGGCGAGCGTTGGAGACCGGAAGACAACTTTACGTGCGTAGTGCGTATACTGAGCTTGCCACTCGATCACTTCCCGATCGATCAAAGGCTGTATGTCGATCCTATAGTTGACATGCTTTGCTCAACAGGAAGCAAAATATGTTAGCTTTCGACGCTATGGACTCCTTCATGAATGCTATCCTCAACTCTATTCGAGAAGATGGTTCACGTGCCGTTCGCGTGTTCCCTCCCGCCGCCAACGTGCTTGTCCATTTTTCTGCCAAAGTCGCAAACGAAGTGGTGAGTATATAGACCCAAACAGATCATCAAATGTGATTCCTGACTAGCTAGGTACTAGGTGTCGGAATACATCGTTCCCTTGTTGACTCGTGCGCGACAATTACCGGCACCGTCCGCCACTGAAATCGCTTCCGGGATATATTTACAGGCAACAGCGGGTACCTTCAAGGAGGCCTGGAAAATCGTCGACACCGTGCTGGATGTTTCACGTAACACGCGATATGGAGATAATGAGAGCGGCGCGCGCGCGCATATCAACGGCGTTGATTCGTCTAGCGATGCCGTAGTAAGCAGAGAGGCCGCTGAGGATATTGTGTGAGGATCATTCTGTCTATCGTATAAGCTGCGCTCACAGCGACCCCAGTTATCGCATGTTCGAGTCCAATATGGACGAGTATCTTGACGAAGAACTCGAGCACGTCAAGCACACGCTCGAACGAATATGTAAAAATTGGGACAAGAAGGTTCGACTAGCCCTATCCGTAGCTCGTCCTTGTTTTGCTGAATGCCCGTTATAGCTTGCTCAGGGACAGTCTAAGTCAACGACCTTCATTGCGTCACAAAACCCGGCTCTTGTCAAGCGCAATGTACTTGCTTCGTTCACGAACGTGCTCTTATTACCAGTGACCATCGTCCCCCGCGCCATAACGACCGGTGTCGGTGCGATTACCACAGGTGTTGGTGCCATGTCGGCGGGGGTGCTGAGGGCCGGTGCTTCAAACAGCGGAAGAGGCACGCCAGCTGGTTACACCCGGGACTTCGATCAGGGAGACAATGGTATACTGTTCGAGCTCAACAACGAGGATGACCACGATGAAGACGACCGGAGAAGTAAGCATATTCTGTAGCCGGACGAATGTTGCCCCATGTTGACGCGAGTATGCTGTTAGCGTCAGTATCGTCCACAAAGACGGCGAACGCCAGCTCTCGCCCGACATCCACCACATTGAGCGTGACTGAAAGTGCAAATGATGCCGCCTCAAAATCTGCGACGACGTTCGCACAGTTCGACCTACTTCTTTCGCTAGACGTTGCCATCGAACTTATTCAAGCAGACCGGGAGTCGCTCAAACGGTGCGAGACATTCGCCGGATATCCTGGGCATTACGGGCATCGTGTCCGCGACACTATTGAGGAGATATTCGTGCTTCTACTTCAAGCCATGGGAGACCGGCATTTGGAGCCGGGCTTTCGACTGTGAGACATTCGGCGTGTATGGTGGTGACACAGAGTTGCTTAAGTTTAACAGTGCGACGGAGCAAATGAAACAGTATCGGCCAGCTGAACACGAGGAAACGACCAGTGTCGCGCCGTTGATGCAGTTCTTTGAGCTTGTCCATCTGGGAGATATGATTCAGTCCATGGTCCAAGTATATTTCGACAAGGAACTTGCGAGTATCATTTTGTTTTGTTATTTCTTTTTGGCCCTGTGCTGACGGACGGACGAACATCAAGGTTCATCATATAGACAAGACTGATTTCCTGAACCCCGTGGTCCGAGAGAAGAAGAAATTCGAGAACACTTTGGACGACGCCGTCGCAGCCGGGCTGAACGCAGGTACTGAAGTGCTCATGAACCAAGTAAGCTTGACAATGGAGTCCGGGCACTGTCTGTCCTAATGGTTATGTAGGTCGAGCATATCATCATTACAAAAACCAAACCGCGCGAATATTATCCACCCGAAGACGCACCGCTGGATCTGGGCCCCACCGAAGGGTGCACCGAAGCAGTAAAATGTCTGGACATGCATTGCAAGCTCCTGAAGGACAGTACGAGCAAGGAGGTTCTTGAGGTATTCTATCAGGAAGTAGGCTACCGGCTCATTGCGTAAGGACTCTTCAGCAAAGGATTTGATAGATTCTTCTAACGATGCGTATGATGTGCAGAATCCTACAGAAGCATATCAAACGCCAGATCATATCCTTGAATGGCGGCTTCCAGATCATCGCCGATCTCAACACTTACCATGCCTTCATATCATCCCTGAAGGTAAACGTTGTTCTTGTCTGTCTCAGCACGCTTCTAACATGCTTGAAGGTGCCCACAGTTACTTCCGAATTTGCACATCTCAAGATGCTGGGCCATGTCTATGTAGTGGAAGATGCAAAGGACCTGGCCCAGATAGTCAGGGATGTCACGCGCTACGGCGGAGCGTATCGGCCAGAGGTAAGCTGCGTTCTCCCCCAATGTCAAAATCGACGCTCATCCACGTCAGGATATATACGAGTTCATTCAACGGCGATCAGACTGGAAGAAAATCGAGAAGATCGTGGACAAGACAATGTATAACCTCAGCTTCAAGGAAGACTGCGTCATCGCGTGAGCGATCGTGCGCTGGTTATGGGCCCTTCACTCCGTTCGTAAGCAAATACATGCATGGAATAGCATAATCAACTAGTACAGCAAGTATTTATACCATCCAAGTTCCGCTCCCTTACTGAGCATTGATGACCGATTGCACATCTAGCAACATCCTATTCGTCCAATCACTGGGCTTTGTTTACGAGCTCGTTGACGATGTCGACCGCACGTCTGAAACTCGCCTTCTGTTCCTCCGTGACTTGCACCTCGGACTGGCCTCCTCCACACCCCTAACCGCGCGTTAGCGAACAACGCTCAAGGGGAATATGGCGATTCGCTGACCTGCGGACTACCGTTGCACCACATCAGGTCTTCGCTGCCCCACGCTATGCTGGTGTCGAAACCGTAGATGTCTTCACTACCGGGCGGTTGTTCTGTTGGTAGGTTCTTGAGGATGTCGTGCAATTCTTCCACGAGGGCCTCAGCCTTGCTGTCGCCGACGACGTCAGAGAGGCCGAGCGACTTTGGAACCGCGGACTGCAGGCCGGGGGTGCCCTTCGGACGCACGGCGGCGGTGATGTTTAGGCTTTCTTTGTTCTCTGGGCGCGTCACGGTGAAGATGTGGTTGGGCGTAGGTGGGGCGAACCCTCCAGTGATGCCTGATTTCGCGATTGAGCTTGCGGTGAATCATGCATATACAATGTGCGCACCGTTCTGGAGACGTAGACTGAATTCCGACGGAGCCATGATGATCTTTGGGAACGTCAGCGTCAGATGGTGCAGAGCAGCTGCTTGCGCGGGTACGGACGGTGTCAAACGAGACCTGTGCGTTACTTATCGGTGAAAGGCAAGAACCGATTGCGCCGGCAACCTCAGCCCTTTCGCGATCGAGAGGCGGCTGTGCAACTCCGAGACTGAGGTTAGGGCCGCATTGACGTCATGCAATCGCAACTTAAGCAGAGTGAAGTCACTCCTACGTTGCTTATGCTCTGTGCTCCGCCAGGCTTCTCCGCCCCACTCGACGTGATATATATAAGAACGCAGTGACCGTCCTTCCGCCCCTAACGTGCACAGAGACTCGCCCCACCATACAATAAGATGTCTTCCGCCGTCGCATACCCGCCCATTGCGCACACCGCATCGAGATGCCACGACGTGTTCCCGGTTGAAACCGGTCCCGCTGTCGTTTCCACTCAGCCTGGTTCTTCCCCCCGAATGTCCCCAACAACTCCAGTAAGCAAGGATCGCGATCCTATGCGGCTCCGCGGGGGCTGCATACCTTGCGGGGTAAGCACATCTCCTCGTACGATTGCGACGGACCACAACTTACATATGGTGCGCAGGATGGATGCTGCTTCATCATACCGCTGCCATGCTGCTGAGACCGCAGCATTCAGTTGCGCTCAGATAGGGATACACACGTTCCCTTCACCATCCATGCCATGAAATCCATGCGTCGAGTTGACCGTTGTACTTACTGTCACTTAGATCACTGGGACGTTCTAGAATAATGTTGTACTCGTAATCGTATTCTTTGGCCTTTGGCCATGCATCTCCTGCGTTACGAAGTTTACCACGCTCGCTCGTCCAAATTGTTTGGCTTTATTTGAAGGAGGTTTGAGTACGCGCTTGTCACACGTCCATTTTGGCGTACCGTTGAAACCATCGTTGGCAAGACCCATGCGCCCCTGCGGCATATCACCCACTCCTTTACCATTCGCGCTACGATCACCTACACCTACGCCATTCAGGGTTTCGCCCCACCCGATGGCACCGACCGAACTCGCGAGACCTTCTCGACTCCTACTCCAGGTTCCAAGACGCCTCTCCGGCCGAGATATCGCACTGGATAGCTCCGTCAAAGGCGTCGGGTTCGCCGTGCTCTTGGGCTTTGGGCTCATCATTATCGTCCTTTCCATCGTCAAATGTTACTACCTGAAGCACCGCCGCATCCAAGTCATTCATTCCCCTTACTCCCTCTGGGCGCCTTCGCGAGCGACGATGGCGTCCGGACTGTCTCGGACGTCAACGCGCCTTTCGTTCGGATCCCGCACATCACCGTCGTCTTCATCGTACAGCATAAGCCCCAGGACGCCGCAAGATCAGGCATCGCATACATCCCCAAAGCGCAAATCACGATTGTCCGGATTCTTCGTAGGCTTGCTCGGATCACCGAGTTGGGAAATTCGCATCCGAAGGGTGATGAGCGAAGTTCAGCGCCTGCAAAGGCCGGAGGACGCGGACGGCGGTTCGGTTCTGAACGGCCAATCTCCGTACCTCGGGTCTCCATCGCCTTCGTCTGTGACCCGCTGGAGGATGGACACCAACAATGCCATAGGATTGACGTACTCTCACCCAGGTGAAGCCGATTCCCGGTGTAGTTGCCATCTGTTAATCGAGTATGAACGGCATAACAGTGACTTGGAGCCAAGACTCTCTGACGTTGATCAATCGTGGTACCGCGCGCTCGTCCCGTACACTGCTAGACGCCGATCTCATACCGCCGCCGCGTGCACACATGCGGTCGCCGTACATGAGTCATCGGGTGGTGGATTCCCTTGGACAACCCAGAAGGTGTTCATTATCTGGGCGCGCAGAAGGCGCGCAGAGTCCCCACTCATGGACTTCTTCCGCGTTCCTTAGCGCGTCGCCATCGGTGTACCAGATGCCGCATGGGATGAATGAGATCACTCCTGAAACTCCCCGAAGCCCTTCATTGAGATCCTTCCACTTTCCTCGTGCATCAGCTCGAAGCACCTTCTCCGAGGAAGACGTCACCGCGGCCGCACCGGGATCTTCTGCCAGGCCGCTGAGACGTCACTCTGTCATGCACATCGCTAATCCTTCCACGTCCACATTCGCGTCTTCATTCTCGGCAGCCTCGAGCTCAACGCGCTCCTCGGGTGGCCTTTCGAGCTCGGGGCTCCGACGAAAGCCTGCGCCGCCTTGTCTCGAAGTTGCCTACGAGTCCCGGGCATCGCTACCTGACATGGTATTACCAGGAGGTCGCGGCGTAGCACCTGCCGAACTCGAGAACATGGAGGAACCAGACTTGGCCCCCACAGCTTCGGTATCGTCTCCATCGTCTTCCTTGGTATCCAGCACGGATCGACAGAGTGCCACGATCAAAGACAAACCTTGCAGCTCCACATCACGGCGCCAGCTGCAGGTTCAGACCATAGGTGTTACGGAACCCGGGCCACATCTCAGGGCCCGGTCTTTGCCGAACTTGAGACAAGTGACGGTCGTGGACCCGCAGATACCGCCTGCTTCCAGTGCAGAGGCTCACGGCGTGATCGTAGGGAAAGTTATCACGGCGGGCCGCAGGGGTGAGGCCTCATCCAATACATATCGACCGCCTGCGAAACCTGCGAGCACCTTGTCAGTACCGTCCAATACAGAGCACATGACGAGAAAGAAGCAGCATCGTCGCTCAAAATCCGTTCCTATCATGCCATATAATGTCCCGAAGATCAACATCATCGCCCCATCACCACAGAAGAGAAAGCCCACCTTGCCGATACCTTTAGGAAGGCCAGGAACCCCGATCCATGGACCCTTGTTCACGAAGCCGGTCGATCACGATGATACACATAAAGTGCATCGTACGACCAGGCGCAGGCCAACATCACGCGCAACCTCCGTCGGTGAGGGCGAAATCCCGGTTGGGTATCTATCTGTGCCACATTCGCGCAGACCGGGCGAAGGCAGCTCGCCTCCCAAGCGTGACAGCGGAGTGCTGAGCAAGAGCACATTGCCCTTAAACGTAGCAACAAAGAACGGCTGCAGTCGATCGAAGATAGCCGACCATCCATTTTCGGGGGCAAGGCCACGCAAGGTCAAACACAAGGAGCGTAAGGGCTCAAAGATGTCCACCAAGGACACAGAGAATATCGCCCCCGTCGCACAGTAGTGGCGCTTCGTTGTGGCCATGTAGATCCTCGGTAAACATGGGTGACCAACCTGCGCAAAATTTCTACAAGACTTGGGGATGGAAAGGGCACCAGCGCAGGAGAAAGGATGTCGCCAGACGAACAGTTTCCAGTACGCGAATGTTTTGTTTATGTTTTCAGTAGCTATATGTACCGTAGTTCCGGATGTCATAGACACATCCATAATAATGAGACCACAGTCCGATGCTTTGTGCACGTCAGCCAAGAGAGTTCGACCCCTGTACGGGTGTTCCGGACCCCCTGAATCGAGGTATACGCGTCGAAGAGCTAACGCGTCCTCTTGCTAGTGACCCGTCTTCGTCTTCTGCACTCGATCTGTAACCACCGCGACTCCCTCAACACACAATGGAATGTTCCTTTGCGATCACCGGCAAGGGGTATGTCATCATCGCCGCCGATACCACTGCCGCGCGTAGCATAGTCAAGATGAAATCGGACGAAGACAAGGTCAAAGTGCTAACACCGCACTTATGCATGACGTACTCGGGCGAACCAGGTATTGTCCCTCTTGACTGGCGGATGGAAGTAGGTTGAACGTATATATGCAGGTGATACTGTACAGTTCGCGGAATACATCGAGCGCAACCTCCGGCTGTACCAGATCCGCAACTACTTTGCGCTGACGCCACCCTCTGCTGCGGCCTGGATTCGGAGGTCACTGGCTGGTACGTGTTGCACGAGCGAGATATGCCGATGCTTTATGCGCCCGAAATGCAGAATCCATTCGTTCGCGCAAGCCATACGCGGTCAACTTGCTTCTCGGCGGTTATGACACGACAACACACACGCCGCACCTTTATTGGGTAAGACACAGTACACAGTTTGTGCGTCCATTAAACTCATGTCATCCGATCCTTGCAGATTGATTACCTGGGTACAATGGCCACGGTGCCATTCGCTGCCCATGGGTACGGCTCGTACTTCGCTCTCTCCTTGCTTGACCGATACCATGACCCGGAAGCTACGCTTGACGAGGGCCTTGCAACACTCAAGCGGTGCATTGACGAGGTTGCAAAGCGTCTAGTTGTCAGCCCTGAGAAGTACAAGGTACGATATAGTTCAGCTCTCTCAAAGGACCCGCTAAGTATCGGTGGTAGGTGAAGGTAATTGACAAAGATGGTGTACGTGAAGTTGAGGTGTAAACCGCCTTCGACCCGGATTGTTTACCCTGTACTACAAATTACTTCTGGACTCCACGTGCACGACACAAATCGTGCCTCTTACGACTAGAGCAATGGATTGATGATCCCGCGTTGTCTAAACGACACAAACGCGATGGAACGAGCCCAACTACTTGCTTGAAAGATAGCGACAACAAATGAAATATGAAATCTCCAATGACAAACCAAGAACTCCCGTATCAACGTAAAGCCAGGATTCCCCCCATACCCGTCATGCTCCGTTCCTTGACGTGCTTCACCTTTTTCTTGTCGGCCGCGGGCAGTTCCCATATACGCCAGAATTTCAGGTTTTCGTCCCCGGCACCCGTGCAGACGACATCGCCGTTGGGGCTGACAGCGCTGAACAGAACTCTGGCATCGTGTGCGTCCCGGATCTCCGCAACCTTATCCAGCGAAGGGTAAGCGTGGACCATGATCGAGTTCGTCGGATAGCCGTGCGTGGTAAGGAATTCTGATAGGATCATGAGTCTTTCTTCCCAGAGTCGAGTCCGTCATTGTGTACCTTTTTTGTGTGGTGACCATTGAATGCTGGTAATTTGACTGGGCGTCTTCAACGAGTGCAATCTAGCACCAGTTGTCGAGTTCCAGATGTTCACAGTAGCGTCATTCGTACCACCTCCAGAAGCCAATAGGGAGGGTTGCCAGGGGCACCATGCAATTGCCTGAGGAATATGCAACGTATTTCAATGGGGTATTCACATTTATGCGTTGCCGACCAACGATACCTTCACAGCGGCTGTGTGGCTTCTCTTTGTCCATTTAGCCGAGCCCTGGGCTGGTTCTCCTGCTATCACTGTGAGCATAGGTTCCTCGTTGATGTCATCGGACTTACCCAGAGTGTTGGTAACGGCATCCCCGACGCGACCGTCCCAGATATTGACGACATTATCATTGCCACCCGAAGCCAACAAATCGCCGTCTTCTCGCCACTTCAAGCCACACACTTCACCTGAATGACCATTGAGTTCCATGACCTATGATTTGTCAGTTTCCCTCATTAGGTTATGGCGAGTGTCTACCTTATGTCTGGCAACTCGAACATCATGGTGCCAGATAGTGCCATCGCCCGAGCCGCTAGAGAGCAGATGGGCATACCATGATAGGCAAGCGACTTGTGCGCCATGTCCGGACATTCTGATGACCAATCATCTCGTTAGATAGTGTAATAATGGCCCTTGTGTGAGTTTAATCACGTTCGCAGCTTGACACCCGCACCGATGTCCCATAGTTCAACAGAACCGGAGCCGAGGCCGAGGCCAAGGAATTGACCATCTTGCGAGAAAGAAACACTAGTATAACCAGAATATGAGATATTTGAAGGATGCCAATGTTGGTCGGGCCAACCTCGAAATATAGTCGCCCTCGGGTGCATTGCCCAGGTGATTGACCGTGCCCGTCTGAGCATTCCACAGGTACGTTGCTTCGCCTAGAGCAACGGCCACGCAGTTCGTTGAGGCTATAGAGAAAGGTCTTCATAAATTGCATGGTTGGCTACTGATGACGTTCACCTGAACTCCAGTCGATGAGATTCAAGTAGAAATCATCCATCATACCCGGGGCATCTAGAACCCTGGGATCATCACGATCATGAGTACCTGCGCTTGGAAAATTGTAGAAGCAGGGGCAGATAAATACGCACCGCTCAGGGACAGTACTGATCTTCCTGCCTTTTTTACTCTCAGCTCCAGTGTTACTAGCGAGACTCGCAGGTCGCGCGTATAGTGGTTGGGCATATTTTCTGTGCTCGGCTAGGGCGGGGTCTGTGCTAGCGGTTGGAGGTGCTTCATGATACGCGAGCACTCTCCGCCCGCTATTGGCGGTTGGAACGCCAGTGGCTGCCGAAACTCGTGCGGTATGCCCCGGAGACGCAGTTGGTAGGGTTGTAGTGCTACGGAGAGAGACAACGTCAGTGTTGTGCGGAGCCGGTGCACGGCGATTAGGCGAAGACAAGAAAGGCTTACGATGGCTCTGTGTTAGCGGCAGCGAACATCGCAATGCCTTCACTGCTAGTCGGCGCAGGAATAAAGCGAGCGTCGGTGCGCATGGAATTCATGCTCTTGCTTCTTTTCACCTGATCATCGGAATCAACGATAGCCCCGAAGAGTCGATTGATCTACTCACCGAAGACGGTGCAGAGGGCGGCGGAACGTAGTCATTAGTAATCACGTTCATGCGTGCCTCCGGACCATTGGAACGAATGACACCTGAGGATGCCTGCGAAGCTAGAGTGGGCGTGACCTGCATTGTCCATCAGGAAACACTCCATGGCAGGGGCAAGGTATACCAACCGCCATACCACCGCTAGCCCGCTTCACCGGACTGGCGGGACGCGACCTAGACTGTGATCCGGATCTTGACTTCGAGTCCGTGCGCGAGATGGACTAAAGCAGGCGATCAGTTTACCGCATATGAGGTGGAAAGGGAAGAGGGAAAGTGACCTTGGATCGGGTTGAACCACTGGATCTTGATGGAACCAAAAATGGGTTGCTCAGATCTGCGAGACTCGCTTTCCTGCTCATGGAGGATGCAGCCCGGGCTTTAGGCAAGTTACCTGGCGTTGTGCATGGTTATCGGGTGTAGACTGCAAAAATCGAGTTACGCACCTATTGTCCCACTCCTCGGTATGCCTCTTGGCTTGGTGGGACTTGGTGCCAAGCTGCTCAGCCCACTGATGCTACCCTTTCCGATGCTGTTCGCACCATTGCCGAGGGCGATGTTCGACAATCCAGAAACGATAGATGGTGTTAAGGGCGTCTTTGCATCGGAACGCGTGCGTCTGTGATGGGTAGGGGTTCTGGGAAGTCCCAGGCTAAAAGTACCGGATGATAGAGAGCTTGTTGGCATGATTAAAGCGTGAAATTCTGTACAGTCCCATAGCATCAGCAATCGGACTTCCAGCCCGAGTATGGGTTACGAACTATGTCGCGCAGGAAAAGATTTCGGATTGGCGGTACTGCAAGAGTATCAAGAGGTGAACGAAAGGGTGGGTGGATGTAGAATGCACGGCGAGATCACGCTGGTGGTAGTGGTCCTAGAGATGAAACGCGAGGCCCCTGCGAGGCCTTCACGAACAGTCATCATGTGATCGCGCGTACGCCTCACGTGGAGGGGCAACTAGTAATCGGTGATTGGAAATGCATGCACTTAGTATAGCACCAAGCACCTGCGTCGCAGCGGTGCGTCGGCCTCTGCTCACTACCGCTGAGACCCGCTGAGACTGCAGGTGTGCCACCCGCACATGATCGTGCGGCACGACAACCGGCGTTCCACTATTGAGACAGCAGTTCGCCGAAACACCCTCGCCATACATCGTTATTCGTACTATATACCTGCCACGCGTAACGTGCACAGGTTACTGGTTACGTTTGGTTCACGATAGACTCATGCGACCCTAGTACAGGTTACGGTAAATTCAGACAAAGACGTTGACAGGGAGAGGGGGGGAAAGCTCACAAAATCATCAGAACCATTTCCCAATGTCAAGGACCGCAAGTTTGGAAAGAGTTCTAAGGCAGTCTGGAGGATACTATCAGGCTTGAGTTGATTGCTGTCCGGGCCTTGCGCTAGTTGAATGTCTTGGAGAAATCCAAAGCGTTTTAGTCTGGGCAGCGTAGTGGTAGCCTCATGCACTTCTCGGAGCAGGTCATGTATATCCATCCGAGATGAAACTTGCTCAGAAACATCTGCTTCGGAAAAAAGACGGTAGTCGAAGACGTTCCGCAACGTGATGTTTGAGATCGTGTCATGTGGTTGCAACAGCTCGGTCGCCACGACTATGCCAGAATCCATCGGCCGATTGAATTGGTAGAATTCCACGTCGGCGGCGCCGGTGTGGACAACCGGCAAGCACGATGCAGGGCTCAACGCGGAGCCTGTCGTGGTGATAGCAGCAACCCTCTCCACCATAAGTTCTTCTAGCACGGGACAAAGGGCTAAGAGAGGGGAAATGATACTCCAAGGTCGGTCCGATGGAAGACTGAGCCTTATTCGGGTCAAGCGGTTGAACGGCGAGCTGCCGTCCAACATGGGTATGAGGTATGGTACCGCACAGATGGCTCGTAAGTCTAGGATCTTGAGTGAGCCAGACGTGAGGAAGGTGGTGATACCCGATGCCAACGCTTGATCCTGAGGAATGGCAGGTACCCAAGGTGCTATTACGACTACCTCCTCCAATGCATGACCGATAGTGTCAAAGGGAAACAAACACCGGACGGACTCGATCCTTCGTAGGTTGGGAAGAGATAACACCGACTGAAGATGCGTCGACTTCATCAGCAAGTCTTGGCATACCACAGTTGAAACGGCGGTGAAGCGCATTATGCTAGAATAAATTGCCTCCGTGACTTCCCAAGCGGTCGTATCTGTGTTTCCCGAAGACCAATTGCGGAGAACTATTGATTTCACGTGGGTCCTAAGGTCGCTAGCCTGTAATGCCTTGACGCGATCTTTGACCTGACGCAATTTTGTTTTCTCCTTTTTCGTGGGCTGATGCTTCCCCATGCCAGAAATCTCGATCCGGGAAAATAGCGAGCGCTGAGCGACTTGTCGAAACGTAGAGCAGACTAGTGTCAGGCTGCGGAGGTCTGCTTTATTCTCCACGTAGCTCGCCCAAAGTTGGTGCAGTTCGATGGGTGTAAGAATCCTGCGAGTGCACACGCCGATTAGTAGAGGGGTTGATGGGGTAGTAGTTAGGCGCACATGCTAGCTCCAGTTCCACGGGGAAGTGTTTAGGATCGAGTACGTGTAAGCGGGGGGCTTTATGAGGGGAAGTCTGACGTGCGGGAGGCCATCAATAACACAGTCCCGGATATATAATTACGCCTAGTCCTCGCCCGGGTCGGTGCATGAGACGACCTGAGTCAATAGCAAAGATCGATCAAAGTTACTCATGCTGTTTCGGGAGCGGGCACGATTCACACGCGCGCGCTCATAGTGGCGTCTCGTACTTTATGCTGAAGCTTGCCTCTTTCTGCGTGCTATAGGCCCTCCGTGTCAGGGAATACACTCAGCCACGTTCTGCGTACATTGGCGCTGAATCCGTCATGTCCTTGAAGATATTGTCTCGAAATTGCTATCAAAATAGTCTGAGTGCCGCGAAAGTATGCTTCAAAAGGCTTGTACACATTGCTCCGGACTCTCATATCTGGCTCGGACACGCAGTGGCTGAGCCTTTGTCGACTCTACATCCAACAGCACCATGCAAACGAGCCCAGAGAGATGGTTGAAAGAGAACTTAGCAGTACGACGGCTGAATCCCCCATCCATGTGCAGCCAGCCAATAATTGTTCACACTTCATGCAACTAGGTGCAGTACTCGAACTATTTCAAGAGTATCCAGGAGACAGTATGCTACAAGAATACCTGAGAGCTTCGCTGGCCAGCGGGTTGCTGAACAACGCCGTCTACGTGGCTACCTTACTGCAAGCTGTGAACTCCCCTGCACTGATGAGTCCCGCCACGATAGACAATCTCTGTCGCATCGCTCTCGACGTGCACTACTCCTCGGGTCAATCGCCCATCGGTTCTATAGGTGAGTACCGTTGCACATACCGGAGTTCAGATCACCTGGCCAACAAAATCTCTTTCAGTCCCTCAGAATGAATCACCGATAGTTATCCTCTCGGTTGTGCATGATGCGTTGGCTTTGTTGCGCAGAACACAGTCGGCGTCGCCTTCCCACTTTCACCGCCCTGCAGTCTCTGCTTCCGAACTTGTGATACTACTGATTTCGTGTGTTACGGACCTGACAGAGGTGTCGACCACGCAACTCATGGTCAGCGACTCAGTTTTCTACCACCTGCTCAGCCCAATGGTTATTATTGTAGATGCACTATTCGGATGTCAACGACATTCTCGCGACTATCCAAATGCCGGTCAACGTTCGCGGAGCCCTTGACAGCTTCGCGGTATCTCTCAGTTTTGCGATTGGCGATGGCTCAAAGGTTGCTCGAGAGCAGCGGTTGATGCAGACGATGCAACTGGCTACTGGAAAAGGGGATATATTGGGATCCAATTCAGAAACGGATATTGTATCTTGCTCTTTGGCTCTGCAGAATCTCGTGAGTGGCATCCATCTCCTTTCGCGATCATTTTGGGACTCAAGGATATGGGAGATCTCGAATCGTGGACACCGTTTTGGTGCAGGGAACACGGCTTATGCCGTACCGCTTCTTGTAGCCATCTATCGCACCACTACATGGCCGTTAAGAGTGTTCTTGAGGCAACTCTTTCTGGCCGCATTTGCATGTGTCGAGCAGAGCAAGTCAGCTTCGAGATCTGCATCACTCTGGCGCGCGCTTGTCCTGGGCCGATTACCGGAGCTCCTGGTCCGGTTCGGTGCGATGGTTCGAGCTCGAGAAGGCATAACCGAACGCGATTGGGTATGGGGCTTGTGCTCCCATGGTCTTGGGGTGCTAAAGTTTCAATAGCATCAATCCATGCAATATGCAGTATTAGCCGCATACGAAGCGTCTGGACCAATAGATCCCGGGTCGGAAATTTCACAAGATATTGCAACCAGGTAGGGATGAACATACAACGTGCCTTCGATCATGCATTGATCTGCTGTAGTTCCATATCATTCCTGCGATTGTTTCTCGCGCAACTGTTAACGACAAAGCTCATCGAACAAAGCGTCGCGTTAAACATGAATACCTTCGCTTCGCATGCTCCATCTTCGCTCGACTCAGAAGCCCAAGCGGTAGGCATGAGTCTCGAGGCACGTTCTTCTTCGCGACGGTCGTTTATACTTTAATCTTCAACTCATTCCATATGTAGTCTTACCTCGAGGGAAAAATCGGGACGGATGTGAGTCCCGAAGAAGTCTTGAGGACGGTAGATCGTATGTGTACAGAGCATTCAAGTCAAGCTGCTTTCTCGTCCGTTGTGGCGAAGGTAGGCTCTTCCTATTTCTTTTTACATATTGCTCATATCGTGCTTAGCGGTTCGCTTCGCTAGCTACCGCCTTCGACGTCGAGTCCCTGGGTCATCTCTCGAGAGTGCTGTGTTCACGATCTCACGCATTGGACATCCTATCCTTACATATGAACGTCACGGATCTCATTGCACACGGAATTTTCGTGCTTGAAAAATTCGATTTCGCAACAGTTGGTAGGTGGCTAGCTAACCTCACCTGCGATTGCTTATACCGGCGAAGGTGATCCTCAGACTGCGGTTGGTCAACTAGGCGAAGTTGTACTACTACTGCAGAGCATGCTGGTGCAGTTCAAGGTGCGTCATGCATATGGAATTTCGATGTCACGCAGTCACAAACGCTCTGGCAGATTTCTTCGCCTGCAATCTCACTAGGTGACACGATCATCCCTGTCAGAATGCTACGAACTACGTCCGCGGTATTGCTGGTGCAGGAAGATACAAGAGCTCTCGATGCCTGGTTTCAAGCGCTATTTGATAAGAACAGTGACGGCATAGAGGACACTATATTCGGGTCCGCGCAGGTGCCTCTCTCGTTACGTGGTCCTTGTACTGAATGAATCCTACCAGGTCCACGCGGCCTCTCAGCCTCCTCCGATTCTGCAGCGCGCTGTTCGAGCGTGCGTTGACAGCGTTCCTCGAGAAACGCATGGATAAGGACACTTTGAAAAATGGCCTGAACTATTTCCACACGCCTTTGCTGAGCTGGACGCTAGTTGGCCCGATAAAGACGCTCATAGCTGAGGTGGTGCGCAAAGGGTTGGTTCGGTCTCGAATCTCACGGCTGCACGTACTGACGGTGCGTTAGATTCTATGCACAGAGCCATCTAGAGATCATACAGGATCTCCTGCTTTCCCCAACGTGTCCCCCCGCGGTGCTGAGATTGTGTGCAGGGCCTCTCCTCAGGCTGCTTGCAATACCCCGAGCTCAGGCCCTCGCTAAGCGAGGTGCATTCAATGCCGCTGCATTGAAAGATGCGGCATTCAAGGCTCTGACTGACTCGGATATACGTATGTTGGTTTCCACACTGCCTTGGGCTCATGGGCTGAATCCAGCGTTGGCAGCACAACAGCGAGCATCTGCGGCAGGCGGTCTGGTATGGATGGACCACCCCCGGCGCATGACCACCAGCGCGCTGGCCCTAGCCCGCTCTGGGAAGATCCCATGGCTCGATTTTAGACGACAGCTTGAGGATACCCCCTCACGATACCTCCGATGGCTATGGTCGGAAGCCTGCACTGCGACAGCAGTCGGAGGTATGGAACCCAGCAGACGCTTGCTGGCGTTCACGCTAGCAAGCCCACGCCCCCCGGACGCGCCACCGTTGTTGCCAATATTCCTCCACGAAGTCCTTCCCGGGATCATAGCAGAGCTGGATCGACAGCAGCCTGACGAACAGAGCTTGCATACCGACATGCTTCTGGCAGTCATCGTCTCGGCGATCACATCCGCACAGCAACTGGAATGGGCGATGCAAGTCCTCGAACCTGGGTTTTTCTGTGGGCAATCGAGCCAGGACATGGCGAGAAAGCTCGGCGCTGACTTGAGGAGAGGCCAGGATAGCGCCACGGCCACGGCTCTTCTGCAGAGATTGTCAACTTCACCTTTCTCAGCCAATTTCCCCATGTTCACAAAATAGTCACGTAGGCGAAGGGAATTACATGCGAAGGACGCGGAAACTATACTTTCATGACAAAAACAGTATCATTACCTGATTCACACCTGCTGAGAGGATGGCCCAGGAGCTGCGTGATCGGAATGAACATCAAGCATGGCGCGAGAGATAATCTAGCTTACGACAACAAGAATTTTCGGTCGGGCTGCATAACTGGTCGGGTGGGCACGATATGAGGCAGGATGCATCTCCCTTCGCGGCGAGCTGTTCATCTGGCACCTGGCCTGGATGGTATTCAGGTTGGATGGTGGTAGAATGGATGCCTTGATGATGCAGTTCCTTGCGTATGCGTGCGGCAACGGTCATGAAATCATGTTGCCTGCTTGTCGTGACGTGAACCGAAGCCACGACCTTCGTCTCGCTCAGCTGCCAGATGTGCAACTCGTGCACGGAATGGACACCAGGAACGCTTTCGATCGCCTGTCGGACAGCCTCTAGAGAGACGTGATCGGGGACACCTTGTAGAAGGATGTAGGAAGTTGAGCGGACGAGCGGGAGCGCGGAGGAGAAGATGATAATCGTGATGACGAGCGAAACGAACGGATCGAATTCGTACTTGAATCGCCAATCGGTGAGCCAGATGACTAGCCCAGCTGCGATAACGCCGACGTTGCCGAGGGCATCCCCGAGGACGTGTAAGAGTAGAGCACGCATGTTCATGGATCCTCCGTGCGAGTGGCCAGCATGTGAATGACCACCTTCGTCGTCGTGAGCCGAACGCCCGTCCTCGGATGCATGCCCTTTGCCATTGGCAATGAGAGGAGTTCGCTCAGTGCTATCATTATGATCGTGATCGCTTTCTGACTGATCTTGGACGACGGACAGACGTCCGACATGGGTATCGTCCAGTTCCGGATCGACACCATGCCTGCTTGTGCTCCTTTTGCCTCGTCGAGCTTGGCGTACAGGTGAAGGGGATCGGGCGTTAGCTATTTCCTCGGCTGCGTGTACGAGAGACGCTCGTGTTGCAGCGGGATGCCCGTAAAGGGACGAGTAGGAGTCAGACCTCTTGCGTGATTGCGATCCCCTACTGGTCGATATGGGCGTAGCGGCATCCTCAGAGACAGCCATCGAATCGGCGCCCGCGGACGAGGTGACAGATGATGCCGATTCGCTCGGGCCATGGGAGTGGCCGTGCTCTGTCCAGCAATGAGCGCCTGATTCGTTCCTCGAACAGGGGACTGACCGTGGAATAGGAAAAGGCCAACGATGTTGGACGCGAGCCCCAAAGTTCCGACAATAACGACCAACTTCGGAGCAGATATCTCTGCGGCAGATGTAAGCTACGATGTCGCGGGAGATGTGGTACGAACAGACCAGGGGTGGCGAAGAAGCGGCCTATCGCTTCGAGAAAGATCGAAAAGCACAGTGCAAGCAGGAAGACGCCATTGATCAGGGCGGCGAGAATTTCAGCACGATGCCAGCCGTAAGTATATTTTGTGTCGGACGTTTGGGCGGTCAACTGGTTCATGAAGGCGATGAGCTCGGCGCGGCCCAATTCGAGTCAATCGGGGGACGTACTTTGATGGCGTAGAGCGCGACGATCAAGCTCATGACATCACTGCGATGAGTAAGCGCGGGTGAGGGTTGACAGCGTCTGAGAGGGGCTGGGGGGCATACTTGAGCATATGGAAGCTGTCTGCGACGAGGGCAAGGGATCCGACGGCATATCCTGCAAGACGGGTCAATGCGACGGGACAGCGAGGGCGGACACGGGCGGTACGGACCAACGAAGAGTTCTGTGAAGAAAAAGAGCACGTCGATGGCGAGCAGGAGCTTTATGCGCGCCTGGCGAGAGAGCGCGAGATGCATCACGGCCGGTGCGGACGCGGACGGTGGCCAGAGCTTATGAAGTCACCCCTGAATAATGGGCGTGTAACAGAGGCTTGAAATTCCCACGCCACAAGTGGCTCTTCGCGGCGAAAATGGTGGTCCGAGAGCATTATATCACATAGATGAAATCAAGCTTTCTGACCACCATTAGAACTTTTAATCAATATTTACGAAGGCACTCAGTGGCCGGGCGTGGGAATACAACAATCCCCGACATCTGTTTTAAACCCTATACCTCCAAAACAGCAACCATACACAGCTGTATCTCTCAATGAGAGGACTTGATCGCAAATCTATTGCCACCAAGCTGTCCAATGTATCTTATGCTGCATTTTCTCCTTCCGATTCATACCCTCAAAGGTTGACGTGTGCTCTACTTACGACACATGGATCACAAGGGGTGCCAGGTGCGATAGCAGCTGCGCCACGCGGCGGTGACGAGAAAAAGTGTCCGTATGTCATTATATAGTGATGGCTCTGTACCGATACTCGGTCCATACCGCGGCCGATTTATCTGTACCCACTGTAGCCAGGTCTGGAGTAGGTATTGTACAAGTCCTGTCGGATCGGGACGCGATAGTCCTCTGAATTGTTCACTCGGGGTGTCTTCCTGCGAAAGGATCCCTCCGCTGCGAGCATAGTCGTCAGCAAAATACACGGCGAGAAGAACGATGTCCCGACTAACCTGCCCAAGTTGTCGCACGATCTGCCCGTGCAGGCTGACGCAGGTACAACCAGGGCATTTTAGCCACCCTACACAGACGACTGACCTGGATGGGCAAGTGTCCGCTCGGGCCTGTTCATGGTATCGGGCGATGTTACACGGTTTCCAGTGCTGCTATATTCGGGCGTGGGCAGCGGTTCCTGCGTGTAGGCTTCCAAGGGCTGCTTCGGTGGGCTGCCATAACCATTGTTGGGCGGGTAGGTGTTGCCCGTAGTGTATCGAGAAGCGGAATAGCTATCGAACGGTTGCTCCACCTTGTCTTGCATCAGTGTGGCAGCGCTGGCGGTGCTGGTATTCCTATTATGTCCGAGGTGGTTGTGGTTGCCGCCTGCCAATGAGTCAGTGGAAGGGCGGGCATTCCACGGGTCTGACCGGTCATCTGGTGGAAGGTCGCTTGTGAGCGGGATCGTCGCGTCGTATCGCTGGTGATCATCCCGTTGCATGGCGCCGTAGGACGCGATCACAACGTAGAGATAGATCTAGCGCACTGTAAGCGTGGGTACGGAAGGTCGGTGTGGGTGCCCCACCTGCAGAATAGCCAGGACGACCCATAGGCCGCCCATGATCCCGACATCTACCCAGGGAAATATGTTGCAGAGAGTCGTCCCCTCAGAGTTGGTGGTGTCGTTGTCAAAGAAGTTCTTGAGGCAATTACTCTGAGCAGTCGAGTGCCGGGTAGCAGAAATTATGATCCACGCGATCGCCACCGAGAACGCAACAAGGAGCGCAGTCAGGTGAAGTTGAACATAACGCTTGAAGAGGTTTGGGCTCTCCTACTAGACGTCAACGCTGAACTGAAGAAAGCTGGCGCGAACTCACTCTAGACACTCCGAAGAATCCGAGCACCTGGACGCCTGCAGCAACGTAGCATATTATCGCAAATAACCACGGAGCAAATGAGGGTGTCGCAGCTCCGACAACTACAGTCAACTTCATCAGCATCCGCGACAAGCCCTGAGAACGGTCACTGACTACTAGGGGTTGCAACCGAGAGGGTCCCGGCAAGGATACCGAGCACGAATTGCTCGATGATAGCCGCATAAACTCCAGCATTGACGAGCGGAATAGCGCAGCAGCAGTAGTCTCGGGGTTTCATGTTGTCGTGATGGTGTAGTTGTAGAAGGAGCGCACTGCGCGTGAGGGGTGTCTGGGTCGTGAGGCGGTGATGCACAGGGCGACTGCGCAAGTCACGCCGAGGCCGCCTTGCCTGGTGCTGGTATGCCGGTCTACTGAGGTGCTAACGAAATAATCGGACCCGTGGAAGAGCAAGAAGAACGTTCGGTCAAAGTCGCAAGGTTAATCACAAAGAAAGATGCAGGGTTCAGAACAAGAGCGTAGTTTGAAGTGAAGAGATGGTATGCCAAAACGTGACTGTGACTCGCGTTGACGTCGTTCGCCTCAGGCGCTGGAGGGACGACCAACGTAAGCTCTGGACCACCATGACCCGACTTGCCCTGCTTGCGTTGTACTCTCTACTCCTCGCTGGAATAGCCCGAGCTACGCCGGCCAAGCAGGAGGCTTTGGCTCCCGTCGAAACGAAATCTGGCTGGAGCTACACCGACTGCGGTATGAGATAAGACCCCGTCGGATGGCCTGCATAGTATTTACTGAAGGACTGCAGGCCTTCCCACCGACGTAATACAAATCGAATCCATTGAAGTCTCTCCTGATCCTCCGGAGAAAGGAAAGGACCTCACGGTCAAGGTTATTGGCACTGCGAGTGATGTTATCGAGGTTGGTCCGCACGCGAGCTTACTGCCGAATCATACGACTGAGCTCGGTGCTAGGATGGAGCCTACGCCGATGTCACTGTAAAGCTTGGCTTAGTCAAGCTACTACAGAAGCGTTTCGATGTATGCGAAGAGGCGTAAGTTCACGTGTTGCTCACGATGCCCCCAATCCTCACTTTCTACGCAGTAGGAACGCCAACGCCTCAATTCAGTGCCCCGTGGAGGAAGGACAGCATATTGTTGAGCAGACCGTTACTCTTCCAAACGAGATTCCAAATGGTGGGCATCAGCTTTCTTCCGCGCTCTCAGGTCACTTACGGCACCATAGCACTTTTCCGGGTCAACGTCCGCGGTTATACTAAAGATGAAGAAGACATGGTTTGCGTGGATCTCGCTGTCGACTTCAGGAACCGCCCTTTCCTGGGTCTTTGGTGAACAGATCTTCGATGGCATATTGGCCTGATTATGTGATGAATGGTTTTGTTATCTCCCAAGTGACAACGATTCTTGACGAAGCATATGATTGAGTCCTTGGATATGCCCTTGCATGATACCATGAATTTTCCCTCTTGTACATGTATACCCGATTCACGTCATAATACCGCCTGGTTCTCGGAAGTGGGGAGGAGGGACTCCCGCGGAGGACGTCGAACTACATATCTCGACCTCTTGCCAGCTACCCGCTGGAAACCACTATATGAGTGTGAATCACCCTGAAGTTCTGAGCCCTGATGTATGCATACCTCGAATGATGTACACAGAATTCGTCGCAAGCGTTATGCATATGCGATAAATACGTTGCATGGTGGAAGTGTATAGACCATTATCTTGCCTTGTGGAGTGGTTTGGGAACAATATCAGGCCAAGACGCTGATCCAGCTAACACCGCGTTCAGATTTCTTCGTCTTCTTCCCATGCACCGAACTTCAACGTAATATGACGAGCCTTCGCGACCTCTAACCAGCGTCCTCGGCGTCCGCCTTCTTGTAAGAGAGTATTCTGCAAGCTCAAGGCCAAGTGCTTCAGTTGCGGAAGGTGATGCACCAGTCGGAGCTCCAAGGCATCACAAACGCCGCGCTCCTCGTTGATCTTGGAGACGGTGTACCATGAGTTGGCGAGCTGTATCTTCAGCACCTCTAAACTGTCGGGGAGCACGAAGACGAACTGGTGAGACAGCTCGTGCACGACGACGAGGGACAAGGCTAAGTATCGGAGCAGCGAAGTCGCTCGTAAGCAGTCAGCCAGGGCCCGGGTCGTAATGCGGCTGCAGCCTAGGAGGACAAGCTTGCGAAGGGACCGTCCGACGCTATGGACCAATCCATCAAGCATGTGATCGCGCATTTCGAATCCCAAGCGATCTTGGGTATAGGAAAATGACTCGAGTTGGCAGCCGGAAAACGCGGTCTCTAGCGCACGCAAATCGAAGTAGTTGCCCTTGATGCCGAATAGGGTTAGATGTCGAAGGTTCGGGAACGTAGTGCCCTGTGCCAGTACGCATGAGCCCGACAAGCGCAAAGAGACGAGTCCGCTAGGGTCGACTGTGCGGAAGGCCTCTATATGGATGTTTGCGGACGTATGTAGTTCGTACGAGACCAAGCGCGGAGATGCCAACGGGAACATGGCTTCCTCGAAACGAATCGATATCTGGCCACCGGATCCTGCACGATTCCTTCAGAAACCGCATCGCGAGCAATCTGGAGCGAAACCGCTGCTTACCGTGAAAGTCGACGGGAAACCATTGTCGACAGTCGAAGACACGTAGCTGCCGTATAGATGGAATCCTGTATAAAGCCTGATACAGCCATGAGACAGGTGCCGTCTGTACATATGTGTGTTTTCAGCAGGCCGCTTCAGTCGTCCGAAGGATTGCCAGCGAGTATATCATGCGCGCACTCACGTCCAGTTCCAGTCGGACCACTCGAGCGTCGTTCGCAACATCGACCCATCGGATTTCGTTCGCATGTCCCTCAGACACGCGCTCCAGGAATTGGCGGATCTGCAACTCGCGGTGCAGCGAGACATACCGTCTAAGAAGACCCCTGGCCTCGCGGTTGGTCGTGGAACACACTTCCAGCAGTTGCAGGTGCTTGTTTGATGGCTGCTGCCTACGAACGACTCGGACATGGTCCACCAAGAACGTCTCGTAGATTTGGAGGCGTAATTCCGGTGGTAACGACAGAAGGCTAGACTGACAAGCGATGGTGGTGGTCATCGATCGTCAATATTCCATCAAAATATTCTCCGACGTGAAACCGGGGCCGGCCGCGAGACTACGGCAGGAAATGAGGTGCTTCTCCCTCACAAGGTAGGGCAATCTATCACAACGCTACCCTATGCATCGGTGATAGGACGGCCACGAGCACAATATGAAGTTACGGCGTGCATACGAAGCCACGAGGCGGGCAGAGAACTCGGAGCATGGGTCACAAAGGGATGCAAGAGCGTGCGCACGGTGCGTTTCGCCGTCTGCTCTCACCGCGCCTCGTTGTTCGCGCATGGCCTCTTGCCCTGTAGCGAGCTTGCCTTGCTCTGCGGTGTCTCTGCGCTGCAATGTCTCGTATTGCCTCCTTTGCGTGCGACGTGAGGCATCTTACCGGTACTTCCGGGGAACTTGACTTGCGCCGGGACTTAAGTGAAGAGAACAATAAAGGCTCCATATTTGAACGGCGTGGCAACCTGGTCCACTCGACGAATGCCCCCAAACTAGCCAACACCAGGCCCGATCAACAACAGTGTGTCCTACTCATAAGATAGAGCGTGCCCTGTTTGGTTCCTCCGGAGCACCACAACATTATAGACGAACTTTGTCCTCCCCCACCACGTCCCAGCGGCCCGACTTGGAACGACCACGGTCACGCCCTATTGTTGCTGCAAGCTTCGCTCTCGTAACGTCTCGTGTGCTTCTACGCCCGCTCTCGTTCATTTGCTTTGTTTGGCCCTCTTCAGCCTTAGGCCTCTGCGGACTGGTCCGCTCTCGTGCCCTACACAATGCCTGCCATCACCCAGGGCTACGAGGTCCTCCTCGATTTCACGAACGACACACGAGACTCGGCTACGGTACAGCTGCAGCGCGATTATGGCCACCAGGCCGGCACTGCTGTGCTGTTGCGACCGGGCGAGACAGTGACGCTGGTGTTGGATGCGGGGGCGGTATATAGGTACTGCTTGAAGACAAGGACAAGGGTAGCGAACGTCACGTATGTACATCGGTCGATGTCCATGCAAAATTCTCAGCGATTCACAGCGCTCGTACGTGGAGAGACGTGCACTGTGATGTCTCCAAGCTGTTTCCACCTGCGGCATCGCAAAGCAGCCGGATGCTGCCGGAGTCGCCCGTCAACGGGCTTACCATCGATCGACTCTGGCGGGACGTCCGGTTTTGCATGTGGTATGACGCATAGTGCAAACACAGTACATTGTACAATGACAGTAGGTCCTCCAGGTTGGCCAAATATTCACCTATCTCACCATTGATTGACGTACAGGTTTTCTTGATGATACCCCCGAACTTTATATCGAGTCATGGCGCCGTCGATGTGTATGTGGACGAATTTTTGAGGGCCCGCTTTCGCCACAGGCAAAGGAATCTTGGGAAACAGTAATCATGCCATCGCGGCGCCTCCAAATTCATTACCGCGTGCGTTGCACGGGGCTACGGGTTATGTTTGATAGGATACGATCCATTCATCTAGGACTATCACGATTCAATATATCACAATCGCATTACAGCATAGTCGCAGCTACTTCATTTATTATGTATATCATTCTGCAACGGTTACATAACTTAACACATCACAACGTAGTTTGGCGACCGCTATGGATACTTATGGGTTGCATGGAATGCGCTGCTACGGGATCGGATGGTGAACACCGCGAATACCCGAAAGTTCATTGATTCACGAGGACAAAGGGCAGGTGTTCTCAACGTGGCGGTAAAGACACGTATGCCTCGAGTTTGCACGCCATGATGAGCCTCGAGTTTGCACACTACGATGAGCCAGTTCGCTGTCGTAAGGAGGGATAACATGTATATCTTTACGGTGACAAAGGTCGCTTGACACTTCCAGGGCCGCGCACCCATAAATCGAATGCGATCTGGATGCCGGCACCCGTATAGAGCTCGTTCTTGACCCAAAATTGCGAAGCCTGGATCTTTCGCAGAACAGCTCAATATGGTATGTTGAGCTGACCGTGTATTTCCTATTGAAGCGAACGGTCAGGTTAACCCCTGCGTACCGAAGCATCGAGAGTCAGGAGGACGTTCATATACCCCCTTGAGGACCTCTTAGGCTGAGCGTCTGGACCCTCCTGCCCGTGATAGCGACGAAGACAAAACGGGCGGGCTGGTCGCGACTTGGCGAAAAAAGCTTCCGAGGTATTTAATCGCCTTACCATCTCCAGAATTGCATGTGAGCGAGGTGACAAGGTGAGGTCGTGCTGTCGCATCGGTCTATTCTCGGTCCATGGATTTGTGCCCGGTACAAACGCAGTTCACGGAGCCGTTTACGGCGGCGGGGCAGCCCAGATTGATCAGAAAGCCCGGGTGACCCATTGTGCCCTGAGTTCTCTCCGAACACTGGCATGCGACAATATGAGCAAAACTCTGCCATAAACGAGTGCAACAACAAGAAACCGGCGTACGTTTTTGCCATGAGAGCCCAGCTTTAGAGCTGATTTGTTCATCGCTAGCTGATTGACGGTCCTCGAGCACGGTATGTACGTGCACGTGGCAGGAGGGTGTCGCAATGACCTCACCCCTGCGCTCCTTCTCCACCTTCGTTCAGACTCAAGAGATATCTTCGCCGTATCCTGCGTCATACGCAGCTCCATCGACGTACACCGAATACCGCGGTCGGGGCCAATGATGAGCCAGAGCAGCTGTATAAACCAACTACTGCGACGTGAGTGTGGGGATTTATATCTTCTTGTCCGACGCCATGCAAGCTGCAGCAAACGCCCTTCAGGATGTGCGCGGCATTTGGCAGTAGCTTCATATACAGCGTAGCTGACATGTATAACGCTTAGCGCATGGGACCCGTGGAAACGGTCGTCCACCCTGAATACAAGCACAGACAAGATGGTTCGAGGATGAAGGCCCTTGCCTGGTTCGGCACTCAAGACGTCCGACGTTCGTCATCAACCTCAGTTGAACACTGATGTGGTACTTAATCTGGGAGCAGTCGTTGATGCACCTATACCTGACATTACCGAACCGGACGATGTCATTGTTCAAGTGACTGGCACAACCATCTGCGGCTCAGACCTTCACCTGTATCATGGCGAAATCATGACTTTACAGAAGGGCGATATCCTGGGACATGAGTTCATGGGAAAGGTCGATCGCGTCGGGCCAAATGTCACCAACTTGCAAGTGGGTCAGCGCGTAGTGGCGTCGTTCCAGATCGCCTGCGGAGAGTGCGGTTATTGCAAACAGAAACTCTCGTCATTCTGCGATAGGACCAACAATTCCTCGTTTGTGACCAACTTAATTCATACTGCGCAGCGTGCTGATCTTTGCGATAGGCTACAAAACTACATGTACGGAAACCGTGACGCTGGTTTCTTTGGGTACTCCCACTTCACCGGTGGCTTCCCCGGAGGACAAGCGGAGTATGTGCGGTAAGCATTATTACTAGTGCGACAAGTCGTCGACGGACTTAATCTTGGATGAAGGGTACCGAAAGGAAACGTTAACCTTTTGCCTGTTCCGGACGATGTCCCCGACGAGAAGGTCATTTACCTCTCCGACATTCTTCCTACAAGCTATCACGCCGTCGTCGACACTGGGGTAAAGCAAGGTGACGTCGTGGGTATATGGGTAAGTGGAATGACTATCTCCTACATGATCTTATCACGACTTACCCTCGATCAGGGGTTGGGTCCCATTGGTATGTGTGCTGCGAAATGGGCCCAGCTGAAGGGTGCTTCCCGCGTCATCGGTATTGACCGTGTCCCTGAACGCCTTGCTTTCGCGAAAGAGAAGCTGGGTATCGAAGTCGTCGACTTCAGCAAGGATAAAGATGTGCCGACGAAGGTCCTTGAGCTAGTGCCCGGCGGACTGGACGTAGCACTCGACTGTGGCACATTTCACCAACCGAAGACCCTCATGCACAAGGTGCAAAAGGCTCTTATGCTTGAAACCGATGTTCCTGAGATCGTTAACGAGATGATCGTTTCCGTTCGCAAAGTATGTGGCATCCTTCTCCAGGCCTCGTAGATGCAGTCCCTCATGCCCGTCCATCCAGATGGGACGCTGCGGCATTATCGCCGCTTATGCCGGCTTTGCTAATCAGTTCAACATTGGCGCGCTGATGGAGAAGGGTGTTCGTTTTATCGGCAATGGCCAGGCACCGGTACACCTTTACTGGGAGGAAATTCTCAACGAATACATACTGCCAGGAAAATTCGACCCCGCATTGTACGTAGGTTTCTATATTTTGAGCTCGTACTGACATTGGCAATTGCACAGTATCATCACGCATCGTGTGCCGATTGACGATATGGTCGAGCTCTATCAGCGATTTGACAAGCGTGACGCGGGAGTAGAAAAGGTGTTCGTGGAGACTCGGTTCTCATCTCCTCCCGCCCCAGGTTGTCCAACTTTGACGCGCGTGAAGGATTGGTCCTGAGACTGGAATGTAGTTGTGGGCGAAATGTGAAGAAGAGTTGAAAACCAATGTATACGTATCGTTCTCTATACACCATTGCAAACTGGACACGACCACGTGCGTGCGCCTACTGGTGCGCACTTTCGCAGATGAAAGCTTCCAATGCCTGAACAGGTCTCCAGTTTGATCGAAACTACGTGTTCTTTTCTGTTCAGGATGTCTAGGTGCATATAAGGCGTCGTCCCGCGAGCTATATGGCAGTCGCTCTTCATTCCATCCTCTCTCGAGTTCCTCTCGTACCGTCGAGTCCAAATGCGCTTCACCATCGCAGCGGCCACATTGCTATTGAAGGGACTCTACGCCTTGGCGAAACCTGGTGTCATCTCCCAGATTGCGTTGTTAGAGGATAGCAACTCTAGTCTTCTGACCTGGCCGACTGCATTCACGCAGAACATTGTTCCCAAAGCCATACATTCTCACAACGATTGCACGTTCGATCACCTCGCCTTCCGGCGTGTGCTAATATGGCCCCCAGATTGGCGAGACGTTCCTGTTCTGACTGCCCTCAGCTTCGGTGTCGCCAGCGTTGAAGCAGACGTTTGGCTCATAAACGAGACCCTTTTCGTGAGCAAAATCACGGAGGAGAGCTAGATCCATGTTTTATTGCAGGAAATCTTGCAGATTGGCCATGAGCAGCAGGCTATCACGCCTGCGCGAACGTTCCAGTCACTCTACGTCCAGCCTCTACTCAAGATCATACAAGGCATGAATCCAATCACTGTCGCGAACCAAACATGACCCAAGTATGCTTGCTCGTAGAACAGGAGATGCACCCGCCACTGACGCCGTCTCCCCTCTCCCCTTAAGTGGTCCCTTTGATACATCAAGCAGCACCCCTTTGCAGCTCTTAGTGGACATCAAGACCGACGGTGTCGAGTTTGTCATCTCCACCCGACTGAGAATTTTGATCTCATAGTATAACCTCTGCAGGACACTGCCCTTCGTTCTCAAAGAGCTCGAACCACTGCGGCAAGCCGGCTTCCTGACCACTTTTACCAATGGCACCTTGACACCGTCCGCTCTCGTCGTCGTCGGCACGGGCAACTCGCCGCTGGAACAGGTGAAAGCACTCGAACCCCGCGATTACTTCTTCGATGCGCCGTTAACCCAGCTTACCGACCCGTCACTGAACACGACCTGGGATATTACCTTGTCTCCCGTCGCCAGCACCGACTACGAAGATGCTGTAGGCTGGAGCGGCATCGGAAACATCAGCGATGCGCAGCGCGCCAATATCACGCGATTTGTTGGCGATGCTCATGTTCGAGGCATCCGGGCAAGGTACGCTCCTCTGCATCCTGGGCACTCACGGTTTCATGTTCATGGCCATCACATAGGTTCTGGGACACACCTGGATGGCCAATCCACGCCCGCGACGCTGTTTGGCGAGAGTTGCTGAATGACGGCGCCGACTGGTTGAATGCAGATGACCTTGAAGCAGCCGCCAAATTTTGAACCCGAGGACGAAAATTGCAGATTAGGGGGGGAATTGAAGCGTACTCAAGGGAGCTGTACAAGCATAATCGGTATTGCGTCAATCAAACACCGGTCGCGTATCCACGCCGAGCTTTGACCTCCGTAACCACTTCGGAGGCTGCGCGAGTGCGCCCTTCGCCAGCTCAAGCACTTGTCCCGTTTCGCCGGGTGCAATAGCACCCGCCTTTCGAGGAGCGCCACCGAACCACAGTCGATCTTTCTTTCCCTGCTCCCATGAGACTATATCCGATATGTGCAGATCTCTGAAGGCTCCAACCGTCGGGTCGGTGGTCGTAACGTCTTCAGAATCAGATTTCGGAGTGAGTTGGCTGACCGGGCGAGTAAGCAGAGAATCCTGGTTCAAGCGAGCAAACAGTCGACGGTAAGTTGAGGTTGCTCGCATCCAGCCGGGAGCGGAACATACCGTGTAGTCTTTCGCCTCCTGGCTGAACTGGGTGATCGCGGTCTTGTCTCGGAAGCGTAAAGCCTTCTGTAAGTTCCATCTCGTCTTCCCCTTGAGCAATCCGCCTTGCTTGCCGAACGGGATGTCCTTCTCTGTTTCCACAATCTGCTGCAAGTCGCCGACACCCTCATTCACCACTCCTAACATGCCATCCCCCTGCCTTTTCCTCTCACCAATAGTCCTGGCCAAGAGCTCCCAGCCGGTTGCACGCGCTGTCATCGCAAACTTCAGGTCGCGCGGATTGTCCACGAGTTCGAGGACGGCCATTGGGGCGTTGTCCCCTGGTCGGTTGCCGTACTTGTGTATCCGAGTGTAACCTCCAGGACGTTCGGCATAGCGCTTCGCGAAATCGGTGAAAAGTTTCGGAGTAAGTTGTGGCTTTAGGAGAAATGCGGAAGCGCGTCGGTACGCTGGCAGTCCGCCCTTCTTGCCAAGGGTGATGATCTACACGCATTGAGCTAGCAGATTATACAATGGTATGGACAGTAACCTTTTCGGCCAGCCTCGCCGTGTCCCTGGCTTTTGGGAGAGTGGTCTTGATTTGTTCGTGCTCGAATAGCGAGGTCACCAGGTTTCTGGGCGACACTCAGCACAGACAAGAACCTGCGAGCATGGACATGATACCTCAGCATAAGATTTCTATGTGCCGTCGGCCGAGAGAACTTTCGAAAGGCGACACCATGCTTCATCTTGTGAAGGTTACACCAGGTTCCAAGCCTCAGGCCTCAGTACTCAGCAGGGAGAAGTGGCACGTGGTGCGCGAGTGCGGTGTGGCTGTGTAGGCGCTCGATTGTGTCCAATCCAGGAGACCCGTTATGGGTGAATGTGAAACGAGTGGAAACGAGAAGCAGGGTTCCAGGAGCTGCCACAGAGCTTACAACGTTGACTCGAGGTATCTTATGGGGTTTTGTCTTTTATAACTCTGGCGGCTGTGGCTCGACGTAACCTGGCGAGCCCCAGTCGAGGTTTTCGCACGATTCAGATACACATTTACGATGTCCATTGCGGAATGAAATGAAGGTCATATGATAACAAAACTCGATAAACACAAGCTGCACTGCGGGACAGATAAGCATCATCGCAGCTTACTCGAGATGATATTTCCAAAACTACACGTGCCCTTGCAAGAGTATCCGAAACCGCCGTGTCCACAGGCTACCCAAACCCAAAAGCTCAGCTGCGGATAATAGGTGACAGTCTTCACAAAAGGGTGTCGGCTATCTCCCCCACGCGAGGCACTGCGCCTATGTACGGTAGAGCAAGAACAACGAACAATGCTAGATTGGGGCTAAGAATCTGACTAGCGCAAGATAGCAGGGCCCAAGGAGATACCAAAGCTTGCGGGGCTGCACACGAGAGAGGTTCTTGTGCATTAGTGGGATCAAGTGTGAGCGCGGCAAACATTGTGCGCTAATTATTCCTTCGTGAGTGAATTGATAAGACCTGGAGCAGCCGGCTCATTGGCTGTCTAGCATCACTGAGCTAGAGGCGGAAATAAGGTCCGCAGGAGCCCGAAGGTCGCACTACCGACGAGAATCAGGTTGCCTTCAAGTTGCCTGGAAGAGGTGACTCAGCCCGAGTCTTGAATGATAGGAGAACTGACGTAACTGTCGATCTGATATACGGATAAAGATCCCTGCCGGCGTATGAGTTGCAATCCCTGCTGACATATCGTTATACGCCATGCGAACACGCCGCGCTCTTACGTGGCGCTGGTCCGGAGTGGGCGTTCCAATACCCTGGTTATTTCTTTTTTCTTTTTGAAAGGCGATGTATATTGGAGCGGGGGAAGGGGGGGGGGCGGGGGTTCAGTCTATTTGACTTGATGACGCCGGTAAGTAGGCACGATGAGCAACGAAGCGCGGTATTGAACCAGCTATCCGCTGTGCATGGAGCAGGGCATGCATATCTGAATCAGGCTTCGCGAGTGGTCCAACCCCATTTGTCTAAGGATACAGAAGCAGAAAATTTTGCAACTAGCGCATAAGGTTGTTGTTATGTCGTCAGATCCAGTATTGAAGCGTTGCGTGGCATCTTGCCAACGATAAGGGGCGGCTCGGCAGCGCAGTACGGCCTCAGGGTATCCGACGACACAAGGCCAGTATAAGGGCATCGCTGTTTGCTGAGAGCTCATCGACCGGTGTCCTCGGAGCAAATCACCCGTGAGCTCCAGCTCCAGGGTGAGAACCGGGGAGTGGTGGTACAGCGGCGAAAACAAGAGCTTGAGGTCGAGGAGCCAGGCAGAATATGCGTGGGATTCAGGTGCCGGGAATCACCGCGCTGACAACGTCACGGCTTTTCCGAGCGCGTTCGTTCTCTTCCTCTACGAGTCTACCACCGAGGCCATGTCATTCCTCCGACTTGCTATTCGTACCCCCGCACGCCCTCGTTTGGCTTTTGCTATTGCCTCGGCGCCGCGTATTCAAAGCCGTGTTCCTCCTCGCGCTCACTTCGCCGCCGCAGCGGGCCTCTCAAAGGATGAAATTCAAACGCGAGTGCTCGACGTTCTGAAGGGTATCGAGAAAGTGGACCCCGCGAAGGTAGCTCCACTTCGGCTCTTTGCAACGTGTGCTGATAGACCTCGTTTCAGTTGACCGCTTCTTCGTCATTTGCCAACGACCTCGGCCTCGACAGTCTCGATGCGGTTGAGGTGGTAATGGCAGTGGAAGAGGCATGTTACTCCAGCCCATTCCTCGTTCGCGCCTTAACCTACGCTCTAACACAACTCCTGCACAGGAGTTCTCCATCGAGATTCCCGACGAGGAGGCCGACGAAATTCTAACTGTTCAGCAAGGTGTGCTTCGCTTCATCCTAATCACCCCAGTAGTCGCTCATTGTAGCTTCCTTCAGCTATTGATTACGTCGCGAAGACGCCAGAAGGTGAAGTCGGTCAGCCGTTCTCGTTTCGCGACGAGCACCTGATTCCGTCCATGCAGCTCATTAGCGTAGGCCATAACGTATATTTCTTGGCGCTACATCACATAATTATCATGCCTGATCTCGAATGGCTTTTCATTCATGCAATAACCCCCGAAGAGACCGTCTGCATAATGCGCCTGAGATAACGAGCAGCAGTTAGCGAGAGTCCGATATCTTTCCCGCTGCCGGTTTTGGCAAAGGCCTGTCCGGCTTTCATGATCGAATCTCCGCATTTCCAAGATGTTTCATCTTTGAACCTTTCCTGTCTTGCTCGGCCCCGCAAGCTCATATAAAAGCATGGTTGTTCTGCAGGCCTCGTTGTCCTAATCTCGACGACTGATGGCTAGCAAAATTATTGTTGAAAAACCTCTGTTGCAGACGGCATGTATGCTAGGCGAAGGCTAGTGCTCAAACCTTCAATTGCTTGGACCCCTTGGATTGACGCTGCCACGTCCGTTTTCACCAGGTCCATTGTACGATGCGCGTACTTGCACGCTGCATTTTGTTGACATTGAGGAGCGCAAGGTGCGCTCGTCACGGGAATATGAAGGAAGTGTCTCAGGCATTTTCAAGGTGTTTCATTTGAACGTCGAAACCCTTGACTTGGTCACCGAGGACTTTGGTGTACCAGTCACGTCCCTAGCGCTCCGCAAGCAAGGTCCCGGGGTAAGCGCTAGGCACTGACGCCGTGTCCATCCAAGTACTGACACTCCGTTTGAGTTGGCCTGCACCACTGCATTAGGGTTCGCTCTGGCTGAGGGGGATGGTAGACTCACATATCTCGCCAAACCACTGCCAACCGCGTATGCGGTGCATACGAGGTTCAACGACGGCGCATGCGACGTCAATGGTCGTTATTTTGCAGGCACAGTCTGCTCCAAGACGCCGGAAATCCCTGGTCAGCTGTATAGATACGATCCCACCGATCTATCGTGCAAGTTGATCGACGAAGGCCCCTTCACGGTATGCATGTTGTGATAGTCAGCGAACGCTTTCACTGACAATAGTAATGTCACAGGATTCAAACGGCCTAGGCTGGAGCCCCGACGGGAAGACATTGTAGGCTGGCTAAGCTTGACATAGACGGTGCTGAACGCTTCACAGGTACTTCACGGATTCGTTGGTGAATCGTATCCACGCATACGATTATGATTCGTCCACGGGAGACATCAGTAACCGACGTGTCCATATCGACCCACTGGCAGAAGGATTGCCAGAGAACTCGTACCCAGATGGACTATGCATTGATAGTGAAGGCGGGATATGGAGCGCGCGGTAAGTCACGCAATCCAGCATGCATTCAGCCACTCATCGGCATCGTCTATCAGGTGGGGTGCCTCCCGGATCAACCGATTCAACCAAGACGGGAAGATAGACTTCGAGATTGTATTCCCCACCGCGCTGAATATCACAGCCTGTGAATTCGGAGGTGCGTAAACGAATTGACAAACGACTGCCAGCTGACGGGTCCCTTTGCCACGATGTTGTAGGGCCGAACTTGGATAAGCTGTACGTCACAAGCGCGCACTGCGGAGCGGTCGGCGGCGATGCCAGCCGTCAGGCATTGTATCCTGATTCCGGCCATCTGTTTGTCGGTGCGTATAGATCCTGTGGATTCGAGCGCGCATCGATCTCATATCCACGACGGCAGTTGACCTAGCGGGTCAATTCCATGGTGGCAAGTGGAGGTTCCACTTCGGTGGCTGAACTTCTATACACTGGTTTCACAACCTGGAGTCGCAGTTTTAAGCTTGGGTTCCCTGAGGTTACAGTGTACGAGTATATCTTGCATGTCCCTGGTACAGTTCAGGCTCCCGTTCATGTTTCTGTAGCTGTTGTCTGTGTGTTCTCAGTTCGAGCATCTCGATGTCGTAGAACGCTGCTGTTCAAGACAAATACCACAGGGTGATGCCTAAGTATACCATCGATGGAGACCATCGCCGAGCTATAGCATAGCAATTCGAGAAATTGATATGAGGAGAGGTCACGAGGGACTTAGTAGGCGCCTTGAGTGTGACTGCGGCTGTGCGGCAAACCTTCTGTTAAAACTAGGCAGTACTGACCCCACGTGTACAGCAGCCTCCATTGCCCGATTGAGCCGTTCACCTCTACGACCCGAACTCCTCAAGGTGCGCAACTTCCTCCGTTCTGGCAACTTGTCACTCAACGATCCTGTGTCTATCTTACTCTTCGGACTCCTAATTCCCAGGTTGGTTGTTCTGGAGCTCCTGGTTCGCTGGCAGCTAACGCGTCGTTGGGTCAGACTCGCCATGGCCACCTTCTCGTCGACCCCCATCGTCATTGATGGCAAGGGCCACCTCCTGGGTCGACTGGCTTCGATAATCTCGAAGCAGATTCTCAATGGCCAGAAAATCGTTGTGGTGCGCTGCGAAGAGATCAATATTTCTGGCAGTTTCTTCCGCAACAAGGTGAATGCAAACTAGGGACATGAAGGACCCATCTGACGTTGATTTACGACGGTGTCTCGCGAAATGCACAGTTGCGCTACCACAACTTCCTTCACAAGCGCCACATCGTGAACCCGAAGAAGTCCGGTCCCTTCCATCACAGGGCACCGTCCAAGATCCTCTTCCGGGCTATCCGTGGCATGGTTCCGCACAAGACTGCTCGCGGTGCGGCGGCTCTCGAGCGCCTGAAGCTTTTCGAGGGCATCCCCCCTCCTTATGACAGGAAGAAGCGGATGGTCGTTCCGGAAGCTTTGCGGGTGTTGAGGTTGAAGCCTGGAAGGAAGTATTGCACGGTTAAGGTTAGGAGGCTTGCTATTTTCAAGCTATGATTGCTATTGACGCTAACGAAACCGTTACTCAGCGTCTGTCTCATGAGGTTGGCTGGGGATACAAGGACGTCGTGGACCGTTTGGAAGAGAAGAGGAAGATCAAGGCGCAGGCTTTCCACGAGCGCAAGGTAATAAGAGTGCCTTGATATGGGCACATACATCGCTGACGTGCGGATAGGTTGCTGCTGTGAAGCTCCGCCAAACCGCGACCAAGGAAGCCTCGACCTCTTTCCCAAAACTTGCTGCCCTGGGCTACTAGTTATTGCGTCAGGTCGTGCTGTCCCGCTCGGTTCCTGTCTCCTAGAGTATGTCTATGAGGCCCATGCCACTACTTGTATGCCTCCATGCGAGCCTTGGGGCCATTTCGCCGCAATCCGATGCGTTCCGTTCCCGTGTAATACGCTTTGCTGCCGTGCGCGATATCGCAAACGAGTCATCGATGAGTATATGCGGCGCTCCTTTGAAATGAAGAGCGCAGTCATGTGGATGCCGAAAGTCGGCTTGAGGAAAAGTCAGCGTAGCGCCGACTCCTCTCCCAGCCTGCTGTCCCCGCATTTCACTCCTTCCTTTCCCTCCTCCTCCGCCGCATCCTCGCACTCCCCTCCTCCTTTCCACTCCCCCTCCTCCTTCTCATCACCTCCATCCTATGCCGTCTGAAGTGGACGACCGTGAAGGCAGGTTTCCCCCCATCGATCACGCGTCAATTTTGACGCGTCTCCAGTAGTCTCTCCTTCGCCAGGTCGCTCCCGTTCAGGTTCCCCAGCAGGCCCTGATACTCTCACTTTACGTGCACTTGTATCTACGAAGGATGCTGGCGTGATCATAGGCAAAGGCGGGAAAAACGTCGCTGATTTGCGCGATCAGACTGGCGTCAAGGCTGGCGTCAGCAAGGTCGTGCCGGGCGTGCACGACCGAGTGCTCACCATTAGCGGCTCCGTCGATCGTGTAGCTAAGGTAGGAAGCTTCTGACACATTCCCGTCTCAGCGCTCGTGCTAACAATTCTTCAGGCGTATGGTCTCATTGTCGCCCAGTTGGTCGCGTCCAACCCCACGTCTCCTATCAGTGCATCCTCCTCTACCCATACCTCTTTACGTCTCTTGATCTCCCACAACCTCATGGGCACGATTATCGGGCGGGGCGGGACGAGAATCAAGGCAATTCAAGATAACTCGGGGGCGCGGATGGTTGCTTCGAAGGACATGCTCCCGCAGTCGACCGAAAGAGTCGTGGAGGTTCATGGATCCGTCGAAGCCATAGAACGGGCTGTCGACGATATTGGCAAGTCTCTACTCGAAGACTGGGAGCGTGGTCTCGGCACCGTTCTGTTCCACCCAGGGGCTGGAGATGAACGCTCGGGCAGCAGCAGGCGGTACTCGGAGAACAGAGGCAGCTACGGTGGGAGCCGTCAATCGAACGGCCGTCCTGGCTCTCCTGGTTCGCCATCACGACAGGCCCCGTCGTCGCCCCAGCCTACTAACCTCCGCACCCAAAACATTTCCATACCATCCGACATGGTCGGCTGCATCATCGGTCGCGGTGGCTCGAAGATCACGGAGATTCGCCGTCTCTCTGGCTCCAAGATATCCATTGCAAAGGCACCTCATGACGAGACGGGCGAGCGGATGTTCACTATCGTCGGCACACCGGAGGCCAATGAGAAGGCGCTTTTCTTGCTCTACAATCAGCTCGAAAGTGAAAAGGAGAGGCGGGTAGGAAGGGAGCAACAGCAGGATATCGAATGAAGGACGCCACACCGCCATCGTTCGTGGCGTAAGTCGTTCCCGTCCTCGACGGACTGAAGTCCGTGTTGGCGATTTGATCTGACGGTGCTCAACATGCTCGACCGTTTCCTTATCCGTTATCGTCATCCGTTATCCTCGTCTCGTTTTCCGCGCTGTTTTAGCTACGGACATGATCGTCCCGATGATATCGTCACATATAACTTCCCGCCACGGACATCATGTTGACAAGATATCACGTACGATCCCTCGCCCTTCCCCGCTGTTTTTCACCTTGGCCGTATTGCGCTCCATGCCAACGTGCGTATGCGACCACCTCACCTATAAAAAGTATGTATAGAAGAATCTCCATAGCGTATCATGCTAGCGCTAGTACCTCTTTGGGGCTACATTAAGTATGCTTGCTTGCTTTACGCCGACAAGTAAGCCAGGTAAGTGATAGGGTGGCGGGTGGTATGGTACGGCATAATGGTAACCGAATCCGAAGTCCGCCAAGTTGCGCATTTATGCAAAACCGACTTCGCCCACTCCACTCCACATGCACGAGCAAGGTTTACCTCGCCCTCCCCCCTCCTTGCCAAGGCCCCCTTATTTCGTCAGTAATACATCAACGAGCTATGACAGCTGGAATATACAACCGCCTCCCGCGACAGCGCACACGATGAACGAAGCGCAAAGCAACCCCTACCCGGATGCTCAGGCTTATCCCGCAGGCTACTACTCGTCTCATTATGCTCAGGCATATATGCAGCCGACTCAGGGAAGCTCGTCCTGGACTTCACTGCCCAGCTACTCTGCTCCTCCGATGTCACTCTCTTCGCGAACCGCAGGAGGGCCCAGTCGACCGCCGCCTCCGTTGAGGAACAGCTGGTACCAGCCAGGTAACCACCGCTGCAACTATAAGGACTGCACTTTCACAGGTTCCCAGAAGAGTGTTGAAGTGCACAAGATGGATAGGCACCTTATATATCCCCTAGGATTTGATCGACGCAAGAAAAAGCTGGATTGGGATGCCGACCCCAGTTTAATCGGGTTTGTTCGATCCTTATTTTGAATTCGGCCCTTACTGAACATGCGCCGCAGCAAACCCATCCCCATCCAGGGCACGAGCGTGAACCTGAGTGACCCTGAAACTCTCGAGAAGTGGATAGCTGAAAGGAAAAAACGCTGGCCGTCTACTCCGAGAGTAGAAGAGAAGAACAGGAAGATCGAGGAAGCTGTTGCTCGCGGACAGATAGACGCGGACGACGCAGGTCTGGCGGGCCACAAAAGACGCCGCCTTAATCAGCATGGATCGTCCTGGTCTTCCGATCCGGCAAGCCGCGGAAGGGGTGCGCCCCGCGGGCGGAGCTTGGAGACGGGTCGAGGGCGTGGTTTATCGCGCCCACATAATTACTTGCAGACTCATGCACTCCCAGCCGCGACCAGACCGCCTGAACCACTTCTCTCGGCGCAAGATGCGAACTGTTTAAATCAGATTTCCAGCAGCTCTGATGACGATGAAGCGCCGGAATCCATGACGTCGAAGGCTCCTCTGCTGCTTGACCTTGACATAGCACGAGGAGACTGGTGTGGCCTGCCTTCAGCGCCCGATTGTCCAGCCGATGCTCCAGAACAAACCCCCTGGACGAAGTCTGTCCCTGCGGTGAAGAAGCCTAGGCCGCACAAACCCAGGCAACCTCCCTTAAATCCTTTCGCTCCCCGCAGGTCGCTCCTACGTAAAGTCAGTCCGCTTTTCTTGTCGAAACTATGCAGTATTGAAAGCGACTCTCTCGACAGCTCCTCCTTCCGGAAATTCGTGTGACCGTATCTAATCTGTCACAAGCCATCAGATTCCTTGTGGAAAACGATTTTCTTCGTGACGTTGAAATGAAGCCTGGTGAAGCCGACGAGAATATGATTGAAGTCATCGCGGAGTCACCCGCCGCCTAGCACGATGCCGTATGATTAGCCCTAGTATACTGTAATCGATGCAAGATAATGAATCCGGAGGCCGGAAATTCTTATTACTGTTCGCTGCTCGAAGTATTGCTGCTCTCGGAATCCGAATCTGATTCGGATCCATCTCCTATTTCCTCTGGATCAACTTCTAGTGTCCGCTGCTTGACCTCAAAGCCTAAGCTTGTCAGACTCTCTGCAATTTCATCTGCACTGCCTGGTCCAGTCACGATGCTTGCCACCGACGACGATGGATCGAAGAGTGGCAGGAAGTACTCCTTCAGTGTCGCGAGCACTTGTTCTTTCGTCGTTGTTTGTAGCTGATCGAGAAGACCCACATAGTAATCTTGAGGGACACCTTTCAGAGCTTGGTTGATGAAAGATACGGTCGCCTGAATGTGGACGATGAGATGACAAATCGATAATGCACTGGAATGAAAACGAACAGCTCGTCCCGCTGTCGAAACGTTCTTAGTGATCCCGTAGACAATGCTGCTCTTGGCCGCATCAAGTGCTGTTTCATCGAATGCGATCTGTGCGGAGTATCAATAAATGCCGAGAGGAAGCAGGAGGCACGTACAGTGCCGTCGACAAGGCCGCGAACTACTTTGGCAGCCTCATGGAAACCTTGTATCGGGTTGGAGCTCTAAAGCCAATCCAGCGTGAGTGAAGAACACGGCTGACGGATTCATGACATTTACCCGATAGAGCGAGAAGCTCAGGAGACCCGCTTCGTGATCATTGGAAACATAAGCTCCATACGCTAAACCAGAGCCTCGAATGTACCGCTATATCGCGCTTGAGCGATTTACGTGATTTGACGCATATAAAAGACTGACCCAGAGGTAGCTCTCGGTCGCATTCAGGACTTCCAAAGCGATGCGCAGCGCCGGGTAGCGCACATCCGTGAAACCGCGCATTCCGATCGAGGTGTGGCATACATAAGAGCTTTCGATGGTTGGCAGACTGAGAACTTCGGCCTAACGTCAACAATGAGTATGCTGATGGTAACAAGTAATCTTTATACGGACCTTCCTCGATGGGTTCTTACCCAGTGAGCTAAGCGTATCGGAGGCAGTGGGCACAGCATCCAATGAACTCTCCTAGTTGAAATGAGACGATCACGCAAGCAATAGTTGGACGAAGATGGCGCACCGGTAAGCGATCAGCGAAGTACTTCTGCCAGGAGCTCCGAGGGTTATCAATACCCAGAACATTGCCCGTGACCGAGAAACGAACTCCTGCGGGTGCCGTCACTGTCCCGTCATGCAGTTAGCATAGTGGTCGCTGAGGTAATCTGCCCAAGGGAGGCGCACCGTACGATCTGATTTGCTCAAAGGCTTCAAGTACCTTATTCGTGTGGGATTCTAGTTGCTCGCTGAGAGTGGGGATAAACTCCATCTGCGTCAGAACTCCGCCGGCACGAGATGTCGAGTTCTCGTCATAGAGCATGGCTGCCGACACAGATCCTAATACTGTATTGCCGTCACGCTTCAGTTCGGGGAGTGACTGGCGGATCTTGGCGACAGCAACTTGAAGTCTGGAACGTACAATATTAAATATTATTGTGTGATACATGACAACGACGGGCCACACCTTTCTTTCGTGAACTCGCTGCCATAAAGGAGATCCTTGAGCCATGCAACAGCAGCATCATACATGCCCACTTCGACCTTCAGACTGATCCGAAGGAGCTCCGTAAATTGATTTGACATCCCCAGGCTAACTTCGTACGATACGGTTTCATCATCGAGTTGGTTGATTACCTGCTCATGGGTTAGGTATTCGCCCGACGCACGTCTGACCGGTAAGGAGAAGAACGAGGACAAATATGTAGAGACGTATCTGACAAAAACTGAGACGTACATATCATACCGAAACTGAGGGCAACTCACAATCTCAGATGGTTGGGTAGCTTCTCGAGGGAGAATAGAGCATGTACGGTGACGAAGTCCGACTGCGAGATAGCTTCAGCCGATGTTACCGGATCGAAAAGTTCTATTCACCTTCACATGATCATATTGAACAAAGAATGGGAGTGGAGATCCGTGTGCATGTACGTGCTTCGTTAGCTCTTCGTTGGGGACAGGCGTCCGGCGCGTCTCCCGTCCTTTCCCTGCTTCCTGAAGGCTCTGCACCGGTATCCACGAGATACTCTTGACGTTCGGGACAGGGAAGGACGTCAGAATGTCGCTCGGGATTGGGCGATCATGTTCTGATTTAGCTGCCTCCAGCTTTGCCGCCGCTGCTGCGAGGCCAGCTTCTCCCAGCTCCTTAACCTGTTCCGCAACGCGAATCTTTTCATCCTTCTCAAGCTTATCCGCCAACTTGGCTGAAGGCTTGCCACGGACGACGACGCAATGAGGGTCTATGTAATACCTGCAAAGAGTCAACGTCACGCTATCGTGCCCTTCGAAGCGGGCCGTACTTCTGCAGGATATCCGTCCATTCCTTGGAAGTCCACTGACGAAGGGCTTGGAGTTGAGTGAACTCATCCAAGGAACTTTCGAGCTCAGAGGCATCTTCTGGGCCGTATAAGAAGTCGTTAATGATTGTCATAGAGAAAGTGTCTCCTTTCGATGACTCGAGTCTGCTCCGAAGCTGCACAACCAGGATGAGTCACTCCGGGAAATGGATAGGGGGTCAATCACCTGTCGTTCATCCCGATTGATTACCATAGCCATGCGTGGCATGTCAATTCCTTCATCTACTATGCGCCGCAGGCTCTCTTTGAGTTGCTGGTCGAAGGTGTCGAGGTATTCGGTTGGTACGGACCCTATGTAGATTGGTAGATCGACGAGAGTGGCTCTAACGTCTTCAGAAAAGTATATATACGTGCTGAATCCACCATTAGTGCGAACGTATCGGAAACACGGGAAGTACACACCAGAATGGATTCTCAATCTCGACGTATTCCTTGTTGAGCGGCGCGACAGCGGAAGAAGTCAGGTAAGTCCCCAGGATGTCCAATGCCTATTACGAATGAGTAAGCCCATGAATGCCTCGCGAGACGCCATTGACACACCTTTCGCTCCAGAAATGCGTTCGGTGGTGGACCCATGAACGATATGATGAGCTCGCCCACACTCTCATCCTTCTCCGGAAACTCGATGGTCCTGCTGACTGTCTCCTGGAATGGGGTTCGTGCCGCCGACGCCGTCTCAAGGAATGGTCGTTTCCAATTGTCTGGGCGAAGCCCATGGTCTTGACCATGAGCGACAATGTTGGGTTCAACCTCGTTCTGTATCTTCTTGAGAAGTCCGGCAGTTCCACCAGAGAGCTTCCCCGTCACAATAAGCGACAGATTATGTGGCAGGTAATAGCTGCCGTGATATTGACGAACTGTAGGTTGATTAGTGGGGGTCCAAAGACACATACTACAACAGAAAGCACACTTTGGTCAATAGTAAGTCTCCGCAGTGCTTCCATCAGACCTCCTGTCTCGCTCCTGTAAGCACTCCCAACGGGATTCACCAACTGCTGGTTGCTGAGGAATATGTTAGCAAATCGGCATTGCGGAACGGACATGACATACAGGTGAGACATGAGATCCCCTGCGGTATTCTGTCGCCCTTGCATCTCGGAATAAACCACACCCGAGTCCTCGCCCTTGGGGTTGATGTGATGTACCTATGGTAGACCATACAATAAGCAGATACTATGCTGAAGAGCCGTAAAGTAGCTACCTCCGTGACGAATCCTGCATCTGTCATCGTAGGGTATAGGATATGGTCAACATAGATAGGCAGGAGCTGAAGGAAACCTTGATCTCCCGCAGTGCTGACGGTATATGCCGTGTGATCAGTATCCGTCCATGCATTGGTACCATTGGAGAAGCCCCGATTTGCCAGATGGTCTATGATACCCTTGTAAGGATACTTCTGGGATCCCATGAAAACCAGGTGTTCCAATGTATGGGGGCACCCAGTGTCATCGAAGACTAGAGAATGCAGATCACGCTGAAAACGACTGCAGCGTACATCCGGAATGGTACACTCACTTTCAGTAGCAACAACGAAGTAGCCGTTAACGATAGGCGCTGAAGTAATGTTCAGTCGAGCTACAGGCCTGCTGCATCATGGCGCACCATCATAGTCAATGTGGACTACACTGAGTCCGGTCTTTCTACTTCTCCATTTAGATATTTCCACATCGGTGAAGGTAAGTTTGATTCGTTTGACAAGGTCGAAGTTTCCGTAACTTTGAGGGTTGTTGGCGAAGGCTAGAGGGGCGTCGTTTGGTTGAGCGACCATCTCTTGAGCGACGTGGGTGGCGAAGGATCGTGCCTGCAAAGGTGAGAAACGTGCGCTGCTAAGTGGACGGTGGAATTTCGGCCTCAGGTGCCTGTGTGCCTGCTTTGGAGGCAACAATAATCGTACAGAGCCTCGGCAGCTTCTCGACCAGTTCATGCAAGCCACCAAAGATGTGTGGGCGTCGCGGTGAGGGGCAAAGAGACGGACGCGCACGTGAACCAAATTCGGAACATCCAGTTGGACGCGAACTTCACTACATATATGATATAGCGACTGAATCTTGACCGCTTATTCATATCTGACTTCCTGATCTCGACGCCCGGCTGTTTGCAGAAACAAGCTCAAGATTGCACAACTACGATTTCCTCGCTTCCAAAGGGCTCCGCACTACGGATCCTACTCGACACTCGCTTTTCAAAATCTTGTGATGTCTAAGCGACCGCACGAACTTACGCCTGCCCAATTGGCGGTTGCAGACGAGCGCAAGCGCAAACGAGCGGACCAAAGGAAGGCACGAACTGAGACTCTCTTTGATCCACACCGTGGTCGTATCGTTGAAAGAAATTGGGTCAGTCTACCCCGGGCCAAAGGTGATACCAGCGAAAGACGCCATGTTCGAATCAAAACTTGGAATGTAGGTGATGCTTGTCGTCTTCACCGCGATACTTACGATGCACTTCGTCGTAGTTGCTGGCTCAATGCCTCATTCGTGAGCAATCGCACGTACTCGTGAGCTCCTGAGCGACGTGCTGATCACTGTCAGGTCGCGAGTTGTTCCCGACGAGTGATTGTCTGAAAGCAGCTCAACGGGAACACATGACATATAATGAACTTGTGTACGGGGACCCCGATATACTTTGCCTGCAGGTAGTTACGCTGACCATTTTCATTGTTCCGCAACTGAATCAAGCGGAGGATAGGAAGTCGACCGCCTGGAGAAGATACTCCCCGTTTTGGAGAAGGCGGGCTATGCACACCACTATGCAGCCGGGCCTGGAAAGAAACACGGCTGCTTGATCGCCTTCAAGTCCGACATGTATTCCCTGCGTGATCATAAACTGCTACTGTTGGACGAGCAGGACGTTCGAGAACAAAATTCCGAATCAGCCAGAAAGGGCCGTTCGTTCACGACGAAGAACATCGCGAATCTTGTGGGTCTGACCCGTACCGGAAGAGGTGATCGGCAAGGCCTTATCATCGCTACTACTCATTTGTTTTGGCACCCATCGTACGTTCCGCTGAGTTGACATCATCTCCCTTGCTCACTCCATGTCAAAAATCCAGCTACACATACGAACGGGCGAGGTGCGTTTACACATCCATGAGCAGGAATACCTCTCACTGGCGGCCTTCTTTCCGGCCCTCAGGCAGGTAGTTGTGCTGAAACGTGAGGTCTTGGCGTTCCGTGCCGCGCTCAAAGCGGACTCGTGGCCTTGCATACTCAGCGGAGGTGATTTGCAGATGACAACCGTGGCTTTGCATTGGGTTCATCGCTTTCACACTGCAGACTTTAATTTCTCGCCGGACGACCCCGCATATTCTCTGCTTGTAGGCGATGCAGTTCTCCCGGCTCAGGAGGCTCGGCTTGAAGCTTCTCGTGTTGTGCACGTCTCCGTTGACCCATCCGTACCAATTACATCATCCCAGGCAATCCCAGAAGATGACGAAGGCGCGGCTACAGCGGTGTCGCCCAAGGATGTTAACGAAAACGAAAACGACGATGGAAGGCAGGAGAAAGACCCCGACAAGATAATCGTGAATGCCCGAGTGGCAGTATCCGGCGATGGGTTATTGTCGACCCCTGAGCTCGCGAAGTTCGCAGGTGGTGCTCCGGTTAGGAGCGCGTACGATGAAGCTCAACGCCAGCAAGCGACTATCAACCCTTCATTCATCGTTACCTGTGGTTCGAGGTATGGGCTTGAAGGTAGGAAGGGCTTTTACGAACCGCAATGGACATCCTACACCCATTACTGGAAGACAGTTCTTGGTATGGCGCGATGCAGGATTGGGCGAGTGTGCGCTGAACGACAGTCTAGATTACATTATGGTCATAGATGGTGAACAGTCTTGCACGGTTACTGGCTATCTCCAGTCTCCTAGCACTGACAGCCTCGAGCCGGGACTACCCAAGCTGGGTGTATGCGCAAGTGATCACATATCTTTGATGGCAGAGCTGTCATGGCCTGATGCATAGGGCAGCAGCTAGCGCTGATATCATAGAGTATATCAGGTAGATTGAAAATCGTTAGATTGTCTACTGTTCGTCTCGACAATCAGGAGTACATGAGTGCGGCGGCGTAGGAGAGAGCGGTTAGTAGTCGGCATATCTTCTACTACCCAATAAACGAATGCTAAAGTACCAAGTGAATATTGTGCATGCAAAGGAAAAAAAACCAAGCTTTTGTCCCATTTACAGCCGTCATTGATGAGCCCTATCTGAACCCGCGAGGAGACTGTCGAACAATCCCCCTGCACTGCTTTCGTTCCGCAGTTGTAACATGTAGACGATGCCCGTTCGCTGCCCGTTATCGCTCAGCTCCACCGCGACGCCCGTCTTGCCAACCCTTTCAACCCCATCTGTGAGTACAATAGTGGAAATAAGTGTCGAGCGTTTCTTGTCCTCCGCCTCGACGACGAGTTGCTTCACATTCGTGGGACTTTCATGGTAAAGCTTTAGCTTGGCTGAGCCTAGGGACTTCCATTGGGCGTGCTGCTGCTGTAAGAAGACCTTGCACTTCATCTGCGCGGTGATGGCGGATGTCGTAGGACCCTGCGCAGCTTGCAGGACCGGGGATGCAGGCGGGCTGAGTTCGTCCTCGTATGAACTAGAAGCTCCGCCGCTACCGGCCATCGATGCCGCTCGAGCGTTGTTGGCGGAAGGAAGGAGGGGGCGCGATGGCGGAGGCAAAGACCCAACGGATTCAGCGAGGCTAGGATTTGTCGGGAAACTGGCTGGAGGGATGACTGGTATGGGCGGGCGAGGAGCGTTGAGAGCGTTTCGCTCGAACTGGGAGGCCAACGCGCTCGAAGAACTCGATTTCCGAAGCAAATTTTGTCCGTTGGAGCTTCCAGGACCAGGGTACGATACGCCATTCGGCCCGGGTCCGGGACCAGGACCGTACGGTGGACCCGATCTAGCACCGGGTCCGGGGATCATCATATTGGGCCCAGGACGAGGTGGAGGCACTCCCATCTGCTGCGAGGAAGGTCCGGCCGGTATGGGCCCCGGCGGGCCTCCCGGAATGAAGGGCAGCGCGGCGCCCGGTGGGGGTCTTCCAGGGCCATACGGTCCTGCTCCTGCGCTTGTACTGCGTGGAGGTGGGATGAAAGAGCCGGGTCCTATAGGACCTTGACCAGGAACTGGAATGGGGCCATTAGGTCCCATCGACCCCGGTCCACCAGGTATGATCTGCCCAGGACCAAAACCCTTCGGTGGCGGGGGAGGACCTCCCATTTGTGCCGATGGGCTTGGCCGTCCACCACCCAGTGACTCCGCCCTTTCCATGCCAGGAACACCCCCGCCGAAAGCCTCGCTAGAGTTCCGTGGCAAACTTGGCCGCTCATTCGTGTCGCCTATAGGAGCTCCTGATGGCGGGGCGTTTAGAGGGCTCATACCGGGAGCTCGGCCTTCAGGGGACATGGGACTTCGCTGGGGACCGCTCATGCCTAACATTGGGGGAGGACCAGGGCGCATGGCGAGTGGTTGCATAATTTCCGCTCCTCTCGAGGTGGATCGCTGAGGCGGACTCCATCTCCTTTCCTCTGTATACATTGAACCCGAAGTGGGCGAAGCGATTCTGCTTGAGGGGGACGCCATTCTGCCTACACTTGAACCAGGGGGAGAAAAGCTACGTTCAGATGACCGCTCGGAGGGTTCGGCTGACACAGGGCCACTAGAAGGTGTCGCGACATATGTGGAAGGCCTGGGAATCGTGCTGAGAGGCGGCATAGGAGGCGGCGGCGGCTTTGCCATGTTGGCTGCGAAGCTGATGCAATCATCGAACTCTTTGAGAAGTAGATCCCGAGTTCGGCGCGAGTCGGCGTGAATCGTGAGCGTCTCTTTCTTCATGATGGTCACAGCGAGTGCCGCATCTGCAATTCAATATAATGTGTCGGTCCCAAGCCATACGCAGGCAAATTGTGAAATCACCTGAATCGGCCACTTTGCTTGTGCGAAGATGCTTTCCGGCTAATGGCGGATAGAGTAAAAACATATCGGCGCCATCGGGATTAACAGACGTCCTCTCGCAGACAAGGAAGAGGTCGGTGAGAATGAAGATATGTCCATGTTGGTGGACGACTGGTATCCCGGTAGAGCGAGGTGTGAGCTCAATCGCAACGTCGGCAGAAACAAGGATCTCCCGGCTGAAGGTCAGAGAGGGAGGAGCTATTTGCAGGCGAACTTGCTAATGCAGAAACAGCATCAGTTTTGATGATATTGCTAGTCAATAAAAACATCGGACAAAATACCTTGGGTTTCATGGTGAAGATATCCAAGCAACGTTCTGTCGATAGACGGCGTTCCAGGTCGGTGATGGGCATGTTCATGGTCGAAGAGGACATTCTATCGTATGATTGCGCTGTCTCTCCCGAGGATCTCGCACTGGGAACGACATGAGCATATTCCGCCTTATATAAGCGTATGCTTACACGTTGAATTGTCCCTGCTTTGATGAGACACTCGTCGAATCCCTTGCCCTCATATCGATTACAACCTCGTCCTCTGTGTCTCCCAGATTATGGTTCATAGCGGGTTGCTGCACCGCAGCAACATCCAACTCCATCCTCTGATCCAGCAGTGCTAGCAGTTCATCTAGCTTCTCCACCGCTCCCTGAAGTAGCTTGTGATCACTCCGTCCAGGCATGGTACTTTTCAGCAGCCTGCCGTAAAGCTTGCGGTAATACTTTATCCGTCCGCGCGGAAGGAGGAAGAGCGCGTCGAGCGTCCAAAGGGGCGGCTCGGAAGGATGGTAATGAGGAGGTGAATCAGGTGGAAGAGGAGGCGGATTGGAGGCGGAAAAGGCAGCGAGCACGGAGGGAAGGCGGGTAGCGGGTGCAAGGGAGGACCAGCGGTCGAATCCGGTGCGGAATTTAGAGCAGTAGTTGGTGTAGGGTCCCTCGAGGTCTTCGATCTATGCCAGTGTTTGAGACTATTAGATTACCGGGTATGAAAAATCGAACATACCCATCGCATGAGTAGATCACCTAGTGCTTTCGGCGAGGATGGGTTGGGCCCGATGTCGTTAAGTTTCTGGGGAGCTGTCAACAGAGAGTAGGCTGGCACACTCGTTTACACTGACCGCGAGCAATCCGCGATTCGCCTTGAATATGCCCTCAACGCCGCGAAACATGGCATCTAGCTCCGGCGGTGGTAGATTGGATTTGGACCATGCTGACGCGACTTTCTATTCGATACTTAGTGGTCAACCGGATGATACGCGGCAGGGACAGACGGAGCGCGCACCCGTATGATTCCGGTGAGCTGGTCGACGTAGACCCTCTCCGTTTCTATGAGATCGACGAGCGGATTCGCCTTCTTGCTTTTGGTCGGGCCATCGACAGGCGAGAGCGGGGTGTTCGGCGTGGAGGGGAGGCTGCCGCGGCCTTTTGGGACGACGGGTCAGTAAATTGAGAAGTGGCTCGATGCAGATGGATGATATTCACCGTCGTCGGGAGGCCTGAGCCCTATTGCGATCGGCGCAAGCGAGGTTGGGGTGTGGTGGCCGACGGGCCCGTCGGTGTGCTTTGGTGGCAGCGGCGGGAGCTGTTCGTCATAGGCAGCCATCGTCTGCAGCAGACTCGCAGCAAAGCAGTCTGGCCTGTGCAGGCGCCGTCGTCGTGTAAGAAGAGCTGTCCCGGCTTCCGACGAGACTCGACGCGGTCGTGACGGTCAATAGCGTTGCACGTCATCCAGCGCCTCGCCCTGCCTCACCCGTTACTCGTGTTACAGAAATTGTAGTCGCTGTCAGCACATTGCATGTCTTTCCTTCGTGCATCTTGCTCGCATATGAGCTCGACATGTGGTGCTCTCTCGACTTCGCGCATATCACACATTGCACATACGGCGATGCCAACTCAGCCAAGGTGCGTTCGCGGCCTCAACGCGGTGCGTGTTGGGACATGATCAGACCGTGTCTCCGCTTCAGTCCGACCGGTTCGCGTCCCAGTTACGTACTGACGTTTCATCGCGTTGCATGGCAAAAGTTGAACTGAGTCCATGCGTAAACCGCTTTATGATTAACTACCGAGTGGATTGCAATCTAAGGACATCACGTGCCGCTACATCTGCGTCATTGCCCGACCGGGTCTGAGCGCTACCCCCCACCGGTCCGTAAGTTCGTTCCATGGATGCCCGCCGACCACCTCCCATTACCCGCCGAGATAATGACCCCGTACGCGCGACTCGACTCATTGTCTGGGCAGACTACTTCCTCAAATCAGAGGACCGCGTGGAGCGCTACCTCCGACCTGAGCTCGAAGCCGGAAACGTGTCTTTACGCGACTTTGAGCATGCAAAAGGTTTCCTCACCAGCAATCATCGGAGCTACCCCGTCGGTCACCTTACCATCATACACATTCTGTAATCTCATTGCTACCTCTGCTCAGTTTTTCGGCGGCTTCCTAGCCGCTCTCGGAGTGTCGACGTACGGCAGATATCGCGCTAAATGGTCCTTTGGGCGAATGGCCGGTGCTGCTATAGTAAGCAAGAAAAAGAGGTTCTCCGCTCTGTCGACTCTTCACAAGCATGCCTTTAGGGTGCAGGCTTCTTCGGTTCCGTTCTAGGGCGATCTCTACACGCGAAAGCTTTGTTTGATTTCTCTCGCTCGTTAGAAGATCCGGAAGGATTCACTCGAGCACTCGAGAACGCATACAAAGTACAGACGGAGCATACCCGGATTATGTCTACCAGAGCGAACGTGGATACCGGCGAGGACTGCGACCTGAATCCCCAGGATGGTCCTTCAAGCGACTTCGAACGTCGCCGCCTGGAAAATCCTTCTCTCCCGAATGATCAGAATCGGACCGCGGCTGGTTCGGGGGGCGATACGGGTGGGCTCCTACCTCGGTATCAGGTGCTGCGGGCCGTTCTAATGTACAAACACTGCGCAGGTCGCCCTACAATGACCTCGCGTTGGGAGCAAATACGCGCGGCGAACGCACGAAATGCCGCGCAAGGGTCTACTTGGGAAGCCATCCGTCAGACGTCCGGAAAGGCTGCAATTACAGCTCGATCGGCACCTTCAGATCCCGGCAACGGGCCGACAAGTGCAAACGTTGGAAGTGGAGATGATGGGGTGAACATCGATCAGCCCATATCTCAAGCCGACTTTGAGGCGATGCTAGAGGCAGAGCGCATCATCGCGAAGGCTGAAAATGACGACCCCACTCCTACCTGGAAGTGATCCATCCCTTTCCGCGCCAGTCCGAGTTGCGTGCTATAATGTATTTTAGGTCATGTCCTACGACTGGTGCACCCGAACACAGGAGATCGTTGGAGCCGTGCATCTATCTTGTACCGCAACAACGTGCAGTGAGCGCATTAGTACGTATCAGCATGAGCGTAGTACTCTACGTGCTGGATCACCCGAAGCCCCGACTGGTTTGGTGTTAGTCTCACAGATGCTTGGACTACGCGTTCATATGACTTTCACGTCACAAACAAGTACGTACTTCGCGTTGCCCAGTGCCGAATGATGACTATATACACTACTATGACACATGATCAGAAAGTCCAGGAGGAATGATCGCATATGATTCAGAGATCAACAAGAACAGAGACCACAGGAGTCCGATATTCTAACCATGCCCGAAATGCCCGGCTTGGGACAACACCTCGTTCGTCCCCATCATACAGTCTCGACGCCCCAGCTCGATAGCGTCGGATCCGGACTCATGGTGGACATGGGTGTTGACGAGATGGATGAAACAATTCTCGCTGTTGCGGGTGGCGAACCTTGATTAGACATGACTTCGTAAGGCGGGCTAACGGGCAACGGCGCGATATGGTGATCGTCTCGACCGGCAGCGGCAGCGGTCTCCTGGGCATCGGCGAATACTCGCGCGTGCGAGAACGGATACAGCGGAATCCCGACCTGCAGAGGCTCCTTCTGCGTCGTCATGCGAACGATTTCTGACATGAGTCCCTGGAGAAGCTTCTCTTGACGTGCTGCGGCAAGGAAGGAAACGAATGTCAGCGCGAGCACGACTCAGTGTGGAATGCAGAGCTTGACTTACTCCCGATCGGCGAGCGACTGCCGTATTCCATCATTGCAAACCTGGGCCATGTTTAGGATGCGGCATCGAGAGACAGCGACCAATAGCTCACCTGAGTACATTGATCTCTCCCCACACGGAAGATTCTCGCTCCGTATCGCCAAGCTCGATGAAATACTTGCATAATTGTACTTGCACAACGGCTGCCAGGTACCAACATATCTACGCGGATATGATGTGAGGATATTAGATACCCGGATATCTGACCAAACCCACCGTAACGAACGGGTGTAACCGTGTGATGTCCAGCGACGTCGCGGAGAGAATATAGTACGCGGATAGGATTTCTCTTGCCGCCTGGATGCAGCGCGCGGTAGAGGCGGATTGCTGGTTGGAGAAGTCCAGGTACGGATTATGCAAGGTAATGGTAGCACTGCCAGAAACGTCATGAGCGGCTGGCCAACAGCAAGAACTGAGGATACAGACGCGTGCGGGATTATGTGGACCATATAAAGATCGGTGTCGACGCCCGTTGTCACATCGCCAACACCGTAGTTCTGTTTATACCCTTGAGGGATGTTTTCCAGAAAGTCCGTACAGACTAGTTTGTCTAAATCCTCGAAACCCGGAAGATGAAACGGGTCTTGGTTCTTCGACGGTGGCGATGTGGACCGTAGGTTGCTCCGCACGTTGTAATCTGTCACCTTGCCGAACAGCATCACGGACTTCAGGAGGAGCAAGAAGGAATCCGTGTACTGAGGAGGATGCCAGACGAAAACGTCTTTCGAGGCAAGATCTTGTGGGTTGCTCGGGACATGTGCCTGACAAGAATTGAGGGATGCCAACCTCATAATCAACGGCAGGCGTTTACCTCGATGGTGAGGAAGTCTTCGTTGCGCAGCGGCAGCTCGGTGCCGATGTCCCTTTCGTCCACGCTATGGAGCCAACCGCCCTGAAGGGTAAGAGGATGGATATGTATACGAGCACACAAATGTCCGAGATAGACACGTACCACCGCAACTATGCGATCAAAGATCATCGTCATCCACCATGCCCTGCGACGGCATTCCAAATCCAGCATATCCCTCGGAGGTGCCAAGTAAGCCCCTGGGGAAGCATTCCCCTGCGTGGTGAACGTGCCAGGATAGTTTAGCCTCAGCGGTATGGCCACCCTGGTCTGGAACCCAGCAAATATCCAGACTTCAACCCATCGCCCCTCCTGATAAAAGTACCAGGAAAGGATGATACAGGCTTGCATAACATCGAAAATGTCCTGACCGCTGGCCATGGTGCGATCGATATATTGCCGAGTCTTGCTCGCGTGAAACTCTGCGAATGGATCCCGTCGAGTACCGTCAGCAAGGGTCACGATGTCATGAGACGCCCATCGCGATGCGGATGCGCACTGTGATGTCAATATTGGTCAACCTGCGTTCTGGGATAAAGCCTGCGAACGTACGATAGCATGCAGTAGAGCTGAGTGGGGAAACCCCTGATCCTTTGGGTGGAGACGCAAGGAAGCCATAAATGACGGCTTATGTAGTATGCGCGATCCGCACGGGTCACATTTGAAGAATATGTCCACGAGATGCATCAGAACGTTCGGGTCAGGCAGATCAGGATTCCACCCCGAGAAAAGCAAATTCATGAATGGTTGGGGACTGTCGGCCTCGGACCGTGATTCGGGACGACCGGTGTCCATAATATCCGTCGGCATGCGATGAGTAGCCATGTCTAGGGAGGCACGGGGTAGCGCTATACCGTGAAGAGTTGGGCTATTGTCGTTGTCTAGTCGGCTCGAGCCTGAGAGAGACGGAGATGCACGCCCATTGAGGAGCCTGTTCCCTGGTGACAGCGATCGGGCTGAGTGTTCAGGAGATTCAAGCAGTTTGGACTTGAGGTGGTCTGTCCGGAGTTCCACTCAGGTTCGAATGGAAAGCATGGTGACAACGCACCAATCTGAGCTTCCAATAACCTGATTTTCTCTATCGGGTCGGTGTCTGGAGCGAGTGGAAGGCCCTCGACAGGGTCGTACGAACATGGAGGTTCTGTGGGATGTCTGCCGTGTGTGCTCTGGATCAACGAATGTCTCACTTTGCATCGAGTTGTCACGCACGTATACCCCACTGGTGCTGGAACGCTGACGAGTGCCTGCCATTGTCTGAATATTACGTTGAGCAGAGGTTCCAATCCTTAGATATCATGCCTGATCAATTGGACATACTTGACGCAAGTTCCACAATGTGGCCGCGCAGCATCGCATTTCTGTTGAAGCAGGCATGTGTTACATTCACGGTATTTCTTGATGTCTTGAATGGACTCACCAGTTTCCTCTTCCGACACTGTCTGCAGGCCTGATCGGTATCTTGCGTATGAGCAAGGATGTGCCAAGCAGCGCCGTCCGAAACGCCGCACCTGGTTTCTCCTGAGCGCAGGTCGCCCTGTTGCGGAGGACGGGGCCGCCTTGGGCATCTCGGTGGGCGTTGATGAGACAGGAGCCACTTCCAAACTTGTAAGATACGTAGGTCCTGCCGAGCGCTTGAGACAGAACAGACCGTCGTCGCAGAGTTATACGTGCTAGATTGATGCGTCCTGGTCGGCGTTGTCAACACAAGGTTTTGTCGTTGCCAGTATTCGGTCGGGCGCTACTTCGTGCAGGTAGCGTCCGCGGGTATGCAAGAGCATTTTCTCATCGGGGTCACTTATATCTCCCTCTGCGTTGAGGAAGTCTCAAGATCTTCCGATGCAGATCTCGTCACGATGATACATTCCATGGAACACGCCGGCTGACGGCATCGCCCTGAGACCGCACTCTGCTGTCGCTCGGCCGGGTACATGCTGTCAACTTTCATCGCCCTGCCAGGTTTGTCAACTGGGACTGCATCTCCTAGTAAGTATCGCTATTGTTTCCTTGGTGTACGCACGCAGCCTCATTGCCACTGCTGCGGTCGAGACTGGTCCCGTGAACGTCGGTCGGAAATAGGTCAGCTATATTTGTATGATGGGCCACTCGTTGTGTAGTTATTATGTAGTTGGAACATACACTCGACTCTGCACGAAGACAACGCATACGAACAAAGTCCCGTCACTGCGCTCCTAGGAACGGTATATAACCATCAACAGAAGTGACCTTGAACCTTGAGCATACGGCAGGTGCATCGCATGGTCTACGCGTCGGACCAACCTAGGATCTGCGATAGACGATACGCTGAGTTACGAGAGGATAGAAGCAGTTCTCAACGTCTCACAGAATTGTTGCAACTATACGGCGGCTATGAGGATGGTGTCTGAACTCCGTCAGATAAATACCTGTATACGCATCAGCCTGGCCGCCCTAACCGATCTCTTATGAGAGGAACACAAACCTTGCCAGGTTCCTAGATTCAATCTTCCATCCGTTATCGGGATCGTGATAGTGGGTCCGATCAAGGAGGTCTTCGTGTGGGATACACTGCCGCGATGAAGAGGACGTGTTAGTGCACAGGCAAACATACGAAGCATTACCTGCGAGGGCTGAAACGATGAGCTTACGAGTCGCTATATCATTGCTGCCGTTAGACACAGTTGTATATATGCCGTACAAAGGCTCACTCAGGGCCTTCATCAGTGTGTATCCAATTTAAGCTCTCCGGGACAATACGATCAAGGGCCATAGTCATGTCTGGAGGGTTCGTGAGCCACCGTCCTGCTGATGGTACGAGTACAGGTATAGTTACCTTTACGAACGTCTGTAGCGCTGGCATTTTCATCGTGAGCGGCATAAATCACCTTGGTAAGACATACCAGGATCGAAGTTCTCATTTATAGTCAGAGCGGCCGATGTATGTTGACTATCGCCAGAGAGAGCATGAGTGTACGAGTTGCGTTCATCTGAGGGTTACTGACATGAAAAGATACAGCATTCCGATCTGTCGGCGCGCATGATAATCAGCAAGCGTACCCCTCGCTCAATGTTGACCATAAATCGCCTTTACGTCTCGCAAGCCGGGACCGATATGACCCAGTACCTCCTCTGTGATGAGATGACATCCTTTGCCCCGTCGAGACAGCGTGAAGGTCTTCTGCCAACCCATGGAAGCCGAATGACGCTTAGGTATGTATGATGTTCCCGGAAAAGAGTCCTTGCAACTCTGTGGGATCGACCCGGTGCACAACAAGGTCCTGGTCAGATGATCTCGCCCCGATACTACTGATTACTTATGACCAAAAAAACCTCGTAATACCTTCGTTACCCGAGCTTGCCTCAGGAAATATACACGGTTATCTCGCATCATCATCTTTTCTTTTATATAGAGATGACAAAGAAAATCAGGAATGGATGGCAACCTAAAGTACATTGACTAACATCTTTCTAATGTGTACATAGGTGAAATCTACTTGCATCACTGAAGTTGCGATGGCAAAGCAAGCGAATATCAATGCGCGGGGCACCCGCCATTCTTCCAGTAGCAAAAGCAGTGCATAATTCGGCAAGGAACAACACAGATGCCACGCGGATACGCCCATGCAACTCGGGAGTAGACTGATGAAATCATTCCTCTCCGCCATATCTCCTCGACCTGTCGAGCCCGCCTCGGTTGCCTGGGACATTGCGGTTCCGACATGTATTCGCGTAATGCCCCTTCTCTCCACACTAGACGTATTGTTGTCATCCAAGGTTATTCACTGCGAAAGCTTCGCTACTCACCTTGAAGCACATGACATCGTCCAGGTTCCGGCGAGGGGGGCCAACCATCGGGTTTCCGGTCAACGATGGCCCACCACGGTCAAAATCCGCATATCGACCGTATCCTGGAGGTGGAGGACCGAGATCCCGGTTGGCAGGAGGTGGTGGAGGTTCATATGCTGATGGTGGCGGTAGCTGCGGTTTCGGGCTAGGATGACAACTTTGTGTCGGCACAGACTGCCCATTGAGTATAGAGAAGAACGTACTGGCCACGCGGACAGTCAGGTCCCATCGGGCAGAAGCCCGAGAGGTATAATTGACAAGCAACTCTCCGGATGTGCTTGCGGGGGCATGTCGGGCCTTCGGACAACGTGGCTTAGAGGACGCCTAGCAACGAGGGCAACCGTTGCTCACCTAGCTTACAGAATCCTCTTCTGTAGTCCGGGCACTCGATTTTGCGCTCCTTCGGGTGTGCGTATAGACATTCGTCGCCAGCCGAGCAGTAACCATATTTGGCATACCACCAACACTCGGGCATTCGCCGGAGGTTGTACTCGTGCAAAAATTCACAAGCGTCACCTTTCTTACAAAGCCCGCGCAACCAGTGTTTGCATACGGTAGCAAGACGCTCGCGATCTCGAGGATGTGTCGGCAGCTGTTTCGGTGGTTGAAAATTGGCAGGAGAAGGAGTAGTATGGCGTAAGGGACAGTGCAAAGGTCCCAGCGGGCAGCCAGCTGGCGTAAGAGCCAGCCGACATATCTGGTCGTCTACCGGGAGTTCTCAACAGGTTGCAAATAGTAAGGCAGCGACGCACCTTTGTCCAGCTTTATCCCGAGCTCATTCTTGATCAACACTTCCTCTCGGAAATTGTTCTGGTGAAACTGTGGACGGACGATATCCCTCAATACCGACGGCCCAGCAGCGAGAGTCACGCTCATGTTTGATTCTTTACTGTCGCGTTATGATGTCTTCCTGTATTGGCGTAAGAGGGACAGGGCTACCACCGCTGGCCCGAAGCTGATGATCCTATTGGCGGCGTCCACGGAGGTGAAACGGTGAACGTTGAACGCTTCGAGCGTGGCACAGCGGGAAATCCTAGGAATCTGGGGAAAGCATATAACAAAACTATTGTATAATAACTATGGTTGTTAGTGACATATTTTCAGCTAAGCTAGCTTGAAGTTATGACAGATTTATCTCAAGGATGCAGACGTATGTCAGAAACATGACTACTTTCCTGGTCGCTTTGCAGTAAGTTTGACATCAGTTGGCTCAATTTAGCTCACTGCTTTTCTGAATCATCTTGCCAATTATTTCTGATATATTTTGCCCAGATTCAGCCTGTTTCCCGCAGTGTGGACTGAAGTAAGTCGGTCAACGTTGACATTATGTAACCAGTCTTTGGTCAGCATCGACACGTGCTAGTTGTCGATCGACCCAATTTCCGTTGTACGTTGTAGGTTCCCTACATACTCTGTAGTATAGTATACATGACTGTCGGTGCTTTGCTTTCACCAGACCCCTAGCAGCTTCACGTTTGCGCCTAGTGACCGAGCGGCGTTCGCGTTGCGCTCCAAAAAGTCTTGCCAAGGGGAGGAGTCATAGTGGGCGTCTGCTGCGCTCCTTTCCACTCCCTTAACATCGGTAGGTACCGGACGGCATTCCTCGAGCTCTATAAAGTAAACACCTTCAAAGAGCCGCCCGCCCAACGCAGCGCGACGGTCAATGCTAATAAGGCACGTATTGTGGGCGATGATCTGAAGAATTCCGAGAAACGCCGCTGAACTTCCGCCCGAACCGGAGGGTACCAATCTAATCAAGGCATGCCAAGAATCTTTGGTTCTGGAAAATGAGGATGCAACGGTGGGGTAAGGTAGCGTCGTGTTGAGTCCGTAAGAAAGAATAAAAAAACGTGTGTAGTTCTCTAAATCGATGAACGTAAGGCCGTGCTCGGATGTGAATGGCTGTAAAGTATACCCTTTTCGTTTTGGATACCTTGAAATAGTACTTCTAAACCGTCGAAGATGCTCGTACAGATCTTTGAGCAAATCACGGCAGTCGTACCCCTCTCAGGATCGTCGCTGGCCCTATTCGCCAGTAATCGGGCGGCTAATCCTGTGGATGCTTCTTTCGTCAACTCAGCCTCGGGTAGCCTCTCCGATAAGAAGCGGGAGCATTGACCAAGCGCCTGCACAGTATGAACGCGTTGCGATCGTCGTCATGATGTCGTAGTTACCTGCTCATGGCTGATCACACGTGTGATATCTTCGATTTTGACGCCGGCGCGAACAACCAGGCAATGTTCCACGGCGAGCTGTACTTGACCGCGCACATGGACAGTCTCGCCAACGGCTGGCAGGCGTAGGAGGTCGAAGGTCTCGGCCACCGCACCGAAGATGGAGTTTTCTCGAGGCAGTAGTGCGAAGGGGATTTCGGGGGACACGGAGCGAAAGACGTCTGGGAAAAGAAGTACGTGAGATATCAGGCAGAGGGAACAAATAGATTTGAAGACGTGCCGGCGATGGACTTGGCGAGATGGTATGTTACTCCGTCAGAGAAGGTGTCATGGGCGACCTGTGGAGCATTAGAGACGAAGATCTTATGTGCATCAGCCGGGGCTACGAACCTGGTGAGAATACGTACCCAGAGGGCCGAGGATGGCGAGTCGTGGGGTCGGAGTTGGCATCTTGATCGAGCAGCCAATGCTGTGCAACCAGACGCGCGAGGATTACGTCCATCACGTGCTCCGTCGCGTCGCGCGTCGTGCCTCATGTTTTTGAAGCTCCGCCTGAATGTTAATGGCGGTGTGCCCGGTGTCATCTTGCCCCGACCCTGTCTCTCCCATTGACCCCCGCCAGCTTGCTTACCCCGCCGTCTTGATTTTCTCTCGTCTCCCCCTCGCGTCTCTCTCCCGCACGCCGGCTGCGTACAGGAATCAGCACGTTGTCGTTGATCGCACTCACGCGGCGGCACATCGCAGACACCATCCCCAGCGGCCATGGCCGATAACCACACCGCGATCACCCCAGATTCCTATCAGCTCTCTGCCGCCCCCGCGCCTCTGACGCGTCCGCCGAAACGTTCTCACTCAGCTTCGTGCGAGCTCCCTTTCTTCAAACCTGCCGAGGAATCGTTCAACCCATTGCCATACGCTCCCGCGCATACACACCCCAAGCAAGCCCCACGACCCGCGCCCGTCCGCGCCCCTCTTGCGCCTGGAATGGCCTATGCTCCTCCTCCAATGGATCCCACTCCTGATGACCCCAACGCGTTGTTCATCCATCCGCCATTCACAGATTTCCCAAACGCCCACCTGTACGGCCCGGAGGGCCTTACTTACTCGGTCTTGGCCGCCAATCCGGAATGGTTTCTGGACCCTGACGACTTCAAGTCCGCCACCAACGACAGCGAGGATGCTCTTGCTTATCCAGCTAAACTTGAGCCCCCAAGAGGTTGGTGTCCCGCTAAGAAGAAGGATCTGAAGGAAAGGGGTGTCGACAACTGGCCCGAAGGACAAGAACCTCGCCTCAGGTGCACGTTTTGCCGAAGGACGTATGCAGGCGTGAATGCAAAGAGCATGTGGCGCCGCCACGTTTACGAGAAGCATAAGATCGCGATGTCCAATCGACGGGACGGTCAGGAGCGAGTGCGTGGACGTAACTCCAATAGTAAGACCCCTCTGGTGTCCCGCGCTGTATCTTTGTTGACGGACCATCTCTCCTTCGGAAACAGAGGAGAACAGATTGGTCAGCAGAGACACCCGGAGGCCGCAAAAGTTGGAGGCAGCTATGGCGATGCAGCCTCCGAGGGTTCCTCATGTCATTGGTCACTATCGTGTCCGGAATGCCGAACAAATGCCTCCCCCTGCGGCGCCCTTGATGGTCCCGGGCGAATTCCCCAACATGATGTCGTACGTCGACGGTCAGTGCGTGGAACATGCGCACCCGTTGTCCCAGTCTACGGTGGCATCGAACACACCGCCGTTGACTCCCCAGGAGTTGGAATCTCCGCAGGCCTTCTCCCTCTCTCTTCCATCTCTCTCTGAGGCGCAAGTAACGTCGACGCCCGTGGCAGGTACATCTACTACCCCCCTCCGAGTTACCGTCCCTGCGTCCCCATACAATCCTATGTTGACGCCGGCGTTCCGGCATTCGCCTCCACGATTACCGTCCGATCAACCTTGGCGCTTTCCTAGTCCGTCACATCCCTTGCATCTACAGAGCGCCCGCGATCTTTCTCTCGGGGTGATTCTCGGATGCAAGAGCAGTCCATTCACTCCTGGGCCAATGAGGAGCCCAGCGGTTGTGTCGTCTGTACGAGGAACTCCCATTGCCACCAGCCCTTTGAGCAGGTCGCGATCTCTGACCGGCCAAGTTCGGATGCCCTCGGGCTCTACCCGCGCTAGAGCGACCCCACGTCGACTCTTTAGCACTGGATCCTTGCCTGCTGGACTCAATGCACATGGTCGGACCATCTACAGACCGAACGGCAGTCCTGCGGATGGAAGTGCGGACAGCAGTCTGCTCTCGGACACGACCGACTCCTCTGTCTGGACCTCCGATGGTGGATCGCTGCTCGAGCTGGAACCGCCCATTCGACTGGTCGAAGAAGATCCTTTCGCCGGCAGCGATCATCACTGGCTCCGCTTGGCGGAGACTAGTCCTGCCTTCGACAGGTCGAAGATGATGGCAAAGCGTAGCCCACCGTCATCGTGTTCCGAAATCGAAAGCCCAATTGCTCGGACCACCGCCCTCGTCGCCGAGGAGAGTCCGATTATCAGGAGTGCCCGGACGCAGTTAGGTGTCGGTGCTCTCTCGAAGCGTCCTACGCTTTCACTGCGCTTGTCCGATATCCGCACGTCGTCACGCACGGGACTAGGCATCGCCGGAGTTGATTTCGGAACGGACTCTAGCCTCATGTCGCCGTTTGCACTCAGCAACGACTCGGAGGAGGACGACGCCGACTCAGAGGAGTGCGTCGGTGGCCTGCTCTATCCCGACTCTGATGACGAGGACGCCATGGACACTCGTGCCAGGAAACGTCGCAAGAGCAACTAATTTGCGCCATCCGTTCTCCGATCTGGTTCTCGCTCTACCCCGACTCCACTTTTCAGCTGTCGCTATGTTCTGCTGTCGCGCTATCGTTGTCGTTATCCCTCTTGCGTATTCTCGTCGTCGTATGGGGTACCCGTATTGACCTGACGTTTGCATGCCTTCCACTCCCGGCACCACTACTGATTGGAGTAGGTGTTCGCATATGGTTACCCCCCTTATTGAACTGCAAAGATGGTGACTTTCTAGACGCCATTCATGCGCTCCCCCTTGGTTCTGTCCTCTGTTTCCGTCCCGACGCGGTTGTCTGTAACGAGGCCTAGTGCCTAACTATCTGTACACCATGTATCAGTAAAGTCGCGCAACCTGGGATGCCTGTGAGGCGAGGTGGTGTCCGTGCGCGCAGGAGCGGCAAGGCACGTGCTGTGAATCCATCTCCCGAAGGCATCGAGCGCCATCAACCGAGCCTCCTACCGTGTCTCGCTGCCGCCCAACCACGCCCGTTCTTGCGCGTGCCAACCGACAATCCCCGTCCTCTGTGCTCTTTTCTCTCTCTCCCTTCAGTCCCCGCCGTTCGTCCAAGGTCAGCACCCGTATACCGCCCCATCACCCCCCTCAACTTCTGCCACCTCCAGTCGACGAACGCCCCGCCAGTATGCAAGCCATCAAATGTAAGTCCCACACGACGTGTCGGCGCTGCGAAACGTGTCCCTGATAGCCGCCGTAGGTGTTGTCGTAGGCGATGGTGCCGTCGGAAAGGTGCAGAGCTCGTCTGCACAGTCGAGATAGAGGTGTTGATATGCCGGCCTGACTAGACATGTTTGTTGATCTCTTACACGACCAACGCGTTCCCCGTAAGCAGCATTACATCGACGACTCTGTGCCGTTATTCTGACGCTATCGCCCAGGGAGAGTATATCCCCACGGGTGCGTCGCCGTTCGTAGTCGCGCTTCAAGCCTCTCATGACGGGCAACCGTAGTTTTCGATAATTACTCTGCCAACGTGATGGTTGATGGAAAGACCATCTCTCTCGGATTGTGGGATACTGCCGGCCAGGAGGATTACGATCGTCTCCGTCCTCTATCATACCCGCAGACCGATGTATTCTTGATCTGCTTCTCGCTCGTCAGTCCCCCTAGTTACGAGAACGTCCGAACCAAGGCATGTTGTGATCCCCAGTCTTCTCGTCCAATCTCTCTGATCGCTCTCCTACCGCCAGTGGTACCCGGAGATCTCACATCATGCGCCGTCGACCGCCACCGTCCTGGTGGGCACCAAGTTGGACTTGCGTGAAGATGAGGCGACCATTGCCAAGCTGCGGGAGCGGTAGGCGGCAATCCGGTGTCTCCTCGTATGACGACGGCCTCACCTTCGCTTCACCAGCCGAATGGCCCCCATACAATACTCGCAGGGTGTGGCGATGGCAAAGGACATCGGTGCCGTGAAGTACCTCGAGTGCTCCGCGCTGACGCAGAAGGGTCTGAAAACGGTCTTCGATGAGGCTATCCGCGCTGTCCGTGAGTGTCGATAAGCCGCTGGTCCTAGGAGATGGCATTGACCGCTGCCGTTAGTGAACCCGGCTCCTAAGGAGAGGAAGAAGGACAAGAAGGGCGGATGCGTTGTTGCATGAGAACATCGGTACTGATGTGCTCCATTTAGAGGCAGGAGGGGGTGGTTATCGGAGTGTCTACGCGGCGCGGCAATTGGCCTTTACGCCGTTCTTGATCATGATGTTCTTTACGTTTCCCCATCTGTATACGCCATTTTTTCATGTCTATGGAATCGAGGAGTTGTGTGTTTTATTCGCATCTTGCTGCTACACGCCCAACCAGGCGAACGCTGGAAACCAGGGAATCAGCTGGCCGCCGGATTCCACCGATTTCAACGAAGGATTCCACTGGCACGGCTTCCCACCGGACGCGCGCCGGAACGTCCGGTGGATTCCAGGGCAGCCTGAATCGCCGCCGGATTTGGATAGGTGCTTCCATGAATGGTATATCATTCCCACAGATACATCTCCCAACGTTTTGCTCAGTAGCGCGTGCAGATATCCCTGTCCTGGCTAGCAGGATGACGGCCATCGGTGATACAGATGAGATAGCCATAGATGCAAGTATGTATATACGTCTACTCTAATACAGTGCTGTTGCCTACACTTGTAAACGGCGTGATCATCGTCGACGGTGTGCCCATCGTCCACGGCGAACTGGTCGTTGAATGCACCCCCATCGTCGGCTGCACGCCCGTTGTTGATGGCGAGGAGACCATTGGCGGCGAGGCGTTCGTGCGTTCTGCGCCAACGGATGACGGTGCGACCCCTGTTGAGGGCGCGACCGCTGTCAACGACAACACCATTATCGGCAGCGTGCTCGTCGTCGACGACGTGGCCATTGCGGTCATGCTAATGGCCGGGGGTGGTTGGCGCTATCGCTGCTGGCGCTGGCGGCGACGGCGGCGGCGGCGTCGGCGTGCAGCATGAGGATGGCACACGTCTCGGCAATAGTGGTAGAAATTGAATGTCCCGCGTCTTGGCGGTGGTGGTTGAAGTCGGGCGTCCCGCTGCTGGCACACCTCTCGGGGCACTGCCGACCCGTTTCGTGACCGCGCGGCGCGCTGGCGAGCTATCCCCGGTCGAACGTAGCGACACGCTTGTGCAGCACGAGGGGGGTGCACGTTGCGGCGTTTTGGGGATGGTGATGGCATGGGGCATTGTCCAGCAGATGCCCCGGGGGCGTCTTCGCGCGTGTGCCTCGGGGCATCTTTGAGCGTGTGCCACGCGTCTTCGACAACAGGCCCGGGATGAGCGATCCCCGGTTGAACGGGGTGACGCGCTCGTGCAGATCGAGGAGGGTGCGCGTTGGGCGGGGGATGGAAGCTGCGCCGAGCGCGACCGCGTTGGCGGCTCGCGTGGGCGGCAGTGGCTTCTTGACGACAAAGGTGCGGGTATGCAAGGGAGATTGCGATTGAGAGTAGTGCGAGGAGGCGGATGTGGTGAGCGACGTCAGGCTGGCGCAGCTCGCGCTGGGGCTGGGTCCGAACCCGTACGATGTGCGTACTGCGACGAGATGCATTCGTTAGATGCGTGCCATGCTCTACGAGATAGCGGACTCACGTGAGTCCGCGTCCGAGGTATCGCGGTCGGGGTTGTGAACGTGGTGGTACGCATGAGCGAGAGGCGAGGGCGCAGGGTGGCCGTACGGCGTGCCCACTGCTGTAGGTGGTGGAGACGTCTTGGGAGTCATCGCTGTGACGGGCGTGGGCACATGAGTGGAGGCAGCTGTGGCGACGAGCATGCTGGCGGCGGCGTCCAGACGCAGGTTCAAAGCCGGCGAGGAAGCTTTGGCATGCATCCTTCTGAGCGAGCCAGGTCCTTTCTGCTTCCCGCCGAGGCCGGCGACGGTGTGTCTGAGGGACGCGCCAGGCGGTCTGTCGTTCTCGTTCGGCGGGCGATACGCCATCGCTGGTGGCTGGTACTGAGAGAGAGAGGCGAAAGGGGATTGACGGAAAGCAGTCGGAGTTACGTGACGCTTCGGGCGGTTTGCGAGACTCTGGAGGACTCAGTTTACAGGTTCGCCAACCGCATCTTGACGACATGGGCGAAAGAGGGCACGGCGGGGTTGACACCATATGCTTGACACCGAACGCGGGCTCAGCTGACGGCAAGTGCGGGGCGCTGATTGACGGCGAGTGCGGGGCGTGGATGGCGCTAAGCGCGGGCAACTGACGGCGGGGCAGGGCATGGCTGGCAAAGAGGCTAAGGCGCGTTTCACGGCGACGGCGGGGCGCGACTGACGAAGAGTGTAGGGCACGTTTCACGGCGAGGGCTGGGCACGTTTAACGACGAGGGCGGGTGCAGCTGACGACGGTAGGGTGCGGCTGACGGCGAGGGCGGCTCGCGCTCGGCGTTGGGCGAACGTTTCACGGCGACGGCGGGGCGCGACTGACGAAGAGTGTAGGGCACGTTTGACGACGAGGGCGGGTGCGGCTGACGACGGTAGGGTGCGGCTGACGGCGAGGGCGGCTCGCGCTCGGCGTTGGGCGAAAGAAAGCTGCGCCGAGCGCGACCGCATTGGCAGCTCGCGTTCGGTGCTGGGCGAATGGCGGGCGCGGGGGTGGAAGCGCTAGCGGCGCTGATCGCGACCGCGTTGGCGGCTTGCGCTCGACGTTGGGCGGGGGATGGAAGCTGCGCCGAGCGCGACCGCGTTGGCGGCTCGCGTTCGGTGCTGGGCAAATGGCGGGCGCGGGGGTAGAAGCGGCGCCACGCGAGACCGTGGGTGACGAGCATGCGGGGCTAGGTGGAACGGCACACCTGGATGAAAGTATGAGCGCATTGGTTTTACAACGGTAAGAGGAAAACTCGGAACGTACCATGCCCTCAGCTTATCAAACATATCCGAAATGCGCACAGCACTGTGAGGACACGTAGATTGTTGGGGGGTTGGCATGCCAGGTCGTCCGGGGGTTCATCTTGCAGCAGTGGGCACGACCGCTATAGACGCACACCCCATCTCCCGACCTAAACTCTCTGAGCAGGCTCAGAGAGTGGCATGACTCTACCACGGCCCGTGCCCTTGGCCATGGCGAGAGTGAGCCCATCGTCTATCGTCTTCGCTGGCGCTGGCGGGAGATGAGTTGGACGAGGGGCTGTGCAGCTTGACCGCGCGCGTTGCCGCTGCTGTGCAGTCAGCACTGGCACGACCCCCACGGATGAATTGATGATGGACGTGCAAGTGCTTGGACACCCGCCCTAAGGTGTACCATATGGATTCCATGCTTGGCACCCCATGGCATCCGGGTGCCATGGTCACTCCCTGGGATCCAGTGAAACTATCGCCTTCATTCCATCTCGCGTCCCTGCCGCTGGATTCCATTGCATTCAAGGCCGATATCCGTCACGCGCGCCCCTGGGACCAACCCGGCGCCAAATTTCCGTGGATTCCATCAAACAGCTGGTTGGGCGTGTACGGCGGGAAGGACTGGAATAGCCACGCGAACAGGAACGTGATCGACAGGAATACTGGAGCCCGCGCGTCTGCGTTCCTGGCCGGCCAGATGGATGATCTCAGGCCTCTGGACAAGAGCTGCCGGTCTCCAACGATTTCCCCTACCACCACCACCACGACCACCACCACTCGCTCGTCGCGAGCAACCTTCCGTTCTTTCCCAACCCACGCTCGTTCAACCGCGAATCCTCTGAGCCCCGCGCCGTGCCCGCAGACGTCCCCCAGATCACACATCACGGCTAGCAGCCCGTTTCAGCTCAGCTGTCAAAGGCAGGGTGATGCTGTGAGCGGCCATATACAAAGCAGCCATCCCCGAAGTGATCATCTTCCAGTGGGCGCCCCGTCAATTTGTCCTCCTTCCGTTCATTGGTCTGACAGATATACGTAGCCATGGACCACCGGGTGTCCGTGAGCAGCCCGGACGGTCATAAGCCGTCGCCTTCCCCCGCCGCCTTCCCTCGGCATGGGCGGATGCCTTCTCTCCACACGCAGGCGTCAGGCGTTGCAGACAGCACCATCAGCTTCGGCTCGTTCGCCACCGGAGAGGAGCCAGTGAGGCTCTCGCAGTTCCCTACTCCTCCCCTCGGGATCCCTCCGCCATCTCCATCGCACTCCGTCTTCTCAGCTTCGTCTCCTTCCAGCCCATACCCTCCGCGATCCCCCATGACACCAGCCTCTCACTCACGGCGGCCCCTTCCTCAGCCGACGACCGCCCCCCTGCTTGTGCGAAGAGGTCCCTCTGGCAAAGCACCCACACTGACCACGATCGCCGACGACTCCTCCAGCGGTAGTCCATCGCAGCTCACCCCACCCATTCCACCCGGTTCACAGCTCGCATATCATAGACCCGACGACGCGGCCTCCTCCATCCTCTCGGCGGGATCTTTCTCGCCCCACTGGCATGACGGCGCCTCGGGCATTCAGGTCGACCCGCAGGAGGAGCGGATGCTGTCTACATCCTTCATCACAGAGTTGCTATCTTCGACATCCGCGCCGTCTGATGGAGGCTATTCTATGCTATCGCACGAACGCAGAGGAGTCAATGATGGACGAAGCATAGTCGATACTCTTGCTTCCGAAATTACCTATCCGCCGCCTCGCACTGGCGCGGCGGGCTCTCCGTATCCTGGCGAGTCATCGAAACTTGACGGATCGAACCCTCCTTCATCTTTCGCTCTACACGGACGGCACAATCCGCAGCCCAGTTCCTCGGGACCGCGCACAGCAGATGGATCAAAACGTCAGTCCGACAGCACGGGTCTAACGGACGTGAGCGGACTTGGTCCGCTCGGCATTTCGCAGGCAGGTTCGGTCTTCCATCCGCTGCGAAGCATGTCAGTCCTGTCCGATCACGCGAGCGCTCGGCCGTCCGCGCTTACCGGCATCACCCGTCCACAGTCCTCTACCAGTAGCTCGACGCCTTTGCGAGAGGCATTCAACGGGATCAAGGCACCGATCGATGAGGACACGCCCCTCGCCGCTCGGAGAACACCTCCCGGTTCCTCGACGAAGCCTTCGTGGAGGGGATCAAAGTTCGCGAGGCGAGATTCTCTCCACTCGACGAAGACGACAAGGAGCAAAGTGTCATCGTTAATTTCCCGCATATCAAATTCCCGCCCTGCGAACTGGATACGTAAACCACTACCGCCGGTCCCGATCCTCCCGAACATTCCCATATCCCAAGAAGAGGTTTATCGCAACGAAGATGGTCAGCTCGCTCTTCCGGAGCTCACTAGCCGTGCACGTACATTATCCAACATGCTCGAGCGAGGATATCATCCACATCAGAGCTTGACCTCCCTCTCCCAAGTTCACCTCGGCAACATCGTGTCTGACGAGGATATGAAGGCCGGAACGGTTCCTGACCGCGTTGTACACGCTACCGCCACAGCGCGCCCAGATGGTTCGGGCCTGAATACTCGTAACCGCAAACCGGGTTTTTGGAATTGGGAAAAAGAGAGTTCGTTGCTACACAGTCCTAGGAGCCATTCTCCTTCGAGGAAGAACAGAAGAGTGTGGCTGCTTGCCAGTGTGGGTGTAGGAGTTGTCCTGGCCAGCATCTTCACGGCGGTCGGCGTCACCTTGGGCAGCCGACACCATTCGTCCACGACATCTTGTGGTGGCAACCTGACTGGCCTCGCGTGCGATCTGGGTACGATTCCCGTTGTTTACGTCGTGATCTCCGGAACTCATCCTTTGTACTAGATGCGACTTGCGTCTGTGTATCAACCTCTAGCAGCCAATGCGTGGAACTCGCCCAGGCTATCCTCACACGGACACCGACGATGAACCAGCTCTTCTCCACGAACCTCTCCGATAGCGATGTTGCCACCGCAATTTGGGAAATACAAGGGACTCCTACCAAGAGTAATTGCGCCGAACAGGCTGTGCTCATTGATGTTGCCCCCGCTCTCGATTCCACTACCGCCCCCAATAGGACACAGTGGGCGCAATCTGCTCTGCTCTGGAACCTTATACGCTCGCACAACACGACGCAAGTCGGGAACATGCAGACATTTGTCCGGAAGGCGGACTGGGACGACCTAGGTACTGCCGCTGATGGACCCGTGCCGGACACTAGCGGGCGATTTGCATTCGCTCAATCCGGCTATATATGGAATTTTGCCAACCAAACCGTTGCGATGCCCAGTGCAACATTCGTGGTGACTGGCGAACCCAGCCAAGAGCAGATTGATCGGGTGGGATCGGTCGCCCATGGGGCACTCGATCGCATGTACACATTTGCTACGGGTGCGTGTTATCATCCTAGCTCGTTGCAGGTGTTTGACCCGGCCATGCAGCCTCGTCGACTCAGCGCTCCACTGCCCTTCTCCGCTATTGGGAATCCGTGTTACAGCAGAAAGCGGACGATCTTGCCATATTCAGATCACGCCTCAGCGTTGCTCCAGTCTTACTCCCGTTTGATGCAACCTCTTCACCCGGAGGGCACTCCGTTGCCGCACTACTTACAAACTCATCCGCCAACGCCTTCCCACCTCCCCTGGCGTGCTATCCTGGATTAAACTCGACCTCCCTCGCTCGCATTGCTACGATCGAATCCACGGTCTTTGCATTATCCCCGGCATCGGCGGCTTCGCAATTCGACCCCAGTTGCTTCCCGGACCGTCCAATATACGGTGTGCTCGACTTGCTCCAGTTACGCTTGCCGTTCACAGACGCGAGAACGGGAACGGCGAAGCAAGCCGTCGCTCTCAATCGCGACGTCAACCCACGAGTCATCGTATACTACGGGGAGGCTCTCAGCGCCATGCCAGGCGCCCCTACACTTCCGACGCTAGCATCCACGGCCGCTGATCCACGCGAGTTTGGCACACTCAACAATTTCGATCATGTGCTATTCACCTATCTTTCCTCGATTCCGGACATAGGATTAGCCACGGATCTAGTTCAGTTCGTCCTCGGTTCCCCTGTTGTGCCGCCCAACGACAGCTCGTTACTGGTCCGCTCACTGGCTTCAATTCCCACTTTGGAAGTTGCGGTCTTCGGATCCGTCCTTCCTTCAGACGTTTCTTTCGTCGCTTCGTCCTTTGCCACGCCTAATGGGTCTCTATTTTTTGGATCGGATTCTTCAAATTCGTTGCGCGACTGGTCGCTCGTCGGAACTTCGTCTTCCATAGTGTGGACAAACTCCACAACCGCGCCCTTGGTTGTTCACGATACTTCTCTCGCCGATGAAACGTTCTCGGAAGTGTGGACACCCGCTTACGAGTTCTTTCACTCCCCAAACAACGCGGTGGTCAATGTCGGAAACATCAGTGAGCCCACAAGCCCGTTAGATCGAATCAGACCCAACTGAAGTTCTGTGCAGCCCAAGCGTTCGAAGCTGTTGGCCTGTTCAGTCCGTGAAGCTGCCTGTGGGCCTTCGCTCATGTTGTGCAGTTTTGGGCTGGGGTTGTTTCAGACTTGCCTGAGGACCGTATACGTACCGCAGACGCCGGTACGACGCGCTTTGTATCAATCCGTTCCTCCCTTCATTGAGATGGGACTTTTTATTGGATTAAGTTATTCATGTCTGATAATTCCTTCATGTTGTCGAGGTCGAGCCACTTGCATTTATGTACGAATATTAGCATCATTGATTGGTTCCCCGTTGCTTTCTGATGCCGCCAGGTGTCGCCTTGGGACCATAATTCTCATTTCACGAGATCGAATAGCAAGTCTCGGTCGTGTGATTTCTCCACCATTTCTCGGAATATGCCTTCCGTGGCCTCAAGCAACTCCTTAGGCGATGCGCATTGGACAATATTGCCAGCATCCATGACCATCTGAAGGAGATTGTTAGCACCGTACGCGGTCTGCTGGGTCGACACGTACGATAGTGTCGTAGTCCATCACAGTTCGAAGTCGATGCGCAATGGTGAATATCGTGACATCCGAACCGAAACTATCGCGGATGGAACTTTGCAATGTGATGTCTCTTGCATGATCTAGGTGGTCTTTCGTTGTCATCGGTAAGCAAAAAAAAAGTCGATGAAGACTTACCAATTGCAGAAGTGGCTGAGTGTTTCGAGATGACTGCGTTAGACAATGTCTATACCGGAGATGAGTGGCGCACCTTCGTCCATGATCACTAATTTATTCTTGCGCAACTTAGAGCGAGCAAGTGCGATTATCTGCGCGAGTGGATAACGTCATACCATGGCCAGGACAGTCAGGTGAGTTGTTCACGTACCTGCCGTTGCCCAAGGGAGAAATTTGCACCCCCTTCGTCAACTTTGCTGTGAAGCAGCGATGACGCGTTATTATCGCAACTGGACGACGATCATATCACTCACGAATCCAAAGTGATGCCAGCGTTTTCCTTGAAGCCTTCACGCTCGACCAAGCCCGCATCCATCAGAGCCTCGTTCAAGGTTGCATCGTCGTGCTCGCCAAAGGGGTCCAGGTTCTCGCGCAGTGTATCAGCGAACAGTTCGGGGTTTTGTGGAATGATTGTTATATGGGATCGCAGAGCATCCAGATTAACCTGGTGAATGTCGATATCGTCATAATATACTTTGCCTCTCGTGAGCATTGCTCGTAGCAAAGCCAGAGCCAGACTCGATTTCCCCGCTCCTGTTGCATGGTAAGTAACGGAACGGTATGCGAGGAAAAGCTCAGAGCCAACTTTCCTGTCCTGCCAACTACAGCGACCCGCTCGCCTGCTTTGATGTCAAAACTGATGTCGTGTAAGACATCGTTTGAATCTATGGTAATGTGAGTGGCGGACTCCGGCGTAGCGGGGATGGCTGACCTGGATCGTATCGAGCGCAAAGGCTTTGCGCGCGCAAAGATCCTGAAGCAGGCCAGTATGCTGGGGGGACACCTTGTGGAGTGTGCCGCGGCTCCGAAACGATGTCAATGTAATCCTTGATTCTCTCCAAGCTTTGCCCGCAATGTCATTATGGAGCGCAAGCATGAAATCGCGTACAAACCTTGTGCCTAGCAAGACGAATTAGCCACTGGGGATTCCGCCGCACATGCGACACTCACATTCAACTTCCACCACGTTCCACACCCTCACGAACCAAAATACATCGCCAGAAAAGGCAAGTACCTGAGATAACGCGAAACCAGCTTCCCCTGCCCGAATCGCCGGGGTATATAGTACGGCCGCGGCCACGGCGATGGAAAAGACTGAGCCCAGTGCGTCGATTCGGACATCAATCCACCTTAAACCAACAAAACAGTTCAGCAAGGCGCAGAGAAAGTTGCATCGACGAAATTCTTGCCGATTCAAGTTGAAGAAGTTGCGCGACGCGCGTGTGTAGATATTGATTCTCCTCGTTAACTCCCCAGTGAAACGTTTTTGAGCGCCATACGCTCGGATAGAAGCTATCGACCAATCAAGACAACCCTATGACAAAGAGAACACCAACGCACTGAGTCCTGAGCAAGTCGTGCCGAAGAGGCTTAGAACGGGGGATTTGGCGATACTCTGTTTACGCTTGAGTGCTTTTTGGAGTTCCGTTAATGCCATAAGCAAAGGACAATCATCGTGAGTGAGCAACTGACCAGCTTGAACCCTAATATACCCGCGTCCAACAACAAGTGCCATAGCCAACATTACGACACCAGCCAGAAAGGCATCTTTCACGACCAAGAATATGGCAAGGAGCTTGAGCATTATGCCCGTGCTCATCACTAATTCTTGCATGATGATTGACGGTAAGCTAGTGTCAACAGAATTGATATCCTGCTGACGATGAGATCACAGGAGCACGTCTGAGATGTGTCGCCTACCTGTGTGCAGCGAGTTATCACTCTAGCGATGGGCGTTTTGTCTAGCCATCTGCAAGAAGTTATCACATCCACTAGCGAGTTTCGTGTGCGATCGTGCGACCTACCTGAAGGTGGCATACAGAACCGACTCCATCAATTTTTGGTGGATGTTGACAGATGCACGGAGGCCCCCTCTCAGCCATAATGCCGCTTTGACAGTCCGCAACACAAGTTGTGCCAGGAGTAAAACGGCAAAACCACCAAGATATCTGTGTGCTAGGTGAGTTTTATGGATGTTCAGACATTTAGTCCACTCACTTCTCGGCCGGTACGGAGGAGGGATCCCTAGTGTTATACTGTTCAGCCCACCGGCCCAGGAAGAACGGCTGATAGAGGGAGACCGCGACCTCCGCAAAGACAAGTAGATAGATGACGGCGCAGAATATCGGACCGCCGGCGTTCACCAGATAGAATCCTATTATCCGAACTCCGGCTGCGTCATAAGTTGTAGTCTCCTCCGCGATCAATTTACCCCCAGTGGAGTTCTCGGTTTCGGCATACTCGCTGGCGATTTGTGGTTCGGCCTCAGTGTGGCCTTGACTTCCTGCGACCAAACCGTCGAAACTTGAAACATCGATGGCTGAGGCTTGCATTTGGACAGCATCTCCTGCGTCACTGATCTGAATGACACTGTCCAGGGATCCTTTGACCAGTGCTAGATCGTGGGTGACGAGGATTACGGTGCGATCCCGAACGAGATCCCCTTTAAGACAATGTTCGGCCACCCAACGTGCGGTATGCACATCAAGCCCGGCAAAGACGTCATCCAGTAGCAAAATGCGAGCTGAAGAATAAACTGCCCGGGCCAAAGTCACACGGGCCTCGAACAGAGTCAGCCTTGGTAGAATATTCATCGAACTAGCGCACCTTCTGTCCCCCACTGTTGCCATGCCAGAGGATTGGTCAGTAGGCAAGCTCTCGACACATAACATCATAGTCTCCACCTCAAGGTCAGGCCCTAAGTTCGTCTTTTAGCAGCGCGGCGTATTGTAAACCTGCATGCGTACCTTCTCGCCCACTTCCGTAAGATCGCCATATGGAAAAGAATTGATGTCTTGTATAAGAGCACACTGCTCGAGGACTGCGCGAGATTCAGCGCTTCGACTGCATCCAAGTCGTGAAATATACATGCCTTTGTGATATCGCGCTTCATCGAATGCACTGTCGAAAATGATGTTGTTCTACGCAAAAGCCAAGTTAATGTTAGATTCCAAGCAGAATTGCTGGCACCAACGCGGATGGTGTCATTCAAGACCCAGGTTTCCTGTGTAGCATATGCCACGCCATATTCCAAGGGAAGGTTGTACCAGGAGTCTGTACCCAACGGATGACAATACATCTCCCCTATACCGATCAGATTGGCGCCTTTCTATGGCGGACCCAAGCTCACCGAGAAGACTGTCAGAAACAACGACCGTTAACGAGGACAAAAGAAGGAAATCAAAACACGCACGCCATTAAAAACGATGTCTTGCCGCTGCCTGTTGGACCAACGATTGCTGTCATAGCTTTCGCGCGGATGCGAATGGTTCCCTCCACGGTAAGTTTGAACTCGCGAGCATCCGTCTGGACCTCTGATGAGGACATCTCATGCCAGGTGAAGTAGGTGGATTGGACGCCTATGTCTGAAGGGATTGTCTCGGAAGTTGCTTGAAATACTTTCCCAGGAATAGACCGAGTCTACTCGACAATCAGTCATCATGGTCACAGTTGCGAATTAATTTCCCTTACTTCCTTCATAAAGCGCGTGAGACGATCTAAGGACACTTTGGCTGTGATGGCGTCAGAATCCGCGAGCAATATCATCAAGAAACCGCACCATTGATCATCGATGGCAATAAGAAAGCCGTCTGATTCAACTTGGCTTGCAAGATGGAGAAAATGGAGATTGCGGTAAAAACTCGCGAAGATGTAAGCTCCCCCTTCATTATCAGGGTCTGTATTTGACGGCCTGATTGAGTTTTCTCTGATACATCTTTCAAATTTGACTCACGTAGGTTCCGAACGTAACAAGGAGGTTACACAGAGGAAGTATCTGCAGCCCGGTGAGCGCAGAACAATATTCCGTGTCGAGCGAACTCACATTGTTCGCGTTATACGCGATGAGTTCCAATATCCCATTGTGGCGGATTCGGGCAATTTCATCGTTTCGAAACTTGAAGAGCTTATTCAGCGCCTTCTCTTCCCATGCGAACAACTTGATTGTCCTCAAGACGTTGAGGACTGGAGAAAGGTGCGGTCTTTGTCAACAACAGGTTAGAAGAAGATAATGTTCGAACATACTTCTTGTGGCGTTTTGTACACGGTGATCAGACTAGGGGGCGTTGACATAGCAGTCAGCACGGACGTTACGGTGAGCTATCTTTTGAAAGATTCACAGCCTCCATCTTGCGCCGTTGTGCGCTCAGCCGCATTTTGGCAACCCAAATCGGCACCGGTAAGCTGACAACTAAGACCGCGGTTCCTACAAGGGAGCTTGGTGTATACAATCAGCCGGGATTTTTGCAGCGCTACAAGGTGCCTGCGCGTTACCTCCAACCGAGGATGAGATAAAGGTACACTGTGCTGCCAATCACCTGCGTGATGGCCATAACTGTCGAATATGTGTTGAGGACAAGCAAGGCAAAGGTACTATATTGCAACTTACCGCATTGGACCCAGTCGACGCCTTTTGTGATTGCGGCAGCGTCACCCGTGACCAAGTTGTTTATCATGCCCATTCTTTGCCTTGTCATGTCCGATGATTTTGTTTTCGGCATCACAACCTCGGACCGCCCAGATGTAGACATGCTTGCTCGCATGCGTAAGACATGCTCGAAGACCAACCGAACGACAATGGCTTCTGCTCTAACGAGGGTACGGGCGGAGTTCTGAACGTACCACTCGCCGAAGAGTGACCGAAGCATGGGAGATATGCCTATCCATACAACCCAAACCCATGGTCGAATGGGTGACTCATGGCCACCCCCTTCTAGATACCTGAATTGCGGTCAATATTGTATACGACGTTACACCGGCAAAAAAACTCACAACAACAATTGCTGGATACCAATGGGTGCAATGAAGGTCGCTAGAGTCTTGAAGGTACGAGTGAGCCTATTTCCGGTGTCATGAACGAGCGCATGCCACTAACGTTGCCTATTCCATTGAGGAACATAGCGACGAAATCCCACTCTAGACAAGGGTGTCATCGGCGGTCGTTATGCTGCATACACCATAGTTAACTTACTGAACACGGAAATCAAGTTCCAGGCGATGTCCCAGCTCTCCGCGGGTTTCGTGCGATCCATTCTCTGTTATCAACGGGTAGGTCCTAGCTGCGGGGATGCAGAGATTAACGTACCTTGAAATAGCGTTCAGCCAAAAATTCTACATCATCCCTCTCTTCTAGAGGTAAGAGCTTCTCGTCTGGAACCTGCCGATGGCGAGTAGCATGTACCACCATAGGGTCCAAGAATCCCCAAGTCAGGTATGAGAACCAAGAGGCGGATTTGCGGGGATCCTACACGCGGATTTCAGCCAGCCGGGTCATCAACTTGAAGACTCCGCTCACCGATGACGGTGCACCAGGTAAACACAGAGGAATCACGACGCCCCCTACCAACGTGCTGATGCAGTGCAGAACGGCCGGCCAGGTTGGTGTACGGCCATCGACAAGAGCGAGAGGATAGACCACCGAGTAGAAGTCGAGCAGGAAACATGCGAAGAACAGGCAGAACACATGCGTATCTGCGGTGTGCTTCCACGGCTGGCTACCGCGCATGGATGCTAGGCAAAGCCATGTAGCGTAAGCCTGGAAGTGATCAATGTAAACAGTTATACGAAGAACCCGAAGTTTTGCAAGCGTACGTAGAATGCGAATGCTACAAAGGGCCACGCCCCCGGACTTCCACCCTGGAGCACCTGCAAAGCTGCTAGAAGCAGTAGAACAAGACTGGCGAGGAGCCGGAGGGCGCGCAGGACACTGGTCGTCTTCGTTTTTTTATACCCCACGTCTTCTTGGCTGACATCCGCTAAATCCCGCCTGGCCAGCCTGTCGACATTCCCAGTCTGCGATTGTCCAGCTGCAGCTGAGTCGTAAGGTAGCAGCTTCGTATAAGTCAGATGTCCCACAGAAAGGAGACCTATGACGGAGGGCAGAATGATAAGAGCCGTGGTATCCACAAGCATCGTTGCAGTGGCAAGATGAGGAGTGCCGTCCAAATGCCCGACATTTAGACCAGTCTTATGAGGAGGACGTATGCACGGCGAACAGGCGCCGTCAGGCCGCCGCGGGAAACGGAGGTAAGCGAAGTGGATCAGGCATCTATATTCTTTCGGCTCGTGAACCGCCTCCTCTATCATTCAGGAGCCGGGAGAACCATCATTCGTGGAGACACATTGCGCAGTGCGCATCAGCAATAGCGTGCGTGGCCACCGTCCATCGAAGCGGCACTGGCCGGATTGCTGGAATTCCCCGACATACTTAGGGACAGTGCAGGGATGGAGAGACATGGAAACGTCGGGTCCACTCAAGCGCCTACTAACTGGTCACACCCTGATAAAGATCCTACCCGGCGGTTCTGATAAGTTATAGCAGCGAGAGCCCGCGCACGAGTTGGCAATGGAAGTCGAAACGAAGCTTGGATGGCGTCACCTAAACGTGACGCGCATCTACCATACAAATCGCAAGCCCACGACACTAACAGCTCCTAGACGTAATGTGGAGCTCCGATACCGCGACAGAATGTGCCATGAGTAGATATATCGACCGAATGTCATAGGTTCTCCGCCAATCATACAAGCCAGTACGATACATTAGACAGCTTTCAAAACCGATATATATCGAGGTTTCGTACCCAAATCGCTCGATTTGGCGCGCGTTTTGACCACAGGATATCAAAATCTCAATATATATCGAAATTGAAAGCTCCCCTATTGAAACAGATAGAGACACCATACGCTCAGATATATATACTAACTATCGTACCATACACGTTAGAATGCTAGGGCCACATAGCTATAAAAAGAGAAAACGAAAGGAGTTAGGCGCAAATGGTCGCGATGCACGCGAATCAATGCCTACCCAGCAATCATCGCCAAGCCTCCTATTGGCGTCACCGGTCCAAGCCATTTGAACCTAGTGACAAGACATTGACGACGGTTCTCAGGGCGCAAAATAGGACATTGTGCTTACCGGTCACGGTTCAAGACCAAAGCGAAGATGCTACCGGAAAATACCTTGGAATCGGCAAGTCATGTAACTGAGTGTCCTAGCTTGTTTATGTGCATACCACTGATCCCGCTGCGATGGCAGGTCCGGCGAATCTGTGAGAAGCGAATCGAGGATGCAAAGACACGAGCATCAACGCGAGCCCGTTGAACACCTGAAGAGGTTTCGGCGATGAGTTGCGTCCGACATACGCTCCACATCGCGGACTCGCCGAGTAGTGAGCAGCTGTTTCCCAAGCATGTATATTATCCTGTGTGACACCAGGACGGCGGCGAAGCCCGTGTGCGCCGAATGCGCCGGTGATGACACCGGTGGCGGCTATGAGTGCGCCAGCGCGCCAGAGGGATGCAGGGTTTGAAAGCATGTTGCCTCTGACCGCTGGGCAAGGTAAGAGAGGCGTAGAAGGATTAGACATAAGCACGTTGCTTCCTCGGGAGGAGCAAGAGACCGAGGCTCAGACTCAGAGTCACACTAGCATAACGCGCACCAGTCACGTGAGCTCAGGCCCGAAATTTCAGCCGGCGAGGGCGAACGATGTCAGTTTCACTGACGCCCAGGGCCGCGCCAACGATGCTGCGACATGCTGGACGGTTCCTCTGCCATGCTTGTCGCCTCACAGACGCACAGCGCCGGTTTCTGACTCAGGCAGCAACAACGACCGTCACCACCGAGAGCTCCTCTTCAGCTGGCAGTAGCTCTGCGCAACCGACCGTTTCTCCAGAGCTACTGACTAAGAAGAACAGGAGGAAAAGAACGGCGAAGGCGATCGAGTCGAAACTAGCCAGTCGTGACTTCTCAGAACCTACAAATCTTGAGCGATGGCTAGCCGAGCTCAGCACAGGCAGCCTGGACCCTTCTCTCCAGGACTTGGAGCGGCTCAAACCAGAGAAGCTACCAAATCCGGATTCGGACGGTTATCCCGCGGAATACAGCGCTCTTGCCGATCTGCTATGCCGCACCTTTAGCAAGGCGCAGCTCAATCGGTTTGTAGAGATGTATAGCATGGAGGGTTGGTTATGCAACCCGAAGAGGAAGAAGGTCGAATTTGCGGAGACTATCATCGAAAGACAGTGGGGTTGGCCATCGCTATTGGAACTCGAGAATCAAAAACGCGACAGAACGGAAGTCGAAGTCAAAGGTACGAATCTGCCAACGTGAAGGCCACATGCCTGATCCTTTCTTTCAGACTTCCCACTTGACGCACGACAACTGTTCCTGATGATGGGAAAGGGTGAGGAAAACGATATCTCGATTGGTGCCTTCTCTGACATGCATGGCTCGTAGATGGCGCGGACTTGCTCCAGATGTCTATCGACTTCAATGTCCACATCTCTGTATCAACATCACCTCTCGCACTCCGGGTGGAAGGCGTGCGCAAGTCCATGAGAGCATTGACTACTCACATTCAAGCGCTGAAGACAGTGCGTGACTCTCGCTGCGGTGTAGCTTGTCCTCACGGCGACTCTATTCAGACCTTCGTGGAAGGGACATTTGATCTCCCGACGCCAGTTCCTCTTCCTGAAAGCCTCGTCCAGCGAATCTCACGAATATCGGCGGCGTTCATCGAAAACGTTGACAATGGAGGGAAGGTCGGCGGCTCAGGCCCTCAGCAGAGGATGTTCGCTGATACAGCTTCTCAGATGCGAATACACGCGAAGAGTTCTCAAGGACTTTCTGTCGCGGAGCGCCTCGCAGTTCACGCATCTTGTGTGGTCAGTCCTATACTTCTGCCTTCTCTGCTTGTAAATAATTGACATTGTTCCAGACGCAGGAAAATTCCGGCATTCCATTGCTGGCCTATGTTCCCGCACCCAAGCCGAGTGTTGCCCCCATTCCGACATCCATGTTCCCGAATAGCTACTCCTTGTATCCTTTCTTTTCACCGCGCTCCTTGCCCTGGACGTTGACTTCGAACAGCGTGTTCCGGCTACGTCGTTTATCGGAATGGCTGGAACAGAACTCAATGGAAGAGGTTGCAACTAGTGGCGGACTAGCTGGAGGTCAAGGGAAGATTTTGACAGTGACCGAGTATGTCGCATTACTTGGTGTATTAGATCTTGCGTCAACCTTTCTCATGCGCAGGCAGCTCGCTGATCTACGCCGAACGCTCTTGCACCATACCTTGGGGCAAATGCAATCCAACCAGTCTGGAAGGGTTGTCACAGCATCGTATGTGACCTATAGCATTAATTGTCATCGCTGACGGATCCTATGTTTCAGCTTGGGACATCTGCTCTTCTCGTCGCCTTCTCAGGGTCCACGCAGCTTGATCCCGCCTCTCAAGGGTTATTGGACGTTTACTAACATCCTTCGTTGGATAGCCAAGAACCATCCGACACCGGTCTTCGTTCCAAGGTACAACAACGTGTCCTGCATGTATCCTCAGGCTGACCTGTTCATGTCCCTAGTCTTCCTGCGCCGTTGATTAACTCGGCACCCTCGGAGCAGAAAGTCATGCATCGGCTCATTTACCATGCCCTAACCAGCTCTTCCGCACCGTCCGCTCTTTCCAAAGTCGCTAACGGTGACCAGGAAGTGATTACACCGCGCTCCATCCCGATTATCAAGCTCGAAGCTACACTCGCGCAATCAACCACGGATACTCAAATGCGCGACAGATCACAATTAACAGAAGACATAAAAATACTGGATGAGCTTGAGCCTCCTACTCCTGTTTCCGATGCTCATCGCTCTTCGGACCTCGGGCCGCTTTACCAATGCTGGATGGGTTCGATGGCCGCGGTTGACTTGCTGATGCCTGATCGGTAAGTCTGTATATTGCTCTTGCACTTCTCCATCTGACATGAACTTCATAGCCCGATGGATATGCGCTTGACAGCCTCCGAAATGAACCCTGTTATGAGCGAGAGCTTGCCGGAAGAGTTGCATGATTACATAGCGAAACTCAAGGCCTTGTGAGTGCAGATCAACTCCATCCTTATGACTGAGGTCTGATAAAAGTTGCAGCCTGGACGACGCTACAGAAGGGGAAGCGCACCCCGTGCCTCCAGTTGAGGTTACTCATGCAGGCCAGAAGTACGTTCTCGTTGCCAATCATAGCGTTCGTCAAGGCACGGACGTTGTGAATATGGATGGGCAAGGAAAGCTGCAACGGGACCAAACTTCGGTCACCTCGGCGCAGGTTGTCAGTGAAAGTATCCTCGACCTCGAAAGTAACCAGAAGTTCGCAGTATGCGAGGTATGCGCCCTTGTATAATCCCATTTGAAGGCCGCTCATGCCGACCATTCAGGTAACATGTACTGATGTTGAGTCAACCGATGCTTGGACAGAACTTCTTCGCAGATGTGACGCAGTCACTTCGGTTAACTACACCTCTACCAACAGCAGTCCAAGCAGTATCATGGCCTCGAAATTCGACGGCAAAGAGCGTGCAGTATGGTAATCATTAGAAACAGTATTCGTACGTCCAAGTAGTAATCGATAAAAAAATTGGAGAGGAACGAGGCGATAAACTACCAGGTGGATAACTATCTGCGCTTCTTGTTCGCCTTCTCCGTGCGTTTCTTCGCTCGCACTTCCTTCTTCATACGCGAGTCCACCATCACATAGCGACCCTTGACACCTTTCGGCCTGCCCTTGATACCTTTGTGCGAGCCCTTCGCGACCACAACTTTAGTCTCTTTCTTCTTCTTTCCGCTCGACAAGCCCTTGCGCATGAGTTTCTCAATTTGCTGCGCCTTTTCCCTCTCAGTCATATCTGACGCCTCCGTGACTCCCTGAGCCTTTTTCATCGCTTTCTCTAGGCGTTGTGCAGCCCTGAGCTTCTTGCGGCCTTTCGCTTCAGCGACCTTCTTGATAGGACGTGCGTCGAGGGCTCGCATCTTCGCTCGGAGCGCGCGGATGGCCTCTTTCGTGACCGGTATATTCGGCTTGTAGTGCTTGGATTCGTCGTCCAAGAACCACGAAGGGAGGTCTTCCTTGGAATTAAGTGAATATCGATTGAAGCCGTCATTGATTAGCTGTGTCTTCGTCTTCTCCCGGTTGACAAGCTGCTGAGCCAATGTCATGGCTTCTGCCGTCGTCAAGCCATGTTCTAAAGCAAGAGTATACTTCATGACGCGACCCTGCTAAATGCATAAGAAGGGTAACTCACTGCGTATCTGCACTCGTTTGGCCTCATCCTGATCCTCGTCATTCACGTCCCACATAACTGCATCAGCATCAGAGTCCTGGGGTACGACCTCAAAATCGTCGCCGTCGTCCGAAGGTGTCTGTGTGGAAATCAGTATTGATTAATCAGCGCTGGGTGAAGGGCGCTAACCTCGGCCTCCGACTGCTCTTCAGGGGTGGGGTCAGCCAGGGAGCCCATTTGCGTATCTTCATCTGGCTCGTCCTCGTCCATGTCATCCAATCCGTCCACACCAGCGAACATGTCCTGACTAAACCAAAGTTGGGTCGTTCGGGAGGGTTGCGCTGGCTCTTCGAGGGTCGTCAAAAGCTTTTGCCGCTTCCGCGTCCGGGCCTCTGCAACGCTGTGTTTCCGCTTGCCTAGTCTCTCGTCGTCTGAGGAGCTGTCGCTTTCATCGCTGCTCTCATCCTCCTCCTTCGTATTCGCCAGCTTGTCCCACCCCCCTTCCTCTGACATCTCGTCGTCGTCGGAATCGTCGGAATCGTCGTTCCTGTTCCCTATACCGCCCCATTCTTCCTCGCGCTCCTTGTTCTTCTTGCGCGCTTCCTTGACTTTGAACTTCGAATCCCTCTCTGACAACTTCTGCCGGTAGGACTGGTACAAACCGTCCAACTCCGCCTCCATAGCACTGACCATCCTCTCTCGGTCATCGTCAGAGCCTAGATCTTCTTCAATCGCATCCTCACCGCGTGAACCTTGCACCCCGTGCGTATGCTCAACCTCATCGTCGTCTTCTTCCAAGTCGCCACGAGCATAACTACGTGATCCCCTTCTCAGGGCCTGCTCCGCTCCACCGAGGTCGAAGACATCGTCTTGGCCGAAACCCAATGCAGCATCTGCTTGCTCCAGACCAATATCGAGGGGGGCAGTCATTTGAAGTTGCATGCGTTGGATGGTGCGTTGCTTTGTCTCATTGGCTTTTCGACGTTCACGCTTAGTGCGAGCGGCGGACGCTGCGTTAAGACGCTCCAGCTAACATGCATCGGTTCAATACGAAAGTAACCTGAAGTGAAGCTGGACACATACCTCCTCTTGAATCTGCTGCTCGTCGTCCACTTCCTCGATCTCCGCAACCTCGGTGATTTCCTCTGTGACCCTTTGCTTGACGTCCAAACCAATCTGAAACATAAACCATGAGTATCTTCGATATCATATGGGAGGCCGACATATGCACCTCTTGCCGAAGAGCTACTCTCCACTTCAGTAGCGTCTTAAAATCGCCTTTCCCGAGAACCTTCAGATCGTCGCAGTTTGCTTTCACATCTGGCGTTGTAACATCGAGTGTCAGCCACCTTGAATATGTCAGCTAGCTGCCCAACAACTGCGGACGGAGGCGCGTACTCCTTTTCTTCATCTTTCTCGAAGGTGATCTTGTTTACACTTCCGAGAAGCGAGATTGGATCGTCTGTCCTGATGAAATCTGCAGCGCCAGCGACTTTGTAGAGGATGTAGTCTCCATCAGCATATCCCTCGCGCTTTCGACGTTTCTTTTCCGGCTGGAAGACGTTGGCTTGAACATTGTTGGCCGAGTTTCCCTTATCCCCAGCTATAGTGGTAGAAGCTGAAAGCTCCTTGAAGACATGTCGGGGGTCGAGAAATTTGGGATCGATGTGCTTCGGAGCCAGAAAGTCTTTGCAGACAACGAAAATTTCGGCCGAGACATTACTGAAGAACGCGTGAGCACATCACGTTGGACAAGCTCTACTCACATACCGGGAAGAGGGCGGCTTTGTTGCCTCCACCTTGCCGAATAACTGGCTGAAAACCCAGATGAGGTTGTTGTAATCGGCGCTACGGAAGACCTTCGTGACGAAGGTTCCGCCCTTCATTAGGAATTCCACGGCGAGTTTCAGACTCATGAGGACGAGCTCCGACTGCGAATATGCGTCTTGCACCCATGCCGTACCGACGTTTGGAGCGCCGTCGTGTAATACCACGTCTGCCTTCCAATCCTTGAGCTCAGAGCGTATGAGGTTGCGGCATTGGGGGGTAGTGATGTCTGAAGCGAAGGTGACAACCCGAGGGATGGGCTTGATGGGGACCAAATCAACACCTGAGTTAAGTTATTCCGTGCATGGGTTGAGATTTCTTAACGAGGAGCATACCGACGATGAGACTGTTTACGGGCATGTACTTGCTGGCTACCTGGAGCCAACCACCAGGTGCTGCGCACAAGTCTATGCAGCATCTTGCTGACTCCAAGAAACCATATTTCTTGTTCAGTTGGATGAGCTTGAATGCTGATCGAGCACGGTAGCCTTGCTCTCTTGAAGAGGGTCAGGGTGAGCGGCGATCGTAGTGTGCAGACGCACTTTGCTAGCTTGTAGTATTTGTCGAGACGACCCTTTCCAGTTTTCTTCTGAGCTTTGCCCATCTGAAGTCACAGTATCAATGAGTCGGGAAAATGGTCACAGCGACCTAGGGTATCTGAAGCCGAAGTGGCGAAAGATCGCAACGCTCGAAAATCTGTGTTGGGGAAGCAGAGACCACGTGGCAATCAGGCGTCTCGCCAGGACCTCCTTATCTTATCAAGAAAAAGTACTCTGAAATTCAGCGTCGTAGGGAACAGGACAGAGCACTCGACGTGAAGCGTAAATGGAGCACCGATGCTATGTGATTGTCTATCAAAGCTTCTCCTCGAGGGAAGACCCTGCTTCTCGTTCAACAATGAGTTCTTTGTCATCCTCTTCACCAACTTCTCCCTCCCAGCCATTGTCAGCGAGATATTGCATAAACTTGGCGTCCTCTTCGGCAAGGTCAACGCCAGTCATATCCGGAACACAAAGCCAGGTGACGATGACACCCGTAATACCACAAATGGCAGCTATGATGAATGTCCACCTACACCGCCAGTTCGGTCTCATGTGGCAGCCAGCTGTGGCCGCTGTGGCGTTGACCTGCGTTCTCCGGATGGCTAACATGCCCATTCCATCCAGCCTCCAGAATTGATAGCCAATCACATCAGTGTGGTGCCATTTGGGCTGGCAGCGGTGTGGCTGAGCAGATGGAGGGCAGCTGTGAAGGATATCCGTGTCAATGCCTGGATCAGTCCGAATACAAATGAGCCACATATACCAGTCATGCCGCTCATGTACCAATTACATTGTGCACACATTCACTTGCGCATCCATGTATACATAGAAACAATATGTATTGCAGTATATACATGATGATGCCATATACATGTCAAATAGTAACACCAGGC